AAGACACACATGGCCACAGTGGCCGGGAACGAAGCCCTTGTGCATGACACGGCCCGCCGTTTCCCCAGCATCGCCGTGTATGGTGTAAACCCTGGTTTGATTAAAACGGCCATCCGTAATAACTTCTTGGGAGCCCGTAGTTGGAAATCATTTTTCGTTGAGAGCGCTATCGGCTTGCTGTTTCAAAACACAAAGCAGTACGCCGTGAAGAACGTTCCAATGATGGTGGCTCCCGAGCTGGACGATTATACTGCGGCCTTCTTCGATAGCTTTGGCAAGCCTATTCTTTCCGACGGATTTCCTGAATCGTATGTTGAGAAATACATCCGTAACTCAGAGGAGTTGCTGAAAAAGTCGGGTGTTCCTTACTACTAAGCTGTTGGAAATCATCAACAGTTTTTCTTTCTTCCTGCGACGCGAAGTGCTTTAATTAATGATATCTTGACCATTAAATGACCCGTTGCAGTATCTGAACTTCTGCAATTTCGGTACCAGATTTGAACAAAATTTGTGTTGATGTGAGAATCAACCTTTCTCTATGTAATATAAACTCGGAACTTTCCCATGTAATCCCACTTCCTATTAGGACCTAGATAGCGTCGAGAAATTGTACCAAAATAGACCTGGTATCCGTTATTGTTGTTCGTCTGGATGATGAAATTCACAAAGTTCATGGCTCCTGCCCAAGACTTCTATGATATATTGTAACCTTTGCAAGTCATCTGGAAACAGTGCTTCTGAAAGAGCAGTTTGTCTTCACCGTAGATCAAATTACTTTCAGAAAGATGTGCGGCCCCATAGTGGTTCGAATTTAGGTTAGAAGTTTCTCAAAGTGGACCTTAACAGCTCGACTGAGTTTCGGCAATATCCCAATGAGGAGCAAAGAAGGCCCGCAATCATTTAACGAAGATCAAATCAAGAATTAAAGGCGATTTCTAGCTATTACGTCGGGGTACTGAATATTTCAGCGAATCTTTGACATTAAGTGAAACCAAACAAGCTTAGAGACCACATCTTCCGCGAGCTCGATAACCTCGAATTTGCGGACATCAATTCTTCTGCCTGAAAATCTTTAATCATCAAACCCATCTGTCAACAGTATAAGCTAGCTTGTTTTGAATAAATGGTACCTCTTCTTCGACCGTCCAGTCAAATAAGGTTTTGACTAACGAGCTCATCATACCCAGGTTCCGGGAATGCCGTCTCCTTAGCTGATGTCTCTAAAAGTTTCGACCAAAAAAAACGAGCGTTCAACTTCGCATACATTGTCTAATTCCGCCTCACTACTTCCTACCGAGCAATTTGCAAGTCAAGACACCACCAGAAGCGGAAATACCACAATCATTGCTGGCTGCAGCACTGACATTGGTGCTACAGCTAGTAATGCAATTTGTACATTTGGACAGATTAGTCTAGATGGTGGAGCACCGTCTTTTAGCTCTGCGATCCAAAGTCAAGCGATCATCTCTCAAACTGGTTCTATCGCTGTTGTAACCACCAGTTCTAGATCCGGCGCTGCCTCTCTTTCGTCGGCATATATCACCGGCCGGGCGCAACAACAGGCAATTCTGTTCATTACTCTGGTAAAAGACAAAAGTTTAGCACGAGCAGCACAAGTTCACAAGTCTTTTTTACATTTTTGAAGATTATGCAAACCACCTGAAGGATGGTCTTCTCTAAATGATGCCAATTGCGCTCTTGTGAGAAAAGTAAACAGCAAATTATTCCGATACCATTTCATACAGTCTATGGAATTCGACACATCTAAGACAAGTCTTAAAGTATGTAAGCAATATATCTATTGAAATCCCCTGACTTAACGTACCATCTCTCTTCAGTTCAAAGTCGTATTTGGAAGCTTAAACGCACAAGAACACGACAGATCGGTGAAGGTTGGTTTTCTTTAGAGGAAGAACGACCATAACACTATATTTGAAAAGAGAATTTTGGAGTGCACGGATCAGTTTCGGTCACCTTGTTTCTACCAGGTCTCCGTTCTTTGGTATGTTCACGTTGCTACTTAAGTCCACTTTTAAGCTCTACTGGTACGATAAGTTTCAGCTGTATGCTGAAAATTCTCAAGAACCCATACACATGCTAGTTCAAGGTACCGAAAGGTCAAGCCAACAGAAACATTTTCGGCCGTGAATTATAGCCTCACCCAGTTCTTTTTTCCGTTGGTTGTGGTTATGATATAATGCGAATTACTTGTGATGACGCAATAATTCGTCATTCTTCGACAAGCGCGTTTGACACATTCGATATGGGAAATCATCCACTCTGATAATTATTATGCATGTGAATTGGGTCGAAGGTAAGTCCCTTAGGAGTCGGGTACTTTATTGTTGGTTTTTCCATTCTTTGCCCGGATTCCTCGCCGAAAAAGGGACTTCCGTGATTCCATGGTACCTCAGAGGTTTAATCTCGATACTCGCAATGTAATGATATGAGTTGTCAGTGTTGACTAAAAACAGTGACAAAACTGGCCCTCCGCCTGCCAAACGGAGAGATACCTGCGACCCACCTGAAACGGACAGTGCTCGAGCATTTTTGAAGAACTCTTATCGGTCTCGGCTACCAGCGTAAAATGCGTATCCAGACAACATTGTCTCTGTATTCCCGTTCCATGTTGGCTTACCTTCGTCAATTATGAAAGGCAGCAGTTTCACAGAATGGGTCAATCAAAAAAAGGTATGACGGATACCATGCGACGGACTTGTGACCCTCCATCTGGCTTATTTTCGCCATCAACTCAACTTCAATGCTCGAAGGGATGGAAAAAGTGCTCCCTGCGATATACTGAATGTCAAGCATTGGTAGGGTGGTCACCTTATTTTTTGCACCATCTTTTTGTTTATGAAAAGAAGGGTCAGAACCGCTGTCTCGTTGCGAGACGAAGATAAGTGGCCTCCGTGCTGTGGAAAGCAATGTCTATGAGTTCCCTTACACTACTTGGATATTGGTAGGAAGCACTTTTTTGGAATTTTCCCGCAAGGACACCACCGCACGGACCTGGAAGTATATTGCCAGATTTGCAGCAACAGGCACGCCAAGACTGCCCAGTATATGAATGATGGCAATCTTTCTCTTTGGTTCTAGAAGAATACTACCGAGACTCATAGGTATGATGATTAACAACGACACTAAGTATCAAAGACTTGAGCAGACTTAGAGGGTGTTAGCAGTAAAAGGAGGTAATCGAGGAAATGAAAATGAACATAGTAAAAGCTGTCTTCATATCTTTGGTAGGAATCGGCTTCGCTGGCAGATTCGTTACCTATTATAATGAAGGATAAGTTGGATTAAAAGGCATGCAGAAACCTACTAATTTTGAATGACTTTGTAAACTTCTGAAAATGGTCAGCGAGGAAGAATTGATAGCGACAGTTTTTCCGTCAGTTCAAGTGCTTTTAGTTTACATTTAACTCAAGTTGCGAAAGGTTTTATTACCGTCGGACTTACAGCTTATTAGACCAATAGTATAATTCTTGGCAAATAGTTGACTTTGGCAAACCGTAGTTTTAGCATCGGAATCTCATGCATACCTCGAGGTCGCAAATTAATGAAACTGCACATAAAGAGATGTAAAATACCGAATAGTTATGTCAAAGTGTTCGTCGCAACAGTTTTCGAGAACAGTGTCAGAGCGCCTGTGATTAAAATCTACCATGCTGACAAGACTCGCATGCCTCCGGTAACATGTGGTTCTTTATAGCCTCGTCGATCGCATACCATTCAGATGGCCGGCTGGTGTACGTGCAAAGATGATTGATGCGTACCAGGACGTGCAACCACACCAGCAGTTGACTTTGATCAGTTTTCTAAAAGAATAGATGAATGCCATGTGCAGACGTTGACAGTTAAGAACTGAGTTGAGTAGAAGTTTTTCAAAATTACACCATACGTGTAAGTTTATGGTAGATTAGTGCTGGATTAATGCAATTACAACGGCCCTGTTGGGACATCAAAGAAGAACTCAAATATTTGTTAACTCGCAGTAGCTCTGGAAAGTAAAGCGGTAGCAACAGATGATGAGACTTATTTTTGGGATCTACGAAATGTCTGCAAATTACAAGCGCGACAAGATTGTGAGAACTCGGCAGGTTTGGATTAAGGTTTTGGAGGTGTGACGTCCATGTTGCACGCGACGCCACGGTATCGGATTAAGTGAGCGTGATGAGATCAACATGCTGATCGGGATTGATTCGATACTGTCGATTTGGTTTTATTCTCCAAATTTTCCTAGAGAGTTCTGAATCATACACCAACGGTATCTGCCGTGAGAACTAAGCAGCATCATTAAGGCCAAGTGATCGCTGGCCTGACATCTGGGGTGGAGTTTTTTTGACCTATCCTGCTGAAGAACGGACATGGAAAATGCCACTGACAAAATGTAATTCAGTATCATTTGCATAGGTGAAGTACTCCACAGATGTCTACAGTTCCCCGGCCGCTCTTGGTGTTGACGTTGACCAACAGAAATACAGGTTCATAAATAAAAATTCAACTCGATTGAACCTTTTAATGAGCGATGTACATAATTGCTTGATGAGCCTGGAGAAATGAAGAAACAATTGTTGAGTACAAATCCTAGTAAAATAATGATTATTTTTTGATTATATCTCATGTCAATTTTTGAGCTTGCTAGCTATGTCGGTCGATTAAACACACTTCCCGGCATTTTCTAGCTTTTTCAAAATTATTTGGCCTCTGTAAAGTCAGAATTCTATTACAAAGAATACGTACAGGCGATTTTAGCTATAGCTTGCCGAAAATAACTAAATTTATCGAATTTCGACGATTCGGCGAAATTCGATGAGAAGACTCCACAGCTGCATTAGTTTCTGGCACAGTCTATAGTAGCGGATATGAGAGTATTCAAGACATTGAATAAAGTCCATCTAGGACATAAGGTACATTGTGTATTACCATTCGTGTTTAGCGAAACACTTCGGTGGTTGCCAGAGACACAGGGTATCTGTTCCAAAGCGTAGCTGCTTCTAAATCAAAGCTAGAGGCAAAACAAATAGCAAGCTAAAGCCTATTTTGCTAGCAGCACCATCATAGGTAGTAACCGATAGAGAAGCAGTTGAACCTGCCTTTTTGCTGGCCGATGTGCTGGACAATAGACCGAGAGATTGCGTCTCCGGCGCGATGGTTGTGGTTGATTGAGAGACGCTAGTACTAGAGCCTGAGTTAGAGCCATTGCCAGAGCCTGGGGTTGAGGCTGCATAGGAGCCAGAGCCTGGGGTCGAGGCTGCATAGGAGCCAGAGCCTGGGGTCGAGGCTGCATAGGAGCCAGAGCCAGAGTTGGAGCCAGAGTTGGAGCCAGAGCCTGGGGTCGAGGCTGCATAAGAGCCAGAGCCTGGGGTCGAGGCTGCATAAGAGCCAGAGCCTAGGGTCGAGGCTGCATAGGAGCCAGAGCCAGAGTTGGAGCCAGAGTTGGAGCCCGAGTTGGAACCAGTAGCAGCAGGTGCACCAGTGGTAGTATCGCTTACAGGACAGGTTGTGGTGTACATGGTCTCGATGCCACTAACTGTGGTAGTCACGACAGAAGTTGTCGAGGCGCTGGAGCCAGGACCAGGGAAGTTCGAGGCTCCTGAAGGATTGCTTACAGGACAGGTGGTCGTGTAAATAGTCTCAGCCCCGCTGACTGTGGTAGTCACGATAGAAGTGGTTGACGCGCCGGGGGCAGGGGGAGTTTCGGTGGTAGTCACCTTCAAGCCCGTTGAAATCAGCGAACTTGGTCCGGGCAAGAGAGTTGACGAGCCTTGAGCAGAGTTCCTTTGAATAGTTGTGTTTCCATAATAAGCAGATACTGGCGTTTCGATGTAGTAAGTGGTCTCGGTGGTTGGAACACCGTCAGATCCAGTGAACGTGCTCACACCAGTAGAGTACGTCGAAGTGAAAGTACCGGTCCATGGGGTGTACACAGTTGTACCCTTAGATGGTGTCTCAACGTAGTAGGTGGTCTCGGTGGTTGGAACACCGTCAGATCCAGTGAACGTGCTCACACCAGTAGAGTACGTCGAAGTGAAAGTACCGGTCCATGGGGTGTACACAGTTGTAGCGCCACTTGGGGTCTCAACGTAGTAAGTGGTCTCAGTGGTTGGAACACCGTCAGATCCAGTGGTAGTGCCTACACCAGTAGAGTAGGTCGAGGTGAAAGTGCCAGTCCATGGGGTGTACACAGTTGTAGCGCCACTTGGGGTCTCAACGTAGTAAGTGGTCTCAGTGGTTGGAACACCGTCAGATCCAGTCGTGGTGACTACACCAGTAGAGTAGGTCGAAGTGAAAGTACCGGTCCATGGAGTGTACACAGTTGTACCCTTAGATGGTGTCTCAACGTAGTAAGTGGTCTCGGTCGTTGGCTTACCGTCAGATCCGGTGAACGTGCTCACACCAGTAGAGAAAGTGGAGGTGAAAGTACCGGTCCATGGGGTGTACACAGTTGTAGCGCCACTTGGGGTCTCAACGTAGTAAGTGGTCTCAGTGGTTGGAACACCGTCAGATCCAGTGGTAGTGCCTACACCAGTAGAGTAGGTCGAAGTGAAAGTACCAGTCCAAGGAGTGTACACAGTGGTACCCTTAGATGGTGTCTCAACGTAGTAAGTAATCTCAGTGGTTGGAATACCGTCAAATCCAGTGAAAGTGCTCACACCAGTAGAGTACGTCGAAGTGAAAGTGCCAGTCCATGGGGTGTACACAGTTGTAGCGCCACTTGGGGTCTCAACGTAGTAAGTGGTCTCAGTGGTTGGAACACCGTCAGATCCAGTGGTAGTGCCTACACCAGTAGAGAAGGTCGAGGTGAAAGTACCAGTCCAAGGAGTGTACACAGTTGTACCCTTAGATGGAGTCTCAACGTAGTAAGTGGTCTCAGTGGTTTGAATACCGTCAGTTCCAGTGAACGTGCTCACACCAGTAGAGTAGGTCGAGGTGAAAGTGCCAGTCCATGGAGTGTAAATTGTAGAGCCAGTCGATGGGGTCTCAACATAGTAAGTGGTCTCGGTGGTTGGAACACCGTCAGATCCAGTCGTGGTGCCTACACCAGTAGAGAAAGTGGAGGTGAAAGTGCCAGTCCATGGGGTGTAAACAGTGGTACCCTTAGATGGAGTCTCAACGTAGTAGGTGGTCTCAGTGGTTGGAACACCGTCAGATCCAGTGAACGTGCTCACACCAGTAAAGTAGGTCGAAGTGAAAGTACCAGTCCATGGAGTGTACACAGTGGTACCCTTAGATGGAGTCTCAACATAGTAAGTCGTCTCAGTGTTTGGAATACCGTCAGATCCAGTGAACGTGCTCACACCAGTAAAGTAGGTCGAAGTGAAAGTACCAGTCCATGGAGTGTACACAGTTGTACCCTTGGATGGAGTCTCAACGTAGTACGTGGTCTCAGTTGTTGGAATACCGTCAGATCCAGTAAACGTGCTCACACCAGTAGAGTAGGTCGAGGTGAAAGTACCGGTCCATGGAGTGTACACAGTGGTACCCTTAGATGGAGTCTCGACATAGTAAGTTGTCTCGGTGGTTGGAACACCGTCAGATCCAGTGAACGTGCTCACACCAGTAGAGTACGTCGAAGTGAAAGTACCAGTCCATGGGGTGTAAATGGTAGAGCCAGTCGATGGAGTCTCAACGTAGTAGGTGGTCTCAGTTGTTGGAATACCGTCAGATCCAGTAAACGTGCTCACACCAGTAGAGTACGTCGAAGTGAAAGTACCGGTCCATGGAGTGTACACAGTTGTACCCTTAGATGGAGTCTCAACATAGTAAGTAGTCTCGGTGGTTGGAACACCGTCAGATCCAGTGGTAGTGTCTAAACCAGTAGAGTAGGTCGAGGTGAAAGTACCGGTCCATGTAGTGTACACGGTGGTACCCCTAGATGGAGTCTCAACATAGTAAGTGGTCTCAGTGGTTTGAATACCGTCAGTTCCGTTGAACGTGCTCACGCCAGTAGAGTAGGTCGAGGTGAAAGTACCGGTCCATGGAGTGTACACAGTGGTACCCTTAGATGGAGTCTCAACATAGTAGGTCGTCTCGGTGGTTGGAATACCGTCAGATCCAGTGAAAGTGCTCACACCAGTCGAGAAAGTAGAGGTGAAAGTACCAGTCCATGGAGTGTAAATGGTAGAGCCAGTCGATGGGGTCTCAACGTAGTACGTGGTCTCAGTGGTTGGAATACCGTCAGATCCAGTGAAAGTGCTCACACCAGTAGAGTACGTCGAAGTGAAAGTACCAGTCCATGGGGTGTAAATGGTAGAGCCAGTCGATGGAGTCTCAACGTAGTAGGTGGTCTCAGTTGTTGGAACATCGTCAGATCCAGTGAACGTGCTCACACCAGTAGAGTACGTCGAAGTGAAAGTACCGGTCCATGGAGTGTACACAGTGGTACCCTTAGATGGAGTCTCAACATAGTACGTGGTCTCAGTGGTTGGAATACCGTCAGATCCAGTGAAAGTGCTCACACCAGTAGAGAAAGTAGAGGTGAAAGTACCAGTCCATGGAGTGTAAATGGTAGAGCCAGTCGATGGGGTCTCAACGTAGTACGTGGTCTCAGTGGTTGGAATACCGTCAGATCCAGTGAAAGTGCTCAAACCAGTCGAGAAGGTCGAAGTGAGAGTACCGGTCCATGGGGTGTACACAGTTGTACCCTTAGCAGGTGTCTCAACATAGTAAGTGGTCTCAGTGGTTGGAACACCGTCAGATCCAGTCGTGGTGCCTACACCAGTCGAGAAGGTCGAGGTGAAAGTACCAGTCCATGGGGTGTAAATGGTAGAGCCAGTCGATGGGGTCTCAACGTAGTACAGAGTCTCGGTGGTTGGCATACCGTCGGAACCAGTAGATGTGCTCACATCCGTGGAGAAAGTGGAGGTGAAGTTGCCAGTCCATGCTGTGTAGCTCGTCGACACGACCTTGTTCTCAGGGGTCTCGACGTAGTAAAGAGTCTCGGTGGTTGGGATGCCATCGGAACCAGTAGATGTGCTCACATCGGTGGAGAACGTTGTGGTGAAGGTACCAGTCCATGGAGTGTAGGTCGTCGACACGACCTTGTTCTCAGGGGTCTCGACGTAGTAAAGAGTCTCGGTGGTTGGGATGCCATCGGAACCAGTAGAGGTGCTCACGTCGGTGGAGAACGTTGTGGTGAAGGTACCAGTCCATGGAGTGTATGTGGTGGACACGACCTTGTTCTCAGGGGTCTCGACGTAGTACAGAGTCTCGGTGGTTGGAATGCCATCGGAACCAGTAGAGGTGGTCACATCAGTAGTGTACGTAGAGGTGAAAGTGCCAGTCCATGGAGTGTATGTGGTGGACACGACCTTGTTCTCAGGGGTCTCGACGTAGTACAGAGTCTCGGTGGTTGGAATACCATCGGAACCAGTAGAGGTGCTCACATCGGTGGAGAATGTGGTGGTGAAGTTACCAGTCCATGGAGTGTAGGTCGTCGACACGACCTTGTTCTCAGGAGTCTCGACGTAGTAAAGAGTCTCGGTGGTTGGAATACCGTCGGAACCGGTAGATGTGCTCACATCGGTGGAGAATGTGGTGGTGAAGGTACCAGTCCATGGAGTGTATGTGGTGGACACGACCTTGTTCTCAGGGGTCTCGACGTAGTACAGAGTCTCGGTGGTTGGAATACCGTCGGAACCGGTAGATGTGCTCACGTCGGTGGAGAATGTGGTGGTGAAGGTACCAGTCCATGGTGTGTAAGTCGTGGATACGACCTTGTTCTCGGGGGTCTCGACGTAGTAAAGAGTCTCGGTGGTTGGAATGCCATCGGAACCAGTAGAGGTGGTCACATCAGTAGTGTACGTAGAGGTGAAAGTGCCAGTCCATGGAGTGTACGTAGTGGATGCGATCATTTTCGTTGGAACTTCAATCACCACCACTTCTACCGGAGTCAAACCTCCATCGGTTCCGGCCGTTACAGAAGTTGTCGTTTTACTTGAAGTGTAGCTCGAAGGCCATGGTGAAGTTACTGTGGTTGACAACACATCATAACTGGCACCTGCATTTGCGCCTCCTCCATCGAAACTAATACTTGTGGTGGTGACTTTGGCGGTAGTTGTTGACTGGCCACAGGTTAGGGTTTCTTGATAAGTGTTGTAAAACGTAATGTCTCCGGTGTATTGCCGGTTGTAGATTTGATTTACATCGAAAAACATGTGATATCCATTAGGAATGCCGGTGGCAGAAATAACAACTGAGTTGCTAGCGCAGCGCACAACGTAAGAGTTCGCGGGCAATGTGGTAGCAGCCATAGGCTTGTTCCAGGCATTAAAGGTATTGGCTATGCTCACATTCACATCAGCGCAAGAATCGATCTGCCCATTTGGGGAGGGACTACCATTCACTAGCATCGTTACAATTTCACCTGATGACCCAGTGGGACATGCTTTTCCGACGTAGTAACCAAACTGCAAAGACTTTGTGTTTGGAAGTCTCTGGTTGTAGCCATTGAATTTCGAATTTGTAACAGGCGTTTTAGCACGATAGTATGTCGTCAAGGAAAAGGTTGCTTCTAACGAATTGAAAGTAGCAGTGTTTTCACCGATTGTCCATGCATTAGCTGCGACCAAAGCACCTGGCAGTCCACTTCCACCATCATTCACAATGAAGTCGAAAGACAAAGAGCCGGTGGCAGCGTTTACAGAAGACACTGCTATGGTACATTCGAGCCGGGATGCGTACGAGTTTGTGAATCCGTTGACAATCAAACAGTTCGCTAGAGTGTTACCGGATGATGTAGTAAGAGGAATATATGAGTCATCTCCGATAGTGGTGGATCCGTAAGCTTTCAGAACGTTAGGCATTTCCAAGTAGAAAACGTCGCCCTTCGTGGCTTGCATCAACGGGGTAATGGTGTAGCCTAAGTTCGCTGTAAACGCGTCAAGAGTAGAGGAATCACTGTCTCCAGTGATGTAGAAGGTAGTAAAAACATTCTCGATGGTTTTGGCGAGCGTGCCACTGAAAAACGCACACAGAACTAAAAATTGGTGCATCAAGGGCATTTGGCGATGAGAGGTGAGCGGACCTCCAGATCGACACTTGCCTAGCATAGTTTGCGTGGTGAGTTGTCCAAGGTTCGCGACAGTGCGAAGAGTTAGTCAGACAAACTCCATATTCTTATATATGTATATAGCTATCTAGTGAGTTAGTCCTCGACCAGCGCCTCCGACTACTGGCAGAAAATAAAAACTCTTCGTGCATTCACAATATTCTTTAATGCAGCTTTCACAGCGGTGGCCATTGACGCAACTCACAAGAGATCACCAGAGACGCATGTCAACCGGAGCGAAAGCGGGATAAATTTCGATAGACAGACAGCATTTTGCATAAAAAGTCCTGCTTGCGCGCAGGTCTCTGGCTGAGCATTCTATGCTTAGAATTGAGACTAATCTGTGCCTGTGGTGACTTTCTCTGTTCGGACAATTTGTCTTTTAGGGCAAGCTTAGAATACGAGCGGCTGAAGCTAGTGTAAATAATTATCAGCCGTATTGATACATGATTTTCTTTCAATCAGAATTCCGCGAGCATTGAAGAGTAAATATTACTGCACTTGCGTGATGACGTATTAATAGACCGTGTATGTGATAGACCGTGTATGTATATGCGAAGGTGGTCAAAGTAGCCGTGGGCGCCCCAACAGGCCCGTGTTCCCAGTAGCTACTGCCTGTTGATTTTCGCGCTCAGAAACCATGATAATTCCGTAGTCAACTTTTCTGACATCGACTGTCAGGGAGACCGTAAGGGACGCATCCGCGTGTGTGCGATCAGCCACGAGAAAAAAAAACGCAGCAAGAGAGAGAGAGCACTAAACAATAACAGGCGGCAAACGATACAAGGCGTACACGTGAAGAGCGATGAAAGCTGTACAGCAGCTCATGATATCGAGGCTGGAACCAGCTGGTTTCGGCAAGGAAGGCAGGTTTAAGTGGATACTCAATGTGAGTTTTTTTTTTAAGCCTTGAGGTATCCTTCAATGCTTGAGCTTTAGTCTTCAACGGTTTGAGATTCTCGAGGGGACTGCGCTTAGGAGGTTAAAACAAAGCAGTCTGGGGTCTCTAAAGGGGAATTGTATTTGAGATGACGCCCGGGTGATCATTGGGTGCGAAAACGGCTATTTTTCAAAAGGTTTTGACAGTATAAAGCAAGTCCAGATGTTTGATGAACGGTCCTTGACTCATTTTGATCGCTATTTAGAAGGGAAGTGAGCGGAATTCGTCTTAATCCGGTGGTGTTGATGGAGTTGATGACAATTTGCAAAAAAGTTTTAAGGCTGAATAACATTGCCGAACAAAAATCGTAGGAAACCTTGAGCTGGACTTAAAACGCCTTCGTGACGAGGGAACTTTGGGCCAGATGCTGCGTTTTCGTAGTATTTCTAGTGTGATGGAATACCTTGATAGTTTCGGCATCGAAAAACCATCTTCAATTGACGGTATTGAGCTTCCCAGTGGTATCAATATGTGACGCTTTGCTTCGGCAAAGTTGTACAATATTTTGTTGTTCAGTCGTTTGAAAATAGATAATACAGAGATAAAGTACAGCATCAGAAGGATTGAAAGGTTTCATTCAAGCGAAAATGCTGGAAATTTCTTCCGGCAAGACCAAAATATGTTACAATCCGAGCTTGAGACTTGAAAAGGCGAGTGGTTCGGCAATGATGCTACGGAAATTAATTCTCTGATCAACATGAAGTGTAAGCTCATGATTTCAAAACTGTATTGATTTTCTGGACATCAAGGGTTGGCACATTTGATGCACAGCTGTGTGAGCCGGCATACATATCACAACCGTAAGACACATAAAAATCTCATTTCATGTTTGTTAAAACATTACTTCGCGGCAGAATAAATAGAAATGCTCAGCCCTCTTCCTCTCTATTGACCCTTACGAAGGCGCCCGAGCATGGCAGAAAGTTTCCGTATGTCTTTATTACGGCTTACGTCGAAGCACAAGCTCTCAGCCGCATCCATGAAGTTCGTGCCCTATACACGCTAACAAAGGGTGGACATTTAGAAAAATACGTCGGAAAAGCCGCTACGTAATTTAACACTGGATTGAGGCTAGTGAAGGAGCTGATAGAGCGGTTACTTGCGGCCTCCACTGTTTTTCACCCTTTCCCGAGAGGCGTGTTAATACTCCCAGACCGAATACAACTTTGGCTCTCGAAAACAAAAAACAGTTTTAACCCTACCCAATAATTACTTCGGGTCAATTCAATTGTTTAACACCTCACCGCTTCACCCGATAAGAACTGCAATTGCGATCCCAATCCTTAATCCATATCTCAGGATCTTTACTCGTAGTACGACACAGCAGAGCCTAATTTCCCCTGCTTCTTTGAATTTTGTTGCTTAACGCTCCAAGCATCCTAAAATACCAGTTCTTTTCTGCTCAAAACTTATAGTCTGCCTCCCACGTACAGTTTATGTCATAATTTCGATCTTGATTCACTATCTTGCTCCGTTGACGTTTCCTAACCTTAAGATGTTTGGTATGATGCCGAATCAATAACGAATACAGAACAATCTACGGGTTCACGATGCCAGTCAACGACCTTCTCACTCGTAGTCTTTGCCGAGTTTTTATCTATAAACTTTATAACCCTGTCACCAAGAACAAAAGAAAACTGCCTAAATAATGACAGCGGTACAGTATTCTTCGAGTCATATTATTCACAATATCGAAGAGTTTGTTACATGGTCGCACCTCTGACGAAATGTTGCGTTGAACTCCGTTCTGTAGTGGTGCCAAGTTGCTTAATGGCCACCAATACTGACATTCCATGGCATATTGTTACACAGTGATTTGGTGCTTGATGCCTTACCGACATTATAGAAGATGGTAAGTAACGTCCTTTGATTTGAATGCCGCTGAAGACTAAAGGTACGATGTTAAGCGTTGAAATGTACATTATTCCACAGAATTTTCCACGCATTGACTTCTCATGATCTTAACGACATAGGGCAATTTGAGTCATTTTTGTTTATTTGAACCGTTCGTATATGCCGATTACTGAACAGAAATGGTTATGGCATTAGTATTTCGAAAGATTCGTATACTCCGAGCCCTGCACATACAAAGGGTTATGATGTATGTTTTTCAAGACGTTTGACGTCTTGGCAAGGTGCAAAGGACTTGATTTTTTGCTGTAATCCGAGTTTTATCCAGACATAGATTAGGCCAAATCTATTGACTTGATCATGAACCAAACTTGAACTGATCTATGTCAGCAAGGGTCTTGAGGGTCTTGGATGTTCGATCGATCGAAAAAAGTTGAGAAAATTCGAAAAGACCCTGAAGGGTTGTTCAAAGTTTTCTTTCCTGAGCTTTTTTTCAAAAGTGGTCAGCGGCTTTTCTTCACTTAGCCAGTAGGGTCTTCTAACCCTGAAGGTCTGCGTTCATTCGATCAAGTGTAGTCCACCAAAACGTATAAATAGATGCCTTAAATCCAAGCTATCCTTCATTCTGGTGGGGTTGTCTAGAAATCCAAAATCATCAAACATAGATCAAAGGATCAAAGTACCCTGGATAGTCTGAACTCATGTTGCCAATCGCTTTTGTCCTTTTCATTGCCGGATTTCTCTCCTCTTCGGTCGCTGCCTTTCGTTTCGACTGGAACAACATTACCTGCCAAGGGCTTCACGGACCTCACTGCGGTACATACTTGTTGAAAGTCAAGGGCCAAAATGACACTTACATTGGCCAAAGCTATGTTGTCGGTGCTGACGTTCTTGCCAATGACGCCAGTGACGCTTGGCGCAGATTGCTACACGAGGAGTACCGTTTCCTCACTCGTCTAACAACCGTTCAGACCCTGAACGACACTGCCAACTTCTACCCACTTGTCGGAGTTACAGACCAGAAAACTTGTAACTTCCAATCTGTCGATGATGCTGTTGTTCCATACATCAACGCTGTGACCAATGAGCTTTCCTATGATAGCTGGGCTTCTACCAGTATGAACTCCACCGCTGTCACTGGTGTCGCTTCTCAGTTGTTGAACGCTTCCACTTACGGCGTCCAAGTTGCCGTTTGCAGCCCTGGATTCATCACCGACCTACTAAACTCTCCAACCGTCAACATTTTCAATGTCGAAGATACCTTGCCCCCATGGTGTGAGGCCATCGAAATTGAACCAGTTTGCCCTGCTTATGTCAATTATCAGACTCGTTAAGTTGAAAGATATAGTCTTAGCCTCCGTTGGGTTCCACTTGGATCTCCATGATAGATTTTATACATACACAACCGATGAATTTTTGACCTTTTACAGAGTTGCGCAAGCAGAACTGAGTTGGAACACATAGTCTGAATACTTGTATTTTGCCAAGATTAACCTGCGCTTCAAGATATCGACCAGCCACTCTATTTGACATGAGGAGATTGACCAGAAATTTCTGGCTTTCAATTAAGCGTGGCTTTCCAAAAAATACTGGCGTTACAAGAGCACTCACGATAGAGATCTCAAGAAAGCTTCAACTTGAATATTTCAGGGTATAGCAGGCAGGCAAAATTCCCACCTCGAGGTGATCAACCCGTGATAACTCCGGGTCTTGCTTAGGCCTAGCGGGACGCTTCATTGACATTGTCATGCTCTCTGGAAACAGCAATTGGAACAGCATTATGAAGTCGGCTTCGATGCCAAAAGCGTTCAACACATGATATACGACGACTCTCCATGTCCGAGTTCACAATCGCGCTTAGGGCTCTAAGTTGAAGCCTTTATTGAGGCCATAGTTTGACAATAACGTGGGCTTCGAGCTGCGGCTTCCAATCGCAAGAGACCTTGTGCAAACGGACAACAATTTAAAAATTATCAGAACAACATGTCTCCACCACAGAAGCCATTGTCAGGGTGCTCACATACAACTTAAAAACACGCAAGCACAATTCCAAATTCATCGGCGCTGCGGTATTGCTGCACTCTGTGAGTGTCAAAGGTGGTGGATACATGCTATAATTTTAGTTTGTATACCTCCCCATCGACAGCTGCCACTGGCAGCTCGACGCAAGTACAAAACGGAACGTTGAGGGGCATTGTATGATTTCAAGATCCGCATTCAACATTTGCTTTAAGAATTTCAGTAGATGGCCATATGGGCATATGATAATGTAGATGGGAATTCCGTCTGTCGTTAGGTTTTTTATATTTCCCAAGAAATGTCGAAACCACTGCCTTAGTTCACAATTTTCTATAAAAACCTTCGACCACTGGCACACTAGTAGCGGCTTTTCTAATGCGTCTTTCGTCAAGACATAGTCGCGAGCGATACGTATGTGGTCGGAGACAGTATGTCCGGTTTAGTTTTACATTTCTTCCACTTCGTTTTAGAAACCAGCGCTATACACCTCTTAAAATATTGAATTCAATAAAACCCGAGTGCAGCGGATCAAGGACAATCGAAACGATGTCTCGCATAAGTCAAGGTAAACAATTGAAACTACCGAAAACACCCTACTCGAATATTTAAAGAAATAAACTCAAGCTGCCGCTAAAAACTGTTAGCTCTCTCCGCAACTGCTCGTCTTTCCTTCCTTGATGGTAACATGCTGAAATCCCTCATCAAAATGCGGCCGTTGGGCTCATATTTCTCAACAGTTCGAGCAGCCCTGCACACTCGTGGCAAAGTTTTACCTGAAACTACCTAACAAGGTAAACATCAACACCGCTGCTGGTGTGCAACTAAATGACGTGAACTACTAAAGACCTGAAAAGGAAATATAGAAACATGAAAACTGGTGATATTTGCTCATTTACTGATCTTCTGCTGCCCTGTCTCTGTCGGTGAACTGCAGTACAAACTTCGTACACCGTACCGTACCTAAATTTTTTGGTTGGGCATCGCAAGCGTTGAAAAGCTATCAACACCCCTCCTCAAGAACCTAAACGACTCACACTACCATACTTCGGCAGCTGCCAAGAAAGTCCTTGGGCATGAGATTGTTTAGTTAGCGGCATAATTCGCTAATTGACTCAAATATGCCCGGGTGAGGTGGAAAAGGCATCGTCTGTGGTCGTGGCTCCATTGGAAAAACCAGGATTTTGTCTTGGCTAATTACAAACTTGACTTTAAGAATCGTTGAAGAGAACAAAGTATCGAATGCACAGCAAAAGTAACTTCTTTACAATAAAAGTTCCTTCTTAATCACAAAGTCAAAAACTGTTTATTAGGCCTGCGAAACTTTCTCCAGTAACGCTATAGAGAGCTCATTTGCCCACATCTGGAGAGCTTACGTCATGAATTTTTCATACGTCCCTACTTTGTCTTCCCAGTCTGAACACAACCGAAGTCCGACAACCGTTAACAGCGCTCTTGAGATGTACCCGGGTTTGCAAGGACTAGGGTCGAGAGTTCCGCTGTCGTTGCGTGTTTGGGCTGTGCAACAAGCTGTGTACCATGCGTTTAGTCTGATCTTTCAGTTTTGCGACGAGACTGGCGCGATGCGGTGTTTTAAAGCTCGAAATGCAGACCGAAAGTCTTATGCTGGACTGCTTTTGCGTGTTCTGTTTAATCAATGCTTCGTGCTATTACCGTCTATGATTTTGGTCGAGTACTGGGGTCTCTGTTTTACGGGCCAGTCTAGCCAGGTTTTCTGGAAACAGTATCTAATGGCACCATTGATCATGACTGTGGGACACGACGTGGTGCAGTATTTTACTCACAGACATCTGCTGCACCAGCCCAATGGCAAGCTTACGCGGGCCTTAGGGCACTCGGTTCACCACACAACAGGCGCTACCAAAGCTATAAGCGCCTGCTATATGTCAGCGCCTGATTTCTTTCTGGAAATTGTTCTGCCTTATCTTGTTCCACTAGCCATTGTGGGCGGTGGTGGGAGGAACACCCTTTTTCACTCGCTCGTCGCCGGTCTCGGTGCCATTGGCGGGCTGTACGAACATTCAGGATATGACTTTTCTGGGATCTTTCGAAAAAAGATCAGTGACTCTACCGCGGTATCTTTGTTGACTAATTTCCTCAGTAGCTTCCTCGATAACAGATCACACACCGAACACCATGTGCGAGGTACAGTTTCCTTTTCTGACGGTTTCGGCAGTCCCGGTATTTGTGACACGATATTTGGTACACGTTGGGATCTCGTTGCCATTCGCCGAGGAAACACAGTCAAGAAGGAGTAGAGGCAGCGGTAAACACTGCGTTCTACTACTGACAAAACTACCAAAATAGTAACTAATTACACACACAACACATAACACACAACACACAAGTCTATAGACATCAAATTGAGGGACGGCCCACAAAAATTTGTGAATACACACACAAAGTAGAGCACACAGAGGAAAGGTATGGATTTCATGCCGTTCGGTGATTTTCAATAACAGATAGGGACAAAGATGCTCTCAGGTATGTTCGAAAGGTGACAGAGCCAATACAAGATCTCTGTAGATACTCAAAACATGACGGTAAATGTAACGCACAAACAGGCAGAAAGCAATCGAGGCATCTAAATACAGTCTCAATATCTCCGAAAAAAATGTGCTTAGATCCTCAGTATTGGCAAAAGGCCAAGATAAATGCTCGTAAATGGTGGGAGTTTTCTTATTCAGGCGATTCTCGGTCGAATCGTGATTGAATGAAATAGCCCGGCATTCATAAAATCAGACATAGATGCGGGCGACGTTGCCAACTAACACCCTAATACAACAATTCCTCAGACGAAATATCGATGTGCTTTAATGAACTGAAGTCGAGAAGTAGCCGCATTGGCATTTAGTGTTCTCAAAGCCATTCAAACCACAGAACACTTAAGCTTCATCGGATTTACAGCCAGTTTCAAAGCTGCAAATCAAAATTATACTAATCACACGTTCGCAACATGAGCCTTTTCCATTAAGGCCTCTGATTAATTATTATCTTCTTCCTCGGATGGTTCACGGTCACAGCGAACATTTTGAATTACATGATTGGGCATAGCGTTCTCTTGCTAACAGTGGCAGATTGTACCAATAGAATCGTACGCACCGATAACCCATGATAGGCACAGAGCTCCTACGACAAAGTGATCTCTTCCAGATGCCTTTGACATGAGGACTTCCCAAATTTAGCTCACATTCATTTAGTCTTATACGCATCACAAGGCGTATCTAAAGTTGAGATTCTCGAAATCGGTCAAATCGTCAAATCCTGTTCCCAACTGACTTCCGTTTACCCTGTCATTCAAGCATTTGTCTCTTCTACCATTCTCTCTAACGTTGACAGCATAGAGTAGAGTAATGATAACGAGGGCCGCAGCGTAGCACACGACAATGGCAACTTTTGCACCGTTGTAGTCTGGAGCCTGAGAATCAATGAATGTGTGGGGCCCCGCTATGTTGGCAGCAGCATAAGCAACAAGGTTCAAAGAAGATACCGTCCATTTTTTGGTAAAGCCCAACGTATTCGAAGAAATACTCGATAGAACGCATATGAATGCCACAGGAGAGAGCTGATAGAAAAAAAGACCTGCCATTTTACTGTTCTTGCTCTTATCTGCAAATGCCAGCATGCATACCCCGGTGAAGACAATTGAAATGGCGATGAACGCCCAAGACAGTCTGCTGCTCAAACCTTTTATACTTTTCTTGTAGCAAAGATAGCTTAGCCACCCAAATAACGGACATCCGATCCATTCAACAGCGTTTGTTCCAAGCGAGATCAAAAGGGTTGTTTTAGTCGAGAAACCAAACTCCTCCTTGAAAAGAATTGTTTGAAAGTTGCCGAGACCACCGTTGGGAATCTGAGAGGCAACGGAATATAAGAAATAAAGCCATGTTCTGACATCTTTGAAAGCTTCGGCTATTTGGTATTTCTTGATACTGTGATTACCAAAACCCTGTTGATTTCCTTGTATTCTCTTCACTAATAGTCTTTTCTCATGGTCACTGAGGAACCACGCCCTGTCTGGAGAGTCTGGTAGAAAAATAGCCATGAGGAATCCTACGAATATCGTAATACATCCTGTAACCAAGAACACAAGCCTCCATGCGGGTATGGCATAATTGTCTTTGCGGTCGTACAAGCCGTACGCCATGGCAGAGCCCCATATACCACCCAGGCCATTGAATCCGAACCACACGCAAACGCGAAGGAAGTGTTCTTCTGTTTTCCAGTATTGTGAAGTTATGATAGTGAAGGCTGGAGTGACAGCGCTCTCCAGGAATCCTAGTAAGAATCTTAAAAATATGAAAGTAGCGTAGTTCACTGATGGAGCTGCATGCACTGCTAGAACGAGACCCCATAAGACAATGATAGAACAGAGTACCTTCATGAACTTCCTCGATTTTTGGAGCAATGGTGGTAACATGAAAAGACCAAATAGATACCCGAAATAAAATGCCGATCCTACCCATGAGTATTGGTCGCCTTTCATTTTCAGACCACTCCTAAGACCCATAATAGCAGCGTTGCTACTACTCGCCTTGTCCATGTATTGTACTGCATACAGCAGACACATTAGAGGAGACAGATGCAAATCTATTTTTCGAACTAGCTTCTTGTCAGCCTCTGGAGTGAGAACAACATCGGTAGCGTCGAGCGCCAGATTTTTTGCAATGTCGACGTCAAGACTTTCCGACACCTCTGAACTATATCCTATATCTGAAGCTGCTTTCTCGGTCATGCTATGCCACGTAAGAGCACGTTAATTTAGTTGTAGCCCGCAGAACATTCAACTGGATTTGAATACATGCATTATTTTTTATATCCAGTCAACGTAGCCATGGCACGATGAAGGGACTTAGGGCCGCATGGTTTTTGATGTTGATTCAAGTAAAAAGTCTTAAAAGACTTTATTGTAGTGTTCGGTAAAATGAACCATGTCAGGGGATCCAAATTAAATGATGAGACACTATTTTTCGGACACTCTGTTTTGCTACTCTTCGTCCCTCGGAGTTTGGTCTTGAGATTTTCTGCGCAGGTTTGTCTTCTTGCAGGATACATAGCCTGATGTTCAATAAGCAGAATTGGGAAGCCACACCTATAGGATTTTCTCGGCCTCTAAGGGCCTAAGCTAGGCACACACCAGATGATCTGATCCTGGCAAGCGAAATATTTTTGGCGGATAAAGTGGTGGAAAAGTAGACATCAACAGTTTCATAGTAGTTTGTGTTATGGCATGAATGGCTCGCAAGTCCGAGTCGAAATGGCACTAGAGCCACAGAGTCTAGATTTGTGCCATAAATTGCACGCTGAGTTGTTAGAATATGCTTCTTGTATGAATAACGGCTATGAATTGAGAATAATCGACAAATGAAAAAAGCCTTGAGTCCTTTTAGAGTAGTTTTATATTTTTATTGTCTTTTAATCTTTACTTGACAACATCGAAATAGTTATGTTGATGGTCCACATGCATATACATCTAACTTATAACCAGAGCTAAACTACTAATATGTATACAATATACCAAGTATTGAAGAGCGAGCCCCTGATCCTGTGTTCCTTCTCTATGCATGAAATTCACCGAGATGGGTAGTGAAGCTCGTAAGAAAAGAAGCTTTCGACGTAAGAGTAAACTGCACGATGACCCTGACGCGGATTTAAAGACATTCTATCCATTCAGCTTTAAAGCATCAGTATTTACAAAGTCAAAGGGAAGTCGGACGTGGCTCGACTTTATTGAGCACATAACTCCTTCTTCGCCCAGCGTGAATAAGTAAAATCATCTACCGGTAGAGTGTGCAAGGATTCAATCCAAGAGTTCGAGTCCTACGGGCTTCCGACCTCAATCTTCGCGTGCTTTTCTTCCAGAATGAGGCCTGTTTGTGGCGAAAAAGCCAGTTTGAATGCTAAAGTGACAGCCACACGGTAGGATGCCCTTGCTCGCTCCTTCTTCAAAGGTAAGTGCTGTTCTTGTAATTCCCTGAAAAGCCCAATAAGACAGATACATTGATAAAATGTCAAACCGAAATTATCTCCATAAAGGCTGCTAATCAGTCGCTAGAAAAATTCCTCTAACGCTAAACGTCTCAACGATGGTCAAAACGATACCTTAAGACCAACAATAAGGACTGGAAAGCGCGCGACGAACAGGTCCAGGAAGTAAACAGATCCAAAAATCGAATCTATTTTTTTTGAAATTCTACCTTGATGAGCCCGCGGCAACAACTTCCAACTGCCGTGTCATCAATTACTTGAACATTTAGCTTTAGCTGGTTGCTTCAAAAGAACTCGTCCAAAAATCTGTTGAAATAGTTTATGAACCCATCGGACGAAGAAATGTGACAGCCAGTCCACAAGCAACCAAGACTATACAGTAAATTCACAGTCTGGCACCTTCCAGTCCACCCAGGTACCAACATGTCCTGCTGTTGCCGAGGCCACCTCTCAGCTCAAAAATAGGCGTGCTTCGATGGCGCCTCCGACTGCAAGCATTTGCAAATTATTGTTTTCAAAATGAAAGTTTGGCGGCGAGTGAGTCGTAAGATTCGCAGCTCTATCCACTCGAGCTGAAACTTCGTCGTTCAGTCGCCAGCGAATCCATTCCACCGCCCTTTATTGCGTGCTCCTCATGATTGGGGGACGGTTTGCCCTTTCAGTGATGTTACGCGGACCATATGAGATTTGAACGGTGTGTTCAATTACAGACGATGCGACACTACAACTACAAGATATGCTAAACAGGAATGTACCCCATTGATGCTAATTGGAATCGACCACCCGGCTCTCATTCAGGATATCCGATGTTATGCCATCGCTTTCTCGGAAAACTGCACCTCAACTATAAGCTTATCGCTGTATCTAATAGAAACGGATCATTCAAATCAATCTCGCTGCTTTGTTTGAAATGATCAAAATTTTGTGCTTCAATTGTTCTATAGGTCAGAGAAGCATGCTTTCAAGTTGCCACAACTGTAAGAGTACCGTTAGTAATTTCTCATCAATTTATGCTGTGGTTGTGGGAGGTTCGATGCACAAGACAACCAATCAAATATCCAAAGCTATAAAAAATCTGCCATTATAGAACCAATCTAAGTAAGTATACACGTTTTGAACTTTATCTTAGCCGCGGCATTCCAAAATGCAAATACCTACGAATACATTCGATTAAACCTCAACGTGTACATACAGTAAGATGGTAGGCGAGAATAGAATGACCTCTCAAAGTTGTCTATAATAGAGCGTCGCTTACAAGGGAGCAGAAATTGAGTTGTGAAGAAGTGGGTATTATTTGAAATCAGGCGTCTTTTGTCACAGTTTTCATATTTCATTCGAAACTCTGCTCAGCACAAGACAGAGAAAGAAAGTCTACTAGGCAGCAGAAAATTCACAATAGGCATCATAATAGCTTTCTACTCTTTATGAAAACCCGTTTTAGTTATAAAAGCAAAACTTGGAATACTTCGGGAAGGTTTTTATTTTCTGTCTGGTATAATGGTAATCTTAATGTCATTTTTATGACGAGTGATAGATAATGCCGAGAAGAATGATCACGAAGTTTCGAATTGCAGTGACAGCTACTACCGAACGATAGCACAGCTGTGGTATCTAATTTGTATAAAGCTAATGGTGGGGTCATCGTTTCCGACAACTTTACTGCCTCAACAATGTGGCATTGTAGTGGGTAGTATTCCAATCCCAGAAAAATGTCAACTCCGTGGTGTTGCTGACACTAGAAACGTTGCAGGCTTGGAAGAAGTCTTGATTAGCGGTTCTTTCTTTGGCGTACTTGTAGAACTTCTTGGCTTCACAAGAAAAACCTGGACCGTCTGAGCAGTTTTCTAGAGGAATGACAGCGTCGTTCACCACATATCTAACATAGGAATCGTTGCTGCAGCTGAACTTTTGGGTGTAAACTCGGGCACCCTGAGGAATGAACCAGGATTTGTGGAAAACGTGGTCTCTGAAAGGGGTGTAAGTAGGATCCAACTTTTTACCGTCGTCAAATAGACCAAGTGTAGTCAAATAGTTGAGGATATCGGTATCATGAGTGAAACTCAACCATACCCTCTGGTCCAGCTCTTCGCTCTGTTCTAGGAGTTTGATGGACGCGTTTAAATACAAAGCACCGACGGCTTGGATCATAGGATATCCAGGACCGTCCTCGTAGTACGCAGTCAAATCGTTGTAGTACGAGTAGCGGATGAGTTCCTCGGGAGTGAAAACGTTGCAAATTTCACTGTATCCACGAGCGTTCAGCTCGAAAGCACACCAAGTAAATAAATTGGAGGCGTCGGTTTTGGTCAAATTCAAACCAGGGTTTTCGCCGTTTAGTCGCTGAGCGATGTCTTTCAAATATGAAGTCGAGTATTTGCTAATGATGTCTTCGTTATCTTCTGGATCCCAACCAGGGCAAGAGTAACCAGGCGAGAGGGTATTGGCACCGGAGCTGGCTTCTTCGCTGACCACTTGTAGAGATATGTTAAATTTGTCTCCTAGACTTTCGATGAAATATTGAGCAGTGTCGTGAACTCTTTGGGAGCCAGCTGCAAAGACGGCAAATTCACGGTTGTCCTCCAAAAAGTCCGCGTACTGCGCAAGAAATTCCTGTGCGTGTTTTTTAGCGTTCATTTCCCCTGTGTACGGATTGATAGCATTCACAGAGTTCTCTGTTGTAGTTTCCATCTCCAGGTTGTCCATATCTTGGATAAAGAATTCATAGTCGTCATTGATGAAAGACAGCGAGCCATTGAATTCGTCAGGGAAATTTTGTAGCGTATTCCAGGTTTTGAGTAGTTTTTTGCCCTTGCTCAAGGAAGGGTATCTCTCACCATGTCTCGCAAGAAGCTGAATTTGTGAAATTTCACATCCGCTCGGTGTGTCTATAGGGATGCCATAGTTTTCTGGGTATGAGAAGTATGGTCCAGCACCACCTAGGTATGGGAAGAGATGTTCCTGGGTTCCAATGTTATAGAGATCAGCCTTGAATTTTTTTGGAATATTGAGGGCATGAGCTGTGTGAACTCCAGCAAGGGCCAGAAGTATACAGTTCTGAAGCGACATGTTATTGATTTCCGAAGATTTCGAAACAGTGCTGAGTGGAGAAAGAGAGAAAGGTGGGAGAAATAGAGAAGGGTGAGAGAGAATAGAGAATTTAAGTGCCAGACATCTCTAATGCTTCCTATTTATTCCAGGAGAAAACGGCGGTTAACGAGTCTGTGAGGAGGCGTTATAGCGAGAAGATTTTTTTTTCCAAGGCGTATTTTGATGGCGCCATCAAGTTCTGATACCTTCCTCTTCTTGTTGAACTATGCATAAATTTTAGGAAGTTCGAGCCTACTAGAGTATATTGTCAACAACCCTGCATAGCCGCTTTGATAGTATGCGTGGAAACCATCAACTGTTTGATCTGGGTAAACTGAGCACTTTATGAATCATTGTTGCTCTGTTCAACCTAACATGCTGGAGCTGGTGCATCTTAAAAGTGAAAAGTGTCTAATTCGGGAAAGATGATGTGACCAGTAACGAAACAGATGTCTTATTCAGTCTTATGCCGAAGGCCTGGTCAAGTAAAAATGAATAGTTCAGCAGTCAAATGGATCAACTAGTAGATGTTGATTTCAGGCTAGGGCTTGTCTAGGTTGTGAAACGTTGTCAACATGCTTTTAAGAACGTTTAAGCTTAATGAAATGCCATTCCATTGTCGGCAAGTTGAAATGCCTCTACTACATCAGCGTTTCTTTGGACGTTTAAGATAAGGAGAGAATTAGTCGAGACAGTTCGAGAAGTCGTCGACCTAAATGCGAGCACCGAGTAGTCGGTATTTTCTGGAGTGGTGAGCATGTAGTAAGTTTTTCGACATGCCGAGAAGTTTCTAAAGTGCTAGACGAAAGAAACGATCGATACACCGTTCTTTTCCATAGAGTTTTATTCATTTTCATAGCTGTAGCAGGGAGAAAGAGAGAAAGAGAGAGAGAATTCGAGCGTCTTTAGCCTCTGCTCAAATTTTCCATTTATGACATGTTCTTTAAGTCGCCAAACCTCCTGCTTTTCACTCGTTTGCCTTGCAATGTGCATTTTACTGACCGATGAATTCTTGGCCTCGCCAGATCTCAGGAGCCAGTCTCACGAATATTGGTTATGTTGTTGCGTCACCCAAATACAACTTTATATAATCTCTGGATGTATGATCTATGACTCTTACGAAAATGCTAGACTCAAGTACCTGCATTCCCGAAAGGACCAACCGACATTTCATCTTTTCAGAGTATCAAAACTCTTCTAACCAACCAGAATGGACATTGGAACCGGTGAACAGCGACGCATTCAAAGGCCCTCAAGTTCATAACTCTGCTCCGAAATTATGTTCTAGGCTAGACTCGAACGAATGAATATGTCCTACAAGGTATCCCAGTCTCATGTTCGTATGAGTAAAGGACATATAAATAGGGACCTGCACTTCACAGCCCTTCTACCTAAATGATTCTCATCCTTAACATTCCAATTCAATCAAACACGACCTAATGTCAGAACAAGACGAGTGGGGTTCTCATGCCTCTGATTATGCCGAAAAGGCAAGCTCGGGGCCACAAATTGAATCTGTTAACGGTATTCTCGCCGCTCTGGATGCTCTTCTACCGTTCGAGAAAGCTACTGCTATCCTAGACAACGGCTGTGGGACTGGTATTGGAATAAAAGCCTTGATTGATGATTACTCGGCGCGATTGCCAGACTCAGTACGTTTGATGGCTGCTGACCTTAGTCCTGGAATGGTGGACGTGGTGAGGAAAGTCAAGACCGAGAACCGGGGAAATAGGTTCTGGGATGCGTTGGAATTTGACGTCTGGGGTATCGAAAAGATGTCTGGTGCGAAGGGTTCCAGTTTCAGTCACATCATTGCTTCTTTGGTTATGTTTTTCTCTCCTCGCCCAGAAGATGCGTTCAGCGAAGCGTACAGAGTTCTCAAACCGGATGGAGCCATTGCAATGACTTCGTTCCAAAAAAATGGATGGATTGAACTGTGTGATGTCATAGGCAAGATACGCCCCGATCTTAAGATGCCATCCTTGCCTGCTGAGTGGGCTTCTGAGGATTGGATTCGGGGTCAGTTCGAAAAGGCCGGTTTCCGCGACGTCGTCATTAAGCCTGTGCATGTGTCCAAAGACATAGATGATCCTCAGGAATTTGCAGAGTTCCTTGTTAAAACAAACAATCCGGTAGTTTCGCCCATCCTGAATTTATTTACAGCCGAGGAGAAAAAGAAGGCAGTCGATATGATTGTTAGTGAGATTAGAAGGGTTAATCCGGGAAGCTCACCAAAAATCTCTAATGTGCTTTTGCTGTCTAGTGCAAGAAAGTAGTAATATCAAGCTGTCTACTAATTAAATAGTCACAAATACCAATACATTTTGTCAAGTCACCAAAAAGGAATAGTGGCGACTACGAATGTCCCTTTATGGTGTTGCTCGAACAGCTACTCATACTTTAACCTAAAGCCTAATGAGCAGTGATTCATTTTATATGTATCCTGCTGGTCTGAATTCGTCCCCTGACCTTTTAAAGCGTCGAATAGTGCTATCAGAAATCGAACTCAGTAAATGAGCTCAGGCCCAAGCTTTCTCTGTTCTTCGATAAATTCACTCCCGATGGAATTATTGATGCCTTCAGCTATCTTCAGCAGGCAGATTTTTTAGCGTCATCAGATGAAGAGTAAATTAATGACGGCGAAGTATTTGCTGATTTACAAGATTGTGACGGCCATCTTTGCTAAGCTTCAGGTCTAAAAAATGATTGCACGAAAGGCAAGTTTCAGTGCGCCCACTATTCGCCGGGTCTTCTAAAATCCTGTCATCAATTGTAGTCAATAATGTTAAGAGAACGATGCGAATAGACAACAGCCACATTTTCTTCTAACATCTGCAAAAATAAGCTAGTGCTTTCGAACAGTTCAGATACGAGAGACGTATAAGCTACTGAAACTTGTCGTCTGCCTACTCAATGGGTACGGTTGCGTGTGGTTTTTATTGGCGTCAAAAGGCCTGTATTCGGTTCAAATCTAATGCTTTTAGAAATGTGCTCTACCGACACTTTTCTGCACTTTTTACCATTTAGTGAGAGTTTAACTACTGACTGAGGTAATAAGCGTATTTGAGAAAGAAATTGATCTCCTCAACTGCTTGACAGTCAACATGAAGGAGTAAATGGTGCAGCACCGCCAACGTTTCCTGTCGTTGAACGAAAGCTAAAAAAGGATTTCTGTCACCGCAGAGCATACCTAAAACAGCAGTTGCGGACAAAGTATGTCGAAAAAGAGTGATTTTCTGTAACGGCGACAGCTCAATGAATGTGTTGATCCTACAAACATTGTAGACTTTCTTAGACTGATTAAAGCATGCACGGCAAATAGTTGAATTGGTGACAGCCGACGTGCCAAAAATTGGAGAAGAGTACCATCAGTAGACTTAACGTGGGAGGCAGATGTAGACACTAGTGTGATACTTGACTTAACCGTTTCTTTCTTATGACTGCTAGCTATTTTGCCAGTCAGGAGCCAGAGACAAGCCAAATTTGGGGTCGGCTCTACTATAAAGGACATCGTTTTTTTGCAAAAGTTCTTCAGACTTGGCAATAACCCATTCAACATGATGTTTAGTGAACCCTTGTGAATAAATTGCCTGACCCTTAGAATTGAAAAAAGCCGGGCTATGCGTATCGATATCTGGCGTCACTAGCAAGGGCCCAATATGCTTGGCATATGTGTCCGCATCTTGAAACCAGTACCCTATGAACCCTTCTACAATGCGCGATTTCCAAGTTCCAGCACCCAAAAGATTGTTACGAATGTTGGTCTTAATAAATCCCGGATTCAAACCAAAAACACTGACGTTTGGGTATCGAGTTGCACAGTCGAAGACTAATGCCTCGTTCCCAGCCACTGTGTTTGAGTGGGCTTGCAAGGCACTGTACCGACGTTCCGAGTTGAGATCGTTGGGACTTCCAAGCATGCCTGCGCCAGGGTTTCCCATAATGAACACACGAGGTCTCTTCAATTCGTTTGTATGCATCTTGTCCAGTTCTGGCAGAATAGTGCGCAAGATGACCATCCGATTTAGATAACTCACTGCCAAGTCCCGCTCGAAACCTTCAAGAGTTTCCTCTCGTTCGGTGGCTGCTACGATTCCTGCAGAGAAAATGTACAGGTCATAAGGCTGCGAGAGAAGTTCGCGGGCCACTCGTTTTGCCTCAGACATCAGTTCTAAATTCGCCTTTATGAATTTTATAGCGCTGCCGCTATCTTCTCTGTAAGTTTGACCCACCACCGTAACATCAGCGCCTTTTGAATTTAAAAAACGGCTGAGTGCCTGGCCTATTCCACCGGTACCTCCAATTACAGCGACTCTCAGCGACTCCAATTGCAAATGTTCAGGAGCCACATGTTTCCACCGAAGATGCGGATTAAGCTTGGTTCTTACCTTCATATTTAAGGTGATACTTACTGTAAATCAGCTGTAAATATTTTAGGTGTGTTCTGATTGTTCACCAGTAAACCATGTTATAACTCCTATAATATACCTCATCAAGCGATGACTTGACAGTGGTAAGACATCATGGCCATTACTTTAGCAAAGGAGAGACATAAAGTTGATTATACACTGATCATACCCTCTCCAACTACAAGACGGGGGCGCACTGAATCTGTAGCTCCTGGAACCGAAAAGGCAACATGGATCGCTAGACAATTTTTTTCGATATTCTGGCACCGCAAAGCCCTGACGTCAGGAAAGAACCCTTAAGGGTCTACATAAATAAGCAATAGTTTGGGTTATGCTTTTTGACAACTGAGATGATTTTATGCCCTTCATTGGCTGATAAACTTGGGGATCCACAGACAAATATTCGCTACGTCGTCCACAGCCGTTTGATACCGTTGATCACGGCAACAGATGTAGTGCCGTGAAAGAGGCTAAAAGCTTGACTGCAAGCCGAAAATTTCTCAAGAGGATAAAATGCTCTTATCGAAACACTAGTAGCTTTGAAATCACATCTGTCAGTGCCCGAACCGCGCGTGGTTTGTCCTCAAAGCCGACCTTATATGGCGATGAGCGGCCTCAATGATTAAACGATAACGTGATCTGGCGCCAGGTACCAACCATCTCTCTCATCTCCTCTCTCCGAAGTGAGCAACATTAGTCAGTTAGTTTTGATTGATTAGTTATAGCAACTCCGCCTTCCCACATCTTGTCATCTCTGGTAACATTGCGGCTGATCGTCATACATATCTTTAGAGTTTTTTTACAGATAAAAGAGGGTAGGGACGTAAAGCTCAACATTGGCCCATTTTGATCCCGAAAAAACCGGCATTCATGTCAAGTTTCGAATCCTTCAAGAAGGCAAATTACCAACACCCTCACTCAACGGCTTGCATTTAACTGTCGTTAAACAAGTCAACTTCCTTTATTTGATAAGGCCGCGCTTAGCCTTCTATAAATTGAAAAAAAATCATGGTGTGCTCATCATATATAAAGACAGTCAAATCGGGACCCAACTTTCGAAATCAGAGAACTCAAGGTCCTATTCTCAAGCAATTTGATAAGAATGTCTGGCGAGAAATCCGAATTAAAGCTTTGGGGTGGTAGATTCACTGGGAAAACAGACCCATTGATGGACTGGTATAATGCGTCGCTGCCCTTTGATCAGAAAATGTACAACGCTGATTTGGACAATTCCAAATACTATACAGAGGGTCTCCTCAAAGCCGGGCTTTTAAGCCAAGATGAGCTAAGTGAGATTCACAGGGGTTTGGAGGTTATTCGTGGAGAATGGGCCTCTGGCTCTTTTGTTGAAAAGGATGGCGACGAAGATATCCACACTGCTAATGAGAGAAGGCTGGGCGAAATTATCGGCAGGCACATTGCTGGAAAAGTGCACACTGGTAGATCTAGAAACGACCAAGTGGCCACCGACATGAGAATTTATTGTCGTGAGGCTCTCGAGGACATGGGCAAAATTCTGTGCGACCTGATCAGAGCCATTTTGCAAAGAGCCGAGACCGAAATCGACGTCCTGATGCCCGGCTACACCCACTTGCAGAGAGCTCAACCTATCAGATGGTCTCATTGGCTAAATTTGTACGCGAGCTACTTCACTGAGGACTTCAAAAGACTGCAGCAGATCAAGGAAAGACTCAACTTGTCTCCATTGGGATGTGGCGCCCTCGCTGGCCATCCTTACGGAATCGACAGAGAGTACATTGCTGGCAAACTGGGCTTTGACGGTTGCATTGGCAATTCGTTGCAGGCCGTGTCCGACAGGGACTTCGTGGTTGAAATACTATTCTGGTGTTCCCTCTTCATGAACCACGTTTCCAGATTCAGTGAAGACTTGATCATCTACTCGACCGCTGAGTTCGGATTTGTCAAGCTCTCGGACGCTTACAGCACAGGCTCGTCTTTGATGCCTCAGAAGAAGAACCCAGACTCTTTGGAACTTCTGCGTGGTAAGTCTGGAAGAGTCTTTGGCTCGTTGTCCGGTTTCATGATGTCCTTGAAATCCATTCCTTCCACTTACAACAAAGACATGCAAGAGGACAAAGAACCTCTATTCGATGCTCTTGTCACCGTGGAGCACTCCATTCTCATTGCCACAGGTGTTATCTCCACTCTAGCTATTAACAAGGAAAAGATGTTCAACGCACTCACAATGGACATGTTGGCAACCGATTTGGCTGACTACTTGGTCAGAAAGGGCGTTCCTTTCAGAGAGACTCACCATATCTCCGGTGAGGCTGTAAGCAAGGCAGAGAAGCTAAACTTGTCGGGTATTGATAAGTTGACTGTCGAACAGTATAAAGAAATCGACTCCAGATTCAACAGCGACGTTGTTGATGTTTTCGACTTTGAAGCTTCTGTTGAGAGAAGAACCGCTACTGGGGGTACCGCTAAAAGCGCTGTTTTGAAACAGATCGAAACTCTCAAAAAGCAGATTCTTAAGATCTGAGCAGTCGGAATTTGAATGTAGGCGACCGATACGATATATACAGTGTTGTGATGTTACATATAGATTGAAACAGAGATAGTTGAATACCGAAAAAAAACACATTTGTAGCTCAACACAAGGACCCGTAATCATGTCAATTCCCTCTAGTTGCGATAAATACGTCTTGCGGAGCGCTCAAAGGAATAGGCATTAATTTACACAGCAAAGGGCAAGCTGCAACTTCGGTTCTTTGAACCGAGAGTTCCGTCAGAAAAGAACGATACGACGCAGCGATGGGCAAACAGAAACGTTACAAACACTGTGTCACTTCACAACTACTCAGGACAAAACGACAGAAGACGCAATGGTACAAAGTGATAACTTTTATATAAGCTAGATCAAGAGAGCGCGACAGATCTCCTTCGAACCTCTAAGGAAAGATCCACACAGCTGCACCGTCCAGTGCATGCTATATCACAGCTCAAATCCCAACTCAAATCCAGTCGAGCAGCTCAGAAAACACAGTATTTCATCAATGATCACCTTTCAGTGAAAAATGATGGCTACGAGCCAAAAAAAAAAAAAAAAAACAATACTTGACTCTAACGATCAACTCTCCGCTCAATTTGACATGAAAATTATCAAGACCTTTTGAAACATATGCAGCACACCCAACACACCCTTAGCTCCATGCTCAGCGGCGTTATTTCAAGCTTCTCATCAGGTTTCTTAAGCGTGTCACGTGCCATGAACTCGAACATCTCGATAATGTTTAAATTACCCATCCAAAAACACGTAACCAACACAACCCACAACCTTGTCGACTGTCAGCGCATACATGAACCGAAATCTGCGGTCTCCTGCGTTACAACATGGATAGCCACAATAAAATTACAGTTTTGAATAAGGTATCTTTTCTTACCACCGATTTGGAGAAGGAGCAGGAACTATACTTACTGAAATATGCGCTTTTGATAAAAAACGACCTGGCTCAAGCACTGGGCCCACTCGACCAGCCTCCACAGAAGACGCCTCAGGTTCCATACTTTGTGGTAAGGGAACGAATCGCAGACTCTGAAGATTGTTACGTTCTCTCACGAGGCGACCAACAAGGTGAGTTGAAGATCGACAAGTTTGGTAATTTAGTGGGAAATCGTCATTTTCTATTTCCGACATTTTCGCTGCATAATAGACCAAATCAAGTATACGTACTGGCAAGGGACCTTTTGAAGTGTCTCGACATTACTGGAATGAGTGCTGACCACTTTTTAGCACAAAATCCTCAGCTGTTCGGAGTCAGTGCCAGCGATGAGGAAATAACGGCACTGAAGAACATGGATTTAATTAACGACACTGAAACAGCAGAATCGCACATCTATGTCACGACAAAATCCGTGTTCATGCTTTTCGGGGCGCGGGTAGTTTTAGCGGGCACAAGATTGATAGACGATTACTGGGAAGAGCTTGTAAAGGAACAAGGCTATCTTCCGCACTCTAGAGTCTTTCCAATTAGCAACAGAATTCTGCAGATAGTCGAAAAACTCAAACCCACTTCTCATGTGGAAGATGCTGAAAACGAAAAAGCTGCTGCACAAATTTCGTCTGAACCTTCTTACTTGACAGTCGCGGAGCAGACGTCCTCAGAGATTCGACAAGACTATGCACATCAATTAATGGACGGTGAACGTCAAGACATCATTATCCCTGGCCAAAATATCGTGGGCTCGATCGAACTCAGCGCACAATCCAAACTACCGAAGTATCACAGCAAAACTTCGTTGCAAACCGCCACGCAAATGGGTATACAAGACACTTCGATAGGCCTAATGCCACCGGCGCCAACCAACGCACCGTCGGCCCCTCCAAGTGAAAAGTTGAACAAAGAGCATTCAGGTGGCATACTTGATGCATTGGTGATCTCTAAGATAGATAAAAGCGGTGTTACTCAATGGGCTAATTCGGGGATAGTCGCACAAGACGTTTCCTTGAACATCAATGGGTGGAAATTCGATTCACTGCCGGTAAAGTCAACCAAAGATGCGGATTTGAAGTATTCCATCAAAGGTCTCCCACTTTATGATAATGTGAAACTAGCAGAACGATTGAAGAGGCTAACTCCTAATGAGATTAACGAAATGCAACACCTACATGATGCAGTCTATCTAAATACTAACCTGCAAGGCGCCAGGAAAATAAGAAAAACAAAGTGGACAAAATACTGGCAATACAAGGCTGGTCTTCCGATCGGTTTGACAGACCGCCAATGTGGCCCCATTTTAGACAAGTATTTCGAAAAGGCTGCCGAGCATATCGAAGTGGTACGAAGCATCAATACCACTTTGAACAAGGAGGAGGTGAGAAGTATGAGGAAAATACCGAATGCGAATTATAAAGGCTACTCTAATATTACAGGTGTGAAGCCACCCTACGTAAATGAATGAATGACGGCTGTAAAACGATTTCACCTCAGTCAAATAGAAAACAAACACATGTAACGTAGTATTGGTACGTCAATTCACAATAGCTTGGTCTTCACGATTTCCTGACGGATTCTGAAGGTGTAATAAGCCATTATCATCATTAATGCCACCAGCGGTATTAGCCAAATCGACAACTTCCGCACAATTTCATCAATGTGAGGGCCACCGCTGGCGCCAAAAGCGTTTTGCTTGGAGACTTCGCGGATTTTCTGCTGCTCCAAAAGCAATTGTTCTAGTTTTTCGTCCATTTTGAAAAAGTCCTTGAAACTTTCGTCTATGACTGTCCCGTCTTCACCGTCCTTTCCAGAATTAGTCCTACGAGACGTCAGCAGGGTGATCACTTTCTCCAGTTTTCTAGATTGCACAGTTTGTATTTGAACTAACTCTTCAATTGCACTTGAGAGAGAAGCAATGTCATTAGCCAAAATTTTGCCTTCCAATCTGTTCATCTTCTTCAACAGATCGAAATTGGAGATGGAATCCGCGCCTCCGTTCATTTCAAGTGCGGTTTTTTCGACCAGCTCTTCTTCCCCGGTCTTCTTATTGATGACCTTGGTGAGAAGCTTAGGCTGCTCCATGATATTTGCGTTGGGGATCATCGACTCCTCGGTAATCCCGTCGTAAACCTCAAGCTGCAGAAGCTCGAAGGACTCTTCGTTATCAGCATTGTCAGCAGTGATACCGATCTTATAGTTTTGAATTGGCAACTCAACCTTTCTGGTCTGGAAACAGACTCTGTTGTCGACTTGGACCTTGAGCAGAGGATTTTGGCCACTCGAGTACGTCAGTCTAATGGTGAGCGGTACTGTAGAGTCCTGGTACGCCAGCAAACAGGAGCCAAACGTTTCGTCGTATATATTGCTGCTTGAAAGCTGTTTGGTGCCATCATTTAAGTGTGCACGAAGGGTGCTACCCAATTCTCCGTTGTTATCTACCAACAACTGCAAACCGTCGAACTGGGAGGGCCCACTGTGAAGTTTGAGGTCGTCGTTTTCCTTTCCACTGATAAACCACATAGCCAGCCCGCCTACTGATTTCCCTTTATGTTTAACACTTCTCACTGTCCATTCTGCAGTGAAAGCATCTGTCAAAGCATATTCTTTCTGCGACCAAAGAGATCCTTTGGAAGACGCTTTTGGAGTCAGAACTATTCTCCCTTCTTCAAACACTGTCTGTCCTCCAGAAATGAACGTGTTAGGCAGTTTTTCGGCCAAAACCAGGTCTGGCAACGAAAAATCTTTGTTCATTGATACAGCTTTGCTGTGAGAGTTGGCACCGGCCAAAGCTTGCTGTGCAAGAAGTCCGATTTGAACAATATTTTTGATAATCATATCGATGCTTCCTTCACAAAACAGAGTTGTCAAGCTCTCTTAATTCTGTTGATGCTGTTCTGCCCTGTCTAAAGAATGTGAAATGGGAAGTATACTTTTCACGTTGATTTAAGTTGAAGACCTGAACACCTGACAGGGTGAAGAACGGCCTTCTAGACAACGAATGAAGCGTTGAAATCCGAATGAAATCGATCGTTCAGTTCTATGAAACTATTCAATGATTTTGATCTGTTTTTAAGTGACCGAAGTGGTTCTGTGTATCGATGTAAACCCAAGCTTGTTCAACTACAAGCTTTTCCACTACATGTGCGATCCGAACATCATCAATGGTAGAAGCAATCACGGGAACATGTACCGGGATCAATTGAAGTGTATTTATGAGAGAAGTGGGAGTGTTCACCGCGTTTCTGTGAGTTAGCTCTTTGGTTGAGTATCCTTATTCTGAACCACTGTCGCGATCGTGACAGGCCAAAAAAAATTGTTTTCGAGTTCGAAAGCTAAGGGGTTGACCGTCCTTTCTTAGTTCTTCGGCAGTCTTCAACTGGCTTATTGTGGGATCTTGAGTAACACTATATGGTCACTTGTATGAGGAGATCAATTCTTTGAAACGAGTTGAGCCTAGACAAATCGGGTTTCTTAGTCAATTGATGCATCTCAATTGGCGGTGTTTTCTTAGCAACTTTGACCAGAGTAGTAATCTCACTGCATCGCACGTCAGTTCTGACCGTCAAATTGGAATGGGAGTTGAGCACTCGCCAAGGAAAAGTAGTCGAAAACCGAAGCTGTCTTTCAACGTGGTGACAGTGCTAGCAGTTTTAGGGTGAGGTGCTTTAAAGCCTCTTCCATCCTCCTTGTCCAACACAACATATCAGGCTGCTGACAATCTGTCAGTATTGAAGGACGGCGCTAATGACGTCTACTTCCATATCTTCAGTCACCATGTGTCAGCAGCACGGCCCTCTGCCGCAGTAATAATTATTTATCCAAAGAAAACGTTGAGAGTCTCAAATCAAGGATGGCTTCTTGCGATAGCTTGGTAGAGAATATTCTGAGATGCAATGTCACCAGCTAAAGATACCTCCAAAGTGCTTAGATGAGAGAATTTGAGGAGATCATTACCAATCGTAAGGGTATTTCGGCAATGTTAGCAGGCTACTCTTCCAGTGCTTACCCCTTTGTCAAGATTTACACGTCAGATCGTAGTCCAGGCTAGCACTACTGTAAATCCCGACTGCCTAACACAGATATTTCCCTTCCACTCCACATTTTCAAGCACAGTCGTGGCACTCACTCGATCCTTCTTTCTCATCCTCCTCCGTAACCAACGTCGTTGATTTAACTTCCCTCGCAAGATGTGCACCCACTTCACTGCTTTCCAAAACGCGTTCCTTGACTCTCTGCTTCAGAAACTTACTGTCTGGAAACCCCCCATCAATCTTGCGATCCCACAATACAATTGCTGCTGAATTTGCGTCTATATATCCCAGCACTTGAAACTCGCCTGCTTCCCCAGGAATCAACGACACCTCTGCTAAAGCGTCCTGGAACGTCTGCAAAAGCTCTTGTAAATACCACGCGCTTCTCAAATTCCATTTACACCTTGTACAAAACCTAATTGAGATCTTTGGGTAGGCCATTATCGATCTAATTGAGTGTCAGTTTGTGAGTTTTACGTAATAGTGCTCTTTTCCTTTAAAGTTGTGAATACTGTGGTATAAAACAACTGTTATTGATTCAACATATACTTTAAACTAAAAATTAAAAACATAATACTGGGACTAATGCCCTCGTTTGCTGATAGTTTTTGGTCTGAAGATTTATCTACGGGCGTGGAACGGCTGTTTGTAGAGCTTCACAAGGGGTGTAACCAGAATGCGCTGTTCATTCAATTGTTTGCATCAAGAATGCAATATGAAGTGAATTATGGACGCCAACTATGCAATACAACTTCCAACATCGAGGGTTATTCCGACACGTCTAATTCAGACCAATCGGTAGATAATGCTCTCAATCAACTGGCTACTGCTATGGAAAAAGAAGGCAACGAACATTTGGCTATCGCAGCTGACATCGAAACCACTGTTTTACGACCTTTCAGTCAATGGTGCGAAGACCACGAACAGAGAATCGAATACTCTGAAAAAATCCTCAAGACCAATGTGCTGAATTACCAAAAATCGACCAAGTACGTGGAGAAACTGGAGCAACACTATTTCAACAAATGCAGACAGCTTGAGGACCACAAGCGGTCATATTTCAACGACGACGAGCTCGTCAATGTCATGAAACAACTGGAGCTTTTCCAGGAAAAGGAAACCGCGTTGGCCAAGGAGAGGGAATTTGATGCGTTTGGCAAATTCGGTAATCTGGATTTCGATGTCAGAACCATGCGGGAAACATTGAGTCTTTTACTAACTAAGCTGGAAAAGACCACTTACAAAATGCCCTTCATCAATTTCACCTTTGAGAACACCAACAACGGAAGTGAGATCGTGAAATTTCTCATGGAAAACCTCGCTTTGAAGGACGTGGATCAGGCAGAGACCTTCGGTCAAGATCTCCTGAACAGTGGGTTTTTGAAATACTGCAATGGGGTTGGCAACACGTTCGTGAACTCCAAAAAATTTCAGTATTGTTGGAAACAATACGCCTACAAATTCGCACGGGTACCTTTGCCCAACGCCTCGGAACATGGGGACTCGCATGATGAAGAGGGACCCCAACCTATATCTACATACCTCACCGATCTCACTTCCAAAATCTCAAACTCTCAAGACTCGATTTCGACACTTCCCACTATATCAAACACGGAAAGAAGTCTTTTGAAATATGTCAAAGATTTGGAAACGGCAGACGCGCGATATCGAAAAGAATGCAAAAAGTTGGATATTCTAAGGTGTTCTTTAGAAGAGCTTCTAGTTGATCATTTCACATTCATGGAAAAATGTGAGCTAGACAGACTGAAGGCCCTAGAGAAAGTTATCTTGGATTTCTCACCTATCATTTCCAAGAATGCTTCAGCTATGAAGGAGCTTAATATCGCTGTTTTGAAAACAGGTACTGAGGTAGATCCAACCCTTGACCTATTAAATTTGGTGGAAAGAGGGAGAACCGGTACTTTCCAACCTCACGTCATTACTTACAATAATTATTATAATCCAGGCGGATTCCAGAATTTTGGAATTGACTTGGAAACCCGTTGTCGAATGGATAAAAAAGCTGTTCCACTAATTGTGTCCTCAATTCTCTCATTTATGGACCGAGTCTATCCGGAGCTGCCCAACGACAATGTAAGAACAACTGTGTGGACCGTTCCCGTCAAGCTAAACTCTACACACCAACTTCGAGCGAATTTGAACGAGGCTCCCTTTCAAGAAGAATCACAAATCACATCAATATTAGCGAACTATGCTGTTGAACCTAGTGTTATAGCAAGCGTTCTTAAAATTTATTTCTTGGAGCTGCCAGAGCCTTTGATCTCCAACGACGTTTATGATATTTTGAAAGCCCTCTATGCAGAATTCCCTCCGTCACACGTTGAAAGCGAGGAACAGGCTGCCATCGACGCTCAGCGCGTAAGCGGCATTACGACTGCGTTTAATTCGCTGTCAAAACCGCATATTGCAACTTTAGATGCAATCACCACCCACTTTTCGAGACTCGTCAAAATTCTAAAAATGGGTTCATCCGCCACGAGTGGGGCTCTAGCTAACGAATTCATCCGCTCCGTCTCTCAAGAATTCGCGAATTGCATAATAAGAGTTAAGCTTCCAGATGGGAACAACTTAAGCTTTAAAATATTCACCGATCTTTTGCTGTTCCGCAAGCCCATTTTCCGCGGTCTGAAGAGACAAAATTCCAAGGCGCAGGAAAATCACGAAAAGGCTCCATACTTCTAGTATTTTTGACGTAAGTGTGAAAGATACCTTTTTTTCTACACCGTAAACCTTCGTTATTACACAATATTTGCTTCTGGAGTCGTACTTCCAAGTGCAAAACCTAATTTAAATACCTAGTTTTTTTCTTCAGCTTATTCGCTATCCCTAGTTCCTTTCCCCAGCTTATCCGCAAACAACATTCGAGGACGGTACCTCTCTTGTTCCCCCGAGCTAAGATGCCTTTCCTCGACCACTTTGCCCTTTTTATCCATGTACTGTATCGTGCTCTCCAAGTCTGGATTTTCAGCTAGCAGGAGTTGCTTGCGCCGCTGTCTGGTCTCCTCGCTAGGTGTGGACCCACTTTCGAAAGGGTTTTTTAAACTTTTTGATTTTATCATGGTTTCCTCGTCCTCTTCATCGGACGAGAGGCACGATCCCGAGTTGTTATTCCAGTCCTTTGCAAGTTCGAACGTTACAATCTTGTCGCTGGGCGTTCCCGGGGTTTGTTTAGCGCCTTTTCTAGGCGAATCGGTACTTTCATCTGTTTCCCAGGCATCCGCGTAGATTTCCGGGATAGCTCTTTTCGAACAAAGTGGATCTTTCATGATCGATGAGAAATCCGGCGGCAGAAGCTGTGGAGCTTTTTGAAGAGTTTTCGTGCTGGGAGCAGGTGCCAGAAACCTGCTCTGAAACCTATCTGAATGACCATCATTACTTTCTGGGAACAGAACTCTACCTACACTTCGAAATTCCTGCGTTTCCTCGCCGAAGTCTAGCTTCTTGCGAGCGCTTTCTGACGGTTTGACGGGTGTATATTCTGGCGTTCTGAGTCCCCTGATTGGCGAGCGATGTCGCGGAGATCTGAGCTTGTTGAACTGAAACGAGCTTGGTTTTGCCCCCACACTGCCAGGTGTAACCGGTATTGAAGCCTGTGTGTGATGTTGTGGCGACATGGGAACAAGATCGGGTCTTGGAGGTTCCAGCGTGATACCCTTCCCACGTCTGTTCCTCGATCTTGGAGGAGTTGCAGGTACCATATTAGTACAACTTGAATGCTGTAGAGCTCGTGTCACTGGTCGAAATAACGGTCTTGGTTGTTTTTGGAGCTTTAAGTCAGTCTCTTTTATTGTTATCCGAACTTGAATGCAGTTCGACATTTTAGTAAATTTCACTTATTATACCAGCCATTAAAATAAATTAGTGTACCTCACCGCTATAAAGACCAGCCCAGTCAATTTTGATATAAAAAGAGAGAGGGAGTGCTACTTGTGAAGTGGAACTATCAGATCATTGATGCGATTTTTGGCAGCAACTGGGAATTTTCTCCAGGTTTCGGGCTTTTCTGGTCGTTGTTGAACAACTCATTTTGAGAACGTCATTTAAGCGGGAAAGTGATCTTTATAATTCGAGATGAACTTGCCAAATTGATGTAAAATGTGTATGTGTATGTATGGGGTTCCTGAACAAGTGTAATTTATCGGCCAGATTGTAGATGTAAGTTTTGTAGGTCTTGAAGCTGGAAGTAATGAGGTTTGTGGAACGATGATTAGCTGTTCAATACCGAAATTGACCTTGGCCGTGAAAGGACAGAATTCGATTATAGTAGAAGGAGGCCACGTACTCTCGCACTCAAATGAAAGAAGACGGAAAGAAATCAGAACAAAGGCAATTTTTGACCAGAAAATGTCTTACACTGCCGGAATGTCGAACTTCGAATTTATAACATGAATTCGACGTGGAGATTTTTTTCGTCTTACTCTATGAACCGACTAATCATACTACAAATACCAATGCCAGTCTTTCTAACTCTAGAATTAACACATTTCTGGATTTCTCAAGCTCTTAGAACCCGAAACATCGTGTACCTGCTTCACTCTGGTCCATTTTCAGTATCACTTCGTACTAATCTGTCGCAACTCTTCCAGTCTACATTTGCTGACGCGTAATCATAAGAGAGGCCTCCGACTCGATCAAACATCATCGATAACTTGGGAATTTAGTCTCTCATACGTAAGTGTATACAATAACGTATTCGTCTCATCGTCAAAATGCCAATGATAATTCAAAAAAAAAGACTTGATTGAAATAAACTGAATCAAGACAACAGAAGCACGAACCACACCAAAAACTGTCTACAAGCACAAACTACCAATACACACACCATTAGATCATTTGAAGACCTGTATTTTCGCCCTTCAGTCGTACTAGATAGAAGTCGTTTGTACATCACTCTAGACGAGAGTGCTTATACTTGATAGTTTCGAAACCCTTCACAACTGATCCATGTTTCGATACCCTATACCTTTCAATAGCCATTGAGTGCTGGTTTCGATATAGATAGACAGTGTTGAATACTGCTACAGATATGGTACGTAGTTGTTATCCCTCTTTTCCCGTTTTAAGCGCAACGAAAAACCACATTTTACTAACAAGCCGTTCATCTTAAAGAATGCTTTGTTCAACCATGCGACGAAGCAGAAAAACCTGCTCCAGCGAGACCTGGCAAAATTAGAACAGGACATGACGACAGCCCCAATTTCGTTGCAAGGTTCGATTACCGCCACGTTGGTTTCCTTCGAAAAAACAATTCAACAATATCAGGAACACTTAACGAGGTTTCACTCGACCAACCCAAGTGAAGACGAGAACTCGAAGCTCAAATACCAAACGCGGCTACAAAATCTACAATCAGAGCTTGAAAGTGCTAGAAAACGATTCCAAGTTTTAAAAAAACAGTGTAATGAAGTCAATTCTCGCGAAAGGCTCTTAAAATCCAGCAGCAATCCATTTGACGAAGACTTCACCATGAATCAGCGAAACACAGCAACAAGTTTTCATGCTCCAAATGGTCAAATGGCTGCCAACTCATCTTTGCCGTTATATCAGGGTTTGAAAAAGGAACAATCTGTATTCGAGCGGGGAAATGCCCATCTTGACTACATCTTGGAGATGGGACAGCAGTCACTAGACGATATCATTGAGCAAAATGCAGTTCTCCGCAAAATGGAAGGTCAAATGACAAAAAGTATGCAAACACTCGGATTTTCCAATGAAACCATCTCCAAGATCAATAAACGCGTTTTTAAGGATAAACTCATCTTCTGGTTCGCCCTCTTGTTAATGTTGGCCGGATTTTACTTGGTAATAAAACTTCTACGTTAGTCAAAACAAATAAGCATATGTACAATAATAAAAGACAGCGCCGTTCCGGGAGGCTATCATAAGAGTCAAAAATTAAGCTTCCCAGTAGATGCAACTCGACTTTTCACCCGCGACGATGGTTTGACCAGGCAATAAACGGAGGGTTGACGAGAGATGCTTCTGCATTTGATCATGGGTGGAACCTACCTCATTATCAGGCTCCAGTATCTCAGGAATTTTCACAGGTTTGCAAGATTTGATTTTCTTGCCGTTACCAAGCTGACCTTGGGAGTTCGAGCCCCACGCTACGATTTCGTGGTTTTCAAGTTCAGTAAAGCAATGGTCGCTTCCACAGGACCACTTTTCGATTTTGGCTGGTCTCTGGACTGCTATCGAGCCATTCTCAACGATGTCGTTTACAACTTTTAACTTCGTTGGCTCTTGCTGACAATGCTTGAAATTGCCATTTCCCAATTCTCCACTAATACCACCACCAAATGCGAAGTAAGTTATTTTGTCAAGGTTCTCTTGTAGAGACACATTACCTTTGTTTCTGAAGAACTTGTGAATATCTTGTGGTACAACACTGACGAAGGAAGTGTCGCCACCTGCCTTAATATCGACGCACTTCAAATATGTGTCTCTTGGGAAGTGTGCGTTGAATCCTACAATTCTCTTGGGGTATGGAATGTACTCCATGTCGTAACTTACAGGTTGACCCAGTTGACCGTGTGTATTGAGGCCAAACGAGTAGACTTCGCCCACGGAGTCAAGGGCAAGAGAATGGTAATTACCGCAAGCTATTTTTTCAATTGTTCGTGCAGAACCTCCGTTACCAACTGTATTATGATTCAACAGCTCAATATCATAAACCTTATTGCATTTTGGAAATGGATCAAACTGAGAAAGGCTCGGAACTCCAAACTGACCCCTTGATTTCGCTCCGTTCTGCTCTCTTATGCCCGTAGCGCACGTGTAAGCTTTACCTGCATTCGACAAGAAGACCAGATGGTCCTTCCCTACATCGAATTGACGCACTTTGTTTTCACTACGTCCGGAAAAAGCACTCTTCGTGTCGAGTTTGAAGTCATATTGACAGTACTTTTTCCACGGTAGTAGCCAAGACCTTTTCATGCAGAGGAGCCTGTTTCTTTCCTTCTCATCGGCGAGCGGGACTATCAGAATATCGCCCTTCTTGGTCTGAGCATATGCGACACCGTTCGAGGCCTTTGCAACTATAATGTCCTGATCAGGCAAAATTAGGGTCTTGGAGTTGGTGTCCCAGACATACAAGTCGCCTTTGTCACTAACAGCTAAATTCCCATTTTCTGGAGAGAGCCACACGTCTCTTAGTGTCTGATTGTCGAAATGCGAGACTCTTAAAGGAAACTTGCTGTTTCTGTTATCGTTACGCCCCAAACCCCAGTAGTACACGCCTGGCACGGTGCTGGGAGATTCCGTCGGGGGGATCTTGGGAAACTCAACTTGTCTACGCTTTTCCTTCTGTTTCACCAACAGTTCAATCGCGTTATCGTCCAGCTTGGAGTTTTCAGCCAGCCACCACCCTTGGATCTGCGGCCATTGCATATAGGCCGTGTACGCAACTCCTACGCCTGCTACCAAAAGAATTCCCTGTAAAGCCGCACGAAGCTTCATCATACGAGCCATTTTCTCATTATGCTCAGTTTCCATCTCTTGAGCAGATCTCTCTACCCATTGATAGCTATCTTTACCTCGTTTGGATACGTACGATGCCTTATTTAACTTGCCCGCCATCAGTTCAGCATCGTCATATTTGGGCACATTTTTGAACAGCGGTCTATAGTTTGTAAGTGATCGTTTGGCCAGTCGTTTAAAGGGGACTGACAGCATAATGATCGACCAGTAGGATAAAAACAAGAACTGATGAATGCTATTGTAGAGAGATGCTTGTCCAAATATATTCAAATTAAGCTTAAATTGATTATTATCGTCACTATTGACGAAATACTTACATATATATATATATATATATATATATGGAGATCAGGTATTTCGACCAAGGGCTTCTCTCCGAATAGACGAGTAAAATCGCACTTTGAACTGATCAAACGACACTGTTTAGTATGCTTAATAACCGTATTGATTGCTTATCGAGTTCCAGGAGACTTTGCCGTTCATTTGCTACCTCTTCGAAATTACTGGACAGCCTGGACCCAGTGCACATCAGAAATACCAATCGATTTCGACAATTGTTAGTTGAAAAGGGGGAGTTTGCGCCCCAACAGGCAAATTCTCTGGTAGACATAATGTCTGAGGCTTTGAAAGGCGGTGTGGTACACGTCTCGCAAGATTTGGCCTCCAGACAAAGGCTTATACAGTTGGTGTACCAACAGCGAGTTGATTTCGCGAAATTAAGGGACCAACTGCTGTCTGCGGATCGCAGTGAGTTCCATTCCATACAAAGCGAGCATGAGGGTATTCGCAACGATCTGGAGAAAATGCGCACGAAATTGAGGGAAGAGATCACCAAGGCAAATGCGGGCTTCAAGCTGGACTTGTCGCTTGAAAAAGGCAGAATACGGGAGGAATCCAGTCACCACGATATGCAGATCAAAGAGATCGACACACGGATAGATCAGGAAGTGAGCAACATGAAAATGCAGATTGATTCCGTCAAAACCCAGGTCATGCAATGGCTTATCGGTGTATGCACGGGTACCTTTGCACTGGTACTGGCATACGTGCGTTTACTGTCTTGAGAGACCTTACCGGTTCTTGAAAAGACCAATAAATTTTACAGCGTAAAAAAATCTACGTATGTGCTAATAGTATAGCAACGGGACCGCACTGGAGGCTCTTACTGCAAGTTGAAAAGCTCGCGCAGGATCTTGACAGTGTCGTCTGGAGTTTGCACGGTGTGTCCGATGGTTCTGTCGTCAGTGAAGATCTCGTAGTCGTTACCACCAACCATGGTCTTGTCACCGAAGAAGTGGATCTCCTTGAACGAATCCTGCTCGACGTGTTGCAAGCAGTAAGTCTTGTCCCAGCCAGTAGGGAAGACATCGAAGGAGATCTGGCCACCGATGGAAAAGGTCAACTTCAAGTGGGAGAATTCCTTTTTCAAGGCTTCGACGAACTTGGCTCTGATCTGGTGTTGTTTGTCGTATTGCTCGAACTCGTTACGTTCGGCGGTGGAGGCGTTTCTACCGATTGGCGACACGTTGATCATACCGTTTCTGAACTCCAAAAAAGTACCTCTTCTCTTTGGCAACTCGATGTTAGATAGGTATTTCAAAATGAACACGGATAGCTTGTTGTATTCCTCTTCGCCAATCCAGTTGATGAAGGACTGAGAAGCCAATTTTTCTCCCAATCTGTAGGCGGTTAGACCGTTTTCGGAGAAAGCGTAGTCGAACTCGTTCAAAACGTTAGGACCCAATTGTTCCAACTGTTTGCTCAAGTCTGATCCACCGACAAACCCAATGACAACCTTCTTTCTTAGCTGAATCAAGGTGTCTCTGACCTCATCAGAAACGGTGAGTCTGGCTGGGGTTAAAGTTCCGTCCACGTCGAAAAGAACGAGGGTGTCTGGCTTCTCTTTGTAGCTGAATTCTTGGGCGACCATTTAAAAAACGAGTGAAACAGTTGAGTGGCTCAAAGATCTAAGTAAACAAATCTTCGAAGCGAAAGAACGTTGAGAACGCGCTGTCTTTTAAATATAATCATTTTATGACCGCGTGAGTGACAGGGTAATTTAGATTCGAAAATTTTTTGAATTTAACGGAGACCGGGTAATGGGACGAGCTCAAATATAACGCGAAACACTGACGCGAAACGCGTGTGAGTGCTGAAGACGCGTCGTTTAGATGTGAGACCGGACATGGAGCGTGTGTACGGCTGAGTATTGTATGTGGATGGTGTGTGAGTGGGACGTTAAGAGAACGCAGTTGGGTCAGAGAGGGAGAGGGAGCTATAATGGTTACTGGCAGACATAAATTCAAAAGTACGTTAGCGTGCGTGGGGCTCGTCTTAGGTGATCAATTTGCAAGAGTGGATATGTCACTGTGAACAAATATGGGTCGCAAATGGATCTTTGGACTTTTCTCTCTAAAATGATTATTTTTGGTTATCGTTTCAAACGAGAAGTGGGTCCCACAACCCATTTGAGAGACCATTTGTGGGTCCTCGCTCTCTACGAAATGGATCTTAATCAATTCAAGAAAGGTAATACACCACTACTCAAAATGGGTTCGATCCCCCTCGCATCGCGCGGCACTAGCCTTTAATTAAATTTCTACACATTTCAAAAGCTAGTTAAAAAAAACCACTGCAAAGCCCGGCCAAAAGAGGTTCACAATACTTAAGCCTTGCTGAAGTATTCTGGGAACTCTCTGACGTTGTCTTCCAAAGAACCCTTCTTGGACAAGAACTTGACGAAAGCACCGTCGTCCTTGACCTCACCAGCGTCTCTTCTCTTGACGTATTCGGCTCTGTTCAAGTTGGTGAAACCCCACTTCTTGGACATGATGATCTTTTGTTGACCTGGGAACTTGTAACGGGCTCTTCTCAAACCTTCAACAACAACGTCCTTGTTGTTGTCCTTGGTTCTGACGGAGAAGATAATCTGGCCAATAGCAACACGGGCAGCTAGACCGTGGGGCTTACCCCAGGCACCTCTCATACCTTGTTGCAATCTATCGGCACCGGCACACGACAACATCTTGTTGATTCTCAAGACGTGGAATGGGTGGACTCTGACTCTCAAGTGGAAAGCGTCTCTACCAGACATCTTGGTCATGTACTTGTTGGCGCAAATACGGGCGGCTTCCAAAGCCTCGGAAGACAACTGTTCCAACTCGTTGGAGACCAAGTGGACACATAGAGGGAACTCGTCGACAGTGGCCTTCTTCTTACCCAAATCGTAGATTCTGATCTTGGAGTCTGGGACGGCTCTGTTGTATCTAGACTTTGGGTAAGGCTTGTTCTTTTGGTATCTGTAACATCTAGCTGGTCTTCTGGCCATCTTGAAATAGAGTTATGAGAACTGGGGAACGGAAGGAAAATAACCAAAGTAGACCGAAAAGTGGTTAGTTCAAGGTCAGGTTTGAGTTTTGATGTCGATGCTCTTCCTGCTCCACGGCTCGCAGAGCGGCCACTGACAAATCGAATAATATTTTTTTTTGCGTTGCTCCGTATGTGGTGATATACATTGCTCGTTCCACATGATATTGTAATGACAAGTCTTTGGGTCTCTCGTTTGGTACGGTGAGCATTCGTATCTGGACACAAGATTATGTCAGCAGGAGACGCGTTTAGGTCACGAGGTTTAAATTTTTTTGTGAGGAGGTTCATTTTTTGAGGGAATGTGGGAAATTTGGTCTATGGGTGTTGGGTGAGGACAGCAGTCACACACGAAAAGGCCAGCAAAGGAATGCGAACTGGCTTGTGTCGTCAATGGAGGAAAGTGCCGAGACTGGGCCACTTCCATTGCAATTACGATGTCTCGGCGGGCATTGTTTGTTTGCTTGTTTGTTTAAGTGTCGTTCTCCGGTTTCAGCCCTGTTCGTTGCATTTCCTGCCAGCGACGCTGTAGCTTCCAGGCTTTGCCAAGAGACAAGCGAAAGTCAATTCCAGCTGAGTATACAAACAATCTCGCTAGTAGGTCTTTTTTGACCTTGCCTAACACAGGTATTCCAGTAGGACTGTATCTCAAGAGCTGGTGTCGTTTACTTAGCCTTCACAGCACACACCGCATCATCAGATATGGAATAACAAAACGAAACAAATCAAACCACCACATCTCTCTCCCAGAAATAAGTCACCAATCTCATGCTTCGCAATCGCTCTTCTGCCTCTATCCAAACTGTCTGCTCAATGACTACACACCATTGTTGTGACCTGCAAGGGCCGGAGAAAACGGGCCATTTTGAAGCTTGCACTGATCATATCTAGGATAAACATACACCAACATCGTCTGTGAAGGCTTAACCAGTGTTTTGGAGGTCAATTACCCTTGAGCTCTCTTTTATGCTCTTTCTCTCCCTCCCTCTGCTCATCGCCATCGGCGGCTAAACTTCATATATTTTTTCCAGTCGGTTCTTCGATGTTCGTCCACAACGATCTATCTCATCGCATCTCATCTCATCTCATTACTTTTCAGCTTTCATCTATTAAAATTTTCTACAACGGCACATCCTACACATCCAATCCAGAAGTTCATCAACTTAGAAGTAGAAGAGCTATTTCTTGATTCCGGTTCTGTTATTCGGGAACCCTCCACTGCTCACCAAAAATGGGAAGATACTCGGTCAAAAGATACAAGACTAAAAGAAGAACCAAAGATTTGGACGTGATATTCAATGATTTGACATCGCCAGCCAAAATTCAGCAACTGCTGAACCAACCGTTGGACGAAACAAAACCGGGTCTGGGCCAGCATTACTGCATTCACTGCGACAAATATTTCGAGACCGCATTCGCTCTCAAGACGCATCTTAAGGGCAAAGTACATCGCCGTAGGGTCAAAGAACTGAAAGGTGTCCCATACACCCAGGAGGTCTCAGACGCTGCTTCTGGACTCAACCTCCAGAAGTTTTTGAACACAGTTGAACAGATAAATCAGCAAACCGGACCCATCAAAGAGGCCAACGAAACCGAGCTCAAGGCCCACCTCGACACAACTTTGGCCAACGTGGCCACCACAGAACCCACGTTGCCACATTTAGTGGAAGAGCAAGCGCAACCGGACGTCTCGAGCAACGCTGGCGAGGTACAAATGGAGTAAACAGAAGAAAAAAATGCGCAGCCTAGCATTATTTTTGCCTGCAGAGCAGTCAACATCAGGATTTGAATTGGTTGGGTCGTGAAAGTTTAAGTAGTAACACAATTATTCATTTTATGCGGTAAAAAAATGCCGGTCTCATGAGTTGGCGTCAAAATGGACATAGTCGCAAGAACATACCTCGCTCTGCTTCATTTGCTTTGTCCAAAATCAACGTGGCCCGTCTTCTCCGCGTGACGCGCAACTTCTCTCTCTCCTATCAGAATCTCTGAACATATGTTACACTTAATGCGGTCGCGCGCTGTGTTGAAGGAAAACCCCTTGCTTTTCAACTCCACAGCTACTTCTCGTGCCCGTGCAAGCACCTGGTTTATCTTCTCGGAACGCTGACTCAAGACTCGGGTTTTTTGGCCCGTTTTCTCATGCACTATTTCCATGGCGTCGTAGTGTACCCCATTAAACGCTACCATGATGAAATCCTCGAAATGCTGCTCGTTGAACTTTTCGAATTTGCCAGCGTCTACGTCCAGCACGAAGATCGCCAGTCGCACCGCTTTGGATAAAATCGCTAGCTCTATGCCACCACCCCACGAACTTTTTTTCAGAATCCATTGTGCGTAGTCCCGGTTAGGTCTGCCTAAAATAGCGTCTGAGTACTCCATTGGATCGTCAATTACCTGTGCTGCAACTTCCTCTCGAAACGAATCTGAATGAGAGAGATCTCCATATATGCAGTGCGAGATTGCATGGAACATGCATGAGTTGTCGTCTGGAACCGAATGGAGCTGCAAAATCCAATCTGACCAAATACCAGCCAACGAGATTTGGTTTTCCTGCAGTTTACGGCGAGTTTGTTTCTCGCTGTGGTGCTGCTGCCCTAGTTTGGTGGAGTTGGAATCTGTACCCGATTTTTCTGCTTTGCGAACCAAAACCACTTTTTCGCCCGAGCTTATGCCCAGATCCTCTATTCTCTGGCTTTTACTGGTTTCGTCATCCACTTCAACGACCTGTGGCGGGAAACCAAATCGAAGCGATTCAAAAGCACTGTTACTTTGCAATTGTTCGCTAACTATCCGCAAGAAATCAGATAGAATGCAATCGCGGTCAACATCTACAATTTTGGTGGCCAAACCTAAACTACTTACTTTAATACGCATTGACTGATAGCTATTCTTTGACTATGACTATGGTCAAACTAGTCTTGAACTATGGATGTTCATCTAACCTTATTCATCATCATCATCATCATTATTACGGCATTGTACATAGTAGTAAATATACAAGTGTATCGTTACCGACGACATACTATTTTTCGACGTCAGCGCGGGACAAAGCCGACTCTTCCGAGCTCTAATGGACCATATAAGCGTTTCTACAATGTTGCTGAACGCGAGAATGGTCTTTTATAGTGTAGGAAATTTTATGTTCAATCATCTCATGATTCTATAAAATTATTCCAATACTCGACCTACCTTTAAGAATTATATATTTCCCTGTCTACTAGTCTGAAGACCGTAGCATAATTTTAACAGGCAAAACATAACCTGTACGAATTCATTTACTTAAGGATTTTTTTATCGGTGTTCTGGTGCGAGAATCGCGCTGCGCTGCTGAAAGTTATGTTATACCACAGGCTCTGAAAAAAAAAAGCTGACATTTCAACTTGTTTTTATATAAAAAGTCGAAATTAGTTCTAGCTTTATTCATCGAGAGCTCCACAACAATTCAAGCACTTGGAACTCGTTTCTTTAGGTTGATGCCAGGACTTCTCTTCGAGGCCTTTGGTATGCCATCTTTTTTTTTCCCATTCATTATCGAAAATATGCCGCCTGAGAAGCTCATCGCGTCGTAAAAAGCGTCAAAATTTTTCACACGATGCCATGAGCACCAAAGCTAGTCGATGGACCAAACCAGCTAGATCGTCGCAAATTGGGGAGGGCAGATATTGTTTCGAATAGTATTCTCAGAATAATTTGGTGTTTTTTTTGAGTCGAAGCCTTGTGAACCAATTGCATGCAGTCACCTCGGAAATAGAGTTCAACAATTATGATTTCCTGTCACCAATTGAGCCAGATGGCCTCAGACTATAAGTTCAATCCCAGAGTGCCGCTGAGATTGTACCTGAAAACATGCGTCAGCTTGTTGGAGGAAGCTCAAGAGTCATTTCAATCAGGAAACGTACAACGATCGTACGTAATGTACCTCCGGTACCTGGACCTATGCACGAAGAAACTGCCCGCGCATCCTGAACTTCTCGGTCCCCAAGCTGACCCAGACCGCATACTAGCCAGAAAAGGGTATATGCAGCTGCTGAAACTGGAGGTGCCTGCCATACTGAAAATCTCGGAAGACCTGAGGCTACAACTGGAGAGAAGTTTCGCACAGCAGGCTAAATCGTTGGCCTCCAACGTGGCCAAACAACGGCCGCTGCCTAAGGAAAGAGTCGAGGAGATCAAACTTCCGTCAACGTTTGATGAATCTCGTTTTAAGCAATCCATTTCGACCCTTCAGCGTCACACTGAAAGAGCGACAGCAGCATTCCAACAAAAAGAATCACATTTGGTGTACCCGGAACTGCCGCAACTGAGTCACCCTTTCTACGCATCGTAGTCGCAACACACACCGTCATATTGTTTTACTAGAGTTCAGGTACCGTCCCCAACTTACGCATTAATCAAGTAATTTATAGCATTTCTAAGTTCGGATGCAGCGGCCCCATCAGTGTTATTCTTTGTGTTGTTCACCAAGCTTACCAGCTTGTCTAATTTGTATAAAAAGTCCTCCGTTTCGCTGACGGACACTTCCCCGTCAATGAGTTGGTCAACAATATACCTCATGTATCGTTGATACTGTCTTTTCTTTTGAAGATCGAAATTGAAAGCCTCTTCAGATCCACCATGCTTGTCAATCCAATCTTTTATAGTAAACCGTGGCAGACTTCCATTTTGGTCCGATCCGTCCAGCAGGATGTTCTCTGCGTCGGCCTCGAAAAGGGCCTTAAAATGAGATACCATTTGATTGACAGGGCCCACGCTTTCACCTGCTAAGCTTATGGTCTTATTTTGAAGCAAGCTCAAAATCTGCTGCTGGCGCCACAAGACAGCCACCAGTAACACCAGATTTACGCACACTAAGATGGTTGTGATAGAAGGGAAAAAAAAACCGGTATCCGGCTGAATATTTGCTGATGTCGGAATATTAGATGTTTCGACAGGAGATGTTACGGCAGGTTTTTCCGACTTACTGGAAATCCGGCTCAGACGCCTGGATTGAGCTTGTTTCTTCGACGACAACTGTTTGGCACCGGTCGCTGAATTACTAACAAATTTTTCCACATAAGCATCAAGAAGATCGATCAATGCGGCTGTCGCCTGAATCTGACCAGTCTTGCAGCTCTTTTCGATCACTGATTTGATCCAGCTTCCGCCGGTCCATTCGATCCAAAACGAGATCTTCAGATTACTTGTATTCTCCGACGCCCATCGCAGCATGTACCTGGTTTTAACTATGAAGTTGTTTCCACTGGGTACATCGGGGGTCTTTGTAGCGTTGACAACGTCGATGACATTTTCATAGTCCATGCTGAGAAGAGATTCCGTAACTTCACAATTCGTAGACTTGGGGCCCACAGAGAAATTCAGAGCTTTGGAATAATTGTATTTCCGATATTTGTCACCATCGTTATTGACATTGTCGAAAGCTGTGATGGGTGACAAATTCGAAGAGTTTTGGCCTTCCAGAAATTTTGCTAAAAAGTCTGGTTTGGTGCCGCTGAACATAAGTTGATAAATGACTCCCGGCGGAGCATTGAATTCTTTATCCGCCAAAATCGTCTCGTTGTTGTCTTCTGGTTTGTATGAAAACTTGGTCTCGTGAAAACAACCTGGTCCGTCGTACTCGAAGCCGCTATCGACTTTTAAAGAGTAAGCTTTCTGCTCAGGATAATTCGTGTTTCTTATAGAGGAACTGTTGCTTGCACTTGTGCTGGCTTCACCTTTTTCTAATAAAGTCATACGTTTGTCATCATGGCAACTTTCACCTTCCTCATCATTTTCGTCAGAGTTCAATTCATTGTCATTGTCATCTTCATCGTCTTCGTCGTCATAGTAGTTGTCGTTATTGTCATCGAGTGTTATATCACCACCAAATTGAATGGTAGGAATGATGTCATCGACGGATAGAATAGCATCCTCGATAATTGCATTGTTTTCGCTGATTATTGAAGAGCGACTGGGCGGTTCATGAGGCGACACTGTCGTCAATGTAGTAGCTATCAAGTCGCTATGCGACCTGCGAAGGTCCCCTCCAGGACCCGACAGGGGCCTTTCTTTAGTGGCTTCAAAGCTATCACCTAAATGACCTCCTTTGTATTTGCTCCAAACTGCCTTTATAAACTCAAAAGTCGCATCTCGCGAAATGAAACTGACAAATTGATGTCTTCCTAGTCGGGTCTCAATTGATATTCCGTTAGGGAAAAGACCAGCTGTAGATGTCTTTTCCATAAGACTTATATCTTTCATGGAGACAACAATGTGAGTGACCCATCCCAAAAGATTGGAATTGAAGCATATGTTGGATTCGGTGACGTAGATTCTTCCTTGGAACAGAAATTCCCGACTGAGTGCACAACTAAAATCGTCAAGCAGTCGATCGCTATCCGGTACTGACTTGAAAATGCGGTGGAGCTCTGCGTTTCTCTCTTCAGTTGCATAATGATAGATTGTGCCTGCAAATCGTTCTTCAACGTAAAACTTCTTATTGAACTCTGGAACCACTTCATCTGGCTTCTCCATCTCTTGTAGCGGAGAAGAAGGTACGTTGCTGTCGTTACTTACAGAACGTCTCGATTTTTTCGAGGGAGTTGCTTTGCGGTAGGATATTATGTTGGGTACAGGCTGAGCACTAGAGTCTGAGCTGGTCCGCAAATGCTTGATTGGTTTACCTGCTGATGAGGTGGATCCTTTAAAGCTGAGTGACGTCAACATGCTATTGAAAAATGAGTTATTGGAAACGTCTTCTTCGTCTTCAGGTATCGCAAGCTCTTTTGATTCTTCGAGATCTTTGGTTTCTTTCAAGTCTTTGGCATCCTTTGTCGATACAATAATCTGGTTTACAGAACTCAGTGCTGATCCGTTTTTGGAAGACGAGCTCGTCACACCGGTGATTGGATCTAGTGCGGTGAGATGAGGATCCGCGGGGGAAGACTTCAAGCCTTGGTTGTCGACAGAGGTGATGGAATTGCGGCTTGAGTTCTGCAGCGATCTTATTGGAGACCTAGATGCTTTGTAGCGGTCTGTGTAGTCGTTGTCCGACCCTCTAACTGTGGCGGGGGAATCGCTTGATCCCACATCATAGTGTGCAGAAGTCTGATCGTTGTTGTCGACAGGCTCCCAGTTATTGAACTCCGACATCTCTGAGCAACGTTTTAGGTCTGCAGGATATGTGATAATTTATGGTTTAAGATGTCGATTGCAGTTGCGCTACACCAAAACTTCAGCAAAAGGAGACAACTGTGAGGTCGCTGTGGATTTAGCTTCTTTCGAGTTTCGTCTTGGGAAACACTCGTATTTGACCAACCACACTGATTTGTGCTGAAAACCACACTAATTTATACTGAAACCCCTCAATTTTTGGCTTTGACTTGATATTTGGCTCGTCCGGTGACTCAATAGTCGGCAATGCCCTCAGTTCTGGTTTTTGACAGGATTACGCACCGCTTGATTTTGTCGTCTCGACAAGCAAAATATCTCAAAAAAGCAAGCCCTAACAACCCAGTAACTCCCAGAAACAAAAATCCTTGGCTTCTCTAACAAATAACGAGTTTTTGATGCTTTACTCACGGGGCTCCCCTTCGATGTATTTGTAGCACAATAAAGACAGCTAAGCCTATTCTAAAGGGCTCCCTTTTTGCCCGGAAAACTCACTGCCCAAAGTCAATCTCAGCAGTTGTAAATATTCACAGCTGGAAACTACAAAAGCAAGAACAGAGTCGTCGATACTTCGATTCTTGAGCTCCTTTTATATCGCCAATGTCTTTTCAAGGTTATAGTTCGCCGTTTATCAGTATATTATATATAATTTAATGTGATATCCAGAATATATACTTAACAATCCTTCACCGTAAGTCAAAAAACTGGTTTGGTACAACAAGGTTCGCGGACCGGCTCTGACCAATTCAGGCTGAACTAACCAATCACTGGATGACTACGGCGGTCGGAATGCTGCAAAATAATGGCTTGTCCAGCCCCCAGAGACAGGTCACAGCGGACGTGAGCAACGGACTCAAGGCCGGTGAAAAGATCAGCGGTGCAGGTTACAGCAAGGATGTGAAAAAACGCAGCGAAGATCGCGTGCACACCGGTAAAGTTACGAATGCTCCTGAACTCCCGCATGTGGAAGTGAATCAGCAGCCGCTGACGCTGCTGATTCGAAACCTCACGGTCTTTTCTATCAAAGAGCTCATTCAGCTTTTGAAGATCAGTGTGCATGCGAACCAAGATCCTAGTGCCAAAAAAACTGCGTTCTTGCAATTGGTGGTATATCTGCGGAACCAGTTCCTCAAGCTTTACGTGCTGGTGAAATGGTGTCGCACCTTGAGAAACAACAATTTCAACACGATGATCGATCTGCTAAATTGGTTCCGCGGCTCAAACATGGCCGTCAACAACTGCATATGGGCCTTGAAGGCCAGTCTGGCTGGTATGACCAATGCTAAGCTTCCAAACCCCGATCTCATCACAGCACTCGAAGTACTAAGTCTGGGCAGGCCAAATCTGCAGACGCACAACTTCACGCTCAGTGGTGAGGAACGCGCGGAAAATGGACAAAAAACATCAGCGGTTCCTTCAAAACTCATCTTGAAAACGCTTCGGGACATGAACATTATTTTGTCCGTGAAGATTTCGCTCATGGAAATTCCTGACCAATTCAAACAGTATTCTGTGTGCGACGGTAGACTGTACATTAGCGTGGAAAACGAGTTTGAAGTTCAACTTTCCACGACTCACCAGCGGATGCCTCTTTTCTTTGTGGATCTGAAATTGCTGTTCAATGAGCTATTGCCTTTGAACAAGTACAAGCTGGAGAAAGTAATAAACGAGGTGTTATACAAAAGCCCACGTCCGTTATTTGCTCTCTACAAAATTCTCCACAATTATGTCCTATCGGTCCAAATGTACATGATACACGCGGAATTGCTAGATTTAGAGTCTAACAGCAAGTATGCCGGTGGAAACTTGGTGCATCATTACGATTCTCGGAAGACTACCATTAACCTTAAGTACTGGTCTAATAGCCGGCTCAAGGGCAAATGCAATGCGACCATCGGTATAGAAGAGCAGACTGGATGTATTGTCTTGAGATGGTACATTGAAGAGGTGGCGGGAAGTCAGTCAGAAATACCAGTACGTTACACCAATGTGTTAAGCAATTTGGGGAACATTCTGGACGAAATAATGTTCAATCACTCCCAAATGATAAAAGCGGAGCTGTTATCCACAGGGGTTCTACAAGAAGACGATGAAATTTCAGATGCTCTTCTGTTCAATGTTCCCTCCACACCAGCATCCGTTATCCCGATCCAAATCAAAATAAACGTAATCAGCGGGGTCTTCTACGTTAGAAATCCCAGTGGCTTGTTAACGTTTTACATCAATCAAATTAACAAGACAAGCACAACCGATGATTTCATCAAAGTTTTGAATAGGCTCAAGCTGGATAAAATTATATCGATTTTGCGAAACATGTTTGAGAAAGTTGGTTGGGCGTGCAACAATGTCGTGAAACTTAACGCCCCGGTATCAAAGGATCCCAGTTGGGCGCAGAAAAAGATATTGTTTCGAGACCTGTTTGTCCGACTTGAAAACTGGCCTGCCAACTGGTACCTCATTTTTAGCGTAATATCGTCGAATGCTACTTGCATAATTGAAAAGAGGATAGGAAAGATTGCGGCTGCAAAAGGCAGTTGGGAATTGAAGTACTTGGACAATGAAAATGTATTAACACTAAAACTCGAATCTATGACCTACCAGAAAATCCTTCACCTCAAAAAAACGAGTCTGCACAAGATAGTCGACCATATGATTATCGATTCTCTGAATGGCCTTCGTATGAGAAACCGCATCTGTTCCAGCAAACAGTTAGGTGCGGTGCCTGAATACATTGTGCCCGGGGACCAAACACACCATTCATCGATTCTGAGTATAGAATTGGAGTCATTTATCGGAGGCTCTTCTGCACTAAAGTATATTTTGGAAGAGACAATGTTTTTGCGGATAGACTACCATGACAGCAAGATCAAATTATTTGGTAAGTTCAGAAAGAACTGTAAAGCGATAGGCAAACAATACAATGAGACTTTGATGCACTTCATAGACGAAGATGCGTTATCGTTCTACATGTCAGAATCCTTCACGGACCTGAATAACATCGTCCAGCATTTTAACACGTTCAAGCAGAAGCTTATGCAGATCGTGACGCTAACTGACGTCATTGAGAAACTGCATGATTTTTACTCCGAAAACTTTAGCATCGTGGCATTGAAACCTAACGAGATTTCTTTCAAATACTTGAAAAACAGCAAGGATGATTATGACTGTCGAATCCTAATACAGACAAACGATGACAGCGTCAAAAAGCTAGAAATCAAGTTGTCGCCCCGCAATCCGCAGCATATTTTCCAACCGTTCATCGATTCCAACAGACTTGACTACCACTTTGTTTTCAATTACCTGCAATTTACGTCCGGGTTTTTTGGCGTGTTAGAGTCGATTCTAACCACTTCTGAGAGCCAAGTGAAGTCGACGAACGGCTACACCACGGTTTCTCTCCAACTTCATAATCTTTCCGTGTACGGACTGATATATTACAACCCAGAGACCAGTACCAAGATCACGTTAATGATAGAGCTGCGCAACGTGTTTTTGAACGGGTCCAAAAAACTGCGGTATTTCGTCCACTTTGCAGACGATGAGCATATCTCCACCAAAAGTCCAGCGTATCCTTTGGTGCACAAGGTGCGCAACACTGTTTTTATGGTCGACAGCACGTCTTTGATCACGGGAGACACGATTTCCGGTCTTGCTTCGCCCAAGCGAGCCAAGGCCGCCTCGCTGATAAGGCTCGCCGATGGGATTTGCTGCGACGCTGCTGATATCGAGCTTGTGATTCGCGAAGTCAACGATATTTTGAAAATCGACTGCGTTTAGCAAACATTGCATAGTTTCAAGACATCGAGCATTTTTAATGATGGAGAGCGCACAGAAGGTATCGCTTGATATTTTTTGCAAGAACCGATGCGCCCAGTGGACATTACTGATGTGGAGGACAACCCCATTAACTGAGGGCTAATTTTGTTCAACGAACACTACTAAAATTTCAAGAACTAATGCTGGCAAGTCTCGTCTTGAGAACCCAAAGTATAAAAAACCAAAGAGCTGCCAAAAAAAAAGAGAGTCGCCGTACTGGCATGAAACTAGCTTCACGATCTACAAGGTGGACAACAAAAACGAAGCTTACGCCCTGCTGGCAAGCTGTCTGAGCCATATGGCAATCCTGTTCGTTCAAATTGACCCATCTTACGGCAACCAGTGATATACTTCATTGAGACAAGCGGAAGAAGAAGCTATTGGCGTGATACCCTTTATAGCAACAGATACGCTTGTCCGAGCAAAGGCCGTATATACTGAAATGATGGTATATAAAGGGGAAGAAATGGTGGACGACATCTGTTTTAAATTTTTTTTAAAGTAACGCACTTTCAGCCCAAAATTCCGCCTGGAGTATCCAATTCGAAATGACAGAAAATCAAAAGGCAGTGGTGCTCGAGGCCAAGGGCCGTATTTCAATTGAGGACAGACCTGTTCCACAAATTGAGGATCCACACTACGTGAAATTACAGATCAAGAAAACCGGAATCTGTGGGTCAGACGTTCATTATTATGTTGCAGGAGCCATAGGCAACTTTGTTGTGAAAAAACCAATGATTTTGGGACACGAATCAAGCGGTATTGTAACTGAGGTTGGCAAAGCCGTAACGAGCGTAAAAGTGGGTGACAAAGTGGCCATCGAGCCTGGTATTCCAAGCAGATATTCCGATGAAACTAAAGCAGGAAACTATAATTTATGTCCGGAAATGAAGTTCGCTGCGACGCCTCCGTACGACGGCACTTTGGTCAAATACTACCTGGCACCGGAGGATTTCGTGGTCAAACTGCCAGAGCATGTGTCTCTCGAGGAAGGTGCACTGGTAGAGCCCCTTTCGGTTGGAGTACACGCCAACAAGCTTGCCAAATTGTCTTTCAACCAAAAAGTGGCCGTGTTTGGGGCGGGTCCCGTGGGGCTTCTCACCGGAGCTGTAGCGCGCGCATTTGGCGCTAGTGAGGTAGTCTTCATCGACGTTTTCCCTCATAAACTGAAGCTGTCGTCCAAATTTGGCGGAACGAAATTCGTGGATTCGTCCAAAATCAAGGACGAGGAGCTTTTGGTCGCAGAAATCGTGAAGGAATTGGATTCGGAGCAGCCTGAGGTTGTTTTTGACTGCTCCGGCGCGGAAGTATGCATCAGAGCCGGCATCAAGGTGTGCAAGACCGGTGGTACCTACGTTCAAGTGGGTGCTGGCAAAGAAGACGTGAATTTCCCGATCGCAGCGATAGGGCCCAAGGAATTGAAAGTGCTGGGATGTTTCAGGTACGCCTTTGGCGACTACCGGGACGCGGTCCAGTTGATTTCCACCGGCGCCGTCGATGTTAAACCGCTGGTGACACATCGGTTTAAGTTTGAAGACGCTGTGAAGGCTTACGAATTTAATGTTAAATGCGGTTCCGAAGTGATCAAAACCATTATTGATGGTCCAGAGTAGAGCCGTCCGTGTCGAAGGGCAACTGGAAAATATAGAACTATATGACAGAGCGGTCTGGAAACGCAAGACTTCACCGACTTCTGCGATCCACGCCAATCATTTAAAAGGATTTCACGAACCTGAATATCCAAATAATAAATATTGACCACTGTTCGCTGTTTCTGTCGCTGATGCCAGCTAATGCTGATTTATCTGAACCTGGCGATATGTAGTATGCTATAGTGAGTATTAGAGCGGCCAATTTTACCACAATGACAGAAAGGTACAAAGTGATAATAGCTAATCGCTGTTCAAGCTTAACCAGGATGTCCAGGGAGCTCTCAGATATCGCAATCTGATGCCGGTGCCTTGTCCACCCTTATGTGAGCATCAAGACGCAACGCTACCAATCGTTCACCTCTAAAAATCAGTATCCATCATTATCCCAATTTTAAAGCCAGCTAAAAGCGATCAGAGGCTAGAAAAAACCTGTGGAACTTGAGGATAGAGTAAATCAAACTGGTCAGCATTAATACACTGCTTTGACTCTCTAGAATCTCTCTGTTTTGACTAATTTCTCGCTCCAGCGAACAAAAAACCGATCTGCTATAAATATCATCATCTAACACGAAAAGATAGCCGCCCAAAAATAATCACATGACACGAGGACTTAAATAAGAATAGTTTAAATTCACCCAGCTTTGTGTCAAGCAGAACAATGCTTATAAGAAGGAAGACGAACTGATCGATCGGGCTTCGTTTATCATTCAGCTTGTTTTGTCACATCTACACTACACGCTTATAGCTGACTGATCGTTTCAAGTCTTTCTCGCAATCATGATACGCGTTTTGACGTTTCTCGCAGACTTATTCCTATTGACACAGCTCGTCATCGCTGGACAGACCCATGAGTTTAACTTTACCACTGGTTGGGTATCCAGAAACCCAGACGGGATGCAAGAAAGAATGATGATCGGGTTCAACGGTGAATGGCCGATCCCGGAAATTCACGTCAATAAGGGCGATCGGCTGATTGTAAGGCTTACAAACGGATTTGAGGATCTGCCAACTTCGCTGCATTTCCATGGCTTTTTCCACCGTCAGGCAGACGAAAACATGAACCAGATGGACGGACCACCTTTGGTCACTCAGTGCCCAATCATGCCGGGCGACACGTACGTGTACAACTTCACAATCGTGAACCAGGTCGGGACCTATTGGATTCATTCGCATTCGGGCGCCCAGTACACAGACGGGATGAGAACGGCTTTGATTGTGCACGATGAAGACGAACCCTTTGAGTACGACGAGGAAAAAGTGATTCAAATCGGCGACCACTACCATAAGCCCTACTACCAGGTGATGGACGAATTTTTGAACAGGTACAATCCTACCGGCGCTGAGCCAATCCCACAAAATATTCTTTTCAACAACACGGTCAATGGGTCCATCAGTTTCGACCCCGACACCGTGTATCTACTTCGCTTCATCAACGTGGGCAATTTCATTGCCCAATACGTCTATCTTGAGGATCACTATTTCACCATCGTTGAAGTCGACGGTGTGTATGTGAAACACAACACCACAAGTCTTCTGTATCTGTCGCCTGGCCAGAGAATGTCCGTGTTGGTGAAATCGCAGCCACATGCCGACAAAAATTACGCGCTCATGCAAATTATGGATGAAACTATGCTGGATTCTGTGCCAACGGACTTGGTTTTGAACCGCACGAATCAAGTTGTTTACAACTATAGTGCTCCTGCAGCAAACGAGTACTTCATCGATTCCTTCGAAGAGGTTACAAATGATTTTTACTTGACACCCTTCTCTGAACGAGAGCTGCTGTCCGAATATGACTACCAAATTTCCCTAGATATCAAGATGGATAATTTGGGAGACGGTAAGAACTACGCGTTTTTCAACAATATCACATACGTCGCACCAAAAATCCCCACGCTGGTAACAGCACTTTCGGCGCCAGAAAAACTGGCCAAAAACCCTGCCATTTACGGTGACAATATCAACCCTTTTGTCCTAGAATACGGCGAGGTTATTGAAGTCGTCTTGAACAATTACGACGATGGCAGACACCCATTCCATTTGCACGGACACAATTTTCAAATAGTGCAAAAGTCTCCCAGTTTCTTGGAAAGCTCTTCGGGAAGCGGAGAATCGGGTGAACCAGTGCCCTACAATGAAAGTGCACCACTCATGCCATATCCTGAAATGCCTATGGAGAGAGACACTGTCGTCGTAGAACCAAACGGCCATGTTGTGCTGCGTTTTGTTGCCGACAACCCAGGAATATGGATTTTTCACTGTCATGTGGACTGGCACTTAGAGCAAGGTCTTGCAGCTATTTTCATCGAAGCGCCTTTGGTGTTGAGAGAGAAAGAAGTACTTACTGAAAACTTTCAGCAGATATGCTCTGCAGGAAAATTCCCACTTTCGGGAAATGCCGCAGGACATGAGGACGATTGGTTCAATATGGCCGGTCTTCCAAGACAGCCAAAACCATTGCCAAAGGGATTCACGTTGAAGGGTTACATTGCATTTGTCGTTTCTTGCCTTGTGGGACTGTGGGGCCTACTTACAATCGTACAATACGGTATGAGTGAGTCCACTCAGAACGATAAAGCCATGTACGAGAACTTGCACAAACTTTTGCAGGAAGCAGGTGATTCAAATTAAATGGTGGTGTTTGGTGGGCGAGACTATGGATTGTCAGACAATCAGAATATTCGCTATCATATGAGAGCGAGCCGGGATATTGTGTTGATAGCTTTTCCTACGAATACAAGAGCCAATTAACAAGAAAATTTGACTTTTCGAGATTTCCGATTCTCTGGCACAATTTGGTTAAAGTACAACTCAAGTAGGCAAGAGAGATTCCAAAATCTTGATACAAATGCTAGGGAGAACCGCTTTGAATGTGTTCAATGCTCCCAAGCATTTTTGGAGTTCGGGAACGCAAAAAATCGCTTTCAAAAATGCATTCTCTGCTCACCGTCAAATTCATGCATCTCGCATCCTCAGGACTTACGAGGAGGAAAAGGTAGTTTTAGATGAGATGGCCTCGAGTTTGACTGATCAGGATCGTAAGACTTCGAGTGTTCTGCGGAATATTGGTATTTCCGCTCACATCGACTCGGGGAAGACCACCTTCACGGAACGTGTCTTATTCTACACAGGACGTATCAAGGCTATTCATGAAGTGAGAGGTCGTGACAACGTTGGCGCAAAGATGGACTATATGGATTTGGAAAGAGAAAAGGGTATCACCATCCAGTCTGCCGCTACCTATTGCTCTTGGGACAAAGACGGTGAGCACTACCACTTCAACTTGATCGATACACCAGGTCACATCGATTTCACCATTGAAGTGGAACGTGCGCTCAGAGTTTTGGATGGTGCAGTTTTGGTTGTGTGTGCAGTCTCAGGTGTTCAGTCACAAACAGTCACAGTAGACCGTCAAATGAGAAGATACAATGTGCCAAGAGTTACTTTCATTAACAAGATGGATCGTATGGGCGCTAATCCTTTCCGTGCCATTGATCAGATCAACAAGAAACTGAAGACCCCAGCAGCGGCCCTTCAAGTACCAATTGGCGCAGAATCCGAATTGAAAGGTGTTGTGAACATTATTGACCGCGTAGCTTTGTATAACGAAGGAGCTAAGGGCGAACAAATTGTCACTGGCCCTATTCCCGCTGAACTAAACGAGTTAGTGGAGGAAAGAAGAGCAATGCTAATTGAAACCTTAGCGGACGTGGACGATGAAATGGCAGAGATTTTCCTAGAAGAACAAGCGCCCTCTGTTGACCAGATCAAGGCGGCAATTCGCAGAGCCACTATTGCCAGAAAATTCACTCCTGTTTTGATGGGATCGGCTTTGGCGAACAGAAGTGTGCAGCCTGTCCTGGATGCCATTGTGGACTATTTACCAAACCCATCTGAGGTCCTCAACACTGCGCTAGATGTTTCCAATAACGAGACTAAAACAAACCTAATTCCTTCTGTTCAACAGCCTTTTGTGGGTCTTGCCTTCAAGCTGGAAGAGGGCAAGTATGGTCAATTGACATATATTCGTGTTTACCAGGGTCGCTTGAAGAAGGGTGGCTATATCACTAACGTGAAGACTGGTAAAAGGGTCAAGGTGTCTCGTCTAGTGAGAATGCACTCTAATGATATGGAGGATGTTGACGAAGTTGGCTCTGGAGAAATTTGCGCTACCTTCGGTATTGACTGCGCTTCTGGTGATACTTTCACTGATGGCACTTTAAACTACTCCATGTCCTCAATGTATGTCCCAGATGCCGTTATATCGCTCTCGATCACTCCAACGACTAGGGATTCTACAAACTTTTCCAAAGCACTCAACCGTTTTCAGAAGGAAGACCCCACTTTTAGAGTGCGCTTCGATGCGGAATCTAAGGAAACAGTTATTTCAGGTATGGGCGAACTGCATTTGGAAATTTACGTCGAGAGAATGAAGCGTGAATACAATGTGGACTGTGTTACCGGTAAGCCTCAAGTTTCTTACAGAGAATCTATCACTGTGCCTGCTGAATTCGATTACACACACAAAAAGCAATCTGGTGGTGCTGGTCAATACGGTAGAGTCATGGGTTCTCTAAGCCCTCTAGAGGGATCAAATGGAAACAAATTTGAGACCGCTATTGTGGGTGGACGTATTCCTGACAAATATTTGGCGGCTTGTGGCAAGGGATTCGAAGAAGCTTGCGAAAAGGGACCCTTGATCGGACACCGTGTTTTGTCTGCGCACATGTTGATCAACGATGGTGCAATCCATGCTGTTGACTCTAACGAACTAGCTTTCAAGACGGCCACAATGGCAGCCTTCAAGCAAGCGTTCCTCGAGGCCAAACCTGTCATTTTGGAGCCAGTCATGGCCGTCACGGTAACAGCTCCTAATGAGTTCCAAGGAAACGTGATCAGTTTGCTCAATAAACTGCAAGCGGTGATTCAAGACACTGAAAATGGTCAAGATGAGTTCACCATTGGTGCTGAGTGTTCGTTGAATACCCTTTTCGGGTTTGCGACCTCTCTGAGGTCTTCGACCCAAGGTAAAGGTGAGTTCTCCTTGGAATTCAAGCATTACTCCCCCACATCTCCTCATTTGCAGAGACAGCTGATCGCTGACTTTGAGAAGAAACAGCAACAAAAGAAGTGAGAAACACCACTACTTTCATGTCAAAAATCTAAAAATGACTTCATTCCTGTAAAAATAATTGTAAATAGCCCGTATCTCCTAAAAAGAAAGCACACACCACCGTTTTGTTGAAAACCTGCTTTAACCATCGTACCATGCTTCTGTTATTTGGTATAGGTGTCGTCGGCCCTGATCTTGCCCAATAAATCTTCGATTTTGGGTCCCATCAGCGGCTGTCCTGACCGGGTTCTCTGCGTCACCTTTGAAGATCGAAGACCCCTCTGTCTCTCTTTTTCCTTAATCTCTTTCAACCGCTCCTGCTCCCGTTGCTGACGCTGTAGCGTCTTTTCACGTTGCTGCTGCCCACGCAGTTTTTTCAGCTCTTTCTTCTCATCTATCTTCTGGCGGTTTCCGGCCGCATTTCTCTCCCTCTTTTCTCTGAAACTGAGCTTTGCCTCGCTTGCCTTCTTCTCTGGAGCTGAATAGCCTTCTTCCTTCAAAACTTTGAGATATTCCTTCTTTAAACGGGCCTTTTTTACCAGATTTTTTTGGATCTCTCGAACTTTGTATTCTTTACTATGTTTCTTCTCAACTCTAGGCGGCATTTCGGCAATCTTTGGCTATTCTTACGCACTAGTTAGCACAACTTTCGGTCTTTACTTCTGATTTTATCGGACGAGTGATGAGATGAGCTTGATTTAAGTATTTTGACATTTTTCATAGTTAATTTCGAAATCGAAGTTGACAATTTTGCACTCATTTGACTAACAAAAACAGACCAAAAGTTCGGATTAGAACGTCTTTTTTCGCTGGTTGTGGGTGTATTACTCTTTCTTGTGTGTGTGGGAAGTGGCAGTTTGATTTAATTTATGCCTCGTTGGACAATCGCACAAGCTTTGTATCTATCTATATCATAATCTTTGCAGTCCATGGTAAATGAACGGATTCAGAACAAATATACTCCGAACACTACCTTTCCGACGCAGTAGGCTCAATAGACGAGACCTGGGAAATGTTGCTTGCGGATTGCCCAAGGAACTTCAGCTAATTGTGAGTGAAAAGCAAGCCAACTCACCTTTGAAAACACAGGAGCTAAACGCCGTGCTTTCATTTGTGCGAAGAACAAATCATTCTTTAACAATCAAACAGCGTGCAACGCTTATACAAGCATTACACAGACGAGATGCGCATCGCGACGTGTTGACGGTCGCGAAATCGGCCCTTTTTGAACCCAATCAGAATTTCAGAGATAACGTGTCCGCCATAGAGCTGAAGAAGTTCTTTGCATCGCTCATTGCCATGGGAAAAACAATGCAACTCGCCCAGAGCATGTTCCAAATGATCCGGCAGTTCTCCCTGACGAGGAAGAGTATGGTATTTGGGGTCATCAATGCCACATTTACAGAGGCATCGCTGTGCCTCGGCGTCTCGGAGTCCTTGCTTATCTGGGTCAAATTCCACAAATTTTTAGAAGGACACGCCGATTTTACGAGTTACGAAAATGATAAAGCGCAGCTAAAGACACTCCTCTTTTTCCTGCGAGCTCACAAACTAGACGCAACCGCGGTAAGGGAATCCTTAGACTTGATAGACAAGACACAGGGCCCTCTCACTGCATCTCAGTTTGCTTCCACTTTGATGTATTTGACATCTTATAATCGGGAATTCGCTTTAACGGAAACGGTATGGGATTTCAAAAAAGACAAAAAACACCCCATCAAAAGCTCGGATTTGACTCAGATCTGTAAGGCATATTGTCACTTTCAAAAATACTCTCTTGTCGAACCCGTGCATTTGCAACATCCTGAGGCCCACGATGACGACTCCCAATTCGATTACTTACTCGTGGCCCATGCTAAGCAGCAGGACTGGCAAAGCCTTCAAAATCAATTCCACGCATTGTTTGGTATCGGTGAGTTACCTAGCATAGCTCACTATGGAATTGTGATGTTTTCAGTGGCATGTTTAGGTGAAAAAGAGATGGTAGATAAGCTCTACCGCCAGCTTCTAGGAAGAAAGATGATCCCGACACTTCCTGTCCTACAGGCCCTTCTGCTGGTCCATTATAAAAGAGGCGACTACAGCGGCTGTTTCGAGCACTTCGAACTTTTCACCAAGTATGGCATCAAACCTACCGCAAGCAGCTGTCAAATTATGCTTCGCGTCTATCGCAATCTGAGCGACATAGATGGAGCCCTTCGCTTCCTCAAGAAGATGACCGATTCCAAAGTTGAGATTGCCGAGCGGCATTTCGCAACTATCATTGGGACGTGTGCTAAAACTACAAATCATGCCATCGCGGAAGAGCTCTTTCAAGTTATGAAAAGCTACTATAATATAGAACCTACAGGAACTTCAGTTGCTGCATTGTCTCAGGTTTACATTGAAAGCAGCATGCCTCAATATGCTCTGAAGCTATTCAAGGAATACTGTGGGACAGGACGCGTACTGGAAAGAGGCATTGCTGTCTATAACAAGGCCGCGGAGGCATACATGCGGATGGGTCGCGTTGACATGTCAGGGAAGATATTTGAGGATGTTTTGAGCAAAAACCTACCTGCAGACTCTGAATTTTACGCTGTAATGCTAAAGTATCTTTCTATTTACAAAAGAGATTTCGAAACGGCCGATGGTGTGTTGGAACAGCTGCTGCATCATTCGGATCTCAAAGCATCACCGTCACACTTTGAAGTCCTCATGGAGGCAAATGATAAAATTTCGAATCATGGAGGAGTTTTGAGGCTTTATCAAAAAATACTGGACAACAACGTTCCCGTGAATTCCAAAATCTTGTACTATTTGATCAAGGCTACTTTTATGATGAAGCTTCAGTCAAAAGAAAATCTGGATGAGGCGATCGGCTTCGTCGAAGATATCATGAGTCGATCCGCCAATAGAGCTCTCGACATCACTTTCGAAAAACTTCATCCTTCAGTAATGGCATGGCCGATGCGAGCAGCCGCCAAATTTTATAGCCCTCTGAAGGCTATTGAGCTCATGAACAAATACAATGAACTTTTTTTCGATAAATCTGATTCTGCCGCGAGTAATCTTGTTGTTTTGAGAAGCCTGCTGGTATTGTCCGCCGAAGTACATCAGTGGGACGATTTCCAAAAACTCTACGAAAGATACATGGAAAAGCTTCACTTCTACAAGAGTCAACCATCGGCGATAGTTCCAAATAAAAAGCTCGCTTCATCCCTTCGAGGTGTCTTGCCATATAAAGTCAAGCATTTAGTGGCTACCGATCGCGTCACTGAAATTCCTCAGCTTCTGAAGGAAATCACAGCGAAGAACTTTGTCATAGATAATGAGGCTTGGAATGAGGCTATCATGAGCGTGTTCGCAGACAAGAGAACGATAGATTATGGCTTGCAGAGTGTTGACTCGATGCTCATTCATGGTTTCAACTTGGTTCACAAGTTCAGACTTTTGAGAAAGAACGCCGCTGCCAACACATCAACCGACAGAAATTCGTGGTTTTTGGAAAGGAAACGGCAGGACCCTAGTAGCTTTCAACCCAGACTTTACCTGAAATCGACGGTCCACGAGAAGATCGCCCAGGCTATGGACACTTATTTGTGCTCCCTGGCTGACATAGAGGCAGAGCTGGAACGGCTAACGAGTCACTATAAGTATTTCATGAAAAGCTACCTCATGAGCCCAAGAACAAAAATACCAGGATGGGACGATATTGAACTGCGACATGCGTCGTATCTCTCGAAATTGAGAAATGGTAAAAAAGCTCTTCATGAGCCCTTTTAAGAGCTGTCTCGGCGCGACCTATAGCAGGTACTTAGTATAGTCGCTAAAATTTGGGCAACAATTGTAAATACGCATCAAATAGTTATGAATCTAACGATATTCGCTTTCCACCAGCACTAAAATGAGGATTTATACCTCCTCATCTCGATTCAGATGTCGATTTATTCTGATTTTTTGAAGGCACTTTACGCTCAGGGATGCCTACGATGGTCTGTCCGGTGGTTTTTCCGTAAATCAGTGTTCCGATCCAAGGCTGGATGTTCCAATGTAGATGGAAGGTCAAGTCTCTTTCCGACAATTTTTCTTCAAGATCCCAAACAGAGTATTTCGACTTCAGATTTTCAAGCGTTATATGCGCTTCTGCCTTGTCGGTAATGATCGTGTCCCAGAAGGTAACCTCGCTTTTGACCCCGTTTTTAAGTTTCCCATCATAAGTCGCAGTGACGAAGGCGAAGATCTGTTTGGTATTCCAGTTAAACAGTGGCGTCAGATCAGCGTCCAAGTCGAACGACAGCCGTATATTTTCCTTAGGCTTTCCATTCACCGATCCGTAATACCTGCTAGTTCTCACATTGATGTGTCTAATTCAGGAAGGTTAGTAAAGACCAAAAAACATCAAAAACGGAGCTCACCAGCCATTTTGAAATAGGCCAATTCTTTTAACAGCCTCATATTACTTACGGATTGACATTTCCTATCGAGGAGTTCAATGAAAACACATTATCGCGATAAAGCTGGACCCAAGTTGATGCAACAACGAATGCGGCTGCGAAGATGGCAAAGCTCAACGCTTGATTGCTGACGTGCTGGAATCTCTGCGACAACGAAAACATTGAGACAAAACAAGAATATCAAGGTCTATCGATCTCTCACGGTCGTCAAAGTTGTTAGTTGAACTATAATGTCTGTCGAGCGTAATTCTAACCTGTTCATAGTGTCCATCTCCGTCCGGAGCGATTCATTAATCAATTGTTTATCACTTTATCCTGACGCTGACACTAAGGTGTCAGCGTCAGCGTCAGTTTGAGCGTCAGAATTGGATACACTGAGAATGTGAATGGGAACGGGCAGAAGATCGATAGATATTGTGAACACTTAGTTCATCACACTTGTGTTTGGCATCACATTTACCACTTGTCGTTGTGCTTGTTGAACTACGAATATTTTTGTCGAAACAAGAAGTTTGAAGGAGAATGTGGACCACTTCGTATAAAGTCCCACAAATTATTGCCATCCTGGCTGTGGCAGGAACTATCTTGGGAATGGATATATCTTCGTTGTCGATTTTTCTGGGAACAGATTATTTCAATCGATATTTCGAAAAGCCAGGACCGGTCGCGCAGGGAATGATGACCGGAGCCAATCCGGTGGGAGGTTTAATTGGGTGCGTGTTTTTCGGTATATTGACAGAAAAGGTTGGCCGTGTGACTACTTTTCAGGCGGTGGCGCTGGTTTGGATTTTGGGGTCGGTAATTTCGGCTCTTGTTTTGAACGTTGCCATGCTTATTGCTGGCCGACTAGTGCGCGGAGTGGCCGTTGGCACATTGTCTGTTTTGTTACCAGTTTACATTGGTGAGGTAATTCCCTCTGAAAAAAAGGGCACTGCTACCTCGATCGTCCAATTGGCATTAAATTTGGCAATTTTGGGAACATTTTTCACCTGTTTCCTTCTGAATATCTTGGAAAGCCATGTCTCGTTCCGGGTTGCCTGGGGTTTGGAATTAATCCCAGCACTGGCGTTCCTTTTACTCAGTTTCTCGCTAACAGAGTCTCCAAAATGGCTGGTTTCGCAAGGCGAATACGATCGTGCTCAGGCTGTTTTCCAAAAATTTAGTAAGGATAAAATCAGTGACGAGGGCCTCACCAAGATTGACATATTGGAAATGTACGGAGGGAACCAGAGAACTTCGTACTGTGATCTTTTTTCGAAGCCTCTCCTTAAGTATACCGCTGTGGGCATTACGGTGCAGATCCTTGTGCAAACTTGTGGAATCAACATTCTGATGTTTTACATCGTTTACATTTGCGAAATGATCGGTCTTCGCGGTGCTAGCAAATTGAGTGCAGCTTCAATTCCTTACCTCATAAATGTGGTATTTACCTGCATCCCAATTTTGACTTTGGACCGTCTCAGACGGAAGTTAGTGATCGTATATGGTGGCATTTCGCTTGGTTGCACTATGGGTTTGATTGGTATTCTAATGGGGAGTTTAGGACACGAGGTTCCTCCGATCAATGGCAACGGAACTGTAGTATGGGAAATAACGGGAACATCAGGGCTCATAGTTTTGGCCCTATGTTTCTTGTTTGTTGCAATATTTGCATCAACACTGTCATGTTGCGCCTGGCTTTATACCAATGAGGTCTTGCCCGCTAAAGCAAAATCGAAGGGAATGGCTTTGTGCATGGCTACGAGCTGGTTTTTGAATTCGTGTTTAACTTTCACAGCACCTCTACTTTTGAGTGAAATAAAATGGGTAACTTTTGTTTTATTGGGAGCCATGACTCTTATCCTCTCAGCAATAATTGCAGTGTGGTTTCCAGAGACAAGGGCCGTTGTTGAGCCCAATTCTCCAAATCAAGAGCCTTTTTCCGACAAAAAAGGCGATGAAAGTCTGAGTGGTGAAGCTAACTTCAGATCGTCAGCACCATCTCCATTTCTTTGTGAAACGAATAAAATCGAACTCATAAACGAGCGGAATTGACTTGACGACGGTGTTCTTATAAGACTGTCTATTTAAACTGACACTGTAGCATTGATGAATATATATATCATAACCACATCGTGCGACATTCAGACTCAAATTAAATCAAATTAAAACAATATTTTCTGTCAAATTCACGCTATACAAGTATATATAAAGTGTATTGACGTTCCTTTATCCCTATCGTAAGGTCTTTACAAAGGAATCCACGGCAAGAAACATATAGATGCTGTGAGACAGCGAACGACCTTTCAGACCAAGACCTTTTTTGGCGTCTTCCACTACACTCGAGGAGTAGCTTAGAAACATTTTAGGTGGACGATAGATGGACCACTTTCGTCGTATTCTTGCTTTGAGATCCACATCTGTTGGAAAGTGGTCAAAGAAGCCAAAATGGAACCACCGATCCAGACGGAGTACTTTCTCTCTGGAGGAGCAATGATCTTGACCTTCATCGAAGATGGAGCCAAGGCGGTGATTTCCTTTTGCATTCTCTCAGCAATACCTGGGAACATGGTGGTACCACCGGACATGACAATGTTACCGTACAATTCCTTACGCACATCGACGTCACACTTCATGATGGAGTTGTAAGCGGTCTGGTCGATACCAGCGGCTTCGAGACCTAGTAGACTTGGGTGGAACAAAGCCTCTGGAGCTCTGAACCTTTCGTTACCGATGGTAATGACTTGACCATCTGGCAACTCATAGGATTTCTCAATGGCAGAGGATTGAGCGGCGGTTTGCATTTCTTGTTCAAAGTCCAAGGCAACGTAACACAACTTCTCCTTGATGTCACGAACGATTTCTCTCTCGGCGGTGGTGGAGAAAGAGTAACCACGTTCACTCAAGATCTTCATTAGGTAGTCGGTCATGTCTCTACCGGCCAAGTCGATTCTCAAGATACCGTGAGGCAAGGAGAAACCGGCGTAGATTGGAACAACGTGGGTGACACCGTCACCAGAGTCCAAAACGATACCGGTGGTTCTACCGGACGAGTACAAGGACAAAACGGCCTGGATGGAGACGTAGAAGGCTGGAACGTTGAAGGTCTCGAACAAGATCTGGGTCATCTTCTCTCTGTTGGACTTAGGGTTCATTGGGGCCTCGGTCAACAAGACTGGGTGCTCCTCTGGGGCGACTCTCAACTCGTTGTAGAAGGTGTGGTGCCAGATCTTTTCCATGTCGTCCCAGTTGGTAACGATACCGTGCTCGATTGGGTAGCGCAGGGTCAAGATACCTCTTTTGGATTGAGCTTCGTCACCGACGTACGAGTCCTTTTGGCCCATACCGACCATGATACCTTGGTGTCTTGGTCTACCCACGATAGATGGGAAGACGGCACGTGGCGCGTCATCACCGGCAAAGCCGGCTTTGCACATACCGGAACCGTTGTCAATAACTAAGGCGGCAACTTCTGCAGTGGGTGTTAGTAGTGAGATGAGATGTGGGTGCTTTCAGGATAAGAGGAGATGAAACAGATGTGAAAGAGAAAACGAAAACAACGGGCAATCCCATTGGGATTAAACCGCATCACCGAGACACTTGGTCTCGATGATGTGTGTGCGTGTTCTCCATGTCCACTGGCCTTGGTTGTTGATGTATCTGTGCGTGTGTGTCTGCCTTTTCTTATTGGCCTGTTCTCAGTATTATTATTATCAACCGTAGCTTTTATGGAAATAGGGGCTCTTAGCTATTACTGAAATTTGAGAATGATCCATGCCCTCAAATACCCGAAAAAAGCCTGATTTTCGGCCCCAAAGAGGCACAAAGTAGACCCACGTTTGTCCTGAACAATACTACCTCGTTTGCCCACTTTTCCCTATTTCAAACCGCTCGATTTGAGATCGAAAAAGGAGCTCAAACGAAACTTCCAACTCCGGTAACAAACCGTCCTAAACACGTCCAAAAACGGCTGCATTCACCACGGCCCTGCTCGTCTTACTCCTCTTGCCAAACGGATCGCGCCTCCACCGCCGTCGATCTCGTCTTAGTGTCCAAAGATCTTGAACTTTACTTGAAACGCGTGGTAAACAAGCTCTAAAAACATCCCTCAAAACCCAAAAATGCACCAAATTGACCCGCGAAGCTCTCAATTGCCTCGCTAATTCGTCTCCAACATACCGGAATCCATTGTTTAGTTTATAAAAGTCTTGTTGTTCGGCTTGTCTTGTATCAGACTTGTCCTGGGACGGTTTAAACAAGTGTCGTCGCGGTGGCAATCTTTTTATATACAGTTCAATGCGCCCACATAGGAAATTTCCCAAGAAAAATTCTGATGGAGGGGTTACCCGTCATGGGAGAGACATCAAGCGCGTCAGTTTGAGAAAAAGTGATGTGGGATTTAAGAAAGCTGTCATAGGTTGGCGACAAGTCTGATGGGAGACGCTGTCGAGAGAGCCCCATTATGGGTGTTTGAGGGTGTGTGTGTAGAGCTTTTGAGTGATGTTGTGAGTCTCGTCTCTTCTTTCTGCTTTGTCGTAGGACTTCTGTGTGTTGGGTTGTTATATTGATTTAATTATGGTCTTGGCATGCGTGTGGTGGGTGGTGAATGGTGGGCGATAGTTTCAAGAGTTTGAATAGACGTCGTGGACGTATTTGGTAATTATTCAGTGTAGTGGGTCGTAAGTGGATTAATATTGGTGTGGTGGGTTATATTTATTTATACTGGCGTGGTGGGTGGTTTGAACTTGAGCATTGGACAATAGGCGAGCTGTGGATTCACACTGAATTAGTGGGTATTATAATCCTATATTAATGTAGACTTCATTCAGGGTGATTAATACCGGCTTGTAAATTTTCATTGGTGTAGTGGGTTGAATGTGAAGTCAAACTGACGTGAAATGTCAATTATTAATTTGGTTGATGTGGTGGGTTTTGAGGTTTGATTGGCTAAGTGGATGCTTTATCGGTTTGCACTGGCATGCTGGGCATTTAGGAATCTGGATTGATGTAGTGAATGACATTGAAATATACACTGGGGTACCTGGTGAACTATGAATTTATCCTGGTGCTTTTAAAACTAAGTTGATGAAGCGGACTTATTGCAAACTTAAAATGGCGTCGTCAGTGGGTCATCAATTTGCATGGGTGTAGGGAACAATTTGTATTTTCACACTCGACAAGCCTGTGAATTTACAATGACGTTTGAGTGCATTATGAATCTGCACTGGTGTATTGAGTAGTTTATTGATCTTATTCGGCGTGTTGAAAGATACTCAGATTTACGCTGGCGGACAATTTATGAAGTGGCAATTGTGTATTGGGTGCTTTGTGGGATTAGACTCGTGTAGTGGTCATTTTTTTGCATTTACACTGGCGCGGCGTATTGACCGTGGGTTCCACCGATGTCGTGAGCTGATTGTGACTCAATTTGGCGCAGTGCGTGATTTGTAAATTTTAGCTGGCGCACTAGGCCATTTGTGGCATAGTGGGTGGTTTTGAAAATTGCACTGGCGTTGTAGTAAGTTTTTAGATTTAAACGGGCTAAGTGGGTAGCTTGTTGGTACAAGTCGACGTAATGAAGGTGTCATGAATTTGAAATTCTGGGATGTGTGGTTTGCGCAATCAAAATGACGTAGGTGGTGGTTTGTATATTGCACTGACGTTTTTAGTTGTCTGTATTCTACCCTGAGGCAGCGAATAATCTGCGTATAATCAGAACTAGTATGCATTACATCCACTGCAGTCATTTTTGACTGCGGCAAAGCCCCCTTTTGGTCTTCGCTAGGCTCATTTTTTCTTGTCAGACACGCCCTATTGTACTTTTCTCATCTTGTAGCTATGCGTGTCAGCAGAGAAAGGCCCAATTCCACAGAATTCTTAAGATTTTTACCTTAGAACAAACCTCGCACGCTCCTGATCCTAGTAAATATCAAATCAATAACAGCTAAATCGTCCTGCCTACTCCACTCCTCTCTTCGTTTATAGTCTTTTATTTCAATTGACAGTTTATTCAACAACATCAATTCTACGTAAAGATTGAAAAACTGTGCTACTGCAAGACGCCCTAAAACGTCGCCAATACCACCCAAAATGGCTGGAAACTCGGCCAAAAAACAAGCGCAAGCTAATGTACAGACATTGAAACGGCTATACACGATTGTGGGCGGCGTTGTTGGACTGCTGGTGCTAAGACTTTTGTTCTGCAGTGTAAAACGGTGGTTTTGGATCTTGTTATTCCACGTTCCAGCTGCTGTAAGTATGTACATGCTGGAGAAGAATGGCAGACCCAACTACGATCTTGCAGGACACGTTGTTCGCGAAGGCATGGATCTAGCTCAGAAGGGTCTGACCGAATGGATGTTCGACGTCGTCTACTTGTCACTATTAGCTGATTCTGGAGTCATTGTCTTCAATACCATGAAGTTGTGGTACATCATGTTGTTGGTGCCTGTTTATTTTGGCTACAAGATTAAGAATATTGCCGGTTCCATGCTGGGTGGAATGAACAACGCACGGGCTCCGTCCACTCAAGGTCAAGGGTCCAGTGCCTCATCGTCTGCCGCGGCCACGAAATCCAAGAGACAAGCAAAACGTGAAAAACAGGGCGACAAAGTACGCTACAAGTACAAGTAGAAACACCGGTCATCATGTTTGTGATTGTTTCGTTTTCCTAGTTGCGAAAATTACACCTTATACAGAATTCAACATACTTCAAATAAAATCGGGAAAGAGTGTCGGTGGACGGTCCGAAGAAATAAATGCTATGAGTTGGACCCGCTTGCTGACATTTCCTTCTTTTTCTCTCCTAACACTGCAAAATCAATCTCTCCTCATTCAGCAGCAGCCGCTGGACGAGTTGGACAGACTTTGGCCCTTCAGGTTCACGTTGGCCTTGTCGTCCTTCTTGGACGAGTCCTTGTGCTGCTGAGCCATGCTGTCTTTGATCTGCTTTGCCATGGTCAAGAAAGCCTCCTCGACATTGGACGAGTCCAGTGCTGACGTTTCCAAGAATGGGATTTGCAGCGAGTCTGCGAATTCCTTGGCCACGTCGTACTCCACCACACGTTTGTCCTGCAAGTCGCTCTTGTTTCCCACCATCAGTTTCAACACTCCGGCGGTTGCGTAGCGGTCTATTTCTTGTAGCCACATTTTCACGTCGTTGAACGAATCTTGGTCTGTCACATCGTAAACAATAATGATGCCATGTGCGCCTCTGTAGTAAGACGATGTGATGGTTCTGAACCGCTCCTGGCCCGCCGTGTCCCAAATTTGAAGCTTCACGGTCTTGCCGTCGAGTTCCACGGTCTTGATTTTGAAGTCCACCCCGATAGTCGAGATGTAATCGTTGGTGTATGTGTCGTCGGAAAACCTCAGCAACAAACACGATTTACCCACTCCCGAGTCTCCAATCAACAAAAGCTTGAACAAGTAGTCATATTCGCTATTCATCGTGTCAGTAAATGCCTCCAAGAACCCTGGTATTGCCTTTAGTTGCGCGCTTTTGCACTTGTTGGATACGTGTTGTAGGTTGAGCAGGGGTCAAATTCCATTGACTTCGAGTTTTAGCTGTGTACTCGTTCGTCTAGGGTGATCACACCTTGGGAAATGTAGCGATGACAGAGAAACTATGAAGGTAAGATTCTAGGATGATTGTAGAGGTCGATCCTGTTGGGATAATTGTTTTGGGGGTGTGTGGGATATTTTAAATATGACTTGGCACCAAAACTCCTAAAAAAACCGGGTCTCGCCAGCTTCGAATTTCAAAAAGTGAACACGACGAGAAATTGGGCCGATGGTGCCATCTAAGCTAGAGGGAAGTGACTATGGGAGTGTTTTTTATGTTTCTTCTTGAAAAATCGAGAGACTGAGATCGTCATCAAATCCTAAAGGTGTTAGAACAGGGTTGCATCTTTGAGCAATGGTATAGTAAATTTGGGTCCAAGTGACTGGGGCCAGGTAAATAAACATCAAGGTATCGGGGAAACGAAAGAATAGGACTTTCTCGGTGGTTTATTTATTTGGAAAGAATCACATTGTCTTGTGTCTTTAAAGACTGGTATATGTGCTAGACTCTGACAGATCGAATAAATGAAAAAAAAAACTTGGACCCGGTGTGTGTGTGAGGAAACTGGACATTGCGAAGCGATGATTTTGTCTGTATGGCTGCTGCTTCGTACTACTGTGATCTGATTAGGAATTCAAATCGAACGTACCAACGTCATCGTGAGAGGATGCTTTTATGGTTGAATCTGTCATTTAGTCACGGGAACGATTATTTTGTGTCTATAAATATGTGACGCTGTGTACATAGGAAAGATCAAGAGAGCAGGCATCGGGCCAAGTCCCTGAGTTTGACAACAGGTGTATGAAGCATCCGCATTAGGGCCTGGCTTCATTTAAATAGCATGATGACTTTAAGCGTTACATTTGCTAAATTCATTTCAATGATATGATGACTTTTAGTGTTACATTACTTCTACTTCCATCTTTTCATGAATGCGTCCCTTGTTTTACAAGAAAGTTCACACCACTTGGCAACGGTGGGACATCATAGAGTCTAGCTTCTCTCACGAACAATAATTTCGACACTCTGTGAGGAAATGACACTTGAATTATGAAAAGCTCTTGATAGAAGTGCTGGTATGTTCGGTAACAAAACCCACCAGTAGCTTTCAATTTAGAATATTGTAAGCCGCCGTAAAACGCACAAAGGCAGCAAACTCAAGAAGTATCATGAATTTTTAGAGGTGATGTAATACCAATATTTCAAAGCGACCAGATCGTTGTGCACCGGCTCTAAGACTTTTGTGAGAAAGTAACTTACTCGCTTTTAAAAACGAAACGAACGCACTGGACTAGTGACAAGGAATACTCTTGAATAAAATCAAAAGAAAGGTGTCATTTGGCAAATCCACAACACAAGCCTCCGGTTACAGAATTCAGTTATTTGGTGTTGATTCCGAAGCCGAGCTCACACGTAGCGAAATTGATTCACGATCAAAGGCACCTAAGCAATTGCAGAGCACTCAAGATAAAAAAACGCGGGACTTAGGGCTGCTTATATAGTCTTCAAAATCTGAGCAAGGTCAATGCTTTGTTCTTTGAGAAAATTGGGACATAAAATAATACCCAAATGTTTCTATACCAGGGAAGAAGTGCTGTTGTAAAAGCGGCAGGGCTAGCCCGATCGAAACCATTTTTTTGTTGGTGAATGTATGAAGTCTTGAAGAATGTAGGTCCGTTCAAAATTGAGAATTCATGTTTACGTCTGAGTAAGCGGGCAAAGCACCAATGGCCGAAATCGGAACACAGGAATAGGAATTTTACCATTTCTCTGAGAATAGAAAACCTCTAGAAGCGTGAGCTCGAGAAAGTTAACTGGTGAAACGACACTGCGTTCTCGATGGAAAACAAATTACTCTGACTGATATCCATAACCACCCTTTGAACGAGTAACTCCTCTTGGGAGGAGATTATGGGTGCACCACCAATTCTGAGTACAGCTCCCATAGTACGACGACGTAAATACAACCTATGTGACAAAACGACAAATGACACGATGGTACAAAATGATGATGTCAAAGTGTTTGGATCAGGAGGAACACAGCAGGCTTTCAGGTCTAAGGCGTACGCGGCATGTGTATGTAAGTTGCGAGATGGGTGCGATAGAATATAAGGTGCAAAATATAAGACTCAGAATCTAAACTAATAAAATTGGCTGAATATCGAAAAGGTGAATGAAATGTATGCAAATGCTTCAAAACTGCACATTATTGAAAAGTTCATAGTCAACTGGAGCAGTCTGGGTGGATACCCTAGCTACAAAAAATGCCATGACGCTGTCTCTTAGCATACCACGTGACGGGGTTTTACTGCGACACCAAATTAATTATACACGGCCTAGGCGGTCTAACTGCGCGTTGTAGAGCTGGTACAAGCTCTATGAGGAATTATCGTCACGGTTTTAAGCTAGAGCTTGATCGAAAGTAATTCAACAGTTAATCCAAAAACAAGTGAAATTAGCAATAGAGTTAGTGACAAAGAAACTATGGGATTTGATTCCAACTGCAAAAAAATATTCATCTCTAACGCTTGCTACGAGTAGCTCAAAATGGAAACCATAATTCAACAGGTACCAAGTATTAAGAAAGCAACGAAGTAACCCTAAAATCTAGTCAACTATTGATCTCGCTATAAATAACTTAAAACTAAACGCCCAATATGAGAGATATAGCTCGCAACACACTAACTCTAAAATTCAACCCACAGTAGAGCTCGCTGCAACCAACTCAGAATTAAGTTTACAGCTAAAAATTAATTATTGGTAGAGTTAGCTTCAAACTGACTCCAAACTTCGATCCTACAAACAAGCAGGATTAACTATAGAGACTACTTAAAAGCGAGCCAAAATTCAACCCACGATAAAGAGCTAGCCAGAGATATAGCTCGCTACAAGTACTACAAAATTAAATCGATAACGAAGCTCACCGCAAACTGACTCAAAAACCCGACCTACAAAGCTATTTAATTTTGAATCTCAACACAAGGCAGTCCGTGCAGCAGAAAGGCCTAGAGACAACCAGCATTAACCGGCAAAAGTTACTCGAAAATGCAACTTACAACCACGAGAAATGAAACTCGCTACTAAAATAACTCTATAACTTCATCTCAATCACCAAAAGCATCAACAATAGAAATGCTCTAAACTGACACAAATTATTGATCCCACGAAGAGGGTATACTAATCACAGAGCCTGCTCTCAACTAACTCAAATTACATCAACAATATATCTTGTTACACCTAACTCAAAATTAGACTCAAAATAAAGCACGCTGAGAACTGACGCCAAATTCAGGCTACAATTATCAGAATTAAATAAAACTAGCTACATCATACTCGCATGCTATCCACCCTTCTTCCCTCATCCTCCATCCGTCATCCTGTATCGTTTCGTCTTTCCGTATCGTTTCGCCTTTTACTGTCGCTGTCATTGTTCGAACCTCAACCCACCTGTGTTACCCTCTCTTACTAAATTATATGGTAAAATGTAAACACAAAATTCCTACCGTGCTAAGTAAGGTCTTCCTTTAGATCTTAACCAAAACAGTTGAGATTTGAGCTTCAAAAAGTGCTAACGAGAGCTCTTTGATCGACCAGCAGCTGTTTACAAGAACCATGAGAGAAATTGTAAGTTAGTTTGGGCGAAAACGCGAAGAAATGGGCGTTTTTTGGGCCGTTTTAACGGTGTAAAAACGAGTGTTTTAAGTCGCGTTTTGTGTGTCTGAGAAGAAGACATCAGCGATTCACGCTTTACTAACCTTTAAACACCTCTTTAGATACACATTTCAACGGGCCAATGCGGTAACCAAATTGGTGCGGCCTTCTGGGAGACTATTTGTGGCGAGCACGGACTCGATTTTAACGGTAACTATAACGGATTAGACGATATCCAAAAAGCGCGTTTGAACGTGTATTTCAACGAAGCATCGTCGGGGAAATGGGTGCCCCGGTCTGTAAATGTGGATTTGGAGCCAGGCACCATCGACGCAGTTCGCAACTCGCGGATCGGCAATCTTTTTAGACCCGACAACCATATTTTTGGACAATCGTCTGCTGGTAACGTGTGGGCCAAGGGCCACTACACAGAGGGTGCAGAGCTTGTGGACTCTGTGATGGACGTGGTGCGTCGCGAAGCAGAAGGCTGCGACTCGCTCCAAGGTTTCCAGATCACACACTCGCTTGGAGGTGGCACCGGGTCCGGTATGGGCACATTGCTGATCTCCAAGATCCGTGAGGAATTCCCAGACCGTATGATGGCCACGTTCTCGGTTGTGCCCTCCCCCAAGACCTCCGATACGGTTGTGGAGCCCTACAATGCCACTCTATCCGTGCACCAGCTGGTCGAGCATTCCGACGAGACCTTCTGCATCGATAACGAAGCACTTTACGATATTTGCCAGAGAACCTTGAAACTGAGCCAGCCTTCTTACAACGACCTAAATCATCTGGTATCGTCTGTGATGTCTGGTGTCACCACTTCCTTGCGTTACCCAGGCCAGTTGAACTCCGATTTGAGAAAACTGGCCGTCAACTTGGTCCCATTCCCCCGCTTGCATTTCTTTATGGTCGGCTACGCTCCACTAACCTCTATTGGGTCCCAATCCTTCAGATCTTTGACCGTTCCAGAGCTTACGCAACAAATGTTCGATGCCAAGAATATGATGGCTGCTTCGGACCCAAGAAACGGTAGGTACTTGACCGTGGCAGCTTTCTTCAGAGGTAAAGTCTCTGTCAAGGAAGTTGAAGATGAAATGCACAAAGTGCAGACTCGTAACTCTTCGTATTTCGTGGAGTGGATTCCAAACAACGTGCAGACCGCCGTGTGTTCCGTAGCGCCCAAGGACCTCGACATGGCCGCTACTTTCATTGGTAACTCTACATCGATTCAAGAGCTGTTCAAGAGAGTTGGGGACCAATTCGGTGCCATGTTCAGAAGAAAGGCCTTTTTGCATTGGTACACCAGTGAAGGTATGGAGGAAATTGAATTTTCCGAAGCTGAGTCTAACATGAACGACTTGGTCAGCGAATATCAACAATACCAGGAAGCCACGGTAGAAGATGACGAGGAGCTAGATTATGCCGACGAGCAACCTATGCCCGAGAACTTCGAGTAAGAAAAGAAGTATCACCTTTTCGACCTCAACCTTCAACACCAATCATGACGTGAATCCAAGTGAAAACCGTCACCAAGAACAGGTATATCTCGATACCCTTTTTAAAGTTTGGAGAATCAATAGGGACCCCATTTGCTCAGGTCTTTTAAGCGTTCTACAAAGTAACACGCCTACCAGTTCAACTTCTACAACCTGTGGTTTGCCAGGCTCGCAACGACTGCGATATCCTTTTTTTAAAAAAATATAATTTTGATCTTGAACCTCTGAGCTGAATACAGTGTTCCTTCTGCTGCCAAGTTCATTCATTCCATGCGTATAGTTAGTTACCTACCAAGCTCTGTATATCGAAGGAAATTATTTCACCAAGATCGGTGATCTTCATAATTCTATGACTAATTCTTCCTACTGAACCAGAATTCTTAAAAAGTTGGGCAACCCAAAATTTAAAGGACTGCTATGCTATTTTATCCACCCAGTTGAAGCTCTTCAGCTGATCATTTGAACAGTGTATCTGAGCTCTTTACTTGCTGGCTTTAGTTTCCTCTTTTAACTGACGCTGTCATGGAAAATTTTCTGAAATTTGTAGAAAATGAGATGAGCATGATGCGATGAGATGAGCTTAAGTCAACTTTAAACATAGATATATCAAAACAAAGCTGGTCTTTTGACGCCGTTAGGCTGTATTAAACAACATGCTACGCTGTTCAAGGTCATGCTACCGATTTCACGGGGTTAAAAGGCTGATCGGCCAGCTGAGACCTCTTTCACAAACGGCTTTTTTGAAAAAACCGTCTATGAATTATTATGGACTCGAAAGCGGGCCCAGCAATGATGATATTGGATTTCTCAAGTCGTCTGTGGTGTCTATGGCCCCCGGATTTGGTACTTTTGATAATGCACAGGCCGCTGCTCAAGCTGGCGAGTCTCGAAATATCATGAACCTGTGGTCTCTACTGGAGGCATGTCTTCACTCTGGCTACATGGATCGGGCGTTTTCGATCTTAAGGTCTCTCTACAACCTCAAGTCGTACCGGGCATCTTTCATCGACGATTATAACAAGTACCTGACGAAATTCGCTGAAAATGCTACAGACTTGAAAACTGTCGACAAAAAGCTATTTGAGGACCTCCAAAAGACGTTTCCAGCTGTCGATTATAATGATAAGACACTGGCAATTTTGATCCATAATGCGATCAAGCTTTCAGACTCGAAAGAAACCCGTTCAAAGCACTGCGAGACTTACCTGAGAATGGCTGTCAGTGGCTACAGAGGTATTTTAAGCAACGTCGAAGTGCTTACAATACAGGATTACCGGACTTTACTACACGATCTAGGTCTGATAGAAGTACACGATTTGCCCGCTGAACTAGGACCCATAGTGGTTGCGAGCGGGGTTTCGCCTGAAGGCACTGAAGAACCAAAACGGACCGCAGGCGGAACCCATGGTATAACAGGAATGGCGAAGGACAGTCCTGAATTCGCATTTGACAACGAAATAAAAACTGTGGCGAAAGACGCCAAGGAATTATTGGCTGTTGACACAATCGGTATGAAGGTCGTACGACATACTCTGCTAGGACTCTCTCTCACTGAAGAACAAAGAAAGCAAGTCAAAGACTTCAACTTCGAAACCGCTTCAAACCTTCTAAACTTTGAAGAAGGCCAAAGCAACATCGACTTCTTCGAGATTCATCGGACTCTGAAAACTGATGAGGAAAGAGAGTCTTTCGCAAAAGCTTTAGACGAATTCAATCAGGATAGACAGCACCAACTAGAACATAGGGCAACTGATGCCGCCAAAGAGCGTTGGAGACACGACTTCGAGGAAGCAAAAGCGAGAGGAGACCTGTCTATACAGAAAAAACTAAACGTCAAGCTGTGGGATTGGTTCAATCAGATGCTGCCACTTGTCAAAGAAGAAGTAAAACGCTGCGCCGAAGTAGCAAACCATTCTGTGCAGGACGGTTCGCTCAGCGCCAAGGAGAAGAAACAGAACAAAGCAAGAGAGGATTATGGTCCATACTTAACACTGGTGGACCCTGAAAAGATGTGCGTCATCACGATTTTAGAGCTTTTGAAGCTAAACTCGACTGGTGGTGTGATAGAAGGTATGAGAACAGCAAGAGCTGTAATTTCCGTCGGCAAAGCAATCGAGATGGAATTTAGAGCTGAGCTGTTGCTCAAAAACGAAGCGCACGTCTTCAAGGACATCAAGAAAAACTCGCATGTGTTTAAGCTGCTTGTGCAGCGCGCAAGAAATACCTTCCGTTCCATGAAGATTGAAGAATCGAAGATTCTATGGCCTCAAGAAGCTCGTGCCAAGATCGGGTCAATATTAATCTCGATGTTAATTCATGTTGCTAGAGTCCGAGTTGAGGGTACCGACCCTCTTACGCAAGAAAAGATTCAGGGCGAAGCACCAGCTTTTTCCCACGGATACCAATACCACAACGGTTCCAAATTAGGCGTGCTTAAAATCCATAGAAGCTTGGTCCACCAACTCAATGGCGAGCGTTTGGTTGCAGCAGTGCAACCCCAATTACTTCCCATGCTAGTCAAACCAAGACCGTGGAAGAGCTGGAATTCTGGTGGCTACTACTACACTCAATCGACTTTGATTAGATCAAAGGAATCGCCTGAGCAAGTCGCTTATCTCAAAGCTGTATCTGATGCCGGTGCAATTGAAAACGTTTATCGCGGCTTAAATGTTTTGGGCGAAACTGCCTGGACAGTGAACCGGAAAATGTTCGACATGATGTCGCATGTGTGGAATACAGGTGAACCATTTCTCGATATCCCTGGCAATCAAAGCAAGCTGGTACTAACGCCTCAGCCCCCAAGAGATGCCGACCCTTCAGTACACAGACAGTGGAAGCTCAAAAACAAAGAGCTCGCAAATGAATTTTCAGGTGGTCGATCAGCACGTTGTGATGCGAACTATAAGTTAGAAATCGCAAGAGCTTTCCTCGGTGAAAAGTTCTATTTCCCTCACAACTTAGACTTCCGTGGTCGCGCGTATCCGCTGTCACCTCATTTTAATCATTTGGGCAATGATATGAGTAGAGGACTTATGATCTTTTGGAATGGTAAACAACTGGGTTCGAATGGTCTTAAGTGGCTCAAGGTACATCTATCCAATCTTTTTGGATTCGATAAAGCACCACTTGAGGAACGTATCGCTTTTACAGAAAGCCATCTCGAAGACATCAAAGATTCAGCAGAGGACCCTTTGAATGGAAAAGGCTGGTGGAAACAAGCTGATAAGCCCTGGCAAGCTCTCGCTACCTGTATGGAATTGAATGCTGCCTTGAAATTGGACAATCCATGCGAGTTTATTTCTCATATTCCTGTACACCAGGACGGGACGTGCAATGGTTTACAGCACTATGCTGCCCTCGGAGGTGATGTGGAAGGTGCTAAACAAGTCAATTTGATGCCCAGTGATAGACCACAGGACGTTTATTCTCATGTTGCGAAACTAGTTGTTGCAAGACTGGAGAAAGCCGCTGCGAAGGGTGATGAGACAGCAGAGATTCTAAAAAACAAGATCACACGTAAGGTTGTCAAGCAAACTGTCATGACCAATGTTTATGGTGTCACCTATATTGGCGCTACTCATCAAATCGAAAAGCAGCTATCGACTGTTTTTGACGATTACAAGCATTCATATGAGCTGTCAAAGTATCTGACGAAACACGTCTTCGCCTCCGTAAGAGAGCTATTCGAGGGTGCACATCTCATTCAGGACTGGTTAGGAGAATGCGCAAAGAGAATCTCCAAATCCATTAGACTCGATATTGATGAAAAGGCTTTTAGGAACGGTAATAAACCCGACTTTATGTCCTCTGTAATTTGGACAACGCCTCTAGGACTTCCCATAGTCCAACCATATCGTGAGAATGGCAAGAAACAGGTGGCAACCAATCTCCAAACAGTGTTCATCAGTGATCCCTTCGCTGTCAATCCAATCAACGCCAGGAGGCAAAAAGCAGGCTTTCCTCCTAATTTTATCCACTCGCTGGATGCTTCGCACATGCTTCTATCGGCTCTTAAATGTGGAGAGAATAAATTGGATTTCGCGGCTGTTCACGACTCTTACTGGACGCATGCGAGTGACATTGACACGATGAACGTTCTACTCAGAGAGCAATTTATCAAGCTCCATGAGGTCGATCTTATCGAAAGGTTGAAGAACGAATTCGACGAACGTTATAAAAACTACTTGCAGATCATCAAAATTGACAAGAAGGCTGATGTAGCGACTAAAATTGTTGATCTTAGAAAGGAACTTTCTCAAAAGCTTGGTCGCCAGTTCACGCTAGCGGACGAAATCTACATGGAAAAGAAGCGTGTACAGCTGCTTGAATCTGAGGATCCTGTGGAGAATGGAGAAGGCGCAGAAATGGTGACAACCGTATCGCTGCTTGGTGAAGTTGAAGACATAGCGTTACTGGAAAAGACCAGCGATGCCAGCGGTATAATGGTTTTGGCACCATTGAAACTTCCTCAAATCCCTCCAAAGGGAGATTTCGACGTCAAGGAACTGGAGAACAGCAAATATTTCTTCTCTTGATGGAGAAGCCCGTCGAGAAACCCCTGCATATACTATATTGCAGTGACTGAGTCCTGGAATCATACTTGTAAATAAAAAACCCGACCTTTAAACTTCATTACAAATATACTTTTATAAAGATACCGCGCATTTCTTGAGTTCAACGCATCTCCTCAGTCTGCAGACTATATGATCTTGCCCTGCTTTTCCAGATTTTCTATCAAAGGCTCCAAAGGGCTCATATCTCTCCTATCCACAAGGTTAAATTCTTTGGCGAAACTCACGAAGTGGGCGAACAGCGAATTCCAGTGCGCCTCCAGAGACAGATGTATTATTTTGTCGAAGTGATGATGGTACATGTGGGCGAAGATTCTGAACATTTGAACAATAATTCTCTGAATGTCCTGAACGAAATTGGAAGGGAAGGGATAGCCGTTTTGCGTGGGAAACAAAGTTTGGTCAGACACCTTATTATTTATCCATGTAAGAGCGAGATCGATGTATTGACCCGCTGGTAATGAGACCTGTCTGTTATTGGCATCAAGCCACATATAATCAGTATGCGGCCCGGCGTTCATTTTTGGATACGCGTCGGCCGTGACGTATTCGGCAATGATGCCGTAGAACTGGTTGAGGTTTGTGAAAAACTCAAACACGTTGAGGGCGACCCACTCGCCCAGATCAACGTATTTCGGTAGCTGTACTATAGTTTTGAAAGAGCCCTTGACCAAAGCCGTTCTGACGAAGGGCTCGCTCAAAAACAGAGCCTGCTGACTTTTTGCACCTTCCCGTGTTGTTGGTGAGCTCCCATTAGTGTGGTAAGTCTGATTTTGACCGTTGGAACTGCTGTTGTGAGAATTGGCAGAATGTCTGACGGGCGAAGATTGCATTTGCATCTGTCGCAAAGAGAGCTTTGAATTGCTACCATGTGCACTAGTGTATACCGAATTTACGGGCATGGCCGAGGTGCCCACATTCTGGCTTTTATTCTTCTTACTGCTTCTCCCAAATCCTCTTCAAAGATGGTATTAAAGTTAGTCGAAAATGCATCAAATCGAAACGTATTTTGCCCGTTTAAAAACTTACTTGAAGGTATTGAAAAAAGACATCGAGGACGGTATAGTCAAACAAGCTGAAAGGGTCTAAATGTCCACTCTTTACTTCACTTCTTTATAGTTTTCTGATCGATTCGAAATGTTTATCTGATGCCCATAATCTTAAGCTTCAGACATATTAAATTCCAGTCACGTGATACAAAGTCACTGTTAAAGGTGAAGTTAAAGCGAGAATTTAGACACCTTTGGAGGATTTTCTTGAGCAAGATGACCTCGGATTCGAAGTCAACGGCATTGATTCTCCCTAGATACTCTTTTCATGCTAATTTATTTCTTTCGGTAGAGTCTGTAAAAAAATCTCATGTTTTCAATTTTAAGAGGGTAGTCAACCTCATCTTTGGCTCGATACCACAATGAATCATGCTCCTGTACCAGGTCCCAAGCACCGGTGGATTCCTGGCCCCTTTTCCCCAATAAAAGCGTGTCGATCAAAAACTGGATCGGAAATTTCTTCGAACCAACCGTGATGTGTGAATAGCTCCCCGCGCTTTCTACAATGAGCAAGTGGCAGCCAGAGTGACAGTCCTGGTTTAGTTTCTGAAAGAATCTGATGGTCGCGGCCTTTTCGGCCATAAAAAGCTCGTTTGTGGTAAATAACAGAGTGATCAGGTTTAGTGACGGCAGGTTCAAATCCTGCGATGTTGCCTTGAGGATGTCTGTATTGAGAAATTGAATTTTCAGATCGGCGGCGTGGTCGAAGAGCCACGATTTTTGGATGGATTCGGTCAGCTTTTCTACTTCGGCAGTCCAGTTTGCCAAATCGACCACTCTGACCTTCAGACTTCTAGACTCGGCGTCAGTTTCTTTGGTAGAGTATTTAGCGTTGAAATCGATAGATGGGGCAAAAATACTAGCGATACTGACCAGTTCCCCTCCTGCACCGCCTCCAATACTCAAAATTTCGCAATCAGGGCATTCTTGGATCAACTCTCGAACGGCCTGTAAATGACAAAAAAGCGAGCTGTAAGCGATTGCTCTGGACGAAGACCACCGACAGCAGTAGGCAATCCGTTTTTCGGCTGTGTCGAAGGCTGCGGCGTAGTTTCTGTTGTACAACTCGGTTTTTACATTTTGGATGTCATCGCTAAGAACTTGTCGGTCATTTAGATAAAGTTGCTGCTCAAATGTGACTTTAAAAAGATCTAGTATATCTTGGGGTGACAAACTGGCCTCATGGTGCGCTGGAAGCGTCTTGAGGTGATCTTTACTCATTGTTCGAGGTGTTTTTTCAAGCTCATCGCATCAAGATCTATAATTTCGAGTATCAATCTACACCTAGTCAACGGAGTTTAGAAATAGTGAAAAACCGAGCATGTTAAAAAATTGTTAAGGGCATTGAAGTGACTGGCTAAGGGGCACCTGGATCGATACTAGTTGCGTAGTTCTTGTAGGAGCTTCTTACTATAAACTCTTCTATTATACACAAAAATACCAAGTTGTGTTGGAAAACCGATGTGGGAGTCGTGGATAAGCGGTCTGAGTCAAACCAGGCCAACCAGACTAAACAACGACAACGCAACCTCCTAGCGCGCGCGGCGAAACCTCTTTGCCGCAAGCGCAACCCATGGCCATATTAAATCATGCAAAAACACATCTAATTAAACCGAGACAAAGAATAACGAAGAGATAACATACTTACAGATCAAGTCATCATCGCATCGTCGACGGGACCCGTTGATGCGTTTACTCTTCGTCTTCCTCGTCCTCTGGAGTGACTTGGTAGAAGGCCAATTTGTACTCATTGGTCTTGGTGGAGATGAATCTGATCCAGTCTCTCAATTGGTTCTTCTTCAGGTACTTCTTGGTGAGGTACTTCAAGTACTTACCGGAGAACTTGGTGGTGGAGACAACGGTCACAACAGAGTCGTTTTGCTCCACGGACACGGCGTTACCCAAGTTACCCAAGTGGCCGTCGACCTTGATGTGGTCGATCAAGTACTTGGCGTAGGAAGCTGGGTCGAACACACCGTTCTCAGTAGGAGAAGAAACGTCGACGGTGAAGGTCTTGGTGATCTTTTGCTTTCTGGAAGTCTGAACGACAAAAAAAAAAGACGGTTAGTATACGTGCTTCGCAAGCATTTCAGGTACCAAATGAATGTGCCTACTGCTATTAACAATTACAACGTTGCGTCGCGGTGTAAATAATTAACAAACAGAATAGCCTCTTTTCCAGTTTACGAGACAGAGAGGAACAGATCAACTCAGCGTCAAAAACCATGAAACCAGTCTTTTCGAGCCGCAGCTCGGTCAATGTTTAATATTTCCAAATCGTCATTGTAAAGTTGTTCACAGCACAGCTACACACTTAATTGTAACCCTTGGAAAGACCGAAGTCTCGTTGTTTCTCACATACAACTGGGGCCATTTTATATCTGGTTTGTGCTTGTAGGAAGGGGAAGTAGAAGAGTGTTAAAGTTGATGACAAGTGGGATGTCTTGTATAGATCTTGAATAATTTGCAGTTCTAGCGCCCGGCATCGCCAGGTGAAAAGTTTCAGGAACCATAAGTTGCGTGGGTCGAGTTCTGTCAGTGTGTAGCTGTGCTGTGAACGAAACTTGATTTTTGAAATATTTCGGGAATTATATTTTGTGGGTGTCTGGGTGGCAGTCATATTCCGGAGCCGACGACAGTAGAGCGACGACAGTAGAGCGACGACACTGGTGTTCTATCAAGTAGGGCAAGTGGAGCATCTTGAAGTTTGAATGAGCTTATTTTAGGTTGTATGTATGGTCTCTTTGTGCAGAGGAGTGAAGCGAGAGGTGTTGTTTGTCTCGAAATCGCAGTTTGTTCAGAAAAAAGGTTTGTTGAGCTAGTGTAATGTCGGTGTATTTCACTGCGAAGTAGAAAACACAGGCAAGTTTCGATTTGATAGTGCAGTTGGTGTCAAAAAGAGAGCCTGTCATTAATGTTCAATTTGTGGGCGATTATCTTCAGAAAGTACTTCATCCCAAAGAATATCAGCGTAGTTTTTCTCTGGTCACAGGAGAACATCACCACACAACATGGCTGATGGATTCAAGAAGTCATGTAATCAAAATAAGCAGAAGACGCGCGCAGCGTTCTGACTTCTAGCCTTGGCTCCAAAATGGACGACAGCGCAAGAATATGCACGTGACCGTTTATTTAATGACAATGTCAGAGGCAGGACAGGTTAGTATCGCATGTAACAGGCCCTTTGGATGTGTTCTGGCGGATGTAAACAAGAATTATGGACATGTCCATAAAATTAGTGGTTTGCCCTCTGTTTCATCTTCACCCTGCGTCTCCGAGAGATCCCTTCGAGCATCTCACACATCGGATATAGAATGTCCGTCTCGAAAATCAAATGCACTCGTGAGATCTTCTCCGATCACTTCAAACCCCAAAGAAGAAGCGTGGTCGCGAGTCAGGAAAACCTCTGGTCTGCTCCCACACAGCGGGGCGAAAAGCCAGACTTGGCATTTTTCCTATTTTCAAAAATGAAATAAAACCAAGACCTGGCGGTTAGCCTCCCTAAATCTATCAAACACTGTGAGACACATCATTAACAAGCGAACAAAATCACACAACTCAACCTGGCCGTCTTCCATTCTCTCGATACGCTTTGAACACTCTTTGTTAATTGTATCACTTTTTACCATTCTGTCGCTTCTCTCTGACACAGTAATGTAATAACGTCATCTGCTGAGTTGTGATTGTATCGGCAAACTTGTCGGTGCCAATGGGGTCACGAAATATAGTACCAAAACTCAAGATGTCGGCTACGATTGGTACTAGAATGAATTCCCTTTCCAGACTTCTCGTCTCAACGCGACTGAACCCACGCGACGGACTGGTACGAAGTGATAATATCAATCAATTGGAATTGAACACTTGCAAGTCGGTCAGATAATACGTACATTGAGCTATGGAGCTGGTGGTGATTTTGCATTGTGTCATGCACCACTCTTGCTCTCTCTAGAAAGATGTTTCCTCCCATGCGAGGACCGGTCGTTCAGTCTAGCTTTTGGACATTATCCTCTAGGAATCCTCGAACACACTTCTGGATTCAGTTTTCCGAATCCAAGTTTCGTAACCGATTGTGAATTTTGAAACCAAATTCTAAAGCTGCCCAGCGGTGCCTTCAACTCTGGCGAACATATAAATTAACGAATCTTCTAACAATTATTCTAACATGTTGCAAAAGAGCAAAAATCTTGGAGTTTTTTTGCAAAAACAGTCAATCAATCTCACAAATAATCCAAACCCCATTTATACAACTCTCACAAAGCTTCAAATCGCTACTTGTGTCCTCCTTCTGCCATTTCATCTTCTCTCGGCAAACCAAATATCCATCACTGGGTACGAATATTGAAACCATCATAATTAAGTGATCTCATCAATAAAGTTAAACCTAGGCTGACCTATCCCAATCGCTAACTCGAATGCCTCACAGGCCTGGAGAGACTCTTCTCGGCTGTGAATTATGGCCAGTGATTATGAAGAAGGCCTGGAACTTGGGTTAAAAGAGCTTAAGCTTGCCAAACGGTTTCGTGATGACCATTTTGTTGCTGAAAGAACGGTTCAAACAACATCATTGGAACCACCCAACATGCCAGTGATTGTGGATAGCTCTGAACCACAAGTGAGTTCTTTGAAACAAGAAACCTCAGAAGTTGGGAAATTCGTTCAGGAGTCGATGGAAATGGAATTGCAGTTGGGAAACGAAACACGACGTGAAGTGGGCATTGATAACGAGGGTTCGGGTTCTGAAGCAGAATCGGACTCCTCTCGCGAGTGGAGTGCCTTGCCAGCTATTTCCTCGTACGACGTTTACAACAAAAGCGGCGAGCTGGCTCTTGCTGCTTATAGAGAAACATCTAGTCGTGCATCTTTGGGTAATCCCGCAAGTGGATCATCCGACCAGCCCCAAGCTCAGAAAAAAGCGTCTACATTCGGCTACACGAAAGTAGCAGATGAAGAACAGGCTCAAAGATCGCATGCAACCAACAAAAAGACAGAGTTTCTCTTCAATCACAAAATCTTGAATGAGTCAACGCAATCCTTGAAAGGGGCAGGAACCCCACCAGAATCTTTCGACGAATATGAGGATGCAGAAGAGCACGAATCCGAGCTGAATTCGCGGACCCAATTGTCTTTCACCAAAAATTTACTCAGTGATAGAGAGAAGCTTGCGTATGTCGGATCTGTTTCAGTTTTGGCTAACACTCTATGCACCCAACTGGCACTAAGTTGTCTTTCCACAAACGTCACTGGACGCAAAAAACTAGCTCAAAAGCTACAACATATCCAAAGAGACATGGGGATGTGGAAAAGTACCGTGGTCTCGAAGTTATGCGAGCATTTGAATATATCGCCAGAAGAAATGAAGATGATAGAAAAGCTGACAGCACATGGAATAGAGCTCGAAGATCTTTGCAAATGTCTCAAGGTATCCCAGGTGGTTGAGAACCCTTGGGAAGAAAAGAAGGAATCATCCGATAAGGACCCTGACCTGAAGGAGACTGATATTAGCAATCCCCCTCCCTCGACAGTAATCCACCCGAAAGATTTACAAAAGCAGTGTGAACTTAAAATTGATGTGGCTTGGACCATTTTGTGCGACTTGTTCCTTCTTTTACTGTCAGGAGGAAGATACGACGCCAGATCCAGAACATTATTTATTAAGTTTTCGGAGGTCCTCGACGTCTCTCGAACAGAGATTTGTGAGTTTGAAAGACGAATTATAGATGCTTTGGATATGGAGCAATCTACAGAAGAACAGGTGTGGAACGAAACAGACCATATGAAAACTCGTCGCAAAAAGAATAGAAAAAAGAAGCTTTATTATGTGGGACTCGCGACGATTGGTGGGTCCTTAGTTTTGGGATTGAGTGGCGGATTATTAGCTCCCGTCATAGGCGCTGGTATCGCCGCTGGACTTTCCACGGCTGGCATAACCGGTGCTACAGGATTCTTAACTGGGGTCGGGGGCACTGCAATCGTCGCAGTAACGAGCACTGCTATCGGAGCCAAGATTGGAACTGAGGCGATGTCGAAAAGAATGGGAAGCGTAAGAACTTTCGAGTTCAGTCCTTTGCATAACAACAGAAGAGTGAATCTTATATTAAGCGTTGCAGGGTGGATGACTGGTAATGAGGATGATGTTAGGTTGCCCTTTTCTACTGTAGATCCAGTAGAGGGAGACTTGTATTCTCTGCATTGGGAGCCTGAAATGCTGAAATCCACCGGGCAGACGATCAATATTTTGGCGAGTGAAATCTTCACACAAACAGTCCAACAAATTCTAGGAGCTACAATTCTAACAGCCTTCATGTCAGCGGTTCAAATGCCAATGATGCTGTCGAAGCTCGGATACCTCATTGATAATCCTTGGAACGTGTCCCTGGACAGGGCATGGGCAGCTGGTCTCATATTGGCTGACACTTTGATTTCTCAAAATCTTGGTCAACGTCCTATAACATTGATTGGATTCTCTTTGGGCGCAAGGGTAATTTACTCATGTTTAGTTGAACTTTGCAAACGCGGGGCAGCGGGATTGGTGGAAAACGTTTATCTTTTCGGATCACCAGTTGTGTACAACCGTGAACAGTTAGTCATGATTAGGTCCGTCATAAGCGGCAGGCTTGTCAATGGATACTCAGACAAGGACTGGATCTTGTGTTATCTTTTCCGAGCTACCAGTGGTGGCTTTAAAAGTGTCATTGGCATATCTGAGGTCAAAGATATTGAAGGGATCGAGAACTACAACTGTTCAGGCTTAGTGGAAGGACATATGACTTACCGGAAAACAATGCCCAAGTTGTTGAAAGCAATGGGATTATCAGTCTTGAACGAAGAGTTTGATGACATTGAGGAAATGTCTGATCCGGAGCACCTTCACCGTCAAAGGCAATTGGGGCTCGATCTGGAAAAGGCCCATGAGGCGTCTTCTAAAAGGAAGCGTGCCAGTTGGGTCCCTGGTTGGATGAAACCCAAAAAGGCAAAATGGCAGGAAATGTATGAAGAGTCCACCAGCGCGCAAGGACAGAAGTCGCATGATAATAAAGTTGAGTCGTCTGATGTCGTGGGTGAAAAAAAGAGTGCAGATGCAGCCATCGTGAATACGAGCGCTTTGATGAAAGAGTTGAATAAGCTCAAAAAAAAAGCAGCAAACACACAGGATGAGGCGAAGAGCAGTTCCCCCTCCAAACAATCAGCGAATGATCATGATTCAGGTCTTGCTGGGGATAAAGAGCTAAGTGAGTCCGCAGTCATGCACTCTTTAATGAGCGCCGGGAAAGTGGTTTTGCCTGAAGACTCAGTAAGCTTCCAAAAACGGGACCGTGAGCCCGTCGATTTTGCATTTTCAGATGACTTTTGAACGTACAACAATACTGTATCTATAAGCAATGATATACTGACTTGAAAGAACTATAGAAAGACTTCAGAATTTAGCTCCACATATGAAGCAGCGTAAGGTACATCAAAGTTTTTCATGACTTCCGGATGCAAAACTCCCAAAGTACCGATTTTCTTAGCATCTTCACCCTCCCTTGGTCTAAACATGACCTTGGCACCTCTCCCTGGGAAGAATGTAGGAAGAGAGTCATCCTCCTCGATCCAGTACCCTCTTGTCGACGCGGCTTTACCAAAGTCTGCTATCCATTGAGTTCTAAAAGTTTCCATAATCTTGCCCAAGAGACCTTGAATCACTTCAAATCCAGAGTTTTTACCGGCGTAAATCGCACCCCAGTGACGTTCGTTGTATGCTTTACGCTCCAACTTCTCGTTCTTCAGGACTATATCACCAGCCTCGAAAACTTTGATTGGTAGAGTATGCTTTCTGTTTTCTCTCACAGTCTTCAATAGACCTGGAAGCAGAGTCGTTCTCACGACTTGAAACTCAGATGTTTTAGGGTTAGCCAACCTAACTGCTTGGGTGCCGTCGTCTTCTACTCTCAAAAACTTGTAGTTTTCGTCATGAGAGCAGAGCGTTAGAGGCAAAACTTCTATCCAGGAAGCCTGCGCCGAAGCGGCTCTAAAAATGTCGGAGATTTTGTTGATTGGCAATGGTGCAGCGACGAAAGATGCGCTGGATAGCTTTTCGCCCTTTGGCAACTTGTTGTATCCATAGCCGATAGCAGCATCCTCCATAATGTCACAAGGGTGTAGGATGTCCGGTCTAGTTATTGGAATTTCGACTTTTAAGTATCCGTCCTTTTGAGAGGGGGTGGCATGTAGAGACAACTTCTTCAAGTTATCGCATATCTCCTGTGCTGGCTGTTCTAAACCCAAACACGAGTTGATGTATTGCGTAGACACCTCCATGGTCTTCGAGCTGAAATCAGGAGTAAAACGAGATTGCTGGTTGTGCTCAGAGACGACCTCCACAGGTTCTACGACGAATGGTTCCGCGCAGTAACGAGAAAACATAGCCACAATCTGGTTGATTACAACTTCTACCTTGGTCTTATCGGTAGCGGTACATTCTATCAAGACATTAGTGGTGTTCAAAGATATTTTAGAGTGTTCTGAGTTGATCAAAGGTGGCAATGAGCAAACTGTGCCCTCGTTGTCCATTACAACTGGGAAAACTGGAGAATCCTCGATAATGTGGACGAATCTGCCCAAGTTGTTCTTCTGTTCTGGTTGCTTGTAGAGGTCAATCAACTCCTTACCGTTGAGCTCCTTAGTTTGAAACAATGGGATGAATTTGATATCTGTGGGTGGAAGAGCTCTGTAGTGGAAGGGACCTTTAATGGTGTCAGCGTCGTGAGTACCGATGGCAACCAAAGTTCTGTTTCTGCACAGGTTCGAGTGTAGCTTATCCTGGAGGTTGATGAAAGATTGGTAAGACTTCTCGGTGAACTTGATGCCTCTTAGAAAAGCTGCAGCAGCATATGGTCTAATCTGTTCAGTCGAAGGCTCGATGTAGAGCTTCGTGGTAGGCTCGGAAAGCTTGTAGTTTGGCGTCTCTTTTCTTCCCAAAAACTCATTCAAAGACTGGGCAATACCCTCAGTGCACAGCAAGTCATAACGGTTCGCACCCACTTCAATTTTCAGCTCTGGTTCCTCATTTGTCTTCAGAGCTTCCTCGGTGGTGTCCTCATCCAATTCGACACCAAACTCGAAGCAGAGTTCGTCAAAATCCTCGTTGGAATACTGTTTACCTAGCAGTTCAAAGAACTGCTGTTTAGGAACCGAAACGGTAGGCATAATGGCACGGTTTATCGGTTAGCTATTGTGATGACATCGGATGTTCTTCAATTGATGTTTTTCATGTCATAACTTCGAAAATTTTTGGTGATTTCGTCGATAGTGACTATATAACCATATGTCAGTATAACATCGATTATCAAAGGGCTCCCGTTGAGCGCTCGTTTGTGCCAAAATTGACCTTTTTGGCCTTTTTATTCGAATCGGGCGTATTTGTTATAGGTACCCATGTTTTTAGATATCCTTTCTTACCACCTTTCTTATCAACAAAAATCGTAGTTTCAATAAGGCTAATGAAATTGATGTCAATATCGTTTTGCCGTAGCGCCTCGTATGGATGCTGTCTTGACTTATCCGTTGTAATGTTTTGCAAAGCGGTTAATGGTTAAATTCCATCCGCATCGACGTCACTTACCATTGTTTCATCCGCATCTTGGCTTTTCTTGAGCGTGTATTCCATCAAAAGTGACCGCAACTGCTGAACGCTGACAGGACGTTCGAGAACGTCGTCAAAGACGCAGGCCTGTTGAGCCTCTTGGAAGAATGCAGTAATGGCAATAATAGGTGTGGTTCTGTTTAAACTCGTCGTGTTTCGCAGCAGCTTGACGATATCGATGGCACCAAGTTTTGGAAGTTTGAGAGCTGTGAACATAAGATCGAACTTCACGTCACTGGTAGCTCTGCGAACCATTTCGTCTCCCATTGACACACTGACAACAGAGCACCCCAAGCTCTCGAGGTCTTTGGTCAGCTTGAAGCGATGTATCGGGATAGGCTCACAGACAAGGATGTCGAGGTTGTACATAAGCTCGCTCGCACCCGATGAGCTCTTGCGGTCACTCCGCCGACGTCCACGTACGCTAGCAGCCCGTGACAGTGATTGGAGCCTTTCGCTTTCCTCTGTCGCAATCTCGCCTAGGCTAGAGTGCTTGGAAGAGGTGCGTGAATGATGTTTAGTTCTTGAGAAAGTGTGTTGAGGTGATAAAGGAGATTTGAAGCGCGAGGCTGGTGACGGTGAGTCGCATTCTTCATGTGCAAGAGCTAGCGAGTTCAGAGGGCTATCGGTGATCCCGCCAGCGCTTCGCCGCTGACCTGTCATTGCTATTTCAACGCTACCTCTTCTGCTAGGTGAATGATGGTTTGATGAATTTGGTGATGCGGAAGATCTTGTTGGGATGACTAGGTTGCCAGCCGAAGGGTTCGAGACACTTCCTTTTGCATGTTTAACCTTTGTTGAAAAGTCAGATGAAGAGCTTGAGCCGCTGGAAGTCCGATGGTGATGATACTGGTGAAGCCCTTGTTCAACAAGATGTTCATTTTTGAGTCTGTTAATGACGTCTTTGTTGGCCTTGTCCAGAGCGGGTAGGTTTCTGAAGTTAAAAGAGCCAAACTCAGTTTGCACTTCGTTGAGTTTGCTTACTCGCCTGTCTCTAAGATGCAGTGGAATGGCTAGAGGGAGTTGTTTAGTTGTTGGTGAGCTATGATTGCTGTGACTCTCGTGTGCTGTGGATTCTAAGACAGAACCAACGGTCAGTTTTTGCGTTGGGGTACCCGATTGACTACTGCGTTCGCTGCTTGTTCGTTTGGGCGCCCGTCCAACCCCAGGTGTCAGTAACTCGGGAATTTTGGGCGGTTCCGTGTCAGACTCGCTGAAATCCTCCAATTGAGCACCACGGAGGTCAAAATAATCCGTACTTTCCGGATGAGCAACTTCTGGCACAAATGAACCTGTTTCATCATATAAGCTGTCCCAATTGACGTCGGCAAAGTAGGAATGACCGAAGATGTCTTGAACATCGTTCGCGCCTAGTCTCTCATCAGGGTTGACGACGAGGAGTTTCAATATGAGATCTTTAGCCTCAGGAGAAATGAACTCGCGTTCCATTTCTTCGTCAGGGAAGTCTGGCCAGTGTATTCTACCAGCAAGTATGTTACTGAACACTTCTTCAACCGTTTGAGCATGAAATGGGGGGTATCCAAAGAAAAACTCAAATAACATGCAACCTACAGACCACCAATCACAAGCATTGGTCTCTCCGGTACCTTCTATCGTTTCCGGTGCCAGGTAGTCTGGGGTTCCAAAAAACCTCTTGTCGTGCCTTGAATCTTCAGGATTGAATAAAGTGTAATCTGGCGTGGGACTCTCGTTCTCCCAGCTTTCAGAAATATTAGAACTGGCGCGCTTGTGTAAGTTCATCGGTGGTGGGGATCCACCTCCCGGGGAATCCGTCATGGAGAACGATAATTGCGACCCTGACCTACGAAGTGCTGGTACTTCCAAGACTGATTGTGAGCTCGAATTCGAATTTGAGCGTTCTGTCTTAAATATTATCCCGTCCAGAGTATTATTAGAAGACGGTGACTCGGTTTTCAGTTGCCACTTCAAAGGCAAATCAGCACTACCCTCCTCCGATACAGCACTCCCTTTCCGGCTGCTCCTTGGGATATCTTTGTTATTAGCGCCTCGGTGCCTTGTGACAAGCCCTAGCCTTGAGAGGCCAAAATCGGTCAATTTTAAATGGCCACGGCGATCTATCAACAGGTTGTCTGGTTTCAAATCATGGTGGATAATACCACTCCGATGCATATCCGCAACGCCGTAAATGACTTCTGTGATATACTGCTTGGCCCACTGATCCGGAAGGCAACCCATCAACTTGATTAAAGTCGCCAGGTCGCCACCGCTCAGGTACTCCATTACCAAGAACAAATTACCACGGTTTTGAAATGTTGCAAAGAGTTGAGCAACATACGGCTTGTTGCTCTGAATCATCATGATAGCCCTTTCTGACTTGACGTTTGTCACTTGGTTTTTAGCAATCATATCAGACTTCTTCAACACTTTTATCGCGAAATAATCGCCGGTTATTCGCCTCTTGGCTAGATAAACGCTTCCATATGCTCCCTTGCTAATAGGTTTGATAATATCGTAATCCCTTATGCTTGGGGTACTTGATTTTGCCTGGTTAGTGGCCAAAAGAAGCGGTGACAGAGGCTGCTTTGGTATAAGAGCCGAGTGAAGCTCTGGTGTCAAACGATCTGAAGATGCTGCGTAAGGTGAAGTCATTGGAGATCTCTCAAGGCTTGCAGAATTCAAAGGCCTGAAAATTGAGTTTTTTTGTAGCGAAGACAACGGGGTGCTGTGACCCGCTGTCGATGCCATGGAGTCTCTTCTAGGAGTGTGTTCGTTTACTCCGGCTGATCTTGAACTTTCGGTGGAATCAGGTAAAATCAGTTTCGGAGTTCCCCCTACTGACTCGTAAATTTTGGGCTGCTCGCCTCCTCCCGACCCTGGAAGAGCACCAGGAATTTCGATGAGAGGCTGCTTGGGTGTTATAGACCGCGAAAACGATCGAAGACTGTCCCTACTTTCAGTTGCTCCCAAACTATGATTATTCTGCAAATTACTCATATGTTGTCGAGGTATTCTGTCAGTACCAACGTACGCTTCCGAAAAGATGCCACTTTGTGCTTTGTGTGGCTGAGGAGAAGCAATTGGAGCATCGGAGCGTTCTGTTTCGCTCCCCTTACTTGACGGCGTGTTTGAAAGGGTTTGAGAGCGTAATTGAGGTATTGCATGGCTTGGCGTTGAGTTCAGTCTATTGCGATCGAGCTTTTCCTTGATTAGCTGCAAAACATAAGAGTCGATTTCCTTTTTGATCTTTAGCGAGTATCTTAGCGCATTATCCAACCTGAAAAGGTTTTCTATTTTTTGCAGCACTAGATCAGTTGTGTCCTTTCTCAGCAGTTCAATTGCAGGGCACGAGACGGCCTCTTGAAGGCGCCATTCTATGACACTTTGCATGTTTTTCTCTGTTCTCGGAGAGAATTCGTAAAAGTATTGTACTGTGCCGTTCTCTAGCTCGTGTTCGTCAGATACTTCTTTGAGCTCACTTATATTTGTGTTGATGGCGTCATCGCACAAGTCTATCAGAGAGGTCAACACTCTGAAGGGAAACTTTAAACCTGAAATAACAGGGCTATTGTTTTTAGCATGATCCGGGGACCTATCAAAAATACTGACGGCTGAGGGATTCTTATCGCTTGACGACGATGATCCATCAAGTAATTTCAAATCCTCCTCAGTTTTTGGTAGGGGCAAGCCCTTGTATTGAGTTATTCGCCCATCATTGGCCTCCAGGGACTTGAACGTCTCTTCAAGGTACTTTTTGCGCTCCGCCAGTTTGTCGTGATACAGTTGCACCACACTTTCAATTTTGTTTTCCACAATACAGGATTCAGAATGCGTCTCTAGCCACCAAGCTGGGACTAGGGACTCGCACACCCTACAGAGTTCATTTTTTGGCGTAGGAAGATCTTGCTCGTCCGTCACCATCGAATCCTCTATTTCGGCGAGGTATTGCGAGAAAATGGTGGCACCAAAGCCGAGACGTTTGACCAGATCCTGAGGAAGATTATCCATGTTCCCCATTTCGCAGAAAGGTTTTACAATCCACATGGAGTGCGTAGGAACGTTGTCGATGACGCTTGAAATCACGACACCTTGAGCCTCGAGTTCGATTGTGTCCGGTTGTACTGGCGAGGCCCCCAAATTGCTGTCAGGGACGGTCTTGGCGTCAGTATCATTCAGATCGCATTCGACCAGAAACCGGACTCTGTAGCTGCAATCTTCTCGAATCATGAGATCCGTGGCTCGCTGGAAGACTGATCGGTCCTGGTCTGTGCCCATCAGGATATCCGAAATTACTTGACCCACGATATCACTGACGCTCGTCCCCACTATATCTTCCCATATCGAACTTAAATAACGGATTCTGCCGTCCATATTGAGTTCCATCAGAATACTAGCGCTTGTGTCGGTTGCAACCTTCAGATACTCGTCGTAAGACAGCGAAGATTCTGAGGGGGAGGGAGGAGCTGAAATTGCAGACCGAGAAGAGTCCGGACTTGCACTATCAGGGTAGTTTGACCCAGTCGTAATATGTTCCAGAGACAGTGTGCTGATGTTCATGATGGAGGTTGATGACTTGTTGAGGGCTTTTCTTGGCGACTTGACCGATCTTTTTAAGTTCAGTAGATGTAGGGTTTAGATTGCTGCAAAGTGCAGGTTAAGCCGTCTTCAAAAGCTACCAATGGCCACTTAAATTTATACTTCTTAGGCAAAGGCGCCCGAGACTCCCGGATGGTGCTTGTTGAAAGCTTTTGAAGCTTTCGCGATGTCTTTTAATGTGTCGATGCCCTTTGAACAAAAACAGCACTTGATCTGAATTTAAAATAGATGTACCACGATACTAAAGAGCCAATAGACGGAGGGAAGTAACACTCAGAACCTACAATCTGGTCGTTCTCCAGCGTATTTACAGCTCGGATAATCGGTCAAAATCTTAAACAATTCTGTAGCTTTCCAAACTACGAAGTAACGCTCTTGAGATGTTGATTTTAGACTGTAGCGACGAGATTAACGATATATTGAGATCTGTATGGACATATGTACATGTGTGTGTAGCTTCTATTTGCAGGCACTCCAATAACCAGTTGCGGCAAGAGAGCAGTGGTCAATTGAATTTGAAATGGTTCGAAAGTGTTGAATTGTAAGCTTTGGAAGCCCAGCTTTTTTCAATATTGAGTGAGTCCAATTCTGGTTTTACCAGCATGTTTGAAGATATCTTAACACGCCCAATGCGAGCATTTCTGAAAGCAGGAAGCTCTATTGTTCCTTTACTCAGACACAGATTTAGCGGCCGTTCTCTGCGAACAAAACTTGGCAGTTTAGAGAGTTTTTCTGACGCTGGTTTAAGATTCAGTAGTGGTCAGAACCCATACTTGAAAAAAGTATCATTTCGCAAACCAAAGAGTTTCACAATGAGTTCAGAGGTCCCTGAGGAGCCCTCGAATGGCATTTCCAAGCCTATTGTGTGGATAGACTGTGAGATGACAGGTCTGGACCATACTAAAGACAAGATCATCGAGATATGCTGCATCATCACAGATGAAAACTTGAACATGGTGGACGAGGCCGGCTACGAAAGCGTGGTACACTGCGACAGGATCATTCTGGATGGAATGGACGAGTGGTGCGTGGAGCACCACAGCTCAAGCGGGCTGACCCAGAAAGTGCTGGAATCCACGAAGACCACGCAACAGGTGGAGGACGAGTTGCTGGCGTACGTGCAGAAATGGATTCCCACGGCGCGCCGCGGCGTGTTGGCGGGCAACACGGTCCACATGGACCGTCTTTTCATGCTGCGAGAGTTCCCCAAAGTGGTCAATCATTTGTTTTATCGCATTATCGACGTGAGCACCATTATGGAGGTCTCGTTCCGGCACAATCCCGAGCTGGCAAGTGTGTTTCCGCGCAAAAAGGGCGCCCACACCGCCAAGTCGGACATTTTGGAGAGTATTGCACAGTTGAAATGGTACAGAGAACACTACTTGAAGGACAGCGAGGAAACAAGAGATTTCGTGGCCCAACGCAAGGCTGAAATCGAAAAACAAACGCAGCAAGAAACCAGCGACCGCGACGCCAGCAGCAAGACGGGCGTAGGTGCCGTCGTTGCAGCCGTCAAAGAATCATTCCACGAAACTCTAAATGCGCTGAAAAAAGAGAGTGAAGATTCCAACGACGAGGAATCGCCTGTAAAAAAACAGAAGTTAGATTAAATAACGCAATCGAGACTTTCTTAAGCCAGAACCTGGCGAAATAACCAGCTACGATCGTGTCGAAAGTTTTATCGCTACAGCTATGCGTTGAGTTCGGTTTTTTTCTTAAAAATAGTGTTCTGGGACTTTAAAGCATGCCAAAGAGCATGAACATATAGACACCTCGCTCAAGACTCACTACGAGTTACTTAATGTGTTAAATCTACTTCCTAGTTGTTGTGAGATTTTCCTGTCCAGTGCAGGGAGCGTGGTCTATCTATATAGCCAATTTTTGTAAAATTTAGTCGCCCTCGTACGGCGATCTGACGAAAAACAAAAAAAAAAAAAATAGTATAAAAGGCCCTGGTTTTTCAGCTTTCGGACCTTTCAGGACACTTCTCACTTTCCTCTTTTTTGACAGTTTCAACAACAACACAGATATTCAGACTAAAAGGATACCCTTGAATCGGGCGGAAACGATACAAGGCAGCTTTAAAAGTATATACGAAAATGGCCGCTACTAAAAGCTTTCATCGTCACAGCGTGGCTGGGTCTTCCCACGACGCTGTTGCCGTGAATGACATACCAGTGAACTTCAAATCGACTTTGCCACCTAGAAAACGAGCGAAGACAAAGGAGGAGAAAGAGCAGAGACGTATCGAGCGGATACTGCGGAACAGACGCGCGGCTCACCAGAGTCGTGAGAAAAAGAGGCTGCATTTGCAGCATTTGGAACGGAAAGCGGCGTTGCTGGAGGAAATCCTGAGCTCGCCAGACGTGGCGCAGCTTGTGAAAAACGACAGCTCCCTACGCAGCATATTCGACGAGTACCAGGTTCTGGCGTCCCAGGCGGATGAGGATGGCAGTTTTGCCGTGCACGAAAGTCCCGATAGCGCCACTAATGGCCAGCGGACCCCAGAATCGATGTCGTACTCACTGTCGTCGTCGTCCAAGCTCACATCGCGCTCGAATTCCCTTGTTTCGTCGCCCTTACGCGTCGTAGATGAAGACAAAACCAGAAACGCTCAGCAACCGCGGGCCATGGACAATCTTCTGGAGCCGGTTCCAGAAAGCCCAACTGTTGCCAGTGTTTCCTTCGACTCTCTGCTCTCTGGCGACTTGGGGGAAAATAAATCCCTCTGTCTACTTCCACCACGCACCTCTGTGGCCGATCCCAACAATTGGAATCTGCTGCTGACCGACAACCACGACGAACTCGTCGCACACTCCCACGACGAAGGCGAGTACCCTGTCCTCGACATGACTGATAACTCCTGGGGCCTTGACCCATTGCGTAATCCAGCCGTGATTAAGCTTATTAGATGAGAGCGCATAGAGAGGCCAGAGACAATAGTTCAAGACTTTTTTTTCAAAATGACAATATCTGTGTGTTCGCGTTGCTTGAGTGTGACTTCTTGATTGAAAGTTTCCTGCTGACGTTCGCACAACTGAATCAATTCCGCCCGGTTCTGTCTGTCAAAATGTCTTTTTGAGCTGAAGTCTTCCTATTTTTCTTTGCTTCTCTCACTGTGCTGCTTGTACTGCCAGAAGCGCAGTCAGGTTCAACCCTCGAGTTAGATGATTTCATATCCCTTTGATACAAAGGGAAGGCTAGTTTGGTTTTTTACGGTGGTAATAACTATCTTGACAAATGATACGCGGTGCGATTTTTTACGACACGCTCTTGGATCCTGTTCGATGTGTGGCCTCGTTTCCGGTATGTGGCGCGCCCCCCACCCACGTAGTGGAGGGGCTGCGACTGGCCGGTTGTACGTGCAACCGCACACTGAATTGGAACTAAAAGAGCCTGTTTCGTTCTACAGCTCACCGTTTTTCTATTTAGAAAGGTAGTATTAACCACCGCTTTCGTCTTCCAAATTTTTGGTTGTTGTCGTCAACTCCGAGTAGAGATTGATGAATTTTGTACATAAGTTCAATATGTTATTGGTACGTACGTTTTAATACGTTTGGGTTTTTTTTGAATTGTTGTAACTCTCCCGTGGTGGTGTTTTTAGCTAAAGTTGTGAAATAGGTGTAATTCCAACTGTTAGCGCTGTGTTCAAACCATCAACAAAAACTCATCGACATCAACACTTTAAGCCCAGCAACCTCCATGACAGACAGCAATAACACTCCGTTTCCCGACATCGACCCATACCAAGTGCTGGAAGTTGGAGAGTCAGTCTCCCCGGCAGAACTTCGCAAGTCTTACCGTAAACTCATGCTTCGGTATCATCCAGACAAAACGAAGAATTGGGCATCAGAGGCCAAGGAGAAGTTCCACAAGATCCAGTTTGCGTTTGAAGTTCTTGAAAACTTTAAAACCGTATACGACAAGACGCGTTCCATCGAGGCATGCTTTCAAGGCTCCGATTTGGCGAGTTGGAAAGACCTGTTCGACATGGACGTGGTCATAGACAAGGACACAATCGAACAGGATAAAGTGAAATACAGAGGCAGTTCTGATGAAACTCAGGATATCGAGGAGTCCTGGCGATCCAACGAGCAGCAGGAACCTGCCAAAAAGTACGTGCCAGACGAGGACCAATTTACGCTTCTATTCCAGGAAATCCCACATGTCGAGGCCAACAGCGACGACGAAGACTACATCTACGGCAGAATCGGTCAGTTGCTGGACGCCAACGTAATTGAGGATCGCAACGGCAGTTACAAACGCTGGACTCAAAATCGCAAAGTTTACCTTGCAAAGCTTAAGAGAAGACTCGCGAAAGAGGCCAAACTGGCAGACGAAATGCTCAATAGCATGCAAACCGATGCAAAACCCAGATTAAAAGCTGGTCAAGACAAAAATGAGCTGCGTCAGCTTATTCAGAAAAAGAATAAGTCGTCGTTCGATTCCTTGATCTCAAGACTCGAGGCTCAGGCCAAAGCGAAGAACAAGACTAAACCCAGGTCCAAGAGAAGCCATGCTGAAATCGACGATGCTGAATTCGAGAAGCTCCAAGCCAAGATTGTCAAGAAAAAACGCTAGTCGCGTCCACTGCCCGTGGCACGAGAACCTGGGAGTACTCGTGGTCCTCATGGGACCTGACGAATACCAGTGGACTCAGAATCACGGGTTCTCGCGCGACCCCGAAAGCTTTACAATTGCTTGCATCCTAAAAGGAGCAAAGGGTCCATTCACGCTCACTACCACCCCTTTTCGAATACTTATACACCCAGTGTTTCGGATACTTCAACAAGTTTCGTACTCCTACGTTCTCTACCGTTCTACCTACAGTCTTCAAACACTTATCCAAAAAGTCCGAGCCCAAAATGACTGAGAACATTCTACTGATTCCAGGGCCAGTGGTCATCAGCAACAAAGTCCAGCAGGCCTTGGGCACCGGTTCGGTGTCGCACACAAGTGATGAATTCGTGGCCGTGTTTTCCAGCGTTTTGAAGAAAACTCGCCAGGTGTTCAAGGCGGGCGAAAGTTCGCAACCATTGGTTCTAGCCGGCAGTGGGACCCTGGGATGGGATATAGCAGCATCCAACTTGATCGAAACAGGCGACAAAGTGCTTGTTTTGTCGACAGGCTTTTTCTCTGATTCGTTTGCAGAGTGCTTGCAAGTCCATGGCGCACACGTCGACAAAATGACGGCACCCCTGGGCGGCGTTGTACCTGTGAGCGATTTACGGGCAGCCTTGACGCCCGGGGGGTACAAGGTGATCACCATCACTCACGTCGATACGTCGACTGGTGTGATGAACGACGTTAAGGAGATTTGCAAGGCAGTGAAACATGTTTCGCCGGAAACACTCATTGTAGTTGATGGTGTGTGCTCTGTAGGGTGCGAAAAGCTGGAATTCGAAGCCTGGGGGATCGACTATGCGTTGAGTGCATCGCAAAAGGCGCTAGGGGCACCTCCCGGGCTCAGTATCTCGATGCTCAGTGAAAGAGCTGTAAGCGTGGCCTTTAGCCAAAAGTCGCAGTCGTGTTTCTACACAAGCTTGAAAAGATGGATCCCCATCATGCAAAACTACGAGAGTCGAAAGGCCTCCTATTTTGCGACTCCTGCGGTCCAGCTAATCAACGCTTTGAATGTGGCCTTGGACGAGATTTTGGAACACGGGTTGGAGGAACGTATAGCCAAGCATTGGACCACGAGCGACTGGTTCAAAAACAAAGTCACGGAAGAGCTTGGTCTTGAGCTGGTTAGCGCGAACGCAAGAGTCTCTGCTCACGGTTTAACTGCCATTTACGTCAAGAACCCGCCAGAAGTGATTAGTGCGCTGAAAAACATGGGCATTGTGATATCTGGCGGCCTTCACAAGGATATCCAGGGCGAATACATCCGAGTGGGCCATATGGGTGAGTCTGCGTGCAACGATTCCTTACAACACATACAATCTTGTTTCGATGCGTTAAAAGCATTGGAACTATGAAAGGAACCCCTAACAGGAAAAAAAGAGAAGCAGTGCAACGGAGTGTGTGTCGGATGGGTTGCTATCAATGCGTATGATTTATGACAAAATTCGATGGGTTGGGAGACAGGTGTGGATATATAATATATTCTTGGCAGTGAGCTGTACAAGCCGCTGAAAATCTGGGTGTCAAGCCTGGGAAGTAAAATATATGTATAGACACTGGAAAGTGTCCCTACTGATTCAATACCCTATTCTAGTATGATGTCTTGCGTGGGCTTTCACCATCATCTTGGTGTTAGTCTTGGGTGCTTGTGGACGTTAAATTATTCCAAATTGCAAGACGCTCTCACCACACATCCGTAACAACACAGCAGCGGAGAGAAACGCATTGTGGGTCTTGGGCCCTGGATAAGAGAGACGTGTGGGAGTTGACGCTGCCCGATAATCAAGTGACATAATTGTACAAAGTGATATGGCCTGATCAAAGGCAGACATAAAGTTGCCTTACAGCAAGAGAATCAACCGCCAGACAACGACTACGAGCCTGGGTGTATGCGTTTGTATGAGTGTGGGAGACTCAATAATGAAAAACTACGTCTTATTTTTTTTCAGTCGGGAGATTTCTCCCTTCACTACATGTCAAAAAACCAAGCTCAACCCATTAAGTGCAGGCACCATTCCAGTCCTTCTTCTCCCTTTACAACCCCCTCTCCGCCTCGCTCACCTGCTCACTCGCTCGCTCGCGCTCACCTCATCGCTAAATTCTTTTCCCGTCGCTCCCGTTCAAATTTTTATCACCCATGCGGCCATTCCTTCCAATGCCACACCTGCACTAAAGCACCGACAACGATTTGCACACGAGTCAAGCCTACGCGAGTCACACACAATTTAAAAAAATCCAAGTCTAACCCTGCTCTAATCGCAGAGGATGCGGTAGCGGTAGCATTCACCCACCAAATGCTGCTCACATTTCTCATGCTAACAACTCCGAATTTTATCAATTCAAGCTCAATTTTCCACAGCATTTCAAGACCACTGCCCGAAGCAGAATTTTATGCTCTCCAAGATCCACACTTCCGTTGCAGCTTTCGTAAATCCTCAGTTTATTGGTTGTCCATTTATCTTAAGCATTTTCTAGCTTAGCACTGTTAGCTTTACTATGTAAATTCTTGGTATTAACAGCGTTATATTGATGAAAAAAAAAATTGACCTAAAATTTGACAATATCTGTAAAAACTGGAGATCAAGTGTATAAAAAGGGCAGCTTCAGAAGGCTGAACAAACGGAACACAGTTTAGTTAAGGAATTTTTATAGTCTTGTAGTTTTAGAATACTCAAGTGTGTAGTTCTCAGCATACCTGTACAATTCTCCAGCGCTCAAAAACCATGGCCTACGCTCTATCAGAATCCCACAAACAATTAATCTCTTCGCACTTGAGCGAATCGGATCCTGAGGTCGAACAGATCATCAAGGCCGAGATCGAGAGACAAAAGCACTCTATTGTGTTGATTGCCTCCGAAAACTTCACCTCGACTGCTGTTTTCGACGCTCTAGGAACTCCCATGTGCAACAAGTACTCGGAAGGGTACCCGGGCGCCCGTTACTACGGTGGTAACGAGCAGATCGACAAGATGGAGCTGTTGTGCCAGCAAAGAGCCCTAGACGCCTTTGGTGTGTCCCAGGACAAGTGGGGTGTCAACGTGCAGACTCTTTCCGGGTCCCCTGCCAACTTGCAAGTGTACCAGGCTTTGATGAAGCCCCACGAGAGACTCATGGGTCTGCACTTGCCAGACGGTGGTCACTTGTCGCACGGTTACCAGACTGAAACCAGAAAAATCTCTGCTGTCTCTACCTACTTCGAATCTTTCCCTTACAGAGTGGACCCAGCCACCGGTATCATCGACTATGACACTTTGGAACAAAACGCCATCTTGTACAGACCAAAGATCCTTGTCGCCGGTACCTCCGCCTACTGCCGTCTCATCGACTACAAGAGAATGAGAGAAATCGCCGACAAAGTCGGTGCGTACCTAATGGTCGACATGGCCCACATTTCCGGTTTGATCGCCGCTGGTGTGATCCCATCGCCTTTCGAGTACGCCGACATTGTCACCACGACCACCCACAAGTCCTTGAGAGGTCCTCGTGGTGCCATGATCTTCTTCAGAAGAGGTGTCAGATCCGTGAACGCCAAGACCGGAAAGGAAGTCTTATACGACTTGGAAAACCCAATCAACTTCTCCGTCTTCCCAGGTCACCAAGGTGGTCCTCATAACCACACCATCTCTGCTTTGGCCACTGCTTTGAAGCAAGCTGCCACCCCAGAGTTCAAGGAATACCAGACACAAGTTTTGAAGAACGCCAAGGTTCTAGAAGAAGAGTTCAAGAAATTGGGCTACAGACTCGTCTCCGACGGAACCGACTCTCACATGGTGCTAGTCTCCTTGAGAGAGAAGGGTGTGGACGGTGCTCGTGTTGAATACCTATGTGAAAAGATCAACATTGCTCTAAACAAGAACTCCATTCCAGGTGACAAGTCTGCTTTGGTCCCAGGTGGTGTCCGTATTGGTGCTCCAGCCATGACCACCAGAGGTTTCGGTGAGCAAGATTTCGCCAAGATTGTTAGCTACATCGACAAGGCCGTCCAGTACGCTCACAATGTTCAGCAATCTTTGCCAAAGGAAGCCAACAGACTAAAGGACTTCAAGACTAAGGTTGATGAGCTTTCTGGCGATCTAGATTCTCTGAAGCAGGAAATCTACCAATGGGCCGGTGAATTCCCATTGCCAGTGTAAGAACATGCAAGACAGTTTTTATCATTACAATCAGTTCAGCAGACTGACAACCATTCTAACCAATTTGATCTAGATTGAATCTAATCAAACTCTGCATTTTCAACAAATAACGGACTCCCAGGGAATATTTCGTCTACGAAATTTATATAGTATCACATATCTTTAAATTCAACTTAATGTGCTTTAGAGCTAGTCTTTTGAGTGCGACGACGGTCGTAACGGTCCCTGGGTCAGGAAGCAGATAAAGTGAAGCACGGCCTCATATGCATTATGTGAAGATGGTACGAGAAATGACAACCAGGTGGAAAAGATGCATTCAGCTCACCCCATTAATTCCCGCCTGTGACAAATAAACTTGATACAGCTGTTGCGACTTCGGGGTAATAGAAAGTATGATTGTATGAAGCAACACTAGATAGTTTCTGAGAGCGTAGGTCGAACGCTAACTATCTTTGAGTCTGACTCCGGCCTTCTTAACCCGTCAGGCCCATGCAGCAAGGTGCTGCTCTGGTTCAAATTTTCGGTGAGAAAAATCGTTTGTATTCTGTGCCTGTGTCTTGAAGTTCTATGCAGCGAAGGCTGAGCTTCAAGAATGTGATGATGCTTCCATATTGAATTTTTCCAGCAACGAGCTGAGAGGGATTCCACTTTCAGCATTCGCCTGTGCTGGAGGCGCAGATGGTTTTCTGAGTAAATGTCCACCACATGTGAAGATATAATCATCGAGAGAGTAGTGCTGTGGGTCTTGAAATAGCAGGTAAAAGAACTTTAAGTTTCTAGAAAACCAGTCGGCCGGTAATGTATCTAGCCTCTCACCGGTGAAAACATTCTCAAGAGCCGAAATCTGACCAACTCCTTTCGCAGCAGGTTGATTGACCGCCCGCAGCGTCGACTCCCACAATTCTCTTCCAATCTGACGCCAAATGTCATCTCCGGTGATTCTGTACAGATAGAACACTGATTCAATAGTCTCGGCGGACAAATCGTATCTTGGATTCGACCCATCGATGAACCTGGGTAAATTGGTCTTAGTGGACCAGGAACTGGTATGGCGAACCGGGTCCGTCAGCTCTTCGTCTTCAAAGAAGTAAATCTTCGAAGGTCTTTCCGAAGATTGTACTTCTTTGTTATTGTCATTCTCTAATTTGATTCCTGCAGCAGGTGCTTGTTGATCCGCCTTCAGTCTGTGGTACTTTTCATCAGGGTTGTCAAAATCGCAAGGCCGCTGTACACAACTGGAAACGTGTGCGCTTTCAGGCATGCCTCCTACCAGCTTGTGCATGTGGGCACAGCCCCTAGTGATGGCCTTGGCCTCATTCAAATATCGGTCATCATCCAGCAGTTTCCCCATAAGTGCAAAACTAGAAGCCAGTGAGCAACTGGAGTGGTGCATAGTATAGTCAGGACTGATTTTGACAACGTGTTCGTTCTGCTGAGCGTCGTGATATGAAACCGAAGACAGCGAGTTGACGAACGACAGCTCTTCTTGGTCTGGATTAGGCAAAGCTGGGGTGAATACCATCAGCTGACGAATTCTATCAAAGCTGTTTACCATGAACTTTGACAGCTGTAGGTCGGTTGTTGTGTCGGCGCCATTTAGAAGCTGGTAGAATTTTACCATGTTACTGTAGAACGGTAAACTCGTGTTATGGGCAGAAAAGAGACTTTTTGGACCTGCAACCGGTCTAAATTTCTCTGTTTGAAGACAATGAACATACTTTCCATCCATTATGCTTTTCATAACATTCGTCTTGACGTGTTCGCCGTGTTCTAGCCTTTCTTTGGGTATAAGGAGGCAGCCTGTAGCGTCAACATTAGTCGGGAGCAGATAATCTATGTCGAACTGGCCTAAGGATTTGAAGGCAGTCTCGTAGATATGCTCCACGGCTTTTACGTACTGATCGTCTTTCTTCAGCTGCGAAAGACGCAGAAACTCGGAAGAAAGAGATCCCAGTTCGCCAATATTAGAGTCCTGAAATGGGAATCGATTATTTAGCTTAGAACTCCATGGAAAGTGTAAGAGTGGGATACGATTGGGGGTGTTGAAGGCGCTCATTAGGAGGTCAGCCAGGTCTGTGGCTTTCGCTAAGAGAATTGTCTCTTGATAGTCCGAAAGCTCGTATGCAGATATTAAAGCGCCGAGAATGCGTTTGGTGCTCTGGGGCACGTCAATAAGTAGCTCTTTTGACTGGGTAAAGTCCATAGCAGAAATAAAAGTCAAAACTCTTGAGATCTCCTCAGTCTGGTTGAGCATGTAGAGCATATCCAGGGACTCCAACATGGTTGTGGCCCAAGAAAGACCGTTAGAAGCCGGATTCTTGGACAGGGGTCTGAGTACATCGCTGCCCAGAGCTAGATGACTATACGCCTTCCACGAAGCCATAAATTGGTCACTCACAGCGGAAGCCATTTCTTCCATGGCTTTCGACCCACCACTTTCTGAAAACTCTACTGACTGAAGTCGCGGCAGCGTTTTTGCGATTTTATGAGCTGCCAGTGGGTTTTTGAACGAGCTGGCATACCGTGCTGCGTACTGAGGCTTGAAAGCTGCCAAGTCAGACTGTTCATCGAGCTCTAGCTCTGAATATATGGATAGCACGTCCTTTTGCTTGTGCATCAAGGGAAAATACCGGTTTTTTTCCAGCAACTTTTTAGGATCGCGTAGTTGTTCGTCTGGATCCGCGAGCATCGCGTTTGAATAAGGTTTTAGACCGTGTGAGTCCAAATTTGCCACTGATGCTGCATCTGGGACAACCGGGAGCTGTTTATTTATTTGCGGCAGCGACTCGTTCTCGGCAAATGAGTTCAGGGTGTTTACTTCGTTCTGGAATGTATAGTATAGCAGCAGCGAGACCGTTCCGCACAGCACCAAGACGGACCGGACCCTCCGGAAAAAGGAGATAAGTACCTTCATTAGCAACCCCTATCACAGCTGTACGATTTGAAGGAAACTGAAGTGCACCAGGGAGTGCCAGCTCCACGTTAGAGCGTGAAACATGAGTTGAAGTGAACCCTGCGTCTGTTTGAACATTTGATATGATATTATTACAGACACGATTCCTTCGTGTGACGTGACAATATTTGGATGATCGTTAGAACCTGGACGATGGGCCTTACGAGCAAGCTTCAAAGCGTGTTTGGAGCATATCTTGAGCTGTTAGAAGGGGTTGATATTTTCGCCCCGTAGAAGCCTTCTTTTTTCGGCTATTTTTGAGTGATTAATTGTTTTTGGTCTAATGACAGAAAGGCAAGCGAGAGGAGAGATTTCAGAGGGTTGGCATTAAATTAGAGGATTTTTGGTGACTCTTGTTGATCATTTTAATCACACGGAGATTCCTTTTTCGAGCTATTTGCTCGACTGTATAGGGATTCAAGAAATCAATAGATTAATTTAGTTTAAGAGCGTGAGTGTGGATCCACCGAGCAACTGTTGTGGGCTTATTTAGTAATTTTAGCTGCGTTTGATTAGACTAGGTTGCATTTATATCTGGTGGCTATGAATCCTTCTGGTATATCGTTCGTTTTGTTGTTTGTCCTTAAAGCTCTGAATATTTCGTAAAGCAGCTACAAGTCTCGAATTCATTAAAAACGTCACATCAAAGTTTTTGAACTAAACAAATAACATGATTTGACAAGAATCACGCAATAGACGACACCTTGGTCATTGCCACTGTCCTGGACAGTGCTTCATCATAACGAGAGAGTAAATAGTATCTGTAGAGTCTAGTTGCAAGAGTTTTGTAGGCGACAAACCGTAATGATCAAGAGTTGTGGAACGAACCGCGCACCAAGTGGTTGTTGTTTTCGTTGTTTCCTGGGTACTACGTACCTCGTGTCAGAATAGAGAGTGCATTCCAAGAATTGCAAGAAATTTCTCAGCACCACCAGCAAAAAGCTGGCAGTCATGTCACAGCCTCGCTCGTATTTGTTTTACGTGTGTGGCAAACAAGGGCTTGGTCCCTGGACGACAGCACATATCCCATTGCAATTTTCACGCGTCCGCAAACCAGGAATACCTGTCCGTTCGCCGCGCACAGACACCCCCGGGTTTTCCAGATGATCGACATATTGATGCATCTATCTCCGGACAATACCACCACCACCACTGCCTTCGCCATTGCGAGCCGCGTGAATTAACACGAGAATTCTATGCATAGCGCGCAGAACACGCCCGAAATATCCCACCACCACCAGCTACTTCTTTTCCAAGACGATCGAGCCCACCTCAGTGCTCATGTAACTGTTAAAATACACAAGCAAACGGAACTCGCGCCGTTTGCAAGCTAGCCACACGTCCACGTCTGGGCATCAACGCGTGGGACCGGTTTTCCTCGACGCTCAAATTGCCGTTCTGAAACTATTGCGTTGACGTTCATTATACCAAATCATACCGTTCGTTTTCATGCACCTGCTTACTGGCTCTCATGATGTCTTGGAAACAACGCGTGGAAGAGCCGTACGAACAATCAACAATGCCAGCTGGCTGCTTCTTCCTACCGCGGTCTTACTGGCTAGTTGGCCAGTTCATCACCTTCGAGCTCCTTTCCGCATGTTCACTGCAGGCACGCTCACGGCGCACATGATGCGTGTGCCGGTTTCTGTGCTCGAGGATTGTTCTCATGCAGGTGGCCGCCTTAGGAAATTGAGTTTCCCAGTTGGGATAGCCAGGTTCACACTTGCTAAAGAGCCAGCACGTCTTGACGGTGAACATACTGTAAGTATCAGTATGTTTTATAAGACTTGCGGGAACCTGCGAGAGTGACGCTGAGGCCATGAGAGCAGCCGGCAGGATTTTTTTTCTCTTCTTTGCCCGCTCTCTGAGTTGGGTTTTTGGACTTGGGCAGTGTTGTAAATAACGCTGCGCTTGACAACGCCTTCCGCATCGAAAAGAAGCCAATTTCTAGGACAAGTTTACCGAGAGGTATACAATGAAAAGAAGTATGGGGAATTGGGTATGCGAAGCAGATTTCAAGCCGGCACTTCAAGAAGGGTGGACCGATTTAGAGCCGACGTATTGTACACGCTGCAAGACTTGATCGCGAAACGCTGCCCACCGACGACGCCCGGCAAGCGTGGCGAACCTTTATTTCGCACACACGCACACACACACACACACACACAGAGCGGCACGTGACCAGCGCAACTCGAACTCTTCACCACGCACTGCCATGAACTCTGCCCTGATGCGTCGACCCGGGCGCACCATCTGGCGCAACGAGCAAGACGTGCTGCTGGTGTCCTTGCTGACCGAGTACCGCTCGCTGCTGAACGGCGGCGACGTCGGCGTTCGGCAGCACTCTGCACGAACGCGCAAGCAGTTCTGGGATCTCATCGCCCGAGAGCTTACAGTGAGATACCACGTCGTGCGGAATCCACGCCAATGCAAGGACCGGTTCCGTCTTTTGTACACGCGCGGAATCCGTAACATGCACAATGGGGTCGACCCGCAAACGGGCGTGGATGCGCTCTGCCTGGAATTGAATCGAATATTCTACCTCGATCTCAGAAACAACATAGCGCTGGCTCAAGACCGTCCCGATAACGAGCAGCCTATGAGCAGCGGTGCCGGAGACGACGGTGAGTATAAAGATCGCGACGAAGTGGATGACACCTGCGATGAGATCACTCTCAACGATCACTCTCGCACCCACAGCTGTTCTCAAAGTCGTCTCTCGCAAGAGCTCCCGCACAATTCCACGCATATTTTGGCAGATCCCGGGCTGGACGTTCCAGCTGTTCCGCTGCTGGCCCATCCTTCAGCAGAACTCCCGCTGCCGCAAGCACCGCCGGCGCCATTTGCGCCAGATTACCAAGATCCGCAAATCCAGATGCTGATGGATCAAGTGCTTATGCTGGACCAGCAGGTAGCAGACCTATACGCACGGCTGGACGAGCTGGGCCACAACACAGACCGTCGTTTCGCGCGAGTGTTGGACAGTGAGAGAGCACGTGATCCCAATCCCTCATCGTCATCGTCAGCGACGACAGCGGCGGCGGCCAGCGTCGATACCGGTACTCGTACCCGTACTCGTACTCGTCCAAGCGCTGCTACCAGTACTAGCACTACTACTACTACTACGACAGCAGCAGGGACGACGACTACGACGACGGCAAACAACACGCCGGAAACCAGTCCCACCGTGCTCGTCCATCCCCAATCCGTGCCGCAATTCCAGCGCCACTACGAGCAATCGCTTGCCAGCGCATTTCGTCCAGCATTCCCACCGCCAGTTCCTCACCATGTGACCAGCCAGCCTTCGCCCTCTCCTCCTCCTCCTCCTCCTCCTCCTCCTCCGCTCTCGTCGTCTGCACAACCCGCATCCAGGCAAGGTCCCGGTTCCAGCGCCAGCCCTAACCTCGGCTCTGAATCGCAATCCACAACGCATCCGAATTCTCTGTCGTGATAGCGCACGAAACTTGACCGTCGTTCTCAAAATACCTTCGGGCCACGAGACAACAACGAATGTCTCTCGGGAAAAAAAATTAGCGATAGAAGCCCTTCCTTCCCTGCATACGATGGCATACGCCGATGGATTTCATCACAATCAGTCACGAATGTTGTTTCTTGATGCACCACCGGTAACGGTCGCACGCCAACAACCGTCTTCTCTATCAAAACCTGGTCTCAACGTGGGCCACCCAAAAATCACCTGGTTGTTCGAATCTGCTCGCACGCTGTGACGTTTTCTCGCTCCACGCAACAATGCCTAAAACTTCTCAGCGAGTGCACTGAGCCATCCCAGGATCCCAAAGAGATAACCTAAATGGGCTCTGAACAGTATACAGCATTGGAAATTTTGAAATTTACCGTTACGCACGTTGCGCGGCGGTCTCATGCACGTCGACAGGGCTTTCAGGGTCGAGGCTGAACCGCCGTGCGGGAGGTTCTCTGCTCGAGAGCTCGAAAAAATAGAACCATGCACCTTCATGCACCTTCATGCACACAAAAACATCGGTGCATGAAGCCTGACATCACACAAAGACGTATGCAGAAGCGATGAGTTCGTATCGAATTTTGCAGGATTTTGGGTCCGATAGTGGTGGAAGCATGGCCAACAACTGAGTCAAGGATTGAAAATCGTATATTAGCCCGGGAAAAAGTCCGTTCGATCCCAGAGATTGATTCTCCCCCCAGAATCGACGAAACCAAACCAATTACCAAGACTTTGAGAGAGACAATTGACCACATACCATGTCAAACAGTGGCACAGGAATCATGACGCTTTCGGCTATGGCGTGCAGTGCTGAAGAAAAAAACCCATACACAGTAGGCGTGGGCGTGGGTACGGATTCGATTGTGAACTCGAGAAATGGGATGCTGTCGATGCCCATCGCCACAAGCATGCAGTGCATGGAAGAGAACTCGAGTAGTCTGCATTCGACGCCAGTGGAGATGTCGCGGTCGTCGACGCCGTTGTCCAGCTCAGGCTCGTTCCGGAGAGCCCGCAACTTCTGGTCCGTGCACGAGGACACGATCCTGGTGTCGACCGTGATAGACAATACAGCAATTCTCAAGAGCAGCGACAACAGCAGCAGGCCGCGCGGGCGGTTCTGGCTGCATATCAGCTTCGAGCTCAAGACCAGACACGGGCTGAACCGCAACAAGCGGCAATGCCGGGACCGGTTCAATCTTTTGTTCTGGAAGGCGGTCCGCGACCATCGCAGCAGCCGTGGCGAGCTCAAACGACTCGACGCGCTGCTTGCACAGTGTCTGACGCTTCTGTATATCGATAAGAACAACGTGATCATGCTAAAGGAAAACGCTCCGATCGGTGACAAAAACAACAATCCTACCACGAGCGCCACCAGCTCCCACAACAACACTTTCAAAACCAATAATTCTTTAAACATAAGAGAAACAGAAGATACCGGTCTACACAGTCCTGCACGGTCAGAACTAAGTCCTACGATGTCCGTGTACAGCTCTGTGAGCGACGGGACGCCAGACACAGGCTACGAGTCGCTCGCGGAGCTGGCCTCCGGGCTGCAGCAGCAGGTGAGTGCATTGACACAAAAGGTCGAAGAGCTGTGCGGCGTAATATCACAGGAGAGGCTGAGAGTGGATATGTTGTTGAAGCATGGGATTTACCAGCCCATTGCAAGACCGGAGCCATTTTTCGAAGCTGACCATTGCTGCGACAACAATGGCAATTTTACGATGGCACCGTATCTGTTGGCGCGACGGGGCGAATGAAACTTTTGAAAAGAGAGCACGAAACTTCCAAGAAAAATAGATAGATGGCTACTTTGTCGAAATCACCACGTCTGTCAAAACTCAAGAACCGCATTACCCCCAACCTTCTCAAAACCATACCAAAAAAAGACACACTACACCAGAACTCACACCAGACTTCACTCAGCACCTCTCGCCAATTGCCAACCCTGTGCATTTCCAGCAATGGCGAGTTTCCATTTCTTCCAGCATCGATTTTATAGTCAATATTCCATGAATTTGGGCGCGCGGTTCGCTATTCGCTCTTTTTTTCCTTCTTCAACCACGTGCGGACTTACATAATCATTTGACTCGCATTCGCGTACGTAATGACCCTATCATATCACTTTAGCACATCCGAGTTCCGAAGGCCCGGCTGAATGGATGCACGTGGAGGATTCTTTTCTTTTCTTTTCTTTTTTTGTTCCATTCATCCGCGTGTGTTTTCTCTGTGACGCTCGCTGGCTGCTATATGCAATGCACATGCAATGCACATGCAATTCATACACCGGAATAACTAAAAATCCGAGAAAACCCGTTTTGATACCATGTGACTGCGGCGCGTCTAGGCGTCTACTGTTCGCAGCACTTGCCATTGTGGGGAAAAACCTCGCAGGCACCATGAAGGCTCGGCTGAAATTGTCACGTTGGTTTTTCCGGAGTCAACATCAGCTGATGAGGGCCAGTCTCGCTCAATCTTCATCAGATCTGGACTCCTGCAAGTAAAAAGACACAGGGAGAAGAACGAACAAACAAAGCCTGAGCGCCTGTGCATTGTGCTAGTTAATGCAGTGTATGCAGTGCATGTTTACATTTGCCTACCGCTATCTAATGATCTCTTTTTCTCTTTATCTCAAACCTGTTCATTCTCGCTCGTCCTCATCTATAAAATGGCAACTAGTAGCGTGAAGGAGTCTTGAGCGTCCCCCGTCAATACCCACACCTCTCTCTCTCTCTCTCTCTCTCTTCTTCTTCTTCTTCTATTCTTCTTCTTCTTCTTCCCAGGTCACATGCTTCATTTGGTTGATCGGAGCTCGCCGGAGTCGGCTCCACCCACACACCCGGTTCAACACCCAACGTGAGTTGATGCTGGCAGGCAACAGCAACAGCAGCAGCAGTAATAGTAGAAGTGATGATATAGTGGTACGTCCACCGCCACTGGTATCGTCGGACTTGTAAACCGTGCTCTCCAGCATCGCAAGCGTCAAACTCCAGCTCGCACATGGTGTACCACCCACAACGCGCCGAATATTCGTGATTTTGAGAAAAAAACCAGTATCACTTTGTACTAAACTGTCGTCGAGGCGATGCGTGCAGCCATGAGCCAGCGACGTATTAGGACGAAGTGATATCAATATACACACTCTCGCTGGTGAGACGTCTATTCAATCGTAGAGTAAGTTTCCCGTGTTTGAGACCCATCAGCATTTGATCGACGAGGCCAAAATCTTTCTTCACCTCGAGAAACTTATTGTAAGATTGTCTATACCACGCGCGTAGTTTGCTGTTGAAATTTGGTTAATATTGTCCATCGTCATTCATATGAAATTTCGCAAGGAGTATGCAAATACTCAATCAACGCAAACAAACGCTTTTCGAGTCTCACAAATCAACTCCATCATGACACTACGATGACCACACATAGACACAAGATAAAACCAGCACACGTCACTTTGTACTAAACTGTCATTGGACAATGTACTGTTCGGGTGCACCCTTGAACGTGTATACACCTAGGTATAACTCAACCTGACTGCCATTTTTTGTTGTGCTTTTCAATAGCCACCGGCTCCAAGCTCGCTCTTTCCACATTTGCCCGAGATCTCCATACATTCTCAGACGTAAGAATACATTTCGTCACTGCGCACACTGTCACCGATATTTTGAACAGCTTCCTAGGCATGTTAGTGAGCCTTGGAGAAGTAGTGCTCGACTTTAAACTTATCACTTCTACTTTCCCTACTAGTGGCAATTGTCTTTCGATTGTTAAGTTAAAATTCTCCACTGCAATCATATTTTCAACATTTTACTGTCATTTGCCATAAAACCTCCATAAGCTCACCAAAATTCTTATTGGAAGTTTATGAAAATCCATCAGAGCTTAACAAAACTTACATTAAACTTTTAAACCCCATCAGACACCCCACAAACGCCGTTAAAACTTTAAAACGAACTTTTCAACTTCTTTCGGCTAGAGTGACAAGGTCTTAAATTTCATGGACATCCATCATCGAATATCTTCCCAAAGCTATGTCCCCTAGAGAAACTACAAAGGTGCCTTTCCCGACTAGCCAACTCAGTCCCGGCTCAAGAGTTTAGATCCCCATTATAATCACCAGAACGCCTTGCTCGCGATCTGTTTCATGTTCAGAGTCCTCTGCGTAAAGCTGCGTCACATATCTCTTGATGGTCTCTGATCACTATCCTATTCTTGTGAACGACCATGAGTTCCTGGGAGAGTCGGTTTTGGACGAAAAATCGGTTCTGTACTTTCGAGAAGATGAGCGTTTGAGTCTGAAGTCCCAGAACATTTCGAGTGCGATGGTCCAGGACGACCTGGACGCTCTTTTATCTCTGGGGAAATCCAAGGACGGGTTTGTGAAGCACAAGCTGAGACGGCCTGTGTGGCTCAAAATTCTCAAAAATAGACTGTCTTTGGACCACTACAGCGAGCAGGGAAAGGATGGAGCAGAACTCGCCAAACACTCAGACGAACACCAGGTCTCGCTTGACGTCAGGCGTTCGTTTGGCGACATACACGACAGCGCTGCCAAAACGTTCCTACGCCAGGCCCTTGAACAAACAGTTGTTAGGGTGCTTAGGACATTCCCTCTGCTCAACTACTACCAGGGGTACCACGACGTGGTCGCCGTGTTCGTACTCGTGTTCATGCACACTCATAAGACTGAGGACGAGGTGGATTTGAGCGACTCCACCACCAGTGGGACTCCTTCCAGTGAAAGCTCTGAACATCACGAAACTTTGAGCTCAAGTTCCATATCGACAAAACTCTCGGATGACTCAGTTCTTTTTATCGACAGCGAGCAGTTATTCGAATCCGTTGCCATTTTTACGCTACTGTATCTGCGTGATTTCATGATGAACTCTTTGACCTTCACCATCGACCAGCTCGCACTGATCCCAATCATAGTCAAGAAGAATGACCCCATTTTTCACAAAACTTTCCAATTGCACGAAATCGATCCATTTTTCGCACTTTCGTCGGTACTTACACTGTTCTCCCACGATTTAAGGCCCCAAAGTAATGAATCTTTGAGTATCGTTTTCCAGATTTTTGATCTCGTAATCGCTTCAAACTCTATGTTGGTACCTCTGACCATCTACAGCAACCTGCTTCTAGCTAAAAAGGAGGATCTTCTTACTAGACTTCATGAAAATCTGGAAAACTTCGACAACGATACTGACCTGATTCATGGTGTTATCCAGCAAGAGATGATCGTCGGTTCCAGTATTCGTCTTTGGAACGAGGTTTTAGAGGCAACAAGGGCTTCTGCTGATACAATTTCAGTGGAGGTGAAAAAAACCGTCAACAAATATAGCGTCTTGTTGACAGACTCTCAGACACCTGTTTCTGTCGATGACACATTAAACTGGTTGACCAAGGAAATTCGCTTGAACGAGTTGAGATTAGCGCTAGGGCATCGCAACAGCAGTGCAAAAAATACGCCTTCTAAGACTTCGAAATGGAAGGCAATGCCCAATCGTCGGGGTCCTTTTCTGGTTAGAATGTCCTTAATCGTGGGAATTGCTGCAATCTTGTTAAAACTATACATGAGGTCTTTTGAAGGCCACCAGGGCTACCATTTATTGCCCCTGAGGTCTTGTTTCGACCAGGTAAGATCTCTAAAGTTCGCAGGGTTGCAATTGCCGCCCAAAGTATGGCTGGATCCACTGAAAAATGTTCTCAAGAATATCGGCGGGCCCTTCAATTCTTAGACAACGTTTCTTAAGTTACCGTATAATACAATTTTTGTTTTGGTTGCGTAAACTACTTGACTGAATACCTATTCTACGTCTATATCGTAGATCAGCGTAGCATCCGTCGAAACCCCTTGCCATCCTTTATCACCACTGGTACTTATCAAAAATCGGCACGTAGGATCGACGTACAAATTGGAGATCATTCCTCCATGATGTCCTGGGACGATCAAGAACGGTACCTTTGACGAGGCATACTGAGAAACGTCGTACATTCTAATGTTGTCATTGGAAGCGCATAGAACATGTTTATTATTAGGCATTGCACGGACGCATGACACCGGCCCTGATATGGTTGGAAACTTCAGGATCTTAGACGGAGTTTTGCCCATTTTAAGATCGAACTCTTCCACAACTGCATTTCTTCTTCCTGCGTAAATTCGATCTCCGTCACTTGACCAACATGCTGACATACACCAAGGAGGTACTTGGGGACCTCTTGCTAAGCTCAGGGCTGGCTTTGTTGAAATTCTGCGATCCCACACCTGAATAGCACCGTTTGTGCAAGACGCTAAGAACACATTCTCGTCGAGGACAGTTTTGAGAGTTGATTTTGAAATTTCGTCGACTGGCGTATCTTTAGATTTTTCAGCGTCCGACATCTTTATGTCTACTTGACTGCTGTCTAAAGTTTTGCGTCTTTCTTCCTCCTCTTTATCACCGAACAATGAATCAAGATCATCATCCTCTCTTTTTGGTCCCGATTCTTCTTCTAGTTCGTCGTGTAAATCGGCCTTTTCACCGATCTGCACACTAGAATAAAGCGGTCTGAACTCTAGAGAAGATATCTGTGCTGTCGAGCCCTTAAAGTCGTTGATGTAGTGTCCAGTTTGTAAGTCCCACTCAAAGATTTGCTTATCCCAACTGCCACTCAAGAAACGGCTTTCATCGTTATTGAGCTTCAGCTGATTGACCGTACTAGTGTGTTTCTGGAAAAGGTGAGCGATGTGTCCCTCCATGAATCGGCAGCCTTGCATTGTGATTCCACCATTTTCGAGTCCGCCCAAGACAAACATGCATTCATTTTGAACTTCCAACGCGTGCACGGGTGACACAACCGGTTCGTATTCTTTGCCCGATTTAACCAGCTTGATATCGTTGCGGGTTTGAGGAACCTCGTTTTCCCAATATGACAGTAAGATTCCAGCATTGGATATGGACTCAACCAGCGAGTGTTTTTGAAGAATTGTGAGCGAAAGCTTGCCTTCAATGGTGTTTAGAAAATCATACTTTCTTATGAACCCGTCTTCACCACCCAAAAACAAATATTTGAGTCCTTTGGACATGGCTATGCTGTGGACGTGAGTCTGAATGGGAATCGCGGCCGTCGGATATATCGAGTAAAAATCTGCAAGCTTAGCAGAGTTGTAAAGTTGCGTGTAGTATTCGTGAATTTTGTCGAACGCAGAGGTGGGTTTGCGTGCTTGAGGCTGGGTTTCGACGGTGACACCAGTTTCTGGTCTTGAATCGTCCGAAAATGAATTTTTGTCACGCTTGGTCTCATCACTTTCTCGCTTTTCGTCCTCCTCGTCCCGTTCTCCATCGCTTTCTCTCGTGTTGCCGCTTCTGCGCGACTCTAAGTCTCCATTGTCGTTGTCGTCGTCCATATCGTCGTTGTCGTCATTGTCGTCGTCATCACCGTCCATGTCATCATCGTCATCGTCCTGATCTTGGTCTTGACTTTGCTCTGGATAATCATCCTGGTCGTCCTGGTTGTCTTGCTCGTCTGAATCGCCGCCGGGGTCTCGATCATGGCCCTCATCTCTACCAGCTAAATCTACCATTTCCTCGTCCAATTCCTCGTCTTCATCCTCCTCTTCGTCGGGAACTTGATTTTCATTTAGGATATCGTCTACTCCGTCCATCTCGAAGCTTGGAAACGACCTAATCGATGTGCTAGTCGGGGTTTTTTGATGTAGTTGAAGCTGGAGATGAGATGAAGATGGGCAATGGTAATAGTGAGTTATAGTTGTCAAAGATCATTATATACGCATTTGTATGTGTTAGATTGGTGTAGTCAAATAAATGGACGCGTGAAGTCGGAACGCGTCAATTCGCATTGTTTTGAAGCTTTTCAGATTTTATAGGCAATGTTGTGTGTCTATTTGGTTTGTTATTATAGAAGAATAGAGAGCCTTTTGGCCAACTTTTAAAGTGTTGGTTCGCATGGGTGACGTGTTTTTGAAACTGCCAGAAATCGCCCAAAAAAAGAACGTGTATTGGAAGCCGTTCTAGTTTTACGAAAGCGTATATTTTCGTTGGATCTTGTGCGCTCTCTTCGCATTCTGGAGACTGTCTTATGGAGCAGAATAAATTACATCACTTCGTACTAATGTGTCACCAATTCCACAGGATGGAAAGTCCTCTTTTTAGTGCGTCGGTGGGGGGTGGAATATGGTCTTCTGATGGTTGATTTTCCGATCTGCGTCCAAACTAGGCCTGTGGCAATCTCACACCTTTGAATGCAGATTCATTTTTCTGTCACTTTTGCCCTACATGTCATCTGATATCACTTGTTGATAGAAAGACCTGGATCGTACAGTTAAAAAGGCTTTGAAACCGTTCAAGAAGTCTGTTTGGAATAACGAACCCGAAGTCCTTGAAGGCTTCACAGATTCCCGAGGTCTTTCTCTGAAAAATGGTGTTTCACAAATTAGAAAACTAACGACAAAAGACCACGTAAAACTTGGAACTTTAATTGCACCTACACCAGCAAATACCGTGGCCAATAGTACCAGCGGCGCGCTCAGTTAAAACAACACCTAGCCGATGGCGTTGACTTATATCACATCATCATATACGAAATATTCTTTAAGAATACCACTGACTTTATTTCCAACCCAACGAGATGCTCTCTTGGGTTCAAGACCAATATTTTAGCACCTAGTTTTGAAGCCTCTCGAGACCTTACTTTCAACACCGCGGTTTACGTTTTCGCCTTTCTCCGTCGTCATTATTCTTATTCACCACATCACGTGACTTAAAATACTAATTCTAAATGCCTAATGCTAAATAACGTACATCTCGAGCTGAACCGTTCAACGCAGCGGACAGCGACTTTACCAGCGACAATTGCCATCACTCTAGCTCTTCAAACAGCCTGAATTACTACTACTGTGTCCTATACCTACGTTGTGTGCTCTCTTTTCCCGGTTTCCAAGCGACAATTGCTCTTTTATTAGCACACTTCTGAGATCAACTCGAATATCAACTATTTGAACTCTGTCACCCATTCGCTTCCCACACTTTCGACCGTCAAAATGTCCTTTGCTGCTGAGATCAAGAAACTCACCTATAAGTTCCCCCAATGCGACGAGCCTTCACTCTGGAATATCAATCTCGAGCTAGGGTGGAATACGCGCACGCTGATCGTGGGCTCCAATGGCGCGGGCAAATCGACACTTCTAAAGCTGCTTAGCGGCAAAAACCTGTGTTTGACGGGCCACATCCGTGTGAACGGGCTTGATCCGTTCAGTCCACACTCCATGCATCAAAACGAGGCCGACGACTGCCAAATCACCACATATCTGGGCACCGAGTGGTGCCACATGACCATCATCAACCGCGATATCGGTGTGCAGGAGCTGCTCGACAGCGTGGGGTTCCAGCACCACCGTGCACGCGGCGAGATCTTGATCGACATCCTGGACGTGGACGTGCGTTGGCGCATGCACCGGCTGAGCGACGGCCAGAAACGCCGTGTTCAGCTTACCATGGGTCTGCTTAAGCCCTGGCGCCTGCTGTTGCTCGACGAGGTCACCGTAGATCTCGACGTGGTTGCACGCAGTCGTTTGCTGACTTTTCTCCACCAAGAGACCTGCGAGCGCCGTTGCAGCATCCTATACGCGACCCATATTTTCGATGGGCTTGCCGAGTGGCCCGATACCGTTATTCACCTGTGCAAAGGTCGTATCGTGCGCCAGCTGTCGTACGCGAACGATGTCAAGTTCGACCCAGCCGCTCCCGTGCAAAGTGTCTCTCTTTCCCCACCTTCCAGCGATAATTCCGTCACACTTGGCTACGCCAAATCCCTGCATCCGCTTGCTGTAGCTTGGCTCACCAACGATGAGTTCAAAACCTGCGGTCCTGGTTCAAACTAACACCACTGAACTTTCCCCATTTCACAATTTGTCACTTAACTCCCGCAAAAGTGGTCCGATTTGGTTTCTGAAAAGTCCTATGTGTTAGTCTCGCTGAGACCATTCTATTCAATACACCAACCCCATTGTTAGCCCGGCTCGTTCCTTGTCTCTATCTGTCTCAAAGCCACGGCCATCCGTCGTGCCACTGTCGTTTTTCGGTTATGTTTTTCATCGGTTGTCGTTTAACCACTCTCGAGAGCTTGAGCGAGAAAAAATCTATAAACGAGAATTACGAGAGCGATAATTTGAAGATTATAAAAAGGCGATGATGTTGAATCCAAAAGGTCATCGATCTTGACGTTTCTGACAAGAACAGGGCCAACTTCAGGAAACTGGGCTTCAACATACCGATAGGTCCATATTCACAGAAACAAAGGTCTTTTTGAAGCGGTCAAAAAGGATAAGTTTTGAACGAGTTACAACATGGATTTGGTGTTAGAGTTTTTTGACTCTTTTGGTCTGGACTACGTCTATTCCAGGACTCTGCCCGCGTCGCTGGCGTCGCACATCCCCTCCCAATGGCAACAAGCGTTGTCGCTGAGCCAGGGAAACCTCAGCAGTGTGGCTGCTGCGCCAGTGTCGGGCGACATATACGGATACGCTCCATATCTGTTCAAAATGAGTGAGTACACCGGAGCTTCGCTTTTGCCACGTTACAACGTGTTCCGTCAGGCCCTGTCGCTGCTGGCGATCACTACGGTGTTCGGATGGCTGCTGTATCTGGCTGTGGCCTCGTTCTCGTACATTTTCATCTTCGACAAGGCGATTTTCAACCACCCACGTTACTTGAAAAACCAGATGTCTCTCGAGATCAAGCAGGCTATGACCTCAATCCCAGGGATGGTGGCGCTCACAGTGCCATGGTTTTTGCTTGAGCTCCAGGGCATGTCCAAATTGTACATGAAGGTTGACACCGAAAACCACGGCATTCGCCAGCTGCTTCTCGAGTACGTTTACTTTTTGATGTTCACCGACTGCGGCATCTACTTGCTCCACAGATGGCTGCACTGGCCCCGTGTTTACAAGGCGCTGCACAAGCCTCACCACAAATGGCTGGTCACAACTCCATACGCTTCCCACGCTTTCCACCCTGTCGATGGCTACTTTCAGTCGCTGCCTTACCACATCTACCCCATGATTTTCCCTCTCAACAAAGTCTCGTACTTGATTCTATTCACATTTGTCAACTTCTGGACCGTGATGATCCACGACGGTGAGTACCTGGCTAACGACCCAGTCGTCAACGGTGCAGCCTGCCACACCGTCCACCACTTGTACTTCAACTACAACTACGGTCAGTTCACCACTCTGTGGGACAGACTAGGAGGCACTTACCGTGAGCCTGACAGAGAATTGTTCAACAAGTCATTGAAACAAAGCTCCAAGACTTGGGAAGAGCAGGTCAAGAAGATGGAAGTGATCAAGCAGAAAGTCGAAGGTGACAAAGACGACAGAGTGTACGGAACCGAAGAGCGTTTGAAGAAGAACGCCTAAGCGTGTGCAAGTTTTCTTATTTGCATATGTCATGTTCCTTCCACTTTTGAACCTTCTGGCACATATACATAAACCCTTATATACTACAACTACATGACTTGACGTTAGGAGTTTCAGAAGTTGCCTCACAGCTTTAGCATTGTGTGGGCATACTTACCTCACCGTGGTTAAGAATTGGGTCTACGTCTTATATGATGCCCTTCTTCCAGCATCGCAGGTCTTACGCTGAGAGATTTGACAATTTGGCACAACTTGACCCTCCCAAGTGATCCAAGTACAACATTTTTAGCCTTGTTCAATGTCTTGCAAGCGTCATTCCATCATGATCGGCGAATTGGGTCAGCTTTTGGTCTCAACCAGGTTTTCAAGCATCTACCGGAAGGGCGATCGAGCCATCAAAGTTACATCAACGGGATCTGTAGTAAAACCACACGATCCAACGACCGAACTTGCACTGTTACGTAGACTACAAGAACCAGGAAACCCGTTTATTATTGAACTGCTAAGCTTCGACACGAAACAAGGTGATGTGATACTGCAGTTCCCTTATATCGAACTGAACCTATATCAATACTTGCTAGAACAATACCAGAAACGATGCTGGAATCCGTACCTTCTGGATGGGGATAAAAGTACGCAAGGATCCCAACGCATCAACAAGCTGCCCCTACAGCAAGCAGTTGGGTTTTTCCAGCAACTGGCCAAAGCTCTCCAGTACATTCATTCCAAGGGCATCATACACCGCGATGTGAAACTGCAGAATGTTTTGGTCGACGTAAACTCTGGAAGTACGGTGCCGCGTTTGGTAATAATCGATTTCGGCATCGCATATCATCCAGAAGTCTCCGAGGAGACTCCCAATAACAAAATCACCGATGTGTCCACGTCCATCTACAAGGCTCCGGAGTTGCTATTCAGCGTCAAGAACTACACCGGCGCTGTGGACGTCTGGGCGTTGCTGGTGGTGGTGTCGCAGTTCTTTCAGACTAGCAGTGCAAGCGAGAAGTTCGTCCCAGCGTTTGTGGACGATGGATCTGAAGAACTGGAAGAGGGCAGCGATATTCGCTTGATCTCGTCTATTTTCCACAGCCTGGGCATCCCGACGCTGCAACAGTGGCCAGAGGTCCGAGACCACGGTTCTCCCGCATTTGAAGGTATGTTTGGAGCGTCTGGCGATGGTCGCTACCTTGTGAACCAGTCACAGACAGATCAACGAGAAAAGTGCCTGCACCTGTTTCCGCGACTGCAAGAGGTTTCCGAGCCCTCCAAAACGCACCTGGTAGACTGTTTGTTGCGAATGATGCCGTTTGAGTCCTCTAAGAGAACCACAGCCGGCGAAATTGTGACGCTTCTACATGAGTGCAACGGGCAGATCTAGAATACCCTTCTTTTACGCCTGAAACTTGCGTTCTAGCTCCAAAAATTTCACTAGTTCTCGCATTCGCTGCAATTCTCGCGTTCGAACGATGTTCTGGCGTGTCATCTCCTCCATCGACACGTCTGTGGGTCTCTTACGTCGTGTTGGTGACAAGTTCTCGTTTCGCTTCATTTTTTTGGCTAGAGCACCGTTTCGAACGCTGGGAGTTGAAGGAGTCGTTGGAGAACGCTTGTGAATCGGTTCGTCAGTCATCAGAGCTCGAGAAACTCGCTCTTTGCCTCTGTTTAACCACGACCAGTTTCTGTAGGTTCAAGAACAGCTCATCTCAGGCTTCTGTGAGCTCGAGTTTGGTCACTGTACACGAAGGACGTCTATCCCAAGACGCTACAAGATCAGATCTTCAGAACAGGCTCGAGCATCGAGCCTCGAGTCTCAAGGAATTCAGATCGATGGTGAACCATTGAGTCTCAATTTAGCGATGATGATGCTCTTTTCCCAACTTTTAGTTTAAACCCTGGCTTCGAAAGCTTGACATAATTCGCTACATTATTGGACATCGCCAGCTAGCTGGAAAACGAATGATTTGTTCAGATGTAGTTACGTAACTGGAAAGAAATATGAGGGCCGTCCAAAAGCCTCGAGTAGAATGTGTGGGCCGGGTGGAGTCTTGAACAACATGCTTGATTTTGCTCCTTTACCAATAGATTGTCTAGTCGTGTAATTAATGAGTACCATCGTCTTTCCAGCCCAAAAATTCGAGCTCTTTCGAAACTTTGTCTTCGGACTGAATCTTGAGGATCTGGGTGTCCTCCAAAGACTCACCCGATGCTTGCTTGAGCTTCAGGGCCTCGATGGCCCTGAGCTTCTTCAAAAGCGAACGGATTTTTTTTTCTTCGGGTGAAGCCTCTTTGTTGACCTTCGGCTGCGCGGCGGCGTCGGTCGAGGACTCACCGAGGGCTTCATCTGCACCTGGCGATCCCTCATTCTTTTTGTTTTCTCTCTTTTTCTTATTCTTGGCGGCGGTCTTGGACTCCTTTGCAGAAACACCAGGCACAGAAGCACTCATTCCGGGAATGGCCTTTGCAGGCCTGATAGCGGCACCGGGAACCGATGGCGCGCCACCAGCTCTTCTGGCATGTGGAGGTCTGTAAGCACCAGCGGGCTTGCTTGCAGCTCCATTGGTTGATCCGTTCTTCTGACGTCTAGCAGTGTTCTCTGCGGCTGAAGAGTGCACCTGCACCTCGATTTTGCCCAGTTTGGGGTCGCAGAAAGGCTCGCTGGCGGAGTTCTCGATGCTCTTGATGACATGGCTTGTGGCCAGTTTTGGTAAAATCTGGTGTCTCCAGTCAACCTTCAAAAGCTCTTTATATTCCTTCACGAAACATAAGGTGCCGCTAACATGCCAAATCTTCAGTCCGTTGTCGACTCTGAGCCTTGGAGAAGTCGTAGCCGTCAAGATAAATTCACCACCAGGCGACCATTTGCACACAGAGGTGTTTGCGGCATCGAACTTCGTGATGCACTTGAATTTGTCGTGACGATCCAAGACCTCGACCGAGCCTTGCAAGTTTCCGAATCCGGCTATCAAGATATATCTGCCAGATGGCGAGAACAGCATGGTGTTCTTCGGCTGCTCTGGAAGAGAATGCACAACGTTGCCCTTTAGGTCGAAGAAAGTGATGGTGGCGGGCATATAGCCGTATATGACACCAAACTGTCTCGAGGTGGGGGACCAGGTGAAATCGTGAATGGGGCCTTCTTTCGAGAGCGCTACACGCACAGATTTACCACCCAACGAGCCATTGGCGCCCTGGAACGACAAGAGGTATAGAGTGTTTTCACCGTAGTAGGACTTGTTGGAGGAATCGAAATCTGTGATGGCCATACACAAGACAGCGTTCCCCTGCTGATTCCACTTCAATTGGCACGAGTCCGCTTTGAAAAAGGTCTTGGTGGCTATCTTCTTGTCGGTGATGCCCTCTGCGATGGAGTATATGCTCAAACATGCGGGTTTGCCGGATTTTTCGGGTGCAAAAGTGCAGATTGTGGGGAATTCGGAGGGCGAGATCAGAAAGCTCGAGATCTGCTGTTCTGGCACCAGCTTGCTGTAGGGTTTGTCGAAATTGAAGGTTGCGTTGGCGTCGTTAGCGTCGATCTTTACGATTCTCAATTCTTTGCCAAACTGCTTGAGGGCGAAGTTGTCGAGTTTGCTGAATTGCAGCGCCCAGCCGTTCTGCACCTTGGCCTGGTATGCATATTTAGGCGATTCTGGAGGTGTTTCCAAGTTGAGTTCCCAGATTTTCACATTCTTGTGATCGGGATCCGAGAGCGATGGTCTTTCCCAGGTGCTTAAAAAGTTGCCTGAAGGCGAAAAATGCAGGTCGTAAACGTCTTTGACGCTCACATTCAATAGCAGCTGTGAAAACTCTACGCCTGTGAATACTTGAACGGTCTCAGTGGTCGATAAAGCCATGAATCGTCCGCACGGTGACAATAAAGAAACTTGTATTTTCTCGGCTTCATCGCGCGTCAATTGATCGAAAGAAGGGTATCCTTGGAAAAGGTTGATTTCGGTAGATGTTTTAGCAAAGAACTGGGTCGACATGGCGTCTTTATATGGCTCTTATAGCTCGAATCAATGGAGTTTTAGACAGAATTGTTAACTTTGACTTATTTCTCGATGAGCAGATCCCACTACAAAAAGTTTTCACAGTGTAAAATGACAATATCGGTAACTGTGTACGGAAAAGCCTGTATTCGGGGAGTTTCGACCCTGGCGCGGGGGCTGAAAAAATGGGTTGAGGAGAATCTGAGAAACTAGAATCAATAATTGAAAACTGAGGTATGGTTTGGTAGATTTTTTGCCATAGTTTCATAGTTCTTATAGCTTTAAAAAACTCTCGAGCTGTGAAGTTCGGTTTTTTAAGTTCCGAATCAGTTTTTAATTGACTCTAGGAGACGTTTGGCGGGGCGTAAAAATGCCTGTGTATTCTAGCGTCTCTGCTTCTCACAAGACATTACTCAAAAACCCGGAAAAGCTTCAATAACCTCTTTAATCCCCCAAAATAAAGACTCACAATTTTAATTTCTAAATTTAAAGTTACTAAAGGCCCAAAACCCCCAAAAAACAGGACTCCCCATTCCTTTGCTCCTTCTCTCATATGCCTACACATTTGAACAGGCCCGGAACCAGCTTCATCTCGCACTATGCCCACCCATTTCTCGATGCTCGTAAAAAACGACCAATGTATGAGCCAAATTATACTGCTGTATATATTTCTATAGAGAAAAGCTGCCAAAGGAACTGAACTCACACGACAAACTGCTTTGGACATTGCCCTGCGAGCCCAATGCGACTGATTGCAAGACAATGTCGCGCTTTTCGCATGCAACGTTTCCTATATAACGACTCGCAGGCGGCAAAAGTGGCGAATTTGGGGGACATGACTGAATATCTCAGCTCAGAAGCTATTCCTCATCTTTTGAATAAACCAATGTGTTCTGAGAGGCTGGATCCGCAAATAAGTCTCAGACTATTTCCAACGAATTACGCATATCTACCCAGAGTTCACGGACTCGCCAGCTACAGGAATGCCATGTCTCTGCTAACGTCGATCGTCCGGAGTTTTGTTCTTCACCAGAACTGTAGTCTGCATGTGACCGGGGTTGAGACCATAAGTGGCATCAGTAAGGGACAACGCTACAACATGATCACCGGGAATGACAAGATCGTGATCCATTGGCGAAGTTGTCGCAGCGAGGGCGAAAATTTGGATTCAGAAACCGGTTTTTTTCCGCAGGCGAAATTGAAGGATCTTGATTCCGTGAAATCGTCATCTGGATCCACGACAGAAACGACAGACACGACTACCGCCTCTTCCGATCGGGAACTATTGAACCACCTTTTAAATTCCAGTCACAAAGCTCTTCGTGGCTTGAATCCGCATCCAGCTACAATTTTGAGCGAATTGACGTCCCAGCTGCGGTATCCACGCATTATTCATGGCCTCTTCATATTCGAACTTAATCACGACAACACCAAGGTTTTGGTACACACCATCGACAACGTGGAAATCTCAGGCAAACGAAAAAAACAAGAGACTGGAGCTCTGGCATGCTGAGGGAACGAGGGGTTTTATCACGATACTCTTACGATGAACAAGGAAAACGAAAACATGTATATAGACAACATATCCAATGAGTAGTGAACTACGTGCTTGCGACGAAAGCGATTGGCCAGTAAACTTCGACCAAGCAGTCGTCCTCATCGTTGCAAAAATACAATCAAATAAAGTAACACATATGCATGTATATATACACACATGTATATATTTAAACATCAATGAACACAACATAATCCCATTAACTCCTGCTTTTTTAAGTTTGGAACTCCCTTTGCGGTTCCAATTTCCAATGCTTGTATAAAAGTTTCCAATGCAGATTTACGAATGAGGCCATTTCAGCATGACCGGTGGTACTGAAACAGTCCAGCACAGTAATTGCGGAATCAAGTACCCTTTTATGAGCCCGAATTTTTCGAGTCAGATCCTTGAGAAGTAGCCACGCTTCCAGATGAGGTGCTTGCAGAGCTTGAGCTGTTGGCACCAGTTGTGGCAGAAGAAGTACTTCCGCCCGATTGATACCCACCCTTATCTTTAGCAGCCATCGGGAGCACCGTTCCTGGATTTGACACCAACCCAGGGAAATAGAACTCCGAAGACATGTTTTCAAATGATGGGGTAGGAAGTTTCGCTGCAGGCTGGTTGTCTGCGTCGCATGAGTAGCATGTATTCGCCGGAACAAGTAGAGAACTCATTCGTATCAGAAATGCTCGCATGCTTCGAGCAGCGGGATTCACCAAGAGTAAATGAGCCACAACGTTGGTGGTGAACAGCACTAGTATCTGCTCACGACTCAAAGTCGGACGCCCGATTTGAGGGAGACAAAGCCATTCGGCAGGACCATCGTCACTAACGGTGCGTCGGTGTGAAGTATGTCTCTTCGTGGCCACAGTGTCACGGCCAGCGTGCAGCGGCTTAAAATAGTACTCCGAGGTAAACCGTTGAGGATCGGCCACGAATTGGGCAAAGTTGGGATTCTGGAGATACTTGGATACATCCGCACTTTTAAACGGACAGGCTCCAAACATTACGAAGAGCAACGTGATGCCCAAAGACCAGTAGTCTGCCAAAAAAGTGTCGTAAGGTTTACCGTAAGCCTCGGGGGCCAGGTATTTTTCAGTACCTATGTGGCTGTCATGAGAGATGCGCGAGCGACAACTAAGGCCCCAATCTGCGAGTTTGACGTTTCCTTGGCCGTCCAGCAGGATGTTTTCGGGCTTGATGTCCCTGTGAGCGATGCCACGCGAATGTGCGTAATCTATGGCAGAACAGAGCTGAGGTAGAAGCCGAGTAATGTCGACCTGGACTCGAGGCTCGCTGCGGGTTTTCCAGCTGCGGATGACCTCGTATAGGTCGCCCCGAGCCGCAAACTCCATCACAAAGACGTAACAGGTATCCCGTTCGTGGAAGTCCAGCAGTGCACATATGTTAGGATGGCCAGTGCCCAGCCCCGTCAGGATGTCATACTCGCCAGCAACGAGGTGGGCCAGCTTCTTGGCCTTGGCCAACTGTGTCGGTTTTTCGACAATCTTAAGGGCCACTTCCTGCTGATATTTTGAGTCGTACGCCCGATACACAGTGCTGAACGTTCCGCTTTGGATCTTGCTCAGCTGCGTATACATAGAGACCAAGACAACGATACGAATGAATGCGGTGGAGAAAAAAAATGGACGGAGTGTGCTTATAGCGAGGAGATGTGGTGTGGTGTAGTGGGACTCCTTTTCGAACGCGGTACGGTGTGGTGTGGTGCTTCCAACAGGATGATTCTTCGGACTGTAAGATCGATGCTACGAATGAGCCACGCAACGGTACTGTTTGACTGGCTTATTGGAGTTGCGTCCCTCGGTGTGCTTGCTTGCTCGTGCTTGCTTGCTCGTACTTGCTGTTAGCTACCAAAAGCGAAAACCCGTCCACTTGAGCGGTGCAAAGCAGTGCGTTTGCGGTGTTTCTATAGCGAGATATCACGATTTCCCTCTACAACTCCGCACAGTAATTTTTCGACAACGACAACAACAGCAACAACGGTTCTCTCACGAATAAACCCCAGAATTAATTCCATATTACAATCTTTCCCAATCCTCCGAAAATACTCACCTTACCCACTCAAACTTGTCTTTCGTTTTATAGCAACTTCAACAATAGCAGCTTATCTGTTTTTGCCCTCACTTTTCGCTCGCTTTGCACTTTCCACTCCCACCTGCTGTCCACCAACGCTCTTCGCTGCTGCTGCTCCTCCTCCTCCTCCTCGTCTTAGCTGTCTTTTCGTCATCTCGCATACAACGCACACGGAAAAAACCCTTCGATCCTGCACCTTCAACCCTCGACGAGCAAACCGGGACCCACCAGACGTCAACAACTTGCTATAGTCACAACGATGTTGCGTCCAAAAAAGCTTTTTTTCACCACTTTTGCTAAGGTCTCATCGCCCATCAAATCGACCACCAGTGACCCTACGCCAGGCGAAAAAAAATCACGATGTGGCACCGTAGTGCAAACGCAGGTTTTTGGTGGTGGTGTGAGACGGTGAGCTTGGCAACGAGGACAGGTAAGCAACGGTCTTGAAGTAACGAAGTGGAGAATCTGTGAGGTGTATATTGGTGATCTTGTTGTTTTTTTGTCATAGATTTGGTGAAATAATGCAATATTGGTTCAGTTCATTCATATCACGGAATTCTTGGAAAAATAAAAGTCATAGTAGTGGCAGTAGTGGTGAAGGGTTAGACAAATAGCCCTTCGCCATAGAGACCCAACACCGATTCAGCAAAGCCGGCCACGGAAATGGCGAAGAGAACGGGGATGGGACGTAGACATTTGGAAGAGTGACACGTGACCGGGGAGAATGGTAGTGTCTCAGGAGCGTGGTCGGGAGTCCGGGTGGTCGTGGTGGTCGTGGTGGTCTCCAGCGTTTCGTCCTCGACTGGAAGTTGGCCGAGATCGACCACTGATTCATCCAAGGAGACGTCCGTGGGGGTCGTGGTCGTGGTCGCGGTCGTCGTCGCGTTACTGGCCGCCTCCGCTGCCTCCGCTGCCTCCGCTGCCTTACGCTTGGTGCACCGTTCGCGACACTGACGAGGTCTCTTGAACGTCATGGTTAACGCCATGTACACGCTCGATATGGGCGCCACTAGCATCCCGTACAACAGGTACGGATGGCGCAGATGCGCGGGAGCGCCAAAAAAACTGAGCCCGAAGAAAATCGACGACACAGTGGCCAGCGACGCGGCCACACGGGCCACGATCTTCGCAGGACCCATCAACTGCGACTTGATCACGTCCATGGGCGTGAACTGCGCCAGGATCGTCGCCGAACACAGCGTTCCACAATAGATCCCTAAACTCGACACTGCAATGGTCTTCGTGACCGCCAAACAAACCGACATCGGGAGTTACAAAAGTAGCAGGATAAATAGTACGTACCAGGAACGTATAAAGTATGGAAAGTTCACACAGGTTTAGCGGTGTGAGGAGCTTCTAATATCCGTTTGGTTCTTCCCTTGAGAGATGCGATGCGCGTAGGATTGGAATATGGATTTGATTATATCGTGTGAATTTTGAGTTTGGTCGCTTGGTACGTGAGTACTCGAATACTCGAGTGTGGGAGCACGTAAGTGCACGCTAGAGCCCGCAATGAGCGTAGTAAATCGCTGTGCTAGTTGAGCTTTCAAACGTGTGCTGTGAGTATGCTGGTTTAAGATCTTGTAGAGGTTATAGAATGACATTAGATGTGTAGGGTTTCTTATCACTTTGTACTAATCCGTCATTGAACGACGACATACGCCTATAACAGACACAAAGGAGCTGAGAAGTTGTGCAGTTGTAGTTGAGTAGTAACAAGCGTGAGCTGAGGTCCTTCTGATATTCTCTCTTTTCGGTAGAGCTCAACCCGTTTGATCGGGGGAGATGATGCTGTGTCACGTGACCTGGTTGTGGAATTCAGGCATACGCGACGTGGGCGCAGTGCTCGGCACTAGCGTTGTAATTGGGTGCTATTGGGTGCTAGAATCCTGAACGGCATCCCCGCCACGAGTGAGCGTCGCCAGCTATATCACTCTGTACAATTCTGTCATTTACAATATCTTCCGTGATTTCACTCCAAACAGAACTTCATTAGCATAGATCAAAGCCCCAAATTGCCTTCTCACACATCTGCTTACTCATTATCCCTTTAATACCACGGTTCGAGCTCCAAAATTCGTTCTTCAAAAATTCCGTCATTTAGCATCTCTAACATCCAGCGACCCTCCAAAATCGCCAGGTAAATACCAAAGCCTACCACCAAGTTTTCAATCACTCTTATGAATTCAAAACAGCTCCTATGTGGTCTCTTCCACCAGGGTCCATCCTCATTTTTCCCCTGTCTTTATATTCACGAATGTGTCCGAAACTCTTTCTATAGTAAAATTGAAAAGGCGAGAAAAAGGTCCCATCTCAAGAAACTTACAAGTTGCAATTCAAACAAGTTTTGACCAGAACAAAGCCCAGAAAAGACCATCATGGCTGTTCAAAAAGTTATCAGAAAGAAGTCCAAGGCCAAAATTGATCCCGTGGCCAGAATGAAGGTGATTTGGTTGGTGGGCCATGGGTTAACGCTTGGTTTGGGAGCCATTTACGCACTCTTCTACCTATCCCAATGCCTGACCTTTTACCGCTACAGATCGTGGAAAACGTTGTTTTTGATTGCAAGACGCCCTCATTTCAAGTCCAAAACATGGGGACACCTGTTGTGGCGGTTGTTGCCACAAATTACGTACCGGATGTCGTTGATCGGTGTCCTGGCATCGCATTCCGTGACCAGCTACCAGAATTGGTGCTCGCTCAACCCTTCGTGGTACGACCTTCTGAGCAAAGAGAATTTCCAAAGTATCTTGATCGCAACGCTTATGCTGTTCAGCAGGGCCTCGCTGTTCAAGCTGGTGCCCTTCATGCTCACCAGTTTTTTGCACCTCACAGTGAAGGACCAAAAGGACGCAACCACTGAGGAGATCAGCGAAGAAAAAACCAAGGAACCAAAACACAAGGACAAGACTGCCTCGCTGTTGCACATCATTGCTTACTCCGAGCTTCTTGTCATGGTGAGTCTACTATTCGATATTATAACGTTACGGGACAATTTGGGCGGATTCGTTTTGGCCCTGTACATGTCGATTTACTGGCTCAGGCTCAATTTCTCTCCTTACGCTCAGGAAACGCTGTTGATACTTGTCCTGAAAGTGGACAAGAAGGTTCCTCCAAAATTCCAGCCTCAATGGAGAGGCGTCAAGCAATTTTTGTACTTGAGAATGGACGAAAGTCGCAAGCATCAATAGATGCATATGTCTATAAGGTAGAGCTTAGAAAATTGTAAATGTGCGTGCAGCCTCTCCTGATGGGTGTTGAGTTTGGAGAACCGACAGTGTCGACCTCCCTTCATGAGAACCGCAATTGTCGGACTTCCCTCGTGGGTATCGGCTGAGCTTAGAAAACTGAAAATGTCAGATTGCTTCCGTTATGAGGATTGTGCCAGATTCTTTCCTCATGAGCACCTGGTTTAGAGAACTATAAGTGTCGTACTACGATGCTACAAGCTTGGTCTTTGGTCAGATTTTTGAGCTTTGGTAAATTGGGTATCTTCCTGTTTTATTCAGAAGCAGAACTGATGTATAGGTTATCATCATGCAAAGACTTGTAAAAAGCGAGTATTTTTCAAAAATTACAGGCGCAAGAAAGGTGGGGTGTTTCAACACTAATAATGGATCAATTTCTCCAGTGTCAGATGGTGATGCATGATGTAATCCATGGCACATATTCAAAGAATCATCGCCGGATAAAAAAAGACGTGGAAAGTCGTTCATCACTCGGGAAAGATAACTAGATCCATTATTGAACTGTTGGTCCATGAACTCATGGACACACGGGCCAAAGAAGTCGTATGAGTCGGCAACTAAAGAACACACCAAATGCGTTGCCAGCAAGGCGCTCTTCTTGATTCTAGATCATAAACGAAGAATTCCTTAACAATTTAGTCCTGCATATACATCCTCAGACATTAAAATATTGTTTTCATAATCATGTAAAGAAGAAGAAAGAGAGCGAAACAAAACACGCTTGTGTATCTGTCCCGGCCTCATAACCACTCTCCATGGCCCTGTCTTCAGGACTGGTGTGCGGGGGAAGATCCCATGTTGGGCCGATGAGCTGCCTTATATAGTCGTTTTTTGAAAAATTTGCGAGCGATGAGGGCTTGCGGGTTAGGGCTTGCGAATTTGAAGCTCGTTAGGGCTTCTCACCGCTGGGCTAGAGCACGCTCGCCAACAGCATGAAGGACACACGAGATCAGCCAGCGGCTTGGGTGGGCCCGCCTCGAAACAATATGAATGAGTGTTGCATTACAACACATTATACTTGTAAGCTAAAAAACTCTCTTATACACGGATGGGGCTGTTTGCACCGTCATCCTGCCAGGACAGACACCACGTCTGCACTTAGGCAGCAGTGGCTCTGCAGTAGATAGCTTGGGTGGAGTGCTTGCTGACTGGGGTGATGACACCGTCCTGTTCCAACTGTCTCAAGACGATTCTAGCCAAAGAACCACCAAGCTTCAATCTGTCGACAAGAACGGAGACAGACACGTATCTGTAGGTTGGCACTTCCTTCATGATTCTGTCATATTTCTCCTGGTCCAAGATCACGGCGTGTTGGGCCTTGTCCTTGTGGGACTTCTTGGACCACTTCTTCTTGGACTTCTTACCACCGGCCATGGCGGCGGCGGCCTTCTGGGCCTTAGACAATTGTTGTTTTGGAGGCATGTTACTGCAAGCAGAGACGCATGTTAGTAAAAAAGCTGGTTTGGGCAATAAAGAAAGAAGCACGGCTAGAACGCTGCGACGACGAGTAGAGGGGCCTGAAAACAGATTTCGGTTTCAGTTTCAGTAATCAATCATTTCTTGGCACTGTGTTGATACGATTCCCTGGGATGGTCAAAACCCTGTTACGAACCTCGTGGGAATCTCGTTGGGTATCGTCCTCTAATCTGATCCGTTTTGGACGTTTCTGGGCTCAAAAGAACCGCATTGAACTGCTAACTTGACTCCCCGTCGTTCCGTCCACTAAGTCTCGTCCGCTATTCTCGCTTTTCAAACGTCCACCGTTCACATACTCTAATTTCCGTTGCTGGCCTAAACAAAAGTTAGATTGCACTTAGAAGAGTGCGATTCAAGATTTTGTCTTTATTCAAGTTGGTCCAGCGAGAGGAGACCATAGGACTCCCAGGGGCGAGCGAGTGGGCTAGGCAGGAACTGAACTGACGCTACGCTGGGCTGGGCTGAGCTAGGGCTCAGCTAGGCTCGTGGGTGTAGGAGCTAGTGAAAGCGCTAGGGGGAGCACTAGAGGGGGAGCTAGAGGGCGTCTGCCTGGAGCTGGGCAGAGCCCCGAGGGGAGGGTCGTACCCACGCAAAAAAAGACAAGACGCTTTTTCGATGTTCTGGACCTACGCAAACTTTTTCAGTTTGAGTCTAAAATAGCACTTTGTTGGGTGTCTGGGTCCTTTTCGGGTGTCTGGGTTTGTAAGCAGTCACACCAAAAGAGACAGAAATGAGAGAAGAGGATCTTGGGTCAAGCCAAAGAACTGGGAAGTAAGAGCAGAGTGTTCAGTGGTTCAGTGGTTCAGGTTTGACGAGTTATTACAACGTGTTTTATGAGCAGCTCATTCAATATTTTAGTGTTCAGGTAGAAGGTTAAAATTATAGTCTTGCGCTGCGCCATCGGAGTTTTTACTTGACACATCGCGGAGCTACGACTGTGACATTGAAATAAGTGTATGTCGCTTGCTAGATTATAGGCAAATGTGCCATTGAAAGCTGGCGTCTGGTTTTACATGCTGCTGTTTACAGCGCAAATGGTCGAAAATTGGAGCCCTTCTCTTCTCCGGTTGGCCATATCACTTTTGCCTGGGTCTGTCATCATGGAATTCATTTTATGACACTATAGCTAAATTCAAAGAAACAATGATATTGGGTCTGAAATTGCGAGCGACTTGAAATTGCAAGCGACTTGAAACCGACTACTGTAGAGCAAATGGTGGATGCAGAAAGTCTTATTGTTACATATCAACGTCTAACGACGACTGGAGTCTCAACAACAATTTAGCGGACTCTTCTTGCAAACAAATTTTAATATTGGCCTCAAACACGCCAACTTGACATCAACATCCTTAAACACAGCACTCTATCCGCTAAAATCTCTTAACGCTCCCGTCCTCCGTTCATCTAGCCCAGCTACCAACCGTAAGCTTTTCGATATGTCATTTCCCGTGATTTCTTGCCGTGAGTATATTACACTCTCTCCTTTAATTATCGTCTCTGGTCCGATATAGTGTAACGGCTATCACATCACGCTTTCACCGTGGAGACCGGGGTTCGACTCCCCGTATCGGAGATATTTTTTTGAGCTTCAATACTCAAGCTCGTACTTTGTGACGATATCTAAAAATTCCAAACTGATCTCTAAAGTGAGTACAGCACACATCAACACCGGATCTGACATCTCCAGACCAGACAGAGCTGTCGCTGTTGCCATTTAGCGTTGTCGCGTGTAAGGTAATTCACATTTCGAGACAAGAGCCGAGGTTTTTGCATATCCAACCTTTTCATAACTCATCCTACACACCGAGATACGCCAATTTCCAGTCTCAGCTTCTCTTCTCTAACCACTGTGATCCATAACCTACCACACTTATCATGGCTAAACGTATCGCAGACTCTCAAATGACGCGAGAAGCGCTAGACACAGCTGACAGTGACGACGAAAAACCAGTTTTTTCTTCCCAAGAGGGCTTCAAAAGAGCGTCCAGTGATGTGCTCAGTAAACGCAAGATAGCGCAGCCCAGAAAACGGAAACAGCTGGCTTTCGGTAGCGGAAATGGGGCTGCCAACCAGGAGTCATCTATGGCCAATGCTTTCTCGTTTGGGAAATCATCTTCCCCTTCCACAACGCCCAATGCTTTCTCGAATGCCACTTCTCAGCAGAATGTCAAAGACGTGGGTTCCGCGGCCAGCGAAATACCCGCGAAACGTAATGCTTTGAATTTACAGTTCAAGTCCAAACTTTCCGAATACATCTCGAAAGATCCCTGCGCTGATCTTTCAAGTGTCTGTGACCAATACAAACGCTTCTTCCAGGACATTGCAGCGCCAACCAGTGCCGCTACTGCCTCAGCTCCAGCTCCAGCTCCAGCTCCAGTTCCAAAACCTGCTACTAGGCCAGCAACCGCTAAACAGCCAGTGGTATCAGAATCGGATTCTGAGTCTGATGCTGAAATCAAAGTCCAGGGTCCTACGTTCACATTGACGGACACACACACAACGGCTAAAAATCCAGTTTTCAGCTTCGGTCCCAGAAAGACTTCAAAACCTGACCCGAGCGATTCTGAGAGTGAAGTTGAGATTAAAGGCCCATCTTTCTCTTTCAAGCCCTCTTCTTCCTCCACCACAGTCAGTTCTGTTTTCAAAATTGACTCTAAGGCCTCTCGGAGTCCAGCTCAAACCAATGATACGAGCAAATCTCTCGATAACGAAACTTCCAAGCCTAGCATCTCCACTGAAACCAAAACGGCAGCTGCTCCTGAGTCTGCTAAGTCCAGTTTTGCAAACGCTACATTTGCACTGAACAACTCTACCTCTGAAGAGGCACCGAGACCTTCGTTCGGGTTTGCCCAGCCGTCCAAGAATCTAAACAACTCTAACGAAACGCCCGAAAACGAGAAACCGTCGTTTTCTTTTGGGCTAAATGGTGCTGCTAAGCCAACTGACAGCAATGGGGGCGAATCCAAGCCATCCTTTTCATTCGGGCAATCAAATCCTAGTCCAGAAGGTCCAGCTGGAACAAAGAAGCCAGGATTCACCTTCGGCTCTTCTGGCACCTCTTCTGCTACCGCTGATGCCACTAAGAAGCCCAGCTTCACTTTTGGAGGCTCAACTACTTCCGCTGGCACAGATGCAGGCACGGCAAGCGACACCAAAAAGCCCGCATTCACTTTTGGCCTCTCTAACACTTCCAAATCAAAAGAACCTTACACTGCTACGGCGGAAGGGTTGAGCTTGACGAGTAAAGATTCAGAGGAGAGGAAGCACAAACCCTTCACTTTTGGATCCACGTCTAATACCAATAAAACCGAGAATTCAAAAGCTACACCTTCTTTCGTGTTTGGTCAAAAGTCCGAAACACAGCATGACAATAATGAAGGGCCCAAACCATCGTTCACGTTTGGCTCCGCGAACACATCTGCGGCCCCGAGCTTCAGTTTTGGTAAACCCTCTGAAGCCAAAGAAGCTCCGACGAGCGGATTCAAATTCAGTCTACCATTTTCGACAAATGCGGCTTCTAGTGAGACTCAAGAACAAAACAAAAAGCCTGAACAAGAAAGCGCCGTTGCGGCAGAGGCTAAGCCTGAGGAAGATTCAAAGATTATGGCTATGACAAATGGTGAAGAGGAAGAAAAGCTGTTATTCTCAAAACGCGCTAAGCTCCTGCTGGTAAATCCTGATACAAAAGGTTATGAATCTAGAGGTACTGGGGAATTGAAGGTTTTGCAGGACAAAGAAGACAAGACTAAATGCAGAATTCTATGCAGATCAGATGGTATGGGGCATATTCTTCTCAACACGAGTGTTGTGAAGGCATTCCAGTATACTCCAGCCGATGCGGATAGAGAGAACTTTGTCAAGTGCCCAGTGGTGAACAGTGAGGGAAAGCTTGAGAACTACGTTATTCAAGTCAAGCAAAAAGCAGATGGCCGCCAATTGTGCAAATCTATTAAAGAAGCTCAAGACGGCATGTAGTTCGAATTCATTACAATACCGCCAAACTGTCATTATGAGGGCAAGTGACGTGAGTGCTCCGTAAACTTTCAGTTAAATAAAATTGTATATCTAATGCATGCGTTTTAATAACCTTGGCCTTTCAGACCTGTCTTTATCAATTCAAGAAATTGTGGGAAAGCCCATTCCAGTCTTCTAATTTGCCGTTCGTAGTCCCTCGTTCCCTCTTGCTCCGTTACAAAGGCTTGGTATTTGAACCGTTTTTTCAAAAAGACGTTCAAAGCGGCATAAACTGATGCGCTGTTCTCAAAAGTAGAGCTGTGCTCAATCAACCTTTCAAATGCTGCACTCTCGTAAGATATCGTCCGTACGCCTCCAGAATTCTTTTTCACTTCGCACTTTTTGGCAATGGATAGTAAGAATTGAAAGATCATAATTTCGACAAACAACGCTCCCTCTCCGCTCAGACCACCCATCAGAGGAACATGCTTAAAGATGTCTAGTTTCAAAACCTCCTCGGCCAAGAGAAGGCCGAAAAATCTGCCTTGACATGAAATTTTCTTTAGTTTCTTATCTTCATCCAGGTCATCTTCGTCGTCGAGCGCGTTCTCGACGTCCGAATCGTCCTCTCGCTCGAACTTTTTGACCATATCCCAGAACATGAATTGAAAAGCCTTGGCTACATGATGGTGATGCTGACTTAGCTTCACACCCAGTAAGGAATAAAATGGATTGTAAGAGCCCTTGATACCTTCCATAGCCAAACAGTGCAGTAAGACCCTTGGAATCTCTAAACTCTGTTTATTTTTGAGATTCAGTTTGTCAATTCTAGCGAACGCATCCATGAAATCTTGTGCCGACATCACACTGACAAACAAGGCTCTTCTGACTTCCGTGTTCATTCTTTGAGACCTTGCGATCTCCCCCCAGTTAGGAATGTCATCGAGCATATCATCGTTTACCACAAGCGTGCTCTTTGATAATCTTGTACCATTTTCTCGACTCTTCTTGTCTTCGAAAGCAGACTCTAGATTGCCTTTCCAAGAAGCACCGACCAGCCACCATTTTCCCTTGGTTTCAATATTCTCAATGTCGTCTAGTGTCACTTGTAATGGGTCGCTGGAAGAAGAAACCGTGCCGCTGATGAAATTTGATATACTTTTCTTCACTCCCGAATGACTTGTAGCCAACAGTGACGGTTTTAGTCTGTTATTTTTCAGATCAGTCATGACTTCGAGTAAGAACTTCATTCTTGGTGATTGCTTGATATTCTTCACATTGGTCAAGAGCTCGGATATAATGACTTTTAAGCCCTTGGGATCGTCACCACGGATAAGTTGACCCGAGATAGAGATGATCCTTAATAAGAGCTCGGTGGTAAATTCGTTGGGAGTCTTGATCAGCATTTCAATGACATCATAGATGAGGCGAGAAGAGACCAGCCCAAAGTTGTAACAGTACGAGAGGAAAGCGATCAAATTATTGCACTCTTTGGACATCACGAATGCAGAGTCTTGGTCATCTTCCTTGCCTTGTTGAGTGAGTGTCTTTTCGTCCCGGTGAAAGGTTTCCAAAAGTCTTTCTACCCATTTTTGCAGGAAGGAAGCACCAACCTCTGTGCCTCTCAATTTCCATAGACTGAAAACCACGGCAGCGTAATTGATTATGAAACTATCCAGCAGCTTGTCACGATGGCAGACGATTTCGAGGGTTTGGTCAGCGAGAGCGTCGTTAACATGCTGTCTCGGATACGAGTCGTAGATCTCGCTTAAGGAGCTCACAATGACTGTGATATTAGATCCCGAGAGTTTGTTGAGAGAGGATTTGACCTTTTTACGAAGTTCAATGACACTTTGAGATTTATCATCGCCCAGGTTTTTCCGACGCAACGATGGTGGAACGTACGCGACGGGTTCAGCGGCAGGAGCGACGTATGGGTTTTCCCGCTTTGAAGACGTTTCTTGATCAGAGTTCTGATCAGAACCCTGACCTTCGAGCTCATGCAGATCTTTCCACTCTTGCTCGTCCAAGTCGTTCTCATCAAACTCGTCGAAGTCACCTTCAGAGATCTCATCATCGGAGGAAAATGGGTTTTCGCCTGCTTCGCTTTGAGACTCGCTTTCGCGGCCATTTCGTTGGTCCTCTTCGGAAACTTCACTCTGTGCTTCTTCTTCAGCTTCACCACTTTGAGAATCCTCACTGTCGTAGTTTTCAAAAAAGTCCAGACCCTCAAGTAGACCACCGATAGCGTCAAATTCGTTGCTAGCCTTCAAATTCTTTTGCTTCCCTTTGAGACCCAGCTTCTTGGCATAGTAATCATGATCCCATTTGTCCTTTTCGGCTTGTGCTAGCTGTGATGGCGTTAGCGATGGGGGTGCGACGTGGGCCTTTTTAGGTGATGCGGTAGTTTTGAGCTGAGGTTGACCCTGTTTACTGTTTTTCTTGTTTTCTTTGGCTCTTTTGAGCGCTTCCATAGTTTCGGCGACGGACATTTCAGGCTCTGAATCTGAATCTTGTGAGTCTTCGACGGTCCGCGATTTGGCGGTCTCTTTGGCTTTCTTCAGGGCCCGCATTGTTTCCTCAGGGGTCATTTCAGCAGCTTCTTGACGGCCTGCACTTTTTTTCTGTTTGACACGTTTCAATGCTAACATTGTCTCTTCCACGCTCATCTCAGTATCCTGTTCGCCGTCTTCGTCATCCTCTTCCTCATCCACTTCCTCTTCTTCCTCCTCACTGTAGTCTTGGCCACTTTGCTCACTACTGTGTCCATTTTCCTGTTCCAGCTCGTTCAGTTGCTCCCACTCTTCAGCATCTAGGTCCTCACTGCCAAACTCTTCGAAATCTCCCGAAGAGAGCTCGTCATCGGACGAGAACGGCAGTTTCTCAGCATCGGACAGCTCTTCTGCTGCTGGTTTTTTCCCTGACGACTTCTTGCCGGGTTTCCCACTTATTTCGGCTATTTTCCCAGTTTCTGGACTTTCCCTGTTTGTAGCTTTCGCTAATTTCGGCAGTTTTCCACTTTTTGGACCATTTTTGACGCTTTTCGAGCCGTTTTCGACTGTTTCCCCAGTTCTAGCGCCTCCAGCGACCTTGTTTCGCTTGTCCTGGCGCTGCTGCTTGCGTCTTTCCTTCCTGCCAAGTTGTGTTTTCCGTTTCCGTTTTCCGCCGTTAAAACGAGCGTCATCGCCGTAATTCTGCTCCTTCAACTCGTCAAGTAAAGGTCCAGGAATTCGAATGCCATGTTTCTCATTTCTCATAGTATTTATACTCGTGGACCTCGATTCTACCTCGATAAACTGCCTCGAGTTGTGATGAGATGAGTAGCGATGGGATGAGATGAGTTTATAAAATTTCATATAGGTGAAAAATATCCAAATTAAATTCATTACACTAGCTCATCGCATCAATTGTTCATATAAAAAGGCCAAGAATAATGGCTCGTAGCATTGATCTCAAGTTTATAGCAGACCTATCGGTACTCGTGGGTACTGGTATCTCAGTATACTATTTGGTGTCGAAACTCCTGAACGAAACGGATGGAAATTCGCTGTTTGGGAGGTCGAAAGAGGCCCGGGAAAAGCAGTCGCACACCTGGGACAGTTTGGTCGCAGTGCGGCCTCAGTTGCGCGACGTGAAGCTAAGCTCATATGAACGCAGTGTTCTGTCGTCAGTGGTACTGCCGCAAGACATAGAAGTGTCGTTTTCGGACGTGGGAGGCCTGGAAGAGATCGTAGAAGAACTCACAGAATCCGTTATTTGTCCGCTAACGATGCCAGAATTGTACACTTCGATGGGATCTTCCAAGGGAGAGGGGCTTTTGACGGCCCCTCGCGGTGTGCTGCTGTATGGACCGCCCGGTTGCGGCAAAACAATGGTCGCCAAAGCACTGGCAAAAGAAAGTGGAGCCACGTTCGTTTCGCTGCGCATGTCTTCGATCCTGGACAAGTGGTACGGCGAGTCCAACAAGATTGTGGACGCCGTGTTCTCGCTCGCCAACAAGATCCAGCCGTGCATTGTTTTCATCGACGAGATCGACTCGTTTTTGCGCGAACGGGCCTCCTCGGACCACGAAGTGACTGCCATGCTCAAAGCCGAGTTCATGACACTGTGGGATGGTTTGACCTCCAACGGCCGCGTGCTGGTCCTGGGTGCCACCAATCGCATGTCTGATATCGACTCGGCGTTTTTAAGAAGACTCCCTAAGCGTTTTGCCATACCGTTGCCTGGCGCCCAGGAAAGACGCCAGATCCTCACCATTCTGCTGCAAGGCTCCGAATTGAACCCTCAAGAATTCGATTTGGACACTATTGTGGCTGCCACACGCAACATGTCGGGCTCGGACCTGAAGGAACTGTGTCGAGATGCTGCTTTGAACGCTGCTCGCGAATATATTCGTCAGAAACGGCAAATGGCCTCTTCTGACAGCGATGTGGAAACCAAGAATATGCCAAAGGGTATAAGACCGCTGAAAACTTCCGATTTTTCCAAAAACTTAAGCATTCAAGCCCGCATACCGCTTGGTTCAGCAGGTCTGGATTAATGTGTGTCGACCTGAAAACATCGCAGCTGGAGATTATCATTAGAATTAACAAAATATGAATTTAGAATATGGCACTTGCTGTCAAGGCCTCATTCCTCCCTTTTTAGCGTGTGTCGGAGGCCTACCAATTAGAGAAATCGAACGCTGCCGAACGAATGTTAACGCTTGGGGTATTGGAATAACTTCCGTGTATCGACCCATATCTTTGTCCTAACTTGACGTCCTGGGAAACCATCTAGCGTTCTGCCAGAGAAAGTCAATAGTATGACCAGCATTGGGTAACCTACAGAGCTAAATAATAGAGTAGTAGGATACAAGGTTTTGAGATGACTGTCTCTAAATAAATGCATCTCGTACTTGCGTTGCGACTTCTGTCAATTGTATCGTTTATGAAATATTCTCCATGGACACTACAACGTTCTACGAAAAGAGCGCTAAATTCAATGGAACACTGCTACCTCTCCCACTGGGGTATAGCTTCGTTTTGTTTGAAAATGTCCGTGGCTTGGGTAATTGAGAACTGTTGGTCCATTTAAAACGGGTGTCATCGATGACAACTTTTGTATTTTCGAGTTTAACACCAGTGGTAGTCGAGCTTCCACTTATGGTGAAGTTGTTAGTCTCGATTTCTGGTTGGTTTGTGTGTGGATTCGTCGCATGATTGGCACGATTGGCATCATTGTTGGAAAACAACCGCTGTTTGAGGTTTGTACCTGTGCTTCCATTGAGAGGTGGTGGTGGAGGTGATTTTGAAGTTGAACTGGCTGCGTGGGCAGTAGGAGAAGATGTGGGCATAGATGGAGGAGCTGGTGCACTAGGCAAAAATGGAGGAGCTGGTGCACTTTTTATAGACGGTGGAGCTGGTGCACAGGGTATAGATGGTGGGGCTGGTGCACTGGGTATAGATGGTGCAACTGGAGCGCTCACTTTAGGTAAAGGAGGTGCTGAAGGAGCTCCTGCCGTTGAACGTCCAGCGTTGGCATCTCCTGCGTTCCCCAACCCCTCCACCACATGAGAATCGTCTCGTTTTCTTTCAATTTCTGCAAGAAATGGTAATCCTCCTGGCGCCGGAGCTGATGTAACTTGAGAAGCACCAACAATATTTGGCGCTGAAACTGGTTTGGAGGTCATAGCAGAATTTTGGTGCGCTGCAGCCTGTGGCAGTGGAGGAGCTGAAGGAGGCTTCGGAGCTGACACTGAGGGTAGTTGGGGGATCGGTGGAGCTTTTGGTGCTGACACTGGAGGTAGTTGAGGAGCCGGAGGAGCTTTTGGTGCTGAACTTTGTGGCAAAGGTGGCGCAACTGAATGCGGTGCCGATGCTTTGGGTATACTAGGGGCACTTGCAATAGGTATAGGAGGAGCTCCGCCACTTGGTGATGGTGGTGGTATTGAGGGTGGCACGGCTGCGGAACTCCGATGAAGCTTCGAATTCATTTCGTCCAGGAAAGACATACCCGGTCCTGAAGAGGTAGTCTTTGGAGGTTCTGGAACATCTGCTTTCAAAGGCACGAACCCTGACCCTTGCTGGGTCTGTGTAGTGTAATTCGCGTTTTCGCCAATAACGAAGCGATCGTCCCGTTTTTTCTGTATTTCAGCTAGGAAGGGCAAACCTTGGGATGGGGCCGAGGATGCAGGCGCTGGCGGTGCGGATTTAGCTACAGGAACTTTCATTGCTGGGAGTACTGGGGGACCTGGAGGTGCCGGAGGAGCTGGTGGTGCTGGTGGTGCTGGTGGTGCTGGTGGTGCTGGAGCTGATGTGGTAGCTAAACCTGGTAATGCAGTTGGTGCCGGTGGTGCTCTTGGAGCCTGTGGTGCCTGTGGTACAGCTAAGGTTGGTGGCGGTGGTGGTGGTGCCGGAGGTGTCGAAGTGAAGGGAGCACTTGGAGCTGAGAAGGCCGGCAGCGTTGGAGGCGCTGGAGGTGCTGGAGGTGCTGGAGGTGCAGGAGGTGCTGGAGGTGCAGGAGGTGCTGGAGGTGCAGGAGGTGCTGGAGGTGCAGGAGGTGCAGAGGCCCTTGGGATAGGTGGTGCTGACGCGGCTGGCGGGGCCGGTGGCGCTGGTGGTGCTGTGGGAGCACCAACTTTAGGCAGAGAAGGCACTACAAGTGATGGGGCCTTAGGTGCGCCGGTCATAGGCAGTGGGGGAGCGGACGCCACAGGTGCAGGTGCAGGTGCATTGGCGGTCCTCCTGGTAGGCCTCGATGCAGGCATATGGGGTCTAGCAGATGGAACTTGTGGATTGAGCGGAGGGGGTGCAGACCCTGGAATGGGAGGTGCAGAGGAAGGAGCATGAGCAGAGTTATTTACCGGAGGAGCAGGAGGAGCAGGAGCCACCGGTGCCACGGAAGCACTTGTGCTGCGTAATTTTGGTATGCCTCCAGCGAGAATATCACCCAGCTGAGGTGCATTTCCCACTGGAACAGGCGGAGCTGTTGCGGGAGCTGGAGGCCGTCCGGGGATGTCAGGAGCGCCGGAAGGTGGCGATGCTTCGCCTACCACTCCGCCACCAAGTTTTGGAGCGCTTCTATCGTTCGTAACAGCCTTCTTGAGCCTTGCACCCTTTCTAATGTCGCCGAGCAGGGCGTCTCTTCCTCCGGCACCCGCTGAGGCCGCAACAGCGGGGTTTTGGCCGCTGGAAATCGCACCCGCCATCATTGGGGGTGGTGGAGGAGGGGGGCCAGCCATTTTGGGAGTCTTTACGCTTGAATTGATGGGCAATTGGGTCGATTTAATGGTTTGGTTTTTTTGAGTTTAAGGTGGTTAGCTTTCTATAGATACATTATTTCTAATTTCACAGTTGTTGATGTTCGTGTGTGGTGACATAATGTGATTTAAATTAATGACGATCTGATATATTTATGGTCTGAAACGATTGCACTAAACGCCTGTGTGTCGAGCAAATTGTAGAACAACACCACACAGGATCACGACATTCCTATCCCTCTCTTTGTAGGGCTGCAAATGAGACTGTTCGAAGATATCACTCAAATTTGAAAATTGGTCATTTTGTACGTCTGTGTCGTCGGACACACATTTTACAATCCTCTACGAGTAATTCAAGCTGATTTTGCGTTCTGGAGCAACCAAAAGTGTCTCGTTTATCAACTGTTTGCCATATAACCTGTTGCTCGTGTGTGAGACCTCCGAGTATCCCCAAAAAAAAACGCCTGGACGTTTAGTGACATAGAAGTATGAAGTGATTTGGTCGCGTAAGACTAGCCGCAGTCATGGTCCGAAACGACTTGGTAAGGCTCACTCATGATTGTCAAACATCTCGTATTGCAATGGCGAGATCTGGAATGGAACGAGTGGGGCTATCGTCAATCAAGCTTCCACACGTGACAACAACGACGGACTTGTTCAAGAGTGATAATATAATACACTGATCGTTTGGCTGTGTAGGGACATTGTGATGAAAGACCACCAGGTACTCAGGTCAAGCGGTTGCGGAGGTTTCAAGTAATTTCATCATTTTGTTTTCCCTCAGACAGTAATTCCAAAACTAAGGGCGTTTTCCTTTCGAGCTCAATGCTTTGTATTGAATGTCGTTGACAATCAAGCTTATGCGTTTAAGTCTCCATATGTCATTTTCCATAAAAAATGGACCCTAGAAAATGAAAACTCGAAACACGAACAGTGAGCAAGCGTCATCAGCGGTCCTTGCGTATTTTGTAAATTTCCAGTTGTGTGTGTGATATTGTTTTTTTTAATCTGAGAATGACCAGGAATCACGGTACAAGTGCAACAATCGTCAGACCCATTGCAGCTCTCAAAGGGCGTGAGAAATTCGTAGCACGTAGCTCAAAATCAAAACCTTTATCTAAAAAGTCCTCGAGCTCCCACGCCCTCTGCGTCCTTTTTTTTGCGAAGACAGTATTTTGCATGGAAACCAAAAACCATACCTAACGGTCTTACCTCAGGTGCCCAATACCTAGTCCAAATTCCAGCACTTGACCTGCTCTCGAAATCTCTCATAAACCTAAATGTCTAAAACACAGTACTTCGTGCGTAGTGATCTCTAGGAAGTATAAAAAGCCGAAGCGAAAGCCCTGACTTTGCTATCTTTCTACCTCTTTTAGCTCTTTTGTAGGTCTCTTTTTTTTAGAAAATTGAAACCGGGGGCTCTTCTCCTATGGAGAGAAGCCCTAGCGTGCATCATCGAAGATCCGTAGTCCGAAAGTGGTCTGTGGATTCAAAGCGATGCGCAGAAAAAGGTAAAAATGTCACTTGGGTCAGCATTGTGGGAAAGTATTCCACATACATGAACCACATGCATTGAGATACAGTTGAGTATTCTGTTTGGCTATCCTAAAGGCTCAGTGACACAGCATCATTACTGTTGAAGAAACTTATTTTTTCTCTTTAAATTGTAGGCTCTGTATACTTTTCTTCTCTGCACTTAGCATCGCTGCTAGATGTTCCCATGCATCTTCCGCTGTAGTAGGTCTAACAAGGCAGGCCCCCATTCGGGACGGCGTTTGTACTGACCGATATTGTCCTGCATACCGGCGACCGCGTCGTACATGTCCTGCAAAACTGCTTTCTGAGAGTAGAAATCGTCAGTCAGGAATTGATCTGCCATATTCCACAGATAACTTTTGATTGAAAAGCACATCGCTTTTGACTGCGGGCCCAGCTTGATCAGACACTGGCGTTCGGATCGATAGTACAAATCGCGACCGCCACGCAACTGCTCCAATGTCTTGGCACTGATTTGCTCGCTGGCGGTGCCCTTGTTTTCGTCAGTCACATACATCTTATTGTGCGTTTGAAACGAAAAATTGAGTCGCAGCACAACTTTTCCCATTTTGTGCATTTGAAAGAACCTGTTCATTTGGGCCTGTAATTTTACTTTGTAGTCCGGCACCGGGCCATGCACCAACGTCAATGGCTTCAAAAACCGCTCTCTTGGGTTGAAACCGGCTGCAAATGCAAAAACTCCGACCATCAGCACGTACTCGTTGTTGAACTGACTGCTGTCATTGGGCAAAAGAAGCAGAAGATCCTCTTCCACTAACCTAGTGAGCGCCAGGATCAGTTCGTGCGCTCTTCGCGTTCTTGTACACGATACGAGACACCTGTAACCAACATTGTCTCGTCTAGCCCCGCTCAGGGCTGCTTCTGAAGGAATTACGTCTGCTTCCTTGCACCGGTAATTGAGGAAGCTAATTTGGGCCTCTGGAAGTTCGATGTACTTGCGTGGTTCTATTGGGTGGTACTCGTCCATGATCTTGTTGTAAAGAACGCCCGGCGTGTCTTGAGAAGGCGACAACAACACCTGGAAATGCTGCGGGAACCGCCGCACCAGAAACCCAATAACGTGGTCGTAAAGCTCGCATAGCGCAGTTTCGCAAGCTGCCACGTCTCGGTCGGTAATCAAAGTTTCCTGGTGAAGTTTGTCGTCATTTTCCACTGGTTTTTCTAGTCCCGAGGCCAGTTGGCTTTCCATTGCAGGGTCCAGATAGAAAATGACGTCTTGGTAGTTGTCACGAATGATTTCCCATTTGGCTTCAATTCTGTCTTTGTATGTATTGTCGAGAACGAGCCAATCCTGAGTGGGAATAGCTTTAACACCCATGTTAAGTCTATACTCGCCAGCTTTGAATGGCTGGTATGGAAAGGGTTTGATCTGGTCCCAGGTCATTTCCTTTGGTTGTACTTCATTTGCCATAAGTGCAATTGGTTCCCATTTTTCCTCGTCTGGGCGTTGCTGCTCAATCACTCGGGGCTTCTTCTTGCTCGATAAATCCTTGTAAAGCAGAAACGAGAAACAGCACAGTAGAGGAAATGTGACTTGTTTGCCCAGAATTGGGCTCAGATCAAGCATATTGTTGGCTAGAGTGCTCTAACTTTGCAGTGAGTAGTTCAAATTGGACCGGGGGAAAAGTGTTTATTCATTCCGCAGTTTTCGCTCTTGAATAAAATCACACTGATTGAGTCACCGGAGCTGTTTGTTGTTCAATCGGTACAACCTATTCGGATTGATCCCGGCGCGCAAATCCGAGTACTCATTTTTTTTCCACTGCGATTGTCTAGCCTAATCTGTCATGATAAGGTTAATTATAATTCCTTTATAGCTGAGAGCGATAAAAAAACAGCTCGAGAACAGAACCGCCTATAAAGAGGGTGGATAGCGAAGTCAAGTAGGGGCACGTTTCGTGAGCTTGTGGAACAGATTCGGGCACTCAGTACCAGTGGATTTGATGAAGTAGAAGTGGGTATTCATCACGTGATATATAAACATCTGCTCATTTCTTACGGCAGATCACGGCAACTAAAATCGGCACGTTGAGTTTCCGGTCCAGCAGTTCGTTTCTGCCCGGTACCACGTTCACGAACCGTTCCAGTGTGTTTGTTTGTTGTAGAGTTTCGGTTCCAGCACGCGTTTTGACCAGTTCCAAAATGGTCACTGCGCGTTGGATGTGGGGTCCATACGCGAACAACACGAGACATTTCTCCTGCTGCAGCTGGTTCAGCAGCTCCGAAACAAACTCTTCTGTCTTAGTATTCTTAGTAGCATAGCAAATGTGGCACTTTTCGATGTCGCGGTTCGAAATTGCAGTTGGCACGATCTTGTCCCGGATAAACGCATTACATTCGGCAGTTTGCGCGATTCTCAGTCCAGTCTGAGCATTGTGGTATAAAACGGTGCTCGATTGAGTTTTGAGTGCCGCAACTTGGCTCTGGGAGACGTCTGCTTTGGCCATTGATTTGTGTGTGTTTTTTCTTGTTGGTTTGATCTGACGTTAATGCGATGTACAAATTGATTTTCATGCTAGGGCGATGAGCTCTCGAGCCGAAGCTCGCGGTTTTTGTCAGTGGCCATAAATGAAGATAGAGGACTGATAAAGAGATGGTGCTGAGTCTGGAGTGCACTTGAAAATGAGTTCTTTCGACGGAAGAATTTCGAGCCTGGTGTGCTTATTTGATGACACTGTAAAATTAACGCCAGTAGATGGTGGATTGTAGCTGAAAGCTTTGAAATCTGACGGTGACGTTGGGAGATGTAAGAATTGAGGATATTGTATGCTGGACCGTACTAGTTGTTTAGAGTTGGAGTGTTTTCTGGCTTCGGCAGCGTTGTGTTTTTGTTTGTTCTGTGAGTGATAATTACATGTTTTGGTCTTGTGGAGCTGCTTTCGGGGAGACACTGCAGAGAGACACATGATAATGAACAAAAACAAAAGATATGGTCTTCGCAGAAAATGTATGTGCTTGAAGATGATTTCAAGTGGGTGTTTCTTACGTACCGTCTTGTATGAAAAAACTGGTGTCAAGACTGTTCTTGGGCCACCACACCTCCAAAACTCCTGGTATCAATTTTGTCACCCATAAACGCCATTTTAGCACCTCGGTATCAATAAAAAAAACTCTCACTAAGCGAACCCAGACTCTTTACTACACACTCACACGCACTGCTGCTACGCAGTGCCACTCATGGTAAACCTTCTTCTTCCTCTTCCCATCTGGTCTTCCTAATTCTGTCATTAGATATGAATTTGACATCGCCTTTTTCTTGTGACTGTCCTAAGGCTCCAACACCCAGACAGTTATTACAAACTCTCCCAGTTTTTAAAAAATGACACGATTACCACATCGGGAAAGTCGCCGAAACACAACCACATCACCACATACTACAATTTCAAAGGACGCACAAATAAACACGTGATGTACATGTGACAATTTTCGTCGCTGAAAAATCCCTGGAATTTTTCACTCACTACGCACGAAACAAGTCCAAGTGGTATCGCTCTACCACGCCAATCCCAAAACTTACCATTAACTTCACCACTTCTATCTCCTCCCACTCTTCTTGTCCTTTCCTCTCTCTCCTCAGCTACTAGGAAACCTTTAAACAACCTATCACACTACAAAGTTCGAAATGGGAGGTATCCGTGAAAAGAAGGTCGAATACTTCGCTAAACTAAGAGAGTACCTCGAGGAATACAAGTCTGTGTTCGTCGTTGGTGTCGACAATGTGTCCTCTCAGCAGATGCACGAAGTCAGAAAGGCTTTGAGAGGCCGTGCCGTCGTTCTTATGGGTAAGAACACCATGGTCAGACGTGCCATCAGAGGCTACTTGGCTGACTTGCCAGACTACGAGAAGTTGTTGCCTTTCGTCAGAGGCAACGTCGGTTTCGTGTTCACCAACGACTCTCTTTCCGACATCAAGGAGGTGATTGTGTCCAACACCGTCGCTGCCCCAGCCAAGGCAGGTGCCGTCGCCCCAGAGGACATCTGGGTCAGAGCCGTCAACACCGGTATGGAACCTGGTAAGACCTCGTTCTTCCAGGCTTTGGGTGTCCCAACCAAAATTGCCAGAGGTACCATTGAAATTGTCTCCGACGTCAAGGTCGTCGAGTCCGGCAATAAGGTCGGTGCCTCTGAAGCCTCTTTGTTGAACTTGTTGAACATCTCGCCTTTCACTTTCGGTTTGACCGTTGTGCAAGTCTACGACAACGGCCAGGTGTTCCCATCCACCATCTTGGACATCACCGACGAAGAGCTTGTCTCCCACTTCGTCTCTGCTATCAACACCGTTGCCTGCATCTCCTTGGCCGTTGGTTACCCAACCCTACCATCCGTCGGCCACTCTGTTGTCAACAACTACAAGAATTTGTTGGCCGTCGCTATCGCCTCCAAGTACATCTACCCTGAGATCGAGGAGTTGGCTGACAGAATCGAGAACCCTGACAAGTACGCTTCTGCTGCTCCAGTCGCTGCTGCCACCTCTGACGCCCCAGCTGAGGAAGCTGCCCCAGAGGAGGACGAGGAGTCTGAGGACGACGACATGGGTTTCGGTTTGTTCGATTAAACACAGTAGCTAGTATGAATTCGCCAGTCTGATTGCGGCCAATCACCGCGCATGCGTCAGGCTACGTACAAGTTTTTATTATTACATACAGTTAATCGGGTCCGTTTCTTATTGAGGTGTTGGTGAGGCTTCTTAGTAGACTAAGGCGTCTTCTAAAGCTGGAAAGAAAGGGCATAAACTCTCTTGCCGTTCATTCCCATTCTAAGCATTTTAGTTTTACTACAGCTTGAAACACCAGCCGATAATTGTTATAGATTTACGTCTGTCATTTGCTCAGTTGGCACGCTAATTGGAAAATGAGTAACACCATCAATAGGCTTTTAATCGTGGTACAATGGGTGTTGGTTGAGATGTCTTAGCTGTATAACTAGTATATATGCTTGTGAAGTGCGATTAGACTACAACATGACAGAATTATACAAAATGATAGGAAATAGCTGAATTGAATGATAACGATAATAACCATGAAAGACCCCAGGAATGGTGAATTCGTGTAGCAGTTTCTGAAAGCACTTTCTTTTAGTGAATACCATAGGCGTAAGCTGGGTCTTTTTTACTTTCGTGTAAGTTGTTTTTTTGGGAATTCTGACTATTGAACTGATGTGAGCATTCGCGATCAATTGGTCAGTTGAAAAGCGTTTAGACACAATTGGCCCTGCAAAAGCTGTGTTACGCTTTATATTTGCACTTGTTACCCATCAGTAGAATAGGGGGGATTTTATTAGTTTTGATTATTCCAGGCATGAATAGTTTTCCTACTCAGACAGTCAGAAATCTTTGCGATGGCTGTAGCTCCAACCTAATATCAGCGTTTTCGACATAGACTTTGATGGAGATCTCGAGCTAGACCTTTCGGATTTCACTACCAACGGCTTGGCTGGTACTGCTCCACGAACTCTGCGTATATTGGTTAATTTTATACAGTCCATAAAGATGCAGTTGAAAACAAAGATTCGAGTCCCGTAAAGTACACAGCCTTATCTGTGGCAACGATATACTCCGAGTACGCAGGGCTGGAGGTCGACACGTCGGAAAGTAAGAGCTCCTTTATCAATTATCTGCCGGAAATTCCAGTGTGAGTGAACTCGCAAAAACTTTGAAGTTGAACTCGCAAAAACTTTGAAGTTGAACTCGCTTCCTTGGCTACAGCAAGGTTATTGGCGGGTTTTATGGATAGTGACATAATTGAAGTGGCCTCTGACGACGATCTGTGAACGCCGAATCCGATTGAGCACTGACGTAACGATTTACCACGTGATAAAATGACAGAGATGACAAGCTAGCTCAAAAATGATACAAGGCCCTCCCGCCATTGACACTTACCTGGTCACTACATAGCTCTGACCAGACAGCTGTGAAAATATGACGTTCCAGGCATTGAAGCATATAATCGTTGGGTGCTTTTCGTAAGCAGCTTTTGCTCACCACGCTTATACTTATATCCCGGCTTCAACGCAGCAAATTGCTCGACTTTAAAACTCGTGTGGAGTCCAGTGCTCGGACAACTTCAATTTAGCATTAGAACACCACAGAATGAGCTATCTATGCCCCGGTAGACCTGTGTTCTCAAGCCGATGATTGCAGAATTCCTCATTTTCGGAAGTAGTAATTTGTCGCAGGGAAAAGCTACCGCTTTTCAAGATGTGCCGATGACTTCGACAACAATGCCAATAGCCTTAGTCTTGGCTATTTCTGTTGTTCAATAATTCCACTGCTTGCAATCCGAGTATTTTATTGAACATGGTAGAATCACCGCCAGTGGCCAAATGAAACAAGGAGCCTTTTTCGGCACCTCGCCTAAGGGTCTTCATGAGATAAACCGGTGCTTTACTGACCATGTTGTTTCAAATTCGCGTTGGCAACGTTTTGTAACAGTTCTGTTCAGCTCGAACGTAACAAATTACTGTCACCTCGCGCTTTAATAACTTTAGCATCTGTCAGACACTCGACGTCACTTAAAAAACCAAAAAAGTTTTGTGACCAAAAGGTTCGCTCATCTGCCAAGAACAACACTCTTCCCACTGCTATCGACATTTGCAAATTCAATGATGACCTTCTCCGAGTTGAGGGAATCCAAAATGGGATACATTAATTCCCTGCGCTCATATGACAGTTCGAAACGATCTGTCGCCAGGTCGTTATCCCACGAGAGCGAACGAACAAAAACTATCAATGAACACTCTTCTTTGTGTTCTCAAAATTCTATCTTTTCCAGAAGTCCATCTTTCCTTGGCGAAAACGGAAGTGTTGAGCAAACTGACCAGGCGCGGTTAGAAAGCGACACCACTGACGTCGAGACTATTGGCGTTATTTCTGTCAACGGCAGCGTTATACATTACTCTTTAAACTCTTCTGCTGGAAATACTCGGCAGCAAGAGAGTTCAGCACCGCAAATTTTCACCCCCAGTGTTATTGGCGATAATGGCAGGTTGACTTTAAGATTATTGAACGTATATTTAGCTCTGTTTATTACGGACGCTAGCTTCACGCAGGGTTTTGAAGAACCCGAAAGCGTCAATCATTGGTCCCGCTATAATCTCTCACCTCGAGTTTTGATAAGTGCTATTCCTGAGTCTGTGAAGTCGCTGGTGGACGTTATTGGATTTGTGGACCAAATCATACAAACAATTTCGAGCTTCTTGTCCAGTAACAATTTTCAAGAGAAATGCCATAGCGATGCCTGGGGTGTTGACGAGCTTGCCACATTTGAGCGTCAGATTACTTCGATTTTGAAATGTCTCATTTTGGAATACGCGCCACAAGCCAAACTGTCACCCATCTGTCCTCAATTCGAAAAGGCTGTAACGCTTCTAAGAGATCTGGAAGCTGCAACTGGTTATCGGAAGCAAACTCGACATTCGGCTGCTCATTTGGCTGACGAAGAAGAAGACTGGGTCTTGCAGAAATTGCAGAACTTAAAGTGCGTGCCAGCCACTATTATCGACTCTTTGAATTTTGACGTGGGTATGCCAACAAATGCGACACCATATGCTAAAAGCCGGAAAGGCGAAATAGAGCTGCTGGAGACTTTCACGGCGCTGTATGCTATTTTGTTGATGGAGATCAAAAAACTATTCCAGTCTGTGATTTCCATATCTCGAGCAACAGGTATTCTTTGGAATTTAGAGGGCTCGTTGTTAGTTGGGTGCCTCGAAGGGTTTTTGCGCAATTCCTTCGTCAGCAATACCTCCGAATTGCTTGTTGATCTTGACAAACTGGTGTTGATATGGGTACAACATCACGATGTATTAAGAGATCAAACGAAAGGATGGGCTTCTCGTTTTATAGCGGATTGGAATTCGGATGGGAATGAGCCTGAATTCGGTACGGTGAATGGAAGCACAATTAACAGCTGCGAAGCCACGAGTCCCGAGTTTGATCTGGTGCGACTTTTTATCAACGAAGTGGTTGATATTTGTGCCTTTGGCACAGATCGCAGGTCCGAGGCTCTGGAGTCTATGACAGTGCGAGAGAAAATGCCAACTAGTGGGCTAGGATGGCTGACCATATTCCAGGAGGACAGTCAACACAATGAAGACGGGCAACCCACGGCCAACACCCGTGAAATCAATTCGTCTGCTGGCACTGACACAGGCACGGATGGTGGATTTCGACAGCTTCAAGCGCTGTACGGCGCGGAAATCTCCATGCTGGAGGACGAGACCACAATGAACTTGGTAGAGGAGTCCGAGCATTTCTGGTCTCGTCATCGTGCAAACCATCACGAGCCGCGCCACTTTCGCAGCTGGATCAAAAAGGGCCTGCGCTCAACTGACGTTGGCCACAGACACCGCTTAGTGGACGGGTGTCACCGGGCCAAGGAAAAGCTGAAGAACCTGGCACACAAGTTTTCGCATAAGGAGAAGAGAGGCCCCAGGGTGGTCAAAACGTGGCACAAATGTCCGTCGTCTTCTTCTTCAGCAGCGATTCCAGCACAGAGCGGCCCAAACGGCCCAAACGGCCCAAACGGCCCAAACGGCCCAAACGGCCCAAACGGTCCAAACGGCCGACCAGCTCTTGCTCTGACTGGCCTCGATGGTCCCGGATACCGTTTCGAGGAAGCCTTTGACCGCACCACATATGGCGAAACGTTCCACGAGCAGCAGCCCCCACGTCGTTACGAGAACCTGAGACGTAAGAAGGACCGGTTCATGTTTTTATTTTTCGGCGACGAGAAATGAACGCGACCACAACCACAACCACAACCCGAGCATGCCTCCTCAGAGCAATTTCAATAACATTTTTCTCCCACCTCTTTCTAAGGACTGTATAAGAACTATAACTCCATAACACCAAGAAAAACAAAACTCAATACTGATTCTTGTTGTCCTTTTGACCCATTACAAAAATGGTACAAAAAAAGTACCGTTGTAATCAGAAACATCGGTTTACCCTTCGAAATTTCAACCTCAGCTTGTTCTCAAACCACCTTCACTCGTCAAAACCTCTTAAAGTCTCGTCAGTCTCAAAAGTTCCCAAAACTATGACATCTTTAATCTCTTGTTCCCCACCACGTCATAAGTGACATCAACACACGTTCACCCACACGTCCCATTCTTCTTTCATATTTTGATATGGTGATATTATAAGTTTTTTTCCCATTATATTCAGGGGAAGAGTCCCCTTCCCGTCGAACTATAAAAGCTCGAAGATCTGGGGATCAGATTCCTTGTTCGAACGTCAACTCATCGAACAAGTCAAAGAGCGTTCTAACAGCGTGCAAGGCGCACACAGGAGCTAGAAGAAGCTAGACGAGGATTTAACAGCGTACACCAAGCAAGAACTCTGAACGCGAGCCTTTAGGTGACCGTTACATTCCCTTTTACTGAGTATAGTTTCATGAAATTCGCACTTGGGTGTGGGTCCCATTTCGTTCGTTTCAATCGGGTTTTCCACACACAAGGTAAACATGTGTCTCTCGTGAGCAGTAAGCAAATTGGCACCGGTTTCACCGCCAATGCCGCCCGAGGGTACTCTACAGGCCCGCTTTTTGGAAATCACAACAACACGTTTCGCACCACAACCAGACAGGGCGCGTACGGCAGCACCGAGGTGCTCAACCAAGACCTGGTCTCGGACGCGTTCCCACGCGTCAAACTCGCGTTCGAAGTGGTCAATGAACACACCTCGACGTATTTCCCCAAAGCGCCGGTCATCATTCTGCACGGCCTGTTTGGCAATAGGGCCAACAACAGAACCATAGCCCGGCAACTGAACGAGCGCCTGGAGCGCGACGTGTATCTGCCAGACTTGCGCAACCACGGGCTGTCGCCTCACATTGGGCGTCACGATTACCCATCCATGGCCGCAGACGTGGAACTGTTCATCCAGGAACAGCAGTTTCAAGATGCCCCGATCATCGTGGGCCACTCAATGGGCGCCAAAGTCGCCATGAGTGTGGTGCTGCGCAAGCCCCAACTGTGCTCCATGTTGGTAAGCATCGATAACGCGCCGGTCGCCACGATGCCCACCATGTCGTTCCCACGCTACGTCAAAAAACTGCTGGAAATCATCGAGAACCCAAAGATCCAGACTTTTGCAGACGCCGAGAAGTCGCTGCGCGACATCGAAAGCTCGCCTGTGATCCGTCAGTTTCTGCTCACGATTTTGCAGCGGGTGAAGGAGAGCGACGACTCAGACTCTGGAGCTGGAGCTGGAGCTGGGAAACCAGCGTCCGGACACCATCAGCACCAGCACCAGCACCAGCAACAGCACCAGAACCAGCACCAGAACCAGCACCGCTTCAAGTCCCGGATCCCACTGGGCATTTTGAACGACGCCATTGTGAAGGGCAACATCGCCAACTGGGAATTCAATCCATGGGTCCACCAGTACACTTCTCCGTCGCTGTTTATTCGTGGGACTCGCTCGCACTACGTTTCGGACGAGACACTGCAGGACGTGGGCCGGTTTTTCCCGCGGTTCGAGTTGCGTGACATCGATGCGACACACTGGGTCAACACCGAGAAGCCCAGGGAGTGCAGCGATTTGATCGCAGACTTTATTGAGCGTAACGAAGAGCTGTGACAGGAGAGGAGAGAAGAGGAGAGGAGAGGAGAGGAGAGGATCCTGGTGAATTTTTTTTGATATTTTGAGGAGTTCCGGCACGAACGCACGCACGCACGCACGCACGCACTCCGAACTCACTTACCTATCGTTTGTACAAGTAAACTTTAGCATCGAAGCCCGCTGGCGTGGGGGCAACGGTACTTGGAATTGCATTTTTCTATTCTAGCTGTGGTACCCAGACGTATACGTACATAGTGACTGGAAAACTCCGGCTCAAGCTCGCTTTTTCTCTTTCGCAACAGGCGTACAAAGGGTAGAAACCAGGGCAGAACCCCTCGCCAGTGCACGCACCGGTTGAAACGTCGAGCATGGGCCTGAGAGCGAGACGAGACCCCCTCCCCGCCAAAAACCACCTGGAAACAAACCAATCACCATATACGAACCTCTTTTTTTTTGGCACATCAATTTAATACTAGCTCAGACTCACTCACTCACTCACTCACAAGCCGCACCCACACTCAAACTCACCTCCCCGACTCCCCCTTACTCCCTACACTCCCTTACTCGCCTCCACTCTTCCACTGCTGCTGCTCAAAATCCTATTTTTGTCCACCTACAATATTTCCTTCACCCACGTGACTTCAGGAGCCCAGGTTTCTCTGCTTATAAGGAAGAAATGCTGTCCAGGGCAGCCAACTTACCCAACTACCTAACTCCCCAGCACCAACCCAGTATATAAAAAACACTGTTACTGGGTGTCTCACGCGTTTTATCGAAGAGATACTACGCATAAACAACGCGAGACCTGGCTTTGAGCGACCGAAGCCATCTCTAACTCCTGCCAGACCGGTGACATTCGTTTTAACCGCCCGGGATCATTTTTTCGAGGCTGAAAATCCCTAAACTCGGGTTTTTTCGAGCTCGAAAGGTATGTATACGGCCGCGAGCCACTTGTGGGACTACTAACGTGCTATAGCGGTGTGTGACGAGCTTTTTAGAGTTGTGTGTTGTACGCGCCACTCGAGGGATCAAAAATATGCGTGCGCGTTGTGGGAAATCTAGACATATAAGAAGAGGACAAAACCAGGCGAGACGGAGGCGGTCCGCGGTTCGATTCTCGGGAGACGCGGTTTTGGTTTTTTGAGAAAATCAGAAAATGAGAAAAAAAGTCGATGACTTACGTAATGCGCGAACAAGAACAGACAGGACAAGAACAGAACAGACGAGACATTATGTGTCCCACTCGTCCCCGTCGCTGGTGGCGATGGGTGGCTCGGCTGGATTCGCAGTGTGGCCGCTTCATCCCAGGTCTTTTTTTTTTTTTTTTTCTTTCCTCCTTCGGCTTTGCCTTTTGCATCGCTTTGGGAACTGTGATGGATCGACCTGGCCTGAAACAACCACACTTAGTCACCGCGTTCCACGGAAGCTGCTCTCTTTTTTTTGTCGTTTTGTTTTTCGTGGTTATGGTGATGGGTAGTGCACGCTGAGTGCCAGCAATCCAATCCAAGCAATCAGTCGCCAAAAATCGCCAAAAATCGCCAAAAAAAAAACTACCGATTGAGTAGATTTGCCCTGCCCAAGAACACGCCTGGTTCTGCTTTCGATACATTAAGACTCCCGCTTTTTACGCACAGTTTTAGTTTATCGACGCGCCTGCCCGTCTTCATTCTTTCTCAGCTGGATCCACGGTTCCACACGAGATTTGATCTGGGATCAAACAAGTAGAGAAGAAAAAAAAGGAAAAAGAAGAGATTTCGCACCGCAACCACACCGCGTACCCGATACAACACAGCACAGCTTCTTCGACACTAAAAATAAGTTTTTTCTGTCGGATTTTTGTGTTTCTGTGTGTCTGGTTTGGTAAATCGATCTAAATCGCGATCGCGTACTTGGTTCGTTTTTTCTCGTTTTTCTCGCTTTTCTCGCTCGTCATTTTTGATTCGCCTTTGGAAATTTGTCCGTGCCACCAATATTCAACCAACTTCTGTTATTTCCAACTTCATTCTCAGTTCCCACTCACTACTTTTGAAACCCAGCACTGTGCACAGTTGTTCCCATCCACACACTCGCTCTAGCACGAAAAGCCTCACTCCTATTAAAGAAGGTTATACTAACTAACGTTTGGTTTCCAGACTAAATCAAATCTTGCCTCTCTCTGGAGAAACTAGAGTTATTGTTCCACGTCGGGCTCCCACTCCAACATGTCGTACAACGACCAGAACAACTACTACGGTCAGGACGGCCAGCAGCAACAGCAGCCGCAGCAGCAGCAACCAGCCGAGTACGTCGCTGACGCTTACCACCAGGGCTACGGCCAGCAACCGCAATACGATGAGTACGGCCAGCCGATGTATCCCCATGACCAGTACGATCCAGAAGCCGCAGCGCACTATGACCCCAACGGCGCCGAGTACTACGCCCAACAGGGCTACGACCCGGAATCCATGGACCACGCCCAAGGTAACGCCTACTACGAGCAGCCCCGTGGCATGGGCCAAGACCCGGAGAACTTTTCTGACTTCAGCTACGGTCCTCCTGCCACACCAGGCTACGACGGCTACGGCACCCCAAGTGCAGACCAGTACACGCCTTCGCAGATGAGCTACGGCGAACCAAGATCGTCCGGCGCATCGACCCCAATCTACGGTGGCGAGGGCTTCGACTCCTCTGCCATAGCCATGGCTTTGCCCAACGAGCCTTATCCAGCCTGGACCGCAGACAACCAATCTCCAGTCACTATTGAGCAGATTGAAGATGCTTTCATCGATTTGGCCAACAGATTCGGGTTTCAAAGAGACTCCATGAGAAACATGTTCGACCATTTCATGACTCTTTTGGACTCCAGGGCGTCCAGAATGTCCCCACAACAAGCTCTACTGTCGTTGCACGCAGACTACATCGGTGGCGATACTGCCAACTACAAAAAGTGGTATTTCGCCGCCCAGCTGGATATGGACGACGAAGTTGGATTCCGTAACATGAGCTTGGGTAAGCTTTCTAGAAAGGCCAGAAAGGCCAAAAAGAAGAACAAGAAGGCCATGCAGGAGGCCCAAGAAGAGGGAACCGCCGACACCGAGGCCATGCTAAATCAACTCGAAGGTGACAACTCTCTAGAAGCCGCCGACTTTAGATGGAAAGCCAAAATGAACAAACTCTCTCCACTAGAGATGGTTCGCCACGTCGCCTTATACCTCATGATCTGGGGTGAAGCAAACCAAGTTAGATTCACATCCGAATGTTTGTGTTTCCTCTACAAGTGTGCTTCCGACTACCTTGACTCTCCTTTGTGTCAACAACGCGCAGAGCCAATGCCGGAAGGTGACTACTTGAACAGAGTCATCACTCCACTCTACCTTTACATCAGATCTCAAGTCTACGAGGTCGTCGACGGTCGTTTCATGAAGCGTGAAAAGGATCACAACAAAGTTATTGGTTACGACGATGTCAATCAACTCTTCTGGTACCCTGAAGGTATTGCCAAAATTGTTTTCGAAGATGGCACTAGACTCATTGACTTGCCTGCCGAGGAAAGGTATCTAAGATTGGGCGAAGTCTGCTGGGATGACGTTTTTTTCAAAACATACAAAGAAACGCGTTCTTGGTTCCACATGGTCACCAACTTCAATCGTATTTGGGTCATTCACGGTTCAATTTACTGGATGTACGCCGCGTACAATGCCCCAACTCTTTACACCAAGGACTATCAACAGCTCCTAGATAACAAGCCTTTGGCTGCTTACCAATGGAGTGCACCTGCATTGGCTGGTACTCTGGCCTGTATTATTCAACTGGTTGCTACTATCGCAGAATGGTTTTTTGTACCAAGAAAGTGGGCCGGTGCTCAGCATCTGTCTCGTCGGTTTTGGTTCTTGGTTTTGATAACTGCCGTCAACTTGGGTCCTATCATTTTCGTTTTCGCCTATGACAGTCTAGATGTGAAATCTAAAGCATCTCATGTCGTGGCTGCGGTGATGTTCTTCGTCGCGTTGGCAACCGTGCTTTTCTTCTCCGTTATGCCACTAGGAGGTCTGTTCACCTCTTACATGAAAAATTCGACAAGGCGTTACGTCGCTTCGCAAACTTTCACAGCATCTTTTGCCCCCTTGAGTGGCCTTGATATGTGGATGTCGTACTTGCTTTGGGTCACCGTTTTCGCTGCTAAATTTTCGGAATCCTACTTCTTCTTGATTAAGTCATTGAGAGATCCTATTAGAGTTTTGACTACAACTTCGATGAGATGCACAGGTGATTACTGGTTCAAGGCAAAGTTGTGTACTGTCCAACCAAAGATTGTTTTGGGTTTGATGATTGCTACTGATTTCATTTTGTTTTTCCTAGATACCTTTATGTGGTACGTTCTTTGCAACATGGTGTACTCTATTGGTAGATCGTTCTACTTAGGTATTTCCATTTTGACTCCTTGGAGAAACATTTTCACCAGATTGCCTAAGAGAATTTACTCCAAGATTTTGGCTACCACGGACATGGAGATCAAATACAAGCCCAAGGTCCTAATTTCTCAAATTTGGAATGCCATTGTCATCTCCATGTACAGAGAGCATTTGCTTGCTATTGATCATGTTCAAAAGCTACTTTACCACCAAGTTCCTTCGGAAATTGAAGGTAAAAGAACTCTAAGAGCCCCAACTTTCTTCGTATCTCAAGATGACAACAACTTCGAGACGGAGTTTTTCCCTAGGGACTCCGAAGCTGAACGTCGTATTTCTTTCTTTGCACAATCGCTTGCCACTCCCATCCCTGAACCATTGCCCGTGGACAACATGCCAACTTTCACCGTTCTAACACCTCACTACTCCGAAAGAATTTTGCTTTCACTGAGAGAAATTATTCGTGAAGATGATCAATTTTCCAGAGTTACTTTGTTAGAGTACTTGAAGCAACTGCACCCTGTTGAATGGGATTGTTTTGTCAAGGACACCAAGATTCTTGCAGAAGAAACAGCCGCATACGAAGGCACCGCGGAGGACCTTGAAAAAGAAGGTGAAGGTGGTATGAAATCCCAGATCGATGATTTGCCATTCTACTGCATCGGTTTCAAATCTGCTGCTCCTGAATACACTTTGCGTACTAGAATTTGGGCCTCTTTGAGATCTCAAACACTTTACCGTACTGTATCTGGTTTCATGAATTACGCTAGAGCTATTAAATTGCTTTACAGAGTCGAGAACCCTGAAATTGTTCAAATGTTCGGTGGCAATGCTGAGGGTTTAGAGAGAGAATTGGAAAAGATGGCCAGAAGAAAGTTCAAGTTCTTGGTTTCTATGCAAAGACTTGCTAAGTTCAAGCCCTACGAACTTGAAAATGCTGAATTTTTGTTGAGAGCCTATCCCGATCTTCAGATTGCCTACTTAGATGAAGAACCTCCTTTGAATGAGGGTGAAGAACCCAGAATTTATTCCGCTTTGATTGATGGACACTGTGAATTGTTAGCAAATGGTCGTAGACGTCCTAAATTCAGAATTCAGTTATCCGGTAATCCAATCCTTGGTGATGGTAAATCTGATAACCAAAACCATGCTATGATTTTCTACAGAGGTGAGTACTTGCAGTTGATTGATGCTAACCAAGACAACTACTTGGAAGAATGTCTGAAGATTAGATCTGTGCTGGCTGAATTTGAAGAATTGAATGTGGAACAAATTAACCCTTACGCTCCTGGTTTGAAATACGAAGACCAATCTACAAACCATCCTGTCGCCATTGTGGGTGCCAGAGAATACATTTTCTCTGAAAACTCGGGTGTATTGGGTGATGTTGCAGCTGGTAAGGAACAAACTTTTGGTACATTGTTTGCACGTACGCTTGCTCAAATTGGTGGTAAACTGCATTACGGTCACCCCGATTTTGTCAACGCTACCTACATGAACACCAGAGGTGGTGTCTCCAAGGCTCAGAAAGGTTTACACTTGAACGAAGATATTTATGCTGGTATGAACGCCCTTCTACGTGGTGGTCGTATCAAGCACTGTGAATACTACCAGTGTGGTAAAGGTAGAGATTTGGGTTTTGGTACCATTTTGAATTTCACAACCAAGATTGGTGCTGGTATGGGTGAACAAATGCTGTCTCGTGAGTATTATTACTTGGGAACCCAGTTGCCTCTTGACCGTTTCCTCTCCTTCTACTACGCTCACCCTGGTTTCCACTTGAACAATTTGTTCATTCAGCTATCTGTTCAACTCTTCATGTTAACCATGATGAACTTGAATGCCTTGGCACACGAGTCCATTCTCTGTGATTACGACAGGTACAAACCTATTACTGATGTCCTGTACCCTATCGGTTGTTACAATTTCGCTCCTGTGATTGATTGGATCAGACGTTACACTTTGTCTATTTTCATTGTTTTCTTCATCTCTTTCATTCCTATTGTGGTCCAGGAGTTGATTGAACGTGGTATTTGGAAAGCTACCCAAAGATTTTTCAGACACGTCATTTCGCTCTCTCCAATGTTCGAAGTTTTCGCTGGTCAAATTTACTCTTCGTCCTTGTTAAGCGACTTGACTGTTGGTGGCGCTAGATACATCTCTACTGGTCGTGGTTTCGCAACATCCCGTATTCCATTCTCGATTCTTTACTCTAGATTCGCAGGATCTGCTATTTACATGGGTGCCAGATGTATGTTGGCATTGCTAGCCGGGTCTGTGACACACTGGCAAGCACCTCTTCTATGGTTCTGGGCATCTTTGACTGCTCTCATGTTCTCGCCATTCATCTTCAATCCTCATCAATTCTCGTGGCAAGATTTCTTCTTGGACTACCGTGATTTTATCAGATGGTTGTCGAGAGGTAACAACAAGTACCACAGAAACTCTTGGATTGGTTACGTCAGAATGTCAAGATCGAGAGTTACTGGTTTCAAGCGCAAGCTCACTGGTGATGAGTCTGAAAAGTCTGCTGGTGACTCTGCCAAAGCTCATAAGACAAACATGATTCTAGCTGACATCATTCCATGTGCCATCTACTCTGCCGGATGTTTCGTTGCTTTCACTTTCATCAATGCTCAGACTGGTGTTAAAGACGCCCAACTGGTCAACTCCACTTTGCGTATCGTCATCTGCACGCTAGCTCCAATTGCCGTAAACATGGGTGTTTTGTTCTTCTGCGTGTGTCTCTCTTGCTGCTCAGGTCCTTTGTTTGGCATGTGCTGCAAGAAGACCGGTTCGTCGATGGCAGGATTTGCCCATGCCGTGGCTGTTATCGTGCACATTGTTTTCTTCATTGTAATGTGGGTCTTGGAAAGCTTCAACTTCGGCCGCATGTTGATTGGTGTTTTGACCTGCCTGTACATTCAAAGATTGATCTTTAAGATTATCACCGTATTCATGTTGACTCGTGAATTCAAGAACGACCATGCCAACACCGCTTTCTGGACTGGTAAGTGGTACGGCAGTGGTTTCGGATACATGGCATGGACTCAACCAGCCAGAGAATTCTTGGCGAAGGTTGTTGAACTTTCTCACTTCGCCGGTGACTTTGTCTTGGGTCATTTCCTATTGTTCTGCCAATTGCCACTGCTTTTCATCCCATACATTGACAAGTTCCACTCCATCATGTTGTTCTGGCTAAAGCCATCGCGTCAAATCCGCCCTCCTATCTACTCTCTAAAGCAGAGTCGTTTGCGTAAGCGGATGGTGAGAAAGTACTGCTCTTTGTACTTTTTGATTCTAGTTGTCTTCGCGGGCTGCATCATTGGTCCTGCCGTGGCTTCTAGTCAAATCAAGTCCAACCTAAGTGACAGTCTCAACCGTCAAATAAACGGCGGAGACGGCGAATCCTCTAACAGCATGCTGCAAAACCTCGTGCAACCTAAGAACTCAGGCCACGACGACTCGGGATCCAGTCTACAAAGCGGAAACCACTACTACTACACTATTCCATCCTCGTTGAGAACAACGTCTTACTCTACCAAGCCTTGAATGAGGCTTTACGGAATAGAGACTACCGTCCTCACTGAATAGACTAAAGCCTTCAGGTACTTTTTGTTTTTATGTACTTTATGTTTTTACCTTACACACACTAGTTTTTAAGAGCGTATATCATCGCAAGACGATTGTCGATGAGGCTTCCTCCGGAACCAAAGCGTCAGTATCCAATTCGATTGACACAGTTCATACAGTTCTGACGTTGAGACTTGTGTTTTTTGTGACGCTGTCGCTGTCGCTGTCTTCAATGGTTAGCGAATTTCTGCCATATAGAAGGCAACGTCAGTTTTCTTGAGACAAGCAACTACTCGATAGAACTTAAAGAAGCATCAAAAACATCAATCAACATCGAGATAGCATCCGCTTAAGTTGCACGCTTTATCAAAATGAATTTGGCTCTTTTACTGATCAATCTTTTCATCACTTATGTGATGTTTGCGTCCGGCGTCATCAAGGCTGAAGAGTACAAACTAGACTACTCGGCGTTGAATACTGCCCTACCTGCGATTGAGACAGTAGGTAGCAAGTTTTTCAACAGTGAAACGGGAGAACAATTTTTCATCAAAGGAATCGCGTACCAACCAAGCTATTCCTTGGAGGGTCTTAGAAGCCTTGGTATCCCGATGAGTGACACAAAATATATTGACCCGCTGGCCTCGCCTGAAATATGTCTAAGAGACATTCCTCACCTAGCTGAACTAGGAGTTAATACAATCAGAGTCTATGCTATTGATCCAGCTCAGTCTCATGACGTTTGTATGGAAGCTCTCCAGGAAAACGGAATTTATGTTATGCTCGATCTTTCCGAGCCCGACGCCTCTATTTCCAGGGACTCTCCCAGCTGGGACGTTCAAGTGTGCCAAAGATACAAAGATGTAATAGATGCAATGCATCAATATCCAAATGTTCTGGGATTTTTTGCGGGGAATGAAGTTACCAACGACAACACGAATACAGATGCGTCGCCATTTGTCAAGGCCTCTATCCGAGATATGAAAGAACACATAAAGAAAATGAACTATCGAGCAATCCCCGTAGGATACTCCACAAATGACGATGTAGATACTCGAGAAAATCTCGCGCAGTTCTTCAGCTGCGGTGACGCTGCTGCGGATTTTTATGGCATCAACATGTATGAGTGGTGCGGCTACTCATCATTCCACAGTAGCGGTTATGATAAAAGAACCCAGGAGTTCAAAAACTACCCGGTCCCTGTTTTCTTCTCGGAGTTTGGCTGCAATTTAGTCAGACCTCGGCCTTTTACAGAAGTGGAAGCGCTTTACAGCAAACAGATGACTGGAGTTTGGTCTGGAGGATTGGCATACATGTATTTTGAAGAAGAGAACGAATACGGACTTGTAGAGATAGACTCAAAAAACCGCGTCGTCCGATTGAAGGACTTCGAGTATTTGAGAGATGAATTCGCCAGGTCCGAGCCGCAAGGAATAACAAAATCTGAATATTTGCGAAGACAGAAGTTAGACACCACAAAGCCCTCCAAAAGGGTGTGTCCACCTATCTCCGAAACTTGGAAAGCATCAGAAAAATTGCCCGATACACCTAACCAGTCGAAATGCTCCTGTCTGACGAGCTCTTTGCCCTGTCTAGTCTCTCCTTTCAGCGACCAGGATAAATACAGAGAGTATTTTGAATACGTCTGTGGTCAGATTGACTGTTCAGACATTGAGGCAGATGGTGAGAACGGCAAGTACGGTGAATTTTCGGGCTGCACGGCGGATCAAAAGCTCGCTTTGCAAATAAGCAAGATGTATTATAGCATGTCCGACCCAAAAGACACTTGTCCAGTGGATGATAGACATATCTATTTCAACCGCGAAAGTATTAGTAACCAAAAGGATGAAAAGTGTGCTTCGCTGATTGAATCTGTCCAGAAAGTGTCGAAAGCGCGGAAAACTAACGATCGAAGTTTGAAGCCGACTAACAAAGAAAAATCGTCTGGAAGTCACAATATAGCGTCAAGCATTCTAATGTCATTGGCATTCGTAATATGGGCAGAGTGGATCGTATAGAGAGAACATAGGATAATCAAAACACGAGTTGACAGAATATGCAAATGTAAATTGGCAGTAACACGTCGATAACAAAAATCTAGAGCCCACACGCCAACATAAAAGAGAATATGTTTATATGATTGCTGAATTGGTCAAGCCTGAATATGAAAGTCACCGGTTACCTATTTTGTTGTCATTATGATTTAGGGCCCCAGTTCACGCCCAAAAAGCCCTTGGGCTTGACAATTGAAACCTGGGGTTTGATGAAGTAGTAACGTTTCTCACCAGGAATGTCCATATACATGGATATCAAATCTGGAGTGTAATTTTTGTCACTTTCCCGTGCCTCGACGTGAACCAAAGCCAGTTTTTGTTTGGATTCCACGTGGAACCGCAAGTAGTGGTGTTCTCTACCGTCTCTGCCCATACGTCTTGTTGATGAAATAGGTCTGTTTCTGGTCCACCTGTCATCAGTTAAGAGTTCACCGTAGGCCTTCACACGCTCTTTAGAGTGCTCAGAGTCCTTGCACATCAGTAGTTCACGAGCCTGTGGATCCGATTCCACCATGGTAACGGCTCTGTTGAACAAACGGGTGTCTCCAGAAGGTGAGAAAAGCTCCTGGAGCAACAGGTAGATTACAAGACCGGCCAGTCCCGAAGCACCCACTACCAAAGCTCCAGAGATGGTGAACGAGGTGAAAGCCTTGATTTTTGGCCACAGAGGCGAAGCTTTCTTCCCGGCCGATTTTTTGGCTTGTTCTGAGGCTGCGTTGTTGGATTGAGCAGCAGCGGCGTATCCACGATACTGGGCTAGATCAGCTGCCAGCAGTCGGGAAGAGCATGATTTTGTTAGCTTCACTTTTGACCATAGGGTAGGTCTAAGAAAAGATCTGGGAAGCATTGGAAAGCTGGAATGGGGGATATAAGCAAGTGGATAGTTCAGGGCAATGGTTAAACGGATGAGATATGCTAATGCAAGGTATTACTGGTCACATTTAGAGTTAAACTCTTCTGATCGTAGAGCAAGATAAAATGTGAATATTAACCTTACGATAATGTTCAAACATATTACCCTTGACGTGCTATAATTAGGGCTTTGTCGAAGTTGTTACAAAGCATCTTTTACGCCCCTTTAGTGCAATGGTTAGCATGCATTTTTCCGGTGGATGTGATCCGGGTTCGAATCCCGGGAGGGGCTAATTTTATTCAATTTACAGCCTATTCATTTTAGACTGTTGAAATGTTTTTTGGCCTAGAAAGGTCTCTTTTGTAGCGGTAATTTGTATTTTTGGATATAGTTCTGACACTCAGTTTCGTGGTCTTTAGTGAATGGGAGATTTACACATGGTGTATATATCTGGGAGTCAGTCTAATGTGTATACACCTCGTTCTGCGCTTTAAAGCAGAGGTTAGTTTTTTTACTGACGCAGCGAAAACACACATAATATTTGGTAGTCTGTAATTGATCGACTGGGCCCATTGGCTTTTGGAGACCTCTATGAGATCATTGTAGAGTGTTGCATGTAGTACATATGTTATCCATCCCTGATCACTTCGTACTAATATGTCAGAATGTCTCGAACATCATTCTATTTATTGATGTGATGCTGACCAGAGGTCTAGTGCGGACCTAATGAAGGTTATCTATATACAATAAAGCGTCTATATACCCGCTGTACTATATTTATCAAGAATTGTAAGAAGCCAAATCCTAGCCGTTCAAAATATCTCCGGTGCCTAAAAGCTTACGAATAACAAACAATTGCGTCCATGTCAGTAAGAAACGTTAGTTTGTTTAACAAAATCGATCTTTGTTCACCCATTTAGCATCAAAAGCTCAGACATCAGCATCTTCACCATTCCTACTCTTACCATAGATGGTCCATCGCCATAATCGTACCGTAAGTCAACCCAGACACCCTCTTGTCAACCCAGACACCAACAAAGCTCACTTTTCTGAAAAATTTCGGTGAAAAATATAATACCATTTTTTTGCGTGGGTTCCCAAAGTTGCGTGGGTCAACGCGGTACTGTCCTGCTGTTCCCGAGCCCAGCCCAGCCTAGTCCCCGTGTAAACCCAGCCTAGCTCTCCCATGGTCTAGGCAGAGAGCTAGGCTCGCCTCAGCCCAGCACCAGACTAACTCCCAGCCTAGCCCTGAGCCTAGCGCCCTCTGGTCTCTGGACAGGGCATCCTTCCAGGAATCCTGCCTACTCGCTCTCGACACAGCTACTGCGACAGACGTATCCAAAATATCAAAAGTTCCAGTTAGCGAAACTAGCGTTGCAGAGGGCTTTCAAGATCGAATAGACAGGCAATACCAAAATGGCTAAACAATCTCTAGGTATGTGGTAGAACGAAGAAGGAAGCTGTACTTACAGCTGAAAATGCGATGAAAAAGCGCCCAAAACGGAGCAATATGAGTGGAAACTGGAAATCATGAAATAAGATCTGGAAAATTACGAAATCAACCGAAAAGCGAATCATGGTGGGAATCTTGTGGTGAACCACCATTTATTGCAAATGGGTCTTGCTTTTGTCGACGTTTGAGACGCGATTCAGTCATAGTTTGGACAAATTTTAGCGGATTTCAAATTTACGATGTGTTTCCCATGTATCGAGGCCCCAGAAGCGTGCGTGAGCGTCTCGAAATGTCTCTCAGCTCCCCTGCTATACCCACACCTCCATGTTCCACGGGCCTTTTTAGCCTCGCGCTTCCCTCCCACACCAGCTCTCTTACTAACTCGTTTTCCTTTAGACGTTTCCTCCGACAGAAGAAAGGCCAGAAAGGCTTACTTCACCGCTCCATCGTCCGAGCGTCGTGTCTTGATGTCCGCTCCTTTGTCCAAGGAATTGCGTGCTCAATACAACATCAAGGCCTTGCCTATCAGACACGACGACGAAGTCGTTGTCGTCAGAGGCTCCAAGAAGGGCCAAGAGGGTAAGGTCTCCTCCGTCTACAGATTGAAGTTCGCCGTCCAGGTCGACAAGTTGACCAAGGAGAAATCCAGCGGTGCTTCTATCCCAATCAACGTTCACCCATCCAAGATCGTTATCACCAAGTTGCACATCGACAAGGACAGAAAGGCTTTGATCGAGAGAAAGGGCGGTAAGTTGGAGTAAATACTATCGTACTAATACTACAACTCCATTAAAGTATCCACAAAAGAGCCTTCTACGTGTATTCCACTGCTAGCTCTTTTCTATGTAAATTGTAATGTACATTGCACACTAGGATATGCTGATTGTGCCGGCACGGCCTGCACGAACAGCACGTGTATGGAGGACATTTAAAATGCTTGCCGCTATCGACAGGCAGACAATACGTAACGGGACCTTGTCGTCGTCGTCGTCGTCGAGTGCTTCTTCTTGGCTAAGATGGCGTCAGAATGGTACAAAGTGACTTTCATGTCTACGAATACTCGTCAGGTGACGAGTACCCAAATCAAATTTCGCAATTTGGATATTTTAGTACAGAGTGATCTCTGGAACCTTGAATTGCAACTATTTGTGAACTCACAGTTGAAATGACTCGACAACGATCGAAGCCAAGAGCCTGAGATCCACCTCGAATAGCCTGTTTTAAGGTATCTTCGTTGACCATGAAAGCTTATGGCTGTTTAGAAACGTCAAATTCTAATCCTCCGACTGCGAATGTTGGGAACCATATGGCGAGGACCCGAAGAAGATGGTCGAAAAGCTCGCAAGACAAGAGTCCCAAACCCACAGATGAGGCAGACGGAGTGCACGAAGACGTTGAACTCGACTACATCTCGCCGGGACAGCTTTATTCGACGGAATCGGGCCGTCTTTTCCATGCAGGCAAGATTCTGATCGTGCTGGTGGGCCTTCCAGCTACGTCGAAAACTTTATTGTCTGTGGCAATCACAAGATACACCAAATGGCTGGGCGTGCGTACAAGCTCTTTCCACGTCTCACAGTACCGTAGAAAGCTAATGGCAAGCCTGGAATACAACGATTTTCCGAATGACTACTTTTCGGCCAAACCTAAGACCCCCGAGGGGCGGGCTAAACGAAAACATATCTTGGACAAAGTGCAAGAAGATATGGTCAGTTTCTTCAACGAGGGAAAGGGCCAACTGGCGATATACGACGCGCTGAATATCCTGGTAGAAGAACGTTTGCACCTTCAGAAGCTCTTTTTGCGCATGAATACTAAAGTACTCTTCATCGAATCTGTCATGACAGATTCAGATATGATCAAACATAACGTCGACATGGCATCTCGGTCTGCAGACTACGTGGGCTGGTCTCAAGAAGACGCGGTTGCCGATTACATGCATCGCTTAAAAGTTAATACTGAACTGTACGAAGAAATGACGCCCCAGGAAGAGCTATCCTACGTGAAGTACATCAACTTTGGCGAGCGGCTGGTAGTCAACAACAATCATTTTGGCTATCTCATAAACAAGATCGTGTTTTTTCTAATGAATTTGAGAGACAAAAAGGGCTGCGTGTATTTTGCACGCTGCGGTACTAGCACTAACGACAAGTACGTCAACGATGAGCTGCTCAATAGCGAGGGCAATGCCTACTCAAAGGCTTTAACAGAGCTGGTGCTGAAAGTGGTGAACGAGAGACGTGCATCCAAATCTAGCACTTTCCCAGTGGCTATTGAAAATGCTGATGTTGTAGACGCCGCCTCCATGGCGACGACAGACCATCAACGTTTAAACTCCACACTCAATGTGTCATCAGGTCTAAATTCGCGTTCAATGTCACCGTCTCTGTCCCCACTATTGACAACGTGTGCGTCGCTACAAAGAACCGAGTCCACTGGAAATGCTGCTATGCGGCAACCTGTGTCGGGAGACGGAGGCGATGATGATTCCTTCGTAGTATGGACTGCAACTCGAAAGCGCACTTACGACACAGCAAGATATTTCAGCGAACAGGGGATAAATGTGAGACAGAGATCTCAACTGCAACAGTTGCATCCAGGCGTAGTAGCAGACATGACAGAATCTGAGATCAGGACCAAGTATCCCGATGAATACAAGGAATGGGTAAAGGACCCATACCATTACCGTTTTCCTCGTTCCGAGTCCTACCACGATTTAGCCGTACGTATGGAACCGCTGCTTCTGGAGATGGAAAGAATGCGTGGTGATATACTGGTGATAGGTCATGAGTCTGTTCTGCGGGTGCTTTACGGGTACTTAATGGCATGTTCGTGCTCCGACATCCCTAGCTTGAACTTTACAAGGGACGAACTAATCGAAATCTCTTTCAGTCCTTTTGAGAACAAGGTAAAGAGGGTGCCAATTATATACGAGCAACCATGAAAGTAATGAGATCAAATAACATATATTCCGAGGTTCTAACGAAATTTTATCAATGCAAGCTCGTCAAACAGATCGGGCTCATGCTAATGGGGGGACTAGGGCGAATCAGCTAAGTATTTTACAGACTTTTCTTGTCCGAGTGCTCTTTCCTGTGCTTTGACGTTACCTTTCTCAGGTTCCAGGCTTCGAATTCCTCTTTGAGACTTTTAGAGCTACAGTTAAAGGAATCCTTAACCCACATACGCTGTACTATGCGCCAGGTTAGAATCCAATCTAAGAGCCCCAAGTAACGTACGATGCCAACTGCCAAATAGTAAAGAGATCCCAAGAGACCACCTAGAGCTACCCCGATGCTAACCTGTGCCCGTGAGTGGTAACCCAAATATATGCGGGACAGTGCCACCATTGCCGTGGTCACGACCATAGCCAAGATGCTACCTGCTTTCCTGGCTCTACCAATCCCTTCCCATTGCAAGACAAGCCTCAGGGACCAATACGCCAGAAAAAAGCCCATAAATTGTGAGTGAGCGCTTGGCATACCGTAAGCAGACCTCAGAGTATCTTTCTGGAAGGAGCTGCCAAAAGACGCAGGACGCGGTTGCTTGATGATATTTTTGAGAATGTTGTTCAAGATCTCATTGACGAACTGCCCTCCTGCGATAATCACCGCTTCCAGTTCCCGGGTCGCCAGAAACCACGAAAAGTAGAAGATCAAAATCCCAATGGGAAGCAGCGAGAAGTACACTAGCACATACGACAGAAGATCAGAAGGGTCGTACAAGATGTACGTATCATCAAATGGGATTAAGATGGGATCAAGTGCCAGCTCAGTCACGTTCATGACAAACTTAGCGACTGCAATTGCTTCGACTTTTTATTTTGATATTTGTTTGAACATTGTCGATGCCAGTTTTTAATATTCAAGATTAATACTCTATATAAAAAGTGAGCAGCGGAGTTTGAAAAATAATGGTCAAAATCACTGTCACTTGAGAATAACAACGATGTTCGAGTTTGAACAGCGTCGTCTCAATTCAATCTTGTTCGTGTGTATCATTAAAGTCGTAAACGGAATCGTTGGAGTCGATTGGTAAGTTGGAAGGTCGAGCAAAATTGAAAAATGCTCAATCGTATGAGAGAGGCCGAAATGTGTGAGAGGAGAAGATTACAGAAGGAGATGGAGGGGTAGAGAAGGAGGAGTAGTCTTAAAAAGGGATGAGGATGATATAAAAGATAAGAGAGGTCGGTATGCAGGAAAATGAGAAAAGGGAGAATGAAAAATAGATGCTTGATAAATTTAAAAGAGTAGAGAGGAGGAGGAGGTGGAGGAGAAGAGGAGGTAAAGAAAGGGAAGGAGGAGGAGGGGAGGAAGAGGGTGTGAAGGAGAAAAGGAAAGGAGGAAAGGAGAGGAGGTGAAGGAAGGGGGAGGAAAACAGGTAAATTTTTACCTTAGACCAATTTGGAATTTTTGTTGTTCTCTGGCCCATCTGGCGGTGTCCTTGGTTGACTGGCTGAACGTAGGATTGCTTCTGGTTTTCTTGATAAATTCAGTGACCCAGTCCTGGGAATAAAACTGCTTGATTCTGCCGTCTGGGAACATGGCAGCAACGTCGCCAATAATACCGACAGCAGCCCTGGCCGTAGAGTCTTCGCTATTTAGCGTAGGATTGTCTGCGATGTGGCTCATAAACTGGAACAAAGTACCCACGTAAGGAAAAAGGGCATCAGGGTTGGCATTCAAACCAGCTACTGTTCCAACGTAGGCGTCGAGAACGGACTCGTGAATCTTTACGTTGTACTCAAGAGCTTCCAGAGAGGCATTTTCTGGCCGTGTGTTTTGAGCGGCAACGCAAAGCGCCATGACTTGGTTGAGGTATGGTATGAAGTCAGGTCCAATGTTAGACGCTATATCGCCGAAGACTGACAGCACGGCAGGTTTGAGTTCTTTCTTAGCATTGTTGGCAGAGATCATTTGACCCAAGACATTCATGAAAGCGGATGCAAATGGCTTGAAATCCTCCTCCAAACAGTTAGAAATATCCGCGATCAATCCCACGGCCGTGATAGAAACTTGCGATTGAACTTGGTTTAAGGCATTTACCAGGTAGGGCGAAAAAGTTTCCAAAAACTTTTCAAACCCTTTGCCCAAGGCGGCTGCCAAGGAAGAGATTGCGTAAAAGACGTCGTCTTCAACATAGGAAGTATCCTTCTTCTCCAGCAGCTTGATAAATAGATCCATCAACATGTCAGAAACCGAGGTGACAGATGCAGGATTCTTGCGAATGACCGCTGACAAGACGCTCAACACATTAGACTGAAGCTCTTCCAAGTTCTGCTTCGCTTCTGTGTTCAATTGGGTCTCGTCCACTGCCATGGTTTGTCCCAACTTGTCCAAGATAAATGAGGAAATGGAAATGGCAGAGTCTGCGACTTGATCCGTGGAGAATTCAACTAGAGTTGTCAACGCCGAAAAGGCGGATGCACGCGCACTGTTCTCGTTGTCAGTACTATTAGCGGCCTTCATCAGCGCTTCCACCAATATTGGGTAGTAGTTGTAGATGGGAGAGCCCTGGGTATCGGCCATTTGTTCGACTAAGTTAATGATTGTCCACGCACAGTTTGTTGCCACTTTGGGGTGATCTTCTAGTCCTTGCAAACAGGCTTGTACAACATCAGGCAAATGCGTCTGTGGATCGATAGCACCAACGACCAAATCGGCAATTCGACCGATACACCAAGCTACAGTTTCTTTCACTTGCAGGCATGGATCTTTTATCAGATGTATAATGGGCGGGAGAGCTTGATGAATCAAATTGGTGAGTTGAACCTTATCAGGGCCATCCAATATGGAGCCGAAAGCCATCACGGCTGCTTCGCGGTTTCTCCAATTGTCACTGGTGATGTTGTGCTCCACGTACCGCAGTACAGGCTCTACCACGTAATTACCGCAATTTTGAGCAAAAAGTTGCAGACAAGCACCGGCGGACATGGCGACATTCCAGTCGTCATCTTCAGCGTCTTCATTTTGTCTAGAAAGCAGATTCAGTAAATTGGGGATGACTTCCTGGATCGAGGTGAGGGCAAAGTTGAAGCTTTGTAAAGGTGACTGAGGGAATTGAGCAAGCTCGTAAGCGATATCAATTTCTTCTTCACATATAGTAGACCAGAATTCCACAGCCATAGATGCCACTTTCTCATCTTGGGATTGCATGGTGGACACCGTCAAAGCGTATAGGGCCTGCTCCATGTAAGGCTTCATGAGGAAGTAGTACAACGACATGATCTTGCACAGACACCCAAACGCGGCAGCTTGGATATCGGAGTCGTCAGTGGTCTGTGTAGCCTCACACACAACTTGCATCAGGTAATTGCGTTCTCCCTCTCTTTCCATGTTGTTCTTGATGAAGGCAAGAGAATCAGCCAGGGCGTTGAGGGCGGTGAGCCGTACGGCCTTGGAAGGTTCACTGGCCTGGGCACCTTGAACGATGGCAATCAAGATGTTGTTGGATTGTGCGACCAAACTTTCGGAACCGGAATTTGCGGCCTCGCAGATGTACCCCAGAGCCAACAAGGAAGCTCTCTTAATATTCTCCGGTTGCTGAGCAGCGGTGTTGTCGACCATGATCTTCATCAAATCGGGCCAGTCGTTACGAGGCAATTCTATAGTGGCAATGGCTGCAATCAACTGAGCAGCAGCATTGGCCACACGGGGTTCTGGGTCCATGAGTCCAGACAAACCGTAGTTGCGAACCGCCGCACGCGACGAGTCGTCCACTTGGGAGATCCATCTTTGGGCCAGCTGTTGTGTTTTTACTGTATCTTTGCTGACAAGCTCGTTTTTGAGCGATAGAGCGGCCAAAATACGCGCTTCCAACCGGTTACTACTGTCGCCCAGCACGAGTGCCAGCAGTCCGACGTACTGTAGAAAGTTATCGTTGGAGAGTTTTTTGAGCTGAGTTTCGCATTGCAAACGCACGGTAGCGTCGGGACTCAAAATGGTCTGTTCCAACACCTGTGCCAGTTGGGCAGCTTCTGTTGACATTGCTGAAGGGGGGAGGAGTGAAGGGAGAAGAACAAGATTTCGATTTTTCAAAATGGGTCAATTCGCGTCTTGTACGTTGCTGTGTCGATGAAAACAAGTCCTCGTTTTTTACTTGCGACTAGTTCCTGGAGCCAGCAGAGTTCTTGTAGCCTTTCCCGAGAATCTTTCAAACACGCTCAAAATGACGGCCTTAAAACGCACCAAACGGCTTCAAACGAGCGGCGAAGCTAGATACCAGTTATTGCAATGACCACACAACGTTCGTGGCGGTCCTGTGGCAGTCAATGTCAAGGTTTTCAAGCCAAACTTGGTGTTAAAACGAGAGGAAAGAGGGAAAATGCTCAACACAAATCTGAAAATTCTTTGAAATTTAGGCCTTAAAGTGATCGCTAAGTACGGGAAAGCCTAATACATTTAGAGAAAGAGGGAAAGCTAGGTGATGTGAAGAAGAGATGCGTTCATGGAGTGTGTGAGGAGATCGACATAGGTATGGATCAGAATCACAGTTATCGTGTTGCTAATTCCAACACCAGCGTTCGTTGAATAAATATATCATTTTGGACGAATATTTAAGAAAATACCCTTTGGATTTAAATCAACACCTTCTGTTCGAATGACAGCTTCCAGCGTCTGGGAGACACCTCTGGACCAGCAGCAAAGAAACTAGGATCCACATTTTTGCAGCATTGAACCCGCAGATCTTGACTTTAGGAATATCATACCATACGAACAAACTATATATCCACTCTCTCTCCCACACCAACTACCAGCAACGTCTGGTATCATCGCCTCGCATCATCGCCGCGCATCTCTGCCCCACCAACTTACAGTAAACTTTTTATTCTCTACCTCTTTAGCTATAATCTGGGACATAAATACTCGATACGTAGCATATGATGCGATCGTCTGCCACATCACTGGTCCTTGGACTGTAGTTCCTCGACAAAGGCGATGTACTCCTGCTCGGCAGCCTCCTGGCTTTTGCCCTTGTTGGCCTCCCACGCGTCCCATTTGTACTTGTCCTTGAAGTTGAGGGCGCTAGGACGGGCAGTGGTGTTGTCACCCACGGTGGCCTGTTTGAAGAGTCCGTACAGCTTGAGCAAGTCGTCATTGGAGGGGGTGCTTTTCAACTGTTTGACGGCGTTGGCCTTTTCTTCGAAAGCTGGCGAGACCATTGTGCTATTGTAGTTTGATGGAGCGTGAGAATTGGGATGCTCTTGGTGTTGGAAGTGAGAAAGTGAGTGTGTGAGAAGAGATGGGACAGGACAAGTTGGGTCATTTTAAGGTAGAAAACGTTGGGTTGCCGTCCAGGGTGATTAATATATGAACGACATCAATCTGCTGGAACGAGACCAGGAGGAGATTGGGAGGGATGGGGAGAATGATTAGACAGGTGCAGAGAGAGTGTAGTGTGGCGGGCTAGCGATGATGGGGCGGGAAGAATGGCTGGAGAGGGAACAACTTTTAGAAAGTTGGTTTTGATATTTTTGTCGCTTTGTACGGGTGGTGAGTTCTTGTCAAAGTTGTTGCCAGAAGACACACACACACGCATCACAACCGAGTGTGCCCATTTCTCATCCGAATTCTTCGATTTCCAGGGTGAATGGCTCGTTTTCGTCGTAGCCGTGGGGTATCATTATTTTTTTGATTTTGTTTTTTCGTAATGGATTGAAAACTGGTGAACGGGAGTTTCACCAGCAGCAGTCTCGTCCACAGCCACTGCTGCCCCACATCTAATGAGATGAGACCCTATGCGATTCGAGACGGTACGAGCGTTAGATAGGGTCCAAAATCTCGTACATAGTGATTCACATGCAATAAATCAGTACTAATCACCATATACGAGGCTTTTCCTGCTCGTTCCCGTCACAATTGAATAAAGCATACAAGCTTTTGATCAACACATCGCCAGGCTCGTCATCCCTTCCATCCAATCTCTACATCGTTTTAGCTCCTCCACTCGTAAGGCCACTGTGTTTAATTTTTCCAAGAGTTGGCGCTATTTCCCCAGTATCACCTCAAACGACAACGACCCAGGTCAGCTATTATATAAAACTGTTAATTATCGATCCGGGTCCCTACGAACTGTTAAATTCAACGTCTCCAGATTCGAACAGTATCACCAAAAGGCGCAATAGGAACCCGAAACCGCATTTTTAATCACTGGTTTTTGAATCCGGGAACACGAAATTAGTAAACTTCGAACTCTCCACGCGCAAACACCGCCTCTTCGTCTCACAAAGGACCGACTTAGAATAGAACAATTACGAACACTGTCACATCCGGAAAATTTACAAATCAAACCAAAAAAATGACCGAAACGTCGTCACCTCCGGCTCTGAAACGCATCCCCTCGAGCAATAACCCCAACAACAATCTGGAACCGGTCAAAGACCGGCGCAGAAGACGGTCGTCAAGCATCATATCGCACGTAGAACCAGAAACTTTGGAAGAGGAAAACGACCAGCAAATGCTGCCCAACATGAACGCCTCATGGGTCGACCAGCGGGGCGCGTGGGCCGTGCACATCGTGATCATCATGCTGCTCAAAGGGTTTTTCAAGCTGCTGCCTGGAATCACCAACGAGTGGTCCTGGACGCTCACCAACACCACCTACGTGATAGGCTCCTACGTGATGTTTCATCTGGTCAAGGGCACACCCTTCGACTTTAACGGCGGTGCCTACGACAACCTTACCATGTGGGAACAGATCAACGACGGCATGCTGTACACTCCAAGCCGCAAATTTCTCATCCTGGTGCCCATAGTACTGTTTCTGGTGAGCACCCACTACTCGCGCTATGACCTGCAGCTCTTTTTGCTGAATTTCTCCCTCACCACGTTCGTGGCTGTTGTTCCTAAACTTCCTCTCACGCACAGACTCAGAATCACAATTCCCTTCTTAACCGGCCCCGCTCAAATCAAGTGAGGCGGGCCCACTGATCTTCGCCATGCAAAGCCAAGTCCTTTCCAGTCAGTCAGTCATATTGTGGTCAAAGTATACATATTAATATACATACTCATGTGTATATATATACTATCTATCTGTCATAAAACGGTCCCTAGTTAACATGAGATTATTTGGCATCGGTGCTCACGTCGTGATACACATCGAAACGCGTTTGGCGTGTGACTGGGATCATGTTACGCATCATGTCGATCTTTTCAGGGTCCAATTCGGCGTAAATGATCTCCTCCCCCTGCCCAGCTTCTGCTATAATATTTCCCTGTGGATCCACTACTAAACTGTGACCGTAAGCCTGGTAGCCACTCCCGGGGACTCTAGCGGGCGAGCACAGCATTGTGTAGAGTTCATTGTCGACACTACGAGCCCTAGCAAGCAAATGCCAATGCAGAGGCCCAGTTGTAGTGTTGAAGGCACTGGGGTAAATCATGGCAAAAGCACCTCTTCTAGCGCTCACAGTGGCCAGTTCGGGGAAGCGCATGTCGTAGCACACACCCACCCCAAATTTTCCATGTGGCGTGTCAATTGTTGTGGAGGTGTCCCCACCAGTGAGCGAGTCGCTTTCCTTGAAGCGAATTCCGCCTGGGATGTCCACGTCAAACAAGTGAACTTTACGGTGGCGACCGATCAATTGGCCTGTTTTGTCAAAGATCAAACAGGTGTTGTAGACGTTGTTTGAAGCAGGCTCAAGCTCTGGAATGGTTCCTCCCACTAGAGTGACCTTGTAATCGCGGGCGAGGTCACTCAAGAATTTGACAGAGGGAGACGATTGTTCGATGACCTCTGCATTTTTGCGGAACTCCGAGGCTGCATACGTGGAGTTAAAGCATTCAGGCAAGACCACAAGGCTCGTTCCAGGCTCTTGACGCATGGCCTCGGCCACAAATTTCCGACAATTTTTGAAATTGACAGCTTTGTCGGGCATTCCCGAGGCAAATTGGATCAATGCCACCTTAATCTTGCTTTTCAAAACGCTCATTTGTGCTATTTTGCGTATTTTACTGAAGTGGTCTGTATCGTTGATGGATAGGATAATTGGACGATGTCTGACGGTGTTGCAGACTTGTAGAACTCGGATGAGAAAGGTTCAAAAAAAGCCGGGCTTCTTATAAGCTTATTTTGAAGCTGGAAAATTAGGGCAAGAAGGGTTTAAATTAGCGTTCACACCCGCTTGTCGTTGTTAGTTTTCCATTGTTAAGATTTGTTCGAAAGACGATTGATTGATTATCAATTTATCTAGTGATAGATAAACATGAGAATTAGTGATACCGAGTAGAGGATCGAGTAGATAATATAGTGGTTGAGAAAATGATTGTAAACCCGCACTGTGAACGCCAATAAAAGGGTAGAGTAATTGCAATAATTGGCGCAATGAACTGTGATACATTCAGTAGTACTTTTAGCTTGTTCGATGGCTTGCCTCTTGAGAAGGGGCGACCGACCCTCGGCAACTAGAGAAGCGACTATAGACTCTATCGCGGCCGAGTAGATGGCGCACAGGGTATAATGTGAAAATCCAAGATATACACTCACACTCGTTTGATATTTCTAACTTGACAAATACCAGTGAGGTGAAAGATAAACAGGGTGATCTTTTTTGACCGCACAGTCCGCTCTCTTGTAGCTGCGCCAGGCGGGGAAACATCGGTGTCAGAATAGTACAAAGTGATATGAATACAATCTGTCTCTGTAATGGCTCAATCACAACGTGAAGGCACACACACACAGTTCGGGTCTCTCCCCCTCTTTTCATATACTACCAGAATGAGGCCTTCTTCACTACCCCAGATATCGATTTTTCTTCGAAAAAGCCCGAGCAACGGGGTTCAAGAAATATTCCAAATTCGAAATATCAATTCACAACACGCCTAACTCAATGTCCCTCCAAACCACTCGAAAACCAACTCCTACCAACCGGAATTTAGCCATTAACACGTTGCCCTCGCCAGCTTGTCCAAATGTCTCTTCCCCGGCTCACTAGTCCTACATTCTTGTCATTTCGTTCACGTGCCTCTTTTTATGCTGGCTAAACTGCGTAGTTTGACTACGACATACTCACTGGAAAACTCGGAATGTTTCACATTTTCCAAAGCCCTGTATAAAACCCTGGATCGGTGGTTAAGCTCGCACGCTAGCGATCCCACAATATTCAGTGCCACATTTTCCAGAAGACGTTTGATCACCCTGCAAAAAACCCCAGCTCCTGGCTGTTTTAGAATCTCATTTTACACTTCGATTTCGAAATACCGGTACCTCTGCACTGCTGAACTGTAGAACATGGCTCGCACGATTACGTTTGACATCCCATCGTGCTACCAGTTGGTTGAACTGATAGGCGAAGGAGCGTACGGCACGGTGTGCTCGGCAGTTCACAAGCCGTCCGGAACAAAAGTGGCCATCAAGAAGATTCAGCCATTCAGCAAGCCCATGTTTGTAACACGGACGCTTCGAGAACTCAAATTACTGAAACTATTTCACAACCACGAGAACATAATCAGCGTTTTGGACGTGGTGCGACCCCTGTCGATGGACAAGTTCCAGGCCGTGTATCTGGTGCAGGAGCTGATGGAGACAGATCTGCACAAGGTGATCAACGGCAGTGGGTCTCGGCTGAGCGACGACCACATCCAGTATTTTACATACCAGATCCTGCGGGCACTGAAAGCCATCCACAGCGCGCAGGTTATCCATCGTGACATCAAACCGTCCAACCTGCTGCTGAACTCCAATTGCGATCTCAAAGTGTGCGATTTTGGTCTGGCGCGCTGTCTGGCCTCTAGCACGCACTCTCGTCAGAATCTGGTTGGATTCATGACCGAATACGTTGCCACACGTTGGTACAGAGCACCCGAAATCATGCTCACGTTTCAGGAGTACACCACTGCCATGGACATCTGGTCCTGCGGGTGCATTTTAGCCGAAATGATTACGGGGAAGCCTCTGTTCCCCGGACGCGATTACCACCACCAACTGTGGTTGATTCTGGAGGCGCTGGGAACGCCGTCGTACGAGGATTTCGAGAATATTAATTCAAAGCGGGCCAAAGAGTATATTGCCAATCTGCCACTACGGCAGAAACTGCCCTGGCAAGTTGTGCTTCAGACGCAGAACGTGAATCCCCGCGCAGCGGATTTGTTAGACAGAATGCTCACTTTCAACCCAGACAAACGCATCAGCGCAGCCGATGCTCTCAGCCATCCTTACTTGAAGGTTTACCATGACCCAGAAGATGAGCCGGACTACCCACCGCTGAACCTGGACGATCCATTCTGGAAAATGGACAACATTATAAGACAGCCTTCTGAGGAAAACGAGCTTTCTATTGACACTTTGAAGCAAATGCTTTTTGAAGAGGTTGGGAAACCGCTACACTAGCCCAAAATCTCCCAAAATTTACCATGCATTGCCTCACATTTTAATCTACCCACTACACCTATTTTGATGGAATAGCCGGATCCAGAGCTTGTTTTTCAGCTCTGGTTTTATATTTGACGTTTTAGAGCATTTAGTATCATCTCTCTTATTAAAGTAACATTAGCGATGCCCTTCTAAAACACACAATAATCACGGCAACGCATAAGAATAGCGATGATATTACCTCCAGAAATAGTCTACGAGGTCTTAACGTTCCAGTTCTATGACCTCATGTCCAACAATCATCCCAGTAGTCCCGAGAAGTTCTACTCAAACCTGCGAATCTTTCTGCGAAGTAACTTGACGGTCAACAAGACATTTTATCACATCTGCAGGGTGTTACTGTACCGGTATCTGAACTTTACGTCTGCCAGGGGTTTCAATAAACTGCTAGAGTCGTTGAGAAGTAGTCCTGAAGTGCTGCGTTACATTGAAGTCGCGGATTTCCAGGAACTAACATCCATTGGGCTCGGGAGATCTGGACAGATGAACAAGAGCATCAAAAACCTTACAAACGAGACTCTGTGGGAGTTTTTGAGCTACACACAGAGAAGTCTCAGGGAGTTTTTGGCCAGTGAACACATCCAGGCAGACTTGGACGAACGCATTATTCATTTTCTCTTGGAGCCAGGTACGGTTCTCAGCGTTGTCGACTTCTGTGGCTGTTCCCATGATAGCTTTACTACTAGGTTTTCTGCAGCTGTGGAGCAGCTTTATAGCAACGATCAGCCAATTGCTTACAATTACCAGATCACCGCTCTTGGCCTCAACGACTGCACCACAATTACACCCAAAACTTTGGGACGACTCTTGATGACGCTTCCAGAGCTCCAAAAGCTAGATCTCGCTCGAACTGCCATCGACGACCGTACCTTGATCAGTGATATCCCGCATTTGAAGAATCTCACCCATTTGTCGCTCGCGATGTGCTCTCAACTGACACCAAGAGGGGTTTTGGAGTTTTTCAGCTATCACCCCGCAGTAACAGACAAAGACAACATCTCTACACTACAATGGCTCAATGTACAAGTTCATCCTCACTCGTCCTCTTGGACAGACGTGCAATTGATGTTTTTACTCAAGAAACTATGCCACTATGGCCATAACAAAACCATGCAATACCTCAATATTGGAGGGTTACCAATGCATATCACAGATGACACCACCGCTGTCAAAACGACAAGTTACTGGCAGTGTCAAGACACACTGCATTTCATCAAGATAAACTTTCCTAGACTGAAAAGTCTGAGCATTAAGGATAACAACATTACGATTCCCAAATTAACGCATTTTCTGTCGCCGCTTCAAAATGAAGAGGTGGCACCTCAGCATTTAAAGTTTCTCAACATAGCCAATAACGCTTATTTGAACAGATGGACCATTCAGGACCCTGCAATTTTCAGTCATTCGAAGACCCTCTGTGCTCTCGAGATGTCATTTGACCCATGGCAGCAAATTGAAGCTTCCAACGCGAAGCATGAAATAACCTGTCGGCTTTCTAACAGTAAGTCTTTGATCCAGGACTATTCGTTGTCACAGTTGGTGAAATGGAGGTGTTACATTGGATCTGCTTATGGCAGGAGATACTGGATTTACAAAACCGACAAGTACTTGAATCGAGAAGATCTCGAAACCCGAGGTTTCATGACCACATACGACACGCAAGGCAACAAGATCATCGACATTGTGAAACAACCAGACTTTTTAAAGTTCGCTCAAACGAAAATCATGCTTGGATGCGGGATTGTTGGACAAAGCCGGTTCCGGAGAAACCAAACTTACCGAGACCATAAGCCGCCGGTGTCACGCTTTTTGAACAGAGACAAAGCTCTTGCCCTGAGCCCTGCCATCTCACCACCACAGGAATCCCCGGCGTTTTTACCAGGCGGATGGAGGGTTATTGAAAACCAACACAACACAGACCAGGAATCCGAAGACATTGCAGCGAGCGAAGATGAAGACGAAGTGGGACCCGCATCAAGAAACGGACTTTACTGGGATCGCTCTTTGCAGAATCTGCAAGTTGTGGAACCGGTCGAAACGGATTCTGACTATCTCAACAGCCCCGAGCTACAGCGTCGCAGGTCGGCACTGTGCTTGTTTAACGGCTATTCTGGCAGCAATCAATCCCCTGCCAATCGTCTCAAAACTGAGACAGATATTGCGAAGCTGTTAAATTCCAGCAACGCGCAAATGGCCGATTTTTATTCGACAAATTCTGACCTTGATGACTACTCTAAGATATACCGGACACATCTGGTCGTTGCTACCGAATACAACGTATTTGGGTGCGTCGAACGGGGCATGTACCGGTACTACAGCTTGAAATCATGATGAAAAGCTAAAGTCTCAGAAATAACGTCGACGTCAGAATATCATCATGCATCCTTACCTATGACACCAACTACTAAAGCAAACGAAAACTCGAATAGAGAAAGATTACTACATCCCAGAATTGACTGTGCTCGCAAAATTTGAAATTAAGGCCTCTTTGAAACCGCATTTCTCTGCATGTCCGGCTCCATTTGCCAGTTCAAGGGAGATAAAAACTCGCACTTGAAGACACCATCAAATACATTATATACTACACTTTCCCAGCTGTTAAAACTCAACTGGCTCAATACCATCCGTCTTCGACTTTATGTCTAAAAAATTCGGGCTTTTTATACCTGTTGATGATTTATCCCATATGTTAACCTAAATAGGTCGACTTTCGAAATGAGTATATAATTCTTTGTTTACATTAAGAAAAATGACGATTTATTCAAGAGATCAAGAATGCCATTAACGAACGGTAGCGAAAAAAATAGAGGATTTTAGGTACAGGAGGTCGCCTCAATCATTGAATAAATACGTTACAACGATTAAAGTGGCTGTTGAGTATTGAAAGAGCTTTTAAACACCTTTTTTACAGATTTTTAAGCCGTTTTTTGAGCTAAAATACGGCTACTTTCGGAGGATTCGAGTGTTCGAGCAGGACTCGAGATTAGCAAAAGACTACCTTTGGCATAACCAAGACTCCTTTTTCACGCATACTGGTATGAGTTTGGCCGTTAAATCACGTCAATTGGTCTTTTTTCGGGTAAAAATCAACTTTTGGCATGTCTCAGCACCAGGATTCTAGTGCAGACACTAGTGGATCTTCCGAATCTACGGGCGAGAGAATTTGGCTGTCGGGTCGAGACGCTCCTCCAAAACCGGACTCTTACTTCAAGGAGACTTTTGAACCGTCCAGCGATTCTGGGGCCCCATCCTTCAGCGTTTATATCGACTACTCGAAGTTTTCAGAGCTGGACGACATTTCTGACGAATCTGAGCCTCGAGAGCCTCGCGCGCCCCATTCGTTGAAACAGAGCAGTTTGGAGAATGTTCCACAGTCGAAAGTGGCCGCATCAGCGTCAGCTCCAACTAGGAATATCGCAATAAACAGAAACGATCACGATTTCCCAAGTCCCAATATACCAGCACGTTTCCAGAACCAAAGCTCCGATACCGTCAATACAGACGTAATTGTGGGATCCAGAAAAATATCCGACGGAACAAATCGCGTTCTGAGCGTTGACAGTTCCAATCGAGATTCCACCAACGAAGATAGCTGGGGAAACAATTTGCCCCTAAGGTCTTCAAAGTACAAACAATATGACCACGATAGAGATAGCCGAAGAACAATTTCCACTTCAATGTTGGAGTATGACAGTTTACGAAGGTCGTCCAATATGTCGAAACCGGATGCTAGATCGTCTTCTCATTATGGTGACGAAAATGTGGCCAATGCAGACCCATCGACGCCTCTCGCACCGATATATCACGAATCGGATGAGGTTAGTGACGAGGACTACGATCACGAAAAACATTCGAATCCTTCTATTGAAGAAGCCGTCAGACTTTTCAGACAGGAGGCGTCTTTTGTTCCTGTTGTACAATTAGCCGATCCAAGAACGGCCAGTGCGCCATTACGTTCAGTCTCCAAGAAACCCTCACAAGGCTCTCTGCAGAGTCGCGTAAGCGATCAGACCTCACGATTTTCTCAAACGCGCAAGACGAGACGTGGCCCGGTAAATTCATCTCTCCTCAGTTCTATTTTGGTGGCACCACATCCCAAAATGACCAACCCAAAGCCTGTTCTTAGAAACGCGCCTCCAGAGATACCTGCGCTCCGCAAGCCGTCCGGTATTACAAGCAACTCAAAGCAGTCGAGTCAAGAAAAGAACAAAGAGACCACAGGGCAAGAAAAACTACAACAGCAAATACCCTCGGACGCTCCTCCTGAGAAAACCATAAATCCCTATCGGAACATTGATGATGACAGTCTGCAGCAAATATATCAATACCGCGATGTTATGGCGGTTAAAGACCTGGAGAAAGAGGTATTTTACGAAAAATACATTGATACGCCATCAACGTCTTCCAATAAGTCAATGGAGGGAGAATTCAGAAAGCTTTTCAGTGTATCAAGAGTTCTACTACTATTGCTGATATGCACCCTAATACCACCGTTGTATTTTATCATTGGTATAGAACGAAACTGTTTGCCCGACAAAAAGCTGATGAAAATGATTATGAATGAAGAACATCGAAATGGCGTTGCAGCAGGCTTTTTATGGGACGTGAACCTGCGATGGTTTAGGAATTTATGCTTCATGCTAGGGATCTTAGAGATTCTGATAATTCTAGCCTGCGTAGGAGTTGGATTTGGAGTTGGACTATCGCGTCAATGACGAACGCGGAAGATGAGGGTTCTTGAAGCACGAAAAAGCTGTCGAAACAAGAATTTGGATTCTTCTCTAAGAAAAATCATTCGACCTCTGCACATTGGCTAATTTTTCTCGTCAAAGGAACACACGGCTTAGGTAAAAGCTTAAAAAGACGAGAAAGAGAAATGGTGGAACTAAAATTGGTGCTCAAACGTTCCCCTGACGCACTCATCATTGCTGGCCCGAAAATGTTTAATGAATCCAACGATCGGATTTTTCAATGCCCCCAGCGTCACTGAGCGACATGCTCGAAAACTTACAAACCTGAAAGAGTTTCACTGGACTTTAATCGAAACACTCACTGTTGCTGTCGTAGAGTTAAATGACGGCAGACAGACAGAAACTTCATTTTCGCATAGATATTCTGTATGACATGGCGAGATATTTGTTCGAGCCAATAAATGTACTATTGTCAACACCATCGGCTTACAACACGCATGCTTTGCGACACTAATCAATATAACATAAATAATGATATCAAGCAAGCATAAACCTTCACCAAGACCTATTGTTTTTCAAGGTTATTATTATTCTACAGTGTAATTTCCATTACTTCAAGCAGAACAGGAACATCAAGACTCAGAGAAGACCAGGACAAGACAACTATCTGGTATCCCATGAACCGCATCCAAACCTTATGTGAATATACTGAACACCCATTAGTAGACTAACTTCGAAAGCATTAACGTATATTTCACGACCTGCGGTCTCACTGTCACTGTAAATTATTGAAAACTCAAAATCAGTGCCAGCACACACTGCTGCCAAAGTATCGACAGAAGCGTTGGCAATTGAACCAGACATATCAAGCGCCAGGAAATAGCCCAAAAGTCATTCAGCGTTATCGTAGTAATTTGCAGTGTCCATGTTTATCACATGATAGTGTGTCGTTGAGTAATCTTATTCTTATTACATTGATAGATTCAAGTAATGGATGTCTTATTTGAACGATCATCTAGATCATCGAGTGTTAGCCCAACTCTGCAAACCATTATTTCATGAGAATAATTTGACAGAAGCTGTAGCGTGGTTAATAGAAAGATCTCGAAGCTTCTGGGTCTACTTTGAGTCATCGTTCTTCTGTAGGTTGAACAAACTGTACTAGAGCTAACCAGTAGAACTTTGATGGTGATGGCGAACTCTGGGTGCCAAGTTTCGCATGTCCAAGAGTTCTATTGTCAGTATACAGATCAAATTCACAAGAAGCAAAAGGCCTGGCATGACGGGAGAATGAAGTTTTATCAGCTTAATCATAAATTCCAGCTTTATTCAATGGAGGGTGGAATGCTGCTGGACAGCGCGTTCATAACCAATAGTCGTCGGGTGGACCACATTCTAGATGAAAGCGGGTTCAACAAAGAGGAACATAAGATCTTTGGCCAGTTTTTGGTGATGATCGATTGCTTGCAGTGCGAGTACGATAGAGACATCAGTGGGAAAGTCAGCGATGCCTCAACAGCATACAATGTCAAGAAATATACTACGGAGAATTCAGGAAGTATTGTGGAATCGAAGGTCAATTGCAAGCTGCGACCCCAAAAGTCAGGACCAGCTCAACATCATGACAGTTTGGCATTGAAGTTTAACAAGCCATTTCGACGACCGCAGATAAAACAGCGGAACGTCAGTGTACACACGAAACAGCAAGCAGCAGAGGCCCTCAATGCACCAGCTGTGAAAAAGATAATTCGAGCAAGACCAACAGCAGCGGAAAACGTACGCCAAAAATTGCCAACGAGTAATGGAAGGGTGTCACTAGCGCTGGACATGTCGGCATCCCGAGGTTTCAAGAAAGAGACCAAACCAAATAGCATAAGAAGCGTTTTGAAGAAAGAAACTGAAAAATGCACTAATGATAGTCAAGACGAACTCAATTGCTCGAAACTTGGCACTAGCTTTCTTGCAACGCCGCAAAAACAACTACAACAACCGAGTGTACACCCTGTCGCCAGTCTACAAGATCCGGATTTCCGCGTGCAACGTAGAGATGTTACTGTTAAACACGAACGGATTGTACTAGGGCAATTGCACCAGGAGAAGAAGCATTATAAGAATTAACAAAATAATATGGGAACATGCCTTTCAAACTATCTTTTGAAAACTATATGATTTGTATACATAGTGATTGATGCAAGTAGTTAATCGGTGGTGTAATATTCGTGAATGATTGTTTTTGTTGATCAAGTATCTCATTAAGAAAACCCCTCAGGGTGTTTGTGTTAGTGTTTGTGTGTTAGTGTGTTTGTATATGAGCGTATTGCATGTGGGGTTGCTGAGACCAGTCTTCAGCCAAATACCGCACTTAAGCCTGTTGGATTCTGGCTTCGATCAAGTCGAACAAAGTGACAATGTCAGCAGAGAACTTTCTGATACCCTCGGACAACTTTTCGGTGGCCATGGCGTCCTCGTTCAAGTCATATCTGAAGGCAGCTTCATCGTTAATGAAAGACACTTTGTCGTCACCGTCGGCCTTAGCGGACTCTTGGTCCAAGACCTGAGGCACTGGCTCTTCCGAGTTGAGGAGCTCTTCCAACAAACCTGGAGAAATGGTCAAGAAGTCGACACCGGCCAAAGCGCGGATTTCGCCGGTGTTTCTGAAAGAGGCACCCATAACAATGGTGTTGTAGCCGTGCTTCTTGTAGTAGTTGTAGATCTTCTTGACGGAGATCACACCTGGGTCGGTCTCGGCGGTGTACTCCTGCTTCTTGTTGGCCTTGTACCAGTCGAGGATTCTGCCAACGAAGGGAGAAATCAAGGTGACTTTAGCTTCGGCGGCGGCAACGGCTTGGCCGAACGAGAATAGCAAAGTCAAATTGACGTGGATGCCGTACTTCTCTTCTAGCTCCTTGGCGGCCTGGATACCTTCCCAGGTGGAGGCGATCTTGATGAGCACACGCTCTTTGCTGATGCCGAACGACTCGTACAGCTTGATGATGTGCAGGGCCTTGTCGACGGTGGCCTTGGTGTCGAACGACAAACGCGCGTCCACTTCGGTGGAAACACGGCCTGGAACGATCTGTAGGATGGCCTTACCGAATTCGACCAGCAACATGTCGACGGCGTTTTCGGTCTGCTCGGCTAGAGTAGAGCCGTTCTTCTTACCGTACTGGACGGCGGTGTCGATCAACTTGGCGTAGGCCTCCTTTTGGGCAGCGGCCAAGATCAACGAAGGGTTGGTCGTGGCATCTTGAGGGGTGTATTTGGCGATGGACTCGAAGTCACCGGTGTCGGAGACAACCACGGTACCGGTAGATTTTAGCTGTTCCAAAGAGTTGGATTGCTTCAGTTTTTTTTCTTGAGGAGGAACCATTTTTTCTAATTGATACAAATGCGTGAATATAGACTGCGAACTCGGGGCTTTATAGTGTTGTGCGCTATAAAGTACTGGTGTCTTTCTAAACTGAGATACACATTAACTAAAGTGTTGGTCAGAACTGGACGTTGGAGCCGATCTCTTGTCCCTTTTATAGTCGTATTTTCACAAAAAAAGGGGGCCGGCTTCCTTCTTTTTTTTTTTCTTTTGCCTTTGGCCAAAGGTCACGTGTTTCTTTTTTCTACAACATTCCATAGATCTGCTGACGTAAGCGCGTAATCTTATTGGTTTGGTTTTGCCAATACTATCAACTTGTACGTATTTTGCTATGTGCATGCCTGACAATGGCAAAGCGATGGGGAGGGAAACGCAGAGTGTTTGAAAGAGTGTGCAAATAGTGCGTAAGAGTGTGTAAGAGTGTGTAAGAGCTTATTGATTTAGAGAAAATTGCAGTTTTTTTCGTGGTAGTTTTTTGCACTTTTTTGCACTTTTTTGCGGACTTTCTTTGTGGTGAATGGTGTGTTTTGAGGCTGCGATCTCGGGTGGTAATTAGTTCGGAACTTGCCCCATGCGAGGCTTCGCTCGACGCGGAAAACTGCACCCTGTTTGCGAGGACGGACAAAGAGAACGACAGATCGGTACTAAGTGATATGAGACCCTGGCGCGGGATCACGTGATATGTTTGCTCTTTTACAGTTCAAGACGGTATCTTCAGCTGTCGAAGTGCACCCTGACTGCGATGATCTTGGACCCCCAAGTATCATCAATAACTTCCCCTCCCCCATCTTTACTCTGTGGGAATTCCATGGGTCGCCCAAGACATAGTACATGTCACATAAGTACAAAGTGACAAGAATATACTTGAAAACCAAAAAAGTTTTCGGTCACCAACAAACACCACTGCTACGTTCTAGTACGTTCCACTAGAAGCTTTACTACGGTCTACCACGCTCTACGACCCTCACTACTACATAAAATCTCCCCGTCAATCCACGTATCACTACTCCTCTTCTTTCCAACCACATCACTTCGTACTTTCCTGTCGCCAATCGACTGAAAATTTTCATATATAGTCCTCCACCACCATTCCAATTCAACACCAATATAAACGCTCAATCTCCCTTCTCAATCTCCCTTCTCTATTTTCCTTCTCAAGCTCCCTCTGATTTCTTTATTACCGTCTTCCTATTAATTTACTCAAATTCCAATTCCCATACCAAATATCCAAAAATGTGAAAAATCAATTGTAAACTGCTCCAAACTCAACCACCACAACGCTATTTTGTCTCCCCAATGACTCCAAAAGTTGCCCCGTAATTTTCTTACTCCGTATGACCCCTTTGTACGCCCTGCAACGGCCCTCGTTCCGTAGTTTTCTCGCTTCTCGAAATCTGTCATTTCGCAATGTCATTAGACCTCGCAAACGACACAGTTGTTGTCAGCTGGCATTTTCACTGTCGTTGTCGTTAGCATTTGTTTCTCGTGACTCATTCCACCACACCCACACGCACGGCGCCGTCGAAACGTCGCTGTGGCTTTGACGCTGGCAACTTGCCTTGAGTGAAGTGAAAAATTGGTGAATAAAAACTCGAGCAGGTCTGAACCATTCAGTTGGCAAGCACCGCCCGGGGATTACCATTGCGAATCCACACTCCTGAATTCACAACTCTAGCGTTGTTCTCCAAGCCATACATGACCGTTCTACCCTCCGACAAATTCGCTACCAAAGCCATTCATGCCGGTGCACACACCGATGTGCACGGATCGGTGATCGAGCCCATCTCTCTGTCGACCACATTCAAACAGCATGCTCCAGCACAGCCCGTAGGCCAGTACGAATATTCGCGGTCCCAAAACCCTAACCGTAAAAACCTGGAAGACGCCGTGGCAGCATTGGAAAATGCCAAGTTCGGGCTAGCGTTTTCGTCGGGCTCGGCGACCACAGCCGTCATTCTGCAGTCGTTGCCCCAGGGCTCGCATGCCGTGTCGATTGGCGACGTCTACGGTGGTACTCACCGTTATTTTACCAAAGTGGCCAACGCACACGGCGTGGAAACCACTTTCACCAACGACCTGGTCCAAGAGCTGCCCAAGCTCGTCAAGGACAACACCAAACTGGTGTGGATCGAGTCTCCTACCAACCCTACTCTCAAGGTCACCGACATTGCTTTGGTGAGCGAGACTGTGCGTAAGATCAACCCAGAGATCCTGCTGGTCGTCGACAACACCTTTTTGTCGCCTTACCTGTCTAACCCACTAAACTTCGGCGCAGATATCGTGGTGCACTCCGCGACCAAGTACATCAACGGCCACTCCGATGTCGTGATGGGTGTTTTGGCCACCAACAACGAGTCTCTGCACCAGAAACTGCAATTTTTGCAGAACGCTATTGGTGCCATCCCATCGCCATTCGACGCCTGGTTGGCCCACAGAGGTCTGAAGACGCTGCATCTGCGTGTCAGACAGGCCTCGCAGTCTGCGACCAAGATCGCCCAGTTCTTGGCCGAGAGCAGCGCTGTTGAGTCCGTCAACTACCCAGGTCTGCCAACCCACCCCAACTACGACGTCGTCAAGAAACAGCACCGCGACGCCTTGGGTGGAGGTATGATTTCTTTCAGAATCAAAGGCGGTGCTGAGGCCGCTGCCAAGTTCTCGTCTACCACCCGACTATTCACACTTGCTGAGTCTCTTGGTGGTATCGAGTCCCTATTGGAAGTGCCCGCCGTGATGACCCATGGTGGCATTCCTAAGGACCAGAGAGAGGCCAGTGGTGTGTTTGACAACCTGATCAGATTGTCCGTTGGTATTGAAGACACTGACGATCTGCTCGATGACATCAAAGCTGCTCTTGAGAAGACCGTGAACTAAGCCGAACGACTACATATATACAAGGTTATATAACATTATAGAGTGCCGCTAGGCTACTGCTAGATCAATGGCAGAATGCCAGATTTCATCTTGTTTTGCCAAAGGACAAGTTGTCCTGATTTGGACGAACTAGATGTATTCATACCAATCATCGCTATAAGAACTGTCACTTCTGAAAAAGAGACAGATAGTTTTCACTCTTTCAACCTTTTCGAACGGCCAATTCAAGCTCACGTATGCGCTGGATAACCTTCTGTATAGCTGGAGCACTGGCTAACGAACTCATAACGTTAAGTCCCACAACCGAGTTGACCAACAGTGTCGAAACGTCCTCTGGAGAACCCAAAGACCAACTTTACATAGGAGACGACATTATTTGCAATCAAGACGAGTGTTATCCCAAGATATTTGAAGCACAGGAGTACTGGCAAGAGATCAGACCAGAGCAACAAATCACAGCAGGTCTGGACGTCCGAATGAACCTGGAAACGGGCTTGCGAGAGGCAAAGCTCAGCTCGAAGCCTGCGAGAGAAAACCAGCCTAAAGAGCCAGCCAAGAAGGTCCCAGACGAGAATGAACCTTCCAGTTACGAGTTCAGCCAGGATTTTGCCAAGATCAGAGAGTTGCTGGCTGTCCAGGATTATACAGCGATCGACACACTGCTAGACGACCTACTAGAGTTCTCACACGACTTCAAGCACGGCTACAAGATTCTGACACACGAATTTGGGCTTCTCAAATCCCTCATTATGGCTGAAAGTTCGCCCATGTCGACCAAACTTCTCACATCAGCCATGTTCACCGCGTGTTTGCGCAACAATCCGCCCTCTGTTTCGTACGTTCAAGCTGTTGACCCAGCCTTCACGCAGGAAATATTTACAGAGATCACTGGGTTGATAACGGGACCTCCCAAGGGACAACGCGTTGTCTTGGTCAAGCGGTATCTATCCATTGTGCAAGCAATGGCAAACGAACCTTCCGATCTCGACGAATCTATTCTTCTCAGGCTTTGCCATTGGGGGGATGCCCAGATCAAAAGAAGAGCGCTAGAGACCGCAGCACTCCTGTTCCACAGCAACAACGCGCAGTCACTCCAAAAAATGTCTCAATCGGCTCACGAAATCCAGAAATGGGTCGATGAATTTTCCCTGGGTCTACAAGACGAAGATGTGGACGAGCTACACATTCGCAACTTCTTCAACAGTCTGCATCGCATTAAGGAAGATTATACCAAGGACGTCAAACTGGATTCCACTTTCCTCAACTGGCTGGGCAAAGAAGCCACTCACAGACAGCAACGTCTCAAAAACGGGCTACAGGAACGCGACCTCGAGCAGGACGAGTTTGACCAGAAATTAATAGACAGCAGACACTTGGTCTTTGGCAACCCGATGGCGCACCGGATCAAGCGGTTTGACGATGAGTTGTAACTTCTAGCAATTAAATATCATCTCAAATTTTCTATAAGAGTGTCATTAATGATCGTAAATATGTTTATAAAGGTGACTTCGCTATTCTTCAGTCACCTCGTTCAGAAATTGCGCGTCCATTTGCAACCGCGTTTTGAACTTATTCCACCAATTGTCGAAGCACTTGATCGGCACGTTGCCCTGTGAGTCCAAAAACCCTGTTAGATAGTTGTGAGCGTGCTTGACAATCCTGGCCGCGAGCTGTTGAGTCACCACGGGATACATTCTGGCCAATTGCCCTGGATTTGCAATTGCTGAGGAGTTCGTGCGTGCTACAACCAGCGAGTTCGAGCTGTTTGGTGCCGCTTGTTGCAACTTTAGTTCTTGCACCTTTGCAAAGGCCTGGTCTTTGGACTCGATTGATATCCCTATTATGATCTCAGAGACATTTCCTGGTGTGGGCTCCTCCCCGGGGATCTCGTCTTCCATGTCAATCTCTCCAAGTCCGTCTCCGGGCTCTCCAGGGGCAGACACATTCAAGTTGGGAAGTCTGACCTTGAAAATGGCACTTGGCTTTTCTGCGCTCAAATAGCCAAAAAACTTGAATTCTTCAGCCGGGCTCAATTTGAAGTAAACTGTACCGGCGAACTCTGGAGGAAACGTCACATTGGGCAAAATGAAGACCGAGATGTGCGAGTAAGATTTGGGTTTCGTTGAAGACAGCACAATGGTGTGTTGTAAGCTATTCGAGTTAGGCACTTCTGCCGAAAGTTGAAGAGGGTTTCCCGAGGCTATAGCCGCAAACATGAGGCAATCGGTGGTGTAGAGTTCAACAGGAGCTTAATGCGGACAAGTTTATGGCGTTCAAAGGCCTTTATGATCAGAAGTTTGTTAACCATTTCACCATTTGATGTGTCTAGTCTCGCTAATTCGAGATAATTCGATATCAACTATTGCAGATCAGGAACACGTGATCATATGAGTGAGGTGTTCAGTATGGTCAACAACCATCTTTTTGGCTCTTGAATCAACTAGTATCATTGGTCAGACCAAGCTCTTTAATGGCCTCTTCAATTCTGAGTTTGGTTTCTTGAATGCCCAAAAATTCGATCAAAAACGGTATCTTGACGCCTGGGATTGAAGCTGCCAATGCAAACCGAATAACCTCGAAAACCACGCCTTTCCGGACACTTACATCGCGTGCAATCTGTTCTATTATTGAGGCGATGTCGCTATTATCTGTGATGTTGTTTTCCAATTGACGGAGAATGGTTTGCACTTGACGCAGATCCTGCTTTTGGATAAACTGCCTAACATGTTCGTTGCTTTTGAAAGTGGGCTTCGAGAACAGGTAGTAAAAGTCACGCTGTAGATCCTCCAAAGTAGTCAGAGAGTTCCCCACAAGCTGTAGTGCCCGCCTGATCTCAGATTGACTAACGTTGGGATAGAATTTTTTAAAATTCTGGCAAAGTTCGGCAACAATTTGGTCTAGCTGCTCCGGGTCCTGCAACCGCTCCGATAGATAGTGCTTGTTGAAAAACCAGAGCTTCTTGTCATCAACTTTGGCGTTTCCTTTCGTCAGGTTATTCAGGTCAAAAAGCTTGATCAGTTCTGCCAGACGGAAGCACTCGTGATTCTTGGCGGCATCCTCGCGCGGTGGGGACCATCCAAACAGCACACTAAAGTTTACGAGGGCCTCTGGAAGCACCCCGCGGTCTTTGAGAGCTATGACGTCTGCGTCGCCCCGTCTTTTGCTAAGTTTTTTGTCGCTGAGCGACGTTAGCAATGGTATATGAATAAACTCGGGAGGTGTCCACCCAAAGGCCCGATAAAGAGCGATGTGTTTGGGAGTCGAAGGCAACCATTCCTCGCCTCGCACCACATGTGTGATCTCCATCAAATGGTCGTCAACTACGTTCGCGAAATGGTAAGTGGGCAGCGCGTCGGACTTGACGAGAATCGGGTCGTCGTAACGCCTGTCAATGGCATTGGTCTGCGGCTGAACATTGATGGCACCATGCAGAAGATCTGTGAAGGGCTCGTATTGCTCGGGAGACTTCAAACGTATGGTAAAGGGAGTTTTCTGCTCGAGCTTTTCCTGAATCTCAGTCTCTGAGAGATGGGCGCAATGTCTGTCGTAGCTGGAAGTTGCTGGAGGTCGCAGTTTCTGTGCACTTTCCCGCAGCCCGTCTAGTCGTTCCTTCGAGCAAAAGCACCGGTATGCATGTCCCGAGGCCAAGAGCTTTTCGCTGTATTTACGATATATCTCGGTTCGGTCACTTTGACGGAATGGGCCGTATTTTTCCTCATTTACACGGGGACCTTCATCGTATGTGATTCCACACCACTTGAGCGAATCGTAAATGTTCTGTTCTGCACCTGGAACCAGTCTTCTCTGATCAGTGTCCTCCAATCGTAGTAAAAACGTCCCGCCCGTGCTTTTTGCAAGCAGAAAGTTGTACAAAGCAGTTCTCAGAGAGCCCAAATGCAATTTGCCAGTGGGAGAAGGTGCGAATCTCGTTCTAGCTGGTTTTTTCGGATGGATGTCCCGGATTGGCTTTTTAGACAAGATCGACCTGCTGTGAGAAAGAAGACTATAGTTGTGGCCTCCGACCACGCACTTCTGTCCCAATGGACAAAATACACTAAGTCGGCCGACTACTGGTCGTGTTGTCAGTTTCATCAAGCGGTTTGGAAAGGTATTCCGTCCTTTCAACGCTGTCCAGTTTGGCAAACTTCTCTGAGAAGAGATCAGTAGAACTTCATATGGGTCAATAATGGCTTAATCTCAATCACATCCAACGACGCCATCATAGCTCTCGAAGTCGATGGCAAACACCAGCAGCCTATGGCTATCCAACTTCACAATACCACTTCGAACGCGTTGTCTAATTGTTCTTGATTGTAGCGTTTCAGATGTTTTTGTCGTGGAGAGCTTCCCGACATCAGCGACTTCTTATCCACCATCAAGACAAAAACGTAAAATAAACGTCAGCGTTCAATTGTCACATCTTTCAGAGATCTGCCTCAAACAAAACCGTTCACTTTTTGGCGCAATTGGGCCAGCTTTCTCCGGCAGCGCATCTAGAAAACGTAGGCTGAGGATCGTCCAAAATGAACTCTATATGGTTCAGCACTAGGATTTGGCATCCAAGCACCGGCCATGACACAGTGGATCCTGACATTCTCGTGGTAATATAAGTTTGTCAACAATTTCGGCGTGATGAGAATGTACTGTGACGTGTTTTCCACACAGGCATTCTGAACAATGGCCTTATGCACAATTCGCTCGTTTTTGGAATCCATACCTTGATTGATCTCGTCTACAATTCTAAAGGGAGCAGAAGTGAACTCCTGAAGCGCAACCATGTAAAGTACTGTCGAAACCGCCTTTTCTCCACCCGATTGAGTGTGGAAGTCCAGCTTCTTGAGCGGAGCATTATCCCGAAATTTGACCATGATGTTCATTTGCCAGTCACTGTAAAGCGTCGGTCTCTCTAATTGTACCGCTCCAGCACTCCCTGCGTTCTTGAATAACTCAGAGAAATTACTTGAAAGTTTGTGTACGATGCTGTCCAAAAATGGTTCTAGCAGGCTGTGCTTCTCCTGTATTTGAGAGCGCAGATCAGCCAAGCTGGTCCGCAGTTGTGGGATACTGTTGTTGAGCACTGAGAGTTCGCTTTCAGTTCGGCGTAAAATTTCAAGTACAGATTCATCTTCGTTGACCATGGCAATTTCCGACCTTAATCTGTTGATGACCTGAAGGACGAATGCCAAGTTGAAGTTGTCGGAACTTTGATATTCTTCTGCCAAAGCTGCCAGTTGTTGTTTTTCCGAAGTCGAATACCGTCTGATTGCTCCCAACCAGCTCTGGTACTCGGGCGTCTCTTTCATTGATGCGTAATTCCTTTTCGCTTCCTCGTATTCTTCTTGTAACTTACTTTCTTTCTCGTTGAAAAACCCAATCACGTCGTTCATGGACCGCTCGCTGTTGAAAGCCTCAATATAGGCGACAGTAGCAGCCATTACTTCATCTTCGATGTTTTGCAAGTCACGGAGAAACGTAACAATTTCTGCCAAGCACTCGATTCTGTCCTCAGTGCTTTTCTTAATATTCTTTTGACAAGTCTTGATCTTTGCTGCAACATCTCTAGTAGATTCTCTCGTGAGGCTTTCGACTTTTTCTTGAAGCGTTTTAATGATATGCTTTGTTCTGGTGATTGCGGTTCTCTGACCACTAATGTGCGAGGCCTTTTTTCGCAAAGACTGATCAACTCCCTTTTTCAGTTCACACTCTTCTTTCGATTCCCTAATCTCTGTCAAGATTTGATCAAGCTTCAACTCATTATTTCTTGTGTCTTCCTGCAGAAGGGTGATTTGGCCAAGTATCTCATTCCTTCTCTCATCCGACAATGAGGTTCCCTTATAAAACGATTGATTCTTGACAAAACTATTGTTGGAATAAATCGATTTATCGCCATGATGTGATCTACCATAATCGAAACACTCATTGCCGACATAAAACTTACGGAACGTGGGATCCCCCTTCACATTTGGCCTACTAATCCAGGCGCGTTGCTTAGCACTTAAAGGGTTCAATGAGTAGGGAACTGTGTGTAGCTTGCTTACCTGGCACAACATTTTTATGACCCGACTATCTCCTGATAGTAAATCCGAGAGATATCCATCAAATCCCATTTGTTTCAATTGTGAAAGTGAATACGGTGATCGCAGCTCTTGAGTGGTCAACTGCCTCAAATTAACCCCATACTCCCTCAAAATCTCGTTGTTGAATTGATCATATGCTTCTGCATCAACCATTGTAAGCGCCACGGAAGTCGCGTGCCCGACGCAGTTCCAAATATAATTTGCATACTGGGGCTGCTTCGCAGATACAGTCATAACGGGGGGCTCGAGAACTCTGCCAGCCATCTCGGGTTTACTGCGCACGTACATCACAGCATTTCGTATGTCATTGAAATTTGGCCCCTTGCCTTCGAAAACTTTGATTTTATCATCGGATTTCAAACTTTTCATTTTGTCCTCTGTACTTGTCTTAAGAGAACTAATTTTGAGCCTGACATTCGCAGCTTCAGAACTCAACTCCCTCAATTTGACATTGATGTCAACGATAGCTTGACTGACATTAGTTCTCTGCATCGTGATGTGTTCCAATTCATTTTCATCCGGCTCTTTCAGACTGGTAAGAAGCTGTTCTTGCTCGCGCAAATGTTGCTTTGTTTCTTCAATTTTCTTCCGGATACGACCGGTATGACCTTCGTAATGTTTAATGGCTTCCTGTGAACGCTTGATATCAACCTCAAACTGGTTTAGCCGCTCGACATACGTAGAATAAATTTCCTTTGTATTCTTGAAATTGCACTCCAACTTGCTTTTCGACAGCAGCTTTCCTTCGCACTCTTTTTGAACTCTTTCAAGGGTGTTTTTGAAGGGTTTTTTGTCGGAAAGGAGTGACCTGAGTTGAAGTTTAGCGGTTTCGCAATTTTTTTTATAAACCTGAATTCTCTGCTTATGATCCTTCACCTTGGCGTACGGTAAAAGCTTCTCATGTATGGCTAGATCTCTTTTCTTCTGTCTAAAACTCTCCAGAGTACGCACAGATGCTTCGAGGCTTTCCCGATTGGCATTGAGCTCTGTATAGCGAGATTCCTTTATCGAAAGTTCTTTAGCCCGGTCGATCTCTTCGCTTTGCAGATTTTTCAGGTCTTCAAAGATTTCCACCATCTTGACATCTACAGATCGTATAGTCTCGACGAGAAGCTTATCTGATCGTAGTTTAGAAAAGTCTTGAACTCGCTCTTGCGACAAGAATTGGCAGAGATTGTCCAACTGGATGTTGAGATCTGACACCAGTCTTTTAATCACGGATTCTTCGACCGGTCGGTCATTCAAGAAATATGTCGACTTCTTTACGTTCCGCGTTATCACACGCGTGATTTTGGTCGTGAGATCTTGGTTTGCGTATTCCTTGAATTGCTCCTCGGGACCCACTTTCAGCGTCGTCTCGATGATGCTTGATGTTTCACCGTTTTTGATGAAATCCTCCACTTTCTTGCTTCGCCCAATATACTCTGGCTTGCCTGCTAGCCCTAAACACACTCCGCAGACAAAAGTTGATTTCCCTGAGCCATTCGGACCCACCACCATATTCAACGATGGAGAAAGACAAAACTCACCCAATGCGTATGTAACAAAGTTTTTGAGGCGCAACTTCACAATGGCGCCTGGTTTAAAAGGCGAAAGGTCTTCATGTCCGATCTTTAATCTCTTAAGAAGACTGGCATCATCGCCATCAGCACTTGAATTTTGAGATTCCTCTCTATTTCTGGATCCTCTCATCAAAGGCTCCGAAACCTCTCAATCGTACTCAGCACGCTGCTGAGAGAAACAAACGTCTGCAGCTGCTTCGTGCTCAGCTCGTTGATCTCGGGGTGATTGATGGAGATCTGATCTGGTTAACGCGATCTGAAAGATATTGAGACCATATTAGTACAAAGTGATCAACGTTTTTAATCAATAAGGTAACAAACTGCCAGCTAGAAGATAGAGGAGAATGGCAGTAAGAACAGACATTGGGATAATAATGTGGAATGCTTTGATATTTGTTTAATTCACGGATACAGCTCACGAAAGGTATTTAGACTTGACAGTTTGTTGTTGTTTTCTGTATCTTGATCACGTGGCAGGTGATCATAGGTGACTTCTGTATCGCTTGCAATGCCTCTGAGAGCAGTTTGTTCAGCTCTATCGCCAATTTATTACACTAAAAGGCATGTTCTCATTTCCTCGTCAAAAACTTTTGTGAATAATCGATGTCACAACCACCAATTTCGGAAAACATAATAATACCACTCACAAATGCCCGATTGAATGCGAAAAAAGTATGAGACCTACATAGAATAAACCACAACTAGCTACTCATTAATATCAAGCCATAATGCGTGGAATCAGAGGTTTTTTCGACCGAAAAAGAGAACCATTTTCCAAAAATATATCACGTGACTTTACTAATATATATTCTTGACATATCTTTATAAGATGGATCAACTAGCCATCTGCCAACTAGCATAAAACTTTAGAGTTCAGCCTTTAAACAGCCGTTGAATGTCGCGTAGTAGCAGACTGAGGACCAGGCCGGAGGTCTCGGAGACGTCAAGAACCTCTAAGAAGTCCAAAAAAACAGAAGAACTGGATACCTATGGATTAGTGGAAGAAAATGGCGGACGTCCTTTTCAGCTCATCGAAGGACTTCCTTCTTCTGAGGCATTGCCACAGTATAAGGCAACATTAACACATCCATTATCAGTGAGAGACTCGGCTGTTTTGTATAGCTCGATGTTGAGTTCCAGAAGGACCTGGATTAGTTCAGAAATGTTCGATATGTTGTGGTCAAAACAGTTTCTCAGTCCAGGAGAAAAACAGCGATTAGAAGAAGAAGGAATCGATCCAGAAAGCGTAGATGCAAGTGCTGCCAGGGAAAAAATGCACAAACTGTGTGATTGCGTTATGTTCGGCGGACCACATGCGTTCTCAGTCCGTCTTTTCATTGTCAAGAATGAGGAAACCGAGAAGAAGTGGAACGATGCAATTGAGCAGAAGAAACGCCGCAAAGAAGACCGAAAGAAACAAGAGCTAGAAGACAAGAAGAAGAAACAAGAACTTCGAAAGCAGCAGCAATGGGTCAGAAAACAGGGTAGAGATCAACCTCAGCCATTTCCACAAACGTTGCAACTCAAGTCATCTGTAACACCCGCCGGAGCAGGCTCTGGATCAACGGTAGAAACGCAGCCGGATGCCAGAAAACAGCCTGTCAAACGTCGCCAACGCAAAGACGAAGCCCTTCCTACTGCCAGATCCCAAACGCCCCAACAGAGAAGAACTCTACACCAGTCTACCGAGGATCAGAAGATGATCACTAACCTGAATTTGATGGCGCAGAAAAATGCGGGACTCAACACTCTTATGGTCATTGTTGCTGGAGGGAGAGCAACGTCACAGCAGGTTGAAGAGTTCAAAAAGTACATCGAAAAGGCTAGGAAAATGCCATCTCCTCTCGGTTGGAAGCCAGTCTCATCTTCTCCAACTACGCTAACACCCCAAGATACGACGGGTGTCTCAAACGCAGCACAACACAGCATCGCTGAAAGAAAAATCGCAGACAAAAGCCGTCCAATAATACCGCCGGAACTGCCAACTTCTAGATTACCAGAAGCCCCCCAAGTTAAAGTGGAAAATCCAACTACGGTTTCTGTCAATGGGAGTGCGGAGCCGCGACAAAAGCGGAAATATACGAAGAGGAAGAACGTCGATACCCCTCCAGAGCCCGAGGACAAATCTATGCAACTTACAACATTTCAGCAAAAATACATGCACAATGCTGATATTGTGTTTGAGTACGTTGAAAATCCTAATAAGAGATACAGCTTCCCCAAAGATGCGATACTTGAGCCACTAGATGATGGAGAATCGTACCTCATGTCGTGGATTTTAATTCACAACCGTAAAGAAGTGGAAAAGTACAAGGAGAAGAGAGCCAAAAAGCTCGCAGCGGCCAAGAGCGACAAGAAAAACCCTGAGAAACCTGAAGAAGAATACAACGTTTTTGAGGACCTTCAGTGTCCTGAACCGCTCTACACCACCATGACGGTAAAACTTACAAACATTCACAAAAAGTTTAAGACTATCATGAGCAATTCCGTGAATCCCGCCGAAAAAGTACGGAAACATATGTCAATTATTCTAGAGCGTGGTACTAGACTCACTGGCTACAATCTATGGTTTCAGTTGGACGCCTATGATGACAGTGAGTTGGCCGAAAACCTGAGATGTGAATTGAAAGATTACGAAGCAGGTTTCAGGAGTAAGAGACAACGCAAACAGTTCTGAAAATAAAGATGGCGGCAAAAGGTTCAATTGGATGGGATTGAACGGTACGGTGCGGAACAGGAAATGGGCTTTGGAGAAGCTTTTCGGGATATTTATACATTAGTTTTACATAGAGAATTGCAATTGAACACCAAACTTTGCAGGTTTAAAGAAACTAGCGGTTTTCGGTTCATCTACCATGTTGGCTGGTAAATCCAGCGGGGTGTTGGCGAGTTCAGTTCCAGCAGAAATCAAAAACCCCTTGTACCGGCCTTCCCACTGCACTTTCAAATTTTTGTCCCTCAAACTCGTGCTAAGTCTGCAAACGCTGGTGAAGTTGGAGTCTATTAGTGACTTTTCGAATTTTTGGATGATTGAACGTTCTCTGTTAATCTTGTGGAGGGACGAGGCAAATGTTACGTTCAGGTCGTCTAGCAACTTTTGAGAGTTGGAAGAACCAGCCATCAAATGGTAAAACATGTCTTTCGTGTCTGTGGGCCGTTTTTGCGCGCTGGGCGCGCGAACTGCGTCTTGAACAAAAGCGTTTTCAGTAGGAACAGCCCTGCTTGCCCCTCTTCTCCACAATTCACAGCCAAACGACAAGTTGGACTCGATCGAGTACAAGTTGAAGTCGAATTTCGTACTGATAGTGGCGTTTGACGAAGTTTTCACCGAGTACGTCGACGAAACATGGCCAAAAAGTGGATTCCACGACAGAGTTAGCGTCAGGGGCTTGCCCGTGTTGGCCGAATGCGTGCAATACCGCAGCGTGGTCGAACATGCGGGACTTGTGTTCAAAAGTCCGAACCAGAGCTCTGCACCCAGAGACAGCGACGAGTTGTTGTAGAGCGAGGTGTTGAGTTTCGATTGGCTGCCCACGAAGTTGTGCAGCACACGGTAGCCGACCAGAGCCTCGTTAGATGACACCACCCACTCCTGGAAGTTCTTGCCTGAGTCTCTCTGCCAGTACAGCGTGAGCACGCTGGTGTGGGCGAGACTGCTGAGACACTTGGCCACGAGTTGCGTTTCGGGACTCAGCCGTTTGACGACCATGGCCTCCAGCGTCGAGCTCGGGTAGTACATGCGTCCGAACCACAGGGCACACGGTTCGAACCCCTTTCTTGCCTCCCGGTTCTGGTACAGCGGTCGAATCTGCCGGTACGTCTCCACCGCGTCTTGCAGCTGCACCGTGCGTGAGCTGCTCACAGAACTGCCCACGCCCTTGCCCGTGCAGTACAAATATGCCAACGACCCATTGATCACCGTGTTATTCGAGAGCTCGAACGTCGAGAACGTGTGCGCGGTCGAGCTGTTAGATATCTGGCATTTTAAGCCTTCTGGTATGCTAAAATTAAGCAGGTTTTCGGACGTTGCCGTGATGTTTTCGTAGCTGTTGTCGCGGTTCCAGCCCGTACAAGTTTCGAACACCCGCAACACTTGCTGCATGTAGTCAATCATGGAACCTGGCCGTGATCCGCTAGCTTTTGGACATGTTCTTCTAAAGAATAGCTCATCTCATCGCATCGCATTTAAATTTCAAGATTATTATATAATCGATCTTTATGAAATATTATATTTGTAGGTTACGTAAGCATATTTCTATTATGACTATATAAGATAATCGTATAATATTTAAAGATGATGATTTAACTCAGAGATGAAAGACATGAACCCGACTGAAAACAGCATCGAAACGGCGTGAAAGGAGTGATTAACGCGCTGGCCAAGTGCTTGAGAACTGTGCAATGGACCAATCTGGGGAATTGAGCGTTGGAATCTCCGAAAACGGACCAAAATTGGCTTCAAAAACAGGTTCAAACGTGGTAACAGCGGAAGACGCAGTTTCAGAACAGAAGGGCTTCCCCGTGGTCAAAATCGAGCAGTTTGCAGAGTTTGCAGATCAGACACCGCTGAAGGGGCGCAGGAGACCCATCAAAACGCCCCACAGAAGCGGGACGCCGTCGCAGCCCGGGTCTGGGCCAGGCACCGCTACAACCACAACGCGCAGAAGACGCTCGAGTAGTCGCAGTTCCAGCAAAAATTTGAAGAGCTCGACGGAGATTTCGCCCGCATCGATGATCTTCCGTAACCTTCTGATCCTTGAGGACGATCTGCGACGCCAGGCGCGCCAGCAGAAGGCGCTCAAGTGGCAGTTCACGCTGTTCCTTGCGCTGCTGCTGGGACTCGCTGCAGCCGCGTTCTACGAGCTGTTTTTCTCCCAGGAGCCCGTGCGTGGGCTGTACAAGGTGGCACTGCAGTTCGCGCTGATTTTCATCCTGGTCACGGTCGTGCTGTTCCATCTGAGCGGCGAGTACCGTCGCACCATCGTGATTCCGCGCAAGTTCTTCGCATCCACTAACAAGGGCATACGTCAGTTCAACGTGAAGCTGGTCAAGGTGCGCAGCTCGTTGGCCGACCTAAGCATCGACCTAGTACGATGGCTGTGTCGCACGGCTGCATCGGTGAACCTCGCCATGGCCCGCAAGTTTTTGCCTGCACGCATGGCCGAAAAAAGCGGCACTATCCGTTTCTGGGACGCTGTAGCGCTGCGATCGCAGCCACGTATAGGTGCCATTGACGTCAAGCTCGTGTTAAACCCAAGAGCGTTCAGTGCAGAAGTTCGCGAAGGCTGGGAAATCTACCGCGACGAATTTTGGGCGCGTGAGGGCGCCCGCAGACGCAAACAAGTTAACGAAACAGGGTCTTGAAAAGCTCTTGGTATGACTCGATTGTCATCATTTCCTGCATTTCTTGGCGAATTTTGGCGAACAAAAAATGACCAAAATTAATTTGATAAATTTAACTCAACGCACCACTAGCATCGTGGACCGAATACCGACCAAATACACCAGCCAATCCACGGCAAAAGCTACAAATCGACAGCTTTTCGGGCTCGCTGTCGTCGATTTTGGCCTATAGCTCAAGGAAAGTTACCCGGTGTAACAAAGCCGTACAAAGAGCCCCCTTTCGCTCCATACTTAAGCGATTTTGAAGAAATACCAACATTGAGATAGACATAACCCAAACAAGAATAAAGGAAGTGGAAGCCAAAAGACAACTAAAGGGACATAAAAAGCGCCCAAGATGATGCGAGGCTTCAAGCAAAAGGTTTGTGCAGTTGTAGCCACGAGTTAAAAGTTGTTTTTGCGACTTTTCGCGTGGATTTTGGATGATTTTTGGATAATTTACTAACGTTTACGTTCACTCAAAGTTGATCAAAAAGACCACTGGATCCAGCTCTTCTGGAGGCAAGAAGAAAGACAAGGAAGAGTCCAAGAGGTCATCTGGTAATGGCACTTCGGGAACAACTTCTGCCAAGAGCTCCAGCGAGAAGAAAAGCTCGAGTCCCAGCTCTGGCTCGAACGAAAAAAAGGGCTCGAGCTCCAGCACAGGAGGTGCAAGCACCAAGCACGCGAAAGCCAAAGGTAGCAGCACGAGTAGTACCAGCAGTTCTGGAACTGCCGCGGGCACGGCATCATCCTCGACTGGCTCGCACCCGGAAAGTGCCATGGCTCCCTCGACCAGCCAGAAAAAACTGGAAGTCATGGGAAACATCAATCAGCCTTCCAAGTCGTCACATCCCACGCTGATCGCCGCAGCGTCTCTACCGGCCTCGCCCACTTCGGCCACGGTGTCGTCCGCAACTGTCTCGTTGCCCGTACCTGGAGCGGGACAGGCCAGCTCTAAAGACAGCACCAACGGCGGTATCTCTTCGAACGGCATCGATATCCCACGCTCGTCGCACTCGTTCGAGCGTCTGCCCAACCCGTCCAAGCTCAACCCAGAAGCAGATTTGGACCTGATAAAGAGCCCACAAAGGCACTCGTCGTCGAGGTTCGAGCCCTCGCGCTACACGCAAATCACCAAATTGCCTCACTTCGACGATGTTTCGCCCGAAGAACAAATCTCGCTTTTCCTGGCCAAAGTCGACCAGTGCAACACAATCTTTGACTTTTGCGACCCCAGTTTTGACATCCAGGGGAAAGAAATCAAACGAGTAACTTTGCAAGAATTGATCGAGTTTGTCGTCACCAACAGATTCGCGTACACGGAGGAGATGTACGCACATGTGGTCAACATGTTCAAAAATAACCTGTTCAGACCTATCCCCCCACCCGTGAACCCCATAGGAGAAGTTTTTGACCCAGACGAAGACGAGCCCGTGAACGAGCTGGCGTGGCCACACATGCAGTGCGTGTATGAGTTTTTCTTGAGATTTGTTGAGAGTCCCGATTTCAATCACCAAATCGCCAAACAATATATCGACCAAGACTTCATTTTGAGACTGCTTGAGCTGTTTGACAGCGAGGATATCAGAGAGAGAGACTGTCTGAAAACCACGCTACATCGGATCTACGGTAAGTTTTTGAGTCTTCGGAGCTTCATTCGTCGGTCCATCAACAACATTTTCCTGCAATTTGTTTACGAGACCGAAAGGTTCAATGGTATTGCCGAATTGCTTGAAATCCTGGGATCCATTATCAACGGTTTTGCGTTACCACTGAAGGAAGAACACAAAATATTTTTGGTTCGGGTCTTGATTCCTCTGCACAAGGTTCGTTGCTTGTCATTGTACCATCCACAACTGGCATACTGCGTTGTACAATTTTTAGAAAAAGAACCTCTTTTGACCGAAGAGGTTGTCATGGGCTTGTTAAGGTACTGGCCTAAAATCAATTCTACGAAGGAGATTATGTTCCTCAACGAGATAGAAGATATCTTCGAAGTAATAGAACCACTAGAGTTCATCAAGATCGAAGTGCCCTTATTCGTGCAGCTTGCCAAGTGTATCTCATCGCCGCATTTCCAAGTGTCTGAGAAAGTGCTGAGCTACTGGAACAACGAGTATTTCCTCAATCTTTGCATTGAAAATGCCGAAGTTATTCTTCCCATTATATTCCCCGCTCTGTACGAGCTAACGTCGCAATTGGACCTGGAGTCTCACAGCGATGATAAAGGCAACCGTTCATCCGATCCCTACGTGCTAGTGGAGCAAGCGATCAGCTCTGGATCCTGGAACCGCGCTATCCATGCTATGGCTTTCAAAGCTCTAAAAATTTTCCTTGAGACAAACCCGGTCCTTTATGATAATTGCAACTCTCTATACTTGACCAGTGTCAAGGAAACTCAGAGACGCAAGGAGGAACGTCACATCAACTGGCAAAAGCTCGAGACTTTTGTCAGGGACCTCAAGATAAGCAACGGTACCGAAATCGATGAGCCCAAGGAAACGCATTAATGACATAAAGAGTCTGATACAGCCAAGAAAAACCTACGAAAGCATTGAAGTTCGACTTCCATGGCACTGCATCGCCCATGACACCTGATGACCAGCAGAAATGTTAGTGCAGGCTCAGCGACCATAAACGTTATCGATACCCACCAAGCACACCTATCCTTCGTTAGCTGGTCACTGGAGAGGAACTTTTTTGTCGTTTTTTTTTCGTCAAGATGGTGTTTAACCTATTGTGAGTGAGCGAGTATCACTACACTCCCATTCTCACAGCATTGCATCTCTGGAGTCGACCAGGACTACAGAATTTTGGAGCTGGTGGATTCTCTTGGTTAAAACCATTGGTGGTCGTACGTAAGTATACAGCGCATGGTTAAATAAAGGGAAACCGTACTACCAAGCTTTCTTGAACAACAGTATCAAAAACAACACGTTTTGGTCGACAGAAAGGACCTGTAAGCTTCCTAAGCTATTCTTTAACTCCAGTATTGTTAGTTGAGAGATTATGAATCTAATGAGACCCCTTTTTGTACAGAAGCTCACTGCTATGCAGTTAAAAAAGCTGGGAACAACACCCATGCGTTTTATGTCCACGCGTCCTTTTTACAAGCCTATGGGCGTTCCAACGATGCTGTTACCTAGAATAGCAGGTTTTGCTGGTTTAACGGCTTTGGCGTTGTCCCTGCAACATTTTTCGAGCAACAACGCCATCAGAAATGATACGATCTTGGATGTCAAGCAACGGCACCAAACACTTCCCGATGAAGTGGGAGTTCCTGTGAGGACCGTGGAGTCCAAAGTTCGCAAGCTGAACTATCGTCAGCTCTGCTTAGGCTCCATAATAGGACTTGTTGCAGGTGTTGTGGTAGGTAAGATCTCTACGGTTTTGGTGTTTTTAACAGCGTTTGGGTTACTCAGTGTCCAATGGCTCGAAAATAGAGGGCTCGTAGACAAAAGATCGACGTGGGGGCTTTCCAAATACGTGTTGAGAACGGGTAAAGAGTCCGTGGATCTCAACACGTTAATCTGGGAAAAACCTAATTTTAAGATCCCATTTCTGTTGACATTTGTCTTGGCAGCTGTGAATATATAAGGTGGGATCTACCTGTGCAGTGTAATGTAGCTCGAAGTGAGCAAAGAATGTAGAAATAGGGTCTCGCCAAGTCCGGTCGCAGGTGTACTTAAAACGGGTCCTAGTTTACATATACAATACGCAAGGTAAGGCATTTTATAGCGCACTTAAAATCGACACATTATATAGCGCACTATTTTGCCCCCAAGAGTCCGGGAGTGTAGCAGAGTGTTATATCATAGCAGGCCTCGTTTGCCAAAACATCTGGTAAATTCCGTGCCTTGTACAATGTGTAAGTCCAATTTTGAAAAGGACGGACAACACCTACCTTTATTCAAGCTGAGACCAGTTTCAACAGCGGTAAGCTCACAACTTTCGTATTTATGTTTCTGTTCCACACAACAGCTTAAACCAGCGTCTTAGTAAACTGTTTTCACATGACATTTCATTTCGCAAAGCGTTGCAAGCATCAAAAGTAGTCTACGGTATCATATTTCAGCAGGCTAAGTAGCTTATCGACTGTTCTTGAATCTCTATACAATTGCTCGTCTCTTAGAGTCAAGATAGAGACAAAACGAGCCAAAAACTATTGTACCCAAAATAAAATTTGAAACTCCCAAAAAAGTCTAGAAAACGTACCTGATAAGACTGCCATTTCATTTCAACACATCCACGTACTCTTATATGCCAATCGGTCACAACTAGGTTACTTGAAATCACTTACGATAATCCAAGCAATAATAAATACTGGGCCACTAAGCGAAGCACATTTCCGAAAAACTTCAAACCATACTTTTTATGCCCCCAAAAGGGTTCCAATTTCATTAAAATTATTTTTGGAAGCTCCAAAATTCTCTACGTCCTGCTACGTTCAGTTATCATTTTCATAGCTTAGTTTCGTAAAAGCTGTTTACTTATAAATTAAAGTTAAATATCTTAATCATCGTCTCTACCTCATCTTTAAACAAATCAGTGGCTGAAAATGTCCAAAGTGCACCTCGATACGTCCAACTATCCGTTCAGATTTGAGCCCTTTTTGCGGCAAGAATACTCGTTTTCACTAGACCCCGATCGGCCGGTTTGCGAGTTCTATAATCCCAGGGAAGGTCCATCGTCTTGTCCCAACGGCAATTCGTGTCCAAACAAACATGTCCTCCCGATATTTCACAATAAAATCGTGTGCAAGCATTGGCTGCGAGGTCTCTGCAAGAAAGGAGATCAATGCGAGTATTTGCACGAATACAATCTGCGGAAAATGCCGGAATGCGTTTTCTTCTCAAAGAACGGGTACTGCACGCAGTCTCCCGAATGCCAATACCTGCATTTAGACCCCAGTACGAAAATCCAGGAGTGTGAAGAGTACAAGATGGGCTTTTGTCCAGCGGGAGCAGGGTGCAAGAAAAGACACGTCAAGAAAACTATATGTCCGCGATATGTCACTGGGTTTTGTCCTTTGGGCAGGGCGGACTGTGATCTGGAACACCCACCGTTTGTGATACCGAACGAGTTGAGTAAACTAAGGATCAAAAATGATGACGAGATCAACACCAAGAAGCTGGACGAGGAGAAAGAGCGGCGTTTGAACGCAATTATCAACGGGGAAGTCCCGGCGTGAGAGAGAAAGAAACGCTAAACGCATGTAATTACTCACACCTTCCTAGGCTTCAAGAACCGGGAAAAAGGTCTGACGCATCAGCAACACAAATTCTGTAAATGGATCTTGCGAAGTGTGCAGAACGATCGAGTTTGAAACACCGCGGTCTCAAAACAGTGCTTATTGAGATGTGATAAGATAAACCCCTTTAGAACACTACACGGATTTAGATCGGCATCTTAGTGACATTTGTGAGAATGTCAAAGCATTGATCAAAAGCTGAGAAAATATCTTTTCTATGACCTTTACACAGACGACATGATACCCTCTGGGCAACGCTTAAGACAGGACCCGGCTCATTTGTGGCGCGATTGACAGTGATGGGCGCGTCAATTATTCTTTAACGGGTCAAGAAGTGAACAAAAGAAACAGATCACGGTGCCAACTCTTAAAGGGCAAAAAAAAATCCGTGAGCATCAGACAGCGTGCCCGTTATGTTGAACACATCGACACGATAAACCATGTCTCAACAGAACCTACATAGAGTCTTTAATATTTAAATGTACTCAATCAAAGTCAACATTACAACCAAGCTCAATTTTCTCTCTTCACGATCAATAGCAATCACCCTCAGTTGTTGAGCATGGCTAGAAGGAAAATTCTTTTCATTCACAATTGATGTTGACGTTAAATTACTCTAGAATGTCTGTGATTATTGTTGGTGCCATCGCCAACGCTGTGTACTACGAATTCTCTACGTATTGGACAAACAGTCGCTGACGGTAAAATGTCAAGAGTGCTTGGGTCCATCCTTGAAATTGGTGACTAAAGCAATATGAATCCATCCAACGTTTCCACAATTGATCGCTGATGTTATCGACTGTGAGACCAAGCTTTGAGGTCTCTACAAATTCACTGTCGCTAGTGCTGATGGACATCTTGTTCTCGTACTCGTACTCGCAATCTTCGATGATTATGGAATAAAGCCAACTCTTACATGCCTACAACAAGCAAGAACATTAGCGATCTGAAGACGTTAAACTGCTGTACAGCAAGTGATGGTACTAGCAGCAGGGTTTGCAAACTGCTATTGGAAGAACAATTGACAGTAATTGTACTCGAGATTGTACTCGTACTGGCAAGTGCTCGCAAGTACACTGAGAGCGTCAGAATCTACTTCAACAATCGTTACAAGCACTGTAAAGAGCTTCAAATTGACGTAAAATGGTTATCGTTATGGTGAAACTTTCAATCGTGGGAACATATCCCATGCTCGTAGAGCCTCGCTTTTCGCGATTGTTTGTCGATGCGACATGCAAAGAGTTTTCTTGGTCACAATTACAGACAGCCATTCAATATTCTCATATTGATCTTGAAGTCTTGGTTGTTTGATTGTGCTTAGAGCTAGAGCGCATATTTGCAATTGATCGCTGTCGCTCTCAAGTGTACTCGTACTCGTACTCAACTCGAATCAATAGTACTAGGCCTCCATTTGCCGAGCGTCAGCGATGGACAGTGAACGAGTAGATCACTCGTTTTACTTTCGAGCAAATCGATCGTCAGCGAAGGAGTTTTGAGAGATTCTTTTGGTGGAATACACCATGCACATTCCACATGTTCACAACTGCGTATCAAATCTACCTTTTACATTAACAATACCACTAAAGGGCCTTAACTGATCGCTGACACTCGTACTCGGACGGCAAATTCCTAAATTTACATTTTGACTTGACAATTACAAGGCTTTTATTGACTGCTCTTCTAATTCTAGGCCCCCATTTACTGACGTTCGCGAATATGAATCCATACCACTAAGCTACTACGTATTGTGCTTATGGCCCTCCTATGTTTTCATGATTGAGCGCTGGCTCTTTCAATTGTTGAATATTTCCACAAGCCTTTTACTTATTCTTGGGTGGTCGCTGATGCAACTCATTGTAAAATGATACTACGAGATTTCCACTTTTCACAATTTATCGCTGAACACAATTAGTGTGAGCTCTCAACCTATTCACGATTAATTGCTGACGCTAGCCTCTTCGCTGGTAATGCAATTCCTTTGTTCATTTAAAGTTGATCTCTGAGGCAGATTGCTTCTAGCCGTCACAGCTGTTCACAATCGATCTCTGACGCTCTTGAGTGTTTGACGGTGCTCCAGGTATGCTTGTTCTCGACACCTTTCGATCGTATTTTTGACCTGTACTTGCTGGCGCTGTCGGGTGTGAATACACACTGGTGAGCTTTTACGTGTTCGCGATTGAGAGCGCTAGCGATCAGTCGTGCAGTAACACAAAAAGATCACGAATTATTCATGATTGAGAACGTTAGCGGCATATCCTTTACTTGTCCGCAATTGAAAGCGTCAGTGCTTCTAGCTATTTCAGCTCACAATTGTTTAAAGGTAAAACATGGTTTCATACTCGTACTCGTGCTTATCGACAATTCTACTGAGCCTTCAATTATTCACAACCAAGAGCGCTGGTGCTTGTAGCTACCGCTCTTGACTAAAACATAGTGCAACTTTTTTCATTTTTATTAATACTGATCGCTGACGCTCTCGATTGTTCCATAGTGCTTAGAGAGCCCTAAATATTCATAATTGATTGCCGACGCTTCCAATTGTTCAACAATATTACAAGTTATTTTAATTGTTCAATAGTGCTTGTTGCCATCTTGTTCGAAGTTAATCGCTAACGCTCGCTGAACGTGTCACATATTTACTAGTCCCACTAGCCCTCGATTTTTTCACAATTGAGAGCGTTAGCAAATGGCTCAATAAAATCAAGAGTTCTATCAAATCACAACTAATTGCTGACGCTTCCAATTGTTTGATGATAATACCACAATTTATCTGTTGTTCAACCATGCTTACGGCCATCGCTGAAGCTCTCAGTTGTTTTAAAGTGTTACGAGGCCTCTAATAAGGAATGCTAGCATTTTCAATTGTACAATAGTATTACGAGCCCTCCATTGATGTTACGTGTTCCCAATCGATCTCTGACGCTTTCGATTCTTTAATAGTGCTTGTAGCCCTCGCTATCGCTCTCTTATTCAAAAGTACTCGCACATGTACTCGTATTCGGATTTGTCAATCCCAATACCATGCCTTCCCTTCTTCCCAATTGATCGCTAAAACTCGGTTGTTCACTTGTGAGTTTACCCACCTTACTTAGTTTCAACTGTTCAGTTGTGCTTCTAGTCACCATGGCTGTTCACAACTGCACGCTTATGCTCTCAATTGCTCAAGTGTGCTTGCAGCCTCGTTCGCTGACACTTTGAGCTGTGCTCATGCTGACTACCATTTCTACTAGGTTTTCACGTATACACGATCAAGAGCACTGGCGCTCATATTTGTTTTATAGTGAGTGTTTGTAGCCATAGTACATTTTCATAGTAGATCGCCGATGCTGTCGAGTGGTCATAAAATACTACGAGTCTCTGTGGTTTACAATCGGTCGATATCGCTCTCAATTGTCAGTACTTCGGATTCTCTAGTTTATGCTACTACGGGTTGATGAAGCTGTTATCTTATTATAATTTTTTAATGATAATCAGAGTTCTCTGTTTCTTCACAATTGAGAGCGTTAGAAAGCAATGGTTTGATAATACTAAGAGTTCTCTATCGAACCACAATTGACTGTTGACGCTTCCAATTGTTCAGTAGTGCTTATGGGTACCCTCTTTATTCAGGATTGATCGACGGTCCTATTAGTTTTTCTTTGGTGTTGAGAATTCTCTACAATTGACCACTAACGCTCTCATTTCCAGTTGTGTTTGTAGCCATTTTACTTATTCACGACTGATCCCTACACTCTTAACTGTTTAATGAAAAGAAGACGGCCCTTTTTTTCAGAATTGATAGCTTTCGCTCTCAACTGTTCAATTGGTTTGTAGCCATCATACTTGTTCTCAATTCTTAAGCAATACCACGAGAAATCTTAATTATCCACAATTGTTCACTAGTACTAGGAGTTGATTAGTGACTCAAAATTGATCACTGATGCTGTCAATTATCAAATAATACTAACAGTTCGTCATTATTATAGTTTAGCTTTATTGTTTAGTAGCACTTCGAGCTATGTTTATTATTCACAACCGATAGCTAACACTTTCAAGTGCTCAACAAAACTTGGAGGTGATTATTTACTCACAATCAATCGCTGATGCTCTCAGCTGTTGAACAATACTTGGAGCTCTCTAGCTTATTCACAACTGATCGCTGACGCTGGGCAATTGTTAAGCAGTACTATGTGTTTTTGATCGCTGGGGCTCTCAGTTGTGAATAAAATGAAGAACTCGTAGTACTGTTGCAGTGCTCACTACTCTCCAATTTAATCACAGTTGAGGCTAACACTCTCACTTGTTCAGTAGTACTGATACTCCTGTTCTTATTCACAGTAGATCGCTGACGCTCCCAATTGTTCAGTTGAGCTTGTAACACGAGTACTCGTACTCGTGCTCGTATTCGTACGCGTATTCGTACGCGTACTCGCAGTTTTAAATAAAAAGACTAGTCCTTTGCTCGATCACAATTGATCGCTGAAGCTCTCATTTGTTCAATTGTGCTTGTAGTTGATCGCTGAAGCTCTCAATTGTCCAGCAGTGCTCGTGGTTGATCGCTGACGCTCTCATTTGTTCAGCAGTGCTTGTAGTTGATCGCTAATGCTATCAATTGTTCAGCAGTGCTTGTAGTTGATCTCTGACGCTATCAATTGTTCAATTGTGCTTGTAACACGAGTACTCGTACTCGCAGTTTTAAATAAAAAGACTAGTCCTTTACTCGTTCACAATTCATCGGTGACGCTCTCAATTATTCAATTGTGCTTGTAGTTGATCGCTGAAGCTCTCAATTGTCCAGCAGTGCTCGTGGTTGATCTCTGACGCTCTCAATTGTTCAGCAGTGCTTGTAGTTGATCGCTAATGCTATCAATTGTTCAATTGTGCTTGTAACACGAGTACTCGTACTCGTGCTCGCAGTTTTTAATAAAAAGACTAGTCCTTTGCTCGATCACAATTGATCGCTGAAGCTCTCATTTGTTCAATTGTGCTTGTAGTTGATCGCTGAAGCTCTCAATTGTCCAGCAGTGCTCGTGGTTGATCGCTGAAGCTCTCATTTGTTCAATTGTGCTTGTAGTTGATCTCTGACGCTCTCAATTGTTCAGCAGTGCTTGTAGTTGATCGCTAATGCTCTCAATTGTCCAGCAGTGCTCGTGGTTGATCTCTGACCCTCTCAATTGTTCAGCAGTGCTTGTAGTTGATCGCTAATGCTCTCAATTGTCCAGCAGTGCTCGTGGTTGATCGCTGAAGCTCTCATTTGTTCAATTGTGCTTGTAGTTGATCTCTGACGCTCTCAATTGTTCAATTGTGCTTGTAGTTGATCTCTGACGCTTTCATTTGTTCAGCAGTGCTTGTAGTTGATCGCTAATGCTCTCAATTGTCCAGCAGTGCTCGTGGTTGATCTCTGACCCTCTCAATTGTTCAGCAACGCTTGTAGTTGATCTCTGACGCTATCAATTGTTCAATTGTGCTCCGAGTACGCTATCTGCGCACGCAATTACGTAATTTGCGTTCGCTGCAGAACACAATCTTCTCTTGCCGTCCAAAACGACCCCTTCCGAAAAAACCCACCAAACCTTCCAACGTCACAGCGCTGAAGAAGGAGTTTTGTTGCCAATGTTAGATCTCATTTCTCACTTGCTCTTGGTATACTACGACCAAGCCCGAGTTTCCTCGCCTCTCTGTCGCGGATCACTCTCGTATAAAACGACCAATCCCAATTTTTTTCGCGTCACCCGGGAGAAAAAACGAAAAATCACAAGCGTTAACCGCTGTACAAACCACTTCCAACTAACGCGCCAGTCTCGTCGGTTCTCTCGCATCCTCTTCTCCCTTCCCTCTGCTCTCCCCTCTCTTTACCCTTTTCGGCATAGCATAGCAAAAACTGGAAAAAATTAAAATTTCCAGCCGACGAAACCCTCAAACCCATCACTTCTCACGTACCCTTTTCCTCGCCCCTATTCGCCCCCTTTCCCGAGAACACGCGTATATAAAGGACCCGGAGCTGGCGGAGGTGGGACGTCCTTTAAGAACACCTTTTTGACAAACACTTGCACATAACAAAACAAAACAAAACAAAACAAAACGAAAACGTCTTGGGGACTGAAAAAGAACAAGATCTTTCACTTGAATTTCGCTCCTCTAAAACTACCTTTCCCTTCCTCGTAATGCACAGAACTTACTCGTTGAGAAACTCGAGAGCCCCCACCGCTGCCCAGCTTCAAAACCCAGCTCCTCCTCCAGCAACCACCAAAAACCGGTTTTTCGGCCGTGGTGGTCTGGCCAACTCCCTCCGCAAGAACACGGCGGGCGCTTTTGGACCCGAACTCGCCCGTAAGCTGTCGCAACTCGTGAAAATCGAAAAAAACGTGCTGCGGTCCATCGAGGTGGCCGCCAACGAGCGTCGTGACGCAGCCCGCCAACTCTCCGTGTGGGGGCTCGAAAACGACGACGACGTGTCCGACATCACCGACAAGCTCGGCGTGCTCATCTACGAAATGAGCGAGCTCGACGACCAGTTCATCGACCGCTACGACCAGTACCGTCTCACCATCAAATCCATCCGTGACATCGAGGGCTCCGTCCAGCCCTCGCGCGACCGCAAGGCCAAAATCACCGACAAAATCGCCTACCTCAAGTACAAGGACCCCGCGTCCCCCAAGATCGAGATCCTCGAGCAGGAACTCGTGCGTGCCGAGGCCGAATCGCTAGTCGCCGAGGCCCAGCTCTCCAACATCACCCGTTCCAAGCTGCGTGCCGCTTTCAACTACCAGTTCGACTCCGTTGTGGAACACTCTGAGAAGCTGGCCCTCATCGCTGGGTACGGTAAGGCCCTGCTAGAGTTGTTGGACGACTCCCCCGTGACCCCTGGCGAAACTCGTCCCGCTTACGACGGCTACGAGGCCTCCAAGCAGATCATTATCGATGCCGAGACCGCGTTGAACGAGTGGACTTTGGACGCGGCCCAGGTGAAGCCCAGTTTGTCGCTAAGACACGGTGATTACGACTACGAAGACGAAGAAGAGGTCGAAGCCGGTGACACCGAAGCTACTGAAGAGCAACACTGGGTCGATGAAGAGCCAGCTCACGCCACCGCCTAAGCTTTTGTGCTCCTTTTTTGAACTTATCCAAAAAAAAAATAAGAAGGAACTTTTTTTGCCAAGTCTTTGACCTGATCCCCTCCTATTGATCGAGAAATCTCCAAACAAACCAACTAAAAAAACAACTCTATGCATAGTATCGTCAAGAACCGTTTCTTCTCAAGTGTAATTAATATTTTCCAACCTATTCAAACTTTAATTTTGTACAACTCTTCCGATCAAGAAACTCTGCTACTCCGCTACAATCTATCTAGCTCTGTGTGTGTGTGTGTGTGTGTGTGTGTTCTTATCTTGAATCTCAAATCTCAAATCTCTTGCAACATTTATTTGAAGCTTTCGAAAAATCTTGGCATCTCCAGCTTTCTCGACTCCTCGCCACGTTAATACGCTCCTAATGTTCTCAGCTCTGGTGTCAGTTTATTCTTTAAATTCCTTTATATGCCCTTCATAATTCATCAATTTGAAGATCATGAATATTTCATATACTTGTATTTACCAAACCTTGACAAAATATCAACACTTCATCAACCAATAATAGATACCGGCATTTACCACTATCGATAGCTACCATTCATGCTCCCAGAAAATGCTGTAACTCTAGATACGCAGCTTTCCACGAACTTGGCTAAATACCACACTGCGCTTTCCAAGATCTCAACGGTATCGCAGCTAGCGAAATTGCAAACAGTGATATCAAACGACCATTCTGCGACCCAGAAATCGTTGGATAACTACTTACAATTGTCAAACACGAAGCTCAATCAAAATGTGCGGAGATTGGAGTTGCAAAGAACCAAGCTAACCCAGACTTTGTCGAAGCTACACCACGCTTTGGAAGACATTTCAATTTCCAGGGACCTCGCTGCAGCGATCTCTGCACGCATAAAGGCCGTAGATCGCGAACGTGGGATGGTGATGCAAACGCTTCAGTTCGTGCATCACGTTCAAACCTTGAAACGCAACATCTTGACCGTCCACGAGGCACTGGAGCGCGCAGACTACAAGCTCGCCGCCACGGGTATCGACGCGATCCTCAATCTACCACCAGCTGTTATCGTGTCTCGCTTCGCAGCCAGAGTAGTGCCCTCAGCAGAAATCCCAGAGGATCCAGGCGTGCTTGTCGAGCAATGGACCAAAACACTCGCAAAGGCCTTCCAAGAAAAATTCGAGAAAGCAGCTCGCACTCAAGACGTGGAAGAGCTAACTTCGGTTTTCCAGCTGTTCCCACTGATCAGAAAGTCTGAGCTGGGGCTGGACTTGTATTCCAGATACGTCTGCGATATCATTTCCACGCAAAGTCGCAAAATAATGACCGGTGCCACGCCCGATCACACTACGTTTTATGCCAAGGCCCTACTTCACCTTTTCAAAATTGTGTCAACTATAATCAATGACCATTCAAAGATCATTTCTGAGTACTACGGTAAGCAACATATGGTTCACATCATGACCAAAGTTCAACGCGAGGCAGATATGCAGGCGGGTCTTATTTTGGATAGTTTCTTGGAAATCAGACATGTTGACGAGCTTCTGACATCCGTAAAAAAATACGGAAAGGCTAATAATGTTTCGGAGGAATCTAAAACCGAACAGCCGTCAATCGGACGTATTTCTGGTACGTTGAACGAATATTCCACGATTTTGCAAAATTGGTCCATGTACTGCAGGTTTTTTGCTTTAAAATGGTATGAGTTCAGCGATGTTGAAATCGGTGAAGGAACTCTGCAGCTACCTGCTCCGATTTTGGAGGGGAATTTGTATTCAAAAATTCACAGCTCTGGATTCCTGGATGGTTTCAAGAGGCTAATGAATTATTACCTGCACACTTCTTTTGCGAAAATGGTAAGCTTGGAGTCGCTACCGTCGCTCAACAAATTCATCTCAAAAAAACCATATAAACACGACGATATTTCAAGCTACGCATTTTCTTCGATCGTGGAAGACCTCACTCTCTTGCTGAGAAACTGCCTTATTTTAAATGTGAACACTGGTCAGAGCTTTCTTTTGAAGGAGTTCCTGGACTCGCTCAAGCAATTTTTGCAAAACGAATACCTCATCAAGTTTCTGCAACACAATTTGCGGCTGCTTCAGCCGCGCCTGGCGAATGCCATCGGCTTGAAGCAGTATGTTCCTCAATCAGATTCCAATTCCGCATCCCGGGCTGCGTCGCCTGGTGTCATGGATCCTTCAAAACTCTCAAATCTCAGGTTCAATTTCAAAGGAGCTGCTTCATCCGCATTTTCCAATATACAGTCCAATCTGCAAGCCGTTTACGCGGACGAGGAGTCTGTTCTCAAACTACATCACTACCTCGTCTACGTCAACACATTAGGAATCGGTCGCGAGTTTTTGCAGAAATTGCTGTCAAGGGAGTTGCTGCAGGACAACCCCAGGCTTTTAAACGACAATTTCCCCTTTGATCTCGAGGCTGAAACTTTGCAAGAGGCAATCAAAACGACCGAAAGCAACCTGTTGGTCCAAAATGACAAATTGTTACAATGGGCTGTGAAGCAGCTTTTCGAGAATATACTGCAGCCCAAAATCCGTAAAATGCTAGGTTCGCTTTTCATTCAAGGCCCTGGCGACGAATATCTCTCCAGCGCTGTGGATTTTGAAGATCTGTCGCACTTGCAGCAATTTTCAGCTGATTGGAACGAGAACATGGTTCCCTACGCGAACACCGTATACAAAGGATGTTACGTACACCTGCTGGCTTTTATTGTGGACTTCATGGTGGCTCAAATCTCGGCACGCCTGTGGAATCTACGAGTGAATGAACTGGGGTCTATAAAGCTGGATCGCGAATTGAGCTCTCTCATTGCCATTGTGTGTGACGACCAGTACGTGCTGCGTGAAAAATTCACGAGACTGACGCAGATCGCACTGGTGACAGGCCTTGAAGACGATGATTTTGACCCAGTCACTGCGGATGTCAAGCAAGAAATTATCAGTGGAATAAGCTGGGTTTTAACGCCAGCAGAACGCGTTCGTGCGCGTGAGCTACGCGTTGATAAACGTCATTAGATTTTATTGATTTACTCAACGAGAAGTTGCAAGAAAAGGATGCTTGGAACACGAATCTGACGCCAAGATGAACCTCTACAATCAAGCTGACGAGAAAGTGTCTTAATAAGGCTTTTAAAGAACGCGTAAGTTATTGTTTTGTTGTTGGTGCTGTCATTGCTGAACTTCACTGAAAAAGTGTGTATGTATACATATATATATATATATACCATATTGTATAATATTTACCGCCCACTGCCTCGTACATAGCGATCTTTGAGTACTGGAAAAATTCCAATTTTGAGATGAGATTAGAGTTTGTAAACACAACATTCAACAGTCAGAACAGTAGCATCACTGGTAGTCTTCAAGCTTCCTTTCGCACTGGGGCTGAGCGGCAAGTCAATCCAGAACTTTGGAAAGCGCGAAGTGCCAAGTTTATTTCGCTTTCTCGGGGCTCTTTGTCGTCATTTTATCGAAGTGACACATTATCCACAAGAGATACGTTTTCTCTGGACAATAGCGGCGTTATCCCAGAAAATAGCTTTTGAGCGACTTACAGGTAGTATTTCAATACCAGTTGCAAATTGAGCGAATGAGTTTCATGAATATCGAGTCCGTGGAGGGTGCTGTAGGGTCTGCAATGCCAATTAGCACCAATGAGAATAGATCAGATCACGAATCAGATGAAGAGGCCTTGAGCCAGCTTCCGCCAGACTTGTCTGAGCATCTGGCTGGGGAACTGGACGGAGAGCATTCGCACGGAAGTACGCACTCAGAAAGTCATTTTGACGCGGAAAAGGCCCTTGAACACTCGAAAAACTTGATAGATAATCCAAATTTGAAATTAAACATGCCAGACGCGCTGGACCACGAAAACTTCTCTAAGCTTCTAGAACTGGATTCTAAGAACGATGATGATCTGTTTTCATCTGCAGACTTACTGGAACATGACATTCCTGAGGATTTGAGTAAACTCGTTGACGAAAGCACAAAGGTTCTGCACGACACAGTAAGAGAAGACCATTCGATCGCAAGCCCGTCAAGCGGGAAAGAGCTGAGTGAAAGCATTCATCAAAGTGCCTCTGAGCTGCAGCACTCTCAAAATCAATCGGAGCGCTCCCCGCACTCTCGTGAAGACTCCGCTCACTCCTCAAACAACCTCCATTTTGAAGCAAAGGACGCTATTTCTTCTTTGCCAGATGATTCAGTGGCACTCACAAAAGACTTATATAATTCGGGTACTCTATCGGCTGGTGCTGGAACACGAGAAGATACACCCACTTCCATTTTTGAAGCTAAAGATGAGGGAGATTTTGAGGAACACACAAAACAGGAGACCCTGTCGCCCTCCCACTTTCAGCCCATGTCGCTGCCGCCTCCTCCACTGCCAGAAAACGCTGTCAACAAACACCCTCCGCCACCACCGCCACCACCACCGGTAAATGACCTGAACTCACAGGTTGCCATGACTGAGTTTCAAGACCCGACAACTAACGATTCTGAGCAATCCAAAATTTCCGCGTACGCCCGATTGGATTTTCAAAGTTTTACGTTTTACGTCCAGACGTTACAAGTTATCATAGGACGTCGCTCGGAGAACGATTTTACTCACAAAGTTGATGTCAATTTAGGACCTTCAAAGTCCATCTCTAGAAGACATGCACAAATTTTCTACAATTTTGGAACTGGACGATTCGAGCTATCAATCATGGGTAAAAATGGCGCTTTTGTTGACGATGCATTTGTTGAAAGAGGAATTACGGTGCAACTCAAGAATAGGGCAAAGGTCCAAATTGGCCAAATACCCTTCCAATTCGTTCTTCCTGAGCAAGAGGGTAAAGAAAAGAAAGTCACGGCTCCTGCCGATGCCATTCCGGTTAAAACCCCACTTAGCAGCTCCAACAAGATTGCAGAACTATCACGAAGCTCTCCATCAAGTGCGTTGTTGGCAGGTAACGAACAGAACGTACCAAAACAAGAAGAAACGGAAGTACCTGCGCTTAAAAAGAAACTTCCGCCCAAGAAGAAGGAAAAGAAGGAGGCAAAACCTCCCAAGCCGCCCAAGAAGGTGTACACTTTAGACGAGATTCCTGTGGAATACAGGTCAAAACCAGCTGGATCTTATTCCAACCTCATAACGGCATGTCTGAGAAAATACTCGAGCGCAAAAGGCATGTCGCTGTCCGGGATCTACGCTGGTATCAGAGAGCTTTTTCCTTATTACAAATATTGTCCGGACGGTTGGCAGAGTTCTGTCAGACACAATCTTTCTCTCAATAAATCATTTAGGAAGGTATCAAAGGAGGGAAAAGGATGGTTGTGGGGGCTCAATGAAGAATACATTGCAGAAAGGGAAAAGCAGAAGAAGAAACAAGCAGAAGCCGCCGCATTGAAGGCTAAAGCGGCACAATTGAAGTTAGAGCAGCAGCAACAGCAAAAGGCCAAACGGCCTAGTCCAGGGGATTCGAGTTCCTCCAAATCCATTTCAAGTGTTCAGATTATGAACACCAAACCCCGACAGCCTAACATCTCGCAAACTTTGGCTGCCAATAGAGCCGACAGAAAGGCAACGGCTGATGGAAACCAGCGGACAATGAAATATCTTCAAGAACAGCTCATGGTTCTCACGAAAGACCGCAAGGGTCTAGACAAGCAAGTCATGGCAAGTATTTTAACCCAGGCCTTAGCAATGACAATAAATCAAGTGACGCAAGCCGCTAAATCCAAGGGAATAACTGGTAATCCATTGACTGCTCTCATAGACAAGAATCCTCAGCACCTAAACTTGATTTTAGCGGCTGCGGTAAACGCAGCAACTATTAAAGTAACGAACGGATCTGTGAAACAATTGGTTTCCATGCCACCGCCAACAGCTTCGAACGTGAACTCCGAAAGCACTTCTAGTAGCGTGCCAATCAATTCGCCAAGTGCAAGCATACCTTCCCGTCCTCCAGTGCCGTCTTCACAACAACAGGGCCAATCCTCTGAGTCTTTTGACCCAAGCTCTTTATCAAAGTTCTTTCAGCCAAAGCAGCCTTCGCGAGTAGCGACTCCAAACCCTCCAAGAAGCGTGATACCTCAAAAAAGGGCATCAAGTGAAACCGAATCAAGTTCAGGTGAGGAATCTTCGAGTGAAGACGGAAGCGATACGGAGGGCAGTGACGACAGTGATTCTTCAGATAGCTCAGACAATGAAGACAGTAGCAGCGGGAAAGATTCCTCCAGTGAGGAAGGGAGTAGTGACGGCGAGTGATGGAGTGGGACCGCTGAAATTGGCCCCGCGTTGTAATAGTATGAAAGTAGTATTTTGCATGACGGACATTTGCATGCCTTTATTGAAAATTATTTAATTGTATGGCGACCGTTTGATGCTAACCGATGACGTTGTTGAAGGAACCCTCTTTCTCTTTGATTTCCCAGAAAAGAGCGTCGACGTTGTGGTTCCCATGGTATACCCATCCTTGTTCCGTTACATGGTACAGGTTTACGGACCCACCGGAGTACGCATCTCTATGGGCTGCAGCGAGGATCGAACGTTTTCCTAGGTATAGAGCCTCTTCCACAGATAAATCCCATTTGTAATTGGAGTCCAACACACCATACGCGAAAGTTTGTCCTGACCCAACGCAAAACAGGTCTCCCTTAAGTCTCGTTCCATCAGAGTCCACGTAGTAAATTGTAGGACCTTCTTTCTTGGTGTATCCGCAGATCATTGTACCCATGGATAGCCCTGCACCCTTATATTCATAGACCAAATTGCCCAGAATCTTGGACGCTGCTGCTACAGATATACGTTCCTTTTCCTTAAGTTCGTGCAGTCTGCACTGCGTTCCCAGCCAGGTTTCCCAGAACTGACAGTCTGCAGCGCCACCTGCCATGGTTCCCAGCAGAAAAGGGTTGATTTCGATCACTTTTTTCACCGTTTGCGATGCGATCCATTGGCCGGCCGTGGCACGCGAATCTACGGCCACAACGATGCCGCCTTGGAATCTGAATGCCAACGTAGTGGTACCGTGTGCGATCTTTATTTTGCAATCTGGGTTTTTCGAATCATCCGTGTGTGCTCTGAGAAACTCCTGGGGGGAGGATATAGGTGGCATGGCAATTTGAGGTGCTAGTCGCTGGAAAAGCCCATTCCCAGTGACGAAATCGTTATTCAAATGCTCCTCGTTATCGTATTGTAGTGCAGAAGCCAGCGCGTTCTGCTGGCTGAAACTATCGGCAATGGCTTGCATTGTGGATTGTGGTCTTGAAGACGAGTTGGTAGGAGCTTCAAGTGGCCGAAATTGGGTTGTTTGAAGCTGATTTGTGTGAAGTTGTTGCTAGATGTGTGGTTGACAAGATGATGGGAAATATGGTTTGCCACCTTTATTATGTGATGTTCGTGTGGGGTGATGTGCTACTAGCTAATAAAACACCAATGGCAGGAAGGGCAACGAAGCAAGTAAGATAGTAAAGGATGAAGGAGGTTAGTGTTTTCGTATATTTCAGCGGTAGTTGAGTGGCAGTTGGGTTGAAAAGAGAGTCGCGGGTGTAAATTGAGAATTGTGGGTATTGTTTCGTATATAGTGATATGTCGCAGGTTTTGGCTCGTCGAAAGTATACACATTCACACACTCACACACTCACAAACATACGTTTGAATGCTGCTATTTGTGGTGGTGGGTATAGTTTCAAATTGGTCAGTGAAAGCAAGTTGTAGGGCTCATTTTTTTTCGTGTTGCGGAGCTTGAAATAAATGCTTAGTGGTTTTTCTGGGCGCCTGTGCCGCGAATACCTTTCGAGAGCTCCACAAATAGTACAAAAAGTCAGCATTACACTACCCACCACAATCCCATGGCCAGAGTGTGCAAAACGCTCCTCATATATCACTTTGTACTATTCTGTCACTAATCTCAATTGTTCACCGCGTCATTTTGTACGCGTGTGACGCGGGCTTCAAATGCATCTACAAAAAACCAACCAGAGTGTTCCCACAGCGGCCTACAGCCACCATCGCCATACATCCACATTTTTCTACTTGCATCCTTAATTCGTAGTGTAACAGCCCGCGATTCTTGCGTGTTTTGAAAAACCGTGTGTCAGTCAAGACAAAAGTGATAAACTAATTGTGACACCGTAGCGACAGCCTTGTCTCATTCTATAGACAATGGTGTAACACCCCGAGAGTGTCACATCTCCATTAAACACTTTTAGCACCGACATCAATCGATTTCTCACTCAAAAAAAACAAGCATAGATTTCATCATCTCTTTTGATGTTTTAACAGTATTCGCCGCATTTTAAGCCTTACACCACACATACCATTCTTCCAAACACGTCTCGACAGCTTACGAATTATTTCCCATCTAAAAATGCTTATCAGAAATCAAACGACAGTTAAGTAACAAACCAAGTTTGAAGACTCACGCTTCATGAGGCTACACTATTGAAAAAAACCACCAAACGGACCCGGCAACCCAGCACTTGTGGAGATAACAAAATCAGTAAAAAACCCAAATTTCCGGCGCTGTTGCAAATAAAACAAAAAACCTACCAAAATGTTGTACTGACACTGCTTCTCTCGTGTGAGCCCTCTCTCTGTTTCATCCCGTCGCGCCTCATAGTTTTCTCGTACACAACGACATCTCGAGCCTCAACAAAAAATCGCCGAAATATCACTTTTGTCTTTGTGTCAGATTGAAACGTGTCAGAATTACCGCATCGGGTAATTTAAGGGCGAGAGATAGGCCACAAACTTGGGCGGCTAGGGACGACTATATAAAGAGAGGTAAAAAGCGCGAGTTCTGGCAACTACAGACACCTTTTCATCACACCATTGATCCAGCAGCTTTGGATCAAGAGTCGATAACTTTGACTCGCTAAACCAGCGTTATCATCGGTAACGCATCTGGGAAAGACGCGTACGCGGTTTTACGCAGTTTTACGCAGTTTTATATATTCGTTAGTTTCGAAATAAGCTCTCTGAGGTGACCCACTCCGGAAGAGGCTCAAGAGAGTTTTGGCATCGAAAAGTACATACTCACTGTGCAGTTATGGGGTATTTAAGTAAGAATTCCATGAAGGGCTTGGAAGTGTCCGTTCCCCCCGATCTGGACAGCCCTCCATTCTATATCCCGGTCAAATCGATCCGCGGAAGATACACGCTGATGCAAGAGCTGGGAAACGGCAGTTTCGGATCGGTGACGCTGGCGAAAAAAATCTACAAGGCCCCGTGTCCGGGCTGCAAGAACTGCAACCACTACGACGACAAGATCGAAACGGGCACGCCAATGTTGCAGCAAGAAAGCCAACAGTTGCAGTGCGAGCCTTGCGACTCCCGGCCTCATTACCGTAACACGCTCATGGAAGACTCTGCTATCTTCAACGTGGAGCAGGAAAACTATTACAACAAGCAGCGCGGGGTTCTGGCCATCAAAACAATGATGACGCGACTTCCAACTCTGAACGACTACACCCGGGTGCGCGAAATCAAGTTTATACTATCGATGCCTGCCCACAAAAATCTGGTGCAGATATTCGAGCTTTTCATCGACGACATCAATTACCAGCTTCACATCGTCATGGAGTGCATGGAGCAGAATCTGTACCAGCTCATGAGAGCACGTCGAAGACGTGTTTTTTCCCTGCCATCATTGAAGTCTATTTTGTCTCAACTGTTGGCAGGAGTCCAGCATATTCACGCGCATAACTTCTTCCACCGGGATCTGAAACCAGAAAACATCTTAATTTCCCCGGCAAACCACTATTTCAACAAAAATTGGATAATGGAAGGCCATTACAGTGATAACTACGTGGTCAAAATTGCAGATTACGGTTTAGCTCGTCATGTTACCAACAAAAGCCCGTATACAGCATATGTCTCCACGCGATGGTACAGGTCCCCTGAAATTTTACTAAGAAAGGGATCTTATTCACGACCTCTTGATATCTGGGCTTTTGGATGTGTAGTGGTCGAAGTCGCCACGTTTAGACCACTCTTTCCGGGCTCCGATGAAATGGATCAAATATGGAAAATCTTGGAAGTTTTGGGTACCCCTCATACAATGTCCGAGAGCAGCATCAGCGGGTATCAACCACACGGCGGATCTTGGGAAAAAGCCCAGTTATTAGCATCAAGGATGCGTCTCAAATTTCCTTATGTGGAGGGCATAAATATTGAAAAGATCATCGATAATCCTAATCTACAGCCGCTTTGTGATGTAGTCAAAGCGTGTCTTACTTGGGATCCGAAAAAAAGGGCCACTGTCACTGAGCTATGTCAAATGTCATATTTCCAAAACACAGAGGTGGGCAATTATGCTCGCGTTCCAAAGGCGCTCAACGACGAAAACATTAACAGAATTGTGCCAGTTGGTCATCAAAGCAATTGGGGTTCCAAACTACCGATTAAAAAAGCCTTCAGTGGGAACCAAAATCTACAGATTCCATCTTTGGGTCCCAACGTCATTGATATGAATGGTGGAAGATTTGGCAATTCAAAGGAAGGGCAAATGTCATTTCAACAGTTTCTACAGGAGTCCGCAGTTTCTGATCCACTCACGGATTCAACTGTCAGTAGCAGTGTCGGAGAAGAAGAGAAACCTGACTCTCAAGATGAACTACTAGGAAATATGATATCATTGCCTCTGTCCCAGCAGTTAGACAACGACCTGCCTCTCTCGACATCAGCCCCAGACATCATCAATGTAGACCAGATCAAGCCGCTGGAGGTCTGTGAGAGCTTTAATGAGTATTACATCACTAAATCCACCGAATACGGAGAATTCAACACGGTAGACTCTCTCGGCGACTTGGAACCCAACTATGTTCATTACGAAGAAGGCAATAATGTACACCCTCAGCCCCGTTGCAATGTGCTAGATGACATGTCCATCGACTCTAATGCATCTGGTCAAATCCCTCGCTCATTTGCTGTTCCTCAAATCACGGAAGATTGTGGCGACACATCGTTGGAAGACCACAATAGCCACAGCTTCTCTCACACGAATAGCTTAACATTCTAAGCTTTCTTCGAGTATCGTGCAGGCTATGCTATGATTACAGAGCTTATGTGTTTCACTTGGCAAGCCCATCTTATGATGCTGGGCCGCGTTTTCCGTAGTATCGTCAGTCATAGTTTTTCTATTGAAGATGTAAATGCTAGCGCCAAGGTAAAAAATATAGCCCAAGCTGTAATCTCACGGTGTCAGACAATCAAGATCTCAAAGCTTGAAAGACAAAATCAATGTCTGATATTATCATTGTTGGAGGGGGGGTTTTTGGGCTCTCAACTGCGGCCCACTTTGCACGCTCGCACACTGTGACAGTGATAGATAAGTTCACGATCCCATCACCATTATCAGCGTCCACTGATTACAACAAAATTGTAAGACTGGAATACAATGACGAAGTCTACGCAAATATGGCTGTCGAGGCTATGGAATATTGGCAAGGCAAAGGTAATACTGTACTACCTCCGGGCTTGCTGCAAGACTCGTACTCGCACTGCGGGCGTATTTCTGTCGTCCCACCGAAGTCTTCGCCCAGATATGGTTTCGAAATTGAGAGCTTGAAGTTGCTAAGGGAGCGATTTGGTCGTTGTGACGCTGTCGCAGAATTCAGTGACGATTTGACATGCGGTGGGATGTTTCCGGAGTTTAAGTCAAGTCATGGCCAAGGCACCTTTAGATTCAACCCCGATTGTGGCATTGGCCTCGCAGCCAAGTCTCTTTTGACTTTAAAAAGGCATTGCGAATCTCTTGGGGTATCATTTTTAGAGAACGATGGGGTTGCGTGCATTGATGGTGGAGACGAACGTGTGAAGATTACCTTAGCGTCCGGAAAGGAGTTATTTGCTCAGAGGGCGCTTGTAGCCTGTGGCGCGAACACCTCGACTGTTGTGAACCTCAATGGCAGCGTTAAATCTACCGGGCTATACGTGGGCCATATTCAATTAAGTGTGGAAGAGTTCGAAAAATATAAGAACATCCCGGTCGTGTTTGATCCGACGATGGGATACTTTTTCCCGCCCGATCGTGAAACAAGGCTTCTCAAGCTCTGTGCAAGCGCCAGCTCGACCTACGACAAAGCTAGCGGCGGTCTATTGCCGCGGTATCAACACCTCGAGCCTGATACCGTGAAGAGCATTCCAGTGCAGTCCGTGGCCCAGATCCGGACCTTGATCCACGAGTACTTGCCTGAGCTCGAGTTTGATTCCCAAGGCCAGTTGCGCGAGGTCAAAGACTGCAAGATCTGCTGGATTAGCGATACGTCCAATTCTGATTTTATCATTGACGAAGTGCCATCGAAACCAAACGTTTTCGTGAGTTGCGGAGACTCCGGACACGGTTACAAGTTTCTTCCCAACATTGGGTCCTACATCAAGGCCAGAATGGACCGCAATCTCTCGCCGCAGTTAGCTAGCAAGTGGGCTCTGCGTGAAAGTCACTGGACAACCCAAACAATTCCCTGGAGAGTAGAACACAAGCGGAAACACATTGACGAGATAGAATGGCATTGACGATGTGGCGATCTTCGAAAAATTGGGCATCGACAAGAGGGCGTTGACAATTCGATTTTTTGAGCAAAGAAGGCTATTATAAAAATACCGGAGATTCCCCAAAATGACCGTCAAATGGAAATGTCTACAAAAGAGACATTGAGGACTTTCAGAAACTTTTTTGAGAAGGTTACATTTTCCAAACTCATTAGTGCTGACATTTCTGCAAAGGTCTCAAGAATCGAAGTCAAGTTACACCAATTTTTCAAAAACTTCATGTCTTCAAACAAATCCATTCCATGATTATCTCCCACAACTCAATGCTACTGATCGTCTCGCAAGGCAGTCCTGCCAAGTGCTCGATGACTACAGCATTACGAAAATTCCTGGACGTCCAGGACAGCACTAAATTGTGCTCCAAAAAATCCCAAATCAAGAGATTTTTTTTCCCAAAAGAGCATCTCGAACAGCACAATCCCATTCCCACAAGCTGATTCCATCCATTCTCGCCGCATCAAATCGCGTCTCATCGCATCCCACTGGCTCCTGTTCCTTGATGTGCTACACTTGTTCGTACAACATGCTCTCGTTTCCAGATCATAAACGAATCCCAGCCTGTAAAACCTATCTGTCAAGGAAATGCACACCTGCAAACCTTGCAAGAACGTGCCTAGAGAGAGGAGTTGAACCGTAAACGCGCTTAAACTACCCACTTCAACAAGGAGCCAAACGGTAGCTATTTGTGGGTTTTTGAACGAACTTTTTGTGTTGGATTTGACCCATTTTACAGTGGTTTAAGCTTCACTGAGATTTCGAGTCGATTAAAGTGTCTCGTTTAAGTCAAAAGGTCTCGAGAAACCGTATCAACGACGTGGTTGTGCACTGGCAGCCAAGGAAGTGATTTACAGATCCATAAGAGACATCGTTTAAATCTGAAATTAATCAGTTGGGGTTTGCTTGCTGGGATTAGCACGTCTCGGTCCAAGAGTATAAAAAGGGAAACACTCGGGTGTGGCGTAGGACAGCTAGCTCTCGTGCTTGGAATAGTGGGTTTTACAAGACCGATAAGGCCGAATTGACGGTTGCACATTATGGCAGAAAATATCGAAGACAACAAGAGTGTGAGCCAGGATCCCTCGTCGTTGTACGAGGACGCTTCGGCTCTTTTGATGCTCTCCAGAGGACAGGAGGAACGGCGGGGTAGTAAGGCCAGATCCGAGGACGAAGCAGAAAATCGGAGGGAAATGGCATCTCGGCCCGAATCGCAGCATAACAGCTCAGAACCGCGCTCGCCTCTCACGTACCACCGTAGGGGCTCGCAAATAGTCTCGCCGGACGAGAAGCGAGACCTGTCGTCCAGCCCAACACCATCGCTAGGCAGTTCCAGCAAAGGAAGGGTGGCGGCAGCTGCTTTAGCAGCTGCTGCTACGGTCCCACTCCCACTCAAAAAACAAGACCAGGAACACCAAGAAACTAAAAATCGCCCAGCAGAGACTTCTTCTATAAAGCCTAACGGCACGCATGACTGGCCGGTTCCTGCAACGTATGTTGTTGATCCGGACGCTGGAGTGATCACATGTATATGCGGTTTCGACGACGACGATGGATTTACGATCCAGTGCGATCATTGCAACAGGTGGCAGCATGCGGTGTGCTACGGAATTCGAGATATTGAAACAGCCCCGGATGACCACTTGTGTTGCGCTTGCCACCCACGAAAAGTCGACGCCAAGAGAGCGAAGCGCAAGCAACAGGAAAGGCTGGCCCCAAAGAACAATAAACGCAGACGAAAGAGCTTTCAGGACGAAGACCAAAACGGCAAATCTGTGCGCTCCAGTTCTGTCGCTGACTCGGGCAACACTTCTGCGAACGGCGCCGGAAGCGGCGAGTCTTCGCTTGTTCCTGAGCCAAAGGCTATTGAGAAGCTGTTGACCGCTGCCGAACACTATTCGGTGGTTTACGCACCTCTGTCCTCCAACGATTTCAAGGACCAATACGTCAAGAAGTTTTTGGACACGCACAGTGATGACGATTGGGTTTTACCTTACAACCAGGCCACATTCAAAGCTGTGCCTCTGGAAGTGAGGTCTTACGAAGATAACGCACGTTCATTTTCGGGTCTACCGAAACTGGGATTGTTCATTACTCAAGAATGTCCTTCCGGCACCTTCCTGGAAGAAGTACTGGGAGAGGTCGATTTCAGCAAACAATATTACAGAGATCCCAGAAATAACTATCGAGTTTACGGAACAACTAAACCTAGGGTTTTTATGCATCCCAACTGGCCTGTTTGCATCGATACTAGACTATGTGGTAATCTCACCAGATTTTTGAGAAGGAGCTGTCAGCCGAATGTTGAGCTGGTATCTATTCGGATGAAAAGTGATAAGCCAGATGTCAGGTTTGTACTCCGGGCTTTGAGAGACCTCGAAGATGGAGAAGAATTGCATATAGGGTGGCAGTGGGATCTGCGACACCCCATATGGCATCTCATAAGGAATAAAAACAAAACTGTTGATTCGCTGGACGAGCAGAACAAATTTACATTAGTGCATTCCATCGACACGATTTTGGGGACTACCGACTGTGCTTGTGGTAAAAACAACAGGGACTGTTATCTGCTGAAAGTGAAGAAATACTCGCAGTTACTAGTCAAGTCTGCCAAATCCAAGACAAACTCCCGCTACAAGCTCGGAGAGATATTACAGGCCGCTCGTGACCGAGTCAATAAGAGGCCCCAGACTTCTATTCTGTCGAGACTAGCGCATGAAGCTATCATTAGCGCTGAGCGAGCGAATGAGATGCTTGTGGACTTTCATGCGGCGAAGTTAAAGTACTCAAAGGAAGAAGGAGTGCAACAGAGTCGGGATGGTCCAACTTTCAAATCGGATGAATCAACACACGCCAAGCCCTTCAAGTTTTTTTTGGTAGACAAGCATTTCACAATAGAACGGTCAAACGCCCTACTCAATCGGAAAATCTCAGAGATTTCAGACTCAAGGCTGAATCCGCTCCAGTATGACGAAAGTCATATAACAGATCTAAGAGCGCTACCACTGCCGATCGAGCTACAGCTGCCTCAGAGTCCGTCAGGAGCAACTGAAAGTTCCAAAGTCGCGACGCAGACTGGTGATCTGCACAGTCTGCCAGCATCTTCTGTTGTTGGAAACGCGACGGTGGCTGCATCGGTGGTCCCTGGCAGTGCTGACTTCCGCAACTCGTTGAAAAAGAAGCTAAGTTTCGCGGACTACAAGAAAAAGATGAAACCTGTTTAGCTGCGAAACAGGTGTCAAGAAGGTGAATGAATACCCGGTGGTACCAACCGGAAAGGCTCGCTTTACCTCATAGAGTTGGCAGCCGTAGAGGTGTATGGGAAACATGAAGAATGGCCGGCATAATGCGATTTTGTTGGTTCGAATATGTAAAAGTACTTGCGAGTACTTCGTAGAATCCGTAATTTAAAATTTGAATAGATTTCAGTAATGTTAACAATCGTATCACATATACACGCACACTCGATCTATCGTCTGAGGTCCTAGCAGCTACTTTAACCACTCTTTGACTTCGTTTCTTTGCTATGGCTCACAGAGCTCTATTTCAGGTTATTTTCACCGGTGCTCAGGTCTTCGGAAGAGCGTTTTCTGAGGCTTACAAACAAGCAGCTGTTCAAGCCAGCAAACCGGGTGCTAACGCGGCAAGAGCGGGTGCTGCCAAGGCCGAATACGGTGGAATTACGCTAGACGAAAGTTGCAAGATTCTCAACATCGAAAACGAGGCAGACTCGGCAAATCCAGAAAAAATCGAAGAGAGATTCAAGTATCTGTTCGATGTGAACGACAAGGAAAAGGGCGGAAGTTTCTACCTGCAAAGCAAGATCTACAGAGCTGCGGAGAGACTGAAATATGAGATAGCCGAGCGAGAAAAGCTGGAGGCAGAGCGACAAACGGGGCCAAGCGAAGACCGTGCAGAGAAGCAATAGAGATCGACATGCTTTGGTTTTTCAATCTAAGACCATTGTTTAGTGCTTCTCAGCATCAAACTGCAGCTTAGGAAAAGCACCATAACTGCATAACACGACGGTCTTAGCATCAACAGTGCCAGCGGGGGTCCCAATCATACCATACCATGTATATAGTTTACACTAATAGTTCTACTTTCCAGTTAACACACAGCACAGTGCAAGACAGAGGAAGAGCAGTTGAGAGACTTCAATACGCTACGAGAAACTACACACTATAAGAAAGTTCGAGACCTCAAGACCTGGAGACCTCAAGGCTCAAGACACAAAAGCTACAACGAGATTCTAATTCTAAGATGTTCTGGCATGAAGAGGGGCACAACGGACATTTCCAAACTCTCAAAGCGCACTACACGCTCCTCTGGAAAACATGCTCCTGCGACAGCTTGAAGCTGCACGCACCTCCTCATAGCAGTAATTAATCTAAGAAACCGGAAACGAAATGCATTCTGTGGCCGCCCTGTTTGGGGGCGGTCAGAACTCATTCAGCTATGGGTTATGACTTGAATCGATGGATCCCGTACCAGTATCAACTTCAACAGAGCCCCAAACCAGGAAACCACAAGTGGCATCCCGGCCACAAACTCCATTTTGAAATACACAGATCATCGAAACATTCGGTTCCTATAAAATTTTGGTAATTAATATTATCTTGAGATAGTATTAACCACTACTGATGATTGGTTTCTTTAAAAAGAAGGTATATCGAGATCAGAGAGAACTTTGAGATTTTTGCTCCTTATATAGTCATTTTTTGAGGGGAAAAATTGAAAAGCCTATATTCGTTACCCGGCCTTGAACAGGTGACAGACAGCTAGGGCGTATATAAGCTAGAGATGCTGAGGGAACCGGAAAGTACGAGCCGTGACGGTCGTGAGAACGCTTTAAATGTCGTTTTAATTGCTGTGTGTGTTTTGAGATGAATTTGGGAGAATTGTGTAGTTTTTTCAGCGTCAAAATTCCATGTTTTGACTTCACAATTTGATAAAATCTGCATCTAGCTCGTCACCGGAATATTGCGACGTTTCTGAGCTTGTATCGGAGGTTGTGGACTCCTCTTCGTCGGCATCGGAGGAGGAGGACCCTATAGATAGTTTAAATTGTGTTGTGTCGTCGGAAATAGCTTTTGTATTGTTACCATTTTTGATATTATTGCTAGATTGGCTGGAGCGCAGACCGTACCACGAAAGCCCGGGCGTAGTTCGCGGGTCCCTCTTGCACAGCGGTGGCAATAGGAACGCATCGGTCGAAATCTCGGTCAGGGGCAAACGAGCCGGGTTTTTAAGCCCATTTTTATCCGAATCCAAGTCCCGATGCGCGTACTTGCAATGCACCAGAAAGCATTCCGAGGTGTAAGTGGCATCTGGACACTCCAGAGAATGCGGAAAAGGACATGCCAGGCCCCGGTAGCAGCATCCCATGTGTGCAAATTGTCTGCACGTTGGGTATCGTGGATTCGCGTTTTTAGAGTGAATATATCGACAATGTGTAGTTTTGGGTGGATCCCCGGCCTGCTGCTCGCCAAAGAGGCATTCTGCGCCCTTTTCGAACTCGCATTGATGGGCAGCAAATTTCGGACAGTGCGGGAGAATGTACTGGTTTCCTGGGGTATGCGTCAAACGGCAATTCTCGCCATATTTGCAATGGCCCGAATTGAAGAATTCCCTGCAGATAGAAACCTGTTGTGGATCGTGCAGAAACTTGCAAGTCGGGTTCGTGCAGATCCCCAGCCTTGCATGGAACTTACAGTACGCCACGTAAAGGTTCAGGTTTCGTGGGGGCACGCTGATGCGATACGCATTCCCGGCCCACTGATACTTACAGTTGTTCCACACGATTTTGGGCAATTGCTCGAAAATGTCCGTAGAACCGTCGCACAGAGCGCTCTGCCATTTTAAATAGCTGCGAAAACTTTCTTCCGACACGTTCATGGATTGCAATATGGTCTTGAAAGTATCGAAGTCTTGATTTAATGCCTTTATTTCATTAATGGACAAGCTGACATTTTCCAGCACGGCTCCAAGCTTCTGGATCTGGAAGACTCGCACATTACCCAACGCATCTGATAAAACACACAAGTCCAGTTCTGCATTGTTTTGCAATGCCTCCCAGATCTTGCGAAACCGGGATTCTGCGGATGAATAATTTGTTCTAATTCTCGTCCTCCACTTGTGGACTGCCTCGGATTTTTCCGCGATTTTGTCGACCACGGTTATTTTAGATCCATAACGCACCAATCGGTACCGCTGTTTTGCTCTTTCAAGGTCTAATTCAAAGTATTCATTGATTCTGTCATTCAGATTTTCCAGCTTTCTCAGCAGCTCGTCTCTGGACATTCCCATACAGCGGAAACTTTAGCGATTCTTCTCAATGGGATATATATCAGCGTAATTCCACACAGTGATGTGCTGGTCTCATTCGATTAATAGCGCTTTACCCTATCTTTCGACAACTTTGCCTCTTTAAATAAGAAGGCGATGAGCTGAATTAAATAATGTTAAAGTATTATAACATCTGTTGAGAAAAGATCAGCAAAGAGGCCAAAGAATGGGCAAAACGCAGGCTATTGAGTTTGGTATCAAGCGTATTCCCGTTATTATCCCACTGGATGAAGAAAGCGCGCGCCAGCTGTGCGAACAAATCCTAACGACGCACGCAAATGAGCCTGACAAAGTTGCTGAAAAGTTTCTAGAAATTTTGGGTCCAGAAGACGAATCGCTCAACTTCGTGCTGCAATTCAACGAGAAATTGGGTTATAAAGAGCCCTCCATAGCAGCTTCTGAGCCCATTGTGAAAAATGAAGCTAAAAACTCTGGCTCAAAAGCTGGTAACGATATTTTAGAGCCTTTGAAAGTGACCAAAACACCCGTCAATACCAAATCTGTGCCTCCAAAAGCAACAGATGCGGTAAGAAAATCTGTTTTATCAAGTTACAGGCCGCAACAGAACTCTCCAAAACCTTCAGTACAAGAAAAGCCAAAAAAAAACGGCAAGTCACGAAAGCTTCAAAACCTCCAGGAAATTGACGACGTCCTCAAGATTCTCGAGCTGGAAACCACTGACAAGGACCCCACAAAGTACGTGTGTAACTGTCGAGGCACAAGACACCCGCTTTTCGAGGTCGCACCCAACTGTCTCTCGTGTGGGAAAATCATGTGCGTGATGGAAGGCCTCCATTTAAACAATTGCACGAGTTGCGGAGCTGAAATGATGAGTCCTGAGGAGCGATCGAAGATTATTGACGTGCTCAACCAAGAAAAACTAGAATTAGCGTCAGTTAAAACTGCTGTGGTACCAGAGAAGCCCAAAAGAACGAAGGCATACACTATCACTTCGGGAACTGGGACCAATCTATTTTCTGAACAAGATAGGTTATTTCAGAGGATTGAGAAGGAGAAAGAGCGCGAGGCAAAGCGTAAAGAAGTCTTGGGTGGTTTGGAAGAATCCCGCCTCGCAGAGACTAAAGAGGCCACGGAACATGACCAGGAAGATCCAGAACTGAGAAGTGCTCAGGAACGTCTCGAAAAGCTTTTACACTTTCAGAATACATCGGACCAAAGAACAAAAATTATCGACAATGCCAGTGATTTCAGCATGAGCAACGACTCCAATCTGTGGGGCAGTGCTCAAGATCGTGCGCTCATGCTGAAAAAGCAGCAAAGAAACATTAGGCGATGGGAAAAACTGGAACAAGAACGGCGTGGTAGAAGAGACAAGGTGGTTATCGATTTGGTAATTGGTAAAGATGGGAAAGTGACGATGACAGAGGCTTCGAGACCTCAAAAAAAGTCACACGCTGCTGATGACGAGGACAAGGACGAGATAAGCGACGAAGAAGATTTGAAGGACTTAGAGGAGATAGAACAATTAAAAGGCTCGTTGGCACAGACTTCCAAAGAAAAGGAAGGGAATCTGTCCTCCAAAATATGGGATCCAGAAAAAGACAGGAAGCAATTCAGAAGGCCCGTGTACATTGACGATAGACAGTCCGTTGAATCATCTGGGGAAGATCAAACAATCTCTGATGGCCGAAATTGGAAGAAAAGAGTGCAAATAAGTCAAAACGACGAAAATTCGCTAGAGCAAAACATTCTGGCGGTATTATGAGCCGCAGAACGCCGATGGTAATATACAATGCATTCGTTCTCCATCGGTTTCGAAGAGGACCTGCAGTTTCTACATTTAATGACATTTCTATCTGTATACCCAGGAGGACATCCATATTTTATGTTTTTCACCGAAAGTGAACAATTTGACAACCCGAGCCCTACATAAATTTAGATTACCTTAGGAAATTTTGAAGCTCCTTCTCTCACAATCGGTACCAATTCTGACGATCAGTGAGCCTTCTCATAACAGTAGTGTATTTCGATTCTCTTCTCAAGTCGTGCTTATGGAAAGATCCTCTCCAACCCGCAAATAACCGGTATTTATTAAACTAATGTACACAATGATTGTAAAAGATCAGTAGTTGAATTCGTTCTGGCCTTGACGTAGAGCTAGGTTTGCCATGCGAAGCATCTTAGACCTCGCGTCTTCTTTAGGTTTTTTCGTAGTAGCTTCACCGTTTTTATTATGAGAGCTAGAGGCACCCATGGCTTTCGGTCTTTCTCTCAATGCAAAACTTTTGGCCAAATGGCCCAAGTGCAGACATCTAACGTTGAAAAAACTCTTCTCCTGGGAAAGATGCGTCGCATATGCTCTTATGTGACTCATGTAGCCCTTGACAGCAATTTCCTTGAACGCAGGATCTTCAAGAACTCTTCTCTCAACGTTGAGATGCCAAGTGGTGGCATTGTTGTCCCACTCAGAAGAAACGTCCTTGCCAGTTTTTTTGTCGCTCCTCAAAACGTTCGAGTCCATGAACGCAGGTTTTAGGATGTCTTGATCAAATTTCAATAGTTTCCAGCCTTTTGGATGGTATGGCTTGATGTAGTCCATATAACCTTCCTCTTCGCCAGGTAGCAGGAATAAAAATGACTCACCGCTCACACCTGCACGAGCGGTACGTCCAATTCGGTGCAAATGATCTTCCACTGCGAAAGGTGGATCTAATTCCAACACGGAACTGACACGCGGCAGATCCAAACCTCTACTAGCGACGTCAGTGCAGAACATTATCAAATGCTTTCCGCGAGTAGCGTCTGATTCGCTGGAAAAGCTTTGCAGCGTTGCGGTACGAATTTGTTGCGACAACGAACCATGGAGCTTGTAGCATACCACTGACGGCGCTGTGACTTGCGATAGACAAGGCAGCGATGTAGAATTACCAGAAAGGGCTCCTGCAGAGCCGCCAACTAAAGCCCCACTCCTACCATTGTCGTTAGAGAATGCGTCAAAATGAAATTCAACGCTGTCAGAACATGACAAGAACACAATCGTTCGGGTAGTTTCCTGAACTTCAGCAGCAATGTGCTTCGCAGTAATATTGCTTAGCTGTGCAGCCAATGTTACCAATCGCAGTTTGGGAGGTACGACAATGATACTCTGTAACAATTGATCAGGAACAGTGTTGACCTCCTGTTGCTTCTGGCCGCTACTGATTAATTTGTAGTCCTCAAGAGCCACATTCCCTAGTTTAGTAACGCTTCCTTTGAGTGTGGCACTGCACATGGTGTGAACAATGCGCTTTGGAAGCTGTGGAAACCGAGAGTGATCTATAGGTACCTCGTGGATAAAACTGATGATCTTTGTTAGGGTTTCCTCGAACCCCAGCTCCATGAGTTTGTCACCTTCGTCCAGAACCAGATATCTCAATGTCGATGCAAGCTGCTCCTTGATAACCTGAGTGTTTTCTATGTGGTCTAAGATACGGCCTGGCGTACCAACAATGAAATTGCAACCTTTGCGCAGTCTGGCCTTCTCGGATTTCTTACGCTCGCCACCAATAAGCAAACAAGGGACTAGATAATGGCAGCATTGGGTCAACGCAAGCATCACAGAGTAAATTTGCGAGGCCAGCTCACGCGTTGGCGTGATAATCATGGCGAAACAGCCAGATTGGCGATCAACACGCTCGTCCATGGCCAGAATCCGGGTCAAGATAGGTAGCAGAAACGCCAATGTTTTACCGGAACCAGTTTGTGCATGCACGAAAACGTCATTTTGAGCCCCCAGTAGCGTGGGAATGCTCATTTTTTGGACCCTAGTGGGCTTCGAAATGCGCATTTTATCATTCAGCAGTTGTAGCAACGGAGCTGCGACCCCGAGAGCTTCAAACGAGTCCTGAAGCAGAGGAGCGTTAGATGGATCGATCTGGGAGCCTTCATCGTGCGCGTTGCTATTTTTCGAGGTGACCATGCTTCTATTAGCGGTAAACAGCGATGAGACAAACTGGTCGCCATTATTGCCGTTTCTTGAGTCCGATTTTTGCACTCTTTTCGTGGACATTTCGGGCCCTCCGGCTCTAGTACGCTTCAAAGTTGTCTTAGCTGGTGTCTCATCGCTCTTAGTCTTGCGGTTAGCCGACTTGAGCTGACTTTTAGCCCGTCTGCGATCCTTCCACTTTCCACCACTTATCTTGGTCGTTTGGGGCCCAAAGTCGCCGCTGAAACTTGTGTCCAGGTTTAAAAGCATCATTCCGTCATCCTCAGCCATTTTTAAATGCAGAATACACTAGTATAGGGCTTAGTTTGTGCTATTGTTGACCGCGATGAGCTAGGCGATGAGCTTTAAACTTTGAAATTTTTCAGTACGTAAGCTACAGTGAAAAATATCGATGAGCTCAAGATGACCATACTCAATATCCAATCGAAAACTCGACATAAAACAATGTCTGAGACGCCTGAGAGGTCCCAAAGCCAGCTGTTTGTGACTGAGGAAGATGAGGATGTGGTAATGACTAACGAAACGGCCGAAGACGCGGCTGAAAACGACCCAGTGGTGAGTGAAATACCGATCAACTTGACGAACGGGCCGTTCCCACTGCATATCTTACAATACCTCAACAAGCCGCGGAAAATCGCCCAGGATGCGGTGCTCCATCCACCTGTCAGCCAAGTAAGATACAAGACGAAATCTGCGTTGTGGGAGCTGGACGTGCCGGTCAACACAGAGGTTTTTTACGACAAGAACAGGGCAGAAGATAACTGGGATTCCGTGGCTCATCAAACACTCAAGGGCGTCAGTGTACCGAGCGAAGGCCAGTACGTAGGATTGATGGTGCAAAATGAGCTTTATTTGGCGCCTGTGGAAGCCGTAGCACAGGTAAGGCCCTTTTTCAAATATATAGACTCGGCAGCTGCGCGCGCCAAGCGGGACGACGACGACTTGGGATCACAACAAGCAGCCAACCCACAGGCCAAAAAGGCCCAGATGGTGACGATGTCTGTCAAGAGCAGCAGCGAAGCGAATCAGCCTCGTCTGGGTGGAGCATTGCTTGCTCACAAGGTCGCAGACGAGGAACCACCCCAAGAGCTGGAGTGGATCGAGGGCACTTTCCCGCAATTTCAGCAAAGTGTTATCACTGAGGAGGCTAGGGTCCGTCTGCAGCCTCTAGGTAAAAGTGACGACTATTTATCAAAGGCTATGTAACAAAGAGACAAAAGAAAATGGGATTAAGAAGAGTATTGTTTCTGAGACGTTGGGCTATTTTTTCGAATCATAACGCTCAATCGTACCACATCTTGATCAGTTCTTCCGAGACAGCACTGGGGGTGAGCACTCCCAGGTCTGTTATCAGCGCGGTGATGTACTCGTGCGATGTGTAGTCAATCCCGGGTTCCACAAGCGATTGTTGAGACTCTTCGTCGCGTGTGAAGTCCAACGGACCTGCAGTGGCTGGTAAATCGTCTGGCGACAGCGGGAACATTCTCACGAACTTGTGCGACTCAGTGACCACATACAGAGGCTTGTTGGCATTTTTAGCAAGCACCCCGATCGAGTAAGTGCCCACGAGATTGATGACACCGCCTGATTCGGCCACGCCCTCAGCTCCTACCAGCACCTTGTCGACCTTGTGTATAATGCTTCCCACAGCGCTGTCCACGATCATTTTCGCAGGGATTCCCTTTTCCTGCAAGAGTTTGTACAGCTGTGCTCCCTGCTGCGTGGGTCTCGACTCGGTCACCACACATCTGAATCTCACGAACTTGTCCGCTGCATGGCTCAGCAATGAGTAGACGGCTCTTGAAAACCCATGGACCAAAATGATGTCATCGTCCGAGATAAAATCCAGTCCAATCTGTGCAATACTATCTCTCGATCGTTTGGCTCTCGAGACAAAAAGCTCCCCGTTCTCTACCAAGTGTTTTTTGCAGCTTTCCCAATCTCCGTACAGGTGTGTGTTTCTGAAGACAAACCGCATAAAAATATCACAACCGGCTCGCAGAGACATCGAATTTGGAATCGAAGCTGCCAATGTCTCTGCAGCACTTTTGATGGTATTAATCATCTCTGCAGAGGTCTCAGGCTGCTTAACTCGTAGCATTGTCACCAGCGACTCAATGGCAGCTATAGGCATGGTCATTTCGCTGTCCTGCTCCAGAAAACTCAGGTAAGTCTGTGTGATATCGAATTCGTCACTCATTTTGATGTTGTGAGACTGTTTGATGGTGCTCCTAAGGGTTTATGTGGCCTTAACCAACCTTTAAATATCTGAGTTTAAAAGAGTAGGCCTGGTCAGATTTTCACTTTATTAACTTATAGAAAGCGATGAGCTCGAGTGAAAAGTTTCAAACAACAAAAGGTCGGTCTTCCCAAGCGCTGAAACTGATTGAGTATGTTTAGATCGCGAAAGCCGGCTTTGGACTTTGCAATGCGCTTTTTTTCATCCAAATACGACATCTCAGCGCAGAGAGACATTGGTATAATAGCTCACATTGACGCTGGTAAGACTACCACAACTGAACGCATGCTATATGTCAGTGGGAAGACGAAACGCATCGGGAATGTAGACGAGGGTGATACAATTACGGATTTCTTGCCGCAAGAACGATCTCGAGGAATTACCATACAGAGTGCTGCGATCTCTTTCAACTGGCAAAGCAAGTACAAGCTCAATTTGATAGATACTCCTGGACACGCAGACTTCACTTTCGAGGTGATACGAGCTTTAAAAGTTCTGGACGGGTGTGTAACAATTTTGGACGCCGTAGCGGGTGTCGAGGCTCAAACAGAGAAGGTATGGAAACAGGCCAAGGGAATTCCTAAAATCTGCTTTATCAACAAAATGGACCGTTCGGGAGCTGGTTTCAGTCGCACTGCTAAAGAGCTTATGGTGAAACTCAAGACACGGGTCTTGCTGGTCAACGCACCTGTTTTCGATGGCGTCGAAGCGTCGGGAGAACCTATGTTTAAGGGCGTGCTCGATGTGGTAAACCAAAAGATACTGCGATGGGATACGAGCGACCCTGAAAATGTGTCTGTTAGTGAAATAATAGAGGGCTCCCCGTATTGGGGCGAGCTCGTCAAACTCAGAGAGTCGCTCGTTGAGACACTCAGCGAGTTTGACGAACATTTGGTCGAGTACTTCCTGGACACTGCTGAGGGCGACTACATGAAAATTCCATCTGATCTGATGAACGTGTCTATCAGAAAATGCCTGCTAGCTGGCTATGCCACGCCCGTGTTGTGTGGTGCATCCTTTCGCAACATCGGCGTTCAACCTCTGCTTGACGCTGTTGTGAACTATCTACCGTCACCTTTGGAAGCCAGATGGCCGGAGTTCAATTACGAGGTTCCTGTTGCCATCGACAGGAAGAACGGCGCTATCATCAACAAGAATAAAAATCTGTGTGTTGCACAGGCCTTCAAAGTAATCACTGATCCTATCAGAGGCATCATGATATATGTTCGCGTTTACGCCGGCAGCTTGAACAGCGGGTTCTCTGCGTACAACTCAACTACCGGAGCAAAGTTTAAGATGGGGAAACTAGTGGTTATGCATGCAAACCTAGCCGAGGAGATCAAACAATTAAGATGTGGAGAGATTGGCGTTCTCACAGGTTCAACAGTCTCGGAAAATGTTAGAACAGGCGATACCATAATTGCGCATAACGTGAAGAAAGATGGTCTTCGATCATTGGACAAAGTGAAAGAACTGGGGCTCAGAATCAATCCTATTGATACTCCGCCCCCAGTATTCAGCGCTGCCATCGAACCAAGGACACTAGGAAATAAAAAACTCATGGAAGAATCTATCGCTGCTCTCATCAGAGAAGATCCGAGTTTACATATAAGTGCTGACGAAGAAACGGGGCAAACGTTGTTGAGTGGGATGGGTCAATTGCATCTTGAGATAGCCAAAGACAGGCTTTTAAATGAACTCAATGCTGACGTTGAAGTTGGGAAAGTTATGGTCTCTTTCAAAGAGACTCTAAATTCGTGTACTGCCCTCAAGCAGATAGAAACCGAAACTGGCTACCGGTTGTCAATAGTCGTGGAGCCATTGGAAGATGCGGAGGCCACGAAAAATGCTAGTGAGGACTGGCATTCCCTCTCGACTGACAATAACTTTCTGATTGTGGAAAAGTCAGCCACATACTCTGCCAGTAATTGGCCCTTGCAGATCTCTTACGAGCAGTTTGTTAACGCTTTAGCGTCGAGCAGTATTGTTGCATTGCAAAAAAACGGAAGGATTGCAAACTTCCCGCTACACTCGTGCGCTGTTAGAGTGAAGAGAGACTGGGAAGTCCCTACTGATACAGCATCGGTTGCACAAGTGCTGACACTGTCTCGCTCGTTGATTTTCGAAGCATTCAAAGAGCTCAGCGACTCGAGTTTCGACATTCTCGAGCCAATTATGAATGTAAGCGTTGCTGTCAAGCAAGAAGATATGGGAAGCGTTCTTCAGGATTTGACAGGAGCTCGCAAGGCGAATATTCTATCCATCGACGATGAACATACTTTGGACAGTAGTCAGGATGCTGACATAACGTTTCAGAAGCTTGCAGATGAGCAGTATTTGCCTGCGGACAACACGCTCAACAGAGCAAATATTTCAACTGGAGCCACTGTCAATAAAGTTATCCGAGGCATGGTGCCTTTAAAAGAGATGGTGTCATACATGAACAAGCTTCGAAGTTTAACCCAAGGAAGGGGCACTTACCACATGTTTTATCATGGTATGGAAAAAGTGTCGAATGACCGTCTGGCGAGTATTTTAGAAGAATACTAAGACCACAATGCCCTTTCTAAGGTTACGTTTCCGATGCCGTGGTATCACCACTTCACAGATATAATTCTCTACATACAATAAAGATGAGTTGAGTTGAGTTGGATCAACTACTGAGCGCTAAACAACAAATATCAATAGATTAGTGAAGAGAACAGCAGAGACAACGCATCGAGAGCTACGATGCTTGCTTATCTCGTGTCGTTCTTACAATCGCATTATCAACAAACAAAACAGTCTATATAGTTGGTACCTTGTTTCTCATCTTCCAACAAGTCTTATTCCTCGTGGCCCAATGGTCACGGCGTCTGGCTACGATTGTATCCACTTCTGAAACCAGGAGATTCCAGGTTCGAGTCCTGGCGGGGAAGGCTTAATTTTTTTGTCAAAGCTCTAAAGAACCATTCTATCAACGGATCGGTGAACATGAACTTACGAAAGATAATACTGTATCATGCTAGAGGCAATGGCTTATGTTTTTGAGTCAGACCTGCTTAGCAGGTCACAAAACCTTGATTTTGTCTATAATCTATTTGAAGATAAAAAACTCGCGAATCCTGTGCCCAAAAATCTTGATAATTCGCCCTGAGAGTCATCCAAATGCGTGATTCTGGTGACCATCTTTAACATGTCGTAGTTTATATCGGAGGTAACTCTGGAATCTTTTTTGTAGCCCGGATGTTCTGTGATGTATCTGCGCAGGAAATTGGCAATCGTTGGCAAATTTCCAGTGGCTCTGTCAGACACCAATTTCAAGTAGTGAAACAGCCTGACTTTGGGGGGATCAGAAGAATTCTTGAGCTCGGTCCACGATGACGAAACATACTTTCTATCCTTCAGAATGCGGTCTATAAATTGAGGGAAGATGCCAAAGGCAGGATCGTGGAAAATTTCGGCCATTGTGAACTTCCCAGAGCCCTCGGTAGCGAAATTTGTTTTCCAGTAGAAACGTTCACGCAGAACAGCGTCGCGACTATGAGCAAGCTTCATATTCTGCCACACCTGCGACATGGGGATGTAACAATTGATCTCGTTACTGAACTTCAACAGACACTCCACAACCAAAAATAAAAAGTTCGCGTAGGCCGCATTTTCGAAATCCGTTATATGAATTTCCATAGGCCTGAACTCCACACGCCATCCGGGAGCGTCCTTGTTTGATGGCGTTGCGGCCTGAGTGGGAGGTTTGAACCGTAGAGTTTGCCAATTGGTACTTTGAATGTTTTCGAAATGGTCTGTCGAGTTTTTATTGTCCTGGTGTACACGTTCCTGGAACACCACCAGAGGATCTCTGATGAACAAATGCGAAAAATGCCGGGCCAAATCGTAGTCCATTGGGAACAGAGAATTCGTTTGTAGTTTTTGTAGTACACCCTCGTTGAGCGGAACATCTGTATCGTTGAACCTGCCCTCGAAGAATGCGTTACCCCCGAGGTACAAGTCCACAGCACTGTACCTGGACTTGGGAATTCTTTGCGGCTCCGGCATAGTGGAGTGACCATTCTCGTTGTTGTATTCCGGCAAAAGCGGCGCCACGCTTCGCTCATAAGGCGTGCGATCGTCGACTGCCCCCGAAATAACGTTCCAACGTACGTCCTGGTCTGCCAACCAGCCCTTGAATGCTGGAGACGCTGCAGTCGCGGCCAGAAATATGGGAGCAAAGTTTACCAGGGAATCGTACAGATATCTGGCCTTGTCTATAGTTGGAGCTTGGAAAGTCAATTGCAAACAGCTGCATCCCATTCCGAATCCCATGGAATCCAAATAGATGTGTCCCGGCTTGGAGGCCGAGGGCGCCTCCAAGTCTTCGGGTGTGAACCAGTCACGCTGGTAGACCGTATCGTCGATCTCCGGGGTGTTCTCGTCTTTGTACATGGGAATATTGATGCACACTTTTTCGCCGCGTCTGGCGCGGATGTTTGCAGTGAGAGTAGGGAATCGAGCGTGGCGATTGATGACTTGGTCCGGCAAGTACAGGGAGCGCGACGCTGCGTTGCGAGAACTCCACACCTGGGCGATGTCTGTAAATCCGGGGCATCCCATTCTTGGGAAAACTGCGAGGGACAAGAGATCCGCGCCTCTGGCGTGCATTTTCTTTTCTGCAGTGTCTCGTCTGCGAGCCATATTTTCCTCCACGTATTCGTTGGCAAAACCAGCGTATGGCCGTGCTGGAGTGGCTTCAATCATGAATCGACCGTATTCCGGGTGGAAAGACAAATTTTGGGCATCGCAAAGGCCTTTATCTTCTGTGTTGAGTTCTGAAAGCACGTCGTCGTCATCGATGGCCAACGTAGTGGTCCGTTGCGTATCGTCTGTTTTGCATGTCATGTATTCGATTTCATCGCCCCACAGCAGAGGGTCGTCTTTTCTACCATATGCAGCTTGGAAAATGTATAGCAGCTGCTCGATACCGTTTTGTCTAACATGTTCGTTATGCTGACGAGACTCGAACCATTCCAATGGCGTTCCAAGGGAGAGCAAACCCATTGCACCCTCTACTAGTGTTCGAGCTGTTCAAAATAACCCTGGTGTGAAATTACCTTCAATTAAAAGGCACACTTTCTCAAGCCTTAAATACCTTAAGGTTTTCTCACAACCGCTGCTGTCACGAACACTACTGGCAGATATTGAATGACAAATAAAATGCAGAAAACTTTTGCTGCAGCAGTGGGAATCGTGGGTTGTCGCAGTGGGATTTGGTTTACTTTTGAAGTTGAAAAGTTTCGAGTAAATATCGATCACTGTGACGGTCCAGTTTGCGACACAGATTGAGCTGGGAATTGGTTGGTATATGTCACTGAGCAATTGTAAGGCTTGATGAAAGTGGATATAGGCTGGCAGCTTCTGGAAGCGGTCGGCACACCTCGACATCAGGTGGTTGGTGAGAATCGTGGAAACTTGATAATGGCACGTGACACGTGTCCATCTATCTCGAAGCGCACCTGAACAACTGGGAGAGCCAGCGATCAATTGTGGATTGGAATATAACTCATAGCATAGCTGACAGCGCTAGCGATCAATTTTGGATGAGAAAATAATTCTCAGCACAGCGGAAGAATTGAGTAGATAGCTTTGATCCAGCTGAGTAATTGAGAGCGCTAGCGATCAATTGTGAGTGAGGAGATAACCCGTAGCACAGCTGGACGATTGAGTAGATAACTTCGAGCCAGCTGAGTAGTTCAGAATGTTAGCGATCAATTGTGCATGGAAGGATAACCCGTGGCACCACTTGACAATTGAAAGCATTAATGATCAATTGTGGGTGAGGAGATAACCCGTAGCACAGCTGGATGATTCAGTAGACAACTTGGAGCGCAGCTGAGTAATTGAGAGCTTTAGCGCTCAATTGTGGGCGAGAAGATAACTCCAAGCCAGCAAGACGATTGTGTAGATAACTCGAAGGACAACAGAAAAATTGAGAGCGCTAGCGGTCAATTGAGAAAGGTTCGAGAAGTAGCGGCATTGTTGAAGGTGTGAGAGCATTAGCGATCGATTGTGGGTGAGAAGATAACTCCAAACACAATAGGACAACTGGGAATGTAACTCGTAGCCCAGCTGGAAAGCTGAGTAGGTAATTTCGAGCTCAGCTGAGGTATAGTTGCAATGTTGAATGAGTGAGTGAGTAGGTAATTCTGATCACAGCTGGACAATCAAGTAGATAGCTCAAAGCACAACTAAGTGATTAAGAGCGCTAGCAATCAGTTTATCGCTTCAAGCCCAATTGGACAATTCAGAGCACTGGCGATGACTTGTGAGTGGAGCGGGAAGTAGCGGCACAGTTCGAAAAATGATCCTTAGCGTACCTAATTGTGGACTGGTGAGAAGCCCGTAAGACTCTCCGTCGACGCTGAAGTCGAGTAAACAGATTCGGTGCAGACACAAGCACTCGCATTTGAAAGGTCGCGCCAGAATTCTCAAAACATTTTTTGTCTGTAATTACCAGCCACTGGTTTTTCCTAATCAGTTGATTCTGAACACCACGCATCAAACACACCCCCTTCAGCCTGAGCACCCCAGCATACTTGAAAATCCCTGTAGCACCTTATCCCACTATCTAGACACCCCATTTCAAACTCCGACCCCCAATATTCAGTAAACTCAAACCTCCAACGCTTTTAATCCAACTTCACCTCTCGTCGCGTCTAATCCATTGTTTCTGCACTCCCGCCCTCTTTAACGCCACACACAAGTTCCCTTAGCCCTCATCTCCCATTCCACAACTCTTACACCACCTCAACCGTCCATATCTTCTGATCACTGTTTCGGCGGCTCATCGCACTCTGCTGAAAATCGATAACTCCGGGACTATTTGGACCCAATTCACACTCCAGAAAACACAAAATTCCCACTGTTCACGACTCAAACGTCTCCATCCATCCCCAGCAGCCATAAATACGCTTTCACACACATCAAGTTTCTTGACTTTCTCGAGTAACGTCAAGTTTACTTATAATATCTTCAAATAAGCCATTGTTATTTGAAAGTCTCGAAACACATCCTGGCCAAAAAAGCGTTTAATGGCTCACTTATCCGAGAATTTAGCAAATGCTAACCAGACTGTGACGACTAATACGTATGGTTGGCTTCAAAACCGGGAGCATGAAGAAAGATTGAGCTATTCAGCTCAAAACTCAGCTGCTTTAAAACATACCAAGGAAAGATGGACAGGTTTAGTCTGGAATAGCGCTGACAAACAGAATTTGGTGCTGCCTGCTGGCCAGGCGGCGTACGAAATTCAATACTCCGTGTTTGAGCCTCTGTTTGGCTACACAAAATGGCCAAAACTGCCCGATAGAAACGCTACCAGACAAGCGTTTCAAGAGCAGATCCAGGACTGTGTAGATGCCATTACGAACCTCGACGTCGAATTGGAGCGAATCAAGGCTGGCTCAAGTGGATCGTATTTCGTTTACGGAACAGACGGTCGCAAAGTGCCGTTGGGCGTTTTCAAACCGAAGGACGAAGAACCCTACGGCCCGCTGTCTCCAAAATGGACCAAATGGGCCCACAGGACCTTCTTCCCATGTTTTTTCGGTCGCAGTTGCTTGATCCCAAACCTTGGATACGTGTGTGAGTCCGCAGCAAGCGTCCTGGACGAGCTGTTGGGCACCAATCTGGTCCCGCACACCGAGATCGTTTCGCTGATGTCCAAGAACTTCTACGACACGAAAAGAGCTTGGTTAACAACAGAGCCTCGCGTCAGACACAAAACCGGGTCGTTCCAACGCTTTGTAGAGGGCTACGAGGGTGCTGGCGAGTTTTTCGAAAAATATCCGTTCCCAGGACACTACCGAGACCGCCCACAACCGGAATCCCAGGACCGGTTTTCGTGGAATGCTCGCACTCTGGCCGCGTTTCGCATCGAGGTCGAAAAGCTCATTGTTTTAGACTACATTATGCGCAACACCGACCGTGGGCTCGACAATTGGATGGTCAAGGTCAGCCAATTGCCAGACAAATCGTGGGAAATCAAGCTGGCCGCTATTGATAACGGGCTGGCCTTCCCCTGGAAGCACCCAGATGAATGGCGATCTTTCCCTTACGGTTGGCTGTACCTCCCGGTGAATATCCTGGCCCAGCCTTTCTTGGAGGCCACTAGAAGACATTTTCTTCCTCTGCTGACCAGCACACGGTGGTGGGAGACTTGTTTTATCGAAATGACCGCGCAATTCGGCTGCGACGCAGAGTTCAAAGGTCGTATGTGGAAAAAACAGTGGAGTGTGTTGAAGGGCCAGGCCTTTAACGTCGTTGAAACCTTGAAGAACCCTACCCAGGGCCCGTTGGAATTGGTGCGCCGCACGCGCACGCTAGTGATCGACGAAGTCATGCAAGTTCCGTCCACGACCTTGCCGCTAAATATTTTGCACAACGCCATGGAAGAGCCCCTATCGTTCTCTGCCTCATCTCCGATGATTATGTCCTCTGTGCCAGAGGAGACTACCGCTCCTACAGATCATGGTGCGAATCGAACCGTGAGTATTGCTCCGAATGAATCCATTGAAGACTCTCTGCCTCTTGCAAAAGACTACCCAAATAAGAAAGTAGTGATTGAGAGGCTGATGCTGGTTAATTCAAAACCACCGGTCTTCACTTGGTGGTGATCGTTGAGCTGTGACGCTGAGCAACCTGGCGCCACGTATGGAGCGACCGGGTCGCGAGAAATGGTTAAAGCTCATCTTCAATTCGAGTTTCCCATACAGAGCACGATTAAAGCAGTGAACGTCTCCTACAGTTCAGAGGAACGGGGTTTAGGTCTCAGCCTACATTATTCTTTACCACAGTATTGATCATCATTGATTGATATCCTTTCAAATGAACCTTTTATCATGGAGAAAGAAGAATTCGTCTAATGCTTCAACTACTACGCTGGCCAATGAAAATCACAAGGGCATTTTGTTCAAGAGTGACGCTCGTTCAGTCGAGAAGCTGGCAGAACACTTGGATCAAAATCCGCGCGTTCTCGAAAAACAGTTTGGCGAAAGTTTTACGCAGCGAGGAAGTCTCTTGCGTAATTTAATGAGTCTCAAGCTCCAGGGTATAGGGCCTCCAGACATGGTTCACGTTACAAAATTCGACAAGTTTCGGCAAATGGAGATTGGTGAATATCATTACTTGACGGGACTTGATACCTCTTCTGAGGCCGCGCCAATTGCGTATTTGAATGCCATAAAACTCAGTGACGGATCGCAGACCACTCACTCCAGTGCACCAAACTCCAAAAGCAGGAACAAAGTCATGACGTATTGCACCACTAACATTTTCAGCCACGCCGATGTCAGAATCAGGTTTGAATCGCCTAAGCATTTCCAGGTTTCCGCCATGGCCGTCACTTCAGGGTCCTCCAACGTTCAGCTTACGCCCGATTTCTGGGACGAGACTTTCGTGAGCGGGTTTGTGCGTGCCATGATCATCAACACCGATAAGGAGCGAAAGCTACCGGGTCTTTTAGAATTCCCCATTGCTCTAGAAAACGGCCTTGCCTACGCTGAAAAATGTATTGCCTTGTTGTGCAAGTTTCTGCCCCGCGGGCCAGAGTTGGGCTGCGATCTAACACGGCACAGCTACGTGTCTTTCAGAAGCAACTATTTAATAGAGTCTCTACTGGCATTTTTACAGATTGCAAGAAAGCTAAACATGTTAGTGGTGGAAACGCTGCAAAACTTGATTCAGTCGGATCCGAAAAATGAAAACTGCTACAGAATAGCGCTAGTCGCAGTGCTGGTCAAAAGTGAGGGCCACGACTCGATCGCGATCAAGACTTTGAGTGAGTCAATGTCAAGGCTATTCCCCGGTGGTAACTCGAGATTGGAGCAAGACCAACTGACCTATGCTGCGGATCTTTTGAATCTGCAAATCGACTTTCTGCTCTCCAAGGGCGATTTTCAACTCGCGTTGCCACTCGCTCAGAAATCAACCTCAATCTGTTCTGACAACTTAGAGTCGTGGGCCAAACTTGCTCGATGCTACATTCTAGCGAAGGACTATAAAAATGCGCTTTTAGCAGTCAACGCTCTCCCATCGCTGCCAGCTACCGACCCTTCGCGAGAAGCCATGTGGGAGAAGTTTGTGGACAACGGCTTTTACTATCGCAAACCTTTATGTCTGAGCCCGCGCTCGTCTTTGCAATCCAGCGAATACAATTTCCTCTCAAGCTCTCTCAAAGCAGTTAAGGACCACGATTTGAGCTCTATCATCTTTGGACGGATCGTAATGCCACCTCAGGTCAACCGTGGGTGCATTGAGGAAATGTGGGACGGCCCGTGCTCGGCGTTGGGTCCGATTTACGGACCACAGAGTAAGAACCTGATAAATTTTGTGTCCCTACAAGAAGTTGCGACTCTCGAGGATTCAGACTTGCTGCGAAGAAACACCATGGCGGCTCAATTGAGCTGGTCGTTGTCGTGTGCATATGACCTGTTGATGAACATGGTTTCTGAGATCGGCTGGAACTCGCTGTTGGAGCTGCGTTCGGAGATATTCGTCATGGAGCGCGAGCGTACCACAGAGTTCACGGCGGTGCTCCAGCCTGAGCTCAAGCATAAGCGTCTGTGCGAGAAGTGGCTCGATGAGCTGTTCCTAAACCTTTACGAAGACCTTAAGATCACGTGCAACCCCGAAGAACACCGTGAAGAGATGTACAGCGGTCTGAAGTGGGAGCTTTTGGGCCTCACACATCTGCGCACCTGGAACTGGGCCGACGCGGTGCCCTGTTTGCGCACGAGCATCATGGCGCGTTTTGACGTGGTGAGTGCCGAAAAATTGCTAGATTTGTTTCTGACACGACAATATCCTGTATCGGAGGTCCTGGACCCGGACGTTCTACTGGCCCTGGTTGTAGATAAGATCTGCTACGAGAGTCGGTTCTACAACTATCTACAGCTGCCAAATCTCCGGGTTTTGATCCATTTATGCGCTCTTTCCGGACTGGATAACGTGAGAAATCGCGTTTATGCTCTTCCTACCGCACAACGCGGGATTGTGGCCCTAATGGACAAACTACTGGACTACATACAAGAACTGAACGACTAAACTACTGAAAATGACATTTTAAGCGCTATTTGATCAACCATGATCGATCAAAGTAAACAGCTTTGACAGATTGAACAGATTTGACAGATTAGCCAGATTTGACAGATTTGATGGGCCTTTTTATACTGGTGGTGCTAGCGGTGAAACTTTTTGTTACCCGACTTTAAAAATTTTTTACTGTTATGGTTGAGATTCTTATTCAAATTCAACTACTATATGGGAAACCTTCGATCTGCAAGCTAACTGTTGAAGCTCGTCCCAACTCATCATATTAGTGGTCAAATAAGTGATTCAACTTTGGTTTAGTGTAAAGAGCCTTGAAATCGGGATCAAGAGCTTTTTTCAGCAGTCGAAACGGCCAAAAATCGCAGGAATTAGGCGTAAAGAGATCAGGGGCTCGATACACCGAAGGATACTTTAAGCTCGAACTGGCCAACCACAGTGAAGGTGTAGCTAGAAACACTGTTCTAGGATGTCAGGGTCTTTCTGGAAGTTTGGCCAAAATTACGCCAATGAATCGCCGCTTTCGAAACTCCTGAATAGAGCATTCATTAAAGTGGATAATAATAGGAAAGCCAAGAAAGAGGGAGCAGATGACACGCCGCAGGAAAAGTTCGACAAGATCCTCTCGTCGTCCAGCAGTCACAGTTCAGAGGACGATGAGAAGAAAGGCAGTGTAGGCGGTCGAAATCGAGCTGGCCGGACTGCGAATGATGACAGTAATCTACGCAGTGAAGAACTTAATAACGAAGACGAGGAAGACGAGGAAGAAGCAAAAGAAGGCCAAGAGGACGAACCAGAAGTGAAAGGTGCAGACAGCGAAAGTGAGGATGAAGACGAAGACGAAGACGATAAAAGCGACGATCACGATCGGAGTATTCGAGAATCCTCAGGGGATCAGCCCGACAACGAGTCGGACTTCAAAGACTTCGAACCCAACATGGATGTTCTAGACGAACTCCTGGACGACGAGGAACTGTACACGGAACTGATGTGCTCAAACTTCAAGCTTCTAATCTATTTCAAGTATCCACAGGTGCTGGCGCGACTCGTGGACTATGTCACAAACGAGCAGGTACTGAACGAAAATCTAGATGGCGATCATGCAGACACAGATAAGGAGACTTCTCGCGACTCCCACAACAGCAAGGACTCACAAGAGGGTTTACATGCCCAAGAAGCAGATGATGGTGAGCGTCAAGACCAAAACCGCGACCTCACTGACACATCAGCAGAGGCCAGAAGTATATCTCAGTCGGATGAGCTTTCAGTTTCATCTGCCGAGACCAGCATAACGCTTCCAGCCGACTCCGAGGAGCAGTCCGAATCGAGACGTGCACGCATGGCAGCCGAAATCTTGTCAGCCGATGTCTGGCCGATTTCCTCTGCATTCATGGACCACGAAGAACTCTTGAGTCAACTGTGGTCGATCCTTGATCATCCAGCGCCGTTGTCAATTGTGCCCTCTACGTATTTCATGAAAATCAATGAAAGATTACTGGACATGGACGTTGCTGGCATCTTGCATTTCATTTTGACCCAACCCGATTTGGTCAACAAATTTCTAACGCATATCGATAATCCTCCTCTAATGGACTTTTTATTGAAGGTTATATCAACTGATAAACCGGATTCCTCAACCGGTGTAATTGAACTTTTAGGGATCCAAGACTTGATTCCAAAGCTTCTAGACTGCTTAGAAAGTGGGCAGACGCCCTCTACCAAGTCAGCCGCGGGAGATTTCCTCAAGGCTCTGATAACCATAAGTGCAAATTCAAATAATGAAATTGCGTCCGCTATAGGACCAAACGGCTTGACTAGAAAACTAGTCTCACCTCCGATGGTCGAGAAGCTAATGAAAATCATGCTTACGGGAGGAACCTCCCTCAGTAATGGTGTTGGCATCATTATCGAGCTAATAAGGAAAAACAACTCTGATTATGACTTCGTACAAGTGATGTACACCACTCTAGAAACCCATCCACCCAATGATAGAGACCCTATTTATCTGGGATACTTGATTCAATGTTCCGCAAAGCATTTACCGGAATTTAATAAGATGTTAATGGAGACAGAGTTACCTCCTTTAGAAACTCCGTTCGGTTTTATAGAACCATTGGGCTTCGAAAGATTCAAGATTTGTGAACTGGTGGCTGAACTTCTGCACTGTTCCAATATGACTTTACTCAATGAACCTGGCGGAGAACAGATGGTAGCTGAAAGGGATGCATTAAGAGAAAAAACTCTAACGCTCGAGAAGAGCGAAGCGCTTTATAATAAAAACGAAATCAGTGGAGAAGGCAGTGATGTTATGGACAAGATGGCCGACTTAAGGATTGCCACTACAGATGCTAGCAACAGCAGTGACGACGAAGAAAGGGATTTGAGCTCTAAAGAAGAAGCCCCTCACACCGCAGGTGATGTGCAGTCGGATGATTCTACAGATAGCGAGTTGTCAGAGAAGGCTTTGCGTGAGAACCCTGTTGTGGGTGATCAACTGAAGATTGCTCTGCAAGACAATTGTGTGATCACTGCCATTTTAGAAATGTTCTTCTCTTTTCCATGGAACAACTTTTTGCATAACGTCGTATTCGACATTGTTCAACAGATTTTTAACGGTCCACTCAAAACCGGTTTCAATAGGTTTTTGATAGCTGATTTGTTCACTGGCGCCAGACTCACGCACATGATAATGGAAGGTGATAAAAAATGCGAAGACTACGAAAACGAGACAGGTTTGAGACTGGGATACATGGGTCATTTGACTTTGATAGCCGAAGAGGTCGCGAAATTTGCCGCTTACGTGGAAGAGATGAAGATAACGTTTTGCACGCCAACAATTTCAGAGAGCCTGAATGAGTCTGAGTGGAAAAAATACACCGACACAGTGCTTGCAGATACGCGTGAAAACTACAGCTCTATTTTGGGAGACTTCGAAGAAGAAGAAGACGATCACGAGGGCGAGCATGAGGGTGGTAGCTCAAGCGGCAAGTATCAAGACGCCGCTGCCAACGACGTCGTCGAGTACCGTAATTACGGACAGGAAGGAGACGAGGACGATGACTATGCCGAGTACAACAGTGTTGACAGCCCTCGCTACTACCAATACGACGATGGTCAGGGAAATAAGACAAACATCCATCTAAACCCTAGCATCGATTACCACGTTGGTCCGGGAAGTTTTGCGGAAGGCAAAGTTCACGAGTACGACGACGACAGAGCTGAGGATGATACCGATGATAGAGATGAAGAATCAGAGGACAAAAATATCAAAAACGACAGTGGGAAGGGACGTAAGAGCAAGTTCAGTAGTTACATGTCGCACCAGTTGTCAAAGGAGTTCAATACCTCCTTTTCCTCAGATGACGAAGAAGAAGACGCTTGGAACGGAGCATTGGAAGAACACTCTGAATTGGACCCTAAACAGGAGTCTGGCGAGCGTAGCCAAAGAAATCCATATCACGCTTCCCAATTTGGAATAGAGGACGATGAAGATGATTACATGGACCCCAACGATGACGGGTTGTCATACGCAAAGCCCAATCATCCTCTTTACGACAGCATGCTTTCTCAAAAGAACTCAGGCTGTCACCTCTACTTCAACCAGGATGTCTCCAACCTAGAGGAGAATGAAGAGGACAGCGACGACAGTGACAAAGAAGACGTAGAAGAAGACGACGGCCAATACTCGCTGTGTCGTACCTCCAGCAAAGACAACATGGCCTGGGACAGTGCAGAACAGAACCGAATAATCAATACTGCCCAATACAGACATAAGCTGCAAGGTCCGGAGAAGTAGACTTGCCAGAGGACGCACCAATGCGTGTCTGATGTTCCATCAGCGGGCGACTCTGCCTGCGGGCTTACTGCGTAACAAATGAGAGACAAACCACTCAATAAAACTCTCGTTGTCCATATATATACGAGAGCGTCAAACTTCCTTTTGAAATTTTAAGGCTGGGATAATGAGCATGTTTGGCTACAAGACGCACTGACTGCTCTCACTTGAGCGTTGCCGACGAACGTTGCATAATTGCAGTAGTAACTTTTTTCCGTATTTCGAATTAATGCATTTGTATTTTTAAAACCGATCAACACCGTTTTTCTCGGGTGCAAGGTCATACGCATGTCGCACTGACACGAACATGGGATAACAATGCTGAAGAGGATGCGATGAAGAAGCTTGGGACCTGGTAAATTATCAGGCGCGACTCACACGTACAAAGTGATTTTAATAGAGAAGATTTGCATCGCAGCTGGTTCAAGCAGGTAACTCTGCGATGCAACTGTTGTGAGGCATAAAACAGTATGATTTGGAGCCACTCCAAGGCTTATCAGCTCTACCTAAGGCCTCAGCTCTGTAATAAAACGTGCCAAAAGAGTTCTGCCAACTTTAAAGTATCACATGACTTTGATTTTGAATATTTTAAATTCATCAACTCTGAATATAATCTGATCATCCTTAAAAATTCACCACATCAAGCGACCCTTTACTTCCCAGTGACAGTCCTACTCGGCGTTCAAAGATCAATTGGCTCACCAAAATTCCTTCGGTCATTGTTGAAGCTCAAAAAACGCCGGTTTTCCTCCTACTTTGAAACTGTAAATCGCCATATTAGCTGATCATTAGAACCACCAAAAATGGCTGCGAAGATGTCTTCTGCTAGTCCTCTAGCGCTCTATAACCTGGTCTCTGCCGGTCTATGGGGGTTTCTGCTCTACCAGGTAGTCACTGTGTATCCAAAGATCGGGCAGCCAGCCTTTTTCTACGAAACCCGAAACTACCTGAATGCAATCCAGTGCGGTGCTTTAGTTGAAATCCTCAATTCTCTGCTAGGAATCGTACGCACACCGCTACTCACAACGGCGGCCCAGGTCGCGTCCAGACTGTTGTTGACTGTCGGCATATTCCATTACCTTCCTGAGGCCTACAACGCGCAAAATGCCACTTTCCTTGCGCTATTGACGGCTTGGTCTGTGACCGAAATCGTGCGTTATCTATTCTACTATTGCAATTTGACGCTTAAAAACGGCCCCCCAAAGCTTTTGGTCATGTTGCGCTACAACCTATTTTGGGTGCTGTACCCTATGGGGGTGGCCAGCGAGCTGCTAATTATTTACTCCGCGTTGTCCGTGGCCGAAGCCAAGTACTCTCCTCATGTCAGATTGGGCCTAGTTGCCGGAATGTTGCTGTACATTCCAGGATTTCCAATGCTTTACATGCACATGGTGGTGCAAAGAAAGAAGGTCATGAAGTCTTTGAGGGCTGACACCAAAAAGCAGGCGTGAATTCGAGAGCAATACCTAGGTGAAGGGTATAAAGTGAAGTCAAACAATCGCTACAGCCCGGTTAAGAATTGTGAGGGATCTCGTTTGTTGAAAAGGAAATGAATTTGAACCAAAAAACTTGCATCTTTAAATCTTTTAAAACTGACAAAGACAAAGACAACGTCACCAACACCAATGACAAGCGACACCAACCTTCACCCAAAACGTTGTCCATCTCAGCGTGATTCGGTATTTCTTAAAACTTTCAACACTCACGTGACCTTGAGATCGCTCATGATATTCTGAAAAATTGTTATGTAGAATACCATACCCATGAGAACCATCTTCAAGTTGGTAAGACGATTGCAGTCCAACAGTCCTCAGAAACCCTTCATAGAGATCCAAGACTGTCTTTTACAGCCGAATGAATGCGTTGAGTCGATTTTTGAGGCCCGTTTTGCCCAGTCTGGCGCGTCCCAGCTTTGGTTTTGGCCATGCGAGCAGAACGTTTGCTAGCACGGGAAGTGTACTCCAGAAGCTGGACCTCACGCCGTTGAAGCTGTCCAACGAGCTTTACGCCGTCTTTCGCATCCACAACCGCCCGTATCTGGTCACGAAGGGCGACAAGGTCGTGCTGCCGTTCAAAATGAAGCAGGCTGAGGTGGGCGACGTCTTGGACCTGAACGACGTTACAACGATCGGCAGCCGGAACTTCAAGATCGTGGACTCCCCACTTGACACATCGCTGTATCAGCTCAAGGCTACGGTGCTGGAGAAGACCAAACGTCCAATGAGAATTAGAGAGGTGACTAAACGCAGAAACCGGAAAGTTCGCCATGCAGTCAGCAAACCAGATCTCACCGTGCTCAGAATTTCAGAACTTTCGCTCACGGATTCCAGCGTTTAGAAACCATAGACCGTGTCACAATCAATCTCGTTCCAATCGATGTTTTCAAGGGGATGGCCATACACACCTAACACAAGTTCTACCTTCAGTGACGGTGAAGGAAATGCCATTTTTCTCGAGACTTTACATGTATATAAATCAAGCACCGAGCTCTTGCTCATGAGAGCTCAAAAGTTTCTATTTCGTGAGTCCCTGGGACGTATTCGTTGGTATTTAGATATGTCTGTTCTAGCGAGGCTAGGAATATATTAAACTACAAGTTTCGCTGTAGATGTAGCTTCTCCTCCAAAACTCTTAAAAAAAGCGAATAGAAGCACGCAGCAGGAGTGCTGCTATCACTTACATACCGTTCTCTCGAGTAAGCCTGCCTTAACAGGTTGAAGGATGGCTTTTCTGAAGAAAAAGCTGTCAAATGTAAACCACTCAAACCGATCAAGGTCCGGTTCTGCTTCTTCAAACAAAATCTCGCTGGGCTCGCCATCTGCACCCAACAGTCCAGATGTTAAGATGCCAGATCTGCCGCCTAAGATTTCTCTCGATAACGGCGTGGCTAAAACGTCATTTTTGTCAGTGAACAGTGCTCCTGCAACTCATTACGGCGAAAGTGTCCTTGCAGAACAAATGGCGACTAACGGGTTCACTTTCGAAGATAACTCGAATCAAGAGGGCCGAAACGTGGCAGGAGCCAGTCCAGTTGCTCCTCTAGATCCACTGGAAATCGGCATACCGTGTGGGCCGCGGAAATCGTCTGGTGGCAGCGTCAATTTACTGGACAAGCTTCTCTACTCGTGGGACGTCACAAATCCTGAGGAATGGACCATGATTCGGGTTCTTTCATGGCTAAAATACAACGACTTTGACGATTCTTGGCTATGCTACTTTCGTAAACGTCACTTGTATGGCCATAAGTTTCTAAAGCTGATGGCATACGACAATTTTGTACAGCATGAGCCCAGTCTGCCCCAAACCAAATGTGCTTCCTACCATCGGTTTCAATACCTCTTGAAAAGGACGCTAGAACAAAACGTTGTGAACGGCCATATGCGCTCTCGAAGCGACAAATCTGTGGGGTCCAGAAGCTCAAGCGACTCTTTTAAGATTAGAACAAGAAAGAAAGAAGATGACACCAACAGCCGAGCATTTTCGGAGTCTTCCACCATTGGGCACAAGAAAGCTACAATGGACGCTGCTGAAGAGAGACCAGTCTCTCAATTCAGAAACGATCCCAAAACTCACAGTGCTAGCTCAGTATACCGCCGAAGCTTCATATCTCTGCGTGGTAGCATTTCCAATGTATCGCAGAACAAGGTGGAAAGTAACATCAATTTGAAAATACCACCAAGGCCTTTGTCGTCCGTCGAGAGCCTAGCTCCCACGGATCGACATAACACGCGTGTATGTTCGTCTCCATTGTCACCAACGTGTACAGGAAGATTCAGAAGACAGCATAAAAGCAGTTCCTCCGAATCGTCAATCTTCAACACCCTCTTTGGAACAAGCAATGATTCAAGTGGTCAATATTTAACCGCAGAAACCTCCAAAAAAAAATTGACTAAAAACTTCAAAAGCACCTCACTGGAAAACCTGTCGCTGGAAGCATCTGCTTACAGTCCCTTAGGAGCAACAAGTTCTCGAAAAATCGTTCCCTCCAACATGGAAAAGGGTAGTTTGTGGGAAAAGTTGAAGAGGAAACCTGTACAACTCGACACATCTTTATCAAAAACCTCAACAATAATATCCGAGAATGAATCTTCAGATACCAGAACCCTCGTGAACTCGAAAATTAATAGCTGGGGCGAGTTTAATTGGGAAAGCTATGGGCTGGAAAAGAAGTACTACCCGCTGAAAAATCATGACGGCGCGGACAAGTACATTTTGATTACAAAAGACAACAGATCTTTCATACCATTAAATGTCGGAGTTATAACCAACTTAGACGAGTTGAAGGATTCGATGGCCCTCACACTTGGTATTCGACATAAAAACTATACCGTTCATCTCACGGATTTTGGCTGTGATATTGGCTGTGCAATTGATGACGAACTGATGGAAAGTATGAGAAGCAACTTATTCTATAATGTTCCCCATAAGTTCTTTGTCAAAGATCAAATGAGAATTCAACTCCGGCCAGCCATGAAAACTATGACGATTGAAGCGACAGCACCCAATAAAACAGTGAAGAATAAAGGGTCCGCAAAGTCGGCAAATAGCAGCATACTCAGTTCCAATGATGACATTTCCGCAGCCACATCCTTGTCAGATGTCACCTCTTTTGATGATATAGCTCGCGCTTCCGGTCGAGCTGCGTATCCCCAAACTCCAAACTCATACTATGGTGCTGTGATGCCTAATTCGAGCTCTGAAATTGACTACTGGACGCTGAAAGATACTCAAGTAGAAGATTCTGTGGCACAAAATTTACCCAAAGACCATGTCAGAACTGTTCGTAGAGGACTTTCGTCTGGCGAAGTAACTACTAACCGAAATGCGGAATCGAATCACTCATTCCAAGTTATCAGGAAGAAAAGTGACGACGAAATAAACTTCAATAACAGACGCGCTTCACCGTATGTGACGCCAGATTTTGCACCAAGAAGAGAGGCTCCGAAACCGCCTACAAGCTCTCAAAACTCTTTGGTCTCGTCGGGGTCGAACAGCACGACTTCTTCACCGAAGGTTCAAAAACTTGGCAAGAAGTCTACTATCTCGCGTAAGGCTCGGCCGCCTCCTCCCTCGACAAGTTGGCACCAGTTCGTTCCTGGAGGTCCGAATGTTCCTCCTTATGCTCTGCCAAGCTCTTGTACTGGCTCAGCCGAAACCGTGGTGAACTCTTACACACCAGGGTCGACACAGATCCTTGTACCACAACCCTACAAAGGTAAGAGCAACGACGGAAGGACACTTTCGGACGAGCCCATGGTTTCCTATTCGTATAATTCGCGGGGGAGTAGGTCAGGGTCAAGTGTCAATTCACTTGTACAATCTCCCCCTCAATTGATTAAAAGGACCAGCACCAAACGAATTGTGTCCTCTGCGTCTGCTGCTGACGTCTTTGATGAGAATGAGGTTTCGTTTGCGGAAGCCCCCGGACTTTCCGAGGTGGAAGATAATGACTCCCAAAGCGACTCCTCTGATGACATCATCTGGTCATCTGCTACCAAAGATCTAAAGCCTACCTTGAAAGGGAATCTTCAGATCTCAATACATCCATCCAGCAGCGAGAATATTACCGATGATATTTCAGATCATACAAACCGGGAAGAGCGTGGGCTGAATAATGCTGACACCAAGTCATCTGGTGACCAGATGACTCTAAGGCCGTCGCCTGAAATCGTCTATCAAAATCTTGAACGCTTTTTCCCAGGAACTGATCTTGATAGACCCATAGTCGAGGGTGTCACTCCTCCGCCGTCGCCTCAAAGTGCCAAACCTTCTTCGCCGGTTCTGCGCAACTCTTCGAAGGAATCGCCGACCTACGACTCACACTCTCCAAACAGTTCTAGATTAGGAACGCCGCAGACAATGATAGCGCACACAACCCAAAGTTCACAGGAGACTCTGCCTTCAACATCAAAATCTCTTAAGATTCCAAAGCGAACGAAAACGATTAGAACAATTGCAAGAGAAGCCAGTGAGGCAAGGAGAACATCTAAATCACGTAGTCTAGGAAGAAAAAATACGAAAATGTGGGGAACTCGGGTGGTAGAGGTTACCGACAAGAAGTTGGTTGCTATCAATAAGTCAAAAAACTCTAACGGTGAGTACAAGGAATTTGCATGGATCAAGGGTGAAATGATAGGAAAAGGATCATTTGGGTCTGTGTTCCTGGGTTTGAATGTGACAACCGGTGAAATGGTGGCAGTAAAGCAGGTCGAAGTTCCAAGATATGGTTCGCAAGACGAGACGACTTTGAACGTCCTGGAAGCTCTTAGGTCAGAAGTGTCTACGCTCCAGGACTTAGATCACATCAACATCGTACAGTATCTCGGGTTTGAGAACAAGAATCATTTCTACAGTTTATTTTTGGAGTATGTGGCAGGCGGTTCTGTCGGCTCTCTTATCCGGACATTTGGCTGCTTTGAAGAGCCTCTCGTCCGCTTTCTAGCTGTGCAAGTGCTACGTGGTCTTTCTTACCTCCATTCGAAGGGTATTTTACACCGGGATATGAAAGCAGATAATCTGTTACTGGATGTGGATGGTATTTGCAAAATAAGCGATTTCGGTATCTCAAAGAAATCTAGCAATGTCTACACCAACTCAGACATGACTATGAGGGGCACGGTATTCTGGATGGCGCCCGAGATGGTTGACACGAAGCAAGGCTATAGCGCAAAAGTTGATATATGGTCCTTGGGATGCGTGGTTCTCGAGATGTTTGCGGGCAAACGTCCATGGTCAAATCTCGAAGTTGTCGCTGCAATGTTGAAAATAGGTAAGTTCAAATCAGCTCCTCCCATACCAGAAGACACACAGAAGCTGTTATCGTCGGAAGCCAAAGACTTTTTGAATGCATGCTTTAGTATAGATCCCGAAAAGAGGCCAACTGCCGACGAGCTATTGTTGCACCCATTCTGTCAAGTTGAGAAATCTTTCGACTTTCGCGAAACGAACCTTGCTAGGCTAATCAAACAACGATAGATGCAACTCCAGCAGGTTGAAGACTGAGAGTACAAGGCAAGATCTCACAAGGCGAAGGATTGAGGTCGACATTAAGTAAATCGCTTCACTATTTAAAAAATCTAGTATTGAATATAAACTCATATCTTATCCAGAATTGGCATTGTCATTTGTTTCTCCTTGTTTAGAACGTTCTTCAAGCAGATGAGCCAGATCAGTTTCGAGCTTATTAAGAAGCGCTTGTGTGATGTATTGTGGCTCATGAAATGGGAAACGCAGCGGAGAAGCAGACGAGAGCCAGAACTTAGGATCTTCAACGTAGTTATTGGTGTCATCACTGATAGCGCTGAACATGCGCATCCAGTCATTGAAGCTCAGTTTTTCTGTAGGTTTTCTGTGGGAGAGTTGACGCAGCCATTGCACGACTTCAAGATACTCTTTGAGTTTCTGTGCAAGAAGGTCATCTTCCGAGGATGAAGCATTTGAAGAAACAGCCTCTGTTCTCCTATCACTGATGTTCCTCTCGGAAAGCTTCGGCAATGTAGAGGTCGATCCCATCTCTTCCATAGGATTTGTCTCGCTCGAAGATGGGGCGCTACTTTCAGTCGAAAAGAAATAGTCTCGCGCGCGCAAGTACAATTTCGCGGGCCATTCAATCACCGTCCCAGAGAGTTGAATGATGCTGAGGTCTAATTCATCGGCCATGGCGTACAATGTGTCGCCGAGTGTGCTGATAATGGCAGTCATTAGTGGAACGGCGCAAATAGCCCAAACGACGAAAAATGCTCTTCCAGCCCCGCTCTTAGGCGCAAAATCTCCGAAACCAATCGTGATCAAACATAAGAAGCAGAAGTAGAGAGAATTGAAGTATGACCAGTTTTCAGCGAAGTAGAAAACGAGTGCGCCCAGTAGCCAAAACATAATGAAAATGCAGACGATGACGAGCGTGCTCCAACGCTGCTGCTTGAGCCGGGAAGTCTTTCTTATATGCTTGATAAGGTCAAAAGCTGTTTCTGAGTCCATTTCGCTACTACTAGCAATTAATTCTTCATAAACCTTGCTACGCGCGTTCTCGACCCTGTAGAAAAAGAAAACGGGATCTGACGAGCTCTCAATGATCGACCTGGTCAGAGCGACAATGACACCGAGGATTATCAGCCCAGATAATGCGTATATCAAAGTCATGATTCTAGCAGCCACTGTTAAAGGTAGAAGATCACCGAGACCAATGGTCAAGATGACCACGACACAGTAGTAAAGGGCTTCGCCATAACTGAGAGAAATGATCTGTGAAAATATAGCAGCGCCCCAAATGAACCAGAGGGATAGGATGAATGTGAAAATCATCACATTGCGTTCGCTATCGGTGAGGTTAAAAGTCGCGGGATATTTCTTCTTCTTGTAGCCTCCATAATGAATCAACAGAAGAGCTGTACACCCGATGTACAGCATTGCTGACAGTGTAGCATACCAAAATCCAGTAGTCTTATGCAGATCCCCGGAATAATCAACCTTCGCACAGACTATGAGGTCAATAACGAGCATACAGCCAGCCATTGACCAACCCACGATATTTATTATTTGTGCGGTGACATAGCTCACTTTTTTGGAGAAATGCAGCAATAACACAAAATTCGAGATGCATCCCAAAACCAGAGATGCTACATTAACTCCATACACCCCTCTGGCATCTTGTATGGTGTTTCCGTCAGAGTCCATTCTCCATTTGTCGACTATTCCTGCGACAGCAATCATATTCGCAATAGGACCGAGACACGCAGTAAGTACCGGAAAGTAGCTCGATATCATGAACCATATCACGAACGCTCTGCTGGATGGTTCTGCATTCAAAATTACCACTTTTTCACGGTTGAAAGCCAGCGCATCTAGGAGAATTTTTCTGTACTCGTCTTTCGTTTCATTCGGAATATGTTCTTTAGTCATTGGACATGATGGGTCCCGTTGCTCAAGCTCTCGAATGGCCAGATACCGTTAGTTGTTGTCAGCTATCTTGAAGTCAAGAAGTGTCAGATGAAAGGCTCTCTTTAATTTATAACAGATATCGCCCAGTACGAGGTGACTTGGAAGAGGAATGGGTTTTAAATCGTGCTATATCCCGTCATTGTCAGGTTTGTATGCTGTGAAACTGCCTTAAATTGGGTTGAAACTAGCTGGACTGACTGGAAATGGTTTTTACTATTTATTTGATTGTTTTTGTCTTTTTTTTCGGTGTTAGTAGGTCCATAGATCAACAAACGTTGTAGAGCCATCAATCGTACCTTTTCTGCTTACACATCGAGGTAAAGGCGAGGTGAAATTTCTGATGCAATCGACCTCTCATCTCTGAGCTTGATAGATAAATTATTACTGATTTTTTAAACTATTTGCAAATTAGCACCACTTTCAATCTCCATGGCTTCCTTTTGTCGCATATCAAAGACCCAAGACCATTGTCCCTGCTGGCTTTTCCGAATTCGAGGGTATTCACCTTGAAATGGGGTCTTCACAGTCTTCTTGATTGTTGGGTCGCACAGCTCCAGGCACAAAATATCCAAAAAACGACAGAATAGTACAAAGTGATATTCCATATAAACAAAGAACCCAACATCAAATAAAGTAGTGCCAAAGATCAATTACGACACAACTACGAGCTGTGTTTGGTAACGATGTATTTAATAGCCTGTCAAATTTACTCCTACAGTAAAAATTTAACAGTATTCTGCGAGGTACCGAAAAAACCGTAAATTCGTTTAAATATTCGAAACTGTTCAAAATCCAGTTTTGTAAAGTTTCTTGGGCATCTTGAGCGCCCAAAAAATACAGCACAGTGCTTGGCATCCTACAACGTCAAATATATATACCCTGTTCGATTCAAAGTCAGGATCTCACTGTTGTGAGATATCCCGTACAAAGTTACATGAGATCTGATCTCATATATATGGAAATGTATATATACACACACATGTATACGCATCTCATCGATACAACAGACTCTTGTGAGACGCAGCTCCTTGCCCAAACGCTCGAGCCTCAAGAGATCAAACAGTGGTTGCTGGCCACCACTTGTCTTTGTCCCTCTCTCTGAGCCCGCTGTGCTGCACGTACGCGAACTACTGCGTGAGCTTTCCAAAGCTCTTTCGTCAACGCTCTCGTTTTTGTTGAGGCATCGGGCCTGGTTTAAAGAGAATTGGGCTGATTTTCCTCTTTGCAAGGTGTTCAGTGTTTGTATGCTGTAAAAAATTGAGTAATGAGTCACTTTTTATCGTCTTTGAATGAAAAACAACACGAATGCGTGGTCTTTGACCATGGAAATGCGCTTCAAATAGTAGCAGGACCAGGAACAGGAAAGACCAAAGTGTTAACCACCAGAGTGGCATACTTGCTCCTCGAAAAAGGACTGAATCCAAGTGATGTGGTGATCACCACCTTCACGAAAAAAGCCACGCTCGAAATGATAGAGCGTATCGGCGTTTTGCTCGAGGGCACCGGTATCAATCCCAAGAGTCTGTGGATAGGAACGTTTCACTCTATCTGTGCCCGTGTGCTCAGGCAGCATGGCTGGCGAATTGGACTCCCGAAGGACTGGAGAACGTTTTCAGACAGCGACACAGATCCGATCTACGCAAAGCTGGTTGAGAAAATGCCAGATCAAGTAAGAGACTACGCACACAGTTACAACAGAAGAGTGAACTTACTCAGACCTAACTCTTCTCGCGATTGGGCTGTACATCCTGCAGCTGTGAAAAAAATGGTATCCTGGCTTAAATCCGAGGGTGTCACTGCGGATGAGTATCGCGCCCGAAACGACCATGATCCAGCACTATTGCATTTTTACGACCAGTACCAAGCTGAACTGATCTCCCAACACGCCTTGGACTTTGATGATCTGCTTCTTCACGCGTTCAAATTGCTCGCGAAACAGAGGTGTCTGCCCAATATTAAGCATGTGCTTGTGGATGAGTTTCAAGACACTAACAGCATTCAGTTGAATCTCATGTATCTCTTTGCACGCGGCTGTGGTTCCAGGTCACAGGGAATAACTGCCGTTGGCGACCCTGACCAAAGCATTTACGGGTTTCGCAACGCCCTAGCAGGAAATTTTGAGGACATGATCACGCATTGCCCCATTCCTTGCTCGCGAATTGTTCTTGTGGAGAATTATCGCTCCTCTCAAAGAATTCTTACGACTAGCGAGATGTTGATCAAACAGCAGCTGACAGGTCGCGAAGACCGACTCCCTTTGCGAGCTCAATTTGATAGCGATTTTCCACCGGTATACATTGAGTTCCCCGCGAAATTTTTGGAGTCTCGAGCTCTTGCTCGAGAAATAATATATCTCCGCTCTTTACCAAACCTTTGGAACTATAACGACTTCGCACTTCTGGTACGACATCGCCGACAAATAAGGCCACTCGAGACATCACTAATTGAGCATCGAATTCCCTACAAGATTGTGAACGGACGTGCATTTTGGGAGCTTAAAGAAATCAATGGTATGATGGATCTTTTAAAGTGTGTTTATTCTGACTATGAAAAGAATGCAATCTTACGGGCTTTACAATATCCAGCCAGAGGACTGGGATCGGCAACTGCAAAGAAGCTGGAAAATGTTGTTGGCGACTATGACACACCATTCTCCGCTTTACAAGCAATTGTAAACGATTCTCGCAAGTACGACTTGCCCGCCAAAGCGATTTCTGTCATACAGGGGTTCTTATCACTCATCACAAGTTGTAGAGAACGTCTGATTGGTGCTGTTGATTGCAAAGTGATTAGCACTATTTTTGACGAACTCTACGAAGTCTCGGGATTGCAATATGAATATCTATACGTGGATGGTAAGAAAAAAGCCGACGTCAATCCTAAAGGTGAACCTAATTTTGCAAACAAAAGGCATCTCAACATACAGCTTTTGAGAGAGCACGTAGCCAATTTCAAGCCCATGGACGAAGATCTTGCTCAAAGAGACGGTCTTACTGATGAAGATGCCAAAGTCGCGAAAGAAATTAATATTCATGATATTCTTCGAGAATTTATCGATTCAGTCAATCTTTTCTCCACGGAGACAGAAGTGGATGAGTCTCAAATGTCAGAGAAACAAATTCGACAGAAAAAAAAGCGTGAAGAGGAAGGTTTTGTTACCATTTCCACAATTCATGGAGCCAAAGGCTTAGAGTGGCCCGTTGTCATGATACCAGGGTGTGTTGAAGGTGTTATACCGTGTGTCTTTGGGAACAAAGAAGATGCTGACGAAAGTGAAAACGACTCCGATTCCGAGGAAAATAAAACTAACGGAGGTGGCAACAGCCCCAAAAAAATGCGACCAAAGAACAATGAAGGCTCATTAGATGAAGAACGAAGAATGTTTTTCGTTGCGCAGACCAGAGCAAAATTCTTGCTCTACCTTACGGCAACCTCTAGCAACGATTCGGAATCAAAATATGATATCTCGAAACCTAGCAGATTTCTAACCACCGATCTGGTAAGCACTATGTGCCAGGAACAAAAGGTCTTCGATAGCCTGGACTCAGTTCGAAAGCTTTATTCTGCCGTAGACAAACCAATGCCGTCAGATAAGCCTTCATTTTCCTTGGACACATTGATCAAAGATTATGCTAGTTTCATCAATTACAGGAGAGAGAGGATGATTTGGAGAGGCACAACTGTGGTGGACACAGTAAGATTAAAATTCGATGAAAATACTAATCAACCGCCTGCATCGTACGGTATAATAACTGCGGCGAGCTATCTAAAAAACTCGTCAACTAATCATCCCAGCTCGAGTAGAGCAACGTATCAGGCTTCGGCGTACAAAAATCAAGTAGCCACTAGAACGACTTCGGACCCTAGTGCCCTTGCTGGCAAGAAAAATGCACCTCCACACTCGCTTTCCAGAAGTTATTCAAATGGCTCTGCGTCTTTCAAATCTTACGCTCCCAAGACTTCTCCACGTAAGCCTACAAAAAGTCTACAGCCGTCATCCTTTGCCCCTAAAGCAGAGGAGTCCGCTGCACAATTGGAAAGGAATCGAACTAAATCTAATAACAGCCTTACTAATACTGTCAAAAATGTAAGCGAAAGCCTTAAAAAGCCCGGTTTTCCCTCTGCTACACATAGAGCTGGTCGCCAGTCTCGACGAAAAATAGTTGCCGACTCTATCGACTTAGGAGAGATACCATGCAGTAATGAGGTATCTACAACCCAAAGCGACGAATCGGTCGTGACGAAAGAAGAGCCAGATAAGGACAGTCTTAGCAGAAAGTCTATTGGAGCGCTAAAACACGATTTGAAGGTCAAGAATGAAATGGACTCGGCTGTCAATTCAGGCACTGGGCAACAAGCTTCTTCTTCTCAAGCCCCACTCACCAAGAGGGCCAATAGCCCCGAAGGAATTGGGCGGAAAAGGGTTAAGATAGAGCCTCTCAACGGTGGGCCAGATATAATGTCGCGGCTCTCTAAGGCGAAAAAAAGAGCAGCTGAGTCAAAAGACACAGTTATCATAATTGATTGAGCATTTTTCCGAATCACCCACATGTATATGCATGAAATACTCTAAAGTTTTATAGATAGTCCTCTTTTCAGCATAATCGCTGCGACCGAAGCCAAAAATGAAGCGTAAGCTAACAGAATCAGAAACGACCAGGTGGGAGACATGTCGATCGTGGGTATCGTCATGTTAATCAAGCCCGTACTTATGTTGGCCAGGAGGAATAGAAAGAGGCCATTTGAGTTGAGGGCCTCTAGTGCTGGTGAGATTTTCTCCCTGGAGGGCTGATTACCAAAAAGCGTGTCTACAAGGCAATAAAGCGTCAAGGCACCGGTATTATACGACACAACCCAAATGACATAGGGAAAATTAGCGAAACGTCTCGAGATGTTGAAAGGATGCCATGCAAATACTATTTGAGCGGCAGACATCGAGAGGAAAGACCAGATCAGCAAACCGCTGAGTGGTCTTTTTGATGTCAGTTTATCCCACCCACTTAGTTTTCTGACCTGGGTCACTGGTGAAATTGAGGCAATGTATAGATTATTCTTAGTCACATCACTTCCCAATGTGTAGAATCCTGTAGTTTGACCCCATAGAAAGATGGAGCAGTATCCCACGAACGAGAAAATGCCCTCGCGATTGGCGTTGATCAGCGAATTTCGTGGAGAATCTATCAAGAAGCTCAAAAACCGTTCCTTAAAGATCATGAAGAAGTCGTAAACAGTAGACATAGCCAAAGCCACCAAAACTCTTGGAACATATTCGATAATCGCATCGAGTGGTATCATAGCTAGCGGGAGCAAAGCAAGTGTGATAAAAAAGTTCCAGTGAACACCGTATTCCGTAACGTGTTCCTGATATTCCAGGTTCTTGACGAAGTACAATCGTAACAAGCCCAATACCAGAATGCTGCCACTTGATTTAATTGCCCCGACCAATTTCTGAGCGAAGTTAGGCTTCTGACCACTCTGTTTAGCTTTAAACAGCACACGCGACGAAACGAGACCATTGCTGAAGACGAAAGAGCCTACTCCTAGGTCCATCAGAGAGCTTCCCCAGGTTTCGACTTTCGCAAACCTGCGTGGAAAAATCTGGAAATCGACCGCAAGTATGGCCAAGACTGTGACCACCATCATGCTCCCACGATACGCTGTAATGAAGGGTCTTTTAACAAGTTCGAACTCTCTTTGTTCAGCTTTGGATGGATCGCGTAGCCTTGAGTTCTTGGAACGCCCCTGGTGCACTGCAGATGCAGAGCTTCTGGTACCAAGCCAGTAGATCACAGATGGCACCAGAATGAAAAGATGTAACCTCAGGGGACTATCAGAATATGTGGTAATCGAGAGCAAAAGCCCGCCCCAGTTCAGTAGAAAGTCTATTATGTGACTGACTTGAGCATTGCTCGTTGTAGAATTGATCAAATTCCAGCAGAAATAAGCGCAAATAGCTACCGAAGTTACACAATTGATCTCTTCAATTGAGCCTCCAGTTAATCCGGAAACAAAGTCCTCCTTCCGCTGCTTTAGATCAGACATATCAGCAGCAAAATAGCCGGTCTTTACCTTTTATCTTTGGCAAGAACTCACTTGTTGTATTTAGAGATGAGTTGTTCACTTTTATAATAATCACCCATTTTGACCTAAAATAATGACAGAATCAGTTTATACATTGATTATAACATTTCTGGTACTTAATCAAGCCTTGACATAATGAATTACCCATGCGGATCAATTGTTCAATTAAGCATCGATTTCCCGCATGTGTTGACGAGTAAGCCTTCTGGAAACAATGTGAGAATTAGTTTTCTGTTGAGGCGAACCATACGTTACTTGAGTGTGAGCAGTCGCTTCCTCTTCCGTCTCAGAGACTGATGAATTAGTTTCATGATAGTCATCCGCTTTTTGGGCTTGATCCGACAACATTCGGCCCCAACTGGAAGACCGTTGGATGGTTTGAAGCGGCTCAGTGGGATTTAATTTGGGTATTTTCGGTAGACTCATTTCGTTCAGGGCAGTTGATAGACCCTTTGGGTCCGTGTAGGACCGCTTGGTAAAGATTTGCGGTGTTGAGGGGGCAGCAGTGACGCTTTTGAACCTTGCGATTATTTCTTTCCGATTCCTTCTTGCAGGAGAATGGCTTGTCGAGTTGAGTTTGTCTAAAACATTGTTTCGCAACAGCGCTGGGATATCTTTCGGAGGTAACTCGGGTGCCTCGTTTTGAATCTCGAGATAAAGATGATCTCTTCCACCTTTTGGACACGAAATGCACCAGTTCACATCGTTCAGGTGAATTCTAACAACGCCGTTATCAAGCTCGCGAGATTTGGACGCACGACGGAAAATTTCGACTATGAAGGCAGCCGTAACAACAGGTATGCTGTGCCTCTGTTTGATAAACTCGATTTTACGCTTCATGGAATTGCGATGTATTTGACTCTGCTCAACATTGCGATTTTCTTTGAACATGGAAGCAAACTGATTCTCCCATAGAGGATGAGTTGCTGGAATGCTGTTGAGAGCTCCCAAATTAATGATTAAAATGCCTGTTTCTTTGTTCAAAGTCTCTCTGAGCTTGAGCCCCGATGGTGCTAAGGACTCCATCATTTTTGTTATGTGCAGCAACTCGACACCTTGGAACCCTGTTATGGCCACATTCACAGTTCGCGGTTCACTGCCATGGGAATGCAATCCCTGGGATGCTTTAATTCTAAATCCTGAGAAGAAAGGCGAGCACCATGCGTCTGGGTTCAATAGTTTTTTATAATGCAGGCACCGCTCGAAGAAAAACTCGGTAACTGTATGCGCAAACGGCTGACATAGCGATTCTAACTGTGGTATGAACATATTGCTGGGAACAACCAAAAACGAGCGCTCAGGTACCGCGATTTCTGGATGGAAGTCATGGCACAGTCCGCCGTTTTGGACTATTATTTTTTCCAAAATCGCTCTTTGCTTGGACGCCAACTGGAATAAGAAAAAGTGCTCATTTTTCAGCATTTTCGGTACTTCTTCTTGTTTGGATACAGCCGTAGTCGCAAGCTGGACCTCCTGAGCTGGACTAGTTTTGTTAGCCTTGTGCATGACACTGTTCCAAAGACGATTGCCATGAGATGCAAATTTGTCCAGAACCACTCGTTGGCTTTGGCGTGGTTCCAAGGTTTCGTCCACGGGCGGACCCTGGGCAGAATTGTTGCGCAGAAGCACCTCGTGCCAACACAGGCACGCACCGTCTCCTATAGCCTCATAATCGGTGGAAACATTTTTCTCTAGTAGGTAGAATGCAAAGTCCAGCAGCGCATTTCTCCTATGACAATCCAGAATCCATTTTGGGTGGACTACCGGCAAACCTTGCAATCGGGCAGCGTCGACACGGGCACCGTGGGGGTGGTCTGTCACGAAAACGGTAGGTCGGCTCCAGTGGGTCTCTTTGACGAAATGACGGGTATTACAGGAGTGAACGCCCTGTTGTGTGCACAAAATGTCTAGAGCGTCGATGCTGAGCTGGTTTCCGCGCGTGTCGTTAACTCGGCCTACAAAAACCACGAAATCCTTCAGCGGTCCTAACTGGTACCTCGTCTGGAGGACTTGAAGCATACGGTCTTTGCCGCTCTGGATGTGGGAGTAGTTTGAATGCGAATCCATGGTGATGTCATCTCCCGTGAGCCACAGGTCATAGATGGTGTCGACGACGCCTGCATCGAGGAACACTATATCAGAGCGATGTTGAACAGCAAAACGGTATTTGTTGGTTGCCACACTCCCGACAACCAGTACATTCACAGCTTTAGTGAGGTCCCTGGAGTATCCACCGCCAAGCTTGGTGATTTTACGCGATACATTGCGCGAAACTTCCTCCGGTAAAGCCGTGGGACAGAACGTGAGGCCCTTGAAAGGTTTCTGCATGCCAAGTGGAACGTTGCGGGGCCCTTTGGAAAGCTATTCGGAGCGTTTGGGGACGATATTACGGCTAGTCTTTCAGTCCGAAGTTGGTGATGATCAAGATGGATAAAATAGATGTGTGTATGTACATATATATATATATATATATATATATATATATATATACATTGGGAGAAATTGTAGAGTGTCGTAAATAACGATATTTGAAACGCGACAGAGGCTAACGTCAAAGTTCATCCATTTAAGAGCCCGTTTAAACTCTTAGTTTGTTGATTTGCGCATTATGGCAACTGGCGGGTGTTTTGGGTGTCAGAGATTTGCCTATGTCACGAAGAAAAAATGGGAGATTTTGAGTGTCTGGGGAGGAGAAACGAAGAGGACGCGAAATGAGCGGTGCTGCCCATTTTTATTGTGGAAAAAGACACTGTGAACATTGGTTTTTGCATATTCTTTAAGCTCTTTTTTTTTTTTTGTTGCCCTCCCATTTGGTTTTTTTAGCTCTGATGGGTAGGAAGGTCGTCAAAGCGTGTACAGCCAACCCTAGCGCCGTCCTTAATATCAAGGAATCTTACCCACACACGAAGACGTATTTCGGGGTCAAGCTTTTAGAGCTGGCCAAGAGTGGTTGGATGTCTTCAACGGTTGTGTTTGCGAGACTGACGTATTGAGCCCGTCATGCATAAATGTGTCAAACGAGACAATGGCATATGCAATGTCCTGTATGCACTATGCACTATGTAAGTGTTTCCTTATGTAAGCGCGCATGAGCCTGCTGAATTGCATCTCACGAGGACCGGTTGAATGGAGGGAGGGACGAGAGGCGCCAGCCCTTTTCCACCCCCAGAACCCTTTTCCCTTTCATGCGTACTTTCCCATCTCCCTTTCGCGCGATCAAACCCACACACCCGCGATTACCCAAACAAGGTTCCTCCGCGGAACCCTAAGGCCGCCGATTTTCAAATTAAGTTCGCGTCGGTGATTAACCCCGTGTCTTTTGTTTATGTAATAGTTTGGCCCTCATCACGTGCATTTATGCTTCTTCCTTTTATACCCCGCACAAATGGAGCGATGACCTAAATCCCGGCCATCAACAGTGGGAAAATACCGCTTCTGATACCAACACCAGTATATATTATATTCAAAGGTGAACAAGCCATTCTCCCAAGTATAAAAACCCTAGACTTGTCAGATATTCGACTCTTCCAACTGACGTTGTACACATATCTTTGATTTAAACGGACATTGGGCGCGCCAAGATCAGGATCTAGGTTAATATCAAAACGGCGCTATCTATTATTTAATTCATTATTTATATTCGAAAACTACGTAAGGACGTGATTGAAAATTGACATTCTCGCGTACTTCAAGTGTGTGAGAGTGAGTGTGCGAGTGTGCGTATTCTAGGTTTATTGAAATCGATTGATTTCTCCCACTACCGCTCGAAGATTTAATTAGGTTTCTGTGCCTTTCTTTATTTTGGTTTCTTTTGAGAACTAGGTATCTGCTAGCTAGCAAATGCACTGGTATCCATTGAACCCGGAAACAGTCAATTGAGCTTTTCTAGCCAGTGTGGTCGTCTTCACATAGTTCTTGCAGGCGCCAAATCATCTAAAACAAACAGAGCATCCAAAACATCCAATACATCCAAACATGTCTTCCGACCAAGCTGTGTCTGGTTACGGCGTTCTGTATGGGCCTGGGCCAGGCCCATGCCCTGGCCCTGTCGTGCCCCCAGCTTCCCGAACGTCCAAACGCAAGTATGGAAGCCCCTCGGTTCGCAAAGACACCCAACTGCTTTTGTCCAAAAATGCACGTTTGTCGCAGGCGTGCGATCGGTGCAGAATGAAAAAAATCAAGTGTGACGGTGCCAAACCGTCGTGTTCCGCCTGCACCAAAGTCGGCTTCAAGTGCCGGCACAGCGATATGCTTTCCAGAAGGGGCACACCAAAAAACTACACGGAATCTCTCGAGAAAGAAGTCGTGCGTCTGCAAAAACTGCTCGACGAAACCCAAAACTCGTCCCCGGCAGCAGTGCCAGTGCCAGAGCCCGCAAAATGCCCTGTCAAACAGACCACTGCCAGCAAAGCAAAATCCAGTCCTTTCTTTGAGCTGCCCTTTATCAACGACACGTTCCACCTCCATGAAAATCGCGTCACCAGCGATGGTCAGTTCATCGGTCATGCCACCTGGAACGTGTTGACCAGTTCCACCTCAGATCTGTCAATGGACGTGCTGCCCAACGAAGACGACTGGCTGTTGCGGTATTTGGTGCGTCAATTCCAGCTTTCTCAAGATCGCATTCCTGCTGTGTTACTATCCAAGTTCCAAAATGACGCCATTTTGTGTGGCAAACGCATTCAAAAGTGCACCACGCATTTCCTTGAAACTTCCATGGCTCTCATCCCAATTCTCAATTCCGCATCCTGGAGCAATGACCTCGCCAGGATTCCTCACACTAAAGTGGTTCACCCTGCGGTTTTGTTAGCTAACTTGCTGATATGCCAGTGGAAGTGGTCATGTTTCAGCGACGATTCCCTTTTCACAGCAACCAAAATCGTTTGTCTCAACTCCTCGCAACCTCTACTTCGGCTACAAACCCTCTTATTGGCCGCATTCTACTTCATGGGCACTTCCGGTGCTACTTTGTTGACCAAGTGCTCAACAGCACCCTTCGCATCGCACTTGCTCAAAATCGCATATGCAGAAATGGTTAACTTGGGGCTTTACATCAATAGTCATCGCCTTACTCCGGTGCAATCACACGTCGCACTCAATCACACCGAGAGATTGACCACGTTTTGGTGCTTCCAGTTTTTGGACTCTTGGTGGACGTTAATTCAGGGAGCTCCCAAGACCAATTTCACTAGCGACGAATTCTTGCCGCCGAAACTATCAGCGCTTGGTAATCCCAGGCTCAAACCTTTTGAACTGCTGCTAGATTTTGTTTTTGGTTGTCTTGATGGTTGTAACTTGTTAAAAGCCGTTTCTCAGGGCGCAAACACCTATATGGTATATTTGCTGGAAACATTTCGCAAGCAACTTGTACATTTCAACCTTTACCACGGCTTGACAGATCACGAAGTTCATGCTTTGTCCACGCTAGGAACGAAACTAGACCAGCCCTTGTCGACAGAAATTCAGATAACGCTCTACTACCTTGTCGTTTCCCTTTTCACACACGCTCAGTCCTTCGAAGTGGTGGTCACTAAGAGAGTAACCTTTGAATCAGACCAAAAGGACAATCTGGAGCTCAAAGACGATACGGACTTTTCCGTGAAAAAATCGGACCTTCGGAAACACATCTCGAGGACCTTGATAAGTCAAAGAGATAACGCATATGAGATTTTAACCCTTTACTACCTTGTGATGGTAGATATTGGTGATTCCAAAGTCATGTCGCCGGTACAACTGAAAACACTGCACTTATTGCCCTGCGATAATCTTTCTCTGCTGAAAGTTTGCTTGGGGACTTTGGCTTCATGGGCATCCTCCAAGTATGCGAAAGATGAACCTGATTATGAGCTCACGTTTAACAAATGTCAGTGCATCGTTCAAGCTTGGTGCAATATTTGGTATTTTGACGAAACCGAAGACGAGCTGGTGACGCGGCTACAGAAAGTGTTCCAATTTACATTGTCAATAGCACCACAAAAGGAAGGGCAAGTTATGGACAAGCTGCTGTATCTTCACTCTGCGAAATTGCAGTATAGGCGGGCACTCATGCAAAATCAATATGGCGACACATCTATTAACGGTAATGTGGAAGAGCCTTTCAACAACATATATGGTGTTGATAACATGGCGATGCGAGTACCTACTTTAGAGACCATAAACGCACTTTTCAATCCTCTGGCAATGCAAGAAGAGGACGAAGGCTATGCGGAAGATGATGATGAAGACGACGAACCATTTTTGGAATTGCCACTCTTCAAGAGAAGACAACCCTTTCAAAAGCAGGTTATAGCTCAGCCTCAGCAACCTCCACAACCTCAGCAACAACGGTCCAGCTCTTTGTTCGACCATCGCCAACCGGGACCCATTCCCAGGCGCATTTCTGGGGACGGCAAACAACAATCCGACGAGCTTAATGCCCTACCTAAAGAAGATGATTCGATAAAGGGACGCATAGGATTTGGCGAGAAATGGCCCAACGAACATTATTTGCTTGTGCAAGATCTCCAAAAGCCTTCTCCGGCTGTAGGAACACCTCGATCCCTGGCAGATCTCTTATGTCCAAGCTCAGAAGTGTCAATGCCGACGAAGCTCAACGATAGTTCTAATCTCTCGATAACGTGAGACATTTTAAGACTCGGTATGGTTTAAGCCTTCGCCGATATTAAGAGAGTCTTTAGATGATCATTCATACTCGTATATATATATATATTCTTCCTGATTCTCTGTTATTCGGGCACTTCCATTGATAAACTTAAATTGTTAAACATAAACTAAAAAGCTTAATTTACCTTACAACTAAGTCATCGGTCGTGAATGCAAGGAAGGACGTGCCGATGCTAACGCTAGGATGTTCCGCAAGAGACCTAAAATAAGGCCTGGGAATAAGACGAAAGCAGCAGAAAGTGCCGATGATGTGGCCACCTTGAAAAGTCAGCGACGGAACAAAACCACCATTGAGAATTACGAAGATGATGAAGAGCTGGATGAGCGTTTAGATCTAAAGCCGCGTGAAAGAAACAAGAGAACATTTAGGGTACTTGATACGGTCGAAATGCCTGTAATTCCTGCGGAAGTGACCAAAAAACACGATATTCCTTTCTCTACTGTAAGAAAACCCCAGATAATGAACCTGGAAAACATGAGCGACGAAGAAGACACTCACAAAAATTCGGAAACTGTTGGTGCCGGCTGGGAAGCCATACCTTCGGCGGCGGAAATTGAACTTATAAGAAGAAAGCGAGCTATTTTACAGCAGAAAACGGATTCTACAGGAACGGGCTTTTACGCTTCGGGTGGGAAAATACCGTTGGAACACAGGGAGTCAGAATATGTTAAGCTTCTGAATCGTGACGATAAACAAGATCTTCTAGAGGTAATAGGCGATGGTCGAAAAGTCGAAACCGATAATCAGAGCGCAGTTCCCAATGAGTTTCTACCGAGTGCGTACGAAGATGGGAGATTGGCTCTTGGTGAGAGCGAATTAAAGAGAGATGAAGTCGATCGGAAACGTGCGATTTTGAGTGCAATGAGCGAAGCTCAAGATGAGCAGTGGGAAACGCAGCAAATTAACAAGACCGAGAATAAATCCACGATGTGCACGCTTCCTGTGCTTCAACAGGACGACGTAAAACTCGAAAATGTAATTTCAGACCTACAAACACTACTTTTACAGGCTCGAAACAAGAAAGAGGTCCTCATCGCTCAGAAAGTCCCGTTAGAAGCTGAAATTCACGAGTTACTCCAACAGCAACAGAATTTAATATCGAGGCTTACAGATTTTGCCTCTGAATGATACACATGTGAATGAGGAGAGTGTTCCTCGCAGCTCACGCTGTCTGTTAATGAATTTTGGCAGCTACTTAAATTTCACTGAAATGAGATCAAGACGCTATCTGTAATTTAGTCACATAAAACACGGTAAGTGACACTGTTAGATGAAGATACATTATTTGCCATTCAGTTTGGCTCAACAAGTGAGCTCTTCGTCTCATCCCAGCGCTGTCGTGAAGTGACGTCTGATGAAGATTTTGTCGCCGCGCACGAAACACTGAAATAATGAAAACAAAGAAAATATGAATAGCCTACCTCACCTTGTCTGGTATCCAACTAGCGACGTTTCAACCGCTATGAGCTACTTTAGGTATGTTTGAAGACAGTTATTATTGACAGTAAGAGCTCTTACTAACAGTACTGGTTTTTAGAGAGGGCAATGGCTCGTTGAGGGCGCTAGCGCTGGCTAGATTAACTCGTGGCTCAAAAGCTCAGAACTCAGGGGACTCCATTGATAAACTTCTGGCCTCATTACCAGTGTCGTTTTCTTCAACTCTAGGGAAACTTTACTCGATTCCCCTGACCCTTGATGAGCTCGAGGGTTTGCTTGCAATTTGCAAATCGATACCATCTGGAGAGCTGCGGGCCCGTTCGTTGCTGAAAAAATGCATTCTACCTTATTTGCTTGCTAGTCCCAAACAAAGGTTCACAGAGTACGTTGTTAACAAGTACAAGCAACGCAATCTCAAGCATCCCTCCGAGGTTCTGTGCTTCGAACTCGCGAGGTACGTCATTAGAGCCACCAGGATGTTTCCGCAACTAGTGTCAGAGACCAGTCGGATCTGTGACGAGTACCTACAGGTTGTCTCTAACGGACTGACGTTGGAAAGCCTTCTTTCGCTTGCCGGCTTCATTGAGGCGTCGATATTCGAAAACGGTAACTCTTTGTCCTCGATATTAGTGTCTACGTTGCGAACTTTTGTGACCGAGGATTTTCTTTACGCTGTCGAGATGACAACAAGATCTTGTGGTAACAAGGATCTTTTGATCTACCACCTTGACCGCAATCGGGAAATTTCGTCCTTGCTTTTTTGCGAATTGATTCAGAGACTGCAAGTAACGCACGCATGCCGTCTTCTGGGGGTGCCTGCAGCCGATAGTTTGGACAGCTACTTATTGGAAATGCAACACATCAAAGTGCAGAAACCCAAAGAGGCACAATTTGACGAATTCGAGAGCAGGCTTCATGAGAATAGAGAAGAACTTTTGGAGATGTGTGCCTTCTCTTTTAAACAGGTGACCGAAATTGAGCAGGGTGCAAAGTACATTGATCTTTCAAGCCAAGGCCGGCTCGAACTCGCATTCAAATCAAAGGCGTGCATGCTTCAGATTCTGTCTGTTGGTATGTTTTTCGATTTCGAGGTCGAAGAGTTTACACAGCTTGTCCGAGACTCTGTGGTAGACTTGCCGACGAACACTCACGCTATGAATACTACTTTATTCACAACAATCGTCAGCGTTGCCTCTCTGCTCAATTATTTCACAGAGGCAGTCTCTCCTGATTTGTTGCGCATCTTCCCAATGCTAGTCTCCACGAAATCCATATCAAATCAAAAGGTTTCGGCTGTTTCGACAACATTTGCCAAGGGACTGAAGCCCCTCACCGAGGACGCTATTGTAGGGACAATCTACACCATCAATAACCTGCTTGCGTTAGCGCAGGACGGCGCACCTGTAACAACTATGAAAGGGCGTCGTCTAACAACAACGTTGGGAAGCGAAAACAATTTTGACCGCCTTCTCTCTTCTAGGCCTACCAGATCGAATACGGTGGGAACTTATCAATCTCTCCAAAGGCTCAAGATCTCGGCAACGCACTTAATGGGACGGTTCTCTGATGCTGTTGATCAGGAAAACAAGTCCATTTTTGATGGAAAGGAAAGCGGCATCGCTACCCACCACGATGAACTTTTTCACAATGTAATTACTGCGACAACGACCATTGCATCTATTTACAATGATCAATCGATTACCGCGCTAACAATCACAATCTTGACGCAAAAATATGGTACTGTGTCGCCCGCGCTGGACACGAAGATACTGATAGGTTTAGCATATTTGGCATTAAGGGTGAACAAACCGGAGTTCATGCTTTTGATGAAATTCTTCCATACTGCCACGAACCATGCATTAGAGAGGAAAGACTCGGCCGTGATGAAGAGTGTTATTGCAGCTAAAACACTACTTTCTCAAGGTCTTTTCGCGGAGAAGCCTCGCGGTCCTCTTTATACGGTTTATCTTGGCTACCTGTTGGATGCAATTGTTGCTCGTGGTGATGTAGATCGCTCGGAGCATCATAGGTCACACTCCGAGATATCAGAAGTGGCTGGCCAGATTGCAATTTATCTGAAGCCTTTAGCCGCTTTGCTGCCCAAACCTGGTGACAAACCGTTGAATCTTGACCACGATGAAACGTTGACTAACACTTTTAGGAATGTTTGGTTCAATGCTGTGGTTCATGGCTTTCACGGGGAGGCGCCTTTAACGAAAGAGCACCTTGACGAGCTGAGAATAATTGCTTACAACTCACCACCTCTCGCTTCCGACTTCCCTTCGGTTAATCGAGAAACATCACTGGAGATGAATACCATATTACGGCGTGGTTCTTCAAATCATAACATAAAGGAACAGAAAAATACGCTGTCCGGATATTTACCCATTAATTCTGTGCAAGCTAGAACGCTTTCCACTTCAAAAGTCATGTTTCTGGCATCAACTCTACTTTTGGAGAATCTAAGATGTGACGCTGGTGATTGCTCAAAAGCCTTATTGTATTGTTCTGATCGCTCTATAGCCAAAAGCAATATTGATAAATCTGTGGCATCCATATCGGCGTCGATGATCCAAAAGTACACGAAGTTAGCTATACAGGGAAATCCTCGTATTTTTTCTGCTGAGATGGTTGCGGGGCAACTAACCAACATTATCCTGCTTTTGACTCACAGGGATATTTCTCTTCAAGAGGCGGCCTACACGTGTTGTGACAAGTTCATTGAAAGAATTCCATCAAGTCTCTGTCACCGAGCCTCACTTTACACCTTGTTGGATTCGCTGTCTATGCTTTTTGACAGTGTTGTGGCATGTGAGGCAAACAAGCATGAGGTCGTCTTCGATTTCACGTTAAAACATTCCAAGCGTAAGGTGACACTACCAGACTCATATCAATGGCGATCTGTGACGTTAGAACAACTTCAAAAATACGCTACGCGGTGGGTGACTGTGATTTTGAAGACTGCAAATCAGGACGCCAAAATTTTGCTCCAGTCTTACATCTCGGACTTTAGCAGCATTCAAAGACTTAACGGTGTCGAATTTGGCGTATCCTTCGCTCTTGAGATGGCTGCTAAAATTTTGCCCGTTGATCGAGAGCTTGCAAGCATTACAAAGAGCGGTTACCGCAGGCCCGATAGCATCTCCGGTTTCTTGTCGCAACATGCATGGAGATCACGCTACATGAGAGATCAAAGCGTTTTGTCTTCCTATCACGACGTCGAAGTGGAAAGGTGCGAACTCAAGAAGGCAATTGAGGAAAAGCTGACAAACAGCAAGTCGATTAATTACAACGACCTTAGTACATTTCTTGACTTGTCTGCCTCCCTACTTGTTTTGAAAAAGGGCAATGCGGCCACTTTAGTGTACGATATCGTTAACGTTCCTTTTCAGGTCTCTACTTCTGATGCGATCAAAATTGCGACAAATGTTTGGCTATCTGTGATGAAAGAGCGGAGCGACATTTCGTATCTACTACTGTCTGAGATTGCTAATTGCTGGTCTTATTCCATTGAGAATAGTGAAGGTCTTTTCTCTAGCAAGCATAACCTTAAAGCGGAGGACTTTAACATGATGGAGTATTCACCCTATAATAAAAAGGAAGTCAACCTGGGCGCACATAACGCTAGCAAGTCCCTGCAGCCCCATATGCTGATCATTAGGTTTCTTACTTCTCATTTTGAAGGAACGATGTTCGACAGCTTGCATCTGCTTCAGATTTTTACTAAAATCTGCATTCAAGGTCTGAAAGGTCTCAAAAAGGCGAGCTTGCACCCTTTTTCTAGAATGGCTAGAAGTGAGCTCATTAACTTCGGCATCTTGGTGTTTGCAACCAATGCCAAGCATAATACGCGCGAGGTCCCCAAATTAGGGCGCACTTTGGTTGATGGTGCCCTGGGCTGGTTTGAAAAACCCAAGTCTTGGCCGTTCGGAGCGAACGAACTAAAGATCAGAGCCGACTTGGCCATGCTTGTGGAACTCTACAAAAAATTGAAACAGAATGAACAGACCCTCAATGCCTATCGTGGCCGGGAACTAACTCTGTTACAGTATTTTTTGCTCAGTGAAATACATGCGGTCGAGGGTTGGCTGCGCCCATTGGCAAAACCTATGGACTATACAAAGTTACCAGTGGATTTGATTTCCTTCGCCTTCAAAAAGAGTCCGTCATTGGCGGTCAACCTAGCAGATCGCTACCCTGCTAAAAAGGCAGAAGATTTGTTACAGCGGTTGATCGTCGAAAATCCACTACTTTGCGTGCATACGCCAAGAACACTGAAGCCATTTTTAAGTGCGACAAAAAGATTCCATTATATTTTATACTGGATTTCTGCAAGTCCATTGCAGTCCATTAATTTGTTTCTCCCACAGTGGGCTCAAAACACTTATGTCGTTCAGTACAACGTCAGAGCGCTAGAATCGCATGATGTAAACTTGACATTCTTCTACGTGCCTCAAATTGTTCAATGCTTGAGATGGGATCCTTTAGGGTACGTTGAGCGATTCATCATTGACACGGCAAAGATAAGCGTGCTATTTTCACATCAAATCATATGGAATATGCTGGCTAACAGCTACAAAGACGATGAGGGGCAGATCCCAGATGACTTGAAACCTAGTTTGGACCAGATTCAAGACAAAATAGTCAAGGCCTTGAGCCGTAAACAGAGAGACTTCTACGAACGCGAGTTCGAATTCTTCAATGAAGTTACCGGTATTTCAGGTAAACTAAGACCGTACATCAAAAAAACGAAGGCCGAGAAGAAGCATAAGATCGACGAAGAGATGAGCAAGATCGTTGTGCGAGACGATGTATACCTGCCTTCGAATCCCGATGGGGTTGTGGTGGATATTGATCGGTTGAGTGGCAAGCCTCTGCAAAGCCATGCCAAGGCACCCTTCATGGCCACTTTCAAAATCGAGCGATTGGAGCTGGACCCTGAGACTGAGGAGCGCCGCAAAGTGGAAAAATGGCAAGCCGCAATTTTCAAAGTTGGTGATGACTGTAGACAGGATGTGCTGGCATTGCAGCTCATCTCTCTCTTCCGGACCATCTGGTCCTGTATTGGACTGGACGTTTATGTGTTCCCTTACCGAGTGACAGCTACTGCGCCGGGATGTGGTGTCATCGACGTGTTGCCCAACTCTATTTCGAGAGACATGTTGGGAAGAGAGGCTGTCAATGGTCTGTATGAGTACTTCATCACCAAATTCGGGCACGAAAACACCGCTGAGTTCCAGCACGCCAGAAACAACTTTGTCAAATCGCTAGCTGGATACTCTGTCATCTCATACCTGCTGCAATTCAAGGACCGACACAACGGTAACATCATGTACGATGACCAGGGTCACTGCTTGCACATCGATTTCGGGTTTATTTTCGACATTGTTCCTGGAGGCGTCAAGTTCGAGGCTGTACCTTTCAAGCTCACCAAAGAAATGGTGAAAGTTATGGGTGGCTCACCCGACACACAGGCCTACAGGGAGTTCGAAGAACTGTGTATTAAGGCGTACTTAGCTGCCCGTCCTCACGTGAATATGATTCTGGAGTGCGTGCGGCCCATGCTCAGCAGCGGGCTGCCGTGCTTCAAGGGCGAGAAGACCATGCGCAATCTCGAGGCGCGTTTTTCGCCCGATAAGAGTGAGCACGAGGCAGCTGATTTCATGCTGGGCCTGATCAAGAAGTCCTACGAAAGCGTTTTCACACGAGGCTACGACGAATTCCAGCGTCTAACGAACGGTATTCCCTACTAATTGCACGACGGACTGTACATGTCGATACGAGTAATGTGACTTTAAAATTCTCAAACTACTTTGAGAGTGATGCCACAAAATATCAGCAATTCAGTAGCCTTTTAAAGCCTGGTGAATCCTCTAAGGCCCTTTTCTTTGCACAATATGGTACTGCCTGTTATGCTTGTCGCTCTGCTCATCCGAATATATATATATATATGTGTATATCTTTGTTATAGAAGATCTTACGCTACTCGTACAAAACGCTCTGTCATCTTGTCACATGATCATCCTGTGACATACGCGTGATCTTTTCCGAAGTCGGATCCGATATATCACTGTGTACGCGTCGGCTCAAGTCGGCTCCGTAAGCGCGGCCACTTCTGGTCACGTACCTTTATTGAAATCTCAAATCGGGCGGGAAAAAATGACTATATATATAGCTCTCGGATTTCTCGAATTGAAGGGATATCAACAACTCCAAGTCTAACTGTAAAGTTGTGGAACTTGTCAAACGCTCTAAAAACGTCGTAGCGGAGCTGTCGTTAATCGTCGCAGTAGATCGATTATCAATTTAAAGCCAGGTTTCCCAAAAAAGCGGCTTCCAAAATGTTGTCAGCACGCCGAATTGTGCAAAAGCCCTTGGCTCGTGGGTTGGCCTCGGTGTCGAACTTGACTAGAGACTCCAAAGTGCACCAAAACTTGCTAGAAGACCACTCTTTCATCAACTACAAACAGAATGTGGAGACACTAGACATTGTGAAGAGCAGGCTCAACAGACCCCTAACTTATGCGGAAAAGATCTTGTACGGCCATTTGGACAACCCTCACGGCCAGGACATCGAGCGTGGTGTCAGCTACCTAAAGCTACGGCCAGACCGTGTGGCGTGCCAGGACGCCACGGCTCAGATGGCCATTCTGCAGTTCATGTCTGCAGGCCTTCCACAGGTTGCCAAGCCTGTCACGGTGCACTGTGACCATTTGATCCAGGCACAACTAGGTGGAGAAAAGGACTTGAAGAGAGCCATTGACCTCAACAAGGAGGTTTTCGACTTTTTGGCCACTGCCACCGCCAAGTACAACATGGGTTTCTGGAAGCCAGGCTCCGGTATCATCCACCAAATTGTACTTGAAAACTACGCTTTCCCAGGTGCCTTGATCATCGGTACCGATTCCCACACGCCTAATGCTGGTGGCCTAGGTCAACTGGCCATCGGTGTCGGTGGTGCTGACGCCGTGGACGTGATGTCCGACCTCCCATGGGAGTTGAAGGCCCCTAAGATTCTCGGTGTCAAATTGACCGGCAGAATGAGCGGCTGGACTTCTCCTAAGGATATTATTCTAAAACTAGCCGGTATCACTACAGTCAAGGGTGGAACCGGTAAGATCGTCGAATACTTTGGTGACGGTATCAACACCTTCTCCGCCACCGGTATGGGTACCATCTGTAACATGGGTGCTGAAATTGGTGCCACAACCTCCGTTTTCCCATACAACAACTCCATGGTGGACTACTTGAAGGCCACCAAGCGTGGTCAAATCGCCGATTTCGCCGACTTGTACCACAAGGACTTGTTGTCGGCTGACAAAGGTGCCGAATACGACGAAGTGATCGAAATCAACTTGAGCGAATTGGAACCTTACATCAACGGTCCTTTCACCCCAGATTTGGCCACTCCAATCTCTGCCATGAAAGAGGTTGCCCCTAGAAACAACTGGCCTTTGGACGTTAGAGTCGGTTTGATCGGGTCTTGCACCAACTCTTCTTACGAAGACATGACCCGTGCTGCCTCTATTGCCAAAGACGCTGCTGCTCACGGTTTGAAGGCCAAGTCTTTGTTCACCATCAGTCCTGGTTCCGAGCAAGTCAGAGCAACCATTGCCCGTGACGGTCAATTGAAGGCTTTCCAAGACTTTGGTGGTGTCGTCATGGCCAACGCTTGTGGTCCATGTATCGGTCAATGGGATCGTCAAGACATCAAGAAGGGTGACAAGAACACTATCGTTTCCTCTTTCAACAGAAACTTCACTTCCAGAAATGACGGTAACCCTGAGACTCACTCTTTCGTCGCTTCTCCAGAGATCACGATCGCCTTGGCCATTGCAGGTGACTTGAGATTCAACCCACTTACCGACAAGTTGAAGGACAAGGACGGTAACGAGTTCATGTTGAAGCCACCAACCGGCGTGGGTTTGCCACCAAAGGGCTACGATGCTGGTGAAAACACATACCAAGCCCCACCCGCTGTGCGCTCGGAGGTCGAAGTTAAGGTTTCTCCAACATCTGACCGTTTGCAACTATTGGAACCATTCGACTCTTGGAACGGCAAGGATCCAAAGGACCTACCAATTCTAATCAAGGCTTTGGGTAAGACCACCACTGACCATATCTCTATGGCTGGTCCATGGTTGAAGTACCGTGGTCACTTGGAGAACATTTCCAACAACTACATGATCGGTGCCATCAACGCTGAGAACAAGAAGGCCAACTGTGTCAAGAACTTCTACACTGGTGAATACGCCGGTGTTCCTGACACCGCCAGAGCCTACAAGAAACAAGGCCAAAAGTGGGTTGTTGTTGGTGGTGAAAACTTTGGTGAAGGTTCCTCTCGTGAGCACGCTGCCCTAGAACCAAGATACCTAGGTGCTTATGCTATCATCACCAAGTCCTTTGCTCGTATTCACGAGACCAACTTGAAGAAACAAGGTTTGTTGCCATTGACTTTTGCCCAACCAGAGGCCTACGACAGAATCAACCCAGATGACCTAATCGATCTTGTCGGTGTTACTGACTTGGCTCCAGGTAAGCCTATCACCATGAGAATGAAGACCAAGTCTGGCGAAACCTGGGAGACTCCTTTGAACCACACATTCAACAAAGAACAAATCGAATGGTTCAAGGCCGGTTCCGCTCTAAACAAGATGGCTGCTGCCAAGAACTAATGACACACATCAATTATATTACTCACCAGGCACTTAACTAACCGTGCTTCCACTATTTATTACTATATAACATATTTATTCGATTCGATGATTTTCATGTATTTTTTGAACACGCAGCTTCACTGTCATTGTCGTTCATTCTATTAAAGGTTCTGAACCAGTGAAAAGGATATCTCCTTACAATGGTTTCCGATGACATCCAGCGCAGTGATTTCTTGATCTTAAATCGTCGAACTTCACGTAAATAACCCAAAAATCAGCGTTAAATTATGTCAAGATATGTATCTGACATATCCTCTATTTTGTATGGTAATATTTATATAGTTCAAATAAGAACTTCAAATATCACTTTGGTTATAGACACATTTTTATTGTAAAATATCTAAAATACCTGGATTACTACTCGTAATGTGGTCGAACTGTGCGTATGGGCTTAGACCTTATCCGGACCAGACTACCAACGTGTTAAATCCATGTTTTCTTTCGGCAGTTTCGATAGGGCAGGCCGCTGTTTTTGGCATTATAGGTGCTATTCAGTTAACTCGATTGATGCAAGAGACCAGAGTGCCACCTGCTTTCAAATATGCTTCAATGTGGAGGGCGCTGTCAACTAAACATTTGCTGCATTTGTCGAACGTCGTCTTGCAAGCCGTGCTGCTTTTATGTCTAGTCATGGTTTTGCCAACAGACAGCACGCCACGAATTACTTTGGAAAGTGTTCTGTCCCAACTGCTCCTTGTGGTTTTCGTCTGCCTTCCCACTCAATTTCTGCAATTCTACAAGTCTACGGCATCGCTGGCGGGCCAGCTGTTCTATTTCCTCAATCAGGCAGTCTTGCTTGGGTTTCAACTAGGACAGCGTATTAGCCAACACCCTGACGCCCGTTTCAACGTATTCCCGGGACAAATGGGGGCTTTGCTGGAAGTAGCGCTGATTTTAAATGCATTAACGATTTTCCTGTATGATCTTCTATCTTTCACTCCCAGTCAAGAGCTCCTCGATTATTATTCGGAAAAGGCGCTTAGCGTCGAGTGCAACATCTTTGAGAGTATCACATTTACGTGGATGAACAAGCTTATATCCCAAGTATACGAAGATGGCGAGATAAAAGACCCCCATCAAATGCCCCTTCCTCCCATCAACCTCGACGTTAAAGATCAGGCCGCACTTTTGAAAGCGAAATGGGAGTCTGAGAAATGGAGCGGAAGAAACTCTCTGTTTTGGGCAATTTTGCATGCTTTTGGCAAGATTATTGCAGTAGCTTTGTCCATCGAGGTCTTAAAGGATGTTATGACTATTCTGCAACCTCAGCTTCTAAGACTGTTCATCAGCGAATTCAACAAGACGCCTAATGAGGATCGTTCACACCCTATGCTGAATGCTGTGTTTATAGCGATCGCTCTGTTCTTGATGAAGCTCACCTCGACTTGCCTGTCCAACCAGTTCTTTATCATAATTTTTGAAGCCGGAATGGCTATTAGAGGTTCGCTGATGACCATGCTGTACCAAAAGTCATTGGCCTTGTCTAGTGAGGCCCGAGAAGAAAAGTCAGCAGGTGATATTCTTAACTTGATGGCAGTCGATGTGATAAGAATTCAGCGCTTTTTCGAAACATCCCAAGACATCATTGGTTCTCCAATTGCACTCGTCACTACCCTAGTGTCATTATACTCATTTTTGGGAAATGCTACCGTTGGCGGTATTGCCGTAATGGCTGTCATGTTCCCAGTAAACAGCTATCTTTCGCGCAAGATTAAGAAGTACGTCAAAACGCAGATGAAGTACAAAGACGCTAGAATCAAGACCGTCACAGAGATATTGAACTCGGTCAAGACCGTGAAACTTTATGCCTGGGAGAAGCCGATGTTAGAGAAGCTTAACCATGTTCGCAATAAGCAGGAATTAGAGAGCGCCAAAACTATCGCGATCCTGACAAATTTGACTCTACTGGCTTGGAACTGTGTTCCAATCTTGGTCGCATCATCCACCTTTTTGATTTATGCTCTAACCATAAACAAACCTTTGTCACCTGAAATTGTATTCCCTTCTTTATCTTTGTTTGACATTTTGAATGATTGTATCTACACAATCCCGCGCACCATCACAAACTTCATTGAAACGGGGGTATCTTTGGGTAGGCTGAAAGATTTCTTCCTCGCAAAGGAGTTGGACAAATCTTTCATAAATTACGATAAGTTGCCTATCAATTCCGAAGTACCAGTGCTCGAATTGGACAATGCCACATTTCTTCGCAAACAATTTGTCAAACCATCGGATGATTATGATGAAGAGGCAGCTATTGAAAGTTCCAAAGTTGCGCTGAGCAACATCTCCTTCAAAGCCTACAAGGGCCAGTTGGTGTGCATTGTAGGCAGGGTTGGGAATGGTAAGTCAACCTTTTTGCAGGCTCTCATGGGCATGCTGCCCTGTGTGAGTGGCTCTGAGCCTCACAGATCGCCAGTTTTTCATTTTAGAGCCAATTCTCTTGCTTTGTGCTCCCAACAAGCTTGGATAATGAATGCAAGCGTTAAAGATAATATTCTTTTTGGTCACAGGTACGATGCGGCATATTACGATGCCACTATCAAAGCCTGTCAATTACTACCCGATCTTGAGATTTTGGCTGATGGTGATGAAACTTTGGTTGGTGAAAAGGGTATTTCGCTGTCCGGAGGTCAGAAAGCTCGACTCTCCCTTGCAAGAGCCGTTTATTCTAGAGCAGACGTTTATTTCTTGGATGACATTTTGAGTGCTGTTGACGCACAGGTGTGCAAACAGATCATAGACCAAGTTTTGAGCAGAGAGCGAGGGCTTTTGAAGAGTAAAACTGTGATTTTAACCACCAATTCAACATCTGTTTTGGAACACTCCCAGAGCATTTGTGCCCTAGAAGAGGGAACTATTGTTGAGACTGGAAGCTTCAGTGAAATCGTCCGCAGGGGGCCCGAGTCAAAGCTGAACACTTTGATAAGGGACATCGGCTCTACTGAGACCGAAAAGGACAAAAAGGCCTTGCCAGAAAGTTCTTCGTATGTCATTGAAGAAGCCCAGCGATACGAACTCCAGGAAGAAATTGGCCTTATTGATCCCGTCGAAGGAGAAAATGTTGTACGTTCTGCTTTACAATCTCGAAAGGCATCGATGGCGACCTTGAGGCCACGCAAAATCATCGACATCAACGCGGACACAAGAAAAACAAAGCAGAAGGAAGAGAAGAAAGAACGTGGCAGGGTGAAGAGGGAGGTTTATATGGCGTACCTCAAGGCTTGTGGTATACCTGGAGCCATAGTTTTCTTGATATTTTTAGCCAGTTCTAGAGCGTTGCTCGTTGGAGAGAATTTCTGGTTGAAGCACTGGTCCGAGGATAATCAGAAAAAGGGTGAAAATGTTAGAATCGGCTTCTACGTCGGAATATACATTCTCATTTCGCTTGCTGCCGCAACGTTGAACAACCTCAAAAATATTGTTCTATTACTAGTATGCTCAATTCGAGCCTCCAGAATTCTTCATGATAATATGGCACGCGCAGTTTTGAGAAGCCCGATGAGTTTTTTTGAAACCACTCCAGTTGGTCGGATTATCAATCGTTTTTCTAGTGACATGAACTCTGTGGACGATAACGTACAATATGTTATCAGCTTTTTCCTACTCTCTGTTCTCGACTACATTGTTGTGGTCATTGTCATTGGGTACCAAGTGCCTTTGTATCTGGTTGTGAACGCCCTGCTGATGATACTTTACTTCTACTATCAGCTATACTACGTGACATTGAGTAGAGAGCTCAAGCGCCTAATGAGCACCAGCTTTTCGCCTATAATGTCCATGCTAAGTGAAACACTTGCGGGACACATGGTAATTGATGCGTTCGACCACTTCGAGCGTTTCGACTATTTTAACCTTCAGAACATTCAATTTAATGTGAATTGCGTCTTTAACTTCCGCTCCACAAATCGATGGTTGTCCGTGAGATTGGAGGCGATCGGTGCGTTCATGATTTTGACAGTGGCAGTCTTGTCTCTGTCAACTACGACTGGAGACAACCCACTTTCAGCGGGTATGGTCGGCTTGCTCATGAGTTGTGCCCTACAAGTCACTAACCGGCTAATGTGGATTGTTAGAATGTCGGTTCAATTGGAAACCAACATCGTCTCTGTTGAACGAATTGTAGAATACTGTGACTTGCCTCCGGAAGCACCTGCCATTATAAATCAGCATAGACCGGAGAAAAACTGGCCAGCACTTGGTTCTATCAAGTTTGACAATTACTCTACAAGATACAGATCGAATTTGGATCCAGTCCTAAAAAACCTCAGTTTTGACATTAAGCCTCAGGAAAAGATTGGAATAGTTGGAAGAACCGGTGCTGGAAAATCAACGCTGTCACTTGCTCTATTCAGAATTTTGGAACCTTCAGAGGGTAGACTTATCATTGATGGCGTCGACATAAGTAAAATTGGCCTGTTTGATTTGAGAAGCAATCTTGCCATTATCCCGCAAGACGCTCAAGCTTTCGAAGGTACGATCAGGTCAAATCTTGATCCCTTCGGCAGTTATGACGATGACGAAATTTGGAGGGCATTAGAACTCTCTCACCTCAAGCCTCACGTAATGAAAATGGCTAAAGAGGAGGAAGAGTCCAAACGCAGCGACAACCTTTTGGATACTAAAGTCAGTGAAAATGGTAGTAATCTCTCTGTCGGCCAACGGCAGTTACTTTGTTTGTCAAGAGCGCTTTTGAATCATTCCAGGATTTTGATTTTAGATGAAGCTACAGCCGCCGTTGACACTGAGACAGATCGTTTGATCCAAGAGACAATCAGAGACGAGTTCAAAGATCGCACAATCCTTACTATTGCTCACCGTATTGATACAGTCTTGGATAGCGACAAGATCATGGTCTTAGATAAAGGAAAGCTCAAAGAGTTCGACACGCCCGCGAACTTGCTGGCTGACAAGACTACGATATTTTACAACCTGTGCGAACAGGGCGGCTACGTGAAGCCGAAAGACTAGTTAATTTTGAACATCAATTTCGAAAGTAAATATTCTACACCATTTCATCATACTTTTTTGTCGACCTAGCTTCTAGATTTATCCGTTGTCACACATACGTGAAGGGTCCCTTCCCTGAGGCCTGTGAACTGACAACTTTACAAAGTCTGACCTTCGAACACCTTTTCGAAAGCTTGCTGGAAATCAGCAATAATATCGTCGATATACTCAGTTCCAACTGAGACACGGATCAAGTCCTTGGTAACACCAGAAGCCAGCTTCTCATCCTCGCTCAATTGTTGATGGGTCGTGAAGTAAGGAGAAATAACCAAAGTCTTAGAATCACCGACATTGGCCAAGTTGGAAGCAACTTTGAGAGAGTCAACAACCTGAACACCGGAAGCAGTAAATGGGTCAGCGCTCTCGGGAGCGTTTGGCAAATCCTTGACACCGAAGGAAAGGACACCACCGAAACCGTTTTGTAGGTACTTCTTAGCGTTTTCGTGGTGAGAATGAGAAGGCAGCCCAGGGTAGGAGACCCAAGACACATATGGGGAGCTCTCTAGATATTTAGCGAGTTTAATGGCGTTAGAAGCATGTCTTTCACCTCTTAAAGACAAAGTCTCAACACCTTGTAGCAACATGAAAGCAGCGAATGGGTTCAAAGCTGGGCCCAGGTCTCTTAGAAGCTCGACTCTAACGTGGGCGATATAGGCCAATGAGCCTAGAACATCGTTGAAGATCATGCCATGGTAGCCCTCAGAAGGCTTAGAGAATTGTGGAAACTTCTCTGGGTACTCCTTCCATGGGAATTTACCAGAATCCACAATCACACCACCGATGGTAGTTCCGTGGCCGCCGATCCACTTGGTAGCAGAGTGTGTAACGATGTCGGCGCCGTACTTGATTGGTTGAGCGAAGAAACCACCGGCACCAAAAGTGTTGTCAACAACAACTGGAATACCGTGCTTGTGAGCCACAGCGACAATTTCATCGAAGTCTGGAACGTTGTACTTTGGGTTTCCAATGGTCTCCAGGTAGACAGCTTTGGTCTTTTCATCGAAGGCTTTTTCAAAGTCTTCTGGGCTGTCACCGTCAATAAATCTAGTCTCAATTCCCAGTCTCTTAAAAGCGACTTTGAATTGGTTGTAAGTGCCACCGTACAAATAAGATGTGGAGACGATGTTGTCACCGGCGTGAGCCAAACCGGTGATGGCCAATGTTTGAGCAGCCTGGCCCGAGGAAACGGCCAAAGCAGCGGCACCGCCCTCCAAAGCGGCAATTCTTCTCTCCAAGACATCAACGGTAGGGTTAACGATACGGGAATACATGTAACCTGGGGTTTCTAGTCCAAATAGCGCAGCGCCGTGCTTCGAGTCGTTGAAGACATAAGACGAAGTGGCGTAAATTGGCACTGCTCTTGGATTGTGTGCATTTTCTTTGAAGTCTTCTTGACCAGCGTGCAATTGCAGAGTGTCGAAGTGGGAAGGCATTGTGAGACGTAAGCTGCTTGCAGTTTTGAAAAGAGCTGAACTAATTCAACTCATCACCAGATCTCGAGATTCGTTAGAACACACCAACGGGGTCCCTTTTATATTGTGTGACAGACATTAGACATCACCACTACCGGAGGGTCAAAAGTGCAAAGTTGTGGGCTCGTGCCGGTGATTGTCCCGAATTTTTTAAACTGTGGTTCGAACGAAGCGACTCACATGCTCATTCTGCCTTCCAATTGTGATAAATGCTCGGTCACAATACGGCAAGCGGTCCTGGCCGTCCTGGTGGGTCCTGTGGTAGCCAAAGGCTCACTGCGTCCGTGCATACGCTGTAAATTTTTTCTCAAGCGTGCTCCACCACAATTACCGACATCGAACGAACCACAGTTCGAACGACTGTTGGTAGCTTGAACTTGGAGAAGTTTGGGAAGATTCCAGTTGAGTTGTATACGAGAGGCCATTAAAACTATCAAACGTCTTGGAGCCTGGTCTTTTCGTTATTCGTTTGTCGCTGGAGCGACACGGTGAACGCATGGTGCGATGATGTCACTTTTTTCTATTCTGACATTGTCGAAATTTCAAAATATCACGAGGCGCGCAGGCGGAGAAAAACGAACAGAACGCACACACCACAACTGCCAGATAACACCCAGAAAAACGACATTAACCACAATTGTGGCAGATATTCGGTCTGTAGTTGGCCATTGGCCATTGGCTATTGTGACGGATCACGGATGGGAATTTTTCATTTTGGGTGCTGTAGTCTTGGTTCAGCTCTGTTCAGATCGGTTTCTGAGTCTGTCTCTTTTCGTTGTCCTGGTTACCGGAATATGCACCTCAGATGCATGGAATATTCTAAAATCTAAAAGGGAAGTAGCAATGCCGTTTTGGGAAAGAGAGAAAACCTCCATTGAAGCGAGGAATCCAGGAAAGGATTCAAAAAAAATTAAATGAGAGCTACGGGATTCGAACCCGCGCATCCGAAGATATCAGAGAATCTGACTTATTATTTGAAGTTAAGCCTAAATCTGACGCCTTAACCACTCGGCCAAACTCTCATATTGTTGAAGATATCGGTTGACGTCCTGGAGATGGGCAATTGTAAAGACCAGGAGCGAAGCATAACAGTTTGTTTCAGACACGAGTGGGCGTGTTTTTCTTGACGGAGACGACATGAAGCACCAGTATTTATATGTTTTTCCCGGGTTCATTGATCGGGCTTTTGAGGCTCAAAAGAGAGCTCGTTGAGTCGCAAGAGAGTAGTGGCACGAAGATCGACGTCGAGATCTGTGAATGAGTATATCACTTAGTACGGATGTTCGAAATGATAACTACAGGTTTAGTGAATGCTAGATCGCAATTGCAGCGGTTGGGACCCCATTATGCCTTACTCTGGTGATGGCGTACATTATTATACTCGATTCATGTAACATTTAGATTGTTGTTAGTTCTTGTATTGGTATATTTCGTGTTTATGTCACGTAAATGTCAATTGCGTCGCGTGTTAATTCTCCGAAAAACCTCTGATAAATTACGTGATAAAAATGCCAAGGGTAAGAGAGAAATCAAGTGCCCCTACGGCTTTCAAACTAGATAGGTATGCTATGATGCCCACATCGCCAAAACCAGCTCACCAAAATGGTATTCGCATGTGCTAACTGAAGCACGCTAGATCAAAAGAACACTTGTAGCATTCTATACGAACATCGTCTTCAGATATACCAGACCGCGCTACCACCCGGAAAGAGAGACGACTACTTCAGATTACCAGAATCCAGTGCTAACTATCGTAATATCCTCATGTTTTTGTTTGCGTTTGTGTTCGTGGTGATGTTCGCCTTTTCAATTTGGTGTTCTTTATCAAAACACACATCCACAACTGCGAAGTCATCAAGACAGCGACTTTTGAACTAAATTCGAAAACAACAGCCCATGAACTTGCTGTTATATCATATGCAAGGTCCTGATATCAAAAAGCAAACCTACGCTCACCAACGGACTTAGCGCTGAAAACATTAATTCTCTCTTCGACTTGACAATCTATCTACTAAACGCACACATTCGATATCGATAAAAGGGGACAGTAAAAAGAGGGCGCTGATGAGCTACTACCTGCTGTCAGCGAGAATTACATTATTCTTGTCAAGGTTCATGTGAGCTTTTAAGCAGGGTATATTATTTACAGTCTCTCCTTCAATCAACAGTAGCTTGCGTGGCGTAATGGCAACGCGTCTGACTTCTAATCAGAAGATTGTGGGTTCGACCCCCACCGTGAGTGCTTTTATTTTTTTTGGCTCAGGACGTCTGCTTTGTTCCACTTAGGACTATACTTAGCAGATAGAAAGCCTCTCAAAAAAGACGGGGAGGATCATCGGAAATCATGCATGAGATTAACTTTATATAGCTCTCCTCTATATTATTAGAACCGGTCTAATATATCAAATTCTTGTCCGAGTCTCGTATCAAACACAATCGATCTAGCTTATACCTTTCAATGTCTTCTATAGTAGGAGACGTCGCAAGCAGTGCCGGTGGTTTCGGCTCAAAGAATAAAGTGATGTCGCAATCCTTGTCAAACATGCCTCGTTCGGTTATTGCATGCCCGACCCCACTGGAGTATTTTACTGCGGGCGTAAGAAGTAGAGTTTTGCGGCGATCCATAGAATAATCCTCGTCACATTTCATATCTTTGAGAATCTCGCCCAGTAGTATTGAACCTGGCATATCTTTTGGCTCCATGGTGTATGCATCAAACACCCCAGCCTCTGGGCCAGATTGAGCTTTCGCGGCTCTCCATGATTCGATTTGCGAAAGCGCAGGTTCTCTTACAGCTGCATGAAAAAGATTATTGTCGCGTTCATCTATCGGAAAGATATCCGGATAATTTTCCCAGCCAATAATTTGGTTTCTTAATGAGCTTATGAACTTCTCAGTCATGTTACACACTTTCCGATTGTGGAATCTTTGCTCTGAGACTTTCATGGGAAACGGATTTACAACGGTAAAGAAATTGCGTAGCATGTAGCTTCTTCTCTCCATAAAGGATACTAGCCTAATCGAAAATTCGGCAAACGGTCCTAGTCTGGGTTCCAAGTCGTAAAAAATGGTCTTGAGTGAAAACGGATAGAAGCTTGTGGGCCCATAGAACGGACGCGACATCAGGTAACATCCTGCGGGGAACAAATTGTTGAGATACGCGGGAATTGAATGGTAAAAAGTGTAAAACACCCGATGTACGCCTGACATTGAGTCAAGAATACAAAACGCTTCTCCAGGGACATTTAGCGTCCAACGCCTGTAAACCTCATACATGGTGTCGATAGGGAGCGGCATAACACCGGAGGCCAAAGGCAGAAGACTCACCAAATAATTGAGGTACCCGGTCAGCTCCTTATAATGAAGCTCAAGACGCCGGTCACTCACGGACGAGATAAACGGTTTGAGTTTTCGCAGTACATCCACAACTTCGTAGAGTAAGTCAGTAGAGTATGCAGGATAGTAGAGGAGCGTCAAATGAAGGGGCAAAGAGACCCAATAATAGTGAAGAGCTCGTGTGAGCTTCTCGATCTTGTTCTTTCGAGACATCTCAATGCACATATCAATCATTGCAATGTGGTGCTTATCGTCATATCCAGAGTTTTTGTACATCAGTGTGTACTGAATATTTGAGTTGCTAATCAGCAGCCGTGTCCCAACAAGCTTGTCGCCTTGTGAAAGCTCTGATGTTAAAAAGGTCGATATGATATGTCGTACGAAAGACAGCAGCTGGCCGTGGTATCTTACCGCTATGTTTTCCATTGAAGCCCGCTCAATGAGAAGGTCGCGCGCTGCGGCGAGGCGCTTCCGTTTCTGAGCAATCTCAATCTTCCGCGTGAGGCTCTTGATAGATGCATAAATGGCCAGCACAACAAATCCTTTCGTCGACAGGCTCCAGTCCTGGGTGCAGTTCAAAAGCAACTGCAAATACAGCGCTCTTGGCACTCTCATATTTTCCATACCAACCATACAAATCCATGCCGATTCTGGTATATCTACACGTCGGTGTGGTATCATAACGATCTCGACCGCTAAATCCTCTGCCAAGGGCTCGCTTTGTTCCAGCTGGTAACTACTGTTGCGAGCAGCACGCGACAGGTGTGCTGAGCAGTTTTGCTTTTTCAGTGTCTTGAACTCCTTGATTTGCTCTTCACTCATTCGAAGATAAGAGCACTGATGGGCCACGTCGCCAGGTTTTTGGACCCTATTGCGACAGTTTCGACACTCTGGCAATGTCTCGTCACACTTTATGCGTCGCTTTTTGCATTCAAGACATCCTAGCTTAGAATTACGGTGTTTTCGCCTTCCAACTCGTTTTCTTGGCTCGAAAGCGTCGGATGACGTAGCTCTAATCAATTCGTTTGTGTTTAACTCTGGACTGCCCTCGATATCGCTAAAGTCAAAAAGATTTGTGACATTGCCTTCAATATCATGTCGACCATCCCTAGGATCTCTCCCTGCCCCACCGGCCTCCATGCTTCCTAGTCAAAATCTCCTCCAAATGGTGATGAGCTGTACCTGTTTATTTTTTGCCTGGAGGATTTCAAGTTTCTTGAAAAATTATTAAATGCATCGAAGGCGAGTGTCAGTATAAAAAAATCAAAACATAACCACCTGGACAATCCTTAACCTCATTTTTTATGGTATGCATTTTGTCAAGCCGACTCGAAAAGTCTCTTGAAAGTGACTTGTTTTTTCACATCACTTTTCCAGCATTCTGCGAAAATCTCAACAGTTGGTCGCTGCAGGAATATATGTATTGAACCTGCAGAAGCAGAATTCACACTTGTCCGAAGTTCGAAAAAAAAAGTCCCAACTATTTATGGTAGCCCGAAAAAATCTGCGTACGTTGAAGTAGCGACCGGGGACTCTGGAAATCGGGCATTTTTCTTAAGTTTTCCAGCGTAGACACGAGAAAGAATGAAAGTCGGAGTCCCCCGGGGAGGACGTCGAAAACCTAACACCGACAAGACTGCCGTAGCACACATGTAGCATAGAGTTTCTTTCTTCCGAGGTTAAGTCTCGAGTATTTCGTTGAGTCAGTCTTGCGTGTTAATTTTTGGGAAGCTTCGTAATTCGGATTTGCGCTATTAAAGAGCATCTCCAGGATCAGTGAGTTTCTCTAGGACTTTCTCCCAGCCTGGCTCGGACTGGGCTCGATTCGAGCGTGGGCCCAGACTTGCTCTAGGCCCTTTTTGAAAATGTCCACGTTGTAGTCAACCACGGTAAGACAGCTTTCAACGTCGGTGTCATCAGGTCTTATTAAAGCCACAAGCGCTAAACCACGGATCATCTGGCGCAGGTATATCACGACGCCGTTGTTCAGGGCAGACACACTCTTGACCTCTCCTTGGGGCCGGGCAATGGCACCCGAAGCTTCATTCGGCCTGGCGTCGGGTCCGTTCTGGATCTTGTACAAATCGTGCAGATCAATGGTAACATCTACAAACTCAGCACACGTTTCATACATCACGATATCAACGGGTGAGGAATCCGTCGACACGTATATTTTCGAGTTGATATCGAAGAGGAAACACTTTTCGATCTTGGAGTGCTGGACCAGGTTGTCCAACATGTTTTCTAAGAAGGGCAATTCGGAGATCAACTTCTGCACTATGCGTGAAAAGGCTTCATAGATAGAGTGGTCGAAAATCGATGTGAGGTAGAAACTGACCTGGACACCGTCCAGGCCCAGCTCCAACAGTTCTTCGCCTGTCCGCTGCATGATGTCTCGTTGTGTTTCCACTTTGAAATCTTCGCTCAGACCGTCCACCTTGTGTATGAGCACTTCGATGTTGATATCCGGGTTCACCTTGTAGGCATACTCCACGATTATCGCAAAATTCGTAAGCGCGTTCATGTATTCGTCTTGTGAGTCTATAACGTACACCAGAGCTCCCACACTTTTAAAGAGCCGTTCTGAGTCGTAATTGGGCTCGAAATAGTTTAATTGGCCTGGCAGCTCCATAACTGCCAAATCGATGAGCGTTGAAAAATGCTCCATGGTAGGATTCGACGTAGACTCTAGGTAAAGAGTGTCCAAGGGCTGCATGTTGTGGAAAACCACTTTACAGATGGAAGACTTACCGCCTCTGTGCGCAAGAAACCGTTAGTAAAATTGTTCGCTGAAATGTCCGCAAAAGATGCGGTTTTGAGCTATTCTACTGACCTTCTAAGACCCATCAATAAGATAGTCGCTTTGGAGCTGGCATCGTCTGCGTTCATTGTCGTTGCTATTGTTAGTCTGGGAGAAAGGTGCGATGAGAGAGGTAAGCTTAACGAATTCTTAGGTAGAGAGAGTCGTTACGATTTGTAGATTGTAAACTGATCACTATGGACGGGGACAAGTGACAATTACGTAATCCAGAAAAAGGGAGGAAATCACATATCACGTGACAAAAGATTATATAACCAGGCGAATTATGATTACATAATCAATTACAAAAATGTTGAAGAGCACGTGATTCTCATTGCCTTCAAAACTACAAAGAACAGTCAGATTCAAGCCAATGCTTGCGACAGGTTCATGAATGGTCTACACGTATCGTATATTGTCAAGTTGACAAGCGCTAGCCTTTCTTGAGAGTTCCAGCCTCGGTCTCCCTATCTTTGTACTGATCTTTCAGGATTCCTTGAAGACAAGCTGTGCGTGCATATATAGTGAAAAATGTAATAATATATGGTGCTCATCGAGAACCAAACTCACAATCACGTCGTCGATTCCTTCGTTGTAGATCCTATTCTGCTCGCTATGTCTCAGAATGCGTTTGACCAAAAGAAGGAGCATATCCTCGCCGAAATACACAACAATATGCAAGATTTGTCACCAAAAGGCACGATCGATGAGCTCTGCTGGCCGATCATGAATCTCGTCAACTCACACCCAGATATGATCACCACATCATCGTGTTCTGGACGTCTCAGCGTCTTCGTCGAGGGCAACAAGTTGCACAACGAGGAAATGAAATCTGGTGGGAAAGGAGACGGTGGAAAGTGGCTTTTCGTCACTCATAAGCACGAGGACGTTGCAAACTGGAGCCAAAACCTATCAGAACAAGTTGTTTACACAACAGATCTTCAGGAAAGATCATTGGAAGCCTCTGCGCGGTACATACTCTACAAGTACGAGCCTTTCATCCTGCATGTCAAATGTCGAGACTTTTCGACTGCTAGTAAGCTTTTCAGTACGGCAATGGCATGTGGGTTTCGAGAAAGTGGGATCGGAAGCAACAACATCGTTGCAGTCAGAGTCAACATCAAGCTCGACGTGCCAATCGGGTATCTGGACCACAGCAGCCAGAAACTTATTTTCTTCGTGAGCAAGGGCTACATTGAACAAATAGACGGAATGACGCTATCCAAGTTCTCCGAAAACACCAAGAAGATGCATGAGCTTTACGACAAAATAGAAAGCCAGATCATAAAGCCCGCTCAAGAAGTACCGGTGACCAAAGCGCCACAAGAGACGAAGGAAGAACGTAGGGAACGGAAGAGAATGGAAGGTTTGCTCAGACAGCAACAGATTTCCCGGGAAAAAGATGGAATTGTAGTGCAAACGGACGCTGCGACTCAAGATTGAAAGCTTTCTCGTAGCAAACAGAACGATTACAGCGGACCACTAATTTAAGCGTCAAAGATAGAAGGCTTTAAACATTACAAAATGTAATAAAATCAAACTAGTTTACAAAATATTTTTAAAGCACTCGCGAAATGCAGTAGTAAGATGCCACAGTCGTTTCTAAAAACCCGGTTTTAGTTTGAATTATTACTCATTGGAGCTGAGTTAGACTAACTGTACAAAGTTTCTTGTTGTCCATTAATAATGATGGAGATTGGGAGTGGATGGGGTTGACATGACACGTCAAGATTCAACGAAACTGCCATCGCTTGAATTTGGCGTTAACCGTTGAGCATTATGTTTATTCATCATCATCGGATTCAGCACCCATCAATGCATCGAACATGTTAACAGCAGTTTTCTGTTGAGGAGCTTCTTCCTTGGCTGCATTTTGAACATGTCTCAAAGAGGAAGAGCGCGTGGAGATAAAGCTGTCCTTGGAGACTGGAGCTGGTTCCCTTCTGGAATTGCTTCTAGCGCCCATCATATTGTTGGAGTTGGTTCTTCTCGAACCAGATCTGGAGCTACCCTTGTATTTACGCTCTCTCTCCTCCATAGCTTTCTTGGCGGCCTCTTCCTCATGAATCTGTTGGATAGTCTTGGGGCCTTCGTCCCGCTTTACACTGTTCCAGTTCTTGACCTCTCTTAGCTCTATCATGTCCTTCAATTTGAACTTAATTCTGCTAGAAATTTGATCGGCCTCAACGACCTTGTCCAACATGTAGAACAATTGGTCCAAGACCGTGGAACCTTCAAGGGAGCCACTTTGTTGAACCAAGCGATCACCTTCGAACTGTTCACCGACCGTATTTAGAAGCTCAAGAACAGATTCCAAAGTTTCCTCAGAGGGACTGTCAGCCAAATCCTTCATTAGTCTGCGGAAACATTCAAACATCATCTTGGCGGTCAATAGATGAGAACGGTACAAGAAACCGATCAATCTCACCAAACCAAGACCTCTTCTCTTGGCGGCTGCCATTTGGTAGTATTCGTCAGACATCATTTCAGGCTCAAGAGGAGAGCCGTCTTCATTTGTAGGCAGTTTATCGGTCCAACCCTTTTGGAACTCAGCATGACATCTGTCAACCAAGTAATGCAAAACCAATTTAGGACCGGTCTTTCCATCAACGCCTTCTTCCTTAATTTCGGTATCCATATCCTTAACAACTTTACCACACAGCTGTGCATACATCGAAGACCAATGTGGTTCGTCACAAGCCTTTAGGAAAATCTCTTCGATTACGACCTTCAAAGTCAAGCAATCGGTTTCCCATTTAGATTGATCAGCAAGTTTAATAATATCTTCGGAAATTGGGTCGAACTTTTCCAAAGTAAGCTTGTTCAGCAGAGACTTCATCTTTCTCTCCACTTCCTCCTTTTCGAGTAGTTCGGTGACACCATCTGGGGCAAACTTCTTTTCAGTCTTTTTTTGCTTGGATTTTGGAACCCATCTGTTGGCACTTGGCACAAGTGGAGCCACATCCTCTTGAACTTTCTGGGCCTCTTCTTCAGCCATCTTTTCACGGTCCTTTCTCGACGTGTATGCTCTGTTGGATTTTCTGTCATCACCCATTCTCTTGGATTTTCTCTTAGAGTTGGACCTCGAGTTAGATCTGCCATCCATACCTCTCATAGATCCACTCTTCTTGAAGTTAGCTCCAGGGCCAAACTTCGAGTCGCCTCTAGGTCTACCACCCTGTCTCACAGTTCCAGGAGGAATCACAATTTTCGATGCTACGTTCTGTTTCCATTCAGCGTCCGGGCGAATGTTCACTTTATCTTGAAACTGTAACAGGAAGGCAGGACCGTAAGTGTATTTGACGGTTTCCTTCTTGTGTCTAGCATCAGGGGCCTCAATGCCCTCAGGGTATTCGAATGTGTAGGCGTCTTCCACAACGTTGATCTCCTGCAGTCTTTGCAGAAGTTCTGTCATTGTCATTCTTCCATCGTCGACGTCCGCATCAGCTTCGAGCTCGGCCTTTTTAGATTCGTCATCCACAGAAGCTTCGTCTTTACCTTCGGTGCTTTGTTCAGCCTCTTGGTTCTCAGCGATGCCTTCTGCGTTGGTGGTTGAGCCAGCGGTGACAGATTCGTCATCCTTGTTAGAGTCCTCAACGTTTGCTTCTTCTTTTTCAGTTTCAGCAACTTCGTCAGTGGTTTCAGATCCTTCTGTCTTTAGAGGCTCCTCAACGGTAGCTGTCTCATCGGCTTTTGGCTCACTCTTTGCATCATCTGCAGAGGTAGAAGAAGGTTCAGAGGCAGCAGTCTCGGCTGGCTCGGATTTGGCTGGGATTTTGTTCTTCAAACGCAACTTTTCTGCGAAGGTGAGAGGCTTAGCGGTTTCTGCTGGGGCGCTCTTAACTTCCTCAGTGATTTCAGCGGAGTCAGTTTGTTTTTGTTCTTCGGATTCGGGTGCAGATTCTTTCTCCTCTTGAGCCTCAGGAGCTTCGGTTTCTGGTTCAGTTTTGGTTTCTGGCTTCTCCTGGTCTGTCGATTTCTCTTCAACTTCAGCGACAGCAGGCTCCGAAACAACTTCCGAAGCAGATGGAATCACTTCTGGGGCCTCAACTTTTTCAGTGGAGGCAGCTGGTGCGGTTTCAGTGGTCTTCTTCTGCGCACGCATGGCTTTTCTCAATCTGACTTGCTCCAAGAAACTCATTTTGAGCTGTTCATCGGCCGAAGGCTCCTTTGGAGCCTCAGGCTGCACTGGCTCAGTAGAAGCAGCCGACTCTGGGGCGCTAGACTCAAGAGTTGGGTTGCTGGAAGCTGTGCTGGGCTCTTTCTTGGGGGACTCTGTAGCCGCACTGGGCGACCCAACGGAGGACATATGCTGGCTGTGAATGGCGTTCAGATCGACGTGCTCGCCAGATCTGTTTGTGATTTCGATTCTTTTGGACACTGGCGGTGTGTTCGAGGCCAGAGGCGTGCCGGCATTCATGTCTGCTGGCGACATCGAGCCTGCAGGTCCAACCGGACTTCCAGAGCCAGTGGCTGCAGCGGCCGCAGCGGCCGCAGCCGCAGCCGCAGCCGGGTTGTAGCCCTGGGCGGCCATTGCAGGCATGTAGCCGTAGCCGTACGAAGGGTAGTACTGGGGCTGGCCTGCCATGTTGTACGATCCGTATCCCCATTGCATATTGTTCATGCCGTTGTTGTTCCTGCTGCCCTTGTAGTGGCCACCGTTCTTGTTGTATCTGGCACCGTTGTTGTTGTTGTTGTTGCTGCCACTGAAAGCTTTCTGCTGGTTTGTTCTGGCGCCCTTGGCATTCGCATTTCTGGATCCATTATTGTGATTACGCGGCATTCTCTGGCCGTTCTGCTGCTGCTGTGGCTGTTGCTGCTGCTGTGGCTGTTGCTGCTGCTGCTGCTGTTGCGCCTCCAAGCTGCTACCTGTTTCTGGCTGCTGTTGCTCGCTCATCTTCCAGGGATATCTGGCCAACCGAGGTTTCTCTATCAAATCAGCTGCAAAGATCTCAAGCTCGAACCTTATGCTACAGATGCTTCCCGTTACTAATTCCAACACAGAATCGCTCGCACTTCTTGTCCAATTGTTACCAGGCGAAGTGGAGCTATGTAAAACTGGATTATCTCGCTACTTGGCTTAACTGAAGTGAACGGTTTCTGAGTGAGTTATACTCTGCTCTTCTCTGATTTTAAAAATTTTCCATAACCAAGCAAGCTATATAAAATATCATTTTTGACAGACAGATGAGGCGAAAGAGCTCTCCGCGTAGAGAGTGATATACACAGTCTCGTGAGAATTGCGTGACAATCGCGTGATGTGAGATGAGATTGGAGAGAGAGGAAGGAAGGAAGGAAAGCAGGAAAGTGGACGTGAATATATAGATAATCTTGTAGTTTCTTCTCTGTCCTCCGTCCTCTGTCCTCCGTCCTCAGCGCAATGCATGGAGGTACCATTTTTTCGGGATATCGTACCGTTTTTCAGGATATCTTAACCGACTTTAGTGTCTCGTTTTACTTCACTTCTAGGTCTCGGACTTGGTAGTGACGTAGCGCCTTTGTTTCTCTCGTTCTTCTCTTTTCAGTTCACTTCCCCAGCTCTTGACTTGGTCTTGGCTTTACCGTCTCCGCATCACTTAAAGAGCTTGGCAGCAGAAATTGCAGTTTCGTCGTTCTTGTTCATTACCTTGCCCACAGCAAGCTCAAAGTCCTCCTGCGTGACGTGAATTCTACGCTCGCGCAACGCGTACATCCCTGCTTCCGTACACACACCCTTGACGTCAGCACCGGAACACCCGTTCATCTTTTCGGCGATCTTGCGCAGGTTGATGCCACGGGTCAGGTTCATTTTGCGAGAGTGGATGCGCAAGATCTCGGCTCTAGCAGCTACCGTAGGAGGTGGGAACTCGATTTTACGGTCAATTCTCCCGGGTCTCAACAACGCAGGGTCTAGAATATCGAGTCTATTGGTGGCCATGATGATCTTAATGTCCTTGGAGGTCTCAAAGCCGTCCAGCTGGTTCAGCAATTCCAGCATGGTTCTTTGCACCTCGGAATCGCCACCAGAGCTGCCCTCCACACGACTAGACCCGATAGAATCGATTTCGTCCATGAAAATGATCGATGGCGCGTGTTCGCGGGCCATGATAAACAGCTCTCTCACCATACGCGAACCCTCACCAATATACTTCTGAACCAGCTCCGCTCCGCTCACCCTGATGAACTTGCAGTCTGTGTGGTGTGCCACGGCTCGCGCCAGTAAGGTTTTACCGGTACCAGGAGGTCCGTACAGAATGACACCCTTGGGTTGTGCGATTCCCAGACTCTCAAACAGTTCTGGGTGTTTTACGGGCAGTTCGATGACCTCCTTGATCTCCTTGATCTGTTTTGTTAGACCACCCACCATGTCGTAGGTCGAATCTGGCACTTTCTCGACCATCATGAGCGACACCAGTGGGTCCACTTTGTTCTCCAGGATCTTATGTAGTGCGTACGAGTCACTCTTCAGACACACGCGCTGTGATGCCTTGAGATCCTTCACATTGATGTCTTTGGCGATGTCCACGATGTATTTGCCCTCTGGCTGGATCTTCACCAGCACTTTCTTGTCCGACACCACCTTGACCACTTCACCCACGTACGATCCGGGTTCTTGCAATAGCCGCAGTTCATCCTTTATAAACCGCACTTTATCGTTCAGCGCATTTCGCTGTGCTTCCAGACGTCTCAGGTTCTGGGTTTTAGCCCTAATTTTTAGCTCTATTTCTTGTACTTTCTGGTCGAAATAAGGCTTGATACCACTCTCGTGTGTGTTCAGAGACACTTCGCTAACTGCTACCGCGCTCATTGTGTTGACCTTGTAGTATATATATGGGAAAACTAGTCCTATACGTGTGAAATCGTAATTGAGAAGAGAGTGGGCTAGCTGAACAGTATGGTTTTGCCACCTTAGTATAATAAACTTCGAAAAAAAGTGTTGATGTCATGTGAGACGAAGGGGGTTTTGGGTTCCAATTATGGACAACTTTTTGACGGTATATTTAGGAAATGGCACAGAACAGATCATCGCTTGTTGAAATTCGAGCACGGTCCGCAATAGAAAGAGAACCAGGAGATGGGACGTACCATAGTAGTCACTTGCGGGGCAACGGTACCATTTCCAAAGCTCGTGGAAGCGGTCTTAGCCCTGGAGTTTCTGCGCACAATCCAACAACGCTGGCAATTCGACAGGTTGGTCGTTCAATACGGCAAAGAGTATCGTGCAGTTTTCGAAAGCCAGCTGGAACGTCTGGATGCCACGGCTAGCACAAAACGCGATAAGATATCCAAGGCCTTGGGAATCGAGCTGGAGGCCTACGGAGAGGTCGCAAACGTAGAGATCTGCGGATTCTCATTTGCTACGAACATCCAGAAACTGCTTCGGACTCACGCGGACCTAATTGTGTCGCACGCGGGCACCGGGTCCATCCTGGATGCTCTGAGACTGCAAAAACCGCTCGTCGTGGTCGCCAATACGGGGCTCATGGACAACCACCAATTGCAGATCGCAGCCCGGTTCGAGTCACGTGGCCACCTGGTAGCGTCTCGCGGGCCCACGACGTGTGAGGTGCTAGCGGCCGTGGCAGCTGTTGAAACGTGCTGTCTCACACCACTGGATAGTGGGAAGAGTGCGCAGTTTTCGAATTTGTTGGCAAACGTGGCCTACTCGTAGACGGCAAAAACCAGACACTACAAACAGCTTTTGGAGCCAGTTGCCAGGAAAACACCAGCGGTTTCTACGGATTCAGTCTACCTCTGTCTCGGGGACTCCTCTTTTGGGCGATTTAGCTTGCAAATCTTTGTATCATACAAATTATACCGTGGCTTTGTGGCGCGAGGCCCCTCCCAGGAATCGAACAGAAGAAAAATGCATTCTTTACCCAACGGGACCAAAAGACCTCCAAAACTGCGCGGTGCGCGCTTGCATTTTCAGCGCACCACACCCAGAGCCAGGTTGCCAAGCTTTGCTAGCTTATCATTGTGTCTGGCCCTGATTAGATTAGCTTTTCAGAATTACTACTTTTACTACAAGCAAAGTCATATTAGTATGAAACTACATCACTGACCAATTGCACGATTACAACCCCAGCAATGTCTCTCAGAAGCAACTGCGTGTCTCGCAATGCCCACCGTATCAATACTACTTAAACAGCAATGACTTCACCTCCTATCTGGTGTTATCGTGTTTCCAGTGCCCTCCTCTTTAAATCCCCATCCCGAACCTTGATCTAAAGTGTATAGTCTCGTAGTCAATTGCCAAATTATCAGCCATGGCCATAGTCTTCTGCATAGTTCCATGGGCCAAGACTTACAGATGATCTGAAACATGTTTCAAGCACGATAAGCGGAGCCAGAACGGCAGTGAACGAGTTGTGCAACGTGTTTAGGATTGTCGTGGGCACTTTGATTCTAGACACTGGCACGAATTCTTAGTTTCACATAGTAACACAAGCTGCTTCTTTCGATATCTCAGCCGCGTCATAGTTCGTCAAGCTTATAGATTTTTTTTAGTTGTACGAAAGGGGAGCGAGTGAGGGCTTTGGAGCGCTGGTGTGGCCACGTTGTGCAAAGTCGGTATTCAAAGTAGTATGCTGTTGATGACAGACGAGAGATCATGGTTATCCGGAGAGAAAGGTCAAGCTAATCAAAAAAAGCCACCTTGATTAATCACCGTGGTTGCGAATTCCTGACAAAGAGAGAGAGAGTGGAGAGGCCTTTGAGGCTTGCGATGATCAATTGACAGGTCGTTCCCGACACTGCGACGAGGTATATATGGAGTGTATAGAAAACCAGCGTTGTAGAGAACGAAAATGGGCAGTGCTTAGTAACAGAAAAGCTTGGCAAACGACCAAGCACACGACTCAACAAACGAACAAACGAACGAACGCCTGGAATACGAGGCTTGCACAGCGAACATGGAAACCAAGAGCACAGCCAAAGGAGTCACTCTGTATCGCGAACGTTTTCGTTTCGGAACAGCGAGCTCGCCCGAAACCAGATCCGAATTTCACGATTTGGACCCAACAGTCGTGACGTCTGACGCAGTTCCGTTGACAGACTCGGCCTACAGTACAAAAGCACAAATACCAACGACTGGTGAGCCCGCAAATCAGCACTACACACACACCACGATGTCCACGATGTCCATGGAGCCCAGATCACAAGTAGCTGCGCTCAACGCGTTCCCACCAGCCAAGAGGCCGGCCAGACCCGCTGCGAGCACGGGAACCTCGTCTTCCTCGTCGTCGTCGTATAGGGCCGACCCCAGACGTTTGTCCTCGGAGGAGATCATCAACGAGATGGAAAAGGAGCAAGACGCCATTGTGGTGCGACTGCTGCGCGAAATAGACCAGCTCAAGGACGAAAATAACCGTCTGCGCAAAAACCTATATGCTGTCCTCAACAGCGACCCACACACTCCAGCTCACTCTGCAAACACGCTCCCATACCTTTCGAGACGTTCGTCGATCAACAGCAACAGCAGCAGCGGCAGCAGCACCAGCAACCCTGCTGCAAGTCACAGCAACATCAACATCAACACCAACACCAACGGCAGCAGCACAAATGCCACTAGTAGTCTTGCTAGCACCAGCGTGCTGGCTCTGACCCCAACCGGCACGAGTCCCGCCCCATCGCGTAGGCCGTCGTCCTCTGCAGCGCCCATCGACACACTGACGCCTACACTGCTGCTACAGCGGAAACGAAACTCTGTGCCGTCCCCTGTGCCTCTGACGCCCAAGAAGAGCGACGAATTCGCTCATTTGTATTCTCCGATTCCGGTTTCAAATCTGAATGTCCCGGAGGCTAATCTGGATCTCACTGGGTCTTCCGGATTCCGCAGGCGACGCTCGTCGATGAAGTCGGCTGAGGGGTCCAACAAGATACCAAGATCAACGCGATGAATCCAGAGGATTCCCGGGTTTTACAACCAATAGCATCATGTCAGCATTACAAGGATAGTTAAGGATACATTACACAGTCTTTCGATACAGGTATAGTCCATACACCAAATTTACAGTTCGTTTCAAGAATCGTATATGTATTGTAGCAGCAGTGTCGTTTCGCGCAAAGTTTTGTCTACTTCTGAATTTCAAGCTATCCATCAAGATATTTTAGTTGGCACACTGAGCCGCTGTGTACTGAGTCAATCTAGCCATGTTCACTGTCGTTTGGCAGCGCTTGAGTAAGTGTTGATTCACATACTACAGCATAAAGCACTAAAAAAGATCGAATCTCTAAACCAAGTCTCAAGGCCAATGGGCTCGTTGAAATGCCAGAAGAATTAGTGCACGACCAAGGGATTAGGTGACGAGTTTAACAACACTCAAAGTCATAGTTTTAGATCTTGTTTGCCTCTTTCCGCCATTGAAGTTAACAAATTGGGTAATTTCGTTACATTCATTAAGTTACCAAAATTCACAGTCACCTAAAGAAGACAAAATACATGAACAATCACGGTTTGGAAGGTCTCGAGGCCATACCACAACAACAATGACCATATTTTGAGGTAGTTTTTGACACAATCTGTGATGTGCGAGCCTCTTGGGCCCTTTACCGTTCTGGGATCTACAATCATTATTAAACACAATGTGTTACATCTTTAGTTGGCTGGAGGGCACTTTGAATAACAAGAAACGTCATAGACTTCGAACAGGCTTAAATAGGGTTGGACGAGCTCGATTTGTGGAGTAGAAGTGTTGTTTTTGAGGAAGAAGGGCACAAGAGTGAATATCTTGGCGTCAGTGGGTATAAGAATTGATGCACAGTTGCATGACAATAGTGCAAGAATTAGGAAGTTCTCTTAACTTGTATCATACCAAAACTACCAACAGATACATCAGGCTTAGTTAATCGTTCATTCGTTTTGAAAATGCTCGCAGTGAGGCTTCTTCTGTCATTATTGGTGTTCTACAACACTGCTTCCGCGCTGAGCACGACTACAATCGCCACGACCTTTATTACCACGTCATATTTATGCGCACAATGCTCTACAGAAAGCTCTTTATCCAGCAGTGCTGGTGTAAGTACAACGTCTAGTGCCGCCTCCGGCGGTTCTAGCTCAATTACCAATTCTGTGCCAACAAGCACTATTGAAACCACCACTGTTTCTACTTCTTTCGGGTGTCCCACTTGCAACACCAGTGTTCGTACATTTTCAGTGCCTGATAGCACAACACCATCGAGCTCCACCTCTAGAACTTCTTTTTCACCTACCTCTACGACCGAAACCGAGACGTCTTGCCCTGGTCCATGCACCTTGTCGAGCTCTAGTGTGCCAGCTTTGTCATCGAGCTCCAGTATGTCAACATCGTCATCAAGTTCGAGCGTGTCAACTTCGTCATTGAGCTCCAGTGCGTCAACTTCGTCATCAAGCTCCAGTGTTTCGACTTCATCATCAAGCTCCTCGTCATCAAGCTCTAGTGTCTCGACCTCTTCATTAAGCTCCAGCGTATTGACCTCTTCATCAAGCTCTCGTGTGTTGATCTCCTCATCAAGCTCTCGTGTGTTGACCACATCATCGAGCTCACTAGCGGCGAGCTCTGAAGCTAGCTCCACCGTGTCGACATTTTCACCATTTACGACGACTGAAACCGAGACGTCTTGTCCCGGTCCATGTACCCCGTCAAGCTCTACATCTAGCACTGTGTCAAAATCGAGCACCGTGACTAGTTCTAGCAGTACTTTGAGCAGTACTTTGACTACTTCTTCGAGCAGTGCTTTGAGCACTTCTTCGAGCAGTACTTTGAGCAGCACTTTGAGCACTTCTTCGAGCAGCACTTTGAGCAGCACTTTGAGCAGCACTTTGAGCAGCGTCATTCCCAGTAGCAGCACCACAAGGCCTCTGACGTCGAGCATTACTACTCCAGCGCCTAGTACCTCAAGGTCTAGTATCCCAACATCCAGCACGTCTGAATCAAGCATTCCAAGCACCAATTTGAGCCTCAGTACTACAAGGTCAGGATCTAGCACTGAAAGTTCGGTCGCAAGCTCTAGTGCCACGAGCTCGAGTACGAGCCCAAGCAGCACTTCGACCCCAGCGTCCAGTTCAAGCACTACAAACTCAAAACCAAGCTCTAGCAGTACAGTTTCAATTTCTAGCTCCAGTGCTACGAGCTCCACGCCAAGCTCCAGTGCCACAATTTCAACGTCTAGCTTGAGCACTGCAATTTCAACTTCTAGCTCCAGTACTGTGACTACAACTTCTAGCTCCGGTAGTGTGACTACAACATCTAGCTCCAGTATAACGAGCCCAGATTCAAGCTCAAGCAGTGCGACTTCAACGTCTAGCTCCAGCAGTGCAGTTTCAACGCCAAGCTCAAGCACTGCAAGCCTAGCATCAAGCTCCAGCACGACAAGCACGACAAGCACGACAAGCACGACAAGCACGACAAGCACGACAAGCACGACAAGCACGACAAGCACGACAAGCACGACAAGCACGACAAGCACGACAAGCACGACAAGCACGACAAGCACGACAAGCACGACAAGCTCAACTCCAAGCTCAACTCCAAGCTCAACTCCAAGCTCAACTCCAAGCTCAACTCCAAGCTCAAGTACCACAAGTCCAGCGTCAAGCTCAAGCAGCACTACAACCCTAGCTTCCACCTTCAGCACCACTAGTCCAGGGTCAAACTCTAGCACTACAAGCCTAACCACCACGAGCCCAGCTTCAAGTTCAAGCAGTGCAATTTCGAGTTTCAGCTCTAGCACAACGAGCTTGACGCCAAGCTCAACTCCACGCTCAGGTAGTGTGGTTTCATCGTCAAGCTCCGGCAGTACAACTTCGAGCTCTAGCACAAGCACAACAAGCTCAACTCTAAGCTCTAGCAGTGCAGTTTCAATGTCAAGCTCTAGCAGTGCAGTTTCAACTTTCAGTCCCAGCCCTACAGCCCCAACGCCGGACTCAAGCACAATTCCACTTTCCACCACTCAAAATTCCTCTGAATCAAGCACCACAACCCCCGGCTCAAGTCCAGGCTCAATGCCCGCTACCAGCAGTCCCCTTATCGAGGCCAGATCTACCACTTCAAGCTTCACTATTACAAGCTTTGCTACGATCCCAACTACTCCCAACTCTGCAAGCATTTCCAGTAGCTCAAGCTGCAATTGTTCAGATTCCTCGACCTCGATTCTCAGCTCAACAACTACACTACAAACTCCTGCCACCACCTCTCTCACATCCTTTTCCATCATCACGGTTGCTCCAAAGGCCTTCACGACCTCGTCTTCCCTTCCCACGGTGCTATATTCTGGAGCTGCCCACGGTGTCAGCGTACCCGCTATTTTTAGACTGGTGGTGCTATTACTATGAGAATTTGGATGATTTTCAAGAGTAAACATAGAGGAACCCTTCACAGTGGTACATCCATATGCATGGGAACCTCTTTATCCATTGTCGTGTTCTCTTCTCATTGTCTGTCACTTCTTTCTTACCTTCACCCGGAGTGTCGTCGTCCCACGACGTTTTCCACAGAGACAGTATGAGATTGAGAAAAAGACAAAATGCTCACGTGGACGGGACAAAGCTCCACCCAGACACCGAAGACACACACCCAAACACCAAACACGTACACCCATACACCCAAAAAATACTACTCACGGGAACAATTTCCCAAAAAAATCACACCCAGACACCCAACAAACCACCCACACACCCGCGCTTACGTCATTTGCTTACATCATCGGCGGCTGTTGTGCCCGCCTTTTCCTCCCCTCTCCCGTCCAAAACGACCTATCTCATCGCCTCCCTTTTCCGCTTTTCTTTTTCGCCAATTTTTTTTCGCTACTCTGAAAATTTTTTTTGAAAGCTCATCGCGCGTCCAGCAAACACATCTCATCGCTCAAACCATAAAACTCGTTGACTGAAAACTTAACTTACCAGTCAACTACCAACGTCCAGTTCGAGCTTTTAAAAGATAGCTTTTGAACGCTAAATTAAACTGGTGTGTCGCTGAACTTAGAAACAAGATCAGAATCAATTGCAGATCAACAAGAATGGCGAAACAAGTGGCTAAAAAGGTTTCCAAGAAGGACTTGAAGGTCAAGAAGCAGGACAAGAAGGAAGAGAAGAAAGTGGCTGAAAAGGCTGCTGAGAGCTCGAGCTCTTCTTCTTCTTGTGATTCTTCTGATTCATCTTCGTCTTCGGACAGCGATTCTGAAGACTCTTCTTCTTCTTCTTCTTCTTCTTCTTCTTCTTCTTCTTCTTCCAGTGACTCTGAATCTTCTTCGAGCGAATCCGAGGAAGAAGAAAAACCAAAGTCCAAGAAAGAGGCCAAGAAAGAGACCAAAAAGGAGGTGAAAAAGGAGTCTAAGAAGGACGTCAAGAAGGCACCAGTTAGCTCGGAATCCGACAGCGACTCTGGCAGCGAATCGGACACTGAGTCCAGCGACTCGGACTCGAGCTCCAGCTCCGACTCTGAAAGCGAGACTGAGGAACAGAAGCCAGCTGCCAAGACCCCTGTAAAGGCCGAGGTTGCCGTTGCCAAAACCGAGACCTCCAGCAGCGAAAGTGGCTCGTCGTCTTCGTCGTCTTCTTCTTCTTCTTCCAGCGACTCTGAATCGAGCTCCTCGTCTTCTAGCGACTCTGAATCGAGCTCCTCGTCTTCCAGCGACTCAGACTCAGAATCCGAGACCGAGACTGCTTCCAAGAAGCGTACGGCTGAAGAATCCTCCTCTTCGTCCTCTAAAGAATCTTCTGAAGAGGCCCCAGAACCTAAGAAGGCCAAAACCGAAACCACTGGCGAACCTGCCACTATCTTTGTTGGCAGACTTTCTTGGAGCATCGACGATGAATGGTTGAAAACTGAGTTCGAACACATCGGCGGTGTGATTAGCGCCCGTGTTATCTATGAAAGAGGTACCGACAGATCCCGTGGTTACGGTTACGTCGACTTCGAGGACAAGAGCTACGCCGAGAAAGCTGTCAAGGAAATGCAAGGCAAGGAAATCGACGGTAGACCTATCAACTGTGACATGTCGACCAGCAAGCCTGCCGGCAACCCAAGAGCCGAACGTGCTCAGAAGTACGGTGACACTCCATCGCAGCCTTCGGACACTTTGTTTTTGGGTAATTTGTCTTTCAACACCGAAAGAGACAACGTGTTTGAGATCTTCTCTGAACACGGTGAGGTCGTCTCCGTGCGTCTACCTACCCACCCTGAAACTCAGCAACCAAAGGGTTTCGGTTACGTTCAATATTCATCGGTGGACAGTGCTCAAAAGGCGCTGGACGCTCTACAGGGTCACTACATTGACAACAGACCTGTGAGACTAGACTTTTCTACTCCAAAGCCTCCTCAAGACAACAACTCCCGTGGTTTCCGCGGCGGTCGTGGTGGTGCTCGTGGCGGTGCTCGTGGTGGTGCTCGTGGCGGATTCGGTGGCAGACCTTCGGGCTCGGGCTCGAACTCGTCGCCATTGGGACAATCCAGACAGTCGGCCGCCTTCCAAGGTAACAAGAAAAAGTTTGACTGAAGAAAATCGTTTTGCATTGGAACTCCTGCTGGGCAACAACTGATCAAAGTTATGGGGTAAATTTTCGTACATATCTCCTTGCCAACAACTTATGGCTCTTCGTGTATAATAGTGAATTAGATCAATCCATTTTGTGCTAATAGCGGTGTTCAGGAACGTTAGTGGGCCTGAAATATGATACCATCAACAAGTTAAATAGTGAAAGCGGTACTTGGATCTGTGAACTTTAGGTTTTCCTATACATTGACAACCTCAAGCAAGCCAGTGCTCATCGCATACTAATAATTACGTTATTCTGCAAAAAGCCGGTATTTACCGGTGAATGACAATGAGGCATGGTGATTGAATGAGATCTCCCTCGATCACCATTGATATTTGAGTGTCGATTGCTGGTACTCAGCGACCCCAGTGCAGCTGTAATCGGCTACTTTGCCATTCATTAAGATATAAATCAACTTTATGTTCACAGCGAACCGCGGAAAAGATGGCAATACTACAATTCCAGTAGCCGAAATTCACGGTGCCAATAGCCATGCTATTCAACTATTTCAATATCCTGTACGCCCCACTTGTAGGTACTGAGCTCTGATACCATGATGACTCGAACAGTGTCGTTTTAACCTCATGTCATTAAAGTACAAAATGATATGACTACCATTTCCAACTCGACCTGCGTAAACCATGACGCGGTCTATCCAACGACATCCCACAAGGCTCCGAATCGCTATTCCACTAGTTTATATATAAATCGAAGTACTCGTCATGATTCCAGCCCTTCCTATGGCTAGCAACTCTGAAGCTGTGCATACATACCATCATTTATAAAATTTCGATTTAATTCTAAAACAAATGACTTTACAAGGATTTGCGCTTACAAACCCTTTCAAACACGCTTTGACTTCTGAAATGGCCAAATTAATCAACTTCTACATGCTCAAATGTGTCCGTGTTGGTAGATTTCAATTTTACCCGAAAAAAACCGCACAACATTGATTATAGCCAAAAAGACAGAATCTGAGCACTCAAAGTGAGTGGATTTGACACAGAATCAGTACTAAAACAATCACATATATTTATGCTGGAGCACAGAGCATTATTCCTGTTTTAAAATGTTAAACAATATGCTCGTACATGGTGCCTAAAATATTTGAAAATGCCAAGAAAATTTTGGATCATCAATCTACACCCACTGAGGCTAAATATACTCGCGTCTCATCGATCGATAGTCTCCAGAGCGGCCAACTCTAGAGCTTTTGGGCCAACGACCATATTATAGACTGGCGCAAACCCTATATCTGACAAAAAATTCAAAGTTTTTTGATCAAGTTTTGACCGATAGAATACAATAATATAATGGGACTACTGGCGAAGTTAAAAGCCACGAACTTTCGAAAACATGAAATTCCAGTGACCAGTGCGAGAGTTCCCACGAGTGAACCAACTAAACGGCGTTACACTTATTCGACAGGTAGAAATTTCAAGGCTTCGAACCTTACTCGAGATTTTTATATCAATCAAGAGGCTCCTCATCATGTCTGGAGGCCGAACGAGTATATTTGTGGGGAAGCAGTTTTAGTGCTGAAAAGAGATGTGGAAAACATCGCAATAACGTTATCATTGGTGGGAGAGGTCAGGCTTCGTGGTCTAGGTGCTCGAACTCGGTCAGAGAAGCTCTTTGAACGGTCAACCGTGGTTTATGGAGAGACTGAAGAATCGCTGCCCGAGGGAGAAACAGTGGTAAATGGACTTACAAAGGGCGAGCACAGGTTTCCCTTCCGACTGAAAGTACCCTCCAAAAGCATTTACACTTCCATCAAGTTCGAAAAAGGCTCTATTGCATATTACATTCAATGCACATTACGACCACTACAAAATCGCTGCACAGACGAGGTGATGGCAATGTGCGAAAAGAGTATATCTGTTATGGTTCCACTAGACGTCGGAATGCTCCCTAAGCCCAAGACCAAGACAGTAGTGTTACAGTCGCCGTCGAGTCTGAAGCAAGTAGCAGTCGAACAAGACAGCAGCTCTGGAGTCACACGACGTACGGGTGGTTCCAAGCAATCGGGGTCCACCATGGTCACGACGGGCTCTTACAGCAAGACTGTGACCATAAGCGTCGACCTCCCGTCCTCGGGATATGTTGTGGGTGAGGTCATTCCTGTACAGTTACATTTGGCACACTATCGAGAATATTCGCATTCTGCGGGCCTCATAGCCACCCTGGTCAGGATTTGTCGCGTAGAAGACACATCAAAAGAAAACGTCATTGAGACCTTTCGCAAAGATATATGTCAAACGGTGTCACCGGTCTACGTCGACCCAGAGACTTTAGAATGCGCCCTGACAGTGTATTTGAAAGTGCCGCTGGATGCTTTCCCCACGCTTCGTTTACCAAATAAGCGGTTCTCTTTCCAATATTACGTTGAGGTTCTGGTTAACCTATCGCGCAAGAACCTCGCCTACACGGAATCGAATCGCGTCGTGGACGCAGCGACCAATTCTCAAGTTTCGAACCACCCTTCCAAGTCAATAGAAGAGATGCTTTCCATTTTGCAGCGCAAAATACAAGCCGGAAGCAACACTGACAGCTTCCATGACGACGATCGCGAGTCAATGATCTTTTTCAAAGATTTGATCAATGTTGACAAGCTGAAAAGACTTCGCAACGTCACAGGAATGTCAATTGAAATTGTTGTTGGTACCACTAAGACTTCTGGGCCTACAAGTATCTCCATTCCAAGCTCGACATCAGAACAAAATGCCATCCCTCCCGTCGCAACAACAAATGAGGAATCACCGGTTGCCTCCTCCAGTTCGAACGAACCTTCGCAGCTAGAAGTGAAAGACTACACATACGCTTCCAAAAAGCACCAAAAATCGCAGATGGAGTCTAACTTTTTGTTTGAGTTTGATGAGAACTCCACAATGCCTTTGCCCGAGTATACTCCAAATTCTTTATTTGAAGTGGCAGACGACAAGGATGAGCTTGAACTACAAAGATTGAAGGAGCTAGAAAGCGAACCACCAATGGCAGCATAAAAGTTCAATAACAACAATGCCACGGCCTGCGTAGATATCCTTAGCTATACGTATTGGTGTCCATTTCATTAGGATCTGTCACCATATTATAACGAGATACGAGTTGACGAAAATTTGAGCACATTGAACATAGATCTGAACCGTGGCAATCACTCAAACTAAGACCCCAAAGGACGCTGGGATTCATCTGTTGCACTGTTGAATTGATCAGTTTATAAATCATCATGAACATCACAGACAGAAGACGTATTTTGGGGCCCGCAAATGCCAAACCTTTGGTTTTCGACAAAAGCATGGGTCCTGCCCAGAGAGGCGAATCTGAAGAAGTGTCGTCCGAGACAGGAAACGATGCTATGTACATTGAAAATGGAATTGTGGGAAACTCAAACGGATCATCTTACTTGGAGGTTAAAAGTCGAATAAACGACAAAAATTGCACACTGCTTCTAACGTCAGTCTACGGACCAAGACCTTCTCGCGGAGCGTTCAACGCCAAGGCCACGCTGAGCGTCCAGTTCAGGGAAGTTACTTTGGAAAAAATACCGGCTGGTCAACTGAGGGAAGTGTGCACGTTTCTGACCAACATTTTCAATGCAGTTGTAAACCTAGAACGTTATCCTAAGTCCGGAATAGACATCTTTCTCAGTCTAATTCACAGCTCCAGCGGACCTCAGGATTACGAGCTGGAGTCTATAATTACCACATGTGTTAACGGCATCACGCTCGCCTTTGTTGACGCTGGTATCGAAATTCTCGACACGGTGAGCGCAGGCATGTACAAGAAGAATATTACGGCATTTATGAAAAACGGTACCGAGGTGGTTGGATTCTGGAAGGATGATGACGATAATTCAGCCAGTGAGGGCATCATGGATATCGTTGAAAAATGCAAGGAACATTATTTGCAAAATCGCAAGACAATGATCGAGTACATGATACGAAGCAGCAAATCCTCTAACTGATATAAAAATGTGATTCTACAAAATGAACTTACGTCAAGCTTTTCAATCTCATCTCATTCCATTTAACAACTAGCTAGTTATAAATGCTACTTGCAATGCATAATTTTGACTTTTTATTCAGCAATATATAATACTTAGTCCAGGTCTCTCAACACATTCTTAATTTCTTGAACCGTCTGAGAAATAACGGCTATGTCGTAGTTGATTTTGCGGAGATACTTTATGGATAGATCGACCCCAGCAGCTTGCTTGATAATATTCTTGAAGCACTTTTCGGAAAAGTGTTGATTCTTGCCAGGCATGTACTTTCCATTTTCATAAGCATGGCAAGCCTTCAAAAATTCGCCCAAGCCTTCGTTCATACTCTCAGAAGAACTACAATCAAGTTCCGGAAGTGACAGTCTGAAAGGCGGGGAGATCATGAGCACTTTGTGGCTGTCTTTGCTATGATACCTGAGCTCATAGATACCTTCCTCGAAAAACATCAATTGGTAATCGAAATTCAAGTCACCAGAAACCACATCTGCAGTTTTCTTGAAACTGGCCACGCAATTTTCGGGCCTACCGATTCCTGGGTATGAATCCTTGGTAGTTCCTGACCACAAGCCATTGGTGGGTATCTTAGTTCTGCGACGGTCGTCTCCAGTTCCCAGAACCTCATAAAGTCCAACCCAATCCTTCTCATTATGGAGCTTGGCCGGTAGTTGCCAGTGTGCCTCAATAGGTCCAGGGATAAGGATCGTGTCGCTGATGCCATCGCCGACTCTAAACTCAAAATTTGGAGCAAGGTTGGCAGTAGCATTGTTCAAAGCCTTTTGCAACATTTCATTCCACTGAGCTTCAGATTTATCGGATGATTCTTCCGCTTCAAAGACAGAATCGCTAAAAGTCAAATGTTCCGCTATTCTTGATTCCATTTTGTCCACAATTTCCGAGAACCTTCTTATGGGTTTGAAGCCCTTTAAGGTGCTTGAGACACCACTTTGCCTGTTTTTAGCTCCGTAAACCTTGTTAACATGGGGTTCCTCGACCAATTTTACCAGGGCAAAGTTTGCAGCAGTCCACACAACTGCCAAAGCCATGTTATAAGGTGAGAATTGAGTAATCAGAACAGAGCCCCAACATCCTGCAACACCAAGAAATCTTTCAGGGTTGCTCAAATAGCGATAGATACCCTGCGAATTCAGCTTCCGAGAGCTAATGTAATTTGTGAGGAAGAAATCACCATAGAACCAACCAAATTCTGATATAGCGGTCAAAATCTCATCGTCGCACCATTTTTGGAGATAGCAAAGCAAGAAGCCAAAAATTACTTGGGTGTAGTTTCGGCTCTCAATAGATTTAAACTCAAAGAACGATTGCAACATCAGAAGTGTATAGGTAACGGTCAAAGAGTAATTGTAAATGAACTGCCATTGGTGAAACGAATGAACCTGAGTGTAGCCATTTTTCATAAAGAGCCTTGTGAACCATTTCGAAGTAGATTGCTTGTGCAGAATCAACGAGAGGAAAATCGAAGTGACAAGTTTAGTACCTAGCGTAGCACAAAATAGGGTCTTGGTGGAAGGTTTTAGAGTGGCTGTGAGCGCAATGATTGCCAGCACAGTGGCAACGGTGAAATAGTCTGTCAATCTCAATTTATCGAAATTGGTTAGGCTGAAGCCCTTTGTGATCAGTGGCTTAGAGTAATTGCGGTTTTCTTTAACAAGAAGTTCATCAATTTGCGCGTTGTCAGACTCAACTGCGTCCGGACCATAAATCTTTTCGATATGTGGCGTTTCACAGTATCTGAGAAACAAAAACTGCAGCAAATGGCCCCCGATAGACACCAAAAGAACTTTGTAGTCTCCTGAAATCAAACTCAATCCGTAGTAGCCCATATAACCGATGGAGTACATAGGATGGGGTGAGATGTTGAACACACCATCGAAAACGAGTTTGGAGTCCTGGAAGTAGAAAAAGTCGCCCCAGTACCAAGCATAATCCTTCACCACACGATGAGCGTCAATTTTAACCCAAATGTTGAACAAAATCATCATGACGCCCAGTAAGACGCTAACACTGTGGCTGGGTAAAACAGTCTTGGGAATAGACAAACAGACAAACAACATGTAGGTGGTGAAGTCCTGCATGAGAATCAGATCGACAAATTGACGGAACAGAAGCCATGTGTTGAACTCTTCAGGGAACGCCTCGACACGGTACGAAGAGGGCATCTTAGAATGAAGCTCAAAGCGGCAGAACCGTGCCAGCCAGTGCTGGTTTTTTTTGCTGAAAAGGGCGTGGCGTTTTGCATATTGGGTGAGCGACTCGTACTTGGACTGGTGATACAGGATCACACCGATACCGATGTTGTAGCACAATCTCCAGAATACGTACTGCCACAGGTATAGCCACTTGGTGAAAACGACGCCGAACTTCGAGGCTGCGAAATAGCAAAGCACCACGTTGCTGATGATAGCCAGACTGATCAGCACTTCCAAAAACGATTTTTTGAGAGTGGGATCAAACAACGACCGAACCATATCGTGGGTTTTGGCCGGCACGAATTCGACGTTGCTGGAGCGAGTCCGTGCCACAGTTACACCCTCCGGCCATTGTTTTGCAACTGGGTCTACCATGGTCTTAACTTTGACGCTCTTAGACGACTTTTTTTTGGGGTCTTTGAGCATTCAAGCTTGATTCGTCTGCTTTTCGGGGATTGCCACTGGTAAGAATATTCGGGCTAGGTTGAACTAGAAATAGAAGAAGGCGAATCGGATGTTATACCAAAACAACCAATTGGTGCAATTGATCTTAATGAGTGTTTTAGAAGTGGATGTCTCGGTCACGAAACTGAGTAGTAAGTGAGGTGGTAAGATTGGCTTAACAAGTTCAGACTTTTTCAACCAACGCATCTGACAATTTCCATGTGAAAAGGCAGACCAAAGGCTTATAGTCAAAAACTCATACAATTCGAAGCCTCGCTTAGTACCAAGTGATGTGGGGCTCCAGGCAGCTGGAGATATCGAGCTCGAGCTTGATGATTGAATGACAGCGTTATGGTCGATGGTCTTCTTGATTGTTGCGACTGGGGAGTGGTGTTTCTGCGACGATTTGTTGATTTTGCCAGGAACAGGTCTGACGACAATGGCATTGAAATGTCGGCCGAGAAGCGGCGCCGATGAGATCGTTAGAGGAGTGGAAGAAGACAAGCCTGAGGACTGAAAATGGTGTGTGAGTGGGAGTGTGTTCTTTTGTTTTCTTCTATCTTCAAACGGATTGGATGCTGTGTGGAAACTGTAATTGTGCTGATCTCTGCTTAAAGCAAGATGTCACGAAATTTGTGAGCTCTTAGATTCTCCGTAGTAAGTCTTTGAATGAAAACTCATTGTCTGCTCATTGTAATCAAAAGCATTTGGTTTGAAATCTTGTAAGCTTCCAAAATGCCAAAAAAGTGTTCAAAAAAAAATACCATATTTGCGCAATTGAGAGGCGATTCTCGTCTAGATTCCATGAGCACACTTCAACTGACCTGTGAACCCCACGAACGCGAATTTTTTCGTGTCTTTTCTGAAACCTAAACCAAAACTCCCCATCTCTAAAGGCAATCTTGCATGGTAAAGACTTGTGGAGACCCCATCAATGTCCTTCGGGTCAGTTTCAAAGCCATCACTTACCATTCACTGGATTCTGGTGCTGGAAAGGAGTGTTCAGAGCCATCTCCGCCTGCTTTGTGATGTAGCCGCTCATTCGATCAATGAGCAGAAAGAAGGCTCACCAGAAATGCACACATACCGCAAAAAATGAGGACATTGACAGTACTCCCGTAATTATCCCTCCAGTTGAGCCCAGAAGTAGACCTGCCAATGGCTTTGGTTTGTGAATGTATCCTTGTCGAACCAGTCAGTCTGTTTTTATAGATCGTAAATTAAGGCAGAATATCTGTCAACGACGACACATCAGCGAAAAGTGATATTTCAACGAGATAAATCTTGGAACGGTGCGACTTGCCCAGCGTATACGTAGTACAAGTGTAGCTAGCGAAATGGAGGAGAGCTCGATTCAACTGACAACGGTGATTTTTATTCAGTATCCTGGAACTCAAAACCGGATGAGATTTCGACCCACGAGCGCTGCCAAACGAAAAACCTAGACAGTGAAATAGTGGAGTAGAGCACATACAGGGTGCGCTGGGAGAATAAAAAACACACACAGGGCGCGACGATGTGTCTCTTTTGCACTGTTTTTAGAATTTCTCGGACTTTCGGCTACCGACACACCCCACTACATGCCCAAAGTAGTGCCTCCCAGCTCGCTTTCGACCTTTTGGTGGTCCAGCGGGTTCGGAGCAGCCTCGTACACCGCCATTAGCGGAAATTCGTCGTCGCTGCGCTTGTGATTGGCAAACTCGCCACGCAGCTCCACGTAGAAGCACCGTGTCAAATCGTCCTCGTCCCCGGTCCAGTTGTTCTCCACGAACAGCGTGAGCGATTCCACGTTCTGGAAGTGCTGGCGCGGCAGATGGTGCTCTACAAACCCAGCGTCGTTTTCCACACTCGTGGCCCCAGCAGCACCGTCCACGTCGATCCCCACGTTTTCCGGATTTTCCAGCTCGTGCTGCGGCTTTGCTTCCGACAAATTGTCGAAATCGATGTTTTTCGTAAAGTTCTTGAACAATTTGACGTTCTTGGGCGACCCAATTCCTCCGCTGCTGTTCCTACCAAATCTGAATATGCACGAAAAAAGGCGACAGACGCCCGTGAACGGAATATGGAGAATCAATTGGCAGTCTGCATCGCTTTCCAGATACTTAGATATATCATACTTGTCGTCTTGGCTCTTTATAAAGCATGAACTGAGGTCGTTCGATCCGCAACCCACTGCGTTTAAACATCGAACTTGCGGCGTATTTATGTATTTATACAGCGATTGAACCTCGTTCGTAGCCAATGGTGGGCTATGATCGTGTCCGTGATCGCCATGGCCATGACCATGTTCGTGCTCATGCTCACAACTGTGTGACATTACTGTATGGGTTATAAGAGATGTGGATATGTTGTAGTTGGTAAAAATGTAGAATAGTGATTAAAGTTGATGAAATTGTTCAAGTTTATCTTTATTTCAATTCATCTTCAAAATCTCAAATTTGGAAAAACCCACAGATATAAGACTCTTGAAGCACTTTGAGACGCCATGCACAGTGCAGAGTTTCTGGATGCCAACCCAAGTCAGATAAGCTCGATTTTGGCGGGTGGATACAACCATCCGTTGCTTAGAGAATGGCAAAACGAACGGCAGTTGACGAAAAGCATGTTTATCTTCCCTCTGTTTATCTCGGACATTCCAGACGAGGAAACACCCATCGAATCGCTGCCCAACATCAAGAGATTTGGTGTGAACAAACTGACCGGCTATTTGGCCCCCCTAGTGGCCAAGGGTCTCAGAGCAGTGATCTTGTTCGGAGTGCCCTTGAGCCCCGGGTGTAAAGACCCTGTGGGCACCTCTGCTGACGATCCAGAAGGGCCCGTCATCCAGGGCATCAAGCTCCTCAGACGCGAGTTTCCAGATCTCTACATCATGTGTGACACTTGTCTGTGCGAGTACACCTCGCATGGCCACTGTGGAGTCCTCTTGGAAGACGGTAGCATCAATAGGGAACAGTCGGTTCGCAGAATCGCAGCAGTGGCTGTCAACTACGCCAAATCTGGGGCTCACGCTATTGCGCCCAGCGACATGATCGACGGCAGAATCCGCGAAATCAAGCTTGGGCTTATCAAGGCTGGTCTGGCCCACCAAACGTTTGTCATGAGCTACGCGGCCAAGTTCAGTGGAAACCTGTATGGACCTTTCCGCGACGCCGCCTGCTCTGCTCCATCCAAGGGCGACCGTAAGAACTACCAGCTGCCCTCTGGTGGACGTGGTTTGGCCCGCAGGGCTTTGAAGAGAGACTTGGATGAAGGAAGCGACGGTATCATCGTCAAACCCTCCACTTTCTACTTGGACATCATGGCAGACGCATCCGAAATCGCCCGTGATGTCCCTGTCTGTGCATACCACGTTTCGGGAGAATATGCCATGTTGCACGCTGCGGCAGAGAAGGGAATTGTCGATTTCAAGACGATTGCGTTCGAGTCGCACCAGGGATTCTTGAGAGCTGGTGCTCGGCTCATCATCTCCTACCTCACGCCCGAATTCTTGGACTGGCTGAGCCAGTAGAAGAGGGCTTCTTCGAAATGCTAAGGCTGTCTGTCTTATGCAAATACGTGTATATAGGGATTTTGTGTTCCTCTAATGCAAAAAAACATTGTTGACGACGTTGAGAAAAGCACCCGCCGGGGTTGCTGGTTGCTGCATTCACAGCTATTCGGCCAGTGCCGCTTCTCTTTTCCTTGTAGCTTCTTCCTGCAATTCTTGGGAACCCAACGCGGGCAGGTCTTCGGTCGACGGCAGCTTGGGCGACGTTTGAGGCTTTTCCAGCGGAACATTGGGCAGGTCTAGTTTTTCCTGTGCCGGTGTGCCGTTCACCTCTTGGTCCAGTAGATTCAGTTCCCTATCGAGTTCCTCCTCGAAGCCCCCCATGACGCTGGACGACAAAACCTGGTCGATTTCTTCTTGGTACGCTATCTCATCAGCCACAGAGTCCATGAGCTGCTCTGCACCTTTGAACTCCTTGTTGAGCCGTTTTAAAACCTCATTTCCCTGTTTGAGTCCCGCCATAAACTGGTGTTCCACCAGCTTGAATTCCACAGTAGCGACTAGATTTTCCAGGTTGATAAGCTGGTCGGAGGCTTGCTCTAACAAATGGCTCTGGTAGTGGATTTTTTTGAGCAAAACACGGGCTCTGGGGTTTTTGGTCCCGCTTTTTGGGTCTTGTCTGAGCAGCAGTTTCAATCGTTCTCGTTCATTAAAAACCAGTGCTTCTGTGCGTTTCGTGTATCGATGCAACTCGTCCTTTGATAATTTAAGTTGTAATATAGCTCTATCAGCCTTGGTAACCTCTATTTTGCTGCTCCCCTGGCCCATCCTCTGCGTCTTTAAAAGGTGTTAAATGCTATCTCTGGTTCGAGGTTCGATGAGTTGAAAGTCATGATATTTAAGACTTACGATATTGTCATGATTACAGGTATGCAAGTAAAGTCTGGGAAAGCGATGAGAGCGGCCTTTTCGCTAGATGTTTGGAATAATCAGCAAGATATAAATACGTTCAAGATTGAAACTTGTTTGATGCTTCCACAAGTCATGCTTAGAAAGTATTGAATTGGAATTCTTGCAATTTGAACATATCATGAAAGGAAAGGCAACTAGCGAAGCTTACAAGTTAGATGAATTTCAACCGGCTCAAGAATTAAGTGTAGAAAATCTGATAATCTCTCATTTGATATTGTGACATTTGGGTCAGTTAAATGCTATTTGGTTCTCAATTCTGGGTGGTCAAGAAATGCTTGTTAGGTCGCAGTTGAAGTGGTTGCGACGGGGAAAACTCGAAAATTCGAAAACTTTAGAGTTTCCGACATTCTGAATAAATCAATTCTCGGGCAGCAATTGCAAACTCACACCGGGCGTGAATTCTTCTGGACTCAATGTGAATTTCGGCTTCTGCGTGTTCAATGTAGAAATTACCAATTAACCAAATTGAACTCTGAACATAAATAGATAAAGTCAAGCGAAACAGGTTAAGAAGTGCGATGAGAACCAGTTCAGTTCCATAAAAGATGTCCTGGAATACTGTGCAAATCAGCAAAATCAGAACCATCAATCAAATACCAGAATCAAGACAATCACATTCTTCCCGACTCTCGTTGACTTCCACCCTGGGCTAGCAGTCAATTGAGATTTAAAACTTCGGCGATCCGGTCCCTTTGAATCCCGACACAATTGGCGCCGTTCCCGCCAAAGGCAAGAAATCGTCACTCATCGCTGGCCCACCACCGTCCAGCCGATTACAGAGTATAACGCGGTGGAACTATTTTTTCCACGCCTCTAGCAAATGCGAGATAAGATGAGTTGACAGGATATCTCAGCTACAAAAACTGGCACATAAGAAGAGCCCGATAATGACAATAGGGCAATGATCTTGGTCTTCAGCAACGTTTCGTGAGCAGATAAAATCTCGAGTACCTGGTGTTTTTCATCTTTTGGAGCCGGCCAGCCATATCACACACAAAATGTCGTCTTTGACCTTCACATCGCAGAGAAGCGAAAGAAAAAGCTATGGACTGCCCAAACCGGTGCCAGCGTATTTCCCCACGTCCAAAAAATCCATTTTGATCCCAAACTTCGAGCTCTACGATGCGATCAAACAGGCGCCTCGAGGGCTAGTCGCGACACACGAGGTGCCAATCCGGTCTGGGAAAGCTTGGAAAGCGTCCAAGGGCTCCATTGTGCGGATCTCTACGCCTGAGGGCCCTCAGGTGTGCGACTTCAACTGCTGGGAAGCGAATTCCGGTTTCAAAGAACACATGTGGGCGTCTCGAACCCGCCAGCTGCATTCTTCACATGTCTCTGTCTACGACAAGCTGTGGTCGAATCTGCCATACCTCAGGCCCTTGGTCACCATTATCGACGACACACTGGCTGACTACGGCCCTGATGAGCACGGCGGCCGCGTGTACGATCTTTTGGGAACTCGTTGCGACCCGTATGTCGACAAGCTGCTGAGCGGCGAGGACGTCGATTTCCACTGTCATTCCAACCTGTACCGGGCCATTCGCGAGTTCGGCGGCGAGGAAGAGAACGTGCACGACGTGCTGAACATTTTTCAATCGACAGGGCTCAATGAGCACGGTCAGTACTTTATGGAAACGTGTCCTGCGAAAGCGGGCGACTATTTTGAGTTTTTCTGCGAGGTTGACCTCATATGCGCCATCTCGGCCTGCCCCGGCGGTGATCTCTCGAATTGGGGGTGGGGCGAGGGCGCCGAAGACCCAGAGGGCAGAAACGCTGGCGACATGACATCCGTGTGTCGTCCTTTGAAAGTGGAGGTCTTTGAGCTAAACGACTCGGCCACAGTGCTGGCAAAATGGAAATCTCCAGAACCTGTCAAATACAAAGGAAACCATGGCATTACAAAATAAAGTGGGGGATATTTTGTTTACTGTCTCGGTGATGACTACTCAAAAATAAAATATCAAGCTAGTATATCACAGCGTAGAATTTGGAACACAGTGGCACTGTATGCTCAAGAGCAAGTGAAATGTTACTAGTCTTAACGTCACCTCAGCCTGAATTTAAAAATTATGCTTTCAAACGCTGTTTACGAATCTAAAAAACGGCAAATAGAAGCTCGATGAAGCGTGATGAATTAAGAACCAAATAACTCATACAAGCACCATCGCTTCATTCCATTTTCAATGTCTATAACCTGGAAATAGCCCAAATGCCCATATTTGAACCCTGCGTCGCTGGCCCACATCTGTCACTTTGTACGAATCTGATATCGATGCCAATTTTGAAAGTGACGAATTTTGTCCACCTGCTCACTACAAAAGCCACATACGTTGAGTAATCTTACGATAGCGTCTGTTTAGTTTATAAACGTCAGGAATTCTTCCTTTTCCTGGGATTCTGTTCTTCACATCAAGTCTTCATATATCAGGCTTCAAAACGCTACCACCAAGCCTTGTCTTTTCTCACATAGAATTTGGATACCTATCGAATGACTCAATACGATAGTCGTACCAGTGTTGCCGATCTTGTCGGAAACACCCCCATGGTTGAGCTTTCCAAGCTCCCCAAGGCTTTGGGAGTTAAACCTAAAGTCTACGCCAAGCTCGAACTGTACAACCCAGGTGGATCTATCAAAGATCGTATCGCGAAATGTATGATTGATGATGCTGAGGCCTCTGGCAGAATACATCCCTCTAGAACAACCCTAATCGAACCCACGTCTGGTAACACAGGTATTGGTTTGGCCCTGATGGGTGCTGTCAAGGGCTACAGAACCATCATCACCTTGCCTGAAAAAATGTCAAATGAAAAAGTGTCTGTCCTGAAAGCGTTGGGTGCTGAGATCATCAGAACCCCCACAGCAGCCGCGTGGGACTCACCAGAGTCGCACATCGGTGTTGCCAAGAAGCTGGAGCAGGAAATCCCAGACGCGGTCATTCTAGATCAATACAACAACATGAAAAACCCGGACGCCCACTACTTGGGCACGGGTAAAGAGATCCACTACCAATTGGAACAACTCAACCTCTTCCAAAAGCTGCACGGTGTTTTTGCCGGTGCGGGAACCGGTGGTACCATTAGCGGTATCTCCAAATACCTGAAGGAACAACGTTCAGATGTCAAGATTGTGGGTGCAGATCCAGAGGGTTCTATTTTGGCCCAGCCTGAGTCACTCAACAAAGTTGACGCAGCAGTCGAATACAAAGTCGAAGGTATCGGCTACGATTTTGTTCCAAAAGTTTTGAACCGCGACTTGGTTGACGTTTGGTACAAAACTAACGATATCGATGCCTTTAGATACGCCCGCCAGTTGATCTCTAACGAGGGCCTTCTTGTGGGTGGATCGAGCGGAAGTGCTTTCGCTGCCATGATGGAATACTGCCAGGAACACCCAGAGCTTACCGAAGACGATATTCTTATTGTCATCTTGCCAGACTCCATCAGATCGTACCTGACCAAGTTTGCCGATGACGAGTGGCTAAAGAAGAACAACTTGTGGGATGATGACATTCTTAAACCACTAGGCAGAAGCCAAAGCGACACTTTCAAGGGTGCTACTGTCAAGGACTTGAATTTGAAGCCAGTGGTGTCTGTTAAGGAAGACGCTCCTATCTCAGAAGTTGTGAAGATCTTGACCGACAACGGCTTTGACCAGTTGCCAGTATTGACTCAAGATGGCAAGTTGTGTGGTCTGGTGACGCTTTCGCAACTACTCAAAAAACTATCTTCCGGCGATGCCGTTAAAAGCATTCAGAACCTGTTCTTCGATTTCAGAGGGCTCAACAACTTTGATGAGGTCTCTTCTTACAACGAAAACAAGTCTGGTAAGAAGAAGTTTGTCGACTTCACCATTGACAGCAAGCTTTCGCAGTTGAACCAGTTTTTCGAGAAGAACTCGTCCGCAGTTATCACTGATGGCCTAACTCCAGTGCACATTGTCACCAAAATGGACCTACTCGAGTTTTTGACTAAAAAGTTTTAGAATATATAGATAGCTAGAATACTACGATAAAGTTTCGGATTCACGGCATCGATAGTTTTCACGGCTTGTATGTTATTTCTTCTCCATACCTAAAACCGTCATCAATGGTCCCAATTGATCAGGTCCCAGCTCGATGCCAGATTTAGACAGTTCGTCTTTAAATTCTGCCATCGCTTTCCTAACATCTTTGTCGGTTAAAATTTTGACCACTTGCCATGGACCTGGCGGGGCAGAATCATTAGCAAGACCCTTGGAGACCATTATTTCGCTGACGGCCCGTAATTTTGAAGCAACACCCGGATGACTTTGAATCTCATCCAGCAGTCTTTGTACTTTCAAGTGTGCGTCGATGTCCTTGTTGGGCTGATTATTATCCCACGACTGAGCGTACCATCTTTTAGTATATACAAAAAGACGAGGTGTACGTAGTGGGATCGCGAACTTCGCCGATTGACGATATGAAGTTGTGGCAGTCCTTAAAAGTCCTCTCACAGTGATCATTTCGGGCACTTTTCTTCTAAAATGATTTACACCGATTGCTGTGAAGAAAGATGCCATCAAGTTGTAAATTAGGCTCTTACCGTTCCAGCATTCAGAAAGTTATAATTTCACAGGACAGAAGAGGCAAACAGTATCTAAATTGTCAACTATCTGTGCGGCACTACTTACAGCCTATTAATACATACTTGCGTAGATTTCATGACTAGTTTTACGTTAATCCATGCGAGATCTGGCTATGAAAACTTCCATCTATTACCACACACCTCGCATGTGCAGAAAGTGGTGAGCGGTTCATCTGCTGATCTCGTCTGCAGCTGGTAATAAGAGACCTTTTTCTCCTTGCACTTACCACAGGTAAACCGATCTGTGACTGATCTCTCTAGAGTAGCACCCTGAGCGTTAAATAAGTTCTGTTTGGATATTTCTTCCAGCTTTTTCTTCAAGTGCTCTGGGGCCAGTTCTCGCGGATCACACGATACCAAGTGCTCGGGCGAAACGTCGCCCGCTGTAATTTTGTGTTTGAGATCAGGATTGTTACGGGAGATAACGTTCGAGTACACGACCCGATACTTGTCTTTGTAGGCCTTTTCGTTGGTCTCGCAGTTATTCAGCTTATTGAGCTGTTTTTCCACCGCGACCGCAGTGGTCAAGACCGATTGTGGTGGATGTTCGCTGTCTTTGGCGAGCGCATCGTAAAATGCTCGGATGACCATGTCCCGAAGCTTGTGGTTGTAGATGGCTGTGATGACACCATCATTCTTGGCATTTCTGGGCTTGCTCGACACAAACTTGTCGTGTCTCTTGGCCTCTGGTGCTCCGCTGCCTCCTGTTGAGCTAGATCCCACGGTGGAGGGGGCATTTGAGCCTTTTGTCGAGCTTTTCGCCAGCACTTTTTGCTTCTTTTCTTGCGAAATTGCATCTCTCCACTGGCCAATCATTTTCTTGACCAACGCCGCAATCTGAGCATTGCCAGACTTCTTAAACTGGTTTACGACTACACCAACTTTGGTCTCTCGCAACAGCTTTTCTGTGGGCTTCAGGTCCCGTTCCAAAACCGACAATATCTCTATCACGGTGTCATCGTTGGTCTTGTTCTTCTCCAGATTCTTGACGAGCGTAATCACCTCTTTACTGTCCATCTTTAGTTCTCGATGAATCTTGAATATAATGTTTAAATATTCAACTTTTAATGATTTTATAGACATCTTCTTTAACAACCAAAATCTCACAATTGAAGCCAGTTTTTAGCATTATCAGAGGCCTATAGACGCCCAAACAAATACGAAAACAGTCAAATAGCAGCTGTTGATAGCCTGGCGCCTTTTTCAGACGTTGAAATACTCACTTTTCCGCTAAGTACGTTGTAAATATATCGACATTGAAATATCAACGCATATAGACAGTTGATTGTAGCTCATCACCCACTCGAAATGAACAGACAAGTACACAACAATCCCCCAGCAAGAACTGTGTATCTAGGGTCAATTCCTTATGATCAGACGGAGGAACAGATCCTGGACCTGTGCTCGAACGTCGGGCCTGTCGTAAACCTGAAGATGATGTTCGACCAACAGACAGGTAAATCTAAGGGCTACGCTTTCGTGGAATATAGAGATCTGGAGGCCAGTGGTAGTGCCGTACGGAACCTGAATGGCTACCAGCTGGGCAACAGACACTTGAAATGTGGCTACTATGGGGGCGGAGACACGGGCATGAGTAGCTCGGGCAACGGAGCAGCAGGGCTGCAGAGCGACGAGGAGAGAAACCCAGCGTTTGCTGGTTTGCCGGTAGGCGTGGACGTCAACGTCAACATGACCACGCCTGCAATGATGATCTCAAGCGAGCTCGCCAAGGGCTCCAAGGAAGATCAGCTGGGGCTACTGCGGGAACTGCAACAAATGGCACAGAATAACGCCGAACAGTTCAATAGTCTGCTGGAACAATTCCCGCAACTCAGCTTTGTCGTGGCAGAGCTTTTGCTGACGTCAGGAATTAGCACAGTTGATGACTTGACACAGCTAGCAGTGCAGAACAACCCACCAAGTTCTTCTTCTAAGACCCAGCAAAATCCCCAAGTACAAGAGCAGCAGAAAGAGCTACTGAGACAGGTACTACAACTAACAGACAGCGAGATTGCCGTGCTTCCCGACGATGAAAAGATGTCACTATGGGAGCTTAAACAGAAGGCCATGCGGGGAGAGTTTGGTTTGATATGATTGAAGTTCTTGGATGGCTTTGCATTGCCACAATCAGGAGACAGCTCATTGATGCCGAATCCACATTCTACCCGTTGTAAAAGTAATATATATAGACAGTTCATAAATGAAAGCGTTCTCATATACCTACTCCGCTTTACAGTTCTGTAACATGAATACAGTCTAGGATACAGGAAAAGAGTGCGTCTTGAAAAGTGAACAGTTCAATTGGCCACCAGGATCTCAAATTACTAGACTAAACATTCACGGTTCGAGCGAGCTATTATAGCCCGTCATATAGGAATATGAACATTAAAAGTCAGGACGTAATTTGGTCATTTAAACAGCAGTAATAGACAGAGAGGTTTGTTGAGCTCTGAAAAAAAGCTTAACAAGATAACAAAACTCTCTAAACATTAACAATAGCTCTTAGGCAAAAGCCAGAACACGTCAAAGTTCCCGAGTATACAAATGACAGAATAGTACAAGATGATTTAAAATGGGTAAAGATCAACACTCCGAGTCATACAAAAAAAGCGTCCCATGAATACCCATGTTGAGCAGCTATTATGTTGATTATTTCAGATCTAATCAAGCAGAAAACTAATCTAGCTTGATCCACTTCATAAAGCATTTGTTTCTGTCATCAGCTATTATTCTTATGAAGCGTATATTTGATCACTGTGTACTAATTTTGCTAACTTTATCAAGCGAAGAATGAGATGACGACTGAGTTTAAATGTCAAGTGGACGGATTTGGGCTCAATTCGTGCTATTCACAGGCCTACGCTCTGTCCAGCAATAGATATTAAAAGATGTCAGATCCCAGGACCAGAAAAGCCCGTCATACGCTTACTCCTGACCTTCTGTCGTCTTCCATTCTAATAACAAATCTGCCTGCGAACTGGAACGAAACCACGATTTCGTCCGTTGTTGCAGGATCGGGACCCATCACGAACATTTCGCGCAAAACAGACCCTCGTAACGGAAAATTGGTGGGCATTCTAGTCGACTACTTAACTAGCAAAGACAGCAAACGAGCATTGGAACTGCTGCGAAAAATCAAAAAGTTTTCGTGCGATCTAGAGAGGATAATCTCAAATTCCAAGAACTCAGGCACTCCACTGAATCTGAATCGCGATGCGTTTCCTTGGGATTTCGGCTTGGAGTTGCCCTTTGAAATGGTTTCGGAGGTCCCGCTGCCTAGAAGACCTACCAACCCTGTTCCAGTACCATCAAATGGTACTTCCACGGATGTTGGCGGCCTCACGGTGTTCCCAGATATATTAAGCAAAGCTTCAAAGCATCTACCCGGATATGTAGCCGGTTCCATGACTGCACCAGACGCAGTGTCGTCAAATTTGAGCAAGATTGCACCTTTGCAGCTTTTAGAAATGATCTCTAACTTCAAGATTTTGGCTGGCCAAGACGCCAATCGCGACCAATTGACTAAGTTTTTGACGTCCAATCCAGAAATCACCATCGCCGTGACTCAGGCTATGCTTGAAATGGGGTTTATAAATTACAGTGTGGTGACAAAAGTTATAGCTGATCAAAATGGAAGCCAGTCACAGCCACCCAGTTTACCAAATAGCACACCCCAGGTCTACAGCGGTATAAACACAAACACCACGCCCATGAATGGCAATGCGCCTCTCAACATCTATACAGTGCCCTTAGGCCAGCCGCAACCGCTGGCGCAACCACTACCACAACCACAGCCATCCTCGTTGGCGGGGCCTAACGTTTTCAGTCCACCACCTCAGCAACAACAGACTGGTGGCTTCGATTATAAAATGGTGCCTAATAACGCTTCGTTCGCAACGAACGCTGTGCCGATGAAAACTGGAGACAATCGCGTAAACATGGTTAAACTCGCAGCATTGCCGCAAAACCAGCAGGATATGATCAAACAAGTCTTACAGCTGACTGCAGATCAAATACGGCTGTTACCTCCTGATCAAGTGACCATGGTCGAGAACTTCAAGAGAGAGTACTTAATGTGATAATGTATATATGTGATATAAAGGGTGTTCCAAGATTGTTTGTAGCTCAATAGATGGTCAAATGGCGAAGAATCTGAAGCTCCAGAGATACAAAGATGCTCCAGTGGGTGTTCTCTAAAATGCACAACTATCGTCCAGCTGAGTTTATACTAACATCAATCATTCAAAAAAATAATGGTTGCTAAGAGATTCGAACTCTTGCATCTTACGATACCTGAGTGTTCCACTGTGTAACAGCGTTAAGAAGCGAACTTCTTGAATCAGGCGCCTTAGACCGCTCGGCCAAACAACCAATTGATGAGATATAAGAAAATCATGTAAATATATATACCAGCAAATAATTACGGTCTAACTTAAAATCTCGTTAAATTAATGAACTTGACGGCGGCTACAAGCTGTTTTAAAGGTCTAGCATCAACGCTATCCTCCAAGCACTTCAATTTTTAACTACATCTATGATTTGACTTGAAGCTTGATGCTAGCTATAGGCTGATAGCTGATATCTTTTTGTCTATGTTTCCATAGTCTGAGCAGCGTAACCGGCAAAGCGCAGTGCTCAACAACACCGGTCTTTGAAGTTGTGAGACCTCAGAATGTCCTATTTGAAGAACGGGAGCTCTCTAAGCAGAGGTTTAGCGGTCTGATCGTCTCAATTCGTCTACTTTAATTGTAAGAAAGTTTCTAGGATCACATTTGGCGTCCCAGATTCTCCAGTGTTTTCTGAATTATTGAGAGCTGAAGCCATTATAGACACGATTAAAGAGTTTATAACCCAAACTGAACAGCGATTCACCGCTTGTGCACAGCATTACACTCCCACCAGACACACTATCGCTTCCAGAAAAGTTGAAATTTCGAAATGTCCGATTTCCAAAATCAAGAGTTTACATCCGAAAAAAAAGGTATCTGGAAACGCAACGCAATCGTGGATCTCCAATGGGCAAAGTGACTGATTGACTAAACTCATTACAATCCATACAGAATCGCTTCTTTTCCACTTTCAAAAGATGTTTCTCGCCGATCACATTTTGTCGTACACAATTTATGGATGATGACTCTTCCAGTGACTTGAAAAATATTGAAGACTCATTTCTTAACGTTTCTGAGCATTGATTGACAACGCTTTCTCATCAACGCTTCCTGCCACGAAAGACAACTCTAAACACGATGTCTAAATCTCTATTCAACAACCTTCAGCTACTGCCTCCTGACGCTCTTTTTAACATCAAACAGAGACTTTCAACAGACTCTAGACCTGTGAAAGTTGATTTGGGTATTGGTGCATACCGTGATGACAACGGCAAGCCATGGGTGCTTCCTAGCGTTCGTGAAGCCGAAAAATTGATTCAGCAAGACCCGGACTACAACCACGAATATTTGGGTATCGCTGGTTTGACCTCTCTTACTCAAGGCGCTGTTAAGGTGCTACTAGGCCAGGACTCTCCTGCCCTAAAGGAAGACAGAGTCGTCTCAGTCCAATCTCTTTCTGGTACTGGTGCACTACATATGGCAGCGAGTTTTTTCACCAAGTTTTGCAAAGACAAGCTGGTGTACTTATCGGACCCAACCTGGGCAAACCATAACGCCATTTTCGAGACCATGGGCCTGAAGACCGCTTCCTATCCATACTGGAACGCTGCTTCCAAGTCGTTGGACCTTGAAGGCTACTTGAATGCCATCAAGACCGCTCCACAAGGCTCTATCTTCGTGCTGCATGCCTGTGCCCACAATCCTACTGGTTTGGACCCTAACGAGGAACAGTGGGCTAAAATTTTGAAAGCCATTGTTGAACAAGACCATATCGTGTTGTTCGACTCTGCCTACCAAGGGTTTGCCTCGGGTGATTTGAACAAAGACGCCTTCGCCGTTAGGCTCGGTTTGGAAATGTTGGCTGACTCGGCTCCAGTCATCATCTGTCAGTCGTTTGCCAAAAACGTTGGTATGTACGGTGAGCGTGCCGGCTGCTTCCACCTTGTGTTGCCACGCCAAGACGCCTCTGTGGACACTGAACATGTCAAGGCCTCTGTCAAATCACAACTAGCCAAAATTACCCGTAGCGAGCTTTCCAACCCACCCGCCTATGGTGCTAAAATCGTCGCTACCGTCTTGAACAACCCTGAGTTGACCAAGCAATGGCACGCTGATATGGTTACGATGTCGTCCAGAATCATCAAAATGAGACATCAATTAAGAGACAGCTTGGTTAGTCTCAAGACTCCCGGTAACTGGGATCACATTGTTGGACAAACTGGTATGTTTTCCTACACTGGGTTGAGCGCAGAAATGGTTCAAAGACTAGAAAAAGAACACGCGGTTTACTTGGTAAGTTCAGGTAGAGCTTCCATCGCTGGTTTGAACAGTGGAAATGTCGAGTATGTTGCCAAGGCCATCAATGAGGTTGTCAACTATTTTGGCAGCTCGAAGTTGTAAACGAACGACATTGTAACTTCACCTATGTATCCTTCCAGATCTATATAACCATGCTGACATTCACTTTAAGAACCGCAAAGACATCATTAACGTATATCAGGTATTTTTTGGTGCTAAAAAGTAGTTGTAACAGTTCTTTTGTCAATGCCAAGTGTGACCAGTCAGTCACTGGTAGGAACGGATGTGTGTAAGTGATATTCTCTGGTAAATGTACTGGCAAACACACCAAAAGAAGCCACGACGAGCGCCAAGATAATAGCGGCTTGACTGCCAAACATGAAAGAGCCCGTGGACTGATAATGCAAAACCTCGTCAAATGAGGTGTCGAAGAGACTTTCTTTAATTATTTCTTGGCACCATTTTTCCATTTTCTCATCGCCGTATTTGTATAGCAGCTCACTATTCCCCTTCACTGTTGTGTCTAAATTGTATTTTAGCCCAGTTTGATATACAAGACCAGCTAGCGCCACTCCGAGTGTAGATCCTGTGGCCCTAAATGCGTAATGAATAGACGTAACTTGAGCCTGGTGTGAGAAATCTATGCTTGCAATGAGTGCTAACAGCGTTACGGTTAGCATGGTTGCATACCCGGCACCTGGAACAAACAATACAATGTACTCAATGTAGCCCAGAGAATTGCGGCAGAAGGTTAAAGCAAAGAGACTCAAAATTCCAAGTACAAATAGTGTGTAGATCACCAGCGAGTAAGTGCGATACTTCCCGGTCTTTCTCATGTACAGCCCAGCCGCCATTGAGCCAGTTGAGAGGCTGACGAAGTTAGAGATGGATCGGATTCCAACCTTCCACGGAGAAAGCCCGTACACGCTCTGCCAGAAGACTGGCATGTAGTACATCACTGCGAACATAGCCATTGTGTTGAACCAATTTGTGAATGACGACGACAACACAGTCCGGTTTCTAAAAACCAGTCTCAGCGGAATCACTGGGTTCTCCACACTCATCTCGGTGCGCACGAAATACGCTGATGCAAAGACTAGTATAAAAGTAAGTGCAATCCATCCGTACAATCCCAGGCTTTCGGGATTATCGAGAGAAGTGATGACAATCATTAGAACAAGCATGGTAGTGACAAGGGAGACGCAACCAACGAGGTCAATTAGTTGTGGAATTTGAGACTAGTGGAAATAGCTCTTCTCTTTAATCTCGACCCACAGACTGCCACGTCCTGGAGAGTTATCAGGAAGCCTCAGCGTAAAATACACCAAAGTAGCACTTGTGAGCGCCACAGGTACCTGGAAGGCCCAACGCCAACCCACCGATCTCTGTAAGAGTGCACCGAGGATGGAGCCAGACGCAGATCCCAGGGAAAAGAAAATATTGCCCAGGCCTTGGTACAGTCCACGCTTTCTGAGTGGAATGAAGTCACTAATCGCGATGGTCGATAAGGCAGTCATTCCGCCACCACCGATCCCAGCGATAAATTTCGCTATGGACGGGGTCCAGATACCGCGTGAGAAGCTGGAGCCACATAGGTAGCAGCCCAGTGCAAAAATCAGATTGACAAACACTAGCATTTCTCGACGGCCAAAAACGTTTGACAGCTTTCCGTACATAGGCTGGAAAGAACTGCACGATAGTAAGTACGACGTAGCAATCCACGACATTTGCTAGCTTGCCTCGAGGTCGGACGCTATATTTGGCAGAAGAGTCGTAACCACCGTCATATCCAAAGCTGCGAGAAAACTGCCAACTGACAGCGTTGCAACTATTACATTGGCCTTGGTGCGACTCAAACTCTGTGACTCACTCGATATCAAAGGTGTAGTTTCATCCAGGGGTACTGCTACAAGCCCACCACTCAGCACTGGTCCTAGCATGCTATTTTCTAGACATTTAAAGGCTGAAATATCTCGTTTGCCTGGTGGAAGAGTGCTGTCGTGAATACCCGAATTGTCTCGGACTGATAGAGAATCAATCTCGCTCATCTGGGGAGATATAGTAAATGCCACAATTTGGTAATTTGAGAGGTACTTTAAAGAATTGTAGACTTGACTTCAGAGGTTTTTCATGGTTTTTTTAAATGTGAACTTCTAACTGATTCTGAATTGAATGGTAGATGATCATCCTATAAATAATGACGTTGAATTATACCATAGATAAGTTATAAAAGATAAAAACAGAACAATAAAAAGTGGTCGATAGAGCGGATCGTTGATGATTTTAATGGACGGACAGTTGAATAATTTGTTCATATTCTATTGTTGATATAGTTGTTTGTTTTTCCGCATTGTCTTGTATTGTCAAACAACGTTTATATTCCGGAGGGACGAATGTGCATAAAATCAACGGTTATTTATTTTGGTGATTGAGCTTGAGGCGTAGAGCGACAGAATATTGGAATGAGTCGTTTTGTTAGTTTGCTTTTTATAATTAGAGAAACCTTTTTTGCGAGGTTGGAAGATTTCCGATTGCGAGATAATATTTATCAGTACGAAGGTAATAGACCGTTTGATGGCCTAGTTATTGAGCGTTTTCATGAGCGTTGAAAGTGGTTCGCAGACGTGGACGCACGTCTTCTATGATATGATATTTCCTTTGAGACGAGTATCTGAAATTTGGAGGCATGGGGTGGGTTTTTCCAAACTACGGGAGGTAGGGCGATGTAAATTGGCATTTGATCTCAGTAGCTAGCTCCAATTTTCAAAGCCTCACCAAACCGTAGTCTGCGCTTTGACACCATTGTCCTTGGAACTCTCGTGAAGGCCATCATTGAATAGGCTTAACACAATATCACTTTTGACTAATGTGTCACGAGCTGATATGATGTCACGTGGCTCGTGTTTTTAACCGCTTAAGCGTCTCTAGCGTTCCTAAGATGACCACCATTTGTCTAGAAAACCTAATGTTTGGTTCAAGTTTGCCGTGCAAGAATTTGGCGGTGTTTTTCCTCAGGAGAGGGAAGTATCGCCAAATCAGCACTGTTGGAGTGACAGACGGGTACAAAGTGATACAATATCGTTACTGACAGACATCGAATTTGAAAAGCCATTTTCCGATGGCCGCTCTACGTACCATTCGTTCGACAATGCTGCTATTTTTCACAGCGTCTGATGTGCATAAAATACCGTAAAACACGCACATTACCTCGCTGGTCGTATCCCGGTTTGGGCTTTATTTTTTCATTTTTGACCGTGTTTGAAAGAAAAGAACTCGCTCAATCTCCAAATGAACAACTTAGCTTCCTTGAACGTCAAGCATATTCAACAGAATACAGCACACTATACTAGTCAAGAAGTAGTATCTACCAACCATTATGAGTACTCTTGCATATCTTCAAAAGTACTCGAGACTTCAACATCATTCTACACGAGCGAAACAATGCTAAACAATCAAAGCCAAGAAGATGCTGTTCTAAACAGTGAATAAAGGTAACAAGGTAACTTCAACCAGCTTTCCTAGACCACACCTAACGTTCAAATACTTGACATCTTAATCTTAGCAATTCAAGCGACGCAGACTTCGAATTTCTTTCAAAATCGCGAGATTCCTAGCCTCTGAGAGATAGTGCATTCGCTATGCTCAACATTCGCGATAGAACCACCGAGTTTCAGCGGTCCGTCATTCAACACAACAAAAGATCCCACGATAATGCTAAGAAGCCAACCACATCAGTTCAAAAATCGCAGTTTCAGCAGCAAGCGTCCTCTATAGCACATGAAATTGCACAGACTGCCCAGTTACTGGGCAAGCTCGCGCAGCTGGCAAAACGGAAACCTATGCTCAATGATAATCCAGTGGAAATCGCAGAGCTCACGTACGTTATCAAACGCAAGATTTACGCCGTGGAACAAAGTATGATGGAGCTCGCGAAGATGTCCGGAAATCAAAACGCGCCATCGCAGCCCATTCAGCACACCCGAAATGTGGTCAATCTGCTGAACACCAAAATGAAAAACATCAGTGGAGACTTCAAAAGCGTGCTGGAGCAACGTCAAAAACTGGAGGTTGCAAATCGCGACCGTTGGGAGCAACTGAGCTCGCAGACGCAGTCGGAACAACAACATGTGTACAACAACTCGAATCCCTTCATGTCATCGGTCTTGGAAGAAGAAAGTGGGAAAGCAGGCCAGCTCTCTTTGCCACAAGAGTCCCAAATGCTTATGCTCGAGGAACAGAGCTCTTCGTCTACGTATTTACAGGAACGTAACCGGGCGGTGGAAACTATCGAGTCCACAATTCAAGAGGTGGGTAATCTGTTCCAGCAGTTGGCTCACATGGTTCAGGAACAAGGCGAAGTCATTCAGCGGATCGACGCTAATGTGGATGACATTGACCTCAACATATCGGGAGCCCAGAGAGAGTTGCTTAAATATTTCGACAGGGTGAGCAGCAATCGTTGGCTTGCGGTGAAAATATTCGCGGTCCTTTTCGTGTTTTTTCTAGTGTGGGTATTGGTCAACTAAATTTCTCCAGCGTGTAGCAGGTATTAGGTACAGTAATAGAGCGTTTTACAAATATTCGATAGTATTATAATAAGTAAACGTGAAAAATGGATAGGCAAATATTGGGTTTGCCCTTAGATGAACGGATATTAATAAACACTTTCAAGAGCTTGCACGCCAGCGCGTCATAAGCCCATCTCAGCTTGCAGTTCACGCAAGGCCCGCTCGTCCTCGTCTTCCTCTTCTTCGTCTTCCTGTTCCTCTTTTGTCGCCTCTTGTGGCCTTTGCCACTCCGAAACTTTGTCCTGGGGTACAGAGGGAAGCTTCTGCGGAGGTACCACTTCTTGTTTGACATTTTCAGCAGCCAGGGCCTCGAGTTCCTCGTCGATTTCGTCTTCGTCCACTTCTGCACCTGCGTGCAAGGGTCTGGAGATGGCGTCGGAAATTTCCTCGCCCAGTTCGACCTGTTCGCGGATTTCGTCCATGGTTTCGTCCACTTTATCGATATCCATGCCTTTGTGAATGTTTTTCATGGCCGAAGCACCTTGTTTCATTGCCTTCATGGTTTCTAGATTCAAATTAGCAGATTCAATCGAATACAGCTGTTGCTCCAGTGAGTCCATTTGTGCCTGAATCTTAACCAACTGAGACTCGTAGGTTTTCTTACGCTTCAGCGAGTTTTTCGCTCCAACTTTATTGTTTTTCGCCAGCTGCTGTCGAGCAGCTTGCTCCTGAACGGTAATTTGTGACTGCAAATGCGCTTCTTTCTTCCCCAACAGTGTTATGTGCTCCCGTAGATCGAGGATCGCTTTTTTGGGGGCATCCTTATTCTTGCTTGGCGCTCCGGAACCGAAAAGATAAGACCACATCTTGTAAACTGAGACTTTCAAGCCCAAATAAACGCAATTGTACGGTACTAGGAACCTTACCAAGGCTACTTTGACCAGTTTGTCTTTCTTCGAAGTGATTTGAGATATCTTGAGTACGGGATGAGGGCTATCCAAGTATCAATTATAAAGAGATATCACTGAAAACGACACTGTGTATAGGTTTAAAACTAGTGTAGTCGAGTTTAAACAGTTGCCCAAGAGCTGGGAAAGACCAAGGTGCTTCTCTATTGGGCTCGTAATATTCGGGCTAAAAATTCTGTATAGTTTGCTTGTTTTTTCTGATATTTTGGGCTCTTTTATGTCGCGATTTTGAATGTCAAGAATAGCGAGATTGAAGAGACTGAGAGGGAGCGGGAGCACAGGGGAGAGCTTTGGGGACGCTGTGGGCAGTTGAGAATTGCTCGAACTACGTTTTCCTCTGGGTTTTGGATGGCGCGTTTTAAAGGAAGTATATCCTTCTTGGTCAACTTTGCCGATTGAGGCAGTTATTGGGTAAGTCGGTTGGTGAAAAGATATTAGAAAGCAAGTTGAGAGCACATCTCTGGGGTGTTAATTTTTGTTATTCGACGCACTAGTCTAATTAGACACTTTGTTTTGTTATTTTATGACATTTAGACGTCTCAAAGTCAATGCGGTGGTCGAGCATCCGGTTTAATTAAGAAATATGCCACAACCACACGTCATTCAGCCACTAAAATAAAATGATGTGTGTGGTGCCAATCACCGTGTAATGCCAACGACTATGTGATGTCAATCACTGTAGATATGACATATATGTACGAAGTGATATGACGAGAAAGAGCGTTGATACGAGGAAAGTCGCGGGAATACGTTTGTTCAAGACGCTTAATTGCTGTAATTTATCGCAGCAATGAACTGGCAGTGCGTGACGCAGTGACCAAGAACACTTTTCGTCGAGAATCATAAAGAGTGGATCTCAGTACTTCCATATGGCTTTGATTTCTTCTTCTGACTTGCTGCAGTACGGCAAGTTTTTCAGTCTAAAACCGCGAATCACGTAAAATTAGCTCTATTTTTACCCTCATGGGACTCGATGTTCAAATCTGGAGAATCCAAATTGACAGTTTCCACCCTAAAACGACAAAACTCCGGATAAGTCTCCCAAATCAGTCCACGAAGACACCACTCCATAATCACAGGAAAGCACGATATTTCCCACACATAACCAACACGATTGGGTCACCGAACATCACCCTCTTTATCATGTCGTCGTCGCTTCATCTTTTTATCACTTTATACTCCTCTGACACGCGGCGCGCCCAATTTAATTAAATTTGCCTGGGTAAAAGGGAATGCATTTAGAAAACCTACAGATAAGGGAAAGACCAGGAGCTCGCATAACCTAGCGTGCTCTGATTTTCAAATTCTCTTGCTTGGATTTCAAGCTTTTGGTATGCATATACGCGGGGTATTTATACTCGTCAATTTTTCGTTGATAGTGATGTGTTCAAAACACGATTTTAAACGACCTTACGAATATACAAGACTGTTTTTCTGCACTATTTGGGTATCACACTCTGGTGCTATATCTACACTCGTTACGCGGGGCCTGAAGCTTGGCTAGCTTCGCTCAATATTTTTTTTTGGAATGTGGCATTCCGTCACGTGACCTCTATAAAGCCGTTCCGAGATTATTATAGATATTTATGAATTCGAACAGCTACTCGTCAAATCTCATCTCGTGCACTCAAACTCACACTATATCCAAACTAAAGCTCAACTACACACCGCACGCTGGTATTTCGGCCATATCGCTATTGAAGTCCATTCGCAATGCATTCGGAGACCAACTCGTCCCCGCAGCAGCGGATCATCACCTCGGACCAGTGGGTTTTCGATCGCAGAGGTACGAAAGACGACTCCAAGACTCACACTGGGAATCGCGCCAAGCGCGCTACGTTATCGAAACAAGAACGGGAAATGCGTCGCAAACAGCGTGAGATTGAGACAGAGCAACTGCAACAGGAATATAGCACGGTTCAGAGCGAAAACTCGCGACTCAAAACGGTAATAGCGAAGCTCAAGCAAGATATCGAGGTGTACACGCAGCTAGTGATAGAATCGTCGAGAGGACAGCACCGAACAGGGCCATCCGATGGCATGGGCGTGGATGTCGGGATCAGCAATCGTGACGAGCTGCCGCCTATGGAAACGCTGCTGGTGAACGTATCGAAACGACGCAAACGCGGGCGAAAATCGCGGCAGGACCCGCCGGACGCGGTCGCGGCTGCAAATGCGACGGACGACGACGACACGCTTGGAGTGCTGAGAAACACACAAGCGGACGTAATGCTGGCGCCGGGCGCCGCGGACGTGGGACCTGAGGAGGTGGATCTGATGCAAAAGTTGAAAAACGTGCTTGCAGAAATGGAGTGAACATCGCAAGTGCCTTACAGAAAAAACACACGATTCTCCTTCCCTCCCTCACACTAATGATGAAACGACCCGTGGACACCAAGTCCTCGCTCATATTCTTTTTAACGACAACACATATTTTAAATTCACGACAATACTATGGCACGCAGGCGAGGCCACCGTAAAAGAAAAGATAAAAGATTGAAATTTTGAGACGCGGAACCCATTTTTGGAGCCCCATTGGAGTCTCGACAGCGCCACTCTGCCGCAGAGTATCGTCCAGATGAAAAACATCAAAAATTTTTTTTCATCTACGCCAGGACCGCTATAGAGCCAGAAAAGGGCCCATTATGATCACCACGCCGGGCTAGAATTTGCCATGCCATCCAAAACTGTATCTAGATACCTTGCTGGCATGGTCGTGGTCGATACACTCTGGGGTAAATCACAACTGTTCACGCTGACGCTGACACTGCCATATGTCTAAGCACGTGATCAAAGCCCGTTGTCGGCGCCGATTTTTAATCAATCGTCTTGTACGAATTCCATTCAATATTTCCCAAATTTCCCAAATCTTATATGAATATATATTATGGATTTACACATTTTAGCATACATCTCTATTGCCTCATCTTACCAAGAAAACCCAGAAGACCACTCCGGCACGGCTCCCACACGCTTTTATTGCTAAAATAAAGGCCCTACGATTATTCGCGACGTTTCCAGCTTTTGAATCGGCTTTCTAGCGCTCATTTTGCTCCACTTTTGAGTTCAATCGCTCCATTACCTTACCCGATCTACACATCCCCATAAAAAATGCTGTCTTTGGGTCTTAACAAACCTTCTCTATGGATGAAACCGCTAAGAATGGCTTCGCGTCGTCTGGTCTCGACGGTGAAAACTAACGCGGCCGAAGAGCAGCAAATCCTGATCGCGCAGCGTAAAAACAGACCTGTGTCGCCACATCTTACCATCTACCAGCCGCAGCTAACGTGGTACTTGTCGTCACTGCACCGTATCACAGGTGTGATTCTCGGTTTGGGCTTTTTCACCGCAACAATCGCGTTCGGCGTGTCCACGGCGTTCGGACTAGGGCTCAACTCCAACAACTTGGCCAAATGGTACCACGAAAAAGTGCCCTTGTGGATGGACTGGACTGCCAAGGGAGCTGGTGCCTACTTCTTTGCGTTCCACTTTTCCAATGGTATTCGCCACTTGATCTGGGATACAGGCCGTGCACTTACCCTAAAGGGAGTGTACACCACTGGCTACGCCGTTCTGGCGTTCATGGTTGTTGCCGGTACCTCAATGCTCACCTGGTAATCTGAAGGCGCTAAGTCTTCGTTTATGCACTATATTTATGGGCTTCTTCCGTTGAAAGCCCCAATTCTCTTCTATTTAAATATTCACTCGACCTCAAAGCAGTAAAACGCCCGGAAGACAGACACATTAACACTTGGACGTACTGTACATGAAAAGTGACGTCGTTACGATGATCAAAACATGTATGTAGTATATCCAATTGATTGAATATACACTGTTCACCGGCCGTGTCTTTAATGACTGCTTATTTGAATAGTAACGGTGGAGCTACCACTGGTTTTAATGATATGGTATATACTATGTGGATTCGTTGTGAAGCTGAGTGGCTTGCGTGAGCTAGAAAATTTTCGGAAGTAGATTCATCTTGTTGGATGATGTTCGAGCTATTTTTGATCCTATTGCATTTCCAGCATAAACAAAAAAAGCTTCAGAAACTGTGGACCAAGTCTTGTGCTTGACGGAGAAACTTAGATCAACGACTATATTTCGAGAGGCTCTTGCAATTCCGACGTGAGATCAAAATCAATCAGACTACTTGGTCATTAATATAACTGACAGTGCGACTATGCTAGCGAGAAAGAAGCGTCATTGAGAATTGGCTTTAAGTGACAGGGCAAGTTTTATTCAAAGGAAAGGCCGGAATGCATCCAAATGAATGTTGAAAAAACAAATCAGGTAACGAGAAGCGAGTGTAATGATAGAAATCTAGTTATTTTTCACTGTAAGAGATATGACTGGTTTCCCTCTGGCGATTTTCACACTCAAGCTAAACTGCTTCAAGTTAACCTCCCAAAATTAAATCAAGATATGTTTGGAATTGCTAACAATCAACAAAAAGGCTACGATAGCACATGAAGATTCAAATTATGAAGACAATATTGTGCAGTTCATTAGTTTCCTTTGATGGGTTGGCAACAGAGGCTCGACAAGAAAAGTCATTGAATCTGAGAATATTCTAAGGTTGAAATTAGACGCAGGATAAATTTAATCGCGTTTTGATATATTTTGGAGGACGGTATGCCTAACTCCTTATCAGAGAAACCATTCCTTGGCTAATTCCCGCTGACACGTTGACAGCATAAAAAATGTGATCTGACGACAGATGACAACCTGGTACAAAATGACAAAAATCAAGAAGAATAGACCATCGACTGTTATAGCGGCTGTCGGTGGTCCTCAGCATGCACCCAGTGTGTGCCCAGTATGCGGCCATCAACTCTCTAGAATAACGACCGGAGGGTACCAGTCACTTAAGCCTAATAGAAGAAGCTATTGGCAGTTTGAACCAATTGACATAATAAAAACCAAAAGCGCTCTCTTAGTCCTTAAGACTTCTGTGCTTTTACGGAAGAAATCAAGGACAGGAAGGGTCGCAGAAGCGAAGAGCTAGAGGGGCTCAAACTAGCTTATTATTTACAGCAAAACGAAGAACGTGACTACGCATCTCATTACCCACAGCGCAGCCGGCATTGACAGCTATGCCGCTGAATTCTGGTTACCGTTTGTGGGCGCACATCTTAAACGTTAATTATCTGATGGTCACTCGTTTTAAGAAGATGATTCCAGCGAACGCACAAATGACAGAGGCCTTTCGCAACTGTTTTGTTGCATCGAATTCGTGGCACAGTCTTAGTAGACTTAGCACAATTGAATTCTCAAACTGAAAACTTCTATCGTGTCTAAGAAAATTCCCCGTCGCGACGGGTATCTGTATGCATTTCTGAGTTTCGCTTCTGACAAAAATACACTAAAGGGGGCGGCATACAGAAACCGAGGCGTCCAATGACGAGCAGATAAAAGTTAGCTAATATTGATCCGGCCGTCAACTCAAAACCTTTATCAGTGCATCAGAAAATCAAGCCTCTCAATTGAATATTCACAAGTCGCGATTAAAGAACTAAAACTGATATCATCAGAATATGATGACATACGCCAGAAAACCTGAATTGTACCAAACTAGACATCAAAATGCAAGCTTTTTCAAACCTTTGGTGCTTCTCCTCACACCTGTCCATGCCTTTCTGCCTCTCAAACAATTGTAGCTTCGTCGTAAAACTGTAGAAATCATTTCGACCTGCCCAGAACTCGTTGCTAGTTCGTTCAAATTCGCCTCAGTTTGCTTATTTCCACTAAATACCACCGCAGTAACCGTTGATTCTTCAAAAACAGCTGGAATGCCTTCCATCCTGGTATAAGTATTCGTATAATCTCCCACAATTCAATATTCAACGTAAAGTGACCTGAAAAGCCGGACCTGCCAATACATGTCTTGTATCACTTTGAAGACCTTGAATCTTACCAGTGAACTCATATTAATCGTGCTCCTTTCCCGGCTGGCCCATACTTCTTGATATTTCAATATTTTGTATTATTATATAAGGTCTAAAGCTCATCGAAACTTGTTAATCTTATACAACTCCGATAAAACGCTAACTTGAAGGCTCAAAAGATAAGATTAGACGCTTGTAACTCGCTCTTAACGCGCTCTCGGGATGTCTGCCTTCATTCCTTTCCTTGGACGCATCTTTTTCACTGACTATGTGATACTGTTGCTTGTAACGGTCGAGAAACTCCTAACTATGGTGCTAAACTGCATTCCACAGGTATGGATGAACACGATATCGACAGTGGTTAACACTTTCACCCGTTACACATTGGGCTCCGTGGATTTGCGTGCACAAGAGTTGCGCGACGCCAAGGACATTCACGAAATGGGCCAAATATTCGGGGTAGAAATCGAAGACCATATTGTACGCACAGAGGACGACTATCTGCTGACACTGCACAGATTAGTACCTGCTGAGGGTACGAGCAACGGACAGGTGGTGTACCTGCACCACGGGCTGCTGATGTGCTCCGACATTTGGATGTGCCACACGCAACGTGAGTGCAACCTGCCACTGGTGCTTCATGCCTTGGGATTCGACGTTTGGATGGGCAACAATCGTGGTAACAAGTACTCGACGCAGCATTTGCACAAGGTGCCCCGCTCGCAGGAGTTTTGGGACTTTTCCATTGACGAGTTTGCGTTTTTTGACATTCCAAACTCCATCGAGTTCGTACTGGCATTTACGCAGCAGCGTGAGCTAGTGTGTGTCGGGTTCTCCCAGGGCTCGTCGCAGACTTTCGCAGCGCTGAGCGTGCGTGAAGATCTTAACGAGAAAATCAGCTTGTTCGTCGCAATTGCGCCTGCAATGACACCACAGGGACTGCACAACCGTATTGTCGACGCGCTACTCAAGTCCAGCCCACGCGTAATGAATCTGTTTTTCGGGACCCGTATACTGATGCCCAGTGTGACCTTGTGGCAGAAAACACTACAGCCGTCACTCTTCAACCTGACCATCGATCTTGCCAACCGGTTTTTGTTTGACTGGAAGTCGCGCAACATCTCGTCGCAACAGAAACACGCTTCCTACGCCAAACTGTACTCTACAACCAGCGTGAAAAGCGTTGTTCACTGGTTCCAAATTCTGCACGCGCAAAAATTCCAAATGTTTGAGGAGCAGGACGTGGTCATGAATTCCTGGAACCCAACCCGCTCCTACCAGATCACCACTTTCCCCACGCGCACCAGCATCCGCATTCCAGTCCTGTTGCTGTACGGTGGCTCCGATTCGCTGGTCGACATCGAGGTCATGAAGGCGAACCTGCCCATCAGTCAGGTTTTTGACGTGGTTATCCCGGCCCACGAGCACCTGGACCTGCTGTGGGGCCGCGACGTTGGCGAGCTGGTCATCCCAAATCTATTGCGTTTTATCTGGTTTTTCAAGGACATCAAAGCGCTCGAAGGCGAAACCGCGCTTGATTCTGGTAACGAGCTCGCCAGTCCTTTCACCAAGAACTACAGTGACAGCGTCTTGACCAAGACTACGCTATGAATTATATTAACTAGGTACAAATCCAATTATTTTATGCCTCTAAAATACAAATTTCCCGACCAAAATTTCAGCATCATCTTGTACAAGTGTTCACAGCCCATTGCAAGCGTCAGATTGTCCTTTCAAGCTCTAAGTCGTGTCCTATGGATCGTTGTCGTCGGTATTGTAGAGTTTTGTTGATAATCGTTATGGGTTTAGTTATATTGAAATTTGACAATCTCATCGATGAACTTGACCAAGAAGATAAAACCGAAATGGACAGAAAGAGCATGCCATTTAGTCGTATGTGATGTATAAAAGTATCTAGGCGATGTAGAGCAATTTTACTAACCTATGTGGTTTTTTTCGCAGAGCGAAAAGGCTTTAGGAAGAGGGCAGGGCCTCGTGCAAGTGGTGTTAACACTCACAACGGCCCCAATGTCCAACCGATTGGAACGGGGCGTAACAGCAGTCGAAACGGGAGTTTTGGTCGCCGGGAGGAACCAGAACCTAAACGTCAGCACACGGGGCCTTCCAGATACAGTGGATCTAGATTTCAGGACTCTCCAGCTGCACGAAGCAACCCTGGGCCCAAGAGCCACCACGTCAACGGATTGCAACTTCCCACGGGACCTAAGCTCATGAAACCAGTGCAACCAAGCAAATCGCGCTACGACCCGGGAAACGGCGCACCCAAGCCCAAAATAGCCCCCATATCCGTGATCGTGCGTGAACAGGAGTCGTCCGTGTACGAACGCATTCAGCAGGTGGGCGAAGGCACTTACGGGAAAGTTTACAAGGCTAAAAACACTGTTACAGGTCAGCTGGTGGCGTTGAAAAGACTTAGACTCGAGGGCGAGCGCGAGGGCTTTCCAATAACCTCGATTCGGGAAATCAAACTGTTGCAGAGTTTCGACCACCACAACATAAGCACGCTCTCTGAGATCATGGTAGAATCGCAGAAAACCGTGTACATGATTTTCGAGTACGCGGACAACGATCTTTCTGGACTACTCATGAACGAGCAGATCAAGTTTTCCAGCGCCAACTGCAAACATATCTTCAAAAGCCTGCTGGAAGGAATCCAGTATCTACACCAGAACAACATTCTACATCGCGATATCAAGGGCTCCAACATACTTATAAACAACAAGGGCCAGTTAAAGATCACAGATTTCGGCCTAGCACGGAAAATGCGCGACGACTCGGACTACACTAATCGCGTCATCACTCTGTGGTATCGCCCGCCAGAGCTTCTGATGGGGTCTACCAACTACGGCACCGCAGTAGACATGTGGGGGTGCGGGTGTCTGCTTGTCGAGCTCTTTCAACAGACAGCCATTTTTCAGGGCACCAACGAGGTCGAGCAGCTCAACGCCATTTTTGCCGTTATGGGCACGCCGAGTCTTGAGCAATGGCCCACACTCTTCGACATGCCGTGGTTTTTTATGATGATACCGCAACAGGCCCGCAAACATCCTTCGCGTTTCGACGAGCTGTATCAAAACGTACTGCCCTCGTCTGCAGCAGTCGACCTGGCAAAAGGTCTGCTTCTGTATGACGAGTCCAGACGTTTGACGGCCCGCGACGCATTAAACCACCAATTTTTCCGCGAGGAGCCTCAACCACAACCGCTGGATCTCACGGGCTTCGACGGCTGGCACGAGTTCGAGGCCAAACGGCATCGACGTAAGGAAAGAGAGGAGCAGAAGCGGCGCGACCGTTCCGAGCCAACGCCTCTGTGACCTTGTCTCGAAGCCCCAGAGGGTCTGACCTCCACTGCATAATCCCTACCACCTTCATTTCCACCTCCACCTCCGTCCGGCACATAGTCCGAAGTCTTTAGCATTTCCTAATTCACCTTTTACTACTATACTATACATAAACCTATTGTAACCCAAAATCCTAGTGATTGTAGCGATTATAGCGATCCTAACGGTCCTAGCGTTTTCCCAGCATTTCTTCCTCGAAGCATCGGTTTCCGCCTATAAACCACGACGCGTGGACTTTTCCCAGCTGGCCCACCAAGTGTTCGTTGCACTGGTTCGACATCGTTTCCATGTGTTTACTGGTTTGCGACAAATTGGCCTGTAAGGTCTTCAATTGTTGGGCAAGATGGGCATACTGACGGGCCTTGGTGTCATTCATGAGTATCAAGAACACAATTGAGGCGGTTTGAAGTGGTTTGAAGCGGTTCAAAGCGGTTTGAAGCGGTTTGGAATCTTGATTTTAATACTTGAACAAGTTCAAGAATTGTCTAATCCTGAATGGAGTTAACATCACCAACTTTACTTGGAAAAAACTGGCAAATATCGAGGCATTGAGAGCTTATAGGGAGCATGGGGGACAAGGAACAGCTTCTGGAGGATCCAATTGGCCTAATTCGCGAAACCAGGAACAATTTCTCGCTGGTGAACGATGTGGAATCGCTGTCAAACGTTACTCGTAACATCGATGAGCTACAGAGGTTGATCCAGGAGAAAGTGAAGTCGAGGGACGAAGAGGTTAGGCAGTTGGACGCTGCGGGTCGGAAAACGGAAAATAGACTGGAAGTACTGCGACAGGCGCAATTGGCGTCGAACTCGAACGGTCGGAATAGGTCTTCGAGCATGGACGAGACTGCACAGCTTGCACAAGAGCTGGAGGAACTGGAACAACGATTGCTAGCGATGCGAACAGAAGTAGACCAGGGTCTGCAGGATCTCGTACGCGAAGGCAGTTCAGACAGGGACCGTGAATTGGTGGAAGAGGCGAGGCCCGTGGACCGAGCTCACAAGGCGAATATCTTGAAAATCCAGGTTTTCCGGTCACTGGGAGTGGTATTGAATCTGTCGAACCGAACGGCAGTGCTTAATCGTGCTGGCACGCTGGACGTGGTGGCGCTGGACGACTCCAGCAGCGAATTCTATCGCACCAAGTATCTGTGGGACAGGTTATAGGGAAGGTTGACTAGGTTTCTAGTTGTAGTGTTGATTCTAAATATGGCTGGTGGTGGTTATTGCACGTCATATTCCTGCGTGCTGCCAGTCGGGCTATGTACAGTTATAGGTTTAGATACTATCAAACAGCATCTCACGGCTCATTTCGCTGTTTACAGCGCTGCAAACGGCGCTACGCAATCAGAAAAAGCGAGGGTTGCGTCTCTGCGACACCTTGGTCCACTTGGGCAGCATGTGCATACCTTTACGGTACTGTTTGGCCTGTTTGTTGAAATAAGTGTATTTGTCGCGGTACGACATCTGTTTCTCCGGTGGGAACAGCGAGTTCTTGTTCATAATACGCAACTTTTTCACGCCCGGCTTCAGCAGTTTGCTGCTGTCTATCGCAGTTTCGTATGGTACACCTTTGGCCATCGATCTCGCCGTGTGCAGGCCCAAATTTAAGTTCCGGAGCACTGCATCCACATTTTGAAGTCTATGTCTTTGTCGTTGTTTTTGGGGCCGGGACATCGTCGCGGGAATTTTCCACAGCAGCCCACCCAGTAGCGTATTTGTAGACTTAAAAGGGCCAAACATTTCACCCTACGACTAACGCTATAAACGTCTCTTACAGCTTTGATCAAGAGTTTTTGAATATTTCAAGATTCTATCTCTATGTGAATTAAATTCGTCAATTTTTCAGATCGTAATATACACTTCATCAACAACACCATTTTGGCTTTAAACACAAGCTCTGAAAGGCCTTTATTCAAGCTACTTGGTCCTCAGTTTGACCGTGCAAGCTCTGCGGTTCTATTGATACCTTTACATATATATATATACTGTGTTTTTAGTACATGTCTGACGAGTCTAAAGAACAGACGTCTCGCAGACTTCCCATCTGGGCTTTGGGCCCACGCGAAGAGAAAGAGGCTCGCCAGAACCTCAAGAAATTCGCGTATGGCCAGTGTTCTGAATACGTGAAGGCCATGGTGGAGTGCTCGAAATTACACGGGTTGAAAGTTTTCCCAGCGTGTGAATCGCAGCGCAACCAGATGAAAGAGTGTATACTTTCGTTCCAGGGCGAAGCGTACGTGGACCAAGAGCGCGACAAAATGGTGCAGCGTAGGATCCAGCAGTTGGAAGATCAGCTCAAACAGCAGCAACAGCAACAGCGCGAGCAGAAGGGACAAAATTAACGATACGAACACCACACACACGACGGAAAAGCCTGTATATAATAAGTACTAACGATGCAATATTTTGACATGCAGATGATCCCGCGGCCGTCTGGCCAAGGACCGCGAAGGGGGTGTTTTTTTTATGCTTATGTAGCTGCTCGATTAGCCTTGCCCGATTTTAAAACAAATCCAACAGGTCCTGCGTGTTGCTCGACTTCGAGTGCTCCTGTGACGGCTCGTTTTTGTGCAGCGAAAGCTTGTGCATAGACTCCTCTACTGGCCTCTGCTCGGGTGAAGCCTGCTGTGCCGGCGTAAAGTCGAACAGGTCGTTCAGGTCGTTCAGAGTGGAGCCATTTGCAGCGCTGGCGTTTATCGCGGAGTTCGAGTCGTCGTCGAAGTCTAGAAGGTGGTCCTCATTCATGTTCTTTATGATCTCGTCTCGGGCCATGAACTTCAACTCATCCAGGTGCTTGCCCTTCAAGCTGTCGTTTCTATTAGCATTGAACTTGGTCATTGTGGCGACGGGCTTGTAGTAAACTGAGCTCAACAGCGACAGTTCCCGCAGCAACGTCTCTAGTAACTCTGGTGAGAACGTGTCGAGGGTGGTGGCAATCTCAGGAAGTGACGAGTTGCACAGCTGGTTGATAAGATCGTCGTTCGAGCCCTCCAATGACAAGCATCTCCAGTACATAATAGCCATGTCCCGTACGTCCACCTCGTTCGTGCTGGTTGTTGCCAGGTTCAGCAACTCCTGTAGAAGCGAGCCAGGAAGGCTGGTGTGCAATCTTACAACGGTGATCAGAAGAGAAATCTGTGTCAAACTCTCCTCTTGAGTAAAAGAATCCAAGAAATTATGAATCTTTTGCTGAATGTTGTTAAAACGCGCGGGAAACTGACCCAGCAGCCATATGTAGTTGCATTTGGCATAGTCGGTCTGTAGCAGAGAGTCTACCGACCCCCAAGCTTGTGCGAGCGAACACACCTGTGCGACCATGTCTTCTTCTCCAGAGCCCGTGTGTCTGAGTAGGTTACACATCGCCACGAGACAATCGTCTTGGAATGAGTCTCGCGTTTTGCATAGCTCAACAATAATGTCCAGCACTTTGCGAACAAACTTGGTTTCTGAGTACTTAACGGCCAGCTGAGACAACGCTAGTATCGCTCGTGAGACAAATTCAGGCTCAAATTCTAAGGCGTATTCTTTTAATTCAGCAACTAGAAGGGTGCATTGCTTGAGATTTGAAGGGTCCACGAGCCTCACCAGAATGTCAATCTTTTCAAGTTTAACATACAAAGGATCGTTGAACTTAACGTAGAATATACGAAGTTCTCGCGTGAGAAGTTGTGGATATTTTTGTAGAATGATTCGGATATTGCGCAATGCAACATACTGCATTTCTGGCGGCGTTGACATCAGAGAGACCAGGGCAGATGAGATCTTGGAGAATATTGGAGACTCGGCATTTGCCTGGATCAAGGGTAAATTCTTGATCAAGACCTTGATCGAGGCCAAAACGACGGCTGCGTTCACATGCTGCAAGTGGGGTGTAACTCTATCTATAATTTCTTCGGCTTCGATTGAGTCGCGAGCAGTATACTCCGCGAGCGCGCCCAGTATGACAATTCGTGCCCATTCTGTGCACTCGTTCAGAGCAAGCAGAAACTGAGAGACGTGTTTTTGAATGAGAAGCGGCAACTGGACGACCGTGGGATCCGACTCGTAAATGTCCGAAAGTGCTGCTATGGTGTTGGCCACAACCATCGGGTTGGAATCTTCCAAAGCGGAAATGAGGTCCTCCAGAACGCCCAGCTCTTGGCATAACTCTTTGTTTAGCGCAAATAGCTTTGCGACACATATCACTGCGGTTTTACGCACATATGGGTTTTCGTCCTGTAGCGTTTTCCGCAGAGGAATCTCCACGTACTCGAGGATCTTGTCGACTCTGATCATGGACATTGTTCTGATAGCCATACAACGAACCAAAGGGTTGGTGTCTTGCGCGTCACTGACAAACGTGTTTACTGCCAAGATACAAAGCTCCGGGTGTGTTTCTGCGTAGTTCATCACATATAGGTATACCAACTTTTTCTGCTCCACGTCTGACGCGGCAATGTTCTTAAGAATGTCTGGGAACAGAGAAGAGACATCTTTTCCCAGTGTCATCTGTTGTATTGTTTTCTTGATGGCATCTTTACGAGTTTGAGGGTATGGCGATACTAGTCCATTTCTGAGCTCAAATAGTTCACCTTTTTTGGAGATTTTGGGTGCCACTCTGGTGGCATTCTGAAGCAGCTTTTTAAGCTTCTTTTCCATTGGATTGAGGACCGATTGGGTTAGATCTGTTGATGGTTGATGTGTAGTGGATATACAGGTTCCATATGAATGAATGTGGTGTATATATTGTTGATGTCCGTGTAAGGTGATGATAGAATAAGTGGGAAGACAGACGAGTAATTGACGACTGGGACAATCACCATGGATTTTGAGCTGGAAATGGGCAAATTAGGTTTAATGGTGGAATTTCGGTAATCATTTGAGACCCTTTTTGCTAATTTTGAATTATTAGAAAGCTCACAAAAAATTGGTTTGTTTTAATATTGCGTGATGGGGCCTTTCCTGGGTGAAGGGCGAGCGCTGTGGGGGAGGACTGTACCACTGTTAATGTGGCATGTAGCACGTAGTATCACTGAGAAATGAGCAACAGTACTCCACCGATTCACCAAACGAGCGTCAGCGATCAAGTGTGAACGAGTATAGGCCTAGGAGGTCAGATATTCACGACTATTGAGCTTTTCCGCTGTCAGTAGGGTCCTAGTACGTGCGCTCCTACTTTAATGTCAGAATCTAGCACACCCTGACTTTTCGCGGGCATTATGTAAAGATGAACTTTCGGTTCTGATGAATGAAATTGATTGTTCGCACAGTCGCTGGCTTGACGATACTAATCGAATTGCCCAACTTCACCACCCTCTCTTTTTTCGTCGTTGTGGTCGTTTCGTTCTCTTCCGTCGCACGATTTATCAATTACAAGCTTCGCGTTGACATTAAGCCAAAAGTTAGTTGAATAGCGCACGCCATAGAAATTTCACCAAAGAAGGCGACGAAACGGGCAATCAAATATATATACGAGCATCTACATATTGATAATTACGTCGCTCTCGCTGTCCTTGCATCAAACACCGGCCTACTTTCCATAATCGTGGGCACTTCTCCCAGACACGGACTCGAAGTACTCAAACGTGTACTCGTCAAAGAGCGAAGTACTCACGGGTACTCACGAGTACTTGAATACCGTTTCCACTCAAACATCTACCCAAACATCCATCCAAACATCCATCCAAACCTCCTTCTAAACCTCTACTCGCGTTCCCCTCCCCGTCCGGCAATTTCCTCCTGTTTTTCCACTTTCGTCAATTCCTCGCTTCTCTCCCAAAAATGTCCGGATGTTCGCAGTCACACCGATCCCGTGCTGTTAAGTGCGGTGTAAAATGTCTACACCCTAACACCACCAGGCGTAGATTTCAGTCCGGACAGCACGTGCCACGATCCGTACCCTCCCTTAGTACTCGTCTGCGTATATTGTGGTCGCGAGTCCGGACCGGGATTTGCACACCCCTGTCCGTTTTTCACCGACCCACGCACTGAAAAATTTCAGGTTTTCGTCCTAGCGCCAGGATGGGCAATGCTCCAGTGCGCTCCACACACTCTCTCCTGACCACCCACCACGACTTGAACGTAAATCTAGGCTAAAACCATCCTTTTTACACTTAATCCGTCTTAACTTCTCGTTCCATTCCACATCGCAAGCGTCAATTATGTCTTCTGCTGAGGTTCTAGTTCTAAGAGGTACTTTGGAAGGCCACAACGGCTGGGTCACTTCGTTGGCCACTTCTCCAGCTCAACCAAACCTATTGTTGTCTGGTTCTCGTGACAAGTCTCTAATCACCTGGAAGTTGACCGGTGACGACCAGAAATACGGTGTCCCAGTCAGATCTTTCAGAGGCCACTCTCACATCGTCCAGGACTGTACCGTCACCCCAGATGGTGAGTACGCTTTGTCTGCTTCTTGGGACAAGACCGTGAGATTGTGGGAGCTTGCCACCGGTAAGTGTATCCAGCGTTTCGTTGGCCACAAGTCGGACGTTTTGTCCGTCACCATCGACAGACGTGCCTCCCAGATCGTTTCTGCCTCCCGTGACAAGACCGTCAAGGTGTGGAACACCTTGGGTGAGTGTATGGTCACCCTTTTGGGCCACAACGACTGGGTCTCCCAGGTCAGAGTTGCTCCTAACGAGTCCCCAGAAGATGAGACCGTCACCGTCATCTCCGCCGGTATGGACAAGGTCGTCAAGGTATGTTAATTCGAGAACGAAAAAAAATGGTGGGAAATCAAGGTGAAATCTGACAATTGGACAGCACAGCGCGCGTGTTTCCACCCTGCTTGCGCTTCACGTTTAATGCTCGCGACACATGATGTTATACTATATTTGCTACTTCGGACGGGTTTTCAGAACCCGAATGAGACATATCATTATCACCAAGATCTCTGATGTCGCGAGTTTTAAATGCAGGAAGTATCAGCAGTGCTGGAACATGCATGCTCTTTGCCATCCAATTGCTGGTCTTTCTCCATAAAAAATCAACTTTACTAACTTTTTGCACAGGTCTGGAACTTGCACTCTTTCCAAATCGAAGCTGACTTCATCGGCCACAACAACTACGTCAACACCGTCACTGCTTCCCCAGACGGAACTCTAGTTGCCTCCGCCGGTAAGGACGGTGAGATCATGTTGTGGAACTTGGCTGCCAAGACCGCCTTGTACACCTTGAACGCCCAAGACGAGGTTTTCGCCGTTGCCTTCTCTCCAAACAGATACTGGTTGACCGCTGCCACCTCTTCCGGCATCAAGATCTTCAACTTGGAAGAAAGAAAGGTTGTCGACGAGCTAAGACCAGAATTCGCTGGTTACAACAAGGCCGCCGACCCACACGCCGTGTCTTTGGCCTGGTCCGCTGACGGTCAAACTTTGTTCGCTGGTTACACCGACAACGTCATCAGAGTTTGGCAAGTTATGACTGCCAACTAAATTTTAACTGTATAGAAATTTTAGTATAGTGTAGTCGCATTAATTTGAACACTTTTTGGATATGTGAAAAGACGGGAGTGGTGAGAGCTGGGGAGGCCTAGGGAGGCCAGGGTGTGAGGTCTATTGCGGGTGGTCGGTTCTGGCATCGTGTTGTCGTTCTAGCGCTCAAGTGTTACGTAAGCAGACACTCGCCGATGACAGCGACACAAACGTTCAAAGTGACGACAGTGATATGAACGCGACAAATTCAACTAAGTGAACTAAGCAGGGACAATACATATATGGCAGGAGACGATAACGGGTGCTATTTGCGCACTGCATACCCTCTGAGATTCAGGAAATGAATAAGAAGCCTAGCAACAGAACTCTTTTTCCAGATTTTGTTTTAGTCGCATCTCACAATTTCTAACAAAATTGAACATACGTGCTGCTCAATTGCTGACGAATATAGCACAAGATTGGCGCTTGTCGTTATACTCAGAATTACAATGACACATGATGTTTACAAGATGTACGTATCTGATGATGGCGTGGACATGGTGCACGGGTGGTATGGTGTGCGGGTGTTTTCTAGTACTCGCGTACTCGTGAACCCTTAATCTCCCCTCTCCACGCCCCTCTGCACGACGTCATCGGCCCCCGCCCATTTTGCCCTTCTCCAATTATTCTCCACAACACTGCGGTCGCTTTTAACACAGATCCAAGCCTGAGTCATCACGATAATGACTCCGCCCCAGATTAGGGGAGCCGCGAGTCTAATCGGACCGCTTTTGCTTGGGGTATAAAAGGCAGGAACAGATCTTCTCCTGGGCGTTCTTGCCCCATCATCTTCAACACCTATATCGACACAGCATTTACATCGAGAATGGGAGGAATATTCGAGGCTTTTGAAGTCTACAACAAGAAAAAACACGCATCCAATCCACACATGTTTGGTGGAGCGTCTAACACGGGCGGAACAAAGACTGATTACGTGTATTCCAGTGAATACCGGGCTCCAAAGTCCAAGAAACTCGACAATAACGAACTTTTGGGCACTTCCACCGCAGACACGGGAATAGAGAGTAATTCGTCGACAGCAGCAGCAGCAGCAGCCGCTTTGGGCGGTCCACACATGGTGGACGTGTCGAAGCTTTCTAGGCGCGAATTGGACGATTTGATGAAAACCTTGCGCAAGGGCGAGCCCGACAATAGGGTGAACTTTTGAGTGTGTACGTGGCTATGACGGTAGAGTGTTTTATAGTTCTTGAGAGAATATAGGAAAGAATTCGATTCATTATGTGATTTATTGAGAGGGCAAGACAAGTGGGAGCTTTTTCTGTGTGTATGTGTGTTGTAGATTCACATCATTGCACTGCCATCCATCGGTGTGTACCGAGTAAAAGGTGTTATCCTTGGAGCAGCGGAAGGGAGAGACTTCTGTCATCGGGTCACGTGACACCTTCAGAGAAACGCTTTCACATTTTGCACACCACACCGCACCGACCCACGTCTTCAAATAAAGGCAGTCTTTGTTGCCCAATGCGCAGTCTCTAGCGTCGTTTTCATAGCCCTCACAAATGGTGTCTTTCTCTCTATCCACGCCGCGTAACATCTTTCTACTCACGCACGACTGGTGTTCGAATCTGCATGTTGTTTCTTCAACCGACCGTCTAAATCGCTTGCACCTCTCAAAACACTCGACACAGTTTTGCTCTGCTTCTCAACCATCTCAACGTGCCAAGTTTCGTCTTCTCGTTCACCGGAACCCGTTTATATGAACCACTCAATCTCCACGAGCAACCACATGCACACAATGCACAAATATGCAACCAATATGCAACCAATATGCAAAAGATGCTTCTATGCATATATCAATTTAATCCACAACTCGTCACTTTCAACGGGTAATTTCACCGAGCTCATGACTCAACTAGAATTCATAAAATTTTTCAGAAAGACTCTTTCTCTATTTCGCATGCGATGAGTAACTTTCCATAGTGTATCCAGAAAGCAAGCGTTAGCTAGCCTTGACGTTATAAATAAGGATCTGAACTATTCCATAAAACGTCCGAATCTGTCAGATTCTTCAAAAGGTCTTTTTGTGTGATTTTCCCTGTTTTTGTCCCGCACAAAATAGCTCCTTTACCAGCCATTTGAGTGTATTTCATCAATCTTCAGATCACACTTCTTTCCACTGCTCAAGAGCTCCATAAAAACGTTTTTAGGCTTCCCAAATCGTTTCCAAATGAGATCCAGCGTCAGCAGAACAGCGCTTAAACGCGGTGTCTCGGCCATTCGCGCCACAAGACAAACGTCGGTGGGCGCCCTGCGGCTCTATAGCGCATCGGCCGCCAAAACTGGCACCCAGAGTGAGTCCAGACCAAGACCAGCGCCAAGTTTCGATATGGAACCTTCCAAACCCACCGACACCGCTTCTTTGCTCACCAAAAACAACTCCTCCAGCGCTAAAGCGGCAGGAATGGACGATTCCTTTATCGGACTCACCGGTGGTCAAATCTTCCACGAAATGATGCGCCGCCACAACGTCGACACCGTCTTTGGATACCCTGGTGGTGCCATTCTGGCAGTGTACGATGCCATCCACGACAGCGAATACTTCAACTTCGTGCTTCCCAGACACGAGCAAGGTGCAGGTCACATGGCCGAGGGCTACGCTCGTGCTAGCGGAAAGCCCGGTGTCGTTTTGGTGACCTCAGGGCCCGGTGCCACCAACGTCGTCACCCCAATGGCCGACGCGCTCGCCGACGGTGTGCCCATGGTGGTGTTCACCGGCCAGGTGGCCACCTCTGCCATCGGTACCGATGCATTCCAAGAAGCCGACGTCATTGGTATCTCCAGATCGTGCACCAAGTGGAACGTCATGGTCAAGACCATCGACGAGCTTCCTCGTCGTATCAATGAGGCGTTTGAAATCGCAGTCAGCGGCAGACCCGGTCCAGTGCTCGTTGACCTCCCCAAGGATGTCACCTCTGCCATTCTCAAGAACCCAATCCCAGTAAATACCACTCTACCTTCCACCGCGCTAGCTCAACTCACCAAGAACGCTACTCAAGAGTTCACCACTTCGAACATCGAGAGAGCCGCTGAGTTGATAAATATGGCCAAAAAGCCCATTCTTTACGTCGGAGGTGGTATTTTGGGCTCCGAAAAGGGTCCCAAACTGCTACGCGAGCTCAGTGAGCGTGCTCAAATCCCCGTCACCACTACCATTTTGGGTCTTGGTGCTTTCGACCAAACTGATCACAAGTCTTTGGACATGTTGGGTATGCACGGTTCTGCTTTCGCTAACCTATCCATGCAAAATGCCGATTTGGTCATTGCGCTAGGTGCCCGTTTCGACGACCGTGTCACCGGAAGCGTGGCTAAATTCGCTCCCGAGGCCCGTAAAGCTGCTCTCGAAAACAGAGGTGGTATCGTCCATTTCGAAATCTCCCCCAAGAACATCAACAAGGTTGTCGAGGCTCAAGTCGCTGTGGAAGGTGACGTCGCCGACAACTTGGAGAGACTGCTACCTTTGGTTGACTCTGTGGAAGCTCGTAAGGATTGGTTTGACAAGATTGACGCCTGGAAGAAGGAGTACCCATACGACTACCAGAGGGAAACTGAAGGGTCCAAGATCAAGCCTCAAACCGTCATTAGCAAACTGTCCGACATCGCAAACGCCTCCGGAAGAGAAACCATCGTCACCACCGGTGTTGGTCAACATCAAATGTGGGCCGCTCAACACTGGACCTGGAAACACCCTCGTACTTTCATCACTTCCGGTGGTCTCGGTACCATGGGCTACGGTCTACCCGCTGCCATCGGTGCTCAGGTTGCTAAGCCTGATGCCCTGGTCGTTGACATTGATGGTGATGCCTCCTTCAACATGACTTTAATGGAACTAACCAGTGCTGTTCAGGCCAAAGCCCCTGTGAAAATCATGGTTTTAAACAACGAAGAACAGGGTATGGTTACTCAATGGCAATCCCTCTTTTACGAACACCGCTACTCGCATACTCACCAGTTGAATCCAGACTTTGTCAAGCTAGCCGAAGCTATGGGTTTGAAGGGTATGAGACTCGAGAAGCTAGAAGACATGGAATCCACTCTGCACGAATTTGTGAACCACGACGGCCCTGTTCTTCTAGAGGTAATTGTCGAGAAGAAGGTCCCCGTCCTACCAATGGTGCCAGGTGGTAAGGGTCTGGATGAGTTCATTTACTTTGACGCAAAAACTGAGAGAGAACAGAACGAACTACGTCATGAACGCACAGGTGGTAAGCACTAATTGTGAACGAAGCGTTATTTTTCTCTAATATTGCATCTTCCAAGCTGTGTCTAGGCCATTTCATAATTGTCAAAAGACTTAAGGACACTTGGGATATATATCTAAAATTTACCGAAAAATGGGTGCCATAGCTTGAAATTTATCTAAGTTAACAACTCATGTAACATATAATCAAATTTCGAATTGATGAACAAACTGAAAGACGTGGATCATGTCTTGGGTCATGTAATTTCCAGAGAAAGCCTTTAAACGTCAAAAAGTTCCCAAACTTTATCTTCAAAAACCCTTCGTTCATAGTGACATCAACACTTTTTCGTTACTATAGGGGCTTGAAACTCAAGAGCTAAGCTGTAATTAGGCATATATATATTTATATCTTAACAAACAGTCGAATAAAGTACAGCCCTCAGTCTTCCAAGGTAACTTCAGGAGGGATGGCTATAATCAAAAGAGGTGCCAGAAACAAAGCAGCGGCTGAGCCAGCCAAGAGATCTGGTCAGATCAAAAAGGCCACTTTCGAATCAGGTAAGAAAAAGGAAGTGGGTGTTTCGGACCTGACACTGCTTTCGAAGATATCGGACGAGTCCATAAATGAAAACCTGAAAAAGAGGTTTCAGAATGGTACCATTTACACCTATATTGGCCACGTTTTGATCAGTGTCAACCCTTTCCGCGACTTGGGCATTTACACGGACAGCGTACTTCACAGCTATATGGGCAAAAATAGACTGGAAGTGCCGCCACATGTATTTGGTATTGCCGAGTCTATGTACTACAATCTGAAAGCGTACAATGAAAATCAATGCGTTATCATCTCTGGAGAGTCTGGAGCAGGGAAAACTGAAGCAGCGAAAAGAATCATGCAATACATCGCTGCAGCGTCTGAAACCCACTCCGAGTCCATTGGTAAAATTAAAGACATGGTGCTAGCGACTAACCCATTGCTGGAGTCGTTTGGCTGTGCGAAAACCCTGCGTAACAACAACTCCTCGAGACATGGGAAATACCTGGAGATCAGATTCAATGCCCAGTTCGAACCCTGTGCTGGTAACATTACAAACTATCTATTGGAAAAACAAAGGGTGGTAGGCCAACTGAAAAATGAGAGAAACTTTCACATTTTTTATCAGTTTACGAAGGGCGCTTCCGACAATTATAGACAAATCTACGGTATACAGCCCCCAGAGCAGTATATCTACACCTCAGCGTCTGGGTGTACATCGGTGGATACAATTGACGACTTGAAAGACTTCAAAGACACGCTGAAAGCAATGCAGGTGATTGGAATCACTCAGCAAGAACAGGACGAAGTCTTTCGATTCTTGGCCGCAATCTTGTGGATAGGAAACATTTCATTTGTTGAAAATGAAGAAGGTAACGCACAGGTGCGTGACACATCTGTTACGGACTTTGTTGCCTACTTGTTACAAGTGGACGCTCAACTTCTGTGTCAGTCATTAATAGAAAGAGTGATGGAAACCAACCACGGTATGAGAAGAGGTTCCGTGTATCACGTTCCTTTGAACATCGTCCAGGCGACAGCTGTCAAAGACGCATTAGCAAAGGCCATTTACAATAATCTTTTTGACTGGGTTGTGGATAGGGTTAATTTGTCTCTACAAGCATTTCCGGGAGCAGACAAATCGATCGGAATTCTGGACATTTACGGATTTGAGATTTTTGACTTCAATTCCTTTGAGCAAATCTGCATTAACTACGTCAATGAAAAATTGCAACAGATCTTTATCCAATTGACTCTAAAATCCGAACAGGAAGAGTACGCAAGAGAACAAATTGAATGGACCCCAATCAAATACTTCGATAACAGGGTGGTGTGCGATTTGATAGAGGCCAAGAGACCACCTGGTATCATCGCTGCAATGAACGACTCTGTTGCCACAGCACATGCAGACTCCAACGCAGCAGATCAAGCTTTTGCTCAGCGGCTCAACCTTTTCAACAGCAACCCCCACTTCGAGCTTAGATCATCTAAATTTATTATCAAACATTATGCTGGTGATGTGACCTACGACATTGCCGGGATGACTGATAAGAATAAAGATCAATTACAAAAAGATTTGGTAGAATTAATCCAGACCTCGTCCAACTCCTTTTTGACATCCATATTCCCGGTTCTCGTGGATCAGGGGTCAAAGAAAAGACCGCCTTCTGCGGGTGATAAGATCATCAAAAGTGCCAACGAACTCGTTGACACATTATCGAAAGCTCAACCATCCTACATCAGAACCATCAAACCCAACCAGACGAAGTCACCTAATGGTTACGATGATGCACAAGTACTACATCAAGTGAAGTACCTTGGTCTTCAGGAGAACGTGCGTATCAGAAGAGCGGGTTTTGCATACAGACAGACATTTGATAAGTTCGTCGAACGCTTCTATCTACTTTCTCCGCAATGTTCCTACGCGGGTGATTACACTTGGCAGGGAAACACATTAGATGCCGTGAAACTCATCTTGAGAGACGCATCTATTCCAACTTCGGAGTATCAACTTGGGGTCAGTAAAGTCTTCATCAAAACTCCCGAATCGCTCTTCGCGCTAGAGAACATGAGGGATAAGTACTGGCACAACATGGCAGCTAGAATTCAAAGAGCTTGGCGCAGATTTTTGCTGAGAAGAATTGATGCCGCAAGTAGAATTCAGCGAGCTATCCGAGAAAAGAAGGGTGGTAACGAGTTTGAAAAGCTGAGAGACTATGGAACGAAGCTGTTGGCAAATAGAAAGGAAAGAAGAGCCATGTCTCTGTTAGGATATAGGGCATTTATGGGAGACTATCTGTCGTGCAATGAGCCTAAATCCAAAGGCTCTTATATCAAACGGCAAGCCGGCATTACCGACAAGGTGATTTTTTCAATAAATGGAGAATCGCTTCACTCGAAATTCGGACGTTCCGCACTGAGACTGCAAAAAACGATTATACTGACTTTTTCGACACTTTACGTGATTGGCCAGACTGCAGTTCAGAATCAAATCACATATACCGTTGATAACAAAATTGACGTCAAGCACATCAAATTTGTGAGTCTCACCAATTTGCAAGATGATTGGATCGGTATCTTCGTCGCAAATTCAACTCTGCCTGATCCTTTGATCAATACATATTTCAAAACGGAGCTGATAACTCATCTTAAAAGGCTCAACAATGGTATCGAAGTTAAAGTCGGCCCTACTTTGGAATATCAAAAAAAACCAGGCAAAATTCACATTGTCAAGTGTCAGATAAGTGAGTCTGCTCCAAAATATGGGGACATGTACAAGTCGAGCACTATATCGGTCCGTCGAGGTAATCCTGCGAACTCTAAGTCAAGGTCCAAGCCGAAGAAGGCCAATAACGCAAATGACTTTAGTTCGTATTCGACGCCTCAACGTGCCTCCCAAGCAGCACCCCAGACACGCATTCCAGCTCAACCGAGCGTTGTGAGGAAAGCTCCCGTCAAGCCGCCAGCACCTCAGGCTAGACAGAAAAAAGTTCCGCCAGCACCTCCAGCCAAAAAGCAGATCCCCCCTGCTGCTATGTCAAACGCTACAGCGAAGATCGCTGCGTCGGCTGCACAGGCTGTTTATCACCCACAAGCGACGGCGGAACGGGATATCCCAACCCAGGCAAATCGCCAAGGAAGTGCAGAGGTTGCAAAAGCTGCGCAACCACGTCCGGAGGTTCAAAAGGTACCGGTAGTGGCTCAAAGCGAGCCCGCAAAGAAAGCGCACATTCCACCTCCTCCTCCACCTCCACCTCCGCCCGCTGCAAAACCATCGATTCCCCAATTTGTTGCTGCCTATGACTTTGTCGGAACCGGCTCACCATCGGAACTACCACTCAAACGCGGAGATGTTGTTTACATCTCGAGACAGGAGCCTAGCGGATGGTCCTTGGCCAAGACTTTAGATGGCTCTAAAGAAGGCTGGGTTCCAACTGCTTACATGGCAGAGCACCATGAATCCACTCCAATGGTCCCTGCGCAGCCGTTGAATGCTTCGTCGTCGAACGCTACGAACGTGGGGATCGTGGCATCTGCTGCAGTGCTCGGTTCCAGTGCTGCGTCTGCCACGATTTCGCCTGACTCATCAACAAATACCTCTGCTGACGCTTTGACATCAGCTCTTGCAGCTCGTGCCAACAAAATGCGCTTGGAAAGTGACGAGGAAGACAACCAAGCGTCTGAAGACGATTGGTGATCACGCAGACAGCCAAAGTTCAGTAGGTCCATGTAATCCTGATACAATACATAACTCGTACCTAACTTCATTCATAAAACGTAGCTTATAGGTTGCGGCGCTGATATCCAGCTTCACACCCACTTAACACATGAAATGCAGTGCTCTAGCGACAAAAATGACTAGAAAAGACATGAGGACAAGTTTACCCAATGGCCAAGGTTTGGAGCCGTCTCTTCTAAACCCAGGTTTTTTCTCCATTGCTGCGCGTGCCAATGTGAGTTTTCTGGCTGAGAAAGGTGGGTATCTTACTCCGTTGATAAACTCGATCCAGAAGGGTTGCTTGACGACCGTTCTTTCATGTGTGAAGGCAGAAAAGCTCCAAAATCCATGATAGTTGCCTTGACCCGACTCACGAATACCTCCGAAGGGGGCATCTAGTGCTATAACGTGGACCATGGTATCATTGATCACGCAACCTCCAGATTTGATCATTGTCATTATTCTGTCAATTTCCTGTTGTTCCTGAGAGAAAATGTACAAGGCCAGCGGGTTGCGATGTTGTTGCATCACTTTCGCAACAACATCATTAAGATCGCGGTACGATATCACAGGCAACACAGGTGAGAAGTTTTCTGCTTCCATTAAAGAGTCGTCCCAACCAACGTCGAAGACGACTGTAGGTGCTATGCATCTGTTGGGAAGGTTGTCACTCACATTTGTGGGCCGCACTTTCTGGCCGCCTGTAGCGTTCAACTTCTCCATGGCACCCTTATACGCAGCCTCGTGAATCATTGAGGTATTGATTGTGCTTGGATCCACAGTGGGCCAAAATTCATCGAGGACCTCAGTCGTCAGTTTACGGACTTGTGCGAGATGGGATTCGTGCACGAGTAAATAGTCTGCGGCAACACAAGTTTGACCACTATTACTGAATGCACCGAAAAAGACTCTGCTTAAGGCTGCTTTCAATTTCGCCGGAGCAAGATGCTCTGTGATGAACACAGGAGATTTCCCACCCAGCTCTAGAGTAACAGGAACAAGGTTTTTGGCAGCTTCCTGAGCAACGATACGCCCAACTTTTGTAGACCCAGTGTAGAAAATTTTGTCAAAGTTTGGATTTTTGATCAGTGCACTGGTTTCGTTCACAGCACCGTGAACAACTCTAACCCACGAAGGACTGAGTGCAGCTCTAAGAATTTTCTCCATAACCTGAGCAGCAGCTGGGGTTTGCTCGCTGGGCTTCAAAATGACCGAATTTCCGCATCCAATGGCAGCAGCAACTGGATCCAATGCCAACAAAACGGGGTAGTTAAAAGGCGAGATGACCAGCACGCAGCCCAGCGAAATGCGTTCAACTTTGACAGAGCTCAATTTGAACAAATCCCCAGACTCGGAAATCTTCTCGGGCTCAATATGACGGGGCAGGTTTTCAATCAAATGTAAAAGGTGGTTGTAAAGCGGGATCAACTCGATCACAAACGTCTCTAGTCTGCTGCGATTGAAGTCCTTTTTCAGGGCATCTACAATCTCATCTTCATGATCTTTCAAGCCGTAGTATAGTTTCTGCAGTTGTTCCAGTCTTAGTTTGAGATCTTCCTTCTTGGGGTTGTTGGTTTCTGCCAGGTGCCATTGTCTCTTTTGGTAGGCTTTCTTGGTGCTTAGAACGATGTCGTCTATATCATCAACGGGAGTGTAATTCAAGCTGGAAGTGCTCATTTTAACGGTAGTAAAGTATGAAGAGAACCAGGTGGAGGCCAAATATCAAAGCTTTGTTGTAAGAGAATAGTAGCCGTAATTTGAGGTGCGGTGTGGTTAGTTTCCAGCTGGACTGTGAGAGAGATGTTTTTATAGATCGGCATTGTTCATTGCGGATGAGAAGTACCCTTTGAAATTACCAAATGACAGGTTATGTAAGCAAAGAAGCAAAAAATGGTGTCACGTGATAGGTGCGATTACACTTTGAAGCAAAAAAATGTGTCAAGCAAGAGAGCCTGAATGGAAGGCAGTTGAAATGGATTTCAGAACCTCACTGATGCGCTTCATTCTATCAGTCTATATGCTTGTCACTAGCCCTCTTGTACTGAATCCACGGTTTGTAGTAATGTGTCAATTGGCGACTCAAACGTATATAATGATCACAAAACTGAAGTTCGCGTTGAACGTCCATTAAAAACGCATTTTGAGGTAACAACGGCTTTGAGAAGCTTTCTAGATTGTCTGTCATCTATTTTGATGAAGTCTGTTGTCCCAAGATGGCAATCTTATGTCGTGACATCAATAACATACTGTATGGCTGTTTGAATTTAAAAGAGATAAAGATGCTTTAGACTTTGCAAGTGAGCTTCAAAATTAAATATCAGAATAGTTCAGATTTTCAATACAGGCTGCTCGCTTCGAAGCCAGCTATGCTTCCTGTTGTTCGACCATCGAATGCTTTACGCTTATACTCGTACAAAGTGCCAGGATATGTGAACTAGTAAGAATTCCTGGAATTGCTGAATCGTGAATTCTGGACATGGAGACTGCGTACCAATAGCCCCCGGTAGCCAAACTTGCCACGAGATAGACGTACCAGGAGTATTCGGAAGTGATCTGCGACAAAAAGTCATTCGTGCTGTAAGAGCAGATCACGTGGTCCGCTCTGCGCTTTTCTCGACGTCAGTAAAACAAGTAGGCTTTACACCACAACGCCCGACGTCTCGCATTTGTATTAAGCACTATGGTGTTTGATGTGTTCATAGCAGGAGTCAGCATTTCATCACCTGATGATACATTCGTTGCAGTCGTCAATAATGCTAACTTTCCGCTGAGAACACCGAAATACATGAATCAAATCGTAGATTCAGCCTGGACACACCCTCTGTCAATCCAATTTAATCATAGCGGATCGCTAACTTGTGGCGTGTGAACATGCTTCCAAAACTCTTTGCAATGGCCAGCTGGCGTCGGTACTCATCACTAAACACGGACCATCCACGGTGGTACTCGTACTTGTACTTGTACTCGTACTCGTACTCGTAGTCAGTCCTCATCCCGACTATTCCCATACATGTAATTCAATTTCCAGCCGCTGATCTACTCTTTTAAGCATTCCGCCGAGCTTCTAGATAGCCCAAAGCTATACACAGCTGGCCCACTACCTGTATGGGGGCCGTTAGCACTTTGTTCTTTCCACCAGCTCCACAATTGTTCAGCTTGGGCCGCTCTGGGACCTCAAATGCCTGATATACACAACATGCGGCGATGAAGTCCACATTTACTGCGAAACGTCGAGTTCCAGGCGCTAGTGTTTAAAAAACTAACCAATGAACATCAAACTCAATGTCGATTGTCGGCCTGGTGCGTGCTTTACAAATCTCCAAGCCTCATTGCACCCTCCTGTGGATCCCATCAAAGTTTGTTCTGTTTTCCCAAAACAAAGTCACAGCCATACCAGAAACCACAAGTCATCTGTCGCTTCTCTGATATCTAACATCAGCCAGCACACTTACAAGCACATACCAAAAGCATACCTCCGCTATCATTGTTGGAGCCGTTGTGTCTTCCTGTTCGCGTGCGGATCCCAGTCACGTGTGGTCTTATGAGTGTGCGCCTATATTGGCAACGAACGGGCTTTCCTCCCGGGCTAATCCGGCATATCTCATCTCGGTGAGCTCCGAATCATGGATACACATACCACGATTTGTCGTTATCCCGATATCGAGCACACAGGAGACTATAAAAGAAGCTGACCAAGAATTTGGACTGTTATGAGTTCCTAGTGCAGAGTTGTGAGTGGGACAACATCTAAAGCTGATTCAAGCGAGCTACGCCAATTGATTTTATTCTCAAGCCAAAAAGCACTGTAGATTAGTCCAACTGATCAGGACGATTTACTTACTGATCAGCAAACACTAATACAGTCATTACGAACCAAATAGCAGGTTATTCCGTAACGTAAGGCTTACCTTTTTTTAAAAATTGCAGTTCAAAAGCTCCAAACTTTCTCTCCCTTTCTCTCCCCTTACACTTGACATCACTACCAGTGCGTTTCACCACCCAAAATTACGAACAGACAAACAAACACACATTTGACTATGCTCTATTTCTCGCACGACCAAAGTGAGCAGTTTCTCTCCGCTGTAACGGAGCAGCACATGGCGGTGGACGTGGTGGGTCGCAAATTGGGCGGACTAGTCCTGAGCTGCTCTGACGAATGGTTTGCAGAGGCCAAAAACTTGGTTGAGCCAAAGGCTCCTATTAGAGATGCTACCAGATTCGTGCATGCAGGTGCGTGGTACGACGGTTGGGAAACTCGTCGTCACAACACTGCCGAATATGATTGGGTAATTTTACAGATGGGGGTCGCTGCGGCGCACATTGTCGGTTGCGAAGTTGATACTGCCTTCTTCAACGGTAATCACGCACCTGCCATCTCAGTAGAAGCGCTTTACGCGGAAAATCACGGCATTGAGAGTGGTGAAATACTCGAAAATGACCCTCGTTGGAAAGAAGTCATCCCCAGTAAGGAGTGTGGGCCCTCTCAGCGACAATTCATGCTGCGCGACCAAGCCACTACGGAGAAATACACTCATATCAAATTAAAGATGTTCCCTGACGGCGGGATCGCCAGGTTCAGACTTTACGGACGTGTGGTCCCACCTGCTGACCTTCAGGCGGGCTCTATTTCAGGCTCTCCGATCGACCTGGCGTCGGCGTGCAACGGAGGCGTTGCCCTGAAGGTTTCAGACCAGCATTTCGGATCCGCTGACAACTTACTGCTGCCTGGTCGCGGCCACGACATGTCAGATGGATGGGAGACCAAACGGTCGCGTTCTCCTGGTCATGTGGACTGGGCCATAATTCAGCTGGGCAAGCGGACTACAAAACTCACCAGTGTAGTCGTCGATACCGCCCATTTTCGGGGCAATTTCCCTCAATACATCACCGTGCATGGTCTAGACAACTCTGGCTCCAACGAGCCACCAAAGCATGATGATCCACGTTGGTTCACGCTGGTAGACAAATCAAAAACTGGACCCGACTTGGAACACACCTTCGATCTGGATAATGTCGCCTCTGCCACTCATGTGAAGTTGACAATCATACCAGATGGTGGTGTCAAGAGAATAAGAGTTTTTGGCTACTAAGCGTCCTGGGCATCTTACAGTCTCAATATTAATAGCATATATATAATTCAGTATTATAATTATACAGCGAAATTCAGATTTGAAGCTCATTCAAGATTTACAACTACTTTCACAACCATGGACACATTCTTTCAGCTAATTCACCAGCGTGCGAGTATCCCGACAGCTTTGGCAGCATTAGAGAAGGCCAAAAGCCTAAATTCCGTCAAGTTTGTAGCGCAAGTGGACGTGGTTCGCTCAAGAAACCCGTTTTACGCTAAAAAGCTGTTGAAGGCATTGTCCGAACAGACTCAATTGATCGACAAGAAAACCGAGACAAGTGTTGGAGCTGGGGACAATGGTGAGTCGAATAGCCTTGAACTCACAGAATGGGTTTTTGAACAATACGTGGAATTATTGGCGGTGAATCCTCCCGATCCAGTGGGCTTTACGGACATTATACGTTACAGCTTGGGTTGCGGCGTTGAGATAGATGTGGAAGAACAGCCGCTGTTGTTGAGTGCAGCAGGAACCACCGGAAATCGAACGTGGAAAGCTGCATTGTACCTGGGCGAGCTGCTGGCTCAGAAAGATCCAATTCTGGGCGATCTCGGTTCAGTTTCCAAAGTGCTGGAGCTCGGTACGGGAACGGGGCTCGTAAGCATGGTGTGGGCCAAAGTGCATGGTTCGCACACTAAAGAGCTATATATTACGGATGGCAACTCACGGTTGATCGAGCAATGCACATGTCACAATTTCAGACTCAATGGCTTCAATAATACCGAAAATTTCAAGTTCCAGCGGCTGTATTGGGGCGAGGACGATGTCCCAGAAGTCGATCTAGTACTAGCATCGGATGTGACCTACGATATAACTGTGGTTCCCGTTCTGGCTGAGACGCTGGCCACAGCGTTACGCAAAGGTGCTCGCTTCGCCTTAATCGCGGCGACGGTGCGTAACGAGAAAACAAATGCCGAGTTCGAGTCCCAATGCGCCAACAACGGGTTGGCCGTTGAGGTTGTGAGTGTCAAGCCGGTGGAAATGACACCCATAAGAATCTACAAGCTGAGTACTTTGGCCTAGAGAGGTGAAGAGCTTAGTTTTGGGAGTGAGTTGGGCGGTGTTGGTCACGTGATCACATCGCTGTCGTCGCGACAGAAAGGTACACGGTGACTTCGAGAACCAGCCAAAGCGATGGGCCGCCATCTCTATGCGTCCTGGAGAGAGTAACCTCGTTTTTCTATATCGCTTTAGTCCCACTGCAGCTTGCGTCGCGACCGAATGGCTTTAATTTCCGCTGCTTAGCTGGACCACAGCACCAGCTATACGAGAAAGAAGAAAAAGTCAACACACCAGCAGGATTATAAGCACTTTTTCGGCACGTAGTGGAGCACGACCCGAATACTGAACCTTTTTCGGTATAAACGCGCTAAGTTCGTTCGAGATATCTCCAAAGAAGCAAATCGTTGGAAATGCCAAAAATATCGTGCCACTCTCAACCGGACGATCTGCTGTAATGGACACTGCCCATCGTGATGCGCAACTGGTGATTTCACGCTCACGTACGCTGCAAGGCAACTCCGGAATCCAGGTCGCCCAGTGGTCGTATTCGTCACACGTCACGAACGAGACGTTTTGCAGGTCTTTCCTGATCCAAAAGACGATCGCAGGCGCGATGAGCACAGCGCAGTGCATTTGTCTTTTTTTTCTGAACGATCTCTTCCCTATCGCATCAGAATTTCTGAAACAGCTCTTCTCGTTTTTGTTTGATCTAGCCACTAGCCCCGTCGACCCGTGCAAAATAAAATTTTGCATGTTCAAAACGTCACCTTCGAAATATCCATCTCGGTATGGCCATTCTCCTTCTAAAGTGCTCACCTCGATCCCAGCCGTGTGTCGTAGCTGGCTGTCCAAGCTGTCCCAGCTCACCAACGACCGGAGCACCTGACCTCGCGAGTACTCTTTTTATCGGTCTATCTCGAGTACTCGCGGCGTCCACTCCGGGTAACATGTACCATCAGTTGAGCAGACTGAATAACAATTGCTTAGGTAACCTCAGGGCTTCTTGGTTACGCTATCAAGCAAAAACGTCTGTTTCCACGAGCCACATCAAATCACACCATTATAGTTTTCTGACTACTGGATGAGACCATAAACGACGAAAGTTCGAGCGCACAAGGTGGCCTTGGCGCACGCAGCAACGAAGTGGGATTTTAAATTCAAACACATTTAAAAGAAGCAAAAACGAGCCAGATATTATCGATATTTCAATATCCGAAAAAATCATCAAGATTCGTGTATTTTTGTCTCTTAATTCGAGCTTTTGAACAGCCATAAGCTCACTCTTAGGAATCAACGAATTTTCGTTACTACCGTCCTTCGCACCTGTCTGCGATGGCCCTGCACAACTACATCTACTTGAAGCACAAGTCACATGACCCGGAGTGTCAGACACTCATAGCGCGGGCACACGATCCCAGGCCAATCCCCAGGCCCATGCAGAATCTCAAAGCCAGCGGAACTCCTGTCAGCCCAAATGTCACTGTAAAAACCAAGAAAGACGGAGAATGCTGCGGTAAGTGTCAGGGAAAATGCACGGGTAAGAAAAACAAGATCGCGGAGATCGCAAACTTAGCCTGGTAGGCAGAGACCTATTAGTGCTGGCGCTGACGGTGGTGGTTGGTATCGAGGGCAGGGAGGTGCTCTTTATTTGCCGATGATAGACTATGAAGTTACGAAAAACAAAAATTGAAATCAAAATAATTCAAAAGTCAGCGCGAACATCAACGCATAAACGACCTAGGTCCTGAGCTCGTTGCCGACCGTCGGCTTGCTCGAATTTTTATTGTAAAATAGACGCAGTTTGGGGGTGATTCCAAGCCATTTCTCGGCTCTCGAACTGCTTTTTAATGTATAACGGATAAATTTGATTAAATAATGACTAGTAGAGTTCGAGAAAAGCGATTCAATAACGCGATTCGCTTTATCGATGACAGGTTGGTGTGTCTGGATATTTTGAATACAATTTGATGGCCGACTTCGAAGACAAACAGTATTGGGGCTGGTATCAACTAGATTTGAGTCGATTACTTTGCCTGAAATATATGTCGCATTGATTAACGAGATTTGAGTCGATTACTTTGCCTGAAATATATGTCGCATTGATTAACGAGATTTGACATGATGAATTATGGCTGGGAAAATGGAGTGCTAGTGATACGGAATATAAAATGTCTAATTCATGAAAAGACGTGGGTGGAGCTACTCAGTATACGAGTACGTTCTTCTCACAGCACTGACATGGTCTTGAAATGGTCCCGTCACCGGGCTTTCAAAGAAAACCCGATATCACGTTTTCTGCCCTGCTGTCTTGAATTCCATACACACGATTCGTAAAGACGTTATTAAAAGTGGTCTTACTAGCAACGATCAAGCCGACTGGCTGAACACAGTTTATATCCATCGCTTTGGAGATCCAACCCTGACAGCTGTGACGTTGACGGTAGCTACCCAAGTCCTCGTCACGTGACGAGCCTTGCAACTCAGCCAAATCAACGCCTGGGTCGACTCACTCCAGGCTTAGAAGCACACGATTAGCGTGGAACACAAGTTTCCCGTCACCTCCGGGTGATCTACAGTATCAAGTCCTCTATTTTACGCTTTATCTAAATAACTTCACATTGGTTTCGCTTCACGATTTTACTCCCAACTGTGCTGCATATGGCCATTCTCTGACACCCGAGTATCATGTTTTCAGTCCTCCCGGGTTCTTATAGAAAGGCAACGTTCTTCTCTCCACTCGCTTATCACGAATCAAGCTCGAGTAGATGGATAAATCCTAGGGCATCTTCCCTAACAAAGAAATTAGAACAATTTCTCGGCGTTAGCAAAAACAATCCCCGGCTCGGCTGTCGTACTGTCTATTGCGGTGGATTACTTTTGGACAAAGTTGATTTTCTAAGAAAAAGAGATTTTAACAGAAGGAAGAGGTTGGTAGAGAATTGAAATGTGTCGTCCTTTATATACTCATATTTTTTTGAAAAATCTATGAAACGGTGAAGGGCTTCACGTATATAGTGACTATATTTGGGCCATTTATTAGGGCATTCAACAAATCGTAAGAGTAGGAGAATCAGATGTGTTTTAATTGCGAGAGAGGTCATGGAGAGGGGAGAGGCGAGTGTGACGGGCTATGGTCTGTGATTTGGACGCGAATCGGGTGATCTCAAAAAAAAAAAGTCGAGATTCTTGGTGGGTTGAATAGGTCACGTGATCTATACTTAATGAAATCCTCGATAACGTCATTCACTGGTCTTCCCTGTCCCACTCTGGTGTTTCTTATATACTACGTACGCAGTTGGGAATTGCAATCGGCTTTGTTCTCTAAATTTGTTCAAGGTCAAATTGTATTGTTTTTTGACTACGATAGCACAATTGAGCGCCAATGACATTTTCTCACTGCGTAGTAAATTGGGAACAGCACTGACGCCAAAAAAATAGCACCTAATGGTCGTGATTTCTAGCGATGTTCGCTTACTTGTCAGTCATAATCACCATTTTCTGTCAGTCATAATTACCACTTACTACAAATGCACCGAACTTTCGCACGTAACCCGTGAAAACGGCTAAATCGTGGCCTAAACATCCTCTAACCCACAAATATCGAACAGCACCCAAGCTAATCGTTTCACACTCAAACTGTGGCCACTCGTCAGATGAATGGAAGAGACCTGTGCTTGCCCAAAGGGCATCGAATAATCTGTCACGTGATTAGCGACGGGAAAATAATAACGACACGTTAGTACAAAGTGATGTAACAGGTTTTTGCGCCAGACAAGCGAAACGTAGCAGACAGCTCTGGTATGGGTATTCTCGATACTTAGTGGCATATTGTAAGTGCTCAACACACCATCCCTTAGCGTTGCTAATTCATATCACATCCTCCTGGCAAAACCAAAAAAAAAATAAAAGAGAAATGAAAAAACATTATTTTTCAACACTAACACATCGACAGACAGCGCTCTCTACACTTTAGGTATTTTTCCACGCTCTCGAGTCACACACTCCGCCGTTTAACGGCTGTTCGTTGCCAATTAATGGCCCACATTTATTGAACTATTACGAGTCACATGACCACTTTGAACCACCATTCACGATCCAGGTCACATGATTCTTGTTTTTCTGTAAATTATCACATTTAACTGAAATTGTCAAGTCTTAATCATCTCTATAAAACTCATCAACCTCTAAAATCGCCATGTTTGTCGCCCGGAGCTCGCAGCAGGCTGCGCAGTCCAGCGCCAATGTCGATGAGAAAATTCCTACAATATCCGGTGTAGGTTCCCCGACTGTCGTGTCGTCAAGCGCGTCCACGCCCAGCGGTAACCCACACCACTTGGCAGCGGCCAACTCTGCCACATCACTTCATACGAGCGCATCGGCAAGCTCATCGCTCAGCTCGCCAAGCACCATCATCACCAACACCACTACTGCTACCACGACGCTGCCTATTCCCAAAAAGTCAAGGGCAATCAAGACGGACCGGCCCCGTCCATTCTTGTGCGCGATTTGCACGCGCGGATTTGCCCGTCAAGAGCATCTAAAACGTCACCAGCGCGCACATACCAACGAAAAACCGTTCCTATGCGCTTTCTGCGGGCGTTGTTTTGCCCGGCGCGATCTGGTACTTCGCCACCAGCAGAAATTGCATCCATCGCTCACTGACTCTGGGGCCTCCACAAACGCCGGGTCTTCCGGTCGCGGTCATCCAGGCCCGTCGGACTCCAAACATCACCTAAATGACGAGCATATAATCACCATCAGTGGGAACAAGCAGACAATGCTGCCCATGCCTCGAAAAGATGGCAAAACAGGGACTGGTAGTGAGAACGGCAGCTTACACTTTCCGGCCTCGCTGCCGACAACAATTTCGTCGCGCTCTGGCTCTGGCTCGGGTTCTGGCACGAACTCGGGTTCGGGCTCGGGCGCTAGCTCGTCTCCATACGTATCGGCGGAAGTCGACCCCGAAGAGCGGCATCATAAACGTAAACGTCATGCCTCTTTCTCTGCAGCCAGCGCAATCACATACACGCAAAATAAAGATGCCCCCGCGATTATAGAACACGAAATTCCAGATATTCCACACCAAGTCGGATTTTCCACACCCCAGCTTTCCGCTCAAGAACTGGTAGAAAAAGCTTTGGAGAGCGGCGTGGACTTTGAAATGCTGCCTTTTCCTCCCTTGTTGGATTTGCCGGATGCCATTGTCAACCACAGTAGTAATTCTCACACACAATTGCAACACATGTCGTCTGTTCCGCCTGAGGTCCCGGGGCGGCCCCTTTTCTCACAGAGACACAAGCTTGTTGATGAGAATTTAGGCCATTACCCTAATTCTTCTCCCAACGTCAGGTCTACTTTTGCAGCAACAGCGCCTCTACTTTCAGATTTTTTGCAAATGGGATCGTCCGTGGGTGGAGCAGGTGGCTATACTGGATACCTCCCGACGGATTATAACCTTGACTATTTCACATATGATTCTTCGTCAGACCAACCCCAAACAACACCTCTCAATGCAATCGCAGAGCAAGCTCCTTCTTCGATAGTGCAATCTCAACGTGAGCAACCGAATGGCCGAGAGCCCTGGCTATCAGAATTTATCAACATACATGTCGATGGGAACTTCAAAGTCGACGTCAACGACTTTAATGAAATCGGCTTTGCTTATACCAACTCGGATGTGACCACCAACAATTCCACTCCTATGGTCAATATTTCCTCGCCCATGAACAAAATTGACGATAAACCAGTACTGAGCTTTAGTCCAATTGCAAGCGAATCCTACATAGAAAGTGCTCCCAAAAATTTGAAGGCCGTAAAGACAGATACTAGTGCTAATGTTTCTGGGAAATACCACAGAAAAGCAGACATTCCCTTGCTATTCAAGTCGCGACAGATTGATCTATTCAAAAAAATCATGGAAAATCAAAATGATTACAATACTTCCATACAAGACAATTATCAGCAGGCCCGGAAGCCCTACAAAAAGGGGACAAGACTATATTTTTTCACCGAAGACTTGAGAAACCATATCTTGAAGTCAAATAATCTGTCTGCTGATCAGTTCCCAACTTTGGAAGAACTGAACACCTACGTTAATCTTTATCAAGATGAATTTCACCGTTTCTTTGGATTTATACACCTTCACTCCATCCGCCCATCGACCGACAGCTATTTCTTTCTGCTGTCCATAGCAATGATAGGCGCTCTTTACGGATTTCATTCATCGCATGCTCTTCTACTGTTCAACATTTGCCGCTTTCGCATCCGTGAATACTTAGAAAGGACTTCGGGACATCACGAAAAACTGCCGCTTTGGTTGATCCAAAGCACAGTACTACTCATCTTCATTGGCATTTTCAACAACGACGTTTCATTCACATTGATCGTCAACACTCAGATAAGGTCATTGATAGAATTGGTAAAAATCATGCAATTAAACATGCCCTTGGAAACCTTCATCAATCCCCCCATTAAAAGTGACCATATTTTGGATTATCAGGACAATCCCCAGCTATTAGAACAAAAGCGACAAGAGTATAACACTCCAGAGCAAATCGAGCGGAACTACTACTATTTTGTACATGCTCAATCTCGAATCCGGACGTGTCATACGATTCTACTGATTTCCAATTTGTTCAACTCTCTGGTTGGATTAGATTGCTGTTTCCATTCGATAGACTTGAAGTGCGGCATACCGTGTTATCGAGAAGACCTCTATTTTTGTGAGACTCCGACCGAATGGGCATCTCTGCTACACGCCTATCATATTGCACTGGACTCCAAATTTTCTCTCATTGAACTCTCCAATGGCGGTGAGAGTTACAAGAACTGTCTCATTTACTTGACCAATGGGTATCAGTTCTTCTACGAAAACAAGAAAGTTTCTTTCAAGACTCTACTCTCGCTATTGATTTCTATCCACGAAAAGATCTTCATCGAGCGATACAACATGCGTAACGAAACTAACGAACGAATCGCGGATGTCAAGTGGCGAATGAATTCAAGGCCCATCATTGAATCACTTCTTAAGTATTGGGAGGCCTTATATTTGAAAAATGGCGGGGTGATAATAGCGAATGAGGGCAACATTGCCTTTATCAACTCCAACCCGTCTCTAAGACTCATCATACCACTGCTCAATTTCGCCAAGATCCGGAAGTGTTTGCGAATCACACATATTATGAAAAAAATCTGGTTTAAGGATTGGGAAGGGATGAACAGCGACTTGGAAAATATTCGCGACTGGGAGGTTTTACGTGAAGCTACAGACTATGCGCTAAACATTGTCAAGTTTTGGGTCGACACGGTCTTTATTGTTAACAATGCTGAAAAGACCTCGCTGCGAACACCGATCTTCTCTATCACCTGCATTTTCACTTCGATCTTGATCATTGCAGAATACCTAAAGAGAATTGAGACCTGGGCTCAAAAATACCGCGACCCCAACACAACAGATTTTCTCAAAGCTGTTGACAGAACGTTGTGGTTGAAGTCTGAACAAATTCTAAAAAAAGTTGAAGAACATCTCTTGCCAAAGGGATATAACATGCAATCGTACGCAGAATTTCTAAGGCTGCAGGCTAATGGGGCGTTGGATGTGGAGGTCCTAGATGACAATTTAGCTCGCAAAGCTATGAATCCCAATACTGCTATCAACGAAACGGTAGATCTCATTTTGAGAGCGCGACTTCCATCTCGGTCTCTATACCTCGGCGTTAGGATTCTGGGAGATGCTCCCATATGGCCCATCGCCTTGCTGTTCGCCCACGCGCTTCAGTCCAGAGCCATCTTCAACCTGGCGAACAGCTACCTTCGTCGTCAATGATCTGTTGTTAAATGAGCCTGACAAAAAGAACAGGTACTGGTTTTTCAAGCTCATCGCGATGAGCCAAAAACTTTACGACAGACATCTTATCCGTTTGACGCGTAAACAGTCGATCAAGGTCTGAACATTGTCAAGTAACTCGAGCGTTACTCCAGTCGACTCTCACACGGCTTTTTGGGTTTACTCATCAGTCGTTGCCCTCGTTATCCACTCATTAAAATTTTGAGAACATCTTTGACTTGGAGACTTCCTCTGACTGCCCGGTTCAAGTTATCAGTCACAGCACAAAGGGCACTTTCGATGACTTTGCCTAACAATTCAGCGGACGGATCGAGCACTTCGCCATCGGCGAAACCCAAGCTTTTGGGAAGAGCTTTGTTCGAAAAAATCGGAAAACCAACCAAGATCGTTGCACCTATGGTCGATCAGTCGGAACTGGCCTGGAGAATCCTGTCAAGGCGATATGGAGCCACGTTGGCGTACACGCCGATGTTTCACGCCAAAAACTTCGCCACCTCTGAGAAGTACCGGAGAGATATGTGGTGCGACCAGGATGGGTGCAGCCGCACAGATCGTCCCTTGGTAGTGCAGTTTTGTGCGAACGATCCAGACTATCTATTGGAGGCGGCCAAGCTCGTGCAAGATAAATGTGACGCCGTTGATCTCAACTTAGGCTGTCCACAAGGCATAGCGAAAAAGGGTCGCTATGGCTCTTTTCTCATGGAGGACTGGGACCTTATTCACAAACTGATTAGAACACTGCACGAAAATCTAGATGTGCCGGTAACAGCGAAGATTCGGGTATTTCCAGAGCGTGAGAAGACCTTGGACTACGCCAAGATGGTCTTGGACGCAGGAGCACAATTTCTAACGGTTCACGGCCGTCTTCGAGAGCAGAAAGGCCAGCAAACAGGATTGGCTGACTGGGACATAATTCAGTACTTAAGGCAAAACTTGCCTAGTGACACGGTTTTTTTCGCTAATGGTAACATTCTGTATCCAGAGGACATCTCCAGGTGCATGAACAAGATCCACTGCGACGGAGTTATGAGCGCTGAAGGTAATTTATACAACCCGGGAGTTTTCAACACGGAAGATGCAGTTGACAAAGATAAAACGTTTCCTCGCGTGGACAAGCTTCTGAGGGAATATTTCGAGATTGTTAAAAGCTGCGAGGGGTCCCAGGCATCTCGGATCGCAATGAAGTCTCATTTTTTCAAGATTCTGCGCCCGTTCCTACCCCACCACACAGACATTCGCACTAATTTGGCTTCCATGAATGCTAAGACTTCTTTTGACGACTGGGACGAGAAAGTCGTCAAAAAAGTGGAACAGGTTGTGCTGGAAATCTTTCAACAGGAAGACATCGATGCCAAAGATGTTATTACCACTGGTGAAACCGAACTTTGGGGTGGAGCCTACAGACAGGTTCCTTACTGGAGATGTCAGCCGTATTTCCGGCCGGTCAATGGTGTAACTGGTGATAAAAGAGTCGTAGAAAGTCTCAAGAGGTCCAACGACCCCGATACAGCAGACTCGCAGCAGGATAAAAAGTGCAAAGTGGATGATGTGGTGGCCAGTACCAGCTGAATCCACTGAGATAGTCGAACTGTCCTTTCATACGAAGTATCTAAACGGAATCTACAATTGTAACTTTAATCGTCTACACAAGCAAAGCTAAGGGACCGATCTCTATCTTGTCAAGTCGAAGTACAAGGCAATCGGCAGACAACCGATTAGTTACAACTCTGTTTTAAGGAACAATGCCCGATTTTTTTGAGTCTGCTACCATTGATAGCTGTGTTGAGTCCGAGATCGAACTACCACAGTTTGTTCAGTTTCCAGCTACACAACCACCTCACTCCCTGCAAAAACTGATCAACCATTATGGTCTTGTCAAACATGCTGAGAACGGATACTTCAAAGAAACTGATCGTTCCCCATTCGTGGTGAATTGTAAACATGACAAGGAAGAGGATGATAGCGCCGACCAAGAAAGTATTATGCCCACCGCCACTAAAGAGCCAGAGTATAAAAGTGATAGGAACTTTTCGACGTTGATCTACTATTTGCTGACGCCTGACGCTCCTGTCTCCAAGATTATTATGAACACCAGTCGTAACATTCACATTTTGCAACGTGGGAAAGGTCAGTACGTTATGATCTACCCAGATGGAAAGATCAAAAGTTTCAAAGTTGGATTTGACTATGCTAATGGCGAAGTTTCGCAATGGGTTGTTCCTGGTGGCGTGTGGAAGGCAAGTTTTCTCCTTCCCAACGACGAATTCGATAACGGGTTTCTCATCAGTGAGGTCGTGGTTCCTGGATTTGAGTACAGCGACTACAAACCATTTCCAGGGTTCGAGAAACTTGTAGAGCTAGTTGGAGAGGAGAAAGCTGAGGTTTTGAAACCACTTTTGTGATGACACTCTATGGATTGAGTAGCGTGGAGGGCTCGAAACAGAGGAAAGTCGATTTTGAAGAAACGGGACTGGTTGAAGCCCTAATTCGCAATGTCACGACCTTAGAACAGTGGTCCTGCTTGTCTGCAATCGCATGATGGGTGATTGCTTGGAGCTTGGATGTCACTTTATACGTATGTGTCATTGGTTTCCAACCTCTTGGTCTCACTCCTGGCGAGAGCGGTACAAATTACTATGCTTCAAGCTTCAAGTGGCTGATCATATTCTTTCAAAAAGCTGGCAACGATTGTCTTGCAGTCCAGGACGATAATTTTTGCTTATGAGTGATACGAACCAGAAGTTAATAAGCGTGCTTCTGCAGTCTAGTTCCAACTTTAATATCATTGATCATAATTAATAGGATTATCACGGACTCCTCTGGGAGGACACATTATTGCGTTGGTATCAGGTTACTGCACCGGAACAATTATTGCTTCTTTCAAGACACTGACAATTTTCGAACTCTTCCTCCTTGTAACCAAAAACAAAACAGAATCGTGGAATTCTAAAATAGCATTACTCGACCGCTGCGAAACTACAACAAACCGAAGATCAAGCTCGATTCCCAGTCAACCGTTCACGCTCTTTACTCTCAAAACATCATTTTGGTTCTTTACTGTCATCTTAAGATCACGTTTCTCCGGATATCGCCAAAATGCCCATAATTAAGCTCTCATTATGAGATTAATATATAAAGTTAAGGTCGACAACTGACATCTCAGCATCGCTAACACATCAGTTAGCATAAATGGCCACAGTCAGCTAAAGTAATGGCTGGGGACAATTATGAACACCAAATCAATGAATCAACACCTTTAGTTGGAACAAGTAGGCCGCGCGAAAACTCCGTGGCTTCCATGCTGGCCCGTGGCAGGAGCAACACAATAAATGGACTCAAAACAGGGTACGACACTGTGAAACGACATAAAGTGCAGTTTATGTACGCATTAATGGGATCCATAGTTCTGTATTTGGGCTTTACACTCGCTTTTCTGCCAAGAACTTCGCTATCGCGAGATTTCCGTCGTTTGCACTTCAGCAAGTTCACTCGTGCAGAAACGTACCGCGTATATCTGGAAAGCTTGCAACGTGAAAACCACGCTAAGGAACATTTGAGAGCTTATACGTCGCACAGACACCTCACTGGTGATGATTCTGCGCTGCATTACACCGTGGAAAACCTTAAGGCACTGGGTTTCTCGCCTAAACTTGAAAAATACTACCCGTGGCTAAACTACCCCGTTGAAACTGGCATGTCTCTGTGGATTGATGAGGAGAAAGTGTTTGAATCCAGTATGATGGAAGACTTCTTGGACGAGGACCCGTCGAGCTCAGGCCCAGACCCTGTGCCTGCTTTCCACGGCTATTCCGCGAACGGTGAGGTCACTGCGAGGTTCGTGTATTGCAACTACGGAAAATTAGAAGACTATGAATACCTGCACAGCCAGGGGGTAGATTTGGACGGCAAGATTCACATTATACGCTACGACACCATGTTTCGCGGGCTCAAAGTCAAAAATGCCGAGGCTAACGGTGCCTCTGCAGTAATATTGTACACCGACACGTTTGACGACGGGAACGTGACAGAGGCCAACGGTTACAAAGCATATCCATTCGGGCCCGCCCGTAACCCGAGCGGTTTCCAACGAGGCTCAGTGGAATATTTCACCGAGTCTCCAGGAGATCCAACCACCCCTGGATATGCATCGAAATCACCTAATACTAAGAGAATATCACCCCTGGGCAGGCTTCCAGCGATTCCGTCCATACCCATGAGTCAGAGGGATATTGGCCAGATTCTTCCACATTTGAATCATCGCGGTTGCGCGTTTAACGTGCAAGGTAACGTTGACGGATTCAAATACTATAGCGGCCCCTCTGACGAGAACGTTAAAGTGACCGTTCTCAACAACCAAGATTATCAGATCAAAGAAATAACTGACGTGCTGGTCGAGATTCCCGGTATCCTGGGCGGGAGCAGTATTGTCATTGGAAATCACAGAGATTCCTGGACTGTTGGCGGTGCTGGAGACCCCAACAGTGGTAGTAGTATAATGTTAGAGATCGCAAGAGGCTTGAGTGAACTACTGGAAAAAGGTTGGAAACCGTTGCGGACCATTCAACTTGCAAGTTGGGACGGAGAAGAGCCAGCAATGTTGGGATCCACTGAATACGGAGAAAACCACGCTTCCAGGCTCCAGAAGCAAGTCTTGGCATACTTCAATCTTGATACCGCCATTTCGGGCTCCAAGTTTCAGTGCGAGGCAAACCCGCTGCTCTCGGAGCTTTTGCTCAAATCCGCAGCCTTGACGCGATTTGCAGGCGGGCCTGGCAAATCGCTTCTGGACGTTTGGCAAGCACAATCAAATGGCCATATTGGCATCTTGGGGTCTGGCACAGACTTTGCTGTCTTTCAAAACCATCTTGGCATTGCCTCCGCAAACTTCAAGTTCACTGGCAACGGAGAAGACGATGCCGTCTACCAATATCATACGAATTACGACTCCTATACGTGGATGGAAAGATTCGTTGATCCTGAGTATCATTTGCACAACACAATGGCCATCTTCACGGGAATGTCGGCATTAATGCTGAGCGAGAGCGAGGTGGTTCATTTCAAGTCTCAGGACTACGCCCACGAGATACAGTATCACTTCAATAAGTGGCACGCAATGCTCAACCACACATTCAAGGGAAACGAGTACGTGCGTGAAAAAGCAAACAGTCTGTCACGGCTGATAGCGCATATTGAAGACGACGTGAGCCCCAGATTTGACCACGCAACCGCTATTCTTCGCAAATTGGTGGTCAGAGACTATCCATGGTACCAGATCTACAAAAAAATCGGAATTTACGCGAAGCTCATCGCTACAAATTCCAAGTTGAAAAAACTCGATCGCTTGTTCCTCACCGACACAGGTCTAAAAGACAGGCCTTGGATGAAGCACTCCATTTTCGGACCCGACAAACATTTGGGTTATATTGGTGATGTTTTGCCAGGCCTACACGAAGCGATTTTGGCGAAAAACGTTCAGGAAACCTTGGAGTGGCTTCATGTCCTAAACAAGCAACTCACCTTGGTACAAGAGCTTCTCAAGACCTGACTCTGGAGGAGGTTGAGTGACAGTTATTTGAACAGTGACATCCACCATTGTCACGAGACCAATTTTTCAAGAAGTTGGAAAAGTTGTCAAAATTAAGAGTACTTACTCACCTTTAACTTTGAAGAATCACCTACAAGACAACTATCAAGTGCTGCCCGTCAGTTCTATCCACGATCTTTACCTGACAGTTTCAAAGAATAAAATGTTTGCCACTCTAAACCGCTTTGTTATGCGCCAGTCGCGCATGTTCTCCACATCCAATGTTCAATTGGGCTCCAAAGTATTCTTCGATACCAGTATCAACGGCACCAAGCAGAGCAGAATCGAGTTCGAGCTGTACAACGAGGTTGTTCCCAAGACCGCAGAGAACTTCAGAGCGCTGTGCACTGGTGAAAAGGGATTTGGCTACAAGGGTGTTCCGTTCCACAGAGTTATTCCCAACTTTATGTTGCAGGGAGGTGACACCGATTTGACCAACGGTTACGGTGGAAAGTCGATCTACGGCAGTAAGTTCCCAGACGAGAACTTCGTCAAGAAGCACGAGAAAGCGGGACTTTTGTCGATGGCCAACGCTGGACCCAACAGCAACGGATCTCAGTTTTTCGTGACTACTGTGCCATGCCCATGGTTGGACGGCAAGCATGTGGTGTTCGGCGAAGTCACCAAGGGTATGGATGTCGTGAAGCTCATCGAGTCGTACGGAACCATGTCCGGCAGACCTCGTGCCAAAATCGTTATTGAAGAAGCCGGCGAAGTGTAAAGGCAAAAAATAGTCTATCTCTCGGCCAAACCAAACATGAGGGAGACACCCGTAGCGTCCGTTCATGCCCAATCCTAAGCGTCCTGGCACTCTCACACACTTGCAAACAACCTTGTCTATAAAATAAGTCATTGTATACGAAATGGAATGTTTCAAATATGAAGATCAACCAACAGGGACGGACTAGATCCATCGCCAGTTCAAGACCCGACATCTAACACAATCGCAAGCGGTTGGACCGTTACATTCAAGCTCGCCGTCCTATTTGGGTTTGGAAAACTATAACTTTGTTTTCGGGTGTTAAGCTTAACGGCTACGGTCATCAATTCGAAATCAGAACGAGACAATGAGCTTGGACCAGGGTCTGAGTAACTTGACCTTATACGATGCCAAAAAGTACTTCAGAAAGGCACAAAATGTGGTATTTAACTACACAGACACGGAGGCCAGGGTTCGCGAGGCAACAAATAACGAACCATGGGGTGCATCTTCGACATTGATGGAACAAATAGCGCAAGGCACTTACAACTACCCAGAACGCGAAGAAGTGCTGGGCATGATATTCCGCAGGTTTACAGAAAAAAGGGCCAGTGAGTGGCGACAGATATACAAGGCTCTGCAACTACTGGAATATCTGGTGTTGCATGGTGCAGAACGGTTTATTGACGACGTGCGTGCGAATCTGTCGCTGGTGAAAATGCTGGAAACATTTCATTACATCGACACCCAGGGACGCGACCAAGGCATCAACGTGAGAAACAGAACTCTTGAATTGGTCAAACTACTAGAAGATGACTACAAAATCCGTTCAGGGCGCAAAAAAGCGCGGGAAACGGCGAAAAAGTACAAAGGTGTTGCTGGAGGCACTCCGTCGTCCTTTCTGCCTCCCTCTGCAGTTAACAGAACCGCTGGCTACGGAAAATCCACCACTCGTGGCATTTCGGTCAGCGCGGATTTCGACAGTGATGATGAACAAGACAATCGCGACGATACTTACTCTGGGGGGTTCAAGGACAGGTCCCCATTGGCAACAGCAGCGTCCAGTAAGGACGCTTTAACAGGAAATGACACAAACCACGATGGCATTGACGATGAAGATAATGATGACGATTTTGCAGACTTTCAGAGTGCGGCACCTGTAACGCAGCCCATTGAGTCCAATTCTCAGGCTATTGTTGATATCTTTTCCACTTCTCCGTCTCAAGCTACGACACACGGGTCTGATGACTTTGCATCTTTCGCGACCAACACGAACTTCAGATCATCGAATGCGCCAAGTGAGCCAGTTCCTGCTGTAACTCAAAAGAAAGTGGACCCTTTCGGATCGCTATTCAACAATGCCAAATCAGCGAAGGAAGCACCAAGACCACCTCAATCATCGAAATCTTCACAACAAAACGCGCCGGCTGCGCCTAAAGAAGACGACGATGAAGCGTTTGGTGAAATGGAGACAGCAGCGCCAGCAGTTGCTGAGACAGCGACACCTAGTGCTGTCAAGCCTGCCCAGAATGGGCAGGAAATAGACCTTTTAAGCTTTTAACGAGCTTGTATATCACTTTGTACTATTGGTCAAGTTTACTAAAGTGGGATTTTGTCGAAATAAGCATCTTATGCTAAAGTTGACGATATTTCACATCAATTGCAAATACGCACTTAAGGTGGTATTTGATCGTTAACGATGGCTCTATACTCGTTTTGGATTTTTGATAGACATTGTATGTAGTGGAATTTATCTTATTTGAGTTAAATCAGACCTGTACTTGCTAACCTCTGCTTTGGCCAGGCAATTGCATATTTGACCGAGAATGGACGCTGAAGACGAATCCATCAAGTGGAACGACTAATTCCAAGCTAAATGAAGACACTGCAAAGCTATTGTATGGTATGGTTTTTTCGCTGCGATCAATATCGCAGAAATTGGGCAGCAAAGGGAGCTTTAACGAAATTAGAACCATAGCTACAGGTAAGTACAGAGCACATATTCTGTGCACTGCTTCGGGCCTGTGGTTCATACTACTGAGCGATCTGGGACAAGAAGATCTTTCGCAAGTGCTGCGATACTTATACAGCGAGATCTACGTCAAGACAGTAGTCTACAACTGGCTCTCACCGGTCGATTTCGCTGATTCTCCAAATGAACGAAGGGGTCAAGGGTTCAGGAAAATACGTAATCGTCAGTTTCTCCTGGCCGTGGAGAAATTCCTGGGGCCTATGGTCAACTGAAAGTGTGTATTTGTATAAAAGCTTTTGTTTTATTTTGGCCCCACATCTAGCCTAGCTTCAGAAAATATCTGACCAGAGTTCACCAAACACCGTGCTAAACCCATTTTCCAGCGTTGCAGCATCGGCCAGTTGGAATGATAAGGCATCTACCAACCTACTGGCGCTGTCTACCTCTCCGCCCGCAGCTTCAATAGCTGGGTGGCTTTTATTGGTATTATCAGGTGTACGACCGCGAGGAGGGGAAACAGGATTCAGTAGCGTCGGAACGGAATTTTGATGCTGCGCTGAGCTGATTCCACTCCGGTCATTAATAATAGGGACGTTATATGCCTCTGCCTCAGGATTGTTGGTGATGAAAAATGCCTTGATCTTCTTTGCGTACATCTGCACGAACAAGGCCACAACATATCGCAGCTTGTTTAAGATAATGTTGTATGGGTACAAGGTTGCACCTTTGTCCAGCAATTTTGAAGTATCACTGATGAGCGAAACGGCTATTTGAGTGGTGGATTTCAAATATGCGAACGCGGGTACGGTAATTATGGTATATCTTACTCTCAAAAGTAACACGCCCACGGTATAGACCACTCTTGAAATGTGGAAGAGTGGCAGGGATGCAATTAGCTCAGGAGAAAGCTTGAGAAACTCGCGCATGGCATTTATGCAAGCCAAGGTGAGTTTCTGAAAAGAATCTGCAACAACTTTAGGAACTGCGTGGACCGTTGAAGGGTCGGGATACCTCGACAAATATTTGACAAAGAGCCATTCGTGCAGATAGGCTTCGACAGAATAGTAAAATGCCAACACTCTGGTCCTCCCTGGAGGAATTTTTTGAAACATTTCATTTAGCTCCCGCTGCACCCCGTCAATTAACTTGGATTGTGGGGGTGAAGCCAGTATATCCTGTGGTTCACCTGCATACTCCTCGGCCTCATGCAATTTGACGTGGATTTCCTCCAACAAGCGGTTCAAGTTAGCAAATGTCAGCAGAATCTCATCTTCTTCGCGCTCGTAAGCTGATACTGGCCCCGACTCGAATAGAGACATGATATTGCTGGCACGCTCCTGTAAAATGCCCCATCTGTTTTGTATAGGCTGTCGCAGGAATATGTTTATGTTTAGTGACGAGACGTAGACGAGAATGACCAAACGGGAATAAGATTCATTTTGCATTAGGAATTTATCGATGGCTGCAGCTTCGTCATCGGAGGGATTTTTGTAACTGGGTTCAAACTTCATGAAAACCTGAGGCTTTCTCAAAGGAACGAGGTCTTTAATGAGACAGCAGCAGATGTAATTGAAGAAGTAGAATCTTGTTCTAGTAGACCATTCAGGAAAATTGTACCACAGGCACAGAGTCAACAATGATTTCAGTAGCTCTAAGGACTTAGATCCCAGCCGTGTCATATGGTGAGAAATCAGACCCAGTGTAAAATTATCTAGTTTCAAATTCTGATCCTCGTTAAACTCCTCACTTCTCAACATAGAGGACACAACTGTCATGATAGTCGCAAACAAAATGGGGGCATTCTGTCGCAGATCATGTAGACTTTGATCTGCAGGTATTTTGACAAATGGAAAGCGGTATTTATTCGATATTTCATATCGGTAAAGATCGAGTCTATGTTGAGCTTGATCTTTGCTTATGATTCCCAGACTGATTGGGTCCAAGGCAAGTGGGATTCCAACACTGTTTTCGATTATGTCATTCCATTTCTCAGACAGTTGGGTGAGCCTTTCGTTTATGCTGTTGAATCTCTCGAGTTGAGATGACAGAAGCGACTGCAGCTCATCGTGCAAGCTCTCGAAGGAAGGAGGCGGTTCGTGGGCGGTGGCTGCTGACCCCAAAGATCTTGGAATGTGAGAGGCAGTGTCTTGTGTGATGGGCCCGGAGGGCGATGTATACTGTAGATTGCTTCGGGGCCAGTCAGAAAGTGTTAGCGTGGGGCCCGAAGAATTCAGAGTCATTGACGTTGCGACACTGGAGCTTCGAGTGCCACTCTCGTCAGAACGACTTTGTGAATTTGACATGGACGAGCTGGCCAAGGCTGACCCTACTGCCACCGCCATGGGCGCTGGAGAGTTCATAGCTGAGCTGGGGAACAATGTGCTGTGCCCAACGAGTCCACCAGCAGGCTGGAGGTTCAGATTCCGCGTGGGATAAGAGAAAACGTTCGTAGGAGTCGTGGCAGCAGAGGACACGTCGGATTCGTTCGCCAGATCGCTTTCGCGCCGGCGACGCCGTGTTCTGCGCGACAGATCGAACGTGCAGTGTTTGTTACGCTTGGCACACCGCACACAGCTCTTGCCATATATGTCGTTAGGGTCCGAGGGCACACATTTGGCCTTCTGGGCATGGCAGTTGGTGCATGCAAAAGTGTTGCGTTTGTTTTTGCCTGGAGCACCAGCCTGGACCACTTCCAGAGCCACAGGGCGGGTCAGACGTGGATCGTCCGGCGGCACGCCGATGATTGTAATTTTATTGATGGGTCGCTGGTGCTGACAGCGACAGAGACAGCAAAGGCAATTGTCTGTAGAGGATTTGTGGTTTCTGCCAAAGCTGTTTTCGTTTTCGTTTTCGTTTTCGTTTTCGTTTTCGATTTCGATTTCGATTTCGTTGTCCTCTTCGTTGTCGTCAGCAGCGTTGTAGCGAGACATCGCTAGCACAGTAAAGTTTGATTTCGCTGGTATGTCTGAACGTCTGAACGTCTGAATAGATCTTAGCACACAGTGAGTGATCCAACGTAACCTCACCTAGCCTAACCAGACGAGACGAGACGACTTTTTGACGGCTTCTAAAACAAAAACACACCGGCCGGTCTTCCCAACACGCACTGCACTCGCTAAACTCACTGCACTGTGCACTGCGAGACTGAAAAATTGACCAAATGCTGAAAATCCCGGCGCAGACGATCTGTCAAGTAACAATGAGAAGACGACAGACCCTAGAGTTGTTTCCGAAGCGATGAAAACTGTGTAATTGAGTGAGAGGGTGAGAGAGTGTGGAAATCTGAAATTGTGAGAGCGGGCAAGTGCGAAAATGTGGGCACCGAAGACGCTTTTTCCGTGCCCTACCGCGCGGCTGAGAACGCAGACGTGCGGAAAGCCAAGAAGAATCCAAAAAACTCAGAAAAAAGTTGTCTACAATCGGATCAGCCACTTCAAGCGCGTGCGTGAGCCAATAGATAAATGCTACGACGATCAAGCCAAGAAGGTCGATACTTTTTTGACGTTTTCAGCCGAAGATTCCTGTTCTTTTCTGCCACCGTAGCACAAGACCCTGTAGTGGTAGTGTATGCGATGTGAGGAAGTCCAGTCTGAGTTTGCGTTGTGCTTACTTTTAAGAGCGATTCATCCGGACGATTAATCTGGGGCAGGCCAGAGTGTATGTGTACACCACGGATGACCGGAGGCAAATGAAATGAATACATCAGTGTGGACACTGCCAAAACTGGTCGTTTTATCGCTGGTGCGCTAGATAAGTGCTGTTTTGGTAGATTTGGAGCAGTGAAAATCGCTAAGATTGCCTAATTCAACAAGCGAGAAGAAAGAAGGATCTGTGGTGTGCATACGGTGCTGATTTTACCAGAAGGAGACAGAGAGGGCGAGAGATCGAATAGTCTTCCTATCTCGTCTCTGTCACCTCAGATAACTTTTTTTTCCAGCGTCAGCGTCACGAAATTATTTTATTGAATGTAATATAAGACAGGAAATGAAGAGAGGAGGGCAGTAGTAGAGTGGTGTGGTGTGTGGTGTGTGATGTGAGCTTCCAATGCAACAGGGTTCGTCATCTGTGTGTGTGTTTGGAACCACGACTTTTGTAGTGATGGGTCTCGTCGGTCGGTAGCTAAGCCAGTGTGAGAGCTGAGGATAATATAGCAAGGTTCGAAAGAAACAACTGTGTGTCCCGCATTCTCATTCCATGCAAAGGTCTCCCTTGCGACCTCAACTTTTTGCAACACTAACCACATCTTTTTCTCGAAAATCCGCCCACTGCCTTTCTGTAGGCACTGAACTAGCCACCCACCCACGCCAAAAACTAGCATCAAGATCTTCGTTTGTTTACGTCTAAATGCAGGCAGATATTATTAGTACATAGGCGTGAGGCTCTATTCATGGGCACGCAGTCGATGCAAGTAACTTTTCTTGGGTTGGAGTTTTTGGTTTTGTTTTGTTTTGTTTTGTTTAGGACTTGATGCAAGTGATAGAGCCTTCTTTTAGTCGCTCGACGTCGCCATTTGGCACCGCTGCAGGGGTTGACGATGGCGACGCAGCTGCTCCTGCGGCACCTTTCCCACGGTTGTGAATCATGTGACTCTGCACCAAATGGCCCGCGGCCAAAGCAGCACACAACGACAGTTCTCCTGCCAACACCGCGCATGCAACGATTTTAGCAAGCTGGCGAGCGTTGTCACCTGGAGACGTTGGGTGTGGTCCGCGGACGCCAAGGAGGTCCAGCATCGCGGATTGAGGCTCCAAGATTGTACCACCACCGATTGTTCCGACTTCGATGCATGGCATAGAAACCGAGATTCGCAAATTACCATCAATTTCACTCATCAGCGTTATGCAGTTAGAACTCTCGACGTTTTGAGCAGGATCTTGGCCCAACGCCAAGAATACCGCCGTTAGCAAATTGGCAGCATGTGCGTTGAACCCACCAACAGACCCTGCCATGGCCGAACCAATCAAGTTTTTAGCGATGTTAAGCTCGACCAAAGCCTTGACGTCACTCTTCAACACCTTGCGAACAACGTCTCCTGGTATAATTGCCTCAGCGACCACACTTTTACCACGACCTTCGATCCAGTTGATAGCCGCAGGCTTTTTGTCGGTACAATAATTACCAGAGACAGAGACAATCTGCATGTCGTCCCAGCCAAATTCTTCGACCATTAACTTTAGAGAGTGCTCCACACCTTTTGAAATCATGTTCATTCCCATGGCATCTCCGGTCGTCGTTCTGAAACGAATAAATAATAAATCACCTGCTAGAGCAGTCTGACAATGTTGCAAACGTGCGAAACGTGAAGTAGAGTTGAAGGCCTTCTTGATCTTATTCTGACCCTCCTCCGAATCAATCCAGATCTTACAAGCACCTGCTCTTGTCAATGTAGGGAATCTAACACATGGCCCTCTTGTCATACCATCTTTGGTTAGTACGGTGGTAGCACCACCCCCAGCATTGATGGCTTTGCAACCACGCATAGCCGAAGCGACCAAACATCCTTCTGTCGTAGCCATAGGAATGTGGTAAGAAACACCGTCAATAACCATAGGTCCAATGACACCCACCGGTAGTGGCATATACCCGATAACGTTTTCACAGCAAGCGCCAAGCACACGGTCGTAATCGTAATGTTTGTAAGGTAAGCGATTCGATTCTAAAACGGGGGCGTCCGCGAGTTGCGCAAGGGCCTTACGACGGACTACAACGGCACGCATAGTGTCCCCTAGCTGTTTCTCTAAAGCGTACAATGGTAACTTTCCACCAGTGACCAAAGAAGCAACTTCTTTATTGCTCATGGTTTTCAAGCCACCGCTTTGCATGACATTAACCAGCGTCTCTAGAGGTCTAACCGCCTTGTCATCGCCATCACTTTCACTGTCGTCCTCAATGGCCGTATTAGTTTCGATCGAGGTTGTTGATGAAGATGTCGAGAGTTTGTTGTCTTCGCTCGCCACATTATCCACTTGTTTAGGTTTAATGGAAAAGGCTTTCTTTTTGGCACTGTGTTGACGTAATTGCTTCGCCGTGAATACGGTATGGATTCTTCCAGCGTTCAATAAGTAAATGTTGATGGAGGCACTAGTGACCAAGGCAAATAGAACAAGTTTACTGATAAATCTGTCACGGATCGCAACACTGAAGTAACGCAAAGTTGACAAAATCAAGTCCTCAACCTGGAGGTATACTCTCATAGGTTGGTAAGTTTGAGGAGGTACAACGGAAATGATCACGCCATTAACATAATCTTTCTTCACGCTCTTGACGATGAACTCTGGTAGCACAAGGCCAGATGGTTGAGAGTATAGAGCACTGAAGGTCTGATACGTCCACCTTGCTCCAAAGCTATAAAGATTGAACCCTGCAAAAGCAAGAACAACAAACAGCTTTAGGAAGACAATGCTAGTGTTAGAGGTAAGAATAGAGGCACTGGCTTTATTGTCTGCTGTAGAGACGGTTTCGGCAGTACTTTTGACAACACCATCCTCTTCTAACGTCTCCTTAATGACCGTGGAGCGGTGGATGATGTTGATCTCCAACTTCAACGCTAGAATTGCAGCGTAGTAAGTGCAAGTCAAAAGTAAATCATAAATCAGAACCAGTGAGGCCAAAATGCAAAAGTTTCTCAAGACATCTAAGTCATGAGCGTATAAGGCCCCACCGACGAAGGCAATTAGGCTCAACAGATGGTCTTGGAGAAGACGGCCACCTTCTTCTTTCACCGCCAAGTAGACAAGAGCTGAAGTATCGCATTGATGAGAGATGCCGTGTTTTCTGAAATAGTCCAACATGAAGGAAGCGAGTTTCACCTTATGGTTGAAGCCAACAATGACAACGATGAAGGGCACACCCTCGATCAAACTCAGCATTGTAACAGCTTTCTGAAGCAAAACCTGGCTTGTGTACAGGGCCAAGAAAAGAGCACTAGTGGAGGAAGCAACAGCAGAAAGTGCAATCCAAAATTTGGACCCCGTGCGCCTCTTCATAACGACGAACAGACTGACGACGGTGTAGATCATAGCAGAATAGGCTGTTCCGATGATGAAAACGTCGAATGTTTCGGCTCCTTGTAGCTTCTCGATGATGGATGATACAAATGTCGATACCGTAGCTTTCGTGTCGTGGAGCCTGAATCTATGGGGTCTGAGCCTCCATGTAGTTCCATCAGTAGCTTGTAGTGCTTTGGGTAGAGTGAGATCCTCCTGGAGTACGAAACGGGTGTCGTTGTTCTCGGAAACGATGTTTGCTAGGTCTGGCAACGTTTCAGTTTGATTGTGGGTCTTGAAGTCCAGTTGCATGAGGTAGTAGTGCTCTGCAAACGCAGCAGATGCAAGTTCGTCATTGGACAGTGTCGTCCAAGTATCGGCGTTGCCGGCGTGAAAGTAGTGCACGCATTCGTCTTGCAATTGCACTGCGTCGGTGTTGCTGGCGAAAATACTCTTGGAATCCAGCTGCCACCCATTAAAGTAGCTACGCACCACTGACAGATACGCCAGGGCTGATATAAAGACTGTCACCAGGATAACATGAACTGGGTGTCGAGCTGAAACCTTCGATATGCTCGCGAACGGCTTCGCCAGCGACTTCAATGGCTTCAGAAGCAAGGGCATGCTGATGTAGACGGCCTTTTCACAAAACGCGGCCCAATGTTTTGAAGACAAAGGAAACACAGCAATTGCAGAGTGCTCTTTGATCAATTGGTATAAATGCGAAATTCACCAGATGCTCAGTTTTCCGAACACTGTGATTGAAAAATTGCTGAACTACGTTGGTCGTTCCCTAGATGGCCTATAACGGTGCGGCCTAAAACTTTTCTACCACTGGAACGAGATAAATGGAACCACGACACGAGAAATGAAAAGACTGAAAAAACGAGATCGTAGGAACGGTCGACTAGACAATCGAGTCGAGACGAGAAACGAGTAGATGATTGCTCGGAGGATTACCTCAAGAACCGGAAAATCGGTCGCCGTCGATAGTTACCTCTTGAGGGGGGTTGATTTGGACTTGTATACTAACCCAGTTGGAAGGTCAGACAGTTGCCAGCAATCAACGAAAAACGCTTCAAGTTCTTATTCTAGCAGCTGCAGCTGACTGTAGCTGTGATTGAGGGCTATCAATATGTCCTATACTCTCTGGTTTTGGCAGTACAGTCTTTTTCGTAATCAGAAGTTGGGCGGCTAAGTCTCTTTAGAAATGTATACCAGGGCTCAAAGGGGGGACAGGTTGATTGCGATATCAGAGTTTGGACAGTGATGAGAGTGAGATTAGTAGAAGAGGTGACACTGATATGGCTGTCTATAGCCCTAGCTTTTCAAAACGACTCGTTAACGTGTAACTTGTTTTTATATGAACCTCTTGGGAATCCTTGGTTATTTAAATGTTAAAATAAAGCGATGTCAGTTTCGTATATAATGCGCATTTGGTGACATCCTGTTCAGCGGCTGACGAGGCCTGACGAGAAGTTCCCATCTTCCTGTTCTGGTGGTTGTTTATTCAATGCTCAATTTCTGTTATTTCATTGCATGCTTGACTATTACACAGTTGTTTTGCTAACCCTATTTCATGGAAACCAACTTGACGTCGAATGTCAATTCGGAGTTGGCTGGTAGACCGGGCAGGGCCTGCTTGCCGTACGCGTATGGGGCAGGAATGATGATTCTACGTTCACCACCGACGGCCATGCCAGCAACACCAATGTCCCAGCCCTTGATGACTTCACCGCGCCCTAGGTTGAAGTTGAATGGCTTTCCGCTGGTGTTCTTGTCAAAGACCTTGCCGTTCTTCAACTTACCGATGTATCTCATGCCGACCTTAGAGCCCTTTTTGGCGACCTTACCCTTACCGACAACGCGATCCTCGATAATGACACCACCTTCTAGGGCCTTGGTTTTTGGCTTTTCTTCCTTGGCAGCTTTCTTGGAGGGGCCTTCTTCCAAGTCTTTCTTGAACTCCACCTTCTTTTCCTTCTTGTCCTTCTTATTGTTGGCAGCCTCGTCCTTCTTCACCTTCTTGGTTTCCTTAGGGGCTTCCACGGCGGCTGGCTCAGCTTTCTTGGCCTTTTTGGTTTCCTTGAGAGCTTCCGCAGCAGCGGTTTCTTCTTCCTCGTCCTGCTGCTTTCTTTTGTTGTTGGAGGCCTTGTTCATGGTCTTTTGCTCTTGTTCCTGCTGTAGAATCTCTTCGATGCGGCCCTCGACGTCGCTGACGTCTTCCAAATCGTCTAGGATCTCGTCCTCGTCGGGAGTCAAGTCGTACTCGTCGCTGTCGTACTCTTCGGAGTCCTCCTCAGAGTCGTCCTCGCCGTCGCCGTATTGAGGCTGGTCGAATGGGTGCTTGACGTAGTTACCAGTCAAGTGAATTGGGTAGGAGCCGGTCAGCACAAATTGCACCTCTTCTTCTGGGGCAATGACCAAGTCTAGCGTCTGCTGGAATTGGACTTTAGGAGATAGGGTCAAGACAACGTATTCTTGGAATTCGTCGTCATCTTCTTCTTCCTCCTCCTCTTCCTCTTCTCCTTCTTCTTCTTCTTCTTCTTCTTCTTCTTCTTCTTCAGCAGCCTTCTTTTCCTCTTCCTTGGCTTGCTTCTTGCTCTTCTTGCCCTTCTTTGCGGGTTTCTCTTCTTCTTCTTCAGGCTCTTCCTCTTCTTCTTCAGAGTCCACGTCTAGTTCGTCCTCGTTGAAATCGCCACCCAAAATGTCGTCCTCGTCGTCGTCGAAGTCTGGGTTTCTCTTGATGATTCTCAAAGTGGAGGGCTTTTCCTCGTCGTCCACAGCGTCTGGGTCCACGGCAGCCAAAGTGATTCTCACAGTAACTGGCACGGTGACGTCCACAGCGGGAGTTGGAGTGTATGGCTCGACTTTCAAGTTGTAAGTGGCTAGGGGCAGTAGATCAGACATTTTGCGATGTGTATTTTACCTTGCTTTACACTGTTCTGGTAAGTGAATTGGAATTCGACTAGAGCGAGATGAGATGAGATGAGCTGAAGCTCATCGCTTGTATAGTGCTTAAAATTTTTTTTTCCAGTAGAAACACTTCGGCCGCCTTTCTTTTCGAGTCATGTGAGATGCACGTGCACAGTTCTTTACATACATATATGCATTTTAAGACTACTACGATGTCCTACAAGAAGCACATTTTGACTTGAGGCTGAGTTTCATAGAGCATCGAACATTCGAGCACGTCTGTGTTTGGTTTTGTTCTGTTTCTTATGCGTTTGTTTGCGCGACGTCGACAAACATAATTTAGAGTAGATCCAAAAAACAAAAAATTGATTTCGCCCAGGATCGAACTGGGGACGTTCTGCGTGTTAAGCAGATGCCATAACCGACTAGACCACGAAACCAACTGTTGAAGAAAGTACAAACTAAATTGATAAATACCCTATTGAGACATACGCGTGACAATCGTCTTAAGTCTACGCGTTCAGAAGAACGCTTCCGCACACGCAAGTATCGTACCTCTTCTACTCAATTCACTTGAAAGTTCCTGTATACCGCTGTTTAAAGCCGCTCAACACTCTTTCCATCTTCAAATTGTCATATGACGTTCATTCTGCTTTAGCAAGCGTTGACTTCAAAGCGCCTGTGTAGGGAAAAAAATTTTACACTGCGTTTTCCATCTCAGTTAAAATAATGATGGTCTAACTTTCTGAAGAAAATATCAACTTTCTCACTTGAATATCGATTCTTGTAATACCTTTCAGAGCTGAGAAAAACCAAACATCTCTGTTGAGTATTCTTCTATACCCATAGTTATTATATCTCCAGTATGCCTCCAAAGAAACAGGTTGAAGAAAAAAAAGTGCTTTTGGGCCGTCCAGGTAACAACCTGAAGGCCGGTATTGTTGGTCTTGCCAATGTCGGTAAATCGACCTTTTTCCAGGCTATCACCAGATGTCCGTTGGGAAACCCAGCAAACTATCCATTTGCGACCATTGACCCAGAAGAAGCTCGTGTGATCGTGCCATCGTCCAGATTCGACAAGTTGTGCGAAATCTACAAGCCAGCTTCAGAGGTGCCTGCGCATTTGACCGTCTACGATATCGCTGGTTTGACCAAGGGTGCCTCTGCCGGTGAAGGTCTTGGTAACGCGTTTTTGTCGCACATCAGATCCGTCGACTCCATCTACCAGGTCGTGCGTTGTTTCGACGACGCCGAAATCATTCACATCGAGGGTGATGTCGACCCAGTTCGTGATTTGGACATCATCAACACCGAGCTAAGACTCAAGGATATCGAGTTCTCCGAGAAGCACCTGGAAAACGTGCATAAGATCACTAAGAGAGGCGGTCAATCGCTCGAGGTCAAGCAAAAGAAAGAGGAGGCCGCTTTGGTTGAGAGAATCATCGAACTCTTGAAGTCGGGCCAAAGAGTCGCCAACCAGACGTGGTCCACCAAAGAGGTCGAAGTCATCAACAGCATGTTCTTGTTGACCGCCAAGCCCTCCATCTACCTGATCAACCTATCTGAGAAGGACTTTATCAGAAAGAAGAACAAGCACCTGCTCAAAATCAAAGAATGGATCGACAAGTACTCTCCAGGCGATTTGATCATTCCTTTCTCGGTCTCTTTGGAAGAGAGACTGTCCCACATGAGTCTAGAAGAAGCCGCTGAGGAAGTCAAGAGAATGGGTGTCGAGAGCGCAATGCCAAAGATTATCACCACCATGAGACAGAAACTGGACTTGATCTCTTTCTTCACATCTGGTCCCGATGAAGTTCGTGAATGGACCATCCGTAAGGGCACCAAGGCCCCACAAGCCGCCGGAGTTATCCATAATGATTTGATGAACACTTTCATTCTCGCACAGGTGATGAAATACGAGGACGTGGTTGAATACAAAGACGAAGTTGCCATCAAGGCAGCTGGTAAGATGCAACAGAAGGGTAAGGAATACGTGGTTGAAGATGGCGACGTTATCTACTTCAGAGCCGGTGCCGGTAAAAACTAAGCACTCAGCGCTCACGCTATACCTATATAAAGATCTCATAACACAAGTTTTATGTGTACTTTCTATTGACTCCAATTTGGCTCTTAACTTCGGTATATACAAGTTTTGGTGACATTGCATCAGTTGGGAGACTCAGGTGTGCGTGCGCTTATCCTTCTAGTTGAAAAGAAAAGAATACCATTTGTGCTTCCGTTTTTCACGCTGTTCCTTGGGCACAAACGCTTTAACATGCTCTTGAATCTTTTCCACACCAGTTTTCTCGTCATATTGTCTTCCGAGAGCGTCAATGAATTGACCTTCTGGGTCCATCAGGTAGAAAAAAATGGAGTGGTCGACCAAATAATCTTGGCCTGGCTTCAGCGATGGTGGAGTGGAGAAATACACGCGGTACTGTTTGCACGCGTGTTTAACAGCGTTGTAGTCGCCGGTGAGGCCAATCAGATCAGAATGGAACTCGCTCAAATACTCCTTAAGCACATGTGGGGGGTCTCTTGCAGGGTCGCAAGTGATGAAAATAGGCTGCAGCTCTATACCCTTCTGTTTTAGCTTATCCAGCCACACGCTGAGCTTGTCGAGCTCGTCGGGGCAGATGTCTGGACAATGCGAGAATCCAAAGTAGATGATTGAAAACTTGCCCTTGAGGTTCTCTTCGGTGAATTCGTTGCCGTTGAAGTCCACCAATTTGAAAGGTCCACCGACGAGGGGCTTTCCGTAACCCCTATTAGCCTCGGCCTCCTTTTCAATTTCCAGTCTTCTTTTCTCTTTGGCAAAGAAGTAGTACAGGGTCCCGCCCAGTGTGAGCAGTAAAGCGGCCATTTTCCACGTTGCAAACTCGATGGAGCCACCACTGTTCCGCTGGGAATGATTCGTCGTGCCACCAATGGCGATTCTACTCAGAGGCTTACGTTTTGGAGTTTCTCCCTCGCTGGAGGTTGGCTGCTGAGCATTCTTATCGGTGGGCAGATTGTATAAACATGGTGAGCCTGACAGCGCTCTGCTCGCAGTCCTTTGGAACTGGCCTGTTCTTCTCAAGACCACGGCAAAACGAGTCCTTGCAAGCATTTCTATGATTGGAATTTCGACACTAGATCTTTGGGCTTCACTAACTCAGTTCTCCTACCAATTATGTGCAGTTGTCGTGAAAGTATTGTGCTCATCACTGTAAGATTATATGTCTTGTTTCTCTAATTTTGGTCATAGTAGACGATCCAGCGTGGTATATAAGTTTATATGTAAGGATGTGTTTCAACAAGACAAGACTCAACACCACCACCACCAGCTCCAGCACCATCACCTTTGATCGCTAGTCGCTTATAGAAGGATGATGATCCTGGAGACTTCAATTGTCGATGCTTCTTGATTGATGTCCTTACGCTTCGTGTCGCTATTGAAAAGCTGGTCTCTGATGCACAAACCGAAACATGACAACATGAAATGGGGCCTCTTTGATGTCAGAGTCAACCTCGGACGTGTTTGGAGAACCCAATTCACGTACTGATGCCTTTTTCATGTGGATTCGATGTAAGATCCGAGTAGCAAAAGCTGATTTACATCGAGCATGATAACGCTACAGCCTGATAGTATAGGGCTTTTGAGATTCTGTTGACGACCTAGAGCGTACAAGATGGCACCTTTGATAAGTTTATCGCACCCCATTTTGGACAAAATGCCATGCTAGAGGCGTGATTTCATCATGGTCGGTGATTATGACCAAGTGGATACTTACTCTCTACGGACAGACCAGGAGACGCTCGTTGAGGAGCGTTTCGCGTCTTCACAAATATACTACGGCATAAATCACAACTTGAACGCAAGAAACTCCCTTGGGAACTAAGAAATAGCTGTCACTAGACCTCGGCGGCTAGTTCCGGACCATTTGTTGAGCGATCAGATCATCTACTACGGACCTGAGATTTCGAATATGTTAATTTACCTATCAGCCTGTGAAATGATGAAGAGCACAGCAACGTTGACAACATTTCAAGCAGATCAAAGTGGCCCTTTTTAAATGGTCTTGAAACGTATTTGAGAACCATGTTCATTTTTTGATTCGCGACGTCAGTCAAGTTGCTTATCCCACCTGCGCAACCCTCATGACAATGCTTCGTAGTGCCTCCCCTGTTGACAGCAGAACGAAAGCGCTTGATTGAAGGCGTACCTCGAAACCTCAGCCAATATTTGGATCACTGAATTTTTTGACGATCCGAACCCACCTATCATACATTCCTTGAGGTCTAGCACATGTTTGTTTCCATCGCCTAATCCTGTGTTTATGGATTACCATATTGGGAATGGCATATGAATCCAAAGGAAACTACCAAAGGACTGGGATTTAAAAATGGGAAAAAATGGACGTGGGACGCCTGCTTTTCAAGTAGCGCTTTTAACTTCTTGGTAGCCCATCAATCCTCGCCCAGTAGCATTTGGCACAGTATGGATTACAATCCATTTATGGTCGGCGAAAACGGATCTCCCGTTAGATCGCCTCAGCCAGCCGCCAGGCGACAAGAGTCGCCGTGGAGGTCTCGCTATTCCGATTACACATCAACCGAGAATGAAATGTCTACCGCTTTCCAAGGTTTTCCTCCAGTTGCAGCTGCTCAGCCCCAGTCGCCATCTAAAGCGGCAGCAAAATACTCTCCGCAGCGGAGGAATATCTTCGCTCGTGACAGCAACCCAAGCTCCCCAATTCGCCAAAACCGTTACACTGCCAACATGCAGGAGTCTCCAAAACGTAATGGTCGCACGATCATTGCAATTGACGAGCCTTCTGACGACGATAATGAAAGTGACATTTACGAAAGCTACGCCCATGGAAACTCTCACTCCCCGTCTCGTCAGGTTTCTCATGATGCTCAATCGAAATACTCTTTTGAAAGTTATCGCAAGTCGGTTGACGACGGCAGCACAGTTTTCTCTGGCGACACATTTGAACAAACTCAGTTTCAAGTCAACCACCCGCAGCGCAGTTATATCAGACGTGGAAAGTCTGAGGTTAGGAAGCAACCTACTGTCATGACTAAAAAGAATATACTGAAGCTAGACAATCCAATTCCAGGGGGACTTTTGGAAATTTTACCTAGACGTGACTCTCCAGAATACACCGAAATGAGATACACTGCTTGCACGTCCGAGCCTGACAACTATGTCGACGAGGGTTACTCGCTCAGGTTCGCGGAAATGAACCGCGAATGCCAAATTGCTATCTGTATTACAATGTACAACGAGGATAAATTCGCGCTGTCCAGCACTCTGCACTCTGTCATGAGAAATATTACACACATGTGCAAGCGTAAAAAGTCTCATGTTTGGGGACCAAACGGATGGAAGAAAATACAGGTCATCATCGTGAGCGATGGGAGAAGTAACATCAACAAGGGCTCTTTGGACTATTTAAGCGCTCTCGGTATATACCAGGAGGATATGGCAAAGTCGACGGTGAACGGAGAGCCCGTCAAAGCTCATATCTTCGAGCTCACAACGCAGGTATCAATTGACGGAGACTTGGATTACGTGAGCAAGGATATCGTACCTGTTCAGGTTGTCTTTTGTCTGAAAGAGGAAAATCAGAAAAAAATCAATTCCCATCGCTGGCTCTTCAATGCCTTTTGCCCAATTTTAGATCCAACTGTGGTTGTGCTCGTAGATGTCGGCACGAGATTGAACGATACGGCCGTATATCACTTATGGAAGGCTTTTGACAGGGACTCGAATGTAGCTGGTGCTGCTGGTCAGATCAAAACAATGAAGGGAAAGTGGGGGTTGAAGCTCTTGAACCCCCTTGTTGCATCTCAAAACTTTGAATACAAGATTTCAAACATTCTAGACAAACCCTTAGAAAGTGTGTTCGGTTACATTTCTGTCCTTCCTGGTGCCTTATCGGCTTACCGTTACCGGGCTCTCAAAAATCATGAAGATGGTACTGGTCCGCTGAACTCATACTTTTTGGGTGAAACCCAAGAGGGTCGCCAACACGACGTTTTCACTGCTAACATGTACCTTGCTGAAGACAGAATTCTATGCTGGGAGTTAGTAGCTAAGAGAAATGCCAAGTGGGTTCTGAAATATGTTAAAGAGGCTACTGGAGAAACCGATGTGCCGGAAGAACCTCCTGAGTTCATTTCGCAGAGAAGACGTTGGTTAAATGGAGCTATGTTTGCTGCCCTATATGCACAACTCCACTTCCCCCAGATTTGGAAAACTAAACACTCCACGACCAGAAAATTGTTTTTCCAGTTGGAATTCTTTTATCAATTTGTTCAAATGCTGTTCTCCTGGTTCTCTATCTCGAACTTCTTTCTGACATTTTACTTTTTGGCTGGTTCCATGAACAAACTAATGAACCACGGAGATGTTCTTTTCACTTTTTTCAAATACCTGGTCATCTGTGATCTTGCCGCCCTCTTTATCATCTCGATGGGTAATAGGCCTCAGGGCGCCAATCATCTTTTCATCATTTCAATGGTGATTCTTTCAATTTGCTCTACTTATGCATTGATCTGTGGGCTCGTCTTTTCCTTCAAAACTTTACAAGATCCATCCGAAAGCAGCATGGTATTTTTCAACATTGTTGTATCTCTGCTGTCAACTTATGGACTCTATGCATTCACCTCAATCATTTACCTCGATCCCTGGCATTTAATCACATCATCCGTTCAATATCTGCTGATGCTCCCATCTTTCATTTGCACATTGCAGATTTTTGCCTTCTGCAACACCCATGACGTTTCTTGGGGTACTAAGGGCTCTACTCAAGATACAAAACCCAAATCTGAGGCCACGGTTAAACAAGGACCTAATGGTCAGCAAATCGTGGAAGGAACGGAATGGCCGCAAGAAGTGGACAAGAAGTTCGCTGAAATCAAAAATAGGTTGAAAGAGCAAGAAATAATCGAACCCAAAATTGACGAGGTTCAACGCAACAACGACTATTACCGGGACATTAGGACGCGTATCGTAATGATCTGGATGCTCTCGAATTTAATCATGATGATGGTGGTGACTCAGGTTTACGGACCTGAAGACACTGCCAAGAATAAGTACCTGATATTCATTCTTTGGTCCGTGGCGGTTTTGGCTTTATTTAGAGCTATCGGGTCGATCTCATTTTTGTTGATCAAGTACCTGCGCATGATAGTGAGCTTCAAGCATAAAGCAGAGGATAGCGGATCACTGAATATACCAAGCGCCAAGAATTTATTCAAGAAGGAAACTAAGGTGTAGAACGTTTTTACAGGCATATATAATAAGATCTAATGATTTCACTTTCTACCGACCATCAACACCCTCTGGCGGCTCTGAAGTTGTCATAATTAATTATGGCTTGCAGGAGAACCTTAAACCCATTCTCGACTTCTTCAGGTGAAGAATACTCGTAATAATTGTGAGACAATCCATCCTTGGATGGAATGAAAATCATGGATGTTGGAACATGAGGAGCTGTTTGACAAGAGTCATGGCCGGCTCCTGACCATATTTGACGAACTTTGTCCTCGGGAAATTGAGCGAATGCAGATCTGGACACGCACTCGATACATGTTTGGTTGAACTTAACCGCTGGTGAAATTTGGAGAATTTCTGCTCCGTAGGTTAAAGCACCAGCAGTGTTGTCTTGAACGATACGATCAAACTCAGCGTGAGCCTCCTCTATAGCCAACTTTAGAGTTTCATCAGAAGGATGCCTAAAGTCGAGAGTAAATGACACTTCACCTGGAATAATGTTTACCGAATAAGGCTTCGCGTCAATGACACCGCAAGTCAATAAGCCTTGATGCTTTTTGGCGATTTCTGATGCGGCAACGATCATTTTAGCTGATGCCAACAATGCGTCTTTTCTACACCTCCAAGGAGTAGTACCTGCATGCGCGCCTTCGCCACTCACTGTGACTTTCTCCCATTGATATGCCTGCACACCGGTAACAATGCCAATTGACTTTTGTTCGTCTTCTAGAATGGGACCCTGCTCAATGTGCAGCTCGAAATGCGCGTCAATCTCGTTCTCCTTGTATGATGCAGGAACGTCGCCGATGTATCCGATCTTGCTAAGAGAGTCAAAGACTGACTCCGACTCTGTTTCACCAATCGACATAAGCTCGTATGCTTCTTTCAAAGACAAATCGTGAGACCAGACGCTGGAACCGGTACAAGATCTCGCGAATCGCGCGCCTTCTTCATTGAACCAAACCACGACGCAGACGTCATAATTGGGGACGTACTTGTTGTCCTTGAAAGTTCTGAGTACTTCAAGCCCGGCCAGAACTCCGAGAATCCCGTCGTACTTGCCCGCCTCAGGCTGCGTGTCCAAATGAGATCCTGTGGCAGTGGGTTTACCACCGTTCTTTCCGGGATAAACTGCGAAGATGTTCCCGATTTTATCAATCTTTATGGTACAGCCAAGAGATTTGCACTCATCTATAAACCAATTTCTCATAGCTCCGTCTTCCTCTGTTCCAGCTAGCCTGCGCATCCCAAATTCGTGTGGAGCATCTCCCCATCTTGCGACCCCACCATGGGTAGAGCCTGTTTCCAGAATAGTCTCATTTAAACGACCGGTTACGATGGACAGTGGTGCTACGGCTGGAATGCTCAAAGTACCAGAATCTGGAAGATTCGTGGTCGTGGTAGTAGAACTATTGAGCGAAGTCATCGAAGCGTTAATAGAAAAGGCGTATGTTTTATCAATTTGAAATACCGCTCCCAGCGCGTGCAATTGTCAGATAAGTGTACTGGTCTTAGAAGAAAGCTACAATAGCGGCAAGAACAGATCTGCTGATGACTTTAAATATTCTTGTAGCGACATTGTTCTTCATTTACTTATAATCTCGGTTTAGGGTGATAAGATAAGATAAGTTATAACGAGTTCTTGAGAAGGTTACATCGGTTTCCAAATTCCGCCTAAGCTGTGTTCAGGCTTTCGAATGCCATGAAGCTGGTGACAAGAGGGAGCTAGAAGATCCCAAGTGGAAACAACGTTCGTTCGTGATAAAATCGAGCGGAATGCTCGTTGGTATTTCTCCGAATGTATCAGAATTCTTAGTGGGTAGAAAACAATTTGCGTTACATTTCGTCTCAAAAAGGCGTATCAGTGGTAGTCAAGATACCACTTGATAAGGTGTTGGTCGGGAGTTCGCGATCGGTGACGCTTACGCAAACAATGGCAATTGTTCGACCTAAGGGTCATGGATCGAGAAAAGACCTCGAAGCACCAAAACGGACGTTAGCACTGTCTGATAGAAACGGTAAGCTATCATGAAGCTCAGTCAAGTGCAGGGACGGTGAGATTTAGATAAGAATTTTTTAAAATTCCAATTTTACAGACAAAAACCATGTTGTGAAGGTAAGAGCCGGCAGAGCATTGTCCTTGTGCATCTAGATGTATTTCTACATCGAACTTCGTATACCTCGTAGACTCCTTTCTCAACAACGCTCACTAAAGCAGAGCTCTGTCTTGTAGCATAAATCTGGATGTGTGCGACGTGCTACTGGACAACATGACATAAATGTACAAAGTGATATAATAATTAATTATTATAGCGTCTAACGTACACCAGGACACCACATTCCGGACATTTTGATGTGAGCAGAGCAGGTCGCTTCGAAATCTCGTTGTAATTTGGAATGTTTCCCGTGTAATCGCCTGACTTCCATTACCGCCTGTTGTATATATGTGCTGAAGTTCGTAAGTCACTCTCAGCATATTTTTTCAAATAAAACCATCAGAGATCGTCTAAGCTGTAAGCAGTTTATCTAAGTATAAAATATCGCTCGCTCGTTTAAAAAATCGTTTACTTTTGAAACATCACTTATCGTGCTATGTACTCTCTACCAACCCAATGCGGCGCAACTCTGAAAATGCAATCCCCTAGACAAGCATTGTGTAATCAATTTAAAATTCAAATACTATGACTATAGTAAAATCTCAAAGTGCTACTACTGCCTTCTTCTATCAAAATCAAACCCTTGCTATCTAACGGACTGCTCCGGTGCCTTGAAGGAGGACCCTTTCGAGTTCATATCACTTTTTCCCACGCTGACTTTCAATTATTTCTATATTTACAAGAATCTGGTGTCAATGCATCGAAAAAATTCTCGATTTGAGCAGAATCGGCTTCTCCCTCGAACATCAACATTCCTAGACGCTACCATCACTGCTTAGCATTTTGTAGTCTGGGTCGTAGTAGCTCTCCTCAAACCAATGGCTGGAAACGATGACTACTTCGCATTCGATGATGAATCACTTCTGCGACCAAGAAACAGCACCAGTAATGAGAATCTCAAGAGAGGAGACTCATTGGTGAGAAGGGAACGGAACGATTTCACAAATCCAGCTAACCCACATCACTACTATGCGCAAAAAACGCAGCAGCAGCGTGAAAGAGGCCAGGTTCAGGTCCAGGAGTCAATTCCGCTCAAAGACATGAGTCGTGGTACGAAAAAGACCGCGTCTACCAAAACACAAAATTCGGAATCTCTTTCGTTTTGGCAAATATACTGCTACGTAATCACCTTTTGGGCACCAGCTCCATTGTTGTCGTTGTTTGGGATGCCAAAGAAGGAGCGTCAATTTGCTTGGAGAGAAAAGATCGCGCTGCTATCGGTCATCTTATATGCTGGTACTCTGGTCGCATACTTGACATTCGGCTTTACTCGAACCGTTTGCAGCAATCAGTCTCTACGTCTGCGTAACAATGAAGTGACCGGCAGCTATTTGATCATTAACGGGAAATCTTACGGACTCGACTCGTCCTCCCATCCTGCTGCTGCCGGCATCGACGCTGGCACCAACGTTTTATACCCTCCCATCAACGCCGGTGGTATGGACGCCACGTTTTTATTTCAGAACGTCAACGGTAACTGCAAAGGACTTATAACACCAAAGGACAACTGTACGATTCCATATGACGACGACGAAAACTTGGCCTGGTATTTTCCGTGCAAGCTGTTAGCACAAGACGGCTCCACGCAACCAAACTTCACGACAAGCGAGTACTACGACGGCTGGGCTTGTCATACCTCACAGACTGCTCGCGATGCTTACTATTCGCTCGATTCAGCCGCAGACGTCTATTTCACGTGGGACGACATCAAAAACTCTACTCGTAACCTTGTGGTATACAACGGACACGTCTTAGATCTGGATATGCTAGATTGGCTACAAACAGACGATGTGGATTATCCTCCCCTGTTTGATCAATTGAAAGACTCACGGTTACAGGGCTATGATATCTCTATGGTCTTGTCAGACGCTTTTGAGAAAAAAGCGGCAAGGTGTTTATCGGAAATTATAAAAGTTGGTGAAATCGACAGCTCTACCATTGGTTGTCTTGCTTCACAGGTTGTCCTTTACATCTCGCTCGTGTTCATTTTATCGGTCGTCTTCGTCAAGTTCTTCATATCGTGCTATTTCCGCTGGGTTGTGGCAAGAAAGCAAGGCGCTTTTGCTGTGAGTAATAAGACTATGAAACAACATGCCAATGCAATTGAGGACTGGTCGGAAGACATCAACGCGAGAGGACCAATCAAAAAGATGGAGCCCAGTGTGAGGCCACATGGTCAGCGTAGACTCTCGGCATTCGATCTCATCAAGCGCAATTCCATGATGCTACTAAACGACAACTCTACTTCCAAGGCCAAAGACAAATTTCGCGGAATGACAACTATGACAACTCAATCGTTCCACAAGTCAAATGCTTCAACCGTCACTCGAGATGAAGGACCTTTTCAGTCTCCCTTCACTAACGACTTAGTGTCTTCATCAAATGTCTCCGACACTTTAGATGCTACGATCATCCATCCGGATGTTGTAGCCCAACCACCGGTAGATTTCATGCCATACGGCTATCCTTTGGTTCACACCATATGTTTTGTTACGTGCTATTCAGAGGACGAAGGCGCGATTCGGACTACTATGGATTCTCTTGCCACGACTGATTACCCAAATTCGCATAAGTTGTTGATGGTTGTTTGTGATGGTATTATTAGTGGTTCGGGCAACGACTTGACAACTCCTGAAATTGTCTTAGGTATGGTTGAAGACTTCGTTGTACCCCCAGAAGAAGTAGAGCCTCACTCTTATGTGGCTGTAGCGTCCGGGGCCAAAAGGCATAATATGGCCAAGGTGTATGCTGGATTCTACAAGTATGACGACACGACGATTGAGCCAGATCTGCAGCAACGAGTTCCAATGATTGTGATTGTAAAATGCGGCACACCCGACGAGCAAGCTTCGGTAAAACCTGGCAACAGAGGTAAACGTGATTCTCAAGTTATTTTGATGTCTTTCTTGCAGAGACTCGCTTTTGAGGAGCGGATGACAGTGTTCGAATACCAAATGCTTAAAAATATCTGGCAGATAACTGGACTCATGTCGGAATTTTATGAGCTAGTGCTAATGGTTGACGCTGACACTAAAGTGTTCCCTGACTCATTAACACACATGGCTGCTGAAATGGTAAAAGACCCGGAAATCATGGGCTTATGTGGTGAGACAAAAATTGCAAATAAAACTGAATCCTGGATATCTTGGATTCAAGTTTTTGAATATTTTATTTCTCACCATCAAGCCAAGGCTTTTGAATCTGTGTTTGGAAGTGTTACCTGTCTCCCCGGCTGTTTTTCAATTTATAGAATCAAGTCTCCGAAAGGGGCTGATGGCTATTGGGTTCCCCTTCTGTCGAATCCTGATATTGTGGAAAGATATTCGGACAACGATACTAATACGTTGCATAAAAAGAACCTATTACTGCTAGGTGAGGACAGATATTTATCATCACTCATGTTAAGGACCTTTCCAAAGCGAAAGCAGATATTCCTGTCTAAGGCTGCTTGTAAAACAGTTGTTCCTAGTAAGCTAAAAGTGCTTATGTCGCAACGCAGAAGATGGATTAACTCCACAGTACACAACCTGATGGAACTGGTTCTTATCCAAGACTTGTGCGGAAGTTTCTGCTTTTCGATGCAGTTTGTGATTGGTATGGAATTAGTTGGTACCCTGGTGTTGCCGCTAGCCATCTGCTTCACTGTATATGTGATCATCTTTGCCATTGTGTCGCATCCTACGCCAATCATCACGCTAGTCTTATTAGCTGTCATTTTGGGTCTTCCTGGTCTCCTTATCGTTGTCACGGCCACCAGGTGGTCTTACTTAGGATGGATGCTAATCTACATTATTGCTTTGCCAATCTGGAACTTCTTGTTACCCGTTTACGCCTACTGGAAATTCGATGACTTCACCTGGGGTGACACAAGAACTATCGCAGGGGGGAACAAAGCTTCGCATGAAGAAGAAGTTGGTGAGTTTGATCATTCTATGATTAGAATGAGAACGTGGCGAGAGTTTGAAAAAGAAGACCGTTCGAAAGGTAAAGGCCAAGGACAACATTCAAGGTTGGGATCTATCTTGAATTTGGATCTGATGCCAGAAGCTGGTATATCAGACAGAGATGATTCGCGCTTCTTTTGAGAAGTCCGACGCACTTTGATTATTGTTCCCACTTCGTTGGAGGCAAGGCATTCGTAAAAGTAGGGTTCGATTTAAAGTAATTGTACCCCCAAATCTGCATATCATTATTTAAAGAATCTCATTGTCCAATTTTGGTCATAAGCTTACACAAGTTATAGTACATAAACTGCGAAAGAAAGAGAGTGCTGCTCCTTTAAAAGCTTCTCTGTCTGGGGCCATGGAACCCCAAATATGCCACTGTTGATCTGAGGCATTTCGAGAGCATATTCATCGAGCCGGTAGCGCAATTTAGCCTTGACTTTTTCCATCATCTGAGAGGTGAACCCGTCAACGTCACTTCCCGGGTTTAGTTTGCCACCCTTTAATTTGACTCTCATATCTTCTAGAGCCAACTGCGTGTTTTCCAGAATGGTCTTGCCAGAACCTTGATTAGGTCCCCCAAACGATGCTGTGAAGAGACATCCTATTAGCAGCGTAGAGTCAGAGTAACTTGGTATCAAAACAAATTTGCCTAGAAGGCGCGATCCGAACTTTTCGCATATCTCAATGTAGTCTTTCTCGGCTTTGGGATACTTGACACCCAATTGGTATGCTATTCCTCCACCCCATGAACCATTACAATTACAGGAGTGTATTAGGATTCGTGGGTGGGAAATTGTCCCCGCCAGACAATTACCTCTAAGATATTTGACATTGGAGGCACTCATTGTGGTTTTGATAATATCTCGATTGTTTCTTTAAGCTGTTTTGATCTAACTCTTCCATGTTTAAATCAAAACCATTTTAGCCCAGAAAGGGTCCGGAGTTGTAAATTAAATCGTTAATAACATCATTAATGATCTAAACAAGAAAAATGTATAGGTTAAGATTAGATGATGTCGGTGGAATAAAAAGAGCTGGAATTGAAATCTTTATACAGGTTGAATAGAATTCTATTCAATTAAAACTAGTATTAGATAAAGTTCATAATTTGTTTACTCTTTCTTGAATTTTCCCATGATAGCTCTGCCTACTTTAGTCTCCTTCAGAGAGAAAGTGTTGACATGGAAAATGTAGTACAGCGCGACCATAGCAAATATGTTGAAGCCAATGTAGACCCAGTAAAATCCAAAGTTTCTCCAGATGTAACTATAGCTGGCACTGATTTGCTTCAAATAGTCGTCGCCCACTTTGAAAACGCAGTAGCCACAGTCTTGGGTGGCCTCAGGATTATAAACGTAACCTGACGACATGGCTAGGAAGTCCTTCATGTATTCCCCACAGGTTTGTCCGGAAGGAGGGTTCAAAAACGACATTTCTTTCTTCGAGCACACAACAGGTTTGTTGTGAAGAACGAGACCAATTGCATTCTGCACGAAGTAAGTGTAAGGAGAAGCCTTCCACATGAAGGTCCAAAATCCGGGCATCAAAGTGGCAGGTTGTACCACACCACAGAACGAGATCAAGAAGGACAAACACAAACTCAACATGACACCAGCCGACGCCAAGTTAGGAGCCGCGTACAGGAGCATGAGACCGAGCCCAACAAAATACATCTGGAACATGATACAGTAGGTCAAAAAAAAGACACCTGCGTACTGGGCCTCGTAATGAACTCTGAGAGGGAAATAGAAACCAACGAAGAAAATTGTGGAAAAGATAAGCTGATATGGCAGTTCGCACAAGTACTGTGTGAGAATGAGGAACATCCAGTGGAAGGTGTTGGATTTTGATTCTCTCACCTCGAAAAGCTCACGTGAAGCAATGGCACGGGCTTGAATTTGGTTCATAGCGGGTGCGGACACGATCAAGGCCAGGAAGGCAGCAAACATGGTGTTTTGCAGTCCAGTGTAACTGGTACCCACATTATAGAAAGTGAAACCAATGAATAGCCCGGAACACATATGCAACATCAGCTTCGCTATCAAATAATTGACGTCTCTCCAAAAAATGGTTGCAGTTCTCGCGTATACCACCTTGAATTGATAAAAGTATGGCGCAGCGTACTTCGACGAAGATTCAGGCGTCGCCTTGTCTTCTTGATTTGCAGGATCTTGCAGGAGCTGCTCGACTTCTTCGTTAACTTGTTTACAGTGGCGAGAATTCTTCCAAATGTCGTGCCAATCTTCTTCCACAGACGCCGTAGCACCAGCACCGATAGCTTCTAGAATATACTCGGCAGGGTTCTCAGATTTCTCACACTTTCTAGCGCCGTTTTCTTCGAAGTAATCCAAAAGGTCGCGGGAGTTTTCACCGATAGGTCCAAAGTAGACTGTCTGTCCACCTTTCTTCAACAGTAACAATCTGTCAAACTGTTCAAACAAGGTGGCAGAAGGCTGGTGGATGGTGCACAAGATAGACTGTCCAGCCTCGGCCAGCCTCTTGAGCATTTGAACAATAGCCCATGCGGACTGTGAGTCCAAACCAGACGTAGGTTCATCCAAGAAGAGCAGTAGATCAGGCTTTGCGGCGAGTTCGACACCGATAGACACCTTTTTCCTTTGCTCGACATTAAGACCGAAACCTACGTCACCAACCAAAGCGTCAGCGTACTCACCCATATCTAGAATTTCCATGATTTTCTCGACGTATTCCAATTTCTCAGCATCTGGTACTGACGTAGGTCTACGCAGTCTGGCTGCGAAACGCAACGATTCTCTGACAGTCATTTCCTTGACGTGTACGTCTTGTTGCTGGACATAACCTGTCCTTCTCTCAAAACTTGCGTCGATAGGTTTTCCATTAACAAGCATATCACCGGTTATAATACCCACATTTCTTTGAGCTAAAGTGTTCAACAAAGTGGTCTTACCAGCACCAGATTCTCCCATCAAGGCAGTGAGAGTTCCAGGCACACAGTACCCAGTGACATTGTCCAACAACTGACGAGTACTTCCCTTGTAGGGAATCGTGTAGCAAACGTCTTTCCATAAGAAGACACCCTCACTTCTGAGCCCTTGGAATACATCGGAAGATGCACTTGAAGTGTCAGCGCTGCCATTGTCCACATTTTTCTTGGCTTCAGCCATGGTGAGAGATGTTTCATCGCTTTCTTCATCAGAATGAGACGCAAGCCTCTTGGCTCCCTTCTTGAAGACTAGGGTGTCACCTCCACCAGAAGATGATGGTCTCAGTTCAGTGATGAGACACTTCAAAAACAAATATACGACCAAGAATGCGAACACGTAGCCCAGGTTTTTCCATGTGTTGCTGTAGTTGTAAGCAAATTTAGTACTCAAGTAATCGTCTCCAAGAATATAAGGTTGTCCTGGTCGCGATCCGGCGAAAGCGCAAACTTGATTGGCCGTTGAAACGTCCGAGTAAGAAGGCCCCGAGGGGATGACGTTTCCGGTGCAGTCCATTCTTCTCGCATGAAATTCTGAGTTCAGCATACTTTCGAAAGTGTACCTGACGGGCGTCGAATATGAAATCCACCTAAACCAGGGATGCATAGCATGCGTCTGTATCATATAGTTCGAGTATAACACCAAAGCCATCAGTGTTGTGCCGGCAATGGAATTTGCTTGTGAAACGCTGCTGCTGAATGCAGTGATCAAATCGAATAAAGCATTGATACTCTCTGCGCATACGATTAGGAATAGGAAGGAGGTGAAGAATCGCCCTGCATTTCTGGTCATATCCGAAAGGAAGAAGATAAGAATGTAAAAAGCAGTTTGACTGATAAAGCGGAATGGAAATTCAGAAACGGAGCTCGCGACAGCTTCAGCAGCTGGATGATATAGCGAATATGTTCTGTGCTTTTCGATAATAGGTCTGCTTTCAAGACTGATTTTAGCAAGACCCATCAAAGAAGTGTACAGAATAGCAAAATAGAAAACACCACCTCTGGAAAACGCACCAGAAACGCCCGATGGGATTCCGTAGTATAAGGAACCACTGACAAGACCCTGAACGACAGATGCGATGATATTAGTCACTGTAAATGCTTTGTCACCATAAATTCTTTGAAAACCACGCTGCGTACAAAGTCTGATCTGTTCCGGGAAAGATACAGTGTAGGCGGATTTAGAACGAGTCAATTTAGATTTTTCTTGAGCCAAAGACTGGTCGTAAATATGTTTCGTTTTCTCGATCTTGGTCTCTTCTTTATAGGTCTCAATATCTTCCATGAAACGTTGGTATTCCTGAGATTCTACCCAGCACTTTTCAAAATCTTCGGCGGTTTTTGGAACCGATCTCTCAAAGCCTGGGACGATTTCGTGCAATCCCTTAGGATCGGTCAAGGCAGTCAGAAACTCTGGAGTTGACTGTCTCGCTGGACACACATAACCCAAGTTTTTGAAGTACTCTTTAGCTTCTTCGACTCCACCAAAGTAGATTTGCCTGCCATCGTAGAGTACTGTCACTTTGTCGAAACACTCGTAGATGTTCTCACTGGCCTGGTAAATGGTGACCAAGGCCACGGATTTTTGTAGGTTTGTCATTAAGCGAATGGCCTGTGCAAACTCTAGGGCAGTGGAAGCGTCCAAACCACGCGTAGCGTTGTCCCAGCAGTAAATGGAACCACGCGCGGCCAACGCTTCCGCGATGGAAACACGCTTACGTTCACCTCCGGATACACCTCTTACGAAGTCGCTTCCGACTTTAGTATTATAGGTGTGTCTCAGGCCGAAAATGGTGGCATACAGCTCACGCATGGCAGCAACGTACTGGGACCTGGACGCGTCGTTGACACGCACATTGGGCGTAGTGCAAGCGAGTGCAAAGTCCAGGGTCTGCTGGACGGTCAAGTGCGGGAAATGCACGTCAACCTCTCCATTGTAAACCACGTCAGCCTTGTATTTGCGCATCATTTCTTTCTGCGGAATTCCGTCGTAGCAGATCGAGCCTGTGACCTCTTTGAACTTGCTAGTTTCGCCTGAAATCGTCTTGAGGAAGGAGGAGCACCCTGCACCAGGACGGCCAAGCACGAGAACCATCTCGCCCGGTTTGGCGAGCACATTGGCGTTCGTCACGATGGCCCTGGTCTTGGCGTTTTTCGCAGCACGAATGCCGCGGAAAATCGTGCGCGGGAGAAGCAGGATGTCCTCGAAGGTCTGTGCTTCGGCAGACGAGCAGTCGTCGCCCATCACGGTGAAGTTTTCTGCGATGACACCGGAATTTCGCAGATGGATGCCCTGTTCTTCGCTGTTGCGCACGAACGACCTGATGATCTGCTCGGCGTCGAATTTGTCGGGGTCCATCTCGAGCGGGCCGTCCCGCACACGGTGCGACGACAGCGTGCGAGCCAGCGTTTCCACACGGGAGATCATGTCTGAGTCCAGCACATCGACACCTGTGTTGGACCTGCGCATCATGAGCCGGGTCACGTGCGCGCGTGCTGATTGCCCATCGCCCTGCGGAGCGTCCTGGAACTTTTCGTGCGACGACGAACCGTAGTAAGGTTGCTCTTCCAACGATTTGCTGCTTGAGCCTGCCGGCGAGTCCGAGACCGTCATCTTGGCTAGTGTGAGGCTTGCTTGCTTGGATTAGAGACGCCTTACTGAAACAAACTGGAACAAACTGGGTATAATAGACAGCTTGGTGTGTGCAGCGTGCTTAAACAGCTTACAACTCAGTGTCGACTGTACGTATACTGTCCGCGAACCGTCTGTGTCTAAGTGTGTTGTCAAGAACAAGCTCTGCCCTCAACTTCAAGACCTCTTAAATGTCCTTCAATATTTGCTGTTTTTCATACATTTATATGTAAATGTGATGAGGTGGGCAAGGTGCCTTCGCAATTAGGACTTCCGAGTACTCAGCGGCCCTAAGCTTTGTTTATTGCTCATTACAAACGTGGACGGATTTTACCGGAGTTGAGAAAAACATTTAGTGCTTCCGGGTGCCGACCCAGATCGATCACGTGAGTATTTTTTCCAGTTACGGATTGACAACCAGCGACTGACGTCCATAAAACGTCAGCAAGGCGCGACGAAAGCTTGGCGTAACCAGCCCAGGCAATCGTTTGCTTTTGGGAGTGTAGTCATTAGTAAGATACCAACTAAGCCTTGTTAGAAACTCGCATGACTTTAAACACTGTTGAAAAATTGGGAGCGATAGCGATCGATTGTGGATGATAAACATCGCTCGAAACAACACTGAACAATTGGGATCGCCAGCGATCAATTGTGAATAATGAACATCGCTTGAAACACGACAATTCTGAACAGAGGGCTCTTAGTCAGCGGAAAAGTCCTCTATTCTTCCAGCAGAATGAGTCGGGTGGGTGCATTCGTTTCTTGACTAACCTCGTGAATGGCTCGTGAATGGCTCGTGAGAGAGGCGGAATTTTGTGAGTCAGTCGTCCTGCGACAGAATAGTACGAAGTGATATGAGGTCTGGGATTCTTGCGAGAAATCTCGGTGCAATTCGAACATTAATACATCCATAGTATCCATCGTGCTAGCAGCGGTGTTCTTGCACTGTCGTAGTCTCAAACTTGGGTCGATGTGTTCTTGTCGCTTCGTTGTTTTGCTGTCGCATGGAAATATGCAAAAGTGGCCAAGTCATGTGAACAAAAACAGATGTGGATGCTCTACATCGAGGCTAGACAACGAAATCCACGTTTGCACGCTCAGATAGCGTTTCTGGAGATGTTTCAATGTTTGTCAAGGGCACAGTATGATCTCCATCAGGACTCTTCAATTCCTCCCGCCTGCGTGTGCCGGCTTGATTTTTTGAAGTATAGTGCCTGCACAACGACTCTCAAGTCTCGTGCTCCTCTAAGAGCCCACTTCCATTATGCAACTGCCCAACGCTGGCCTCGATACCAATACAACGTCATCGAGCGTTAGGCCCTGCATGTCGTGTTTTGCATAATACTGCTCGGCCAGCGCTTCTCTCACATCGTCGACTTTAGAAAGCGGAACCAGGTGTACTGTGCACCCTCCCCATCCGGCCCCGGTCAGTCTAGACCCGTACGCACCATTGGCTTTGGCTATCTTGCAGATTTCGTCGATCTCGGGACACGAGCACTCATACATCTCGTCGCATGATTTTTGAGATTCATTCATTAGTTGACCGAACGGATCGAAAAACTCCAAGTCTGAGGCAAATGACTCTCGAAGCATCAATTTAAGCGCCTCCAAAACCCGCAAGGATTCTGAGTAAACGTGCTTCGCTCTTTGATATAGCTTCAAGACCTGGAATCTGACCGGAAAGTTTGTGAGATAGTCTCGTGAAAACTCCTGCATCGAGCTATTGACCGCTTCCGATGCTTGCTGGAGGGTATAGCCGCTGCTATGTTCTGCCAAAGTGTCCTCCACCAATTTCAACATCTCCGTAAGTCGCGAGATGCCCTGCTCGATATCGCCATTCCAGGGTTCCGTGGCTCCGTGGTACCTGGCATAGTAGGCGTCCATGAACTCACGCAAAGTTGTCTTCTCTGAATTACCAACTCGTCCCAAAGCAACTCCGTATTTGGCTGCCAACACGTTGGCAGCTACCACAACTTCCACAACTCTGAGGTTGTAGTTGGTCGGTGCCGTTTCCACTTTGTTAGACACAACCATGGTGTTGGCGATAACAAATTGGATCTCGGAGTTTTTGAGTTTCGGGAACATGAACGGCGTAGCTTTGAGCTCGGGCTTAAACTCCACGTACAAAGCGTGGTCGACTTCGCCGCAAACGGACGCAGCCTGGTCCATCCCGCCGTTGTTGACCCCCACAAAGTGTTCGGCTTTTGCCGTGATTTGCGTGAGCTCCTGCTTTGGCATCTTGAAGTCGTGACCAGTGTTTGCACGGATCACGGCCAGAGCAACAGCGCAAATGAAGGCTGCTGACGATGATAGGCCCCCACCCGTGAACACCTGGCCACCGACAAACACTTCCAGTCCTGCCAGGGGCGTGTCTGCAGGGAAACGAGCAGCAAACCGAGTCTTGAGATACTGCTGGGCGACGTGAAGCCCGCACTTGAAGTAGTTGCTCCAGTCCGAAACAGAGGGATCGATCGAGATATCCGAGCCGTCCAGTGGCAAGTCGAAACGGCGCTGTGCGAACCGCGAGTCCGAGTTTGTCAGCGTCACTGATGGGATTTCTGTGCTGGGCGTCACCTTTACCGCGCATGTGACGGCGTGTTCGATGGCCATGGGCAACACCGAGAAGTCTACATAATCGATGTGATCCCCAATGAGATTTACTCTACCTGGCGACCTGGTAACGAACTCTGCGTTATGGCCATAGACAACTTTGAAGTCCCGTATCACTTCCGTGTACGACTCTTGCAATCTGTCTGGAATGTCTTCAAACGTTTGATAGCTGGGGACTGACATTGCAAGTTTTAGACGAGTCAATTCATTTGATAAAATCATTGCAAAAAGAGGATTGGTACGTGTTTCTTAACCTTTATATACCCAACAATCTGCTCGGTCGGAGTCCAAGCGATTGTCGAGGTCAAATTCTCGTTTTAGCTGTTGTTCGTCCTATCTCTCCGCTTGGACTATCGCCCTTGCCCTTGTTTTTTTCACTTCCCCACAAACCACGAAATTAAGATTCAATTTCGGGACAGTGCGTTCCGGGATGTTCGGAGCACACTTGTCCGCCGGAAAAATGCGGGGAAACCGGAAAAACTATGGAGAAGGGTCCGGAAAAACTATTAGATGCTCTGCTTTTAAGTTCACGGGACACAGTTGTCCGCGCTGGCCGCAGTCCAGCGGAAAATCGATATAAATGAACGTCTATGAAAAGATTCGACTAGACTAGACAGAAATGGGTGAACTTAGGCATCGCTCCAGTGAACACGAATTAGTACCGCTAGGTCAAGTGGAAGGTTTGGCGTGAAAAACATACTTTGCTTTCGCAGCTGCCTTCAATGACTATGATATCTGGTGAGATATCTGGTTCACCCCGTTCAAACGGGACTTCCAGCGCTCCACAAAGCTACGTTTTGGTCACAGGCGGTGCTGGGTACATAGGCTCCCACACGGTTGTGGAACTGATCGAAAATGGTTACAAATGCATTGTGGTGGATAATTTCAGCAACTCCTGCTACGAACCCATAGCCAGGATCCAGCTTCTCACCAAAACGGAAATTCCGTTTTTCAAAGTGGATCTCACGGACCAGGCTGCCCTAGAACGTGTTTTCGAACAGTACCCGATCGACTCCGTGATCCATTTTGCAGGGCTCAAGGCCGTGGGCGAGTCCACTGAGCTTCCCTTGAAATACTATCACAACAATATCACTGGTACTCTGGTCCTGCTCGAAACTATGCAGAAGTTCGGCGCGAAAAAGCTGGTATTCTCGTCCTCCGCTACGGTCTACGGCGATGCCACCAGATTTCCAAACATGATCCCGATTCCTGAAGAATGCCCCACAGGACCAACGAATCCGTACGGCAAGACCAAGCTGGCCATCGAAGAACTACTCGAGGACCTCTACAATAGCGAGCAGACGCGGTGGAAATTTGCAATACTTCGATATTTCAACCCCATAGGCGCGCACCCCTCGGGGATCATTGGCGAAGATCCTCTGGGAATACCCAACAACCTACTGCCGTACATGTCCCAGGTCGCCGTTAAACGGAGACAGAAGCTATTTGTGTTCGGTAATCAGTACAACTCGCGCGACGGGACGCCTATCCGCGACTACATCCATGTTGTCGACCTTGCCCGTGGTCATATCGCTTCCCTGAAATATTTGGACAAAATTCATAGCTCTGAAGGCATATGTAGGGTCTGGAACTTGGGGTCTGGAACGGGGTCCACGGTTATGGAGGTTTACAAAGCGTTTTGCTTGGCTTGCAAAATCGACCTACCTTACGAAATTGTTGGCCCCCGTTCGGGTGACGTTCTCAATTTGACTGCCAAGCCAGACAGGGCTATACAAGAGCTCAAATGGAAAACTACAATGAATGTTGCTGAATCGTGCAAAGATCTTTGGAATTGGACCACAAGAAACCCTTCCGGCTATCAAGCGAAGGGTGTCGTCAATAAATTTTTTGGTGCGCCAAACGATTATCGCTGTCGTCTGGTCACCGTTGGGAAAGGCTCGGGATTTGAAACCTCATTCACAAACCTCGGTGCCACTCTTGTGGACCTCACGATCTGCGGAAAGCCTGTAGTTTTGGGCTTAGGAGACGAAAGTGAATATGTGGATGATTCCAACCCGTATCTGGGGGCCACAATTGGCCGTTACGCGAACCGCATCTCAGGTGGTAAGTTCAATCTACAGGGAAATGCATATCAGCTAGCCCTTAACGAAAAGGCTGCAACCGTTCACAGCTCTTCACAGTCTTTTCATCGCAAAAGGTTTTTGGGGCCGCTCGTTCAAGAACTGAAAAATAACGTGTACGTGGTTAAATTCGTGTTGTTCGATGCTGCGGAGTCTTTCCCTGGGGACGTCGAGGTCAGTGTCAACTATGAGATTGACGTCAAGGCGCAAACGCTCTCGGTTGAATATGAAGGGCGCTTGATAAAGGACGAATCAACGGTTATGAATTTAACCAATCACTCTTACTTCAATCTCAATCAGTTCCAGTATACAGATTGTGGTGGCACGCAGTTTGAAGTTCTCTCGGATAGAGTGGTTGAGATGGATACCAAAAATAGACCCACTGGTCAAATTGTCAAATGGTGGGAGCCCTCTCAGTTCATCTTCAGCTCTACCGAGTCCCAATATGACACCTGTTTTGTCACAGGGTCTAAGAGCTCCATTGACACCCGCTCAAACGAATTAAAGGATGTACTAATCGCACAGCATCCCGAGTCGAATCTCAAGCTAACTGTTTCAACCACAGAACCTAGCTTTCAATTTTATACCAAAGGCCCAGGTGTTACCAAAAGCCGCGACGAGCGATACGGATTCTGCTGCGAGCCTGGCAGATACATTAACGCTATAAATTTGCCACAGTGGGAAAGTGCTGTGGTCTTAAAAAAAGGCGAGACTTATGGATCTCGCACTACCTACAAATTCGACTCAATATTTCCGTGACCGCTCAAAAAAGAGATCAACAGAGTCCCATGATAGCAAACCAAATAATGTCTTAGATTCATGAACTATTTTATGTTCCAACATTGAGGTAAAAGTAACTTTACAAGGTTCGAGCACAAAGTATTCTGAAGTTAAATGTTTAATCCAAATCAAGTAAGAGACAACGCTCGAGCAGTATTATTTACTGAGAGAAGACTTAATATTTCTCAACCAAATAGTGTATTAAATATCGTTTTTAAGAAGAATGAAGTCGGATAAAATAAAATAACAGTCTTCCCAAGAGCTTCCAACATAACACGAACAAGTATTAAATTTCGAAACTTCTAAACTGCTTTCTTCTGTTACAATAATTCTCTACTTTGGATTTGTCCAATGAATTTCCTCTTCTTTGGCACTTCACAAGGTTTCGGACTTCTATTGTCCGAAAAGCATGTTAAATTGAATAAATTGATGTTTTTGCGGAACCCCGCATCTAAATAATCCAGTCTACAAAACAAGTTGACGGTCCTGTCGAACTCTATTTAAGCAGGCATAATTGTACAGTTCCCTCTAGAATTTAATGAAAAATGATGAAAGGTCTTCCATCATCCAGTGAAGATGACACAGAGGTCTTCACAGTTCGATTTCGCTGATCATTCACATAGAAGATACAACCCACTGACAGATTCATGGGTCTTGGTATCACCACATAGAGCCAAAAGGCCTTGGCTAGGACAGGAAGAGAGTCCTTCAAAACCCAACGCTCCAGAATACGATGCTGCTTGCTACCTGTGTCCTGGTAACCTCAGGGCTTTTGGCGACTTCAATCCTTCTTATTCGTCAACTTTCATATTCACCAATGATTTCCCAGCGGTGAAGGCCAAACAGCCAGAAATCAATAGCACTGACAGCCCAACCTCGCTCAAGTCCCGACTCTTGAAGACTCAGTCGGTGGAAGGACAGTGTTTTGTCATATGTTTTAGTCCGAAGCATAACTTGACTATACCTTTAATGACGTTCGAGGCTCTAATAAAGGTTGTCGGGGCATGGACAGACTTGTACCGCTGGTTGGAAAAGGAAGCTGCGATGGAGAACAAGCCGTACAAATATCTACAAATATTCGAAAATAAGGGCACAGCCATGGGCTGCTCCAATCTACACCCACATGGCCAAGCTTGGTGTTTGAGTACAGTACCCAGCGAAGTTGAACAAGAATTCAGAGCATTCAAGAAATATCTTCACCAGCATTCCAGCCATTTGATGGGTGATTACATCACCTTGGAACTTCAAGAGCGAGAGCGAATTGTGCTCGAAAACGAAACATTCCTGGTGGTCGTACCTTACTGGGCAGTGTGGCCATTTGAAACTCTCGTCGTCAGTAAGCCGCATTTGACCTCACTCGTTGAATTTAGCGATGCTCAAAGAAAGGACTTAGCTTTAATTATAAAGCAATTGACTGTAAAATACGATAACTTGTTTGAAACCAGCTTCCCTTATTCTATGGGCCTGCATCAAGCTCCGCTAAATGCAAATATGAAAGAAAGAGCTAATTCATGGTTCCACATGCACTTTTACCCACCTTTACTAAGATCAGCTACAGTACGCAAATTTTTGGTAGGATTTGAGCTTTTTGGGGAGCCTCAAAGAGATTTGACGGCAGAGCAAGCAGCCCATCGGCTGAGATGTTTGGATTCAGGAGTTCACTACTCTCAAAGATCGTCCACATCTTGAGCCTTCTCAAGTTTTTGAATAAATTGTTGTAATGAGCTGTTGAATGACTATAAACTACTATAAAATGTGTAAGAGATGTTATGCGCGTGTATAAGTTGAGCTTAAACCAATTCCACCATCAAGATAACGACAAGCTGGCTTCCACTCTCGCAGAGATGGCACTCGAAATGAGGATCTTGACAAGTCTAGTAATCAGCAGCATGCTACCTATAGTGTTTAGAAAGACATCAATATAACCAAACTTCTTTCCGCGTTGTATCGAAAGCGGATTTAGCTCAGTTGGGAGAGCGCCAGACTGAAGAACACTTCGGTCGATTGAAATCTGGAGGTCCTGTGTTCGATCCACAGAATTCGCATTATTTTTGAATTTGCCATTAGGTACCGACCTTCCGGGAGAGGTCAGCTTGAACTGCAACATATACAGGTTTCATGCCTGGAGAACTCAGCGGTCAGAGGAGATTATCTATGTGAAAATATTTACGACACTACGTGAAAATGAGACCTTCCCTTAGCTAAACCGGCTTTGACTATGTTTTCAATTTCATCGGGATCGCTAGTTATACCTGTCAGGTTTTCATAACCATTCCTCGTGACAAGAATGTTGTCCTCAATGCGGACACCGCCCACATACATGTACTTTTTCATCACCTCTTTGTTTACCACCTCCGCTCTCTCTGGGTGCTTTTCAAGGTATTCCTTGATCAGAAAGGTATTAAAATAGATCCCAGGTTCATCAGTGACAACCATGCCCTCTTGAAGCTGCCGGCGCAGCCTCAAGTACTGAAGCAATGGATCGGAGTCGTTGTAATTGGCATAGCCTCCAACATCATGTGTATCCATTCCTAGCAAGTGGCCCAAACCATGAGGGAAAAAGCACAAAGATGCCTTTCTGTTCATTATCTCCTCCTGAGAGAAAGACTTTTTGAAAATACCGAGCTTCAAAAAGTGCTCGATCAAAATGCGATGCGCTAGTAAATGTAAGCTTTCCCACGAGACGCCTGGTTTAATTTTGTCCATAACCTGAGATTGCATGTCTAACACAGCTTCGTAAATTTCACGATGCTCCTTTGTAAACGTGCCGTTGATAGGAAAACAGCGGGTCACATCAGCAGTGTAGTTTTCCCACTCGGCGCCAGCGTCGATGAGAACGGAATGTTTGTTTTCCATGGACTCATCATTTTTCACATAGTGTAAGGTGCTGCAACTTGTACCAGAGCAGCAAATTGGATCGTAGCCCTGGTTCTTTGAGCCTTGACGTAAGGCATGGTACGTAAACTCCGCGTGCATATGACCCTCGTTATTCTCTATTGGCAACGCAGACATGACGGCCAAATGACAATTGTCAGTTACTTCCGCAGCGCGACGTAGAAGCTGAATTTCGTACCAATCCTTCGTTAGTCTAGCTTCATCTAGAGCGTAAAAAAGATGGGGATCGCCAGAAATTAGCTGGTCGCCCATTGGAGAGGCAGGGAACCTATCCAAGTCTGTTGTGTAAACTTTGCGCGGTGCCAATTTCTCAAGTTCTGACTCCAGGTCCTTGGCATAGAGCACCTTGTCTACGTCGTATTTGTTGTGCGCGGCTTCGACGCTCATTGGCAACCCGCTCCACATCACATCATCAGCGTCGACGTCCGGGAGGAAAAGAGTCAGACTGTCCGTCGCAAGATCGAAAATCACTGAGCACCCAGGAATGTTGGTACCTGTGAGATAATAGAAGTATCTGTTCTGCCTGAAAGGCTTTGTTTGGTCACAGTATTTTATAGCCTCCAATTGCTCGCCTGCGATGAAAATAGCGGCCTTGCTTGAGTCGCAGTCGGTCTTCTTTTCAAGAAAGAAGCTCTTAACTTTCAGCGCATGCTTTTTGGCGGGATATTTATGAGCTTCAAGACTCGAAAGTATGTTACTCTCCCTTTTAGCAATGGGGTTTGGCATTCTAGCTGTTGGTGCTCTATATGTCCTTTTCAGGCGTTTGAAGGCGCTAAACATCAGGATGACTGTGGAAAGAATCAAACCTAATAGTGATATAGACATTTGAGAAAACCAGATGACCCAGTTGACTAAAATAAGCTCGATAGGAAGTTAAATATTTAAGGATTAGTGATATGTTTAAATACGGGATCTCTTTAGGATTATGAACCCACCCGACAAAACTTATATATATATATCAAAAATTTGAACTATATGAGATCCTTATCGATAGCACTCCGTGATGGCTCGAACAAGAAAATTATCTGACAGTGACACTAATGCAGATGGCGCTAAGAAACCAAAGACTTTGACAAGCCCTTTTCGACATCACCTGGAGACTATCGATGTCAAAAAACTGGACTTTGACCAAGAGAAGATTTGTTCGGTGACCCTTTCTCCGCTAAACGTTTACTGCTGTTTGGTGTGTGGAAAGTTTTTACAAGGTCGAGGGGAAAATAGCGTGGCGTTTCTTCATTCCATCCAGGAAGATCATCATGTTTTCATGAACCTTAACACCAAGAGCACATACGTTTTACCCGAAAACAATGAGGTACCTGAGGACCCGGCTTTGCAACGAATAAGATACGCCATTTGTCCCTCATACACTAAAGAAGACCTAGCCACTTACCCCAGAAGATGCTTCGATATGGCGAACAATCTATATTTAAATGGATTTGTTGGTTTTATTGAGCCTAAAAACACTTCGCATCTGACTGTTGTGTTGCAGCTGTTAGCTCACATTTCACCTTTAAGAGATCATTTAGCTTTGATTTCCACTGAAGATTCATCCACTGAGCTCCTGAAGCGATTATCAACTATAGTTAAAAAACTCTGGTCACCATATTTGTTTAGGACCCATGTCTCGCCGCATGAGTTCCTCCACCAGCTGGCGGTCTCAAATAGAGCGCCTTTGAAGGCTGATCCCAAGAACTTCTTGCTGTGGCTTGTCAATCATATGAACGCTTGTGACGCTGGACTGAAGAAGGTTTTGACGAAAACTCTTAGAGGCGAGATAAATATGGCCACAACAGCCATACGAGAGGAGAGCACAGAAGATGCGGAGAAGAATATGAAGTTTGTAAAAGATGAAAGCAGCACTTCAACTAAAAAACTCAAGTTCTGGACTCTTAGCCTGGACCTTCCGCCCATGCCCTTATTCACAGACGGATTTGATACCAACAGCATACCTCAGGTTGGAATTGAAAGCTTACTCGAGAAGTTCATGGGTGCTAGAGAAATTCACACCAAAGAAGGAATAAAAAAGTACACATTGTCCAAACTCCCCAAATATCTACTTCTCCATGTTGACAGATTCAATGGTGACGCTGAGCTTCCTATTAAGACCAGAAATCAGACCCTAGTCAAGTTTCCAGAGACTCTGAAGATTAACGGTCGGAATTTTAGGGTTATCATGAACTTGACACACGACGCAATCAAGGGAAAATACACAGAAGACAAAGAAATAGATTACGAAAGCCAATGGAAGGCGCAGATCCTCGAACCAAAAGATCAACAGTGGTACGAATTGGATGGTAAAACGGTTACTCTCAAAGAAAAAGAACTGCTTTTTTTAAGCGAAAGTTATCTTCAGGTCTGGGAAGCTCTCGACTGAAGCGCAGGTGAGCTCTTTCACTAAATAGTTTATAGACCGGCGTTTAATGTACAGAAATTTGTAAACATAATGCTTTTGAGACGGATTTATTCTATTTTATAGCTACCGAATTGACACCCGCTGTTAATACAGATACGATGTTTTCCTCCAGGACAGACTCTGCTGTTTCGGATAGATGCTTCTTAGGGTCTTGTTTACCAACGTAACGGGTCTTCAACTCATCTTCTTTCAGATCCTTCTCTTCCTCTATTCTCTTGGAGTAAAGTTCAGCAATTTTCAACATGTTTTGAGTAGCTTGCAGATTGTGTTGTTCCTTCTCCTGGTAGTCGTTCATCTTCAGACCCGACTGCCATTGCTCTTTGTGCAAATTGAGCAACATGTTGGTTTCGGCGCTAGTCTTGTTATAATCGATATTCAAGGAGTAGTAGTGTCTGTTCAAACCATGAATCAATGCCTGAATATTGGGTTTATTCAAAAGTCCCGCGTTGGATGTCGTTTGTCTTGGCTCTTGGTTTCTCATTATCATATTGGTGTCGATCAATCTGAAGGCGTCCATCACCACCTTTCCCTTCACAGATTGAATGGGGTCGACTACCACAGCGACTGCTCGACTATTGAGCTGCTCGAACGACTTCTGCGTGTTGACGTCAACGGACGACAGCCAACATCCAAAGCCGGGATGCGAATGGTACCAGCCGACAACCATCTGGTCTCTGCCGGTCTGCTTGAGCATGTCCATCATTTTCGCTTGAAATACATCGTCTACAGCCTCCACAGAAACGCCTGTCCCAGACTGTGGCATGGCAAAAACGTCCACCACGTTGACAGTGTAATCATCGACAAACTCTCCCAGCATCAGACCCATTACCTCCATTGGAACTCCTAAACGTCCGTGCTTCAACATTTTAAGCAGCGCTAGCGACGAGATGTATACCGTTTCTTTCGTGTCGTCCATAGGGGTTTCTGCCGCCGCTGCTCCTCCCATAATTCCAGCTCTCTGGTTCATCATGAGTCTCTGAAGTCTCTCCATCCTGTCTAAATCTTATTGAGCTTTGTAAAGTATCGGAAGGTCAACGATGTACTGAAATGCCTCTCAGCTGTAACAGTGATAGTTTGCCACCCAGGGCGTCCGGTTCTCAGGTATAAATTTCTACGATTTTAAAAACCCATAAGCACTTATCAATGATCATAGAATACGATTTTGTTAGAGATGGTCAGTTTTAATCAAAATCGTGGATTATATTCTATATAAGAAAAATGTTGAACTAGCAGGTTAGACATCGGTTTGTTCGAGGCAGGATCGTTACTCACACATACCGATAGCTCGGAGCAACTTCCAAGTATGTCTCAAGCTCATGTTCATGACGGCCAAGGTGGCTCTTCCGTAGCTATTGCAGAGCCCGTGCCCGTTTTGCAGCTTCGTGGTGCTGCTAATAATCAGCAGACGAGGGAATTGAAGGGAGATCAACGCAGCAAGGTACATTGGAAAGAGGACGTGGTTGATAACGAACATATGGACAAGAAAAAGTCGAAAATATGCTGTATATTCCATCCTCAGCAGCACTTTGAAAACCCCGAAGGTCACGAGTGCGACCATTCCTGTCACGACGATCACTCGGACTCGTCGTCTTCGTCGTCGTCGTCGTCATCCTCTGAATCGGAGGCCGAAAACGCCAAGGGCTTGGACTTGGAAAGCAGGCGGAGAGCTAGGAAACAAAGACGTCATTGCAAGCTTCAGCAGAAACGGTCGACGAGTCCAAACGCTTACGAGATTCAGCCGGATTACAGTAAGTTCAGAGATAGGTACGCCAAGGCAGGCGACGGAGCAACCCAAGCTTAGTCCGGTGCGACTATAGAGTAATTCATTGTGTACTTAGGAAAATATACCGCAGGTTTCGGCGCGGCGTTTTTTATTTACGCCCTTCTTCATGAGGCCTGCACACACGCATGGCTTTGGACCATACGCCCTAGCATCGTGTTCACAGGCCCACTTCAAGGTTAATCAGGATACTATAGGTTTCACGAGGCATTCTGTACTGTATCATTCCTGCGTATATCATGCAGTTTTTCCCAAGCCGTTTGAGCGCCTCAACTTGTTGTGTTTTGGCTGAAGACTGGTACTCGCTGTGGTTCAATGCCTTTATTATTTTGGACACACAAGTCATTGTGATGATTAACAGCTTTGGAATATTCTTGGTGATTTCGGGGCCCAAATTCGAGAACTCTTGTGCTCTTCTACGAGAGGAAGCCTCATCCACAAGCGGTATCAAATCAATCTCTTCAATCATTTCTAGCGTTTCGTGCCAGTTTTGAGTGTAATACGACCTTCTTATATCCACCACTTTGAGCAACAAGATGCATATTTCCTTGTTTTTGGAGTGAATTTTCTGAGCTATTTCCAAGTTGTTCACGTAAACGTTGATCAATTTCTTCGCTATCAGAACCGGACTGGTTTCGTTGTTGTCATCTGTATTGAGTAACGGCTGTGCTAGGTCTGTGTTGCTCAGAAGATCACTTAGTAATTTGTTTACGATACGAATAACAATATCGTATTCATCCGCCAACTGATATAGCAGTAAGCTATCATATACTCGACCGTCTTCGTCAGCACGTCTCGCGGCCTGCTCGGTTATTTTGTGCAAAAAGTCCTTCTCGTCACTTAGTGAAAGAAGTGATTGTCTCTCTTCAATAACTCCGGGAATTCTTGTGCCGTCCCTGTTCACTTTCCCCAGTAGTATTGTGAACTCCTTAGTTTCCAAAACCAGTTCTCTCAAAGCTTCATGACAAACATTTGCTGCGTCCTTGTTTCCTCCCAAATTGATCAGTATGAGGTATTCGACTGCAATTCTTGGATCAGAAAACTTAAACGACTTTGTATAATTCCCAAGTAATTTGGCAAAGTTCAGCTCTGTTTTGCCTTCATTGGTAGAAATGAGCTCAGAGAGCGTGTCTTTCCCATAAGTGGATATCTTTAGCTTGTTGTAGTGTGCTAGAGCGATAGCTAAATGGACCGCGTCAATTTCATTGATTGTCATTGCATTTTGTACTGCAAGTTCATAAAGTCCACTTAACATGAGAACGATGATATATGAGCCATTGAAAACAGAGGCGCCATATGATGTCACAATAGTTTGAAAATCGGTCAGATCATACTTTTCATAGAGTGGATAGTCACTAGAATTATTCTCTTTGATGAGCATTATATGAATCCAGATCCAATCTTCAATGCTTAGAGTAATCGACGAGATGTTTTTGCGTGTCAAGTCACACCTGCCAATAATTTTGTATACGGCAAGTCTGAAAGGATCTCCATCCAGTGCATTTTTGATGTGTTGATTGTACTCGGTATGCAATCTGGTAACAAATTCATTTGGAAGTTTACGATCCACCGAACTAACGTAGGCCTTGAAATATGTTAAAAAAGATTGTTCCACCTTCTTAAAACTCAATTTGTTTGCTATCGCGACCTCAAGTGCATCCTGGGCTAACCCTGCTCTTAGAAGGTAGAAGATAAATGCCCAAATAGGAACACCATTGACTATTGTCAGGTTTCCATACTTCCACGTGTTGTTAGGATTTTTGAGTTTGTGATCGATAAACGACTTGACCTTGTTCACGTTGGTTGGAAGGCCCTCGCTAGAGTTTTTTCTGTACAGATTGTCAACATATTCCAGAAATTGAGCTTCCAAAAACTCCTTAGATTTGTTGACAACGTCATTAGACTCACGCGCGTGCTCTAAAATCTTCCATGCTTCAGGTAATTGTCTGTTCACTGCATTTGCAGACCTAGTGAGACTCTCAGTGATCTCCTTTGCCAGGGGGAACTCAACTTCAGTTTGCCTTGCGTTATTGAAAGAGTTAATTATTTTGGCGTAGTTTTCAAACTTCGTCCTGGTCGTGAAGTTTTCGTTGACGTTCAGTCTGGATTCTCCATCTAAGATTGCGCGTCCGGTCTCGCCCCAGGTAGGCGGGGAGGCGTCAGCACCATCCTTTGCAAGAAGTCTATCGCCTTTCCGTCTCTTTACCAAGATGCCAAAGTTTTCTCTCACTTCTTCCTTCCTCTGTTCCCAGTCCAGATTGAAGTTTTGATTCACAAAGTTGTCGAAGTCCTTAGCAGCAGAAGCGAGAGAACGCTCGATTGATGATAATATGTTCTCGTCCTTCTTTGTTCTCAGATAGGTGTCAAGGTCACTGTCGGAATCCCTGCTTATGACATTCTGCTCAATCAGCTTCCGCGACTTGAGAGCTTTCAAAGACGATTCTACATCTTGAATGGCAAGTCCACTACCTGCTAAGAGATAATGGGCCCTTGTATGATCACGCTTAGGTTTCGATTTTTCTCTCAACTCATGCGCCCGCTTCTTGATCTCATTTACGCTGAGCAAGATCGTGCCTAGTTCAGACGATGTAGTTGGTAAATTCCTCGAGGTTTCAATCAAGTTCCCAAATATTTTACCCGAGTCCTTTGAACCAACATCTTGGGAGCTAAGGCTAGCCAAAGTCGGCCCTTTATCGCCGTTCATAGCCATGATTCTTCTATTTGAACATTAATCCGTTGTTAAGCATGAATATTTTTCAAGGTCAAATTTTTTCAAATATTATAGTGTTTACAAACAAGACTTAGCACCTGACAAGCGTGAGAGTTGCAACTGCACGATTAGATTTGCAATACATCATCCGTCTCCTTCGAGACTTTACTGACCACTTCAGAATCTGATTGAAATAACGTGCGGTACAGATTTATCCTTCTCATTATGATGTGATTGAATAAAATACAGAAATGATCCAATTGACCGCCGTCCCTTGAATGCAAAAGATTAGGTATGGAGGCGTAACTATGCTCAAAGTCGTCATTCTAAAGAACAATAAGAAGGTAGTTCTTTAGGCGCTTCTCAATAATTAAAGAACCGATTAATACCTGTCAAGGTCCCGAAACTAGAAACATCGCACCATCAGGAAGAGAACAGGGACATGTAACAGGTAGGCATCCTTTCTGATCTCTCGAGCTAAGCAAAGCTTACGGACTTCTTTTTGAGCGACTTCTTACCGGTACTTTTTTCAGCCTCAGTCTCTTCAGTTCGTTTGTTTTTTCTACGCAATGTTCTTGCAACAGACGCCTTTTTCTTAAGTTCATCCTTCTTGGCGTCCAGCTTATCATTCTTGGCCTCCTCTTTACGTTCAATCTCTTGTCTTTTGAGCTGCCTAATTTCCTCTAGTCTCCTAGCCTTCTCCAATTTACTTTCAGTCAATTCGTCATCTTTATCGCCAATGGTGCTTATTAGCCTGTCGTACATAAGCGAATCATGGTCACCAACAAACTTCTTACCCTTCTTGCCTCGCTTTATTTTAACGCCAGGAATTACGGCACGGTTCAAAGTCGGCAGGTTGAGTTCCTTCTCAGAATAAGTTTTTTGAGTTTTATTCTTCGAGCCGTACAGCCTTGCGTGCGCCTGCTCTTTGCTTACTCTCAGTTTACTGGGCTTCCTAGTCTTTGACTTTTCTGTGAGATTAGGAGCATTTATTAACTGATTTCTAGCCTGAGAATCTTTGAAGACTTCGGAAGTCACTTCTCTTTTGCCATTCTGCTTGAGAGAGCGCTTAGCGGCTTTTGATTGCTTACCAGCCATAGTTAGAGCTTCTATTGGTGGTGGGATTTGTTAGACCCTCTGAGTTCCCGATGAGCTCACGACGTAAAACTTTTCTATAAGATGGTCGATGAAGTTACCCAGCTCAAAGCTTATTTTTGTTCAAACATCAAAACAAAGTTGTTCGAATAAGATATGTAGCATATGAAAATATAATCAAAAATATTAAAAATTAATAAAATATAATAAAACCTACCTTCAATAAGCGGAATTCAGATTACATTCGATGACGCTTGAACCTTGACTTAAGACCTCATGGCTACTCCACTTGAATCCAAAAGAGTAGTTCCAAGTAAAAAATCACGTAACGCCCTTAGCAACAGCAGAGCCTTAAGTTAAAACCTTCACCACTAAATCCTATGTATGTTTATATTTTTTGTTTTCGGAAAGCAAAACCACATTTTTTGTAAAAGCAGCTGTAAATTTTTGTTTTAAATTAAATATTAATAGTTAAAGTATATATTATTAGACTAAACTTTGCTATCTATATCATGTGACTTTCTGCAGTACCTATTTGTTTATTCTATATACGTAGTTATTATATTTTTGTCTTTTTATTTATGGGCTCCATTTCTTCGGGGACAGTCCTCTTATTATTTAATACAGTCGAGATGACGGCTTCATACTCTTTCGAAATAGAGAGAAAGGCAGTCTGAAGCTTGTCATTCCTTGTTGGAGCATCGAGATCCCTCAGAAGCTCATAATTTTTTTCGTAAAGACGTTTTTTCACTTGTAATCGAAACTTGGATGATGAGTTGCTCATTAAAAACATCTCGACTAAACGCATAAACTGTCTCTTCTCCAACTTCAAAGATGTTCTCTGGAATTCAATCCAGTTCTCATTTATAGGAAGTTCATCAGGGATACAAAGGTTGAATCCACTGTCTCGTAGTCTTCGATAATCGCAGCGGTCTCTTAACGCGTCGAAACTTTCGTTAGGATCTTCGACGGTTATCTCGAGAACTTTTGGGTCATCAATCCAATTCTTCATTATGGCATTGTAAAGAATAGACCCGTGGCCCTTTCCTTGGTATGGTGGGAAGATCAGGAACTGAGAAATCTTCGCAGTTTTGTACGTTTCAACATCTTGATCCAATTTCACATTTCCACTATACTTCCAATACTGGTATGTCGTACAATAGCCGATACATTGTTTTGTTCTCAAATTGAAGGTCAGAAATAGCTCCCATCCATCATCATCGTCATCGATGTATGATGCAGATTCGATGAAAAGTAAGGTAAAAATCTGCATCCTGCCATGAAGAGCTCTGATCTCAGGATCTTGAAAGTTAACTTTAAACATTGCAAACTCATCTTCTGCCGTCTCGTAGCTCCCAATTCTTGAACTGTCTTTTGGCAATGCGAAGGACTGGCGCTCCTTGGTAAATGCATCAACCCATTCTTCTTCGTTTTTTACAATCACGTCGCCCTTCGGCAAAAAGCTCAGTACCTTGTCCTGTACATCGTCGACGGTGTCTACAAGCTTTGCACCATACTTAACGTTGGAAAATGGTTTGAATGTGACGGAATCAAACGCCAGAAAAATCTGGAGGTCTTGGTATCCAAACACCTGTTCTGAATCACCAAAGATTGGGTAAGTGAAAATAGGCGAAAATTGCACAGCTCCCGTCTCGTCAACTAAGGAAAGTTTCAATGCCTCATTGGAAGAAACTGTCCATGCTTCCGGTTTCATCTGGCTAGCCGCATCCATTTCGGCTTTTTATTAGGTTCGTGTCCGTTCTTTCGAGCTCTTAAAATACGGTGGAAGATTCTAATATTATTAAATTGTGCAGAATAGAAGGATGGCCGTTATGGAATATAAGAATATTTGAAAAACTTAACCAGGACAAAGAACTACCATCTTGGGCTAGCTCGCCGCTTTCGATATGAAGCACGGTTTGGCAGCGTTCAGCTTAGATAGTTCTAGGCGCTTTGAAGTCACAGCGGACCTCCTGAGCCGACAAAACAGAGAGCTTGATGAACAATTAAGGGTCTTTCAGGAGAGGCTTGTTGCATTTGCTAAGGATCACAACTCAGAACTGAAAGGCAATGCAGATTTCAGAATGAAGTTTATTAAGATGTGCACGTCTATTGGTATTGACCCCATCTGCCTATTTGATAAAGAACGCCACTTATTTGATGTGAATGATTTCTTTTACGAGATCTGCGTTAAGGTCATCGAATTATGTAGGAAGACTAAGGACCTTAACGGCGGCGTTATTTCCTTCGAAGAGTTGCATAAGGGCTATTTCGAAATATACAAGGTTGAAATGGATGACCTGCAGAAGGCTGTGAAGATGCTGGACGTCTTGGCTGGTGGGTTCCAAACATTCACTATCAACAACAAGAAGTACCTTAGAAGCGTGCCCAATGAACTGACTCATGATCATACAAAGATTTTGGAAGTCTGCTCCATTCTCGGCTATGCAAGTATATCCCTCCTGAAACTCAATCTGGACTGGAAGTCTGTAAGAAGTGAAGCTGTGCTTCGAGAAATGGTAGCAAATGGTATGCTATGGGTCGACAGCCAGGCCAAGGGTGAAACACTTTATTGGGACCCCGCATGGATCGCTCGTTCCAACGTTGAATGACTAGTGTTCAAAGGAGTGTTCGACTAGCTGATAACACTTCCCCGCTTGGAAGCTTTCCTCTTCTTGAATTTCTCGTTTACAGTGTCCACGGAATCCATGAAGTTTCTTTGTAGCATAGCTTCGTAGGTTGTAACTACCTTGCCTTTCCCATCGCCAAGATTGATTCTTGTTCTGCCCCCTAAGTCACTTTGGTCCACCGAAAGTGTGTCGGCGAAAATATCAGCAACAGTGGACTTCAATTTGTAGTCCAAGGCGAGCGAGAAAACTCTTCTGTTAGACTGCAGAGCTTTGAAGTCGGATTGATCAGTCGAAATCCATTGCATTTCTGGGAAGCTGCAGTCGTAAAGAATCAAGGGTATGTCACTAGCCATGTCATAGATTGGCTTTTGTTTTACCTTCTCAATATCCAGCATGTCGCTAATCAGAGAAACTTTCTCCAGTCCCTGACCAACTAAAAAGAGATTAGCCATCATGCACCGCACTTGATGCCACAAGAATGCTGAACCGATCAGATCGAAGCAAAACATAGTTTCGTTTATTTTAATAATGGACGAGTGTTTTATTGTTCTCTTATAGTTCGTGATTTGCTTGGAGCCGTCGAGTTTACAAAAGTTTCTAAAGTCATGCTCTCCTTCAAACAAAGATGCTGACCTCTTCATCTCTTCGATATTAAGGTCGTCACCGCGGAACAAATACCTGTAGTGACGATGCTGACAGCTGAATCTTGCGTCAAAGCCTTTAGGTGGTCGCAGACACACTGCGGACACACGAATATCGTCGGGCAGTATCTGATTTAAAATGTGAACATAATTTATCTCCTTTTTATCAAGGCTCTCGTCTAGTTGCTGCTCATTCGTCAAGTTCGATCTCACTTTCAAAGAAATAACTTGGTTCATTGCACTGACACCTTTATCGGTTCTACCACATCTACTGAAGTTGTAATCCTGTGGGGTCATAGAAGGAACTAGCTTGCATGCATTCATAGCTTGCAAAATAGTTCCTTCGACAGTGGGCAATGGGGTTGGCTCTTTCTGTATTGCGAGACCATTGTAGTTCCATCCAAGATACGCGAACTTCAGAGCTATAAATCTAGTGTTGTATTTCGAGAAGTCGAAAGGCTTGTCCTTTTTTTTACGCTTTTTTAGCTCCCCTTTGTCAGTTTTGCGTTTTTTCGAAACCTTTGCTTCGCTCTCTCCGGTTCCCTCGTCGGCCTTTCGCTTTCTTTCTCCCTCTAGATCCATGATTCTATCAATGAGTTTGTCCTTGTTCCATTTGCTATATTCAAGTTTCTCCGGAGATGGCCTGGGCACGATCCTGGCGATTCTCAGGATTTTGGAAACCAGACCCATCTTGCCTCAGTCCTAGGTTCTCAGTCCTTTCCTCGTTGTCGAACTACTCGATTGTCTTGATGATGATCGTGCTAAGTCGCTAGATATATTAGAGGATAATAATTTCATCTGAAGTAGAAAAATTTAGATGTCGGCTATATTTTACAAGTCATCGCCCAAGCAAATAATTTCATAAGTACTGAAACATGGCTAGATCTTTATCGTGGGACGACCTGAAATATGACCTTCAGCCATGGATTCGTACAGCTGTTGATGGTATGGGCTTTGACTCCATGACCCCGGTGCAAGCTTCGACTATTCCTATGTTTTGCGGGAACAAAGATGTAGTGGTAGAGAGCGTCACCGGATCAGGGAAAACGATCGCTTTTGTGATCCCCATTCTGGAGAAAATTGTGAAAGACGTTCTTAACGGCTCAAAACTGAAGAAGGGCCATTTTTACTCCCTTGTAATCTCACCAACGCGGGAGCTGTCTAGCCAAATTCAAAGTGTATATGACAGCTTTCTGGCATATTATCCGGATGATGTATGTCCTATAAAATCACAACTGCTCGTCGGCTCGAGCGCTTCCTCTGTCAGGGACGACGTCAGTTCTTTTCTCGAAAACAGACCCCAGATTCTCGTGGGAACACCGGGCAGAATTTTAGACTTTTTAAAGTCAGTGGCTATAAAAACAGCCTCTTGCGGCGTCACAGTGTTGGATGAAGCTGACAAACTTTTAGATGTCAGCTTTGAGAAGGAAGTTGAGGCCATTTTGAACATGCTACCCAAACAGAGACGCACGGGCCTTTTCTCTGCAACTATCAGCAGCGCAGGAGATCAGATTTTCAGAACAGGTATGCGCAATCCAGTGAAAATCGCTGTAAAGTCTAAGGTGCAAAACCCTGAGTCTCTGAGTATTAATTATGTGGTGGTGAAGCCTCAAGACAAGCTTCAATATCTTCTTCACATTCTCAATCACATTCAGTATAGGAAGTGCATCGTTTACTTCCCAACATGTACATCAGTCACCTACTTTTATTCTTTCATGAAGCACCTTTTTTCAACGGGGGATATGAACGAAGATTTGGGGATCTACTCTCTGCATGGAAAGCTTCAGACAACTTCGAGGCTGAACACACTGGGCAAATTTTCCTCGAGTTTAAGTAAGTCGGTGCTTTTGACCACTGATGTCGCGGCAAGGGGAATCGACATTCCAGAGGTCGATCTCGTTCTTCAGTTTGACCCTCCAACCAGTACAGAGATGTTTTTGCACCGGTGTGGTAGAACAGGAAGGGCTAATCGCGTAGGTAAAGCAATCACCTTTCTCAATGAAGGGCGGGAGGAAGATTTCGTGAATTTCTTGGAGGTTAAAAACATAGAAGTTGATGAAATGCCTTTAACCGCCAAGCTTATGGAAGATTTCGCCGATAAATTTAAAGCGTGGGTAATTCAGGACAGGGCTAGATTTGATCATGGTATCCGAGCATTCGTGGGTTTCATACGTTACTACTCAAAGCACACGGCGTCTTCGATTTTTAGACTTCAGTCCCTCGATTATATTGGAGTCGCGAAGCTGTATGGATTGATCCGTCTGCCGCGAATGCCCGAAATTTCCAAGTATCTTGACAATGACTCGATGCCCCATGAAGGTTGGCTCATAGAGCCAGCATTGGACCTAGACAAATTTGCGTTTGCTAATCCACAAATGGAGCGGGCCAGGCTAGACGAGCTTAAGAAAGTCAAAGAAACCAATGACAAAAAAAAGCTTAAGAGCGATCTAAAAAAGAAGAATGCCGCCTGGTCCAACAAGACATCGGCAAAAGAATCCAAGGGAGAAAGGAAAGTTAAGATGGCTCAGAGAAGGAAAGCCATCGAAGAAAAAATTGCCCGCGAAGAAGAGCGGGATGAGAGTGAGGAGGAGGAAGATTGGAAAGACATGGTGAGGCGAAGCAAGAAACGGAAAACTTTCTCGCAGATTCAGGGAGACTTTTCCGAGCTCTGTTAAGCCCTATCGCTGAACACCTTTCGCTGACAACGTGGCGACGTATCAGACTTTAAATGTTTTGACTTCTCCAGAATCACCTTCATACAATAGCGTGTTTTCGAGAGGTACAAATTGGTGGGTTATTATTTTTATCGCTTCTTGAGCTGCAATGCCGGCCATGAATGATATGCACGGATAGTATCTTCTTACTTCATTCGGGCTCATCCTTTTGGTGGAACAGGAATCAAAAATGCTCTTGAAAATTGATATAGAAACACCATCGCCTTCATTTAAATAAGCCTCAAGCTTGGACAAGTCTTGAACTGGTTCGACTGCTTTTATGTAACGGCAGTTTTTGCAAAAGAGCCTGATTTCTTCTAATCGAATTTGTGGGTCTGATCGACAGACCAGATCGTAGAAAATCTTGACATCACGTTCAGCGGCTGCTGAGTAGGCTCCTCGAAGGGCGGTGTATAATTCGGAGCTTGTTTCCATATCTGGAACAACGCCAGAGATTGGCAGTTGACCTCTACTGTGCGGCGTTTTCAAAAATGAGTCCAAAGCTCGAAGCAGGGTTTGGGCGCCTCGATTAAAAGGAGTTTCGCACGACTTGTCGCTCAGCAGAAGGCATTGCTTGACATTTTCGGGTAGGGGTTCAAATCCTGGCAGGGCGAGATGCACAAATCGTAAAGCTTCAGAGAAACTCGGCGATTGAAAGCCTTGCGAAGTGTTTTCTTGTAAGTAAATAATCTGGCGTTTGAGTTCTTCTCGGCTAATGCTGTGAAATGGATATTTTCTCTCCACATTCTCACGAGCCTGGTACAGTATAGCAGCAAAGGGATAGTCTGCTAAGTCTGGCGCGTTCTCGAGCAGCTTCGTGTAAAAACGAGATAGATCGTCGCGAGATTCTGTTAAGCGTAGATCAGGAACACGGTGTTTTTGGTGAGATTCAACAACAAAATGAGGTTCCGGAGAAAGGAAGGACACAAAACCGTTATTTTTCAACATTTGGCATAAAAGGACAGGCGGTTTCCTAATTTCTTTGAGCGTTTTCAAATAGCCATTGTGTCCGGTGGTGTCTATGACGAGTGCGAACTTCTCCCAGAACGAGTAAGAGCTCATCTGGACTGCATCCCAGCTGACTTTAGTAACATTCCAAGCACTCATATCCCAAAATTCGTCCAGTTGAGGTTCGTCGGCTTCGCTGAGGATCATGGTGAAGCACTTCACGCCCGGTAGTGCCAGATTCTTCAAAATTTCGCATGCTAAAGCTGACGACCCGACCACACATACATTACTTGTCTCAAGGAAATGCTGTCCGTGGTTTCCCCAAATCCGCAGCTGTCTATCAAACTTTTCCATCGCTTGGGCGGATATACTGTTGTTGGAAGACTTAATTTGACATACATTAATTGTGCAATACCAATATTTGTGAGAAGTATATTAAAAGCCGTGACAATGGCGAGTCTTTAAAAATCATGCTGCTTGAGATTGAGCAATAAAGAACCCCTATTGATTGTCAGGAAACTTAGCTTTCTAACATTTTGAAAGTGTGGGAAACGAGGTAAATCATGTCTATCGGCAATTCGAGCTTTAGTCATGGCATTGAGTCGTGATGTTCCATCACTCGAAAAAAATGGGCCATGCCAGCCAGTGGCACCAACAGGCGGTGCTGAGGACAAATACCCCACGCCATGTTATCGCTATAACGCTTGGGCCATTTTGCTAGTCATTGTCCGTCCACTTGGGGCCGAAAGTTGATATCATGTGATTGCCCGCGAGGACTATCTTTCCACCTCGGCGGATGTCGTAATATATCGGCATTCTCTTTGTGTTGCTCAACGTCTTACTATACGTTGGCCTTTGCTGATATTGTTCGGGACCCTATAAGCCTAATAGACCAAGACATACCGGTCATGACTCAAGAAAAGGCACGGATATTTTTGAGCTGACCTCCGATTCTGGAGCTTTTGTATACCCTTTTTGTTTCCAAGGTTGACTTCAAGAAGCACAGTCTCAGCATACCTCATCGGGGCCTACCTAATGCATGTTATGTATCAAAACTCAGGTCGTAATTATCAATGGCTACCTATGCATTTCATTCTGGTTTTTTCTCTTTGTAGAGATGGCTTACCATTGCTCGGCAATGAGCCATTCATTCGAGACAGTGGTAACATCCGTCTGTGTAGCGAGATCAAGCACTAAAATTCTGACTGTGCTCAATTTTATTATTTATCATAGTGATAAAGAACTCCTGCCATACGCTGTGATATTTTTCTTTGGACAGCTTAGGAGAGAATCGTGTAGGACTTGCGATATACAGCTTTCTTGTAGTTTTCAATCTTTCTGGTAGCTCCGCCTTATACTCAGTCGGGTTGCGAGCACCTTTATACGCCTTGTTGTTGTAGTAGGCAGAAAGCGTTGTCACTTCGTTAATCTCTGACATCTACAATTTCGTGACGCAGATTCACTATCACGTGATTGCAGATTATTGCGTCTTCAAAGTTCAAAGGACGACGCTGTTAACGCTTTCTACCTTCTCAAGGTTGGTGGCTTGGGCCATTCGAGAATTGTAAATTTCAGGTTTCGTGGTGGGCATCAATTTTGCAGTACCCTAGGGCCCCGCAAAAATTCCAGATCAATATTTGATCATCAAATATGATGGGCCTGCCATCACTGAAAGCGTGCAGACTAATTTATGAATCTCACGACATCATCCTGCGAGTCTCGGAGGAGAAAGTGTGTTTACTTAATTCACAAAAGCGAATTGCGTCGCAACTTTAGAATTTACTGGCCGATATCTCTTCTGAAGCCTGCGAAATCTTCCTACACCTATTGCAGGGATTTACCTAATACCGAACCGTCAACTGTGTGCACTTCGGTGCTTAAGACGCAGAGAACGAAATTTTCGCACTTCACGATCTTCTGAGCCAGAACGCTCCGAACGTAACCAAAAGAGAAGGTGAAAACGTAATCTATGCGCAGAGAAAACATTTTCGGAGGCTCGCGTCACTGAAGCCCTGCTCGGCTCAAATTATTCGACACTGAAAAGCTGGAGGGCGAATGCCCAATTGCCGTACACCACTCAACGTCTTCACCTTAAAATATCTAGTCATGTCTCCAGTCGTTCTGGCCACACCTATTATTCTTCGACTCTATCCTCTAGTCGACCTTTTGACCAGCATTTTTGCTACCCGGCTTAAGCCTATCTCGTCATAACCCTTTAGAGCAAAACGATGCGAAGAAGCCAGCAATCTAATTCATTTGGGGTCTCCACGAGAGCGGTATAAATAGGATAAAGAAAGGGGCGTTCATCTTTTCTATGCCTTGGGCGTTTTGAGCTCCGAATTTTATAGTACGCATAGCACAAATATAGTTTTGGAACATCTAAGACTTTACCACCAAACTTAATTCAATGCACAGAACCTACTCTTTGAGAGCCCAAAGGGCGCCAACTGCCTCCCAATTAGCGAGCCCCGCTCCCCCTCCCTCATCCACCAGGTCTAAATTCTTCGGTAAGGCCTCCATCGCCACCTCTTTCCGCAAGAACGCAGCTGGTAACTTCGGCCCTGATTTGGCCAGGAAGCTGTCACAGCTCGTCAAGACCGAAAAGGGTGTTTTGAGAGCTTTGGAAGTTGTCGCCATGGAGCGTCGTGCCGCTGCCAAACAATTGTCTCTATGGGGTCTGGACAACGACGACGACGTTTCGGATGTCACCGACAAGCTCGGAGTTCTCATCTACGAATTGGGTGAGCTACAAGACCAGTTCATCGACAAGTACGACCAGTACCGTTTGACTCTAAAGGGCGTCAGAAACATTGAAGCCTCTGTGCAGCCTTCTAGAGACCGTAAGCAGAAAATTACGGATGAAATTGCCCGTTTGAAGTACAAGGAGCCAACCTCTCCTAAGATTCCCGTGTTGGAACAAGAGCTTGTTCGTGCTGAGGCCGAGTCTTTGGTTGCTGAAGCTCAACTTTCAAACATCACCCGTGAAAAACTAAAGGCTGCTTTCAACTACCAGTTCGACTCTATTCGCGAATTGGCCGAAAAATTCGCCCTCATCGCTGGATACGGTAAGGCACTACTGGAATTGCTAGACGACTCTCCAGTTACCCCTGGCGAGACCAGATTGGCCTACGATGGTTATGACGCCTCCAGACAGATTATCATGGATGCTGAAACGGCTTTGGAAGGCTGGACCTTGGACGCTGCTGTTGTCAAGCCAAGCTTGTCTTTCCACCAAACTGTTGACGATGTCTACGAAGACGAAGTCGAGGGTGAGGAGGAAGCTGCTGCCGCTGAAGAAGAATGGGCCGGCGAACACGATGGTGGTGAGGAAGAAGTCGAAGCTGCTCCAAGAGTTTAAAGTCGCCTTCAAATTGATGACGACATCTCTTTATGCTCACTTGCACCGGGGTGCAAATTTCAAAATTTGTTCTACTTGTCCCTTATAATTCTACCCTAGAACTTTGATGCCCTTATTGTAGAACTTTTCTTCGATCGATGTCTACTGGGCAGCCCTCATTTGTAACTTTAAGTAACTGAAAATGACCATTCATAATCAATCACACTATCAAACGCTTATGCTCCGCTCCACTTGCCGCCCGATGTCATCAGCTAAAGCTAAATCAAGCGGCATTCTGCTGTCACATCGTGCTTCAGCATCGTGAGCGTCATATCTTTAGTAAGGTGAGCATCCAATAGAATAAAGAGCATAGAGAATTCAAATCTCAAAGTCGTGATTTTCCAAAGCAGAGAGTGCGTGACGTCGCATCGGCTAACGCATGAGAGCTTGGAGACTGACGAAGGAATTGTGAGATGAAGATCATGAGTACACATAGATGATTTTGGAGATATTCAACCTTGCATTCTAGGCCATTTAATTCAAAACACAACACTCGCAAGACACTTTAAATTAACGTTCAGCTTCATCAACGTTTAGCAACATGTCCCGTGCTTGTATATCAATTTTACCTTAGTTTTAATGTTTTTCCCACCCATACGATGTTTGGGCATAAACTGTGAAAATACACCATCGGCTGCTCACATAATCATTAACCATGAAAATAACCATCATACAAGAAGATCCGTATTGACCTATCGTGTCTTTAATATTTACATTTGCACAATACCCATATGAGACTGTTGAGAGTTATTCAAGGATGTTTCTCTCTTGAAGTTCCTCCTTGAGTGCAGAGTAACGGTCTTCGGCATAGGGAACTCTTTTCAGCATAGCACTACGGACTGCCAGCGTCCTCACTCTATTCTTGAACTTTTTCTTCTTTGCTGAACATCCTTCCCCAGTCGTAAAGCGCTCTTTTTTCGGTTCCACTTTTACCGCTCGCGGTACACAGCCCAGTAATCTGAAAACTTTACGCAGTGAAGGGTCAGAGTTCCAGCAATCCCACTTTAAACCTTGAGAGGTCCACCTCGCACCAGCCAGAAGTTTTCTCGTTCTTTCAATACCATCATTGGTCACTTCGCGTCGAATATTGAATTTGGCCATGGCTCGAGCTTTAGACAGCCAATAACTGAAGACTTGAACCTCCTTTGTGTGATGGTCCCTTGACCGGCATAAATAGTCCAAAATTAGAGAAAAGTTATTGGTATAACCATTGCGCACTAACGCTTTTCCCAACATGTCAAATGATTGAAGATTTGCCTCAATACCATATGTCTTAACAGCTGAGTTGAAGGTCAAAAGCGCCAGGTCCAACCTTCCCAACTCAGCAAAACGTCTTAAAAATAAATTCATGCTCTCATGATTGAGCTTGAATCTAGCATTCTCGTGAGCGTGGTCGACAAATGCCCACGCAGCATCATACTTCTCTTCAGCCAGGAGTGTTTTTAGGCATAAGTTAAAAAGTTTGGTGTCGAGCGGAACGGAGTTGTTTGTCAGAAATCGCAGCAGTTGGGAAGAACTTAGCTCACCAGAGGTTAGAACAGCCAGTACTAATTGAGGCGTTATAGGAACACTGCATTCAATCAACTTTTCAAGAAATACGTCACGCGACAAGCCTTCTATCAGCAGGTTATAGCAAGTGGCCCAGGTAACAGAATCTGCCTGTACTTCATGATGTCGCATTTGCCGCAAGAAATAGAGCGCATCGTGAAGTGGGTGTCTCATGCTTCTGATATGTGACTTCCTGAGAACGTTACGAAGCATTAAGTTAAAGGTCTTAGTGTTCGGCATTACACCTTCTAGCTTCATTTGAGAAAATAGTTCCCTGCACGTAGCTTGATCACTTCGTTCACTGAAGAAAAATATGACATCATTAAAAACCTCCACATCTCTAAGTTGTATTGTCTTGAGGTTAGAAGGATGCATGAGGTTGCGAAGAATTTTCGGGATCACTCCATTGAGCGAGGACGACTTTTTATAGAGAAATCGCGTATGTGTCAGAGTACCGATGTATGTGCTGAAGAGCTTTGGTTGCTTTGTGAAATCGGGGATAGAGGGGATCTCTGTGAACACCTCGTTGCGGAAAGGCCTTTTCGCATGCCCAGTTGAGACCTCCGGAGGTGTCAAAAAAACTAGCAGTGGAATCATTTCTTCGACATACTGTTTCGACATATTGAAGAGCATAGTATCTGAATTGTTCGCGGTCTTCAGCCTTTTCAGAGCCAGATAATTGGCTTGAGCATGGCTCGCGTCATAAGATGGACTCAATGTATGTCTAGCAAATTGATGAGCTGCGTAAGGGCTCAAATACTCCTGAGCAGCCCGTCTCTCAAACATCGAGCCCTTTCCTACCATACGTAGTTTTTCAAGAGAGCCTTGACTTTTACTCTTTTTGGGATTGCAGATACTTGCGGCGGTAGTTTGTGCGTTTAAAACCTTGTCATTTTTCAGCGTTCGGGGAGAGTATATGCCCTTTTCGGCGATAACAAGAGGCTCCTTTATTCCATGCTTAGTGATTCCATTCGTGAGGCTCACAAGCAGGTTCATGTCAGGTCAACATTGATGGTTTCTAGTCCAAGAAAACTTGTTATTTCAAAGTCATCGCTTGAATTTCAAGTTATTGCAACTTTAAAAAAAATAATTTGTACAGATATATGCTAAGATTTGAAGAAAAGTAATACTGACATCTGTTTATTTTGGAAACGTATGAAATTGGCTATTCCCTTCCTAATGTTCACAATACCACAGTTATAGTTCACAGTTATCTACTAGAATTTTATCTATGCATTATTTCTTCAAAAAACCTGTATATCAATCAGCCAAATCAACTTCTGCATCGGCGTAGCTCTTGCCTCCTAGCAACGAGAGTATTGAGGGCAAGAATAGCAGTGCATGAAGGGATGAAACCAGTATCAATATAATCCACATGCGGAAGTAGAACACTTGGAAAATTTTGGAACGAGTGAATGCCAAAACTGACACTCCAATGAATTTTGTCATCGTGATGCCGCTGAATACAGATCCTCCGATGGTATCGACAGCGTGGTTCACTCTTGACTCGCGATCTATTTTGATATGAGATGGCACTATAGTGAAACCTCTTACGATATGAACACAAAATTCAACGGCTATACCGACACATATGATAAGATTGACCAAGCTGACGGCGTTGAGCGTTATGTTCAAGAAGAACATAAGCGCACCCAGATCGATCAAAATCATAACAACAGTAAGAACCAAAAGGGCTGCACTAGTCGCTGAGCCCAGGAAAAGCCACGAAATCAGGTATACGCAGAATGCCGAAAAGCCCAAAAGTTTTATAGCCAATGGAATCAAAGTCCGGTATTGTTCGAAGAACACATAAAATGGGGAGTACGCAAAGATGTCGAATTGATCCAGTGATTCAACGATACGATTGGCATCGTTATAAGCTGTGATGTAGTCCCCCTGAGACCTTAGAGGTTTGTGAGCACTTCGGAAAGTTGAGGATTTGACAGCTGTTTCATTATAAGCAACAGAGGTGGAGTACGGGGCTTTGCCCGCTAAAGGACAATCATCACTGGGTGCATTGATCCAGATATCAAAATATTTCATGAAGGTTTGGTTTTCAGGAAATCCTTCCATGTCATAAAACCACTCATTTTCAGAGTAGCAGGTTTCGCATCGTCTGCTTGAATAAAATGGAGGGCAGACATCTTCTGTGCCTTTCTTGAAGCGGCAGCAGGTGTCCAATTGCGGGTTCAAAAACATCATAAAATCATCGAACCAGTTTGCTACCGGCTCGACAATAGTGGATCTTTGACACTCCTGCTCTAGCGTGTTGGCTAAGGAATATTCATTGCACGAGGTGAACTTACCACAGATCTTTTTCTGGTTTTCTCGCTGAGTCAGGTCCAAGTCTTTAACGACAAAATAGACGGGGGGCCCAACGTTCAGAAACTCGTAAACGTCCTTAAAATAATTCACCAGATAAGAATCTTGTGGAACAGCCAAAGTTTGGTCCAGCCCTAACTTTACAAAGGGCAGAAAAACAAGTGAGAGTAGAGTAAAAGTAACGAAGATCCCACATACTTTTCTCTTCTTGGAAAGAACCCTCAAGTATACTTTTTTGAGATTTGACAAAGCAGGGACGTCTGACGTTTCCCTGGCGGGTTTTCTGCGATACTTTTGTTCATATAACGACAGTATCGAAACGTATGCAGTAAGTTGCAAAAATACATTGAAAACGATTGATACAGCGGAATAAATCGCGAAATTGCGCACAGCTGGCATTTTAACAAATGTTGCCGTCAAAAAGCAACTCGATTGACAGATAAGTGACATGAGAATTGATGGTGATATCCTCTTTAATGCCCTCTCCATGGTTTGTTGCACGTCCAGAGATTCCGAAGCATTGAAGACTCTGTCATATTCGTGAGTGATCAAGTAAATATTGTCAACTCCGATGGCGAGGATGAGAAATGGAATAACCTCTGCAATAATTAACGTTGATTTAATGCCCATAATACTCAATGCTCCTGCAGCCGACGTAACGGATCCCAAAACGATCAATATGCCCGAGCAGCCTAACAAAACTCGCTTTTCGCCAGTTTCAGTGCCCAGTGCCCACGAAGCGTAAAGGAACATTAGAAGATACGATGCGCAAATGATGAGTATATCATTATTTCTGCTCAACTCCTTTTCTAAGGATATGTCTGTAGAAAAGCTCAGCCTCAAACCTTCAGGGAGCTCTAGGTTCAGCAAAAACGCTTCAAGCTGTTCTTCCCACAGCGAAGCGGCACTGGAGTGATCGCTTACAAGCAAAGTCACCACGAATGCTTTTGACTTTAGAATTTCCTCGTCGCTGAACAATAGATTTGATTTCAGCGGCTGTTGAAAAGAAGGCAGACAATTAACAGGTGAATTCGCACATGCTTTGAGCTTGAAGTCCCAGTTCGCTTCATCTGGGAGTTGTCCATCAAAGTACTGGGTAAGGGATTCTATGACGCATGTACTGTCCTCTGTCGGCCTGAAGCACAAGTCCTGATAGCTCGTTTTCTCCGATGATTCGAGATGTTGTGTGATATTCTTTTCGACCGAGAACCACCACGCTAGATTATCATACGTTAGAACGGGGCCGGAATCATTGACAACAAAGATCTGCTCAACCTTGTAAAAAGGACCAAAATGTTCATCAAAATACTGCTTTTCCTGATATCTTGGGGAGGTTTTACTGACCCAAAGATCGACGGGGTTCGTCTCGAGTTCCCCAAATGTCCAGGCGCTCCCTGACAGCATAATAACAAATAGAGACGTCAAGGTAAGAACTAAAAGAGGTCTTCTGGCAGAAAAGCTCGATATACGGGTCAATATGCCGGCAATTCTCTCATTTAATGGATATGCACTGTATGTGTGCTCTTGAAATATGGTGCCGCTTCCGTCCATAATCAGATTCTGCTCTACGTCATGTTCGAGCATGATGGGGCCATTCTTGGTCCCAAGAAGATAAAAATGCCAAATAAGAACGCATACAAATAGTGTCACATAAACCATGATGACAATGAAGGAAAAGAGTGGCAAACCCGCAATTTTTCGGAAGCCGGCATCAAGCGGAGCCAGTTCAGGACATGATGAACCGCAATCGGTACAAGCACATTTATATTGTTTATCGTCACAAGCGTAAACCGTCTCGTTGAACAGATGATATTCTGGGTCACTGTTGTTGTAAGAATAGTTAATTTGAAAAGGCGAACCCCCAAGCATAGGTTTCTCATCACCTAAAAACTTGAGAAACTGCTCGTAGTTTTGGGCTCCCCCACCAATAAGATCCATTGCATAGCCATTGGTAGCCGCAAATTTCACCCCTTTGCATGAGTCGTAGAACTCGGAGGCCCAATATGGATCGAGAAGCACCTCCATTGTGGCGACGATATCCCTGCCATCAGTAGATTTTTGAGTTTCTGTCACCTTGGTAAAGTCTCTCTGCTGCGGAGAGCATGTAAAATGGCAGAATAGACGTTTGAAATTTTCGTGGCATGCGGGACATGACACAATAAGACCCTCTGCCCGTTGTAGGTTGTTTCGAAGATTGACAATTTGATCCTTAGTGCAGCATAAAGTTGACGTATCTTGCCATTCAGTCCCGCAAACTTCAGTCAAAAGAGTTCTGTCTTCCTCAGGAAGAGGGTCTGGTCTGAAGTGCTCAGACACAGAACAAGGAAGTTCTGCTCCAAATAAACCCTTTTTCCCGCAATTACTATAGATAGAGCATTTCGCACCATCCCCAACATCAAACACGCTCACGCAAGAGACCTTAAGAACAAATTCCAAAGTCGAGATAAGACCAAATAGTGACAACCTCATTTGCTCGTAATGTTGAGTGCTGTTGATTAGCGGATGGTGCACTACAATATTATTATTTGAACTTCAACCTTAATTTTGAAGGGAGCTTATATTAACTTTTTGGAGCATCTTCGAGTACTTTAAAAGCTACCAATGAGCACGTAAAAGAGCAGCACCACTGACGGGGATATGCCAAAACTTGCTGTTTCGGTCCAAGATGCTCTGAATGGTGGTGGACGCAAATTATAGGAACTGGTTTTTCGTACCCTCAACAAATACCTGTCATATATTTAGTTAGTATCCTAGAATACCAGTCTCATACAAATGACGATGGCATTTGTCGATCCCCATTAGGATCTATGCTTTTTCAAACAGTTGTGAAGGCTGAAACGATTCAAATAAACAGGTCCTCCCGGACAGGTAACTAGTTTCATTATATGCGTTCCTCGCATTATAAAGTACATGAAAAACATGAGGGGACTCATAATTTCACTAAAGGCAGTTTTGGATGTGAGTAGCTAGTGTTCAACCCTCAAGACAGGTTAGTTGCCGCTTCTTTATCATTGTGCGTGCTATGCTTTACAACAGCGGTCTTTAAGGTCATAGTCACATGATGTCAAAATAAGGCTAGCTGTAGAGTACTCATCAATCGCGATACAACAAACAGCAGATTTCAGAACAGCTAGAAGCTGTCTAACAGCTACGAAAGGAGAAAGCTCATGAAGTTGCTTCGAGACCTAAAGGTTCTGAGAAAAGATCTACAGGACTGGACAGACAATTTAGCATGGGGCCCAGATGGAATGCTGTACATAACGACAGTTCCAGACCTCACTGTTTGCCAGCCCTTGTACAACGAGTCCATAACAAATAACAGCAAAGACCTATTCCACGTCAAAGAGTATCCTCTCATTCTGAAAAACAAATTCGAATTTCTTTTGGCGCAGGAGAACACTATCTTGAACTCAATTCCAGATAGCTTCGTGAAGTGCTGCAAGGTTTCCCCAGTCACCAATCTCGTTGCAGTGCTAACAAACAATGGAAACGCCTGTGTGTACAAAGACGCTCGGCTCCTGTTCGAGCTCGACGAAGCGCACAGAGAGCTAAAGGAACGTTCTTATCACTCCCTTGCGTGGAGCCCCTGCGGCACGCTGATTAATGTAGGGAATGAGTGCGGAGAGGTGATTACATTCCGGATCGTGATTGAAGCAGGAGACTACAGCTGCGAACGCTCTTCCTCAACAAGCCTAGTAGAGGATTCCACAAGTTGGATCACCAAACTAAAGTGGTCGGGCCAGCAATGTCTAGCTGCTCTCAGCGACAATTCAGTCTTCCTCATCAAAGGCGACGCGACGCATGTTCAGATAATAGAGCCCTCCAGATTTTGTGTGTTTGACTTTTGCGGTATACGGGAAAACATTATCGTGACTCGCATGGGATCTATCTTCAGATATGACATGGAGCGTGAAAAGCTTGCGAAACTGGACTGGAGTGGCCATGAAGCTCTGCATATCGTACCGTTACCAAGTCGGAATGCTGCTCTTCTGCTGTCTTCGAAAACGAGTTGTCTCTTGGATTTAGATCAAGGAATGCAACTGCTGGAAGACAAACTGGTTGCTCCTCATCTCGAGACAAGATTCAAAAAGTGGAACTCGTACTTTAATGAACTGAACAACTACGAGACAGGTTTGTCGATACATGGCTTGTCGACATCAAAAGACGGAGCGTCTTTGGCATTGCTTTACAGCATTGATCGACTGTCATTAAGATACAGAATTGTCTCTGAGCAGGCCTACAGAGTGTGCTTTCTACCTCTTAGTAACATGTGGCAAATTAAACCACAGACCACTGGCTTGGCTTGGTTTCAAACATATCAAATTTACGGCAAACAGCTGCCACCAAATTCATGCACAGATGTGCACAGTTTGCATCTTGATACGGGCGTTAACTTCAGAATCTACCTCCAAATGCTAATGAGCAACGAAAGCATGAATGCTATACAGTTTTCCAGCTTTGTTAACGAAGAGAAGGATAATTTACTCTATAAAAAAGCCGTTTACGACTATGCTGCCGCTCACAAGGACGAAATTACCAATGACTTGGACAGAGCGTCCGTCCAGGCAATAGCCCAAATGCTGGCATTAGAGAGTCTTGTGACTCCAGCGCAGTTTTCGATGAAGAGCGAGTTCATTGAAGAAACCTTCGCGCCAGGAAATGATTTAGACATGGATGCTGTTCGCTCTAAGGATGGCCACGTGTGGAGACGCTGTGCGGCTACATTTCTCCCTCTTCTAACTCCGCAAGTCAAAACTTGCCCCGTCAGCAAGTATCAAATAATCGACGTGAAGAGAGATAGCCTGAATAACTTTGGATGGCTTACAAGAACAATTTTGGAATTCTTCAATAATCAAAGCATTTACAGCGGAACAAATATGCTATAGATATTTCAATGCCTCACTAGGGTACCTCTCAGTGGCAAAACCATTCAAAAACCAAGCATTGAAGAAAATTAGCATTTTGTACATTCAGCATTTTTCCTAGTTCTGTACCAGTCCTCGCTCAATTCGAGGATCTCTTTAAGCTCTGTAGAGCTAGATATTCTTTCTTGCACCCAATTAGATAGCTTTTGTTGAATGTGATCCGACTTGTATCTTTTGTCGATCAAATAAATATTGGCATAGTCCTTTGCGTGTCTTATTGCCCTTCCTATGCTTTGATTTACCGCCTTCATGCACATATTCTCGTAGAATTCACGCGCGACAAGGGTTGCATCCCTACTGGTGCCTCCGTTTCTTACCACCTTTTGCTCTAAATGCTTTCTCTTGATTATAAGCTCACCACTGAAAACGTTTGGAAAGGGCAAGCCGACCATTATCACTGCGCGGGCCAGCTCATCTGTGAAGTTAATGCCTTCCGATAATCGACCACTTACCACGGCAAATAGAATTGCGCCACCATCCTTAAGCCGAATATGGTCTGCGTACTGTGCGAAAACGTCAGGATTGCCTGATTCTTCATGAAACACTCTCTTAAGTCCTAGCTTGTCCGTTAATTTGAAACTCGATCTCCAGAACTTCAAGAGTGATTCAAGAAATTTGTAACTTGGCATAAATACCACCATTCCGTCCGGTATGAAGGTAGCTAACCTCAAAAGAAGTTCATGTAGCTCTGTCAGCATCTTGGAATCTTCACGCTTATCGAATGTGAACTCAAAGTGGTTGCCAATAATGAAAGTGTTCAAGTTCTCCTTTGGTATGACGTGCTTACAAGAAAATGTGGAAATCCTGTCCTCATCTACAAAGGGCAGTAGGGTAGTTTTAAAATCAGAAATGGGCTCCATTGTCCCACCGGCCAACAAAACGCATTTAGACTCTTGCACTATGCTTTTGAAGCAGAAACTTGGCTCTAGAAGCATATACTTCATGCTATGATTTATGTCAAAAAAGAACTGTCCTTCCACAGAAGGGTTGGTCAACGTTTTTAGGAAGCCAGCGACTTTGAAGAGAACCGGTTGCTTACTACCCTGATCGCTAGATGCATCAATTTGTTGTTGATGTTCAATGTAGCTATCGATCTTGTATGCTATCTTCGTTCTTTTCATATAGCGCTCTAGATTATGGATATTCAACGTGTCAGCATTGCTTCCTGCGAAGATGTCGAGACTCTCAAATGCGCGACCATTCTTATGGTTCTTTTCGATAAATTCGATGAGCAGCGCTATTAAGGTGGAAAGTCTTTTCAAATTGACCCGGTTTTCAGGACTTAAGCGCTTCGCGAACTTTCGCGTGTACGAGGCAATCCCTACTTTACAGTACATTAGATCGTTCAAGGTAATTTCTGCAGAGTTGATAGAATTTATAGTGTCAATGATGTTGTGGGCTTCATCTATGATAACAATCGAGTCCTTTAAGTTGATTCCCAGGGCATCACGAGTGCTTTCATTTATCAAGTGTTGGTACGGTAGTGTAATGATCTCAACGCCATCATTGACAAATTCGCGTGAGGCATAGTAAGGACATACATTGGTCGCTCGACCTATCGCGGCCATGTCCTCGATATCGTGAATTGCCTGGAACGCGTAGTCTCTGAACGATCGTACGTTGCTAGGGTCTTTTGTCCTAGTATATGGCTCGCACTCTTTCTTGTTGATCGCGTTCATACAGCTATCATTTATTGTGTGGCTTGGGGACTTCGATACTTTGGGGTTGATGCAGAGTTGCTTTCGGGATCCAAGAGGCACCAACTTGATTCGCTCGTGCTCCAGAGACTCGAAGGACGGTGGGAAGTTAGGGAGCCTTAACTGTGAGGCAAACTGAGATAGCTGTGAATGTGTTCTTGAGGCAAAAAAAATCTTTATGGGTGAAGGCAAATTCGCAACCTCAGGCTTCTCAGCGCGTTGTGGATCACTGACTTTGCCAAGCAGAGCCCTTACTTCGGCATTTAGTTTCGTTTGATCATCTGTGGAATCCTGATTGTCTAGCACGGGTGAGGAATCCTCGTCCGGAAGAAAGTTACTGTCCTCAAAAACAACCGGAACGTGGGGTACAACACGAGATTTTTTGACAGCTTTTTGACTGCAGTCCTGTCCAGACAGAACGTTCGCAGCATTTGCGGTGAATTTTTTGGAGTTCAAGTGATCCTCGTACTCTTTCAAGGCCCTTAATTTTTCTTTAAGTACCGATTCAAAATACGCTTCTGTGACCCAAGCAGGCTCATCGTCACTGTCTTCTTCGTTTTCCTGCGTCGGCACGCTTACTTCGTTATTCGAGAGACGAGAGTCAGCGTCCTTACTGGTTAGCAATTTTGCCTTGTTATTTCTTAACCACGTAACGGTGGGGCAGATCAACGAAAGGGTTTTTCCAGTACCCGTTGGACTCTCAAAAATGCCTATTTTCTTGTTGCCTTCAAGTAAGCCATACACTTGGCTCATGAGCTGAATCTGAATATCATAGGGCTGAAACGGGTGATTAAACTTCTCATCAGAGGCCATAGGTCCGAGTCCTTGCTACTTCATGTATGGTCCTTTCTTGAAACTCAGGAATTTTCCATAATAATAATTTTTCAAACTATCAAAGCAATTAGGCGCCTTTGATCTTAATACAAGATGATCTTTATGACCTATGTCTTTACCATCATACGGTATCAATTACATAACTGAAATCTGACACAGCTCACCGTTCAACTGGTTGAAACCACAACTGGCTAGCAAAGCTAAAATTAGAGATTAGTTCAATGGCCTCACCGATTTTTTTGTCAAAACCACACCCTGGCTACTCCCCACAGGCTTTAAAAACAGGCCTTAAGATAGCTGCAGATGCATTTTGGGTTCTGGCGTCGCATTTCATAGACCAGTGCCGGGCAAACCCTAAGGAAACCCTCAAGTTGGCTCTGATATCGATCGTTTGGCGCTTGGCGCTCGTGCCAATCAACAGCATTGCAAAGCCTTTATTCCTGTTCAGATACGTCGCTCAGGCACTGGATACGTGGCTCGCTTGTTACTGCGTATTGAGATTTGCTTCAGCACGCTTCGCCCAGGCTTTCTGGACTAGTTTCTACAGGGCTGCTGCAAACGGTGACGAACTAGAAGAGCAAACCCTGCAGCTTCAACAGCGCATTGCTGTAAAAGAAGCCATGAAATCGCCCACAGAGTCGATTCCGTGGTACACAGTGGTTCTGATTATAATGGGAACATTGATGGCCGACGTCGAAAGCGTCTCCACAACAGGCATCGCAGAGCCGCAGTTCGGACGCGCCAAGTTCATGGTGCTAACTGCACTGTGGTACACATTACTGGGCTCTTCTCTTGATGCGGTGACGGCAATTGCCGCGAGTGCCGCCATGGCAGGGTGCGTAAGCCTGTCGACGAACATGACGCTGATACTGCAGTTCTACCACTTGGAGTGTCTGACAAAGTTTTTGCTCGTGCCCTATTTACAGCAGGCACGTTTCTCGCCCCCGGAGTACGCTATGTGGCTAAGAGCTCGCGGCGGAGTTTTCTGCGGTTTTCTGATGCCCCTTTACGTCGTGCTGTCCTCATCCAGAGTGCCCTTCGTTTCCCCAGTCTTCGTCTACGTGCTGGTGTATCCAGTAGCCTACTTGATGGCCGAGATAGCGGAACCTGTCCCGGTCAATGCCCCTTTTGGGACGCGAGCTCATTCTGCTTGGTGTGCTCGCCAGCTTCTATGGCTCAATGTCGCTCAACGTCATCGTTCTTCAGAGAAGAAAGATAACACTTGGCATAGGCCAATTGCTTGAAGCTTGGGACATTATTCACTATCGCTAATCAAAAGTTCGAACTGGCTTCATTTTGCCTTTCCGTTTGCGATTTTCTTCCATGCAGGCACTCATGCACGTTTATGCTCCTTCGATGCAAATCATTCTTCCACGCAGATCGATAAACATTGCTTTTCAAGTTTTTTTACGCGTCTTATTTTTTTCAAATAAAGACGCGTAAACGTGAAAGCCATGGTTACCCTGTTTGTTAAACGGCAAGGACTTTTTTTCTGCTTTGCCCTTCGTATGTTATACTGGGTCTAGCATAAATAGCGTTAGGGGGACGGGCAAAGCTATTCTGGGTCGAGCCAGGCCTTTGGATAGTCATTCAAAGGGCAAACTATACGCTAAGTGGTTGGTTTCAAGTGCATTTTTGATCAAGTCTTTGGGTAGAGCGGTTACCTCTATCTTGCAGCAACCATTTCACGGACAGGAACGCGTGGTTCATCAAGAAAGGAACATTTTCAACGGGCAAGATAACTTGTCAAAGATCGGCAAGTAAGTCAGGACAAATACCTACAAAGCGTGAACAACTAGTTTTCTGCGAGCATTCAACACGCTGCTAAGCTACTGCACACACCCGAAGCCAAATTACCAATACACAGTGTTCGCGGTGACGGTGAGCGAAAAAGAGACAGAATTCGACAATCGCAAAGAAAAAGCCGCGTCGTACTGTTCTCCACCATAAATCTTACCAAAAAAACATTCAAGGACAATAATTTTCATTTCGCCAAGTGGTCGCCAAGCGACTCAACAGCATTTCACCTACAATTACGCGTAGTCGGCTCGTGAATTAACGTTTCTCTGAAAGCCCCTTTTCGCACCACCTCGAAATAATTATAATCAGCATGCTTCTGGAGAGATTCCATAACAAACTTCACAACTCGAGGTTCTCCAAACATTCCAGCAGTACGCCTGCCGCTGCTGCTGCTCCTGACAAAAGAACCGTTGAGCAAGGCAACCAAGACAATATGCTCGTGGATGACGGTCCCTCGTCTGAAGCAATTGGGAGCACGAAGCCGCAGGAACTTCGCATAAACACCCAGCTGTGCAATTTGCGCAGCTTTACGCCGCAGAATGGTGTTTCCACTTCTGTAAGCACGCCGTCAGCCCAGCCCATCATGCCATACATGTATATGAATCAAAAGCGTCAAGACAGTGTGGCCTCGTTCACCAGCTCGATATCAGATTTGCCGGGGTCTGTCAGACCCCCAGTCCCAACTTCATTTCCTGCACAGTTTTTGCGCCTTCTCATGGAGGTATACCAAGATATTTGCTCCGATCCAACAGCTACTCCCTTTGACATCAGCAATCCACCTCCTGGCATACTCAATAGAGCTGCTAAACTAGCGGTGTCTCGAGCCGAAGAAAGGGGTGTAGACTATGGGCGTGAGAAAAATGCCATACTGATTACTGCAGTCAGGCAGAGACTGCAGCAAGAGGTACGTCAAGACAATTATTTGTCGCGAAACAGCTCTGTGGTGTCTTTACCGCCCATGCCTATGTTCAATCCCTCGGACTTGACACCACCGATGCCCACGGACTATTTTAGCTTGCAATCAGAGCTTCCCCACCAGCAGCCGCTGTCAGCACCCTTTCAAATGCCCAACTATGGCACGAACCAACTACAAGCGCCCCAAATGCCATACGAACCCAGATCCTCGTTCCAGAAGACGGTGCAACGCTCTAGAAACGAGAGTTTCATAAGTGTTGCGGGAAGGAGTCGCAGCGGCTCAAATCACGTTCATCCCTTTCAACAGCTTCAACCGGCCTCGTCGTTTGAACCGGTTTCAGCGAGATCGAGATCTGGCAGCAACGGGTTATTTGCCCTGACGCCCACGAGTTCTTTTATGGGAGAGTATCAAAGGCCCATAGTTTCGAGACAAAGAAGTAACGAGTCCGCCGCATTCGAACTATGAGTGAGCCTTCTCCCACTAAGTGCGAAAAATGATGCGAGAGAGCCTAGTAGTGTCTAAGGAAAACTGGCTTTTTTCATACAGACATTTTTGAGGATTACAGGGATTTAGTCTCCTGTTGAGTTGTAACTTTATTTAACAAAAAACCCAGAAGGCGCTAATTCACATATATACCCGATTTATTAAAACATACATCGCCTCTAGATATCCAGACTCGACTTCACGATTGAAACTCGCTCCTGTTGTTTCGTTAGCGCTGATTCTCCTCACCACCCAGAAACTGGCAGCAGATTGACTATATACATGAACTGCACTGTGAATCATAGTTGCAGAGGAGGGATGCGCTTCATTGACGCAGCACGGTCTAGAATGGCGGCTGTACACCGTAAATCGGCATCATTCATAAGCTTCTCTCTTGGGCAGCACCACCTGTTGGTTAGATGTGTGCGATTTGCCCCATGCAGCACTCAATATACCACTTTTGACCAGTAATTTTGTCACTGTTTCGCTCGGCTGCGCGCCAACACCGATCCAGTATTTCGCCCTGGCCATGTCGAGCTTCACGTCTTTAGTTGGAATCGCTCCGCTCTTGATTTCTCGTTTTGTCAAAGGCTGAGGAACAGGGTTGTATGTTCCCAAAACCTCAATAGGTGTCTTGTCTCGGGCCTGGTGCGCATTTGCCACCACTATATTGTACATCGGAGCATGTTTACGTCCAAATCTGGCTAACCTGATACGTACCAGACCTTTAACCATCTTATCAAAGCGCCTTCACGTTCGACGTTTCGTTGTTGTTCTCAGTGTAGATCGCTGTTCAAATTGTATAAATCTAAAATTTTCGTACTTACTGCTAGAGGACTATATAGATCGTATATAACGACATGAAAAATTTTAATAAGGTGAAGCTCATCTCATCTCATCTCATCTCATCTCATCTCATCTCATCGCAGTTCGTATCATTGAAGTTCATCTTGGTTTACTACATAAGATCGATAATCTCGACTTGAACAGCGATACAAGGTAAGAAGATCATTGTTTTAGACTTCTGGTAGGCCTTATCTCGCGTTTTGAACCATGGACCAAGATGAAGTGGCTCGTTCACTCGAGCTGGAGGATAAACTAGCACAGATCAGACAGCAGATACACTCGAAGCTAGACAACCAAAAACATGTCGCGATAATTCTTTCTGCTGTGGAAGAAAATATGGTAGAACAAAAGGGGGACCAGATTGCTACTAAAAACGTGGTGAACTACTTGGTGTCGCTTTTGGCGCTTCTGGCGCAGGCCACCGATCCCGAGACGCACGAGATCCGCGAGGCCCAAATTGCAACGTCCGCGACTTACCTGCTCGATATCATGTTCCGATACGTGCCTAAGAAGTTGCTCAGATCGAAATTTGCGGACATTTTGACACAAATCGCGCCCTGCATCACGGGCGAAAACGCCGGTGCGCCACTCATTAGACCCGCCATCGGATGTTTAGAGTCCTTACTTGTGGCTCAGGACTCGCAGGCGTGGAACAACACCCAAAACCTCGCCATTGCACCAAGCAGAGGTCTAAGCGGTCTATTAGAACTCTCTCTAGATCCTAGACCCAAGGTCCGCAAGAGAGCTCAAGACGCGGTGAGCAACATAATGGCTAACCCCCCAGCATCGCCATCGGCCGAGCACGTGGCTGCACCCATGGTTGCGGAGTTCACGATCGATGCACTCGCCTCGGCAGTCAAGGAAGCTGCCACTGCTTCAAACAAAAAAATTCGTGCACAAGGCGGTCTCAGCGAGATCAATGCCAAATCAATTCATATTCTAAAGCTGATTAAAGCCGTTGTTTTTACCAAGCAGTGGCCGGCAGCTAGATTCGATGCTTTGTGTGATCTTCTACTCGAGATTTCACGTTCCGCCGATCAATTTTTAGTCTCAAGTGCTTTTAAATGCTTCGAAGCGCTATTTCAAGCGATTGGCGAGTCGGCTGTTAGTTCTGGACTCGCTGAAGACAGATTTGCCAGATTTTTGGGAATCATTTTCTCATTGAAGCCTTCGAATTCAGATGCGCATCTAGCCGCCGCGTGGATCGCCGTTGTCTCTCAGGGAGTTGCCGTTTTTGGCTCATATAGACCGGTTGAATGTCTTGATAGTTTGCCAGAGGTGATCAAAACTTTAAGCGATTACCTGTCGAGTGAAATTCCTGAAATATACCAAAGCGCGTGCAAATGCATCGAAAGGATCTTAACAGAAGCGATAAGTGACGACTGTCTGTTGTCGCCTCCTTTAGTTGAGGAAAAGGTTTACGAAAAAGTTGACGACACAGTCGCGTTTCTCTCTGGAAAGTTTGTTGAATTTCTGTCCATCAAATATGCCCATTGTGCTCGAGGAATTCTAGGGGCCTTGACTGTTGCTGTAAAGAAGCTTGGATCTAGATGCAATCCTGACTTCTTGGCACCACTCGAGATCGTTGGACGCTGGAGATCCAGCGAAGATAATTTCTTGGAGTTGAGAACTGAAATTGAAGCAGTACTAGGTGCCGGAATAAGTGCTGTAGGTCCTGATGTAATTTTGGGTTGTCTTCCCTTGAACTTGATAAAAGCATCCGACGAGAATCCAGGCCGCGCCTGGTTGATTCCTTTGATCAGAGATCATACCCGGAACAGCCGTCTTTCGGTGTTTGTCCAACAGCTGATGCCTCTAATTACGTTTTTCGATGAGAAGGTCAAGGCCCTTTCTGAGGAGTCGCTACAAGGTAAAGTTTTCGAAACGGTGGTCAGTCAGCTATGGTCGACACTGCCCAATTTTTGCGATCTCCCAGTTGATCTAAGGGACTCATTCACAGACGCTTTCGCCTCCGATCTTTCTTCGCTTCTCTATGGCAAAGTTGAGCTCAGACCCGTAATTTGTCATTCGTTCAAAAATCTGGTACAGAGCAATTACCAATATACTTCTGGCGTTAATGAACCTAGCAAACTGGTGCAACAAGAATTTCCGGTCTCTGAAGCTCAGAAGAATTTGGACTATCTGGGAACAAAAGCGTCGAATCTGCTTGCCGTCTTATTCAACGTTTACACACAAACGGCTCCAAATGCAAGAGGATACATCTTGGATACCATTGCAGCAGTTGTTGGAATCACTCCATCCCAGGAACTTACGAAAACTTTCAACAATGTTTGTGGAATGCTGAAAAAGGCATTTGACGAGGAGCCTAAAGCAAACAAAGGCAACCAATCGTCCATGAAGATGAGTGCAACACTTTTGGATCTTATTATAGTTATGGCGACCTACGTTCCTGAATCATCCTATTCGGCTCTGTTCTCTATTTTCAACACCACTGTGAATTCTAGCGACGCTTTAACTCAAAAGCGCGCCTATAGGATCATTAGCAAGCTTTCCGAAACTCAAAAGGGCTCGGATGCTATCTTGAAGTACATTGACGACATCGAAAATGTTTTGATTCAGAGTAGTAAAAACGTTCACACTTCCGCCAAGGCGACACGTCTGAATGCTATCAAAAGCCTGATTGAAATTCTACCTTTAAACCATGCAGAGTTTATGATTCAAATTGTGCCCGAAGTCATTCTAGCAACAAAAGAGAATAACGAAAAGTCAAGGGAAGCAAGTTTTGACACACTTATCGGTATGGCTACTAAAATGAGCCAAGAAGGCTGTGTCATGCGACTTTCTAAAATTCCTGGTTACGACTCCGCAACTGCCGACCAACCGGCAAGTGTAGCAGAGTTTTTCAAAATTACTTCGGCTGGGTTGATCGGAGAATCGCAGCACATGGTAAGTGCAACTATCACAGCCTATTCATGTCTTATTTTCGAGTTCAAAGATCAAGTTGCGACCGATATTTTGATGGACATTTATGACACTATAGAGCTCTACTTGACATCGAATTCACGCGAAATTGTTAAGAGCGCTATTGGTTTTACAAAGGTTTGTTGTTTGGCTCTTCCTGAGGAATTGATGAGGCCAAAGATACCCTCACTTCTACCAAAGCTTTTGCGTTGGTCGCATGAACACACGGGTCATTTCAAAGCCAAAGTGAAGCACATTATTGAAAGGTTAATCAGAAAGTATGGATATGATGACATTGACCAGCACTTTCCGGAGGAAGATAAAAGACTGCTTGTTAACATACGGAAATCTCGCGACAGATCCAAGAGAAAAGCAGAAGATGATAAAAATGCGGCTCCCCAACTGGCGCAGTCTAGCACGAAAGGCTCTCGCTTCATGTCTGCATTGGACGAAGCCCTTTACGAGTCTTCAAACGACGAGAAGGATAAACAAGAGGAAACTTCTGGGAAAAGAGTCAAGGATACTCGTTTCATTGTGGAGTCTAGAGAGAATCCTTTGGATCTTCTCGACTCTCAAACACTTGCCCATATTTCATCTACAAGACCCAAGAAATTTGACGGCAAAGCCAAGAGAAAGGCCGCGACCGACGATGTTTTTAGTTTCGATGCTGACGGGAAGCTCACTGTAAAGAATGATAAAAGCGAAATGAAGGATGAAGACATCCTGGGTTCCGCTACCAGCGGCATAAATGCTTACCTAGATGCTGTAAAGCAAGGGCCTGTTCGTGGTCAAAAAAACAAATTGAAATTTAAGAAGGGTAGCAGAGCTGGCGACAACATGAGCGACGACGAGAGCCATGAGCAACCCAGCCGTGGGTTCGAAGTCAAAAGTAAGAAGGTCATCAAAAAAAGAGGTGGTCCAAAGTTTAAGTCTAAGAGAAAGCTCTAGGCCAGACATTTGCATTAGTCAAATATGTACATTAGCATTAAGTTTAAACGTCAAGTTGAACCGCTCCTTCCCGCAGACATGGGCCAGAGATTATATGTAGATATGTGAAAGCTGATGGGATGACTTTAAAAATGACCAGCATTTGTAAACAGCCACAACGACTTGCGCCCGGGTTTGATATCGCTTTCAATTATCATGAGCACTTCAATAATTATTGAAATCAAACTCATGGTTTTGAAAGATATCATCACCAAGATCCATATAATCCTTCCGTTGAAATGAGTCAGTGAGATTTTCTGATTCCGCTAGATGTAAATTAGGATCTTCATGCATATCTAGAGCCATGTTGCCCCCCAGTGGCTCAAAATTTTCAATATCTTGATTTACTTCTTCGTCAAAAAAACCCACGTCACTAATGTCAACGTCGGCATCACTGGCAGACAATTCATCATCTTCGAATGACAATCGTATATTTTCCAATCTGGTACCCTTTTGATAGGCTATCATCTTCGACAAAAGAGCTTTTTCCTTGGGGGATTTATCATCGCCGTCACTGGCCTGTAGCTGGGAAGGTAAGATTTCATTATAGTCCTGAACAGGATTCGGTACTAGTGTGGAGAACTTGAGACCTGGAATGGGTGGCAGGGCTTTCAAATCTTTCACCTCTTTGGCTGAAATTTTCTTGGCTATCTGAAGCTGTTGCTCGCGAACCAGAAATCGGATCCAATCGTCCATGTCACCATTATTTATCATTTGTTCGACCAACCCATCCTCTTGAGGATCGCCTGTGGACGCAACACCCTTTACAGCCGTTTTGTCAAGCTGGTTGATATATTCTGGAATCATTGACAGCGGTTTAGATGATTTATCTCTTGGACGAAGCAAATCGGGCGTTGGTGTAGCTACAGCGCGCGCTTCGCTGGGCATTGTGTTGTGCAAGCACCAATTCTTGAACCTCTGCATTCCCAGATCGCTCAGCAGATCTGGATTTTCGTCGTAGATGTCGAGCATATTCATGGGTTTCAGTAAGCCCACGTTTAGCAGTGCCTGGGACAGATCTTGCAGTGCAATGTCTTCGAATTCATCCATTCTGCTGCTGGACAATTTCATCACTTCCAGTGTTAAAAGCTGCAAAAATCGCACGTACAGGTCCGCGAAAGCGTCCACAATTGTTGCTGGCGCCTTATCGAAGCCCTGGCTTTTCAGGAGCTGCAACATTGATATGCGTAAGAGACTAAAATGGAATTCTTTGTTGGAAGTTGTCATTTTTTATGAAGTCTCTTTTCGTAACCTGATAAGCTTCTTTGAACTCGTATAAATCTGCCTTTTTCTGGTTCAGTTTTCTTGATTTCGAGAGATCTCGAGAATCTATCCCACTCAAGCCTTGTTACCTCAGTCGTTGTTCTGACAGCGCTCACTTTCACACTAGACAGCTCTTTGAACTTTGAATGTTCAGCTAATTATTTCAATTTTCTGACATCAGATCCCCATGAACGAACATCTTGATATTTTATGACATTTTTGAATCAACATGGCCAACTACAACTTCCCAAGGTTTTAGACAACCAGGGATCCATATATTCAGAAGGATCTTGAGATTTAGGTTTGTCGAGCTATCTCGAATAAGAATCAATTTACATACGATGCCGAATCTGTCTCTCTATGCGGTGGAAGCGCTGTTAATTTTAGATGGAGAAGGAAAACGCATATATGCCAAATACTATAATGGTCCACACGACGAGGAACAAGCATCGCAGCAAGGCAAGTCTTCTTCGAAAGAGCAGATGGATTTTGAAAGCAGGCTTTTCAAGAAAACACACAAGCAGAACGCAGACATTCTACTTTTCGAGGACAGCTTGGTGCTGTACAAAGAATACGTGGACGTATCTCTGTATTTGGTGGGATCTGCGGAGGAAAATGAGCTGGTACTCCAACAGGCGCTCGCTGCGGTAAGGGACTCGCTGGAACTCGTCCTGGCCACTGGGATCGACAAAAAAAACATATTGGAGCACTACGACATGGCAGCGCTGGTGATCGACGAGACCATCGACGACGGCATTATCTTGGAGACAGACCCCGCGACCATTGCGTCTCGAGTCACAAAACCGCCCTCCAAGGACGTCCCCATCAACATCGAGCTCAGCGAGAAAGGTCTGCTCAGTGCGTGGGGGTTCGCGAAAAGCAAACTTGCCGAAAGGTTGCAACAGGGGCTGTAAAGAGAGATTTGGCGTCCGCATTGAGGCCTCTGTTGTGCGTAATATAGACGTGCAAGTAAAGTAAAACTAATCTTAAAGATATTATAAAAGTTGCGTGAATCTATCATTTTATTCTTTGTCGTTGAAAGCGTAGGTATTTGGCGGTGCAGATGATCTCCAACTACTCTCATTTCGAGCCCTTTTTCTTGCCCTTGCCTTTCCCGTCGCCTTTCGATTTGCCTTTTGAATCGTTTTGACCAGGAATGGTGGCTTTAAGTTTGTCAGTGTAGATGAGAGATACAAGTTCCACGTCTTTTAACGCCTTTATTTGTTCATGCTCGCAGGGCCAGTCTAGCTCTTTATCAGTACTTGTTTCGTCAAGTTTTCTGCTCAAAAAATGATACAAGATCTCATGCAAAGTCTTGGTTTTTTTAGCGTTACCAGGTTGGATTTTCACTTTGTACTTGTATTTGTTTAACGAAGTCCAGGGAGCAAAAACTGGAACAATGTCTTTTACATTTTCATCCACCGGAGCGGGGCTCAGCTCGCTCAACAGTTTGTGATAATCAACTTTTACTTTCTCCTTTGGATCAAACTTGAGCGACTGCTGCTTTTTCTGTCTTTCGCGTCTGAGTTTCTTCTGTTCTCTTTCCTGCTGCTTCATCTTCTCTTCTTCTTCTTTGCTTCTTTGTTTCTCGACACCTTTGAGCGTGCCAAGAACTTCAAGTCGTAGTCTCCGCTCCTCCTCATCTTGATCAGCGTACTTCCTTTGCATCTTCTTTAACTTTCCTTTCTTACCTCTGACTTTCTTGTTCTGGGCGCTCGTGCCCATTACTGCCTCTTCGGGGGCCGAAGGTCGAATTTGTGATTCGCTATCGTCGTCTGGGCTCTCATCGTTTGGATCGTTTGAGGGAACCTCTTCCAGTTCGGCCCGTGAAGGTTGAATATTACTTTCTTTTTCAGCAGTGTTCTCAACTTCGTCTGCTCGATGCTCTGATGCAGCTGGGCCGTCCGAAAGCTCCTCATCTTCCCCGAGAGCCTCCTCATCTTCTCCAAGGGCCTTCTCTTCCAACTCTCTCAATTGTCCTTCCTCCGCATCAACAGCTGCTGTTTTCCACAAGAAAGCAAAACCCATTACCAGTGGTGAGGGTGGTAGAAAAGATTTCATCTTATCATTCTTCAGTTGGAATGAGCCCGGCGGTAAGACGTCACCGCCAAAGCTATCGAACTTGCTTACGTTTCTAGCAAAACACCACCAAGCTGATGACTGGATTTTCTTAGACCAAGCGGGAGAAGCTGACATGCACATAATGCCTGCTTGCATCAGAGTGTTTGGAGGAATCTCGGTTTCATTGGGATTTTTGATCCATACATGGATGTCAAAACTATTGGAGACGAGAACATCGTTGTCTTGAATGTATCTGCTAAAAATCTGGTCCGTCTCCTGACCGCTCTTTCCCATCAAAACCAAAAAGCCCTCGCTAGAAATAAACCAGTTGTATTTTTCGAAAAAATACGGGGTTCTCGTCCTGTTTAAGACATCGTGAGTTTCTTTCAACTTTTTCTTCAGGTCTCGTTCAATCCGAAGCTCGATGTTTTTCAAGGCTTTGTTAGCGTTCTGTTCGACTTTCTTCTGCTTTTCCATAGTCGATTTTTTGATATCGAAGTAGTTAGACGCATTTGCGTAGGCAGAGAGTGAGAGATCAACCACGACATCGATTGTTGGCTTGGGCTTACGACCTCGAGAAGCAGAAGAATTTCCTCCTTTATTTGTCAGAGTCACTTTGTCGTCGTCTTCGTCTGCTTCGAAGTCGGACAGAGAGTCGCTGCTTTCTGAGTCACTTGAATCTTCTGAGTCGGAAGAAGTGTCGCTGTCACTAGACGACGTGTCGTCATTTGTCTCTTGTTCGATGAGGAGCTCAAGTCCTATCTTGTTATTCTGGAGATCTAGTGGTAACTTTATCAATTTTGCAATCTCATTTCCTTTTTTCTGCTCGTTTAATATCAACATCTCAATAGTTTTCCAGTCCATTTGTTGTTCAACCAACGATTTGACGGCATTTTGGGCCTCTTCGACAAGGTCTGCATTGAATATGATAGTATGACCTCTAGTCTCATTTCGGGTTTGAACATCCACAAGAGCTTGAATCCTTCTGTCGTTATCCAATTTTGCATCGTGTAACCTCTTCTTTGCATGGTGTTCTTGATTCTGAATTCGCAAAGCATACTTAGAAGACTCGATTGTAGAGTAAAACTCATCCACGGTCTCATTGTAATCCCCAGCAATTTCAATCACTTTCACTTCCCTCTTTTCATCATCGTTCGAGAATGGAGCAAAAGGATGGAACTGCTCGTACACGAATTCGATGCTTGAGTCGCCTTTCTCTGCGTCGTAAAGCGGATTTCTCTTGGAAACGATGAACCCGGCCTTACAACCTGACTTCATAAGACTGGCAACTTCATTTTCCGTGGCGGTGAGAAGATTAGCTATCAATTCGGCACGGTCTTCAAAATCTAGACATGAGGCATTCGGAGCAATACCCTGAGTCTTGAGGTTACGGGAGATGAGGTCAGAGGACAAATGAGGCTCGTGAAGAAATAGCAGTTTATGGATCGATGGCAATTTTGACGCCTTGCCAGTCTTGCCAGACTGGACTGTTGATTGGGCCAGATCTTTAGCATCTTGAAACCACTTCGTCACAAGATCCGAACTGTAGGACTGCGAAGGCGGTAGTTCAATTGCAGTGTCCTGCAAAAACGTTTCGTCAAACATATCGTACGTTTGACCTACTTTATTTTCGTGCTCGTGAACGATCCTCTGAAGTGCGATTATCTTGCGGTCAGAGTCCAGCAATATGACGTTCCCAGCACTGAAGAACTCCAAAACCAGAAAAAATTGGCCGTCACCAAACGAAAGTACAAGAATTCTGTCATTAGCGACTCTTTTGACTGTAGTCAACCGTTTAGATTTCAAATGTTTGCGCAATTTGACCACGAAACCCGATGGCGTGGGAGGAACCGGCCTATTGAACTCGGTCAAGTGTATGCGAAGGCCACAATCTATGACCACATTGAGTTTCGAGTCTGGTTTATTGAATTTGAGCAGAAATTGGCGACTTGAATCAGCAATGTTGTAAATATTAGACAACCTGAAGCCCTCTAATTTGGGCTTTAGTTCCCCATAAATCAATTGTAAGTCCAAAGAACTAACTCTCTGCTTCATTGCTTAATAGAGAGTGCACTTAAAGAAGCAGTGCTGTGTAGTATCTTTGTTGAAAGTGTATAGAGAACTGATCAGAGTGTTGAAGTTGTTTCCGCAACTTTAATTTATGTATTTATGCTCAAGCAAAACAACGTCAAAAAAATCCTGCAAGTAGAACACCAAGTAGACAGGCCGAGACCGGGAGAAGCTCAGCAACCTCAAGTCCTGCTCATGTCCAAGTGTAGAAACTAGAAAGATCATGACTTTTTCGACCCATACTAACTGAGACGCTCCAAAAGCCGTATTGCAAGCCGACCAACACTTCACGAAGACATAACAGACTGTGCAAACTAGATACGACCGAAGTGCAATTAGTCAGAGAGTTAACCGCTCGTTGCTCGCCTGTCCTCGCGCGAAGACATGAGCTAGTGAAATGAGCTAGCACATCCACTTTAATAGAGGTATATTGATTAAAATGTTTTCTTCATCGACAATTAGGACTTCGTGGCCAAGCTGGTTAAGGCGTGCGACTGTTAATCGCAAGATCGTGAGTTCAATCCTCACCGAGGTCGTTATTTTAATTTTTTTTTAATGCTCATCTTTCTCATAGTTGGTAACAATGCTGGGAGCAGGAACATCATCTCAGTCTTAAAGTCTCTAACAAGATAACCAACCCTTGCTTTCTCTAAATATTAATTATATGAGCGCCGATCAGTTCAAAAAGATTGAGAAGATCGCTAACTTCATCAATAGCAATCCGAAGGCCAAGGTTGTATTTTTGGTCGGCGCCGGGATCTCAACGGCTTGTGGAATTCCGGATTTTCGCTCTCCAGAAACAGGATTGTATGACAACCTGGCAAAACTAAAGCTTCCTTTTGCTGAGGCCGTTTTCGATATAGACTATTTCCGGGAAAACCCACAACCGTTCTATACTTTAGCGAAAGAGCTATACCCGGGAAACTATGAGCCCTCAAAATTCCATCATCTAATGCGTGTTTTCCAAGATAAGGGCCGTTTGCACAGGATTTACACCCAGAACATTGATACTTTAGAGAGAAGCGCTGGTATTAGATCCAACTTAGTTGTGGAGGCCCATGGGTCATTTGCTCACAACCACTGCATTGACTGTGGTATGGAGTACCCCCACGAATTCTTCAAACAGGCAATGTCCAATACAGCCGGGGCGTTTGCTCGATGCAAAAGCTGCGAGGGCCTTATCAAACCCAAGATCGTATTCTTTGGTGAAAATCTGCCGTCGCACTTTTTCTCGACTTGGGATGAGGACCTTGAACAACTGAACGAGAATCATATCGTCATCGTTGCAGGTACATCCCTGGCCGTCTACCCATTCGCATCCCTCCCTTCTGAAATACCGAAAAGTGTGAGGCGAGCTTTGGTAAACTTGCAAAAGGTCGGAGATTTCTTGGCAAGCCCAAGGAAATCAGATATCATTTTTAATGGGTCATCAGAAGTGGCTGCTGAAGAGCTGGCTAGAAAACTAGGATGGCTAGATGAACTAGAAAGTTTGGTCGAAGCTGCGTCGAGTAGGAGACAGCAAAGTATGAAGGAAGCTGTCTCTACTGTATCAAAGGGTGCAGAAGAAGTTTTGAACAACGTGGTGCAAGAAATGGAGCATATGAGTTTAAGCAACACCAGCGTTAATAAAAGCGAGACGGTGGAAGTAGAGCAGACGAAGAGCAAGCCTGGAAATGAAGAACAGGGAAAACAAGAACTTAAGAAACAAGAACCTGAGAAACAAGAACCTGAGAAAACAGAAGAAATGAAACGGGGGAATGAACAGAGAAGGAAAGAGGGAAATGGACAAGAGAACGATAAGGAACAGATTCTCGAAAAGATGGAAAACAAGAACTAAATATTCTATAATGAGATTAATTGATTGATGTGTTTGAAACCATAAAAATTACCAGGTAATGTTTTTGTCTGCGTAGTATGCTCTCTACATTCGAATTCATATCCCCTCATAATTTGAGCCCCGTCCAAACACCATTTCTCCTCTGAAGTAAAGATGTGCTCAGTATGCTGATGATGTCCGCAGCTGGAGCCATTACATCATTTACAGAATTCGAAAGTGAAGAGGTCCATTCTAATAAGCGAAACTCCTTTCCCAGACCGTTTTCTGGGTTCCTTCTTGTGTGCAAAGCTTGCCCGCCAAATTAGTCGCCAGAAAGTATTAGATGCCCAATATAAGGTCGCATTCTTTTAACGTCTTCATAATCATAAGTTAATGGTACCTCCTTGCTCAGATACAAAGCATTTGTGCATACGTAGACACCACAATCAAACCCATTGGGCTGCTGAGGACAGTCTTCGTGGACGAGCTCAAAATCGCCGCCTAGAGCCTCCTTGCTTTCTTGAATTAAATAATTCTGAAGGTCCTTCAAAATTGCGAAGCTCATAGTTGTTGGCCCGCCCGAGAGGGAGTCCACATAAAAGATTTTACGCCTTTTAATATCAATGACACCGAGTGCCCAGTGAGACTGGTTGAGATTGATCGGAGCAAACACCTTGTCAAGACTTTGAATATCAGCTTTCTTCTTTTTCATCCACCTTCTGACACCTTGATAGCCGTTTCGCGACAGCGAAACGTAAAAATAGGAGTTGAAGGCGACTGATCGCGCGGTGGTGAGCTCGATATGCTTCATGAAAAATTCTATTACAGTGTCGTTAAGCCACCTGCTTGGTGCTAAAGTCCTGAAGTCATGAACTTTTAGCTCGATGTTGTTTTTATTCATTACAATTCCGTTGTCAGACCGGTGCAACGTATTTTTGACCATCTGTAAGTCTTCCTTCATGAGTCGGGGCACAAGAGACTTGAGCTTCTCTCTTTTCTCTCTGACTTCAAGCTGGATCCTTTCCCTTTCCTCTTTCAGTTTTTTATAGCTTTCGAATTCCTCTTTAAAAGTAAGCAGCGAGGTATCAAATCTGAAGTAGCCGCTACCGGGGCGCTCATTCTTTATGCGTTTCGGCGGTACCCAGCGCTCTTTTACGATGATCAAATCATCATTATCGGAAGTTTTTAAGCTTTTACTCAAAATTTCTTTGACTTTTTCGGTCAGACTAGCCCACGGCAGCGATGCAGGTTTGTTGTACTGCTTTAACTCCTGCTCACGAAGTAGAAGCTGTTCACTTTTATGGCTTTCAATTAGATCAGGCGCCTTATACTGGCCGTTGTAAACCATCCGAAGATAGGAAATTTCTTCTACCGAATTTCTAGCAGTGATCTGTCCCATGGAGTTGCTGCCACCATTTTTTGAGCTTTTTCTGCGAATAAAAGCACTCCCGTAGGGCATATTATCGGTAGTTGTACGAGTCTGACCGGATCCAGTGGAGTTCCAATTTAAAGGATCCTTAGTTGCGGAAAAGAAAATGTTGTCTCTTTTTTCGGGAGTGATTGAATTGTTTAGCTTATCTTCTAAGTCCTTTATACCTTGCAATTTCGACGGAGTTAGTGCTGTTTGATCAACAGAGACAACTGTGCGATCTACAGCCTTGATTTTCTTGTTTGGAGCGAGCACACTACCGGAAAACTCTCTTTTGATATGATTTTCTTGTACTGGCAGATTGACCTCTTCCGAGTTATTATCAGATTCTATGTCACTGGAAGAGTTGATTGAAACACGAGAACGTCCGACTATTGACATAATAGCTCTCCCTGCGTGAACGAACGCTTCTCTCATATCACGATAAAACCCCGGTGCTTCCCTCGAGGCATCTGTCACACTTTCTTGCGCAGATTTGACCGCATCTTCGTCTGGCCCACGAATAGCGTGCAGATTATTCGAATTCATTTTTCTGCGCGGGCTGAAAACGGTAGGACCATTTGCAAAGGAGAAAGTCGTTATATTCGAATAAACAGGTGTGTGATACGCAAGGTGTTTCCGTCTTTTATAGTGCAAACTCGAATCCAGACTGGCCATTAAAGACAAAGCTTTGATTGCGGTGATCGCAGAGTACTAGATTCAATTCGTATACGTCAAAGATACGCAAAGCGCTGTACAAAGAGACCGAGTTTATATACCAAGTATATCCTGTAGATTCAAGAGATCAATTTAACTATAAAATACAGACGCTAACGGGCTTCACGTGATGAGACCGACAAACCAGGTAAAACGTATCAAACTTGAAGGACACTTTTGACTGAGAGACGACTCGAGAATTATGCCTATTCGTTGATATTTTGTGTGTTTTGTTTTATTTTCGAGGGGATTTGTACAGTTCAAAGTGAGCTCTGGGGAACGTTGTTTTATTGTTCTAATTTCCTGGAGAGACAGAAAGAATTCTGTAAATTGTGCTGTTGACACCAAATTATTTCTCAAGTATACGACAGTAATTGGAAATATGTCGACAAGAACGACTGATGTGTCTATTCATGTTCAACTTTTTTTTTTTTTACATTAGACCTTTTATAATCATTATCATGTGTGGGTGGCATTGTCCTGGTTTGCATAAGCCCGCACAGCTTTGAGATTGCCGCTCCATTACACGATTGTGCGGATACCATGCTGATTCATACGCGTATAGTCCATTTTTGGCTTTGCGTACTATGAAGTGGTTATACATGGCATTTAATTACAAGCAAAAGATCTAAACAATAATTTACAATATCTTGCAAGAATCTGCTCAACATAATCTATCTGCAGAAATGTTGTTGCCGCTAAAAGTCTGTCGCTCACTTTGTTTTTATCTCCTCACAGCTGAGTTCTCTAGGTATCCTTTTACACTACTTCGTCATACCCACTACGAAATCGAAATACTGGCGCGAGTCGTTGACACGACAGTTTTATTTAAAAAGCGGGGGACCACAGCTTCACCAGCTTGCACATGCGGTTGAATTTCTTCGAAAGAGCCCGATCTCACAATTGAGGGCTGAACTCGGTTTCGTGTCGCCTTCGAAAAAAATGCCAATTGGGTGTGTCACTCTATGAAGCCAACTAGAGCAGAGATGTTGCCTTTAAAGATTCAATGGTTCATGCAATGTTTTCGGCTACATAGTCCAAGACGTGGCATTTGACGTAGGAAAAAAAGACCAGCTTGACAATTTTGATCACTTGTCAGTCTGACCTTGCGAAACGTTTTAGAGTATTCTACTTGCTGTCAGCGCTTCAATGTGGCTAGCGTGCCAGAACATCGGAGAGCAAGTCGCTAAAAAGCAGAGATGCAACAAGTAGATTCTATATATACATATTGACCTCGATATAGCTTAAGTCCTCCTGAAAACACAAATCTCGAGCTTGTACCTCAATGCAGAATCTTTAAAGATACGAGAGAGACAGTGATCTGTGTCATTCAAGTCTGCTGCGCGCCAACAAGTGAGAAGACAAGCTGTTGGACCTGTCTGGCGAGAGCAGGCAATTGATGTTGTCCATCTACAGATAGAGCCATGACATGCTCTTGTCTCCTTTGAGCTGCATCCCTGAACGCAATCACGAAATTTACAATTAGCGTGATAACAACAACAGTTGCAACCAGCAGCGGTCCTAAAGGCGCGTCCAAGTGTTTGCCACTCCTAGCTCTAATCACCTCCAGACGTCTAGTGTAAGTGTGGTACGACCATAGACCAGTAAAAATAGTGATACCAAAATAAACATAGGCAACGAATTTGGCCAATTCGGGATGTTGTGCTTTTCTTACCGAGTTGTAGATCGAGAACGTAAGAACGCTCATCAAGGTAGTTAGAGACAACCACCTGTTAAAAGTTCTTTCGTTAGCTAGCCACACCTTCGCCTCTACCTTAACCGGACCAGCGTTTTTCAGGTAGGATGTTGGTTTCTTGACTCCAGGTGGTAACTCTACCTCCTCATCCTCCGAGTCAATATCAGCAATTTTGCCGGGTCTGCCAACTAAAACATCGAAAATATTGGCGTTATGCTCGCGCTTCTTGCGAGTTGCAGGGACAGATAAAGGTCCCTCATCTTCAGAAGACTCTGCATCTTCCAAATCAGGCTCTCTTTCCTCGACTTTTGGTGACGTTTCTGCTGGAGAAGACGCAAAAGCCTCACTGGATGGACCCTGGACAGTGGACAAGCGTTTCAACTTGTCAAGTCGAGCTTGGTTTGCCTTCTGTTCTTCAAGCTTCCTTCTTTCTTCCTCGTAAGCTTGTTTGGGGTCTTTTCTGATGTCACTCTCGACATCTGGTAGCCAGAAAGGCAGCATATCCAAATTTTCATCCTCCCCAAAAAGCGAGGCAACACCTTGAGCGTACTTCGAGAAGTTTGCGACCTCTTTGACAAGATGTGAGTTAGTTAACTCTTCCACCCACTTTGCGTGCTTACCGGGAAGCTGAGCCTGCATGTTTTCTCTCGTTTGATTACTGGAAGCAGTGACTGGGTTTCTGATTCTAATGTCTAAGACCGCGTACGGAAATTTAGAAAACTCACCAGGTCTCAAAAATTTCAAAGGATTTGAAATGTTAGTGTCTATGTCAGATCTGTGCCAGCTTTTTGGGTTTCTGATTGGATTGTTCTCGTCAAGACAATCTTCCCTGATGTACATGAGATCCGAGTCGATGCTGATTCTGATGCGTTCATCGCCGGGAATCTGAAAAGCAGTTCTCGTGTACATTGTTCTCAACACCGGCTGCAGCTCGTTTTCAAGCACAAATCGCTGGATAGTATCAAAGTCGTTGCTCCATTTGTTAGCTTCGGCATCTGCAGATCCACGATCTTTGAGCTTCTTTAGACTCTTTTCTTTGTATTCTTGGTCGCCGTTAAAGATAAAACCCTTGATAAACTTAGGCTTGAGCTTCAGCCGCGTCTCTTCAAAGTCAGAAATACCCGTATTGTGATCTTCGATCAGCGTTCTTTTCTCCAGAAAAATTTCGGGCTTGTCGGCTAGTTTTCCAGACCAACGCAATCGAAGAGTTGGATTAGAACTGGACTTCAAAAGTTTATTGTTGTAAAGCTCAAATGAATCGTTATCGAAGTAGATGGCCCTCACAACAGGGTCGTAACCCTTTGTGTTCAAAGGATCGGCGTCAGATACACTGCTACTACTCGAAGGAGCCCCGTAAGACTGGTCAGAGTTCATGATGGAGGTTTCCACCCTATCGATCAAGTCGCTGTTCTCGTTTGGAGGGGAAGCATACACCAAAACAGGCAAATGTCTTAAAATTCGGGTTTTCACTTCCATGACATTATCAGGGTGGACCCAAAACGTGTAGCTTTGAAAAGAGCTCTCTTCTTGGTTGTTGACGCTGGATAATTTAGCAGAAGTAGCCAGAGACGATGACACCGCTGGGGAGTTCGTTCTCAAGATATTGTACAGATATGAAATCTTGTAGAGCAAGGGAGAGTACTCCTCGGAGTTGAAAGGAAGTTCTTTCAGTCTAACTTGCAACAAAGATTTGACGGAGGGGTACTTGGGATGAAGTTTGTCGTGTTTTTTGACGATCTTGATGAAACCTGTGAAGTTCACGCGACAAAAGTTGTCCAGTTCCTGAGCCTCGCTTAGCGCATCCTCGAGAATGTGCTGAAAGCCCTTGAAGTCGAGGGTCTTGATGGCCTCTTCGTCATCCGTTTTGCGCTCTAGACTAGTCAATTTATCCATGATCGAGCTGAACTTGGAGCTTTGGAAGCTGTACACTTTTTCGAGCTCTGCGTCGAGGACCGTGACAAACTCAGATTCATCTTTTTCGGTCCATGTGTTCTCCCGACGGCTGGACTTTTTGCTTGAAAAGTCCGACTTCTCGATGACCGATTCTTTCAAAAGTTTCTTGAGCCTTTCATAGTCCATGTACGAGTTTTTCCAAGGTGGATACATCTGGTTAGCCAAACGCACTCCAAATAGCATTTTTTTGATAACGTTGCCGTCGCTAAAACCTGTATTCTAATGTCTTTTCACTGAATAAGAGATCTAGCTCAAACGCAACCGATTTTTCCGTTACAAACAGCAAAAGTCTCTATTTTTCAAGACAAATACAACTGTTAGCTACAAAAGAAACACTGCCAGTAATCAGGAACGTTAAATGACCCTTGAGTCTAGATATCTCTTGAAAAGATTGGCCGTTAAGTGGTCATTATTCAAGTTAACCCATTTCTCGCTACCTTTATATGTAATTAAGCTCTGCGTGAAGAGCTCGCGCTCCCACGTGCTGATCATTAAACGTGTGTGGATGAGTTACTTGCGTACGTAAGCAATATGATATTTTCCCCGAGATAATTCGTCCCATATCCACGTGACCTAGATCTTCAAAAAGAGCAGGTGACCTGTGAGTGTTGAAAACAGAGGTCTATGGCAGCATGCAGTTCTCTATGTTAGCGGCGACCAGCGATTGCCGGATCCTTCTGCCCCCATTTCTGCTTATCCGCAGACACAATACATATATGTACAATTATGCATAATCTAGATCTCGTAGTAGAATTGGCGCATTTTTCTTTGAGTTTTTTTCAGAGCTCCAACTAACAACAATTGGATTTGGAGCTCTGTCCCGAAGACCCGATGTTGACGTTACCGTCGCGTCCAGCATTCCCGACAAGTTTTTCGCTGTCAATTTTCTCTTGGATCAACTTTGCGAGCAGGAAGAAAATGTTGTTGACATTGGTGTCGTCTTTGGCGCTGGCCTCGACAAAGGGAATGCCCAGTTCCTTGGCCAGAGTCTCACCCTGGTCGGTGGACACAGCACGCGATTCCATGTCGCTCTTGTTGCCAACCAGCAACAGCTGGGCCTCGTCGTTGGCGTGCTGGTTGACCGTGCTGAACCACTGCTTGATGTTGGCGAACGTGCGCTCATCTGTCACATCGTACACCAATATTATGCCCATGGCACCGCGGTAGTACGCAGTGGTGATGGTTCTGAACCGTTCTTGGCCCGCAGTGTCCCACAGTTGCAGCTTCACCTTCTTGCCATTTATGTCCACGGTTTTGATCTTAAAATCGATTCCAATCGTCGTAATGAAGGAAGGACTGAACTTATCCTCGACAAACCGCACCAGTAAACATGATTTGCCCACACCCGAGTCGCCCACAAGTAGGATTTTCATTATAGAGTCGTAGCTCTTAACGTTTGCCGACGACGAAGAAACTGTTCTGATTCCTGACATTTTGAGCCCGGGGATTATGCTACTGCTATTTCTTTCGCTTGCGAATACAGTCACCACTTGCTTACAGCCGCTCGAAGTGTCTACAAACTGGTAAACTGAGACAAATTCTGGTGTTATTTAGATAAAAGATGGAAATGATGATTTGGGGGTTTCGGAATGGTGAACTTATTTAGAATTCCTTCGTATGTAATTATTGAATAGCCTAGTCGTTAACACGACAAAGCGATATAAAATGATGGCAAGTAAGGCTCTAGTATCACTCAACATAGCCCATAATGTCTCGTATATTAGAATCGGGCTTGTTTGTTTATTTTTGCTTATTTCCTTATTTTTAGTAATTTTTGTAGCCTTTTCACGCGTAGTAACTTCTCCATAACACACCCTCGAGATCTTCGAGCTCCTCGGGAGTGAAAGACGCTCTGTCAAGATGCCATGTATCGGCCCGTACTTTCTTGAAATCACTTATAATCTCTTTTGCTGCGGCACCAGACATCCCACCGGTTCGAGCCCAAGAAGAAAGTCCACTCAACTGGGGCGGGATCCATTTGGGCAGCGGGAACGCATATGGGAATGCAGAAATCACGGCGCCGAGCCCGATCACAGAGCTGTGTATCTTTGTGTCTGTCTTGGACAATGCCTTTTTCTCAGCTGATGAATGCGAACCCAGTCCGCGGGCAAATTGAGCCATCAACTCTGCAGGTTTTTCGGCATCGCTTAGCGTGTGAATGATACCAGACAGAGCTTCCGCGGCCCGCAAACGAACCTCCACAAAACTCTCATTGTAGATGTGCCTCACCACAAACCGCAGCACCGATTCCTTCTCCTCTTCTGAGAGCTGCAGCATGTTTTTCGAATAGAAGTTTTCGACGAAAACCAGCTGCACTCGCAGCTCGTGGGAGGTTTTCAAATCCATGCTTTCGATGAGTCGCATAAAAATGGAAATGTACTCTTTGCGAAGCGACCAAAATGATATTGCCACATAGCAAGCTGTGGGCTCCAAATTTGCCAAAATGCAAACATCTTTCATTCGAATTAGATGCATCAGGAAAGGAGCTAAATAGTGCTCCAGATAGAGAACCAACACCACGCTGTTCTGTCCCTTCATCAAATCCATTACCCAGTTCAGCATCGTGGCTGCCATATAATAGTACCTGGTTTTAAGTATTTCATGCGCCGGCAAATCGACAACTTTCTGTCTTTCGCTCTCTATTGCTATGAAAGCATCTTTAAGTTTCTGGTCAAAATGGGTAGGGATTTTTCTTATGATTCGGCCCAAGCCGCCTTCATTTGACGTATACTCAATAAGTTCATGAACAGATTGGAAAGAAGGACTGAGTTGACTTTGCAACAATGTCGATAGTAATTTGGAAATTGCCTGGCGCACTTGATCGTAGGGATGATCCATGATTAACGAAGACAAAACTTGATCGGCATGAGGGGTCCTAAAGTCAAGGCTCAATAATAAGTTCCTCAATAACGAAATCTTCGAAGCCTGGTCTGCAGATGAGTCGGAACTGGTATCCAAAACATCTTTTACTTCGAATAGCTTCTTGTATAATGGCACACATCTCCTGAGATCTACCGATGTTGGCAGCCACCAGCACAGAATGGACCATATATCCACAGCATCTTGGTTCAATTCATGATCAAGACACGTATCCAGGAATTCTGCCAGAAACTTGTCCCTTTTTTCAAAATTTTCTTGTGATGTCATTTTTGAAGCTACAATCAAACCTGCCATAATCTCAACTGACATTATCATTGAAGACTTGTCGCTTTTATCATAAAGAGATTCGCACAGATCAAGCATATCTTCGTAGCAGATCTTCGTGCAATTATTGGTGTTTAACGCGACGAGAAGACCAAAAAACTCGATATTCGAGCTGCTAAAGATACCTTTTCCTTCGTTATCTTGAATGAGAATTTGGCATATTTCGTGCACCCAATCTTTGGTCATGTACTGACCAAACTCCTTCAGACAATTCATTTCGCTTGTCTTCAAATTAAATAAACCATCACAAGAGCTCTTTATGACTTTTAAGCGCCTCCCCCACGCAACATACCCAACGTACGCCTTAGAATCGATGTAAAAATTGGAACGCTCAAAGTTTTGCATTTCGCGACTGAATTCCTCACCAAAACCGTTTGTGTTTGTGTCGATAGTTTGCAGATTGTTCTTCAAAAAATCAAAATCAAAGGCATTTTTTAGGTCGTAGTCGCAGTCTCCAAGCGCTGTGATTTTGTTGCAGATGTTCAGGAAGCTCTTTATGGCGAGATGGACCATGCTGGGGTGTTTCTTTCTGGTCAGCTTCAGAATGACAGGAAGCACTTCTTTGCTAGTTGTTAGCTCAAGGCTGGACTGTAATTTTGACGTCAACTTCATAATGACAGTGGACACTTTCCATCCTATATCGTCTTCCGATTCCAAAAGACCTATCAGAAAATCTTGAAGCTTTTCGAGGAGTGAGATATAGAATCGACGCTTTGAGTCCTTGGCTTTCTGCACTGCCAAAACCTGTGGTAATATCGATGCATCCGCAGGTTTTAGCTCTTCGATCGCAGGCTTATCTATTAAGCAAACGCTTGAGGGCACTTTGAGACAGATTGAAATGTCGGTCATTATTTTTTCAGCGTATTTGGACACATTGAAATCCGTTATGCGACAAGCCTTGAACAACAGATCCAGAACCTGTCCAAGGTTGACGTAATCGGACATGATCTTTCGATGTATTTTCTTGATCATAAGCAGCTCCAATATGACTTCAATCTTCTTGTGCTCCCCCTCATCCAATGCAACTTGAAATGCGCTCAGTACGTGTTTCATCACAATGGGATAGGAGCCCATCAGTTGCTTCATTGCTAAAACCATACAACCCTGAGCTGGCTTGAAAATGTTCGGATACAAAGACATGGAGAGTTTCAAAATGTCCCGAAGAAGAACCTTTTCCAACTTCGATGGCGTCCTATTGGCTGAATGGAGAAGAACTCTTGCCTCGTGTAGAGTATGTGCTTTAGAAGCGAGACAGGTTCTCGTGTAAGGCTCATACAGGTGGGACAAGTTCTGGATGTTCTCCAAGAAGTCCATATCCAAAATTGAAGTTGGTTCATCCTTGAATAAGGTCTCTTGTCCAACGTCAGCAAACCAAACTTTAATGCCATGTAGCAAAATTTTGAAGAGAATTGTGTTGTCTTCAAAATTTTGAGAAAAGAACTTGAATAAACTGTGAAATAAGGACCCGATTTTGGAGCGGATGGATTGGATTTTTAGATATGTTGGGTTCATCATTCTTTTATGCGGATCGAAACCAAAAAAGTAGTTGCAACTGAATATGTCCAGGTCCCTGAACGCAAAAGTTCCGCTCATACCTAATCCGGTAGTATGGGCGCTATGCTGAAGTCCCGGCTCGGGAGTAGCAATACCTGACGGCAAATTCGATGATGAATCCTTGTTGAAAAGAAAGTCATCTGTATTGGCGCCTCCGCGGCTATCATTGATATGTATTTCATCCAGAGCATCTTCGAAAAGTTCAACAGACGCATCTGCTTCGGAATCGGCACCAGAGTCGCTTTTGACTTGTTCGGCATCAGGCTCCTCAGAATCACACCTTTTGTCCCTTATGCTCTTTAACAGCAGAAGCTTGTTTTTGTAGGAGTCTACTGGACGAAGCTCAGTTCTGTGCTTGTTGTAATCGGCGTCAAACAATAAGCTGGAACCCGAAAGGGTGTGCGTAATGATTAAGATGTATTTCTTCAGCTTGTCACTGTAAGCTGAGTCTTTTTCAGGGAACCTCATCATCTCGCTGATTTTTTTAGAGCAGTAATCGGTGAACTCTTCAAGCAATTCGGCGGCGAACTCGACTTCTTGCACAGTCGGAACGTGCCACTCGAAAGTGGTATTCTCCTTTGAGAATCTTCTTTCGTCGAACTGAAGCCCGCCCCACTTCTCATCATCTGAAATGTTACAATTATTCTGAAAAAGCCTGAAATCTACTACCTCGGTCGAAGTAAGACTTTTCAAAACATTGTGTAGGACCAAAGAGGTGTGGACGTCAAGAGGAGGGTTGGATATACTATCGAAAATGTGAAATAACAAGTCTTTGAGCTCTTCCTTGTAGTCGAGCATGGATGACCGCGACTGCCTCACTATATCACTTAGGGCGGTAAGGTAAGTGAGTAATTTGACATCGCGATGTTGAATTTCAGAAGAGCTTCGTATAGATCCTGCACCCTTTCTTATTTGGTCTTTAATGTTAAACGTCAAATTGAAAAACATTCTTTGGCCTAGTTTTGCATCTCTTCTGATGGCTGCACCCAGCGGAATAGTTATCAGTTCATAATTGGGCTCTCTCTCCTTGAAGTAGTCATTTTCCCAAAATAGTCTTTCGAGCACATCAACAAAATACTGAAACATGGGGTCTGACATCGATTCTATCATAATCATTGATGTCTGGTTTATTTTGCTAATAAATCCCTCCTCTAAGTCGCAATCGACAAGCTGGAATACTTTCTTGAGGTAAACACTAATAATGTTCTCGAACACGGTAGTTGAAGCTCGGAAGGCGGCACTTAGGGCATCCCCATCGTAAGGGAAGTCTGACGACGAATTGTCATCCTTTAAAGAATAGACGTGCTCCTCAATAAAGGGCAAGGTGTGTGACTCGAAACTCAAGTACTCTCCCTCTTTCACGAAGTTCTCTAAAGGAATGAAGGACGAAATCGAAACGATGCAGTTCATTATATTACTAGTGAGAGCCAAATCGTTAAATTCTAGCTTCGCGACAAGCATGGAAAGTAGATTCGTAATGTGTACGCGGAATAAGGGGTCCTGAATCATAAACCTAGCGGCCTTGGTGAACTGTTTCAGTGAAGAAATTAGGCGGTGTGCTGAGTGAATGTATAAATCAGCCAAAGAATCGTAAAGATCTAATAGGACTCTGTTGAACAGAATTTTCTTGTTCTGACAATCAATATCCAGCATGTAAGCCAGACATGAAATGTAGTAATTTGTCATGTCAGAATTTTTGTTTTGAGCACCCAGGAATATAACATTGTAAAAAGTATCCACGAGCTTAGTGTGACAGCTTTGGTTTAGCTTTAGATGGGATTTAAATTTACTCTGTGAATTTTCTTCAAATTTGACCCTCCGATGGTACATTTTTATGAACCCATGAACAAACTTAGCAATCACTTTGGTCCACGGTCCTGTATTGGAAGGATGTGCAAAAGTTTCGAGCGATTTGACGAGGCCTCGTAGCTTGTCAAAAAAGCTTCCACTGTTGGACCCGTTGATGCAGTAAATGAGAGGCCTAACAGTTCGACTAAAGGAAACAATTTGGAAGTCGTTTCTGAGGTGGTTTTGAATTCTATTGAAAATGAAATTGATCTGGTCTTCTGTCAAAAGTCCAAATTTCTCAAAGGAGACATTGCTGAGGCGTTCTAATCTCGGGCTCTCTTGCCGCAAAAGTTTTGAATGAGCATCTTCCGCAATGCATCCAACAAAATCGTAAAGATGAGTGTCAAAGCCAACGGAGGGCGTAGTTGTTGTCCATAAGGTAAACAAGAATGGGAAGTAGTCTGTAATTTTAGCATCTTCTTGATAATGATAGGGAACAAAAGACGTGATGATAGGAAATACGCTGTACGCAGTCAGCGGTGATAGACTGGAGATGAAATGATCCATAGTTTTTTTAAGAATGCTGTTGTCGTCATGACCGTAAAACGGCTTGGCGATGTGGCTGAGCTTAAGCAGCAGTCTAAAGAGCTGATTATCGGCTTTGGTTGACACGTCGAAGCGAGTGTATTCGGCGTCAGGAGATGGCAAAAACTCATCCAAAAACCCTTTCATCGGTTTATAGTCGAGTCTCAGTCCCGCGTCCAGGAGCAGTTCTGTGAAGTTAGTGCCTTCGTCGTCCGTGCTTACAAGAGCTTCGAACAGATCCACGTACATTGGCCGGTATACTTTCTGACCTTGCACCAACGAAAGGGTATAAAAAACTAATGCAAGGCTCTTCCTAAGCCTGACCGGGAACTCGAAATGCAGACAGTTTTTGAGTTCGTTTGCCCAGTGGTTGACGTTGATAATCGTAGTGGACTTGGCCGTGATTCGACCGGTGGCGCTGAAACTGAGACCGTCGACGTCGACCATTTCATCGAATTCGTCGTCCTCGTCCTCGTCGAAGTTGTGGATGTCGTTGAATGCACCGTCGTCGTTCTCGTCGCTCGAAAGCCGGAACATGTCGGTGCTCATGACCAGCTCGTCAATTTCGGACTTGAGATCCCCAAGATCCTTCATGGAGATTGACACGAGGCCCTGAATGTCCAGCGAGCTGACTGCAACGTACAGGTTCACCAAAATGTGGCATAAATACTTGGCCTGCTCTGTGTGCGTTTCCACGCGATAAGGGAGACAATCCTCTACCACGAAGTCCGGTTTGACGTCTCTGCAGAACCACCGGGACCGCACATCGTAGATCTGTCTGAAATGCTCTTCTCTATCCTCTAAGTAATCCAGATTGTAATGTTTTAAACGAGCTTTGGCTGCTTCTCTCCCCGTGTCTGTTTCTTCTGTCGCCCCTAGCTTCCCATGATTCAGTGGCGTTGCTGATCTGGGTCGCCTCTCAAGAAACGACGGGTTGGTCAATTGTGCTCCGCTTGCTTGAGTTTTTGCCTTCTTGGACCTGGTTAAATCCGTTCCAGAGTTAGACCGACTGGTTTTCATGTCCCTAAACCTCGTTCGCGCTATAGGTTCGGCTTTCCGGGGTGTTGGCGTCACAATATTGTACAGTTCCATATTTTTAAAAATTTCAGAGCCTTTGTTAAGAATCGAAAATTACAATATATCAATCAGTATATATTGGTAGAGAGAACAGGGCGTCGAGATACTTGGTAGATCAGTTAAACGTCTCATCTTAAGTAGAATCAGGTAAAATTACAACTATTTAATATTGTTAAGTTTTTATAGCTAAAACTGTTACCCCGGAAAATGGACTTGGGGGCGACAGGCTCGTGCCTCTGGTGATGCTGCTGCTGCTGCTGCTGCTGCTACTGTTGATAATGATGGTACTGACGTAAAAAAGACAGTAAGGTTTGGATAGCGTGATTCTCGCGTGAGAAGATTGTCGATGCGTGGATGACGGGACAAATAGCGAAGCGGTGACCCGCTAGTGCACGCTTAGGATGATGACAACTTTCAGTCTGCGTAGTTTTCGAGATTCAAGGTCAGGGCTTTAGAAGTGTTTTGACTTTGCTGACGGAACACACCCACCAGCGATTGCGACTTTTCAAACATGGTATTGATGAGGGAGATGACAATAAATTGCAGGTCCGTGCGTGCCTGTCTGCGAATGTAAGTGGCGATCCGTTCGACGTTGGAGACGTCAAGGGCAGCATCGACTTCGTCCAGGATGAAAAATGGGCTAGGCTGGAAGGAATTAATCGCAAACAGAAGCGCAAGCGCAGCAATCGTCTTCTCACCTCCAGATAGATACTCCATGTCCTTGAAGCGTTTCGTGGGCGGTGTCGCATGGTACCGAACTCCGGCCAGGTACGGCTCGTCCTCATCTTCCAGCGTCAAACTTGCGTTTCCCCCTGCAAGCGCAGCCGTTGAGTGCGGATCTCGGGTCAGCTCGCGGTAAACGCCCTCTATCGTGTCGCTGATGTGGTCAAATGCCTTGTCGAACGCGTCTTTTCTGACCTTTCTCACCGCGGAAAACTGCTCGCTGACTTTTTTCTCCACCGCCTTACTCTTCTCTGTCTCTGCGTAAACCTGGTCATATTTGATTTTGGCGTCTTCGTACCTCCCGGCGGCCTTCGAATTCGGTTGCAGCACAGTCAGCAGTTCATCCAGGTCTGTTATGTTCTTTTTGAATTCTTCCTCGACCTCAACGCCGCTGTCCTGGCGCAACTTACGGCTCAACCCGGAGAAATCTATTTGCACTTCGTCCGCAGCTTGAAGAGCCTCATCGTCCACCCGATTTAGCGAAATAGCTTCAAGCGAAGAAGAGCCCTCTGGCAGGTCAATGTCGAGCATTTTGCAATTCTTCAAAATGCTTATTTTTTCAAGAAGCGTCTTCTCAAGGTTTTCGGACTGCCCGGCATGCTTGCTTCTGCAAATGTTCAGGGTTTCGGTCATTTCTGAGATATTCTCCTCCAGGGAGTTCAAACCCAGCGACAGTTTGCTAACCTCTAGCTGTGCTTTCTCCAAGCGATCTTCTTCTTCTTTTATTTCGGCGTCCTCGTCCGAGATCTGTTTGACGATCTTGTTTCGGCTCGTTTCCAGGGCTTCGAGCTTTATTTTTGCCTTTTCTACATCCACTTGAGCTTTCTGCTGACGTTCTTGCGTTGCCCTGAACCTTTCAGTCTCGAACTCCAGTTTTTTTTCAATTGTGGCCATTTGCATTTGTAGCTTTCTGACGTCCTCTGATTGTTTGCGTATTACTTCCCCGGAGTGCGCTTCGTACTCTGCTGCTGTAAAGCCCATTCTTTTAGTGAAATCAGCATAGATGGATTCCTGGAGCTTATTCTTTTGCGCTTCCAGCTCGAAGATTTTCTGTTCGCGCTGAGCTATGCTGTTCTGGAGTTTCTCAATTTGAGGTTTGAACTCTTGCTCTGCAAGTTGCTTCTGGTAGTCAATTTCCACCTGCTTCTCTTTCAATAGCCTCTGAGAGTGGGAAAAACGAGTATTAAGCTCCGCCTTCTCAGCGCTTTTGAGCGACAGTTTATTCTCAAGATCTCGAATCCTTTCTAAATCAGAACGAGCCGAGGAAGAAAGCTCGGAAATTTCATTGAGAAGCGTATCTTTCAGGGACATTAGGTTTTGGTACTCTTCTTTGTCCCATCTGTTCCCAGAACTCTTTGATGTACCACCGGTCATCAGACCTGCTTTGTGCACGATGGCACCTTCCAGCGTGACAATCTTAGACTTAACGCCTTGCCTCCACCGTAGATCCTTAGCAATTGTCAGCGTGTCGCAAATTATAGCATCCGAACACACATACTGGAAAGCTTTCTCGAGTTCGGGCTCGTAATCGACAGCATCGATTGCTAACATGCAACCATCCGCATCTGCGGAGATCATAGAGATCTTACTAACTGATATCGTATCCAGAGGAATGAAAGAAATAACTCCAGAACGCTGTTTCTTCAAAAATGAAACACACTGTTGCGCGACCGACAAATTGTCAACTATAACTGAGTCAAAGTTCATGCCGAGCACAGTTGAGATAGCAACAGCATATTTATCCTTTTTAGGCTGACACAGGTCGTGGACAAGACCCCTTACACCTGGAAACAATCGCCTTAACGTTGAAACGTTTTCTCTGAGCTTTCGTTCTTTGGTGCTTTCTCTTTGGGTAGCATTCATATCGTCGAGCTTGATTAAGGTCTCTTTTAGTTTGTAATTCATCTCGTACTCTTTACTGCTGTTTGACTCGGCTCGCGACTGCAGACTCTTGAGTTTTTTGATCAAGCCCGTAACTTCGGCTGTATTTTCTTTTACTTCTTTGGCCAATTGATCAAAGTCCGACTCTAGACTCATCTGTTCGATACCTAGCTCTTCGCTCACCTTTACAATCGAATCATTTAATTTTTGAGTGTATAGCTCCATCTCATCCATGAGCTCTTGTTCGTCATTCTTTTCGAGAAGCAATTTATCCTCGAGAGTTGACCCACCAGAACTGAGATATAATTCTCTCAGGTCTTCGTATGTCTTTAGGTCTTCCTCGCTTAGTTTATACTCTCCGCAATTTTTTGCTGATTCTTCCATGTCTCGCTGAGCGCTATTTTTTGTTTTGCTGACGACTTCAAGTTGTTGAGTGTATTGTTTCAGCTGTGACTCTTGCCGGTCAACATCCTTTTGCAAAGCTTCTATCTTAGAGGTAGCAGTTTGAATTCGTTTTGAAGCACTCTCCTTCGAGCATTCTATTGGTAGAAGTGATGAATCCAAAGACTCCTTACTCTTCACTTTTGCCGAAAGTTTTATCCTCTGTTTAGAAATCACGCTCTGTGCCTTTGCGAATGAGACTTGCTGCTTTTTCAGAAGGCCCTCGTCCACACTCAGGCGCGCCTCGATGTCGCGAAGTTCTGCCTTTGAGCCCTCTAATTCTTTGTTCATCAATTCTTTTTGAGCCTGTAAATGGAATAACTGCCACACCACCAGACGTTGCTGAGTTTCTTTGCGTTCCTCAAGATACTTGCGGTACTCTTCGTCTCTGTCGATGCCCTCTTTGAAGCTTTTGAGACCAGCATGGGCTCTTTTTCTGGACTGAATAAGTTCAGAAGTGGCAGATCGGATCTTGTCTAGCTCTTCGCGCAATTTGTCGTACTCTTGCTTGTACTGTATGGAACCCGAGACGTGTTCGAGTAGGGTAGTAAGCTCTTGAGGTTTTTGCGATGCCACCTGTTCGACGTCACCTTGGAAAACGAGGAAATTGCGTGCTTTGATGAGAATGTTTTGGCTTTCGAGGAAATCACTATACTTTTTGTAACTCACGGTCTTGCCATCAATTTTGTAAGAGCTGTCCTGGGCGCGTGTAATTGTGCGGCAGAGCTCTACGTAATCATCGGAGTTGTTGGTAGCGCTGTAAAAGGCTTTCACATATGCAGAAGACGGGTGATTTGGGGTATCGTAAAGCCAACTTTCCGCAGCCGATGTTTCTCCTCCTGCCAAACTTCCCCGGTAAATGAGATCCGCCAACATGTGCGATCGCAGATGTACACTTTTCACGCCCAGCACGAACGAGATAGCGTCCATGAGATTGGATTTTCCGGATCCATTGGGTCCTATTATACTGGTGAAGTTAGAGTCCCCGAAACCGATACTTACGGTTCCTTTGTAGGACTTGAAATTATGAAGCTCTAAGCCGAGTAGACGTCCCATTTTGATCCCTGTGAGTTGATGAGGTCGTGAAGTGGAAGGCCAGGGCACTTGTGTGGTCTCTTGATGTGTTTTGCAACTTGTAAATCGATAGTGAGTCGCGTCAATTTTAACTTGCCGTTTCGAAACCTCTATTTTTTTTCACGCGTCTCATTATTATCACTTTCTCCCAATACTGACACCGAGAAAAACAACCATCTCGAAATCCGAGATGTCCTCAGAAATTCAGCTTCCACACTCATAAAACAAACAGTTTCGACGACGTCAAAGGCGCTTTTAGATACCTATTATTATACTGTACACTTGCAAGAGTTTTCATGCGTGCGATGACATTTCGAAGTTTTCCTCGGATGGCAATTCCTGGTATTTCGAGCTTGTGAAATACGTCGTCATTCTCCGGTAGAACCAGTAATTGAACTTGTTCATGTAGAAAATCGCAGAGGCGCTCAATACAATATAGCAGGCCTTACGTACAAGTCCCGAGCGATCTTCGGGCACTATGGTGCGGTATTGAATCACGATGTTGACCCCCAACAGAAACATAAGACTTGCGGTGATGACAACGGCGATACCACTCAACACGAAGGCCAGCAGAGATATTTGCTTGCCTTTTGGTACTGCAAATTGCGATCTGAATTTGGGGCCAAAAACCCGCGTTTCTGCATTATTCGAAACACGGCCGGTGCCTTTTGCTGTTCCTCTTTTCCTGAGGAACGGGGAAGAAGAAGAGCTGCCGTTGTCACTCATATCGATCTTTATGTGGAGGCAATAAGTAAGACTGGTGCTCAGTTTTTGAAAAAAGGCCTAACGCTAGATTTCAAAGCTTCTAGGATTTAGAATGATTCCAAAGAAGAGATGCTTTTCATAGCACATCACCACTTTCTTGTCTTGCGGACCGGTAAGCTCATCGGACTGCACCCACATAATATTTTTTTTCGCCCACTGTATATCTGCCAGAAACCATTAGCCTATTCTTGATCATGTGATGGGACTGGGACGGAAGACTGGGACGAAAGACTGTGTCACAGGCTGGTTCAGAAGTCCTCGCTTGGCACTGGTCTTTGGAAGCGACTTGGTTGAGACCAGAATTTAAGTGTGGTCACCTTCTTTCTCTTCTGACCTGCCAAAATCTAAAAACTCGAGAAAACTGTGACCGTCCCGTTCGACGGCAGCCACGAACTTTCTGTTGTTGAACTTTACCGACCACACTTGGTCTGCATCGCTCAGCAGATCTGAGTGGATGGGGGTCCCGTTTCTGAGATTGTACACGTTGAACTGGCCCTCGGAACCGCTCACGAGCAAATTGTTGTTGGCGTAGAAAGTGGTAATTGCACTCATATCTTTGGAATGATACGCAAACTGGCGAGAGTAGGTCTTAGAATCCCAGCCACGGAGCATTCCGTCAGCCCCTGCACTCACCAGAAACTTGTCGGAGAGTCCCAGAAGTCCCACTAGCGCCGTATGGCCTTGAAGTGTGAGCATAGAATTCGTAACCTTAATGCAACCGCTATTTGTCGGACCAATGACGTTACAATGCCCGTTTTTTTGCACGTCTTCCAAATCCCAGACCCTCACAGTCCAGTCCATCCCTGCTGATATACACCTGTTACGCTCGTGGTCGTAAATGGTGGAGTAAATGCGATCGGTGTGGCCCGTTAGTACGTACAGACATTTCATTTGCGCAATATCCCAGACCATGAGGCTAAAATCGTAAGAACCGCTGATGACAATGTTGCCGTGGCCAGAAACAGTGCGCACAGCAGCCATGTGGCCCCGTAAAATGCCAACAAAATAGGGATTGGAATCAGTGGTGCTGAAAACCTTGCAAGTGTTGGGATTATAACTCTCATCGTGACAGTTCGGAAGTTTCCACACATGTAGAGTGTGATCGCGGGATCCGGTGATTATAAATTTTTGCCCCTGGTGCTCAACAATGTCTAGGCATCTCACGGTCGAGGTGTGTCCTTTGAAAACGTGTGTGCATTTGCCCTCTTTGATGTTCCACACACGCACACTGCGATCGGTAGAGCCGCTGACCAGGATTCCATCTTGACCATATTTAAGAGCCCACACCCCACCGTCGTGTCCGCTTAGCTGAGTGATGAAACGCTCTTCCTTTGCATCGTAGACTCGTATGACTCTATCGTCCGCGCCCGTTATTACGTAGTCGTCTTCGAACTGGAGGCACGTTACGATCTTGACGGAGTGACCTCGCAACGTCGTTCTGTGTGGTTTGAACGATGCACTGTAGCAGTTTTTAAGATACGTGTGATTCTGCAGGAACTTGACACGGGTCATGTCTTCGTGTTGAGGGTCTTGTCGCGAGAGTGCCGTGGTTTCCTTGTATTTTTTGAATTCATTGAGAGACATGAACCCCTCACTTACCATAAGCTTGCGCCACATGTAGGGTGTGTTGTTCAGAAGACTGTTCCAAGTCTTGCTGACGGCCAGACATTTTGAAATATCTTCAAACCGCAGTTTTGTCAAGATGTTCATCGCTACTTCCACAGGTAGAGAGCTGATAAAGTCGCGTTTGAGATTGTCCTTCACCAGAGTGCCCAGATCCGACAGCTCGCTACGAGAGAGTTTGCTGATGAGCTGGAACACAAGGTTTCTGTACGCCGCCGGTGACAGCTGTGTGTGAGCTACCGTGGTCACAGCGCCCAGATACTCCTGCTGGGACACAGTATTGCGCAGCATGTATAGGTCTTCGACCGAGGCTGTATTGCTTGGAGACGCTATGGGTGAGAGAGGTAACCCATCGTCGCTCTGGCCACCTGCCAGAGGCAGGCCATTATTATTGTTATTGCCAACGCCGCTGGCGTTGTTAGGAGCTGTTGGGGCCTCAGATATCGGCGAGTCCTCCAGAGCCTTGTCGTTGTGGCAAACCTGTGGAACGGTACGCGTGTGTGCGACGGCTTCGTCGGTTTCGTCATTTATGCTGTATTTCAACAATCCATCCACGCTGGGTGTCCTGACAAGTTCCTCACCGTTGTAGATTTTCTGACCATTCTTGAACCGTTTTTGCTCGTATTTCAGTTCCGACTCATCATCTGCTTCACGCTTTTTTAGCTTCTCTCCTACCCCGGTGCCCTGAAACAACGTCATCTCGCTTCTCATGACGATTTGTTCCTCATCGCAGTCTCGCACCTGGTATTGGTACGGGACCGCGATGCTTTGCAAGGGATACTCGTTGAAGTTAGGAGTCATGTTGAAGTGCCCGACGTTTATGGTCGAGAGACGTCGTTTTGGCTGTCCTTGGCTTTTGAGGTTGTGTTACTTCAGACTAAGAAATGCTTGTCTTTACTTACTGAATAGCGACAGCGACCATTCGTAAAGATCTTATGAGCATGTGCTTTGGATGACACGATATTGAAAAGTGATGGAAAATATAAACAAACAATGTGTGAAGAGTATGTAGAGCGGCTGTGAGCGGGAAGAATGGCAGGGAAAATTGAAGACTAAGGTCGATGCGTTTGTGGGTCTTTTGGTCATTTTCCCGGCTCTAACCGGTTGACTAAAAATGTATTTACGGTGTGCTAGATGTTATCACGTGACTCTGTGACATAATAGTACAAGATGATATGATTTTACGCAAGCTCAAGGCATCTCAAACACGAGCTTGATCAACGACAACCGCTGTAGATATCGTTAAAAACCTTAGTTTGTGTCCGGTTATATGTAACGTTTAATGCGGACTGGTAAAATCGCTCTTTTGATTTTCTGCTTCTTTCTCATTCAGGTCTAGTGATTCTGCGCGCCCGTCGTTGTACAGTTCTGGGTACAACAATATCTCTAAATTGTGACAAAGACAATCCAATTACAACGATGATTATCTAGTTATCTTACGGTATTGGTGTCTAATGACAGAAGTATCATTGTCACGCTCGAATATCTCTCTGATCCAACTCCGCGCGCTGTATATTGAAAAATACATATTTACATATGTGGTGCATATATACGTATGGAATTTATAACACTCATGAGAAGAATACTGTCGTTAACATCGTCAAGGTCGAGAACAGCGTTATTGTATCATGCCAGTGGCTGTTATTGTTGGTAGTGGCGTCATTGGGCTTAGCATTGCTCATGAACTTCTTTCTTGCGGCAACTTACGCCCAAAAAAACTCCATATTATCGCACAACATTTCCCGGGCGAACAACCTATTAGCCACGAATTCACCTCTCCATGGGCAGGAGCTCATTTCCGGCCCTTTCCACATCGTCCTAAAACTTTTGACAGTGATGCCAGAGAATCATACTACACGCGGGTCACATACCAACGCATGAAGCAGATAGCAGCGCGATTTCCAGAGTCCACAATACAGCTCATGCAGGGCATTGACTATCTAGAACATCCACCGCAGGAATACGATGGGAAAAGCCCAGGATTCAATTCTGAAAGTCTCGAGAATTTCCACGAGCTATCCCAAGCAAGTTTGCCCCGGGGCGTCGCATCTGGCTTCCAATACGACACTTACTGTCTAAATGCGCCAGAATATCTGAACTTTTTGATGTCCCAGGTCAAGCAATTATGCGAAACTCATCAAGTCGAGCTTTTCATGAATAGAATGACTTTGCAAAGTTTGTCACAGGTACATGACATTTGTCCTTCCAACTCCGTGGTTTTCAACTGCTCGGGTAAAGGCCTTCAATACGATGGGACCTACGACCCAAAATGTTTTACTATCAGGGGTCAGACGCTACTTTTGAATGCGCCACAAGATACCAAATACAGTTCTTTGACCGTGACACACCAAGACAGGCACGGGAACTGGACTTTCGTCATCAAGCGGCCCGCCAAACACGGGCAAAACGCCCAATACATTCTGGGCGGCACAAAACAGCTCGATTTCGACGGCGTGGCTCCACGTGAAAGCGATACTCGCGCCATTCTCGAAAGAGGCCGCATCTTGTTCCCTGAGCTGATGGTGGGCAACGACTTTTCCATTGCACGCGTAAACGTTGGATTCAGGCCTGCCAGAGAGGGAGGCAGCCGCGTGGACTTGGAGCGCACACCACGAGGACCGGTGGTGCACTCCTACGGACTTGGCGGGATGGGTTTCGAAACATCTCTCGGTGTCGCGAAACACGCGCTCCAGCTGTATCGTGGTGAGATCAGCCGGGCGAAGCTATGATTATAAACATGAGATTGTAAAACTTAAGATTATAAAAACCGTCTGACTTTGACAGCTCTTACAATAAAACCAACGGCGATCATCAAGTTCGATCCATTGTTCGATATTCCGTGATAAAAACGGCGAAGCCATGATTATGCACATGGTAAACATTACAAAAAACGTCTGAATTTCAACGGCAATCATCGAGCTCGATCCTGTATTCGTTGTTCCGTGATAAATTCCACAACGCCGGGATCCTCATTGTACATATATCTATTCGACATTAATGGCGGAGTTTTTAAAAGTGTCACAGAAGATAAAATACTACTTCAAGGACGGTCAAAATCGGTCGAAAACGGTCGAAAACTCGAAAGCACTAAAGCCAAATTAATAGAATCACTAGCTTGGAGCCCAAATCTTGCTCATTTCATAGATTTTCATTCAATTTCTATGAGGTGACACACTCGTAGTAAGGTATCTTCTAGTGTGCTTTCGATAGGGATATGACGTTTATCTTACATATAAGTAATTGTATATATATATATATATATATTTATTCGTAAAAAGGTCAAGCGAGAGAAACGCTCAGGACTCAGAACAAGGTCGACAGACCGTGAATACCTTTGAACTCGTGAGTCTTAGTATCTACAATACACTTCAGAAAGTCTCGTTAAGATGGCCCAATCCAAGAGTAATCCCCCTAAAGTTCCAGAGGGCTGGAAAGCAGTATTTGACGAGGAATACCAGACATATTTCTTTGTGGACTTGAGGACGAGCAAATCACAATGGGAAGAGCCTAAAGGAACGTCTTGGAACAGTGAGATGCCCCCTCCTTACGCTGAGAGTCGTCCCGCAGGCAGCCCCTACGGACAAGCCGGAAAGGGCGCTTCTAGCAGTAACTTTTCACAGCAAAGCCAGCAGTCTCAGCAACAACCTCAGCAGGGCTATTCGCGACAGGGCTACGCTCAACAGGCGTTCCAGCAACAGGGTTATGCTCCACAGCAAGGCTACTACCCTCAGCAAGGTTACTATCCACAGCAACAGGGCTACTATCCACAACAACAGCAGGGCTACTATCCACAACAACAGCAGGGCTACTATCCACAGCAGCAGGCCCAGCAAGGCCGTAAAAACAACAAGGGGGCCCTCATGGGTGGCTTGATGGGTGTCGGAGGCGGTTTGTTGGCAGGGTCTTTGCTTACGTCAGCGATGATGCCACACGAGACGATCGTGGAGAACAACTACTACGGCAACGACAACAACGATTACGGTGGCGGAGGCGACTTTGGCGGAGGCGATTTCGGTGGTGGTGACTTTGGTGGTGGTGACTTTGGTGGTGGTGATTTTTGATGAATTTGAATGACAAAAAACATAATAGTTTCTGAGCCTTCGTCACATATATTTCGCGCCTCGATTTCACCCACTAGTGATATCAAGCTTATCAACGTCGATCTAGCCAAGTCCTGCTGTCCACAACGATTGGCTAAGTTTGGCTCCTGCGATTCTTACTGTTTGTCTTCAGGTCTGGCATGTGACCTTTGGTATAGGCCATTTGAAGTTAAATAATAGTCAATTTCTTATACAATGCTCTACACATGAGAAGTAGTAGATAGCTTCAAGAGTAGAACTTTACAAGAAACTCACACCGCAGGACGATGAGTAGTAGAGTGTATGATCCTATACATGACGTGTTCCAGAGCCGTGATGATCTGGAAGAAACGGTGTCAACCAGCGTGACAGCAGCATCGCTACCGGATGAGAATTCAGAGGACGAAGATGGGGATTCCACGCAAAGCGATGACAATGTCTCGCCATTGAACGATGGTGAACCACGCAGAAGAAGGACCAGAGAACCAAGCAAGTATATGCGTCACTTGAAAAAAGCCGACGGGGAGTATTTCAGTCGTAAAGAAATCCAGTACGAGTTCTTGCACGAGCTCTGTTCCGATAAAAGACCACTGTTCACTAATTGGTATCAAGACTCGTTTTCGATTTCAGCGACGGAAAGCCAAGAGCCCTTGAATGTGACAGACGATGCGTATGTGGCGCGGAAATTCATCAAAAACGAGAAACTGACGTTCTCGGAATACTATCTCCTGACGATAGCCTCGTCGACCAAGTGCTCCAAAATCTTGCGCGACAAACTATTGTTCGACCGCAACGTCGCATTCTCCACGTGTGCGTTGTCGCTTTTGGTCAACACCGGTCGTTTGAACACGACTATCAATTTCTTTCTAGAAATGACCTCGCAGTTGCGCACTTTCCACTCCATACCGTGCCTCCAGCGCGACGCACGCGATCCAAAGTCTTTGCAAGACACTCCAAGACTGAAATCAATACTCAAAAACTTGCCTTTGGGTAATGGCAACTTGCCACTGACGGATTTCTACGAATCTCCAGAACCTGGCAAGAAATTAGATGCAAACCCCGTTAATGTAATATTCCACCTTTGTGACAATTCTGCGTTGGTAAACTTGAAGTTTATTCAGCAGTATATCACCGACGCCGAAGACTTGACATTTTTCGACATTCTGGAAAATCCAGCGCTGGACCCTAAACAAAGAGCTCGGATCACTCTCTGGTTATTGTATGTTCATTTGGAAACAGACCTCACGAACGACGCTATTGCAGAATCTTTGCAGCTCTTCGGAGTAGATGGTAAGTTTGAGCTTAACTCGTCCGCCGACGACGTCGATGCAGACACACCGGAAGAGATCGAATTTGGCGAAAGTCAAAAGGCAAAGCGTAGAGAATTTCTGTTAAAGAACAATAGATTACCGCACAGTGCTTACGGAAGCCAAGATGACAACAAATCTTTAATGGAGCAAAGAAAGCTCGTCAACAGCCGAACAGAAGATCTACCAAAGGCTGCTGCTGCTGCTGCTGCGGCTGCGGCTGCGGCTACAGTTGTTGCTGCGGGTGAAAGTGAAACGGTTGGGATGAGAAGAAGATGCCAAAAATCAGGATTGAAAGGAGCTCAAAAGGCCACAACTAAGAGCAGCACGAATGTGGCGACCGAAACAGATCAACGTCCCGAGGTAACTAAGCCAGTGGTCGCCAAGAGAGCATATCGCAAGCAACAGAAGAAATCTACTGAACCTGTAATGGGCGCGGCCGCGGAGCCTGTGATAAAAGAGGAAACCCAAACGTCAGACAAGGCACAAGCCGAAAACGACAATCAGCCAAATTCAACTCCCACGGTGCAGCAACCGAAAAAAAGGCAGAGGAAGAAAGCGGTGTCAGATTCGCCAGTTACCCAAGAGATAAAAAATGATCTAATGGATGAAAAGAAGAAGGACGAAATGGAAGAGCTGATAAAATTTGATAAAAGCGAGAAGATTGCAGATAAACGTACTCACGACGATGTTTTGCGAGAACTAGATGAGGCACAAACACTGGCGCGGCACAAGCGTGAAGAACTGGGTCTTGTTAAGCTGTTTCAGGAGTTTGAAGATGTGACGATGGCCACGGTGATTGGGGTGCGTGGTAAAAAACGTAAGAAGTTCAAGGATGGGCTTTTAGGATTCGAGACAGATTTCATTCGTACTATAAATGGTGCAAAAAGGGCACTTTTGTCTAGCCGAAAGGCCCACAATGATAGTATATATGAATTCAAGTGACGACAGAATACATAAAGTTGATGCGATGAGTGGTGTAGATTCTAGGACATGACGGCCTTAATAAACTCGTGTAGACCGTGTTCCAGTCCGTATTCCTTGATGAGTGCAGAACAGACTTCGTTGGCATGTGGGATGCTTCCCATCTCGGAGGCAAGTTTGACGTTGACGGTTGAACTTGGGAAAGGAAGGCGATCGAAAGTGATGAAGAAGTAGACGTCGAGGGTGAGGTTGGATTTTTGAGAGCTCAACTGCAGGCAGTTCCTTTGAGACCTTAAGTGGGCTGTCAAATAACTGAACGAAGATGTTAGTTTTTCCCACAGATCGGTTCTGAACCTGGCGAGACGAGCATATTCGTAGCAACCGGATAGCAGGAAGGGCAAGTTGAGCGTTTGTTCGCAGTAGTGTGTAAGAGGCTCTAGAGGTATTCGGGAGGGCGAGACATGAGTCACGCTTAGGTGGGTTATTTGAGATTGGCGAGTTGCGTATCGGAGCGCTATTGACAGGTTATCGATGGAAAAGGTGACATGCACGGCAGACTGCTGGTGGTGATGGTGTTCGGGTTGGGAGGACTGGAACGAATGGATTTTCAGCAGCGGGTAGAGCTGTTGCAAACACTGCAAACGGGTGGGAAGGTCTAGCAGGGGCAAAGCATCATATTTGTGTATGAGTTGTTTGGACTGGAGACGTTGTGCTTGGAGAAGGAGATCGTTGTAGTCGGCGAGAAGATTATCGCGTTCGGCTACGAGCTGATTTCGATTCATGACATGAGAGGCGAAGTGGTTTCTTGTTTCTCTGGTTTCTCTTGTTTCTCTTGTTTCTCTTGTTTCTCTTGTTTCTCGCAATCATTCGTTATTGAAAACTAACTCTAGATAAATCTAAATAAGGGCCGAGGCGGACCGGTTTCAAATGCTGACTAGTGGAGGAGAAACGGAGTAGAATCGTCGTTGAAAATCGTAGCAAATAAAGAAGACAAAAAAAAGAGAATATTTTGAGAGTGAAGAAAGGGAGGGGTTCTTGGGATGCTAATTTTTCCGAACCTTTGAACGCTGCGCATTCACTTGGTCTCGTCGCCGCCGTGGAGGGACTTGCTGACGTACTCGGCCGCGTCATTCAACTTGGACTTGGCCGCGTCCACGTACTCGCCGGCGGTCTCGGACATGGTCTTGCCCGTGGCCTCGTCCTTGCCCTTGCTGGCCGAGTCCGAGACGCCTTGGAAGACGCCCTTCTTTTCCTCTGGCTGCACGGCACCGGCGGCCTTGTCGGCCTTGTCGGTGACGAACTCCTTACCCTTTTCGTAGGTCGACTTTTCAGAGTCAGGCTTGATCTTTTCAGCGGCTTTGTCGGAGAAATCTTTTCTGTATGAGTCGGACATTGTGGGTGGTGTGTGTGTGTGTGTGTGTGTGTGTGTGTGTGTGTGTGTTAGTTACGTATGGGAAGTAATCTATTGATTGCTGTACTGAAGGAAGAGAAAAAAGAGGTGAGTAGAAGAGAGGAAAAAACCTTTTCATCCTCTCCAATTCCCTGGCCTTTTATACTTTTGTCTTTTGGACTCCCTTGGATTCTCTTGGACTCCTTTTGCATTCCAGCAATTCAGGGGTCATCAAAACTACAACCAATTGCCTTTTGCCACCCTGTCTAGAAGCAAAACACAATGAGATCATTGCCCATCATTCACAGCGCTTCTTGTTCCCCAACAGCAATAATTTGCTGTCAGTCATGTTGTCTCTGCTACAGATTTAGATGGCGGAGGGCAAACGCGGAGTATAGCAATAAATAGAAAAATTAGTGTCAGCCTACAAGCACACTCGAAAGACTGTTGACCAAGTGAGAGCGAAGGATACTCGAAGCAGTAATGAACAGGTGAGAGCGAAGGGTACTAGAAGCACTATTGAACAACTGAGAGCGGAGGGTACCACGAGCACTACTGAACAATTGACAGCTTTAGCGATTAATTGTGAGTGAGTATAAAACTCGAGTGAGTAGAAAACTCGAGGGGGTAGAAAACTCGATTGCTGATACTCTCAGTCGAGAGGGCTGCAAGCACTATGCAATTGAGAGCGCCAGCGAGCAGTTGTGAATAGTCGAGAGGGCTTTAAGCACTATACAATTGAAGGCGTCAGCGATCAGTTGTGAATGGTCGAGAACTCTCAGTACGTAGAATGGCTACAAGCTACGAGCACGATGTATAGATATAGAACTCGTAGTACTCGCTGTGAATAACTAGAGGGCTACTAGCGTCAGCCTCAATTGTGAAAATGAAGGAGAGCTACAGGCACTATTGGCCAGTTGTGAATAGAGCACTGCTAACAGGCGCAGTTGAGCCGTCAAGAGCGTTAGCGATCAATTGTGAATGGCCGAGAGAGCTCCTAGTACAGTCGAGAGGCCTGCAAGCACTATGCAATTGAGAGCGCCAGCGAGCAGTTGTGAATAGTCGAGAGGGCTTTAAGCACTATACAATTGAAGGCGTCAGCGATCAATTGTGAATAAGTGAGGGCATAGTGGCATAACTAGTTTCTTTGAGCATGAGTACTATCACGAGTATGAGTGCAATTGAGAGCGGCTACAAGCACTATCGAACAGTCGAGATTGTTAACGATCGACTGTGAAGAAGTAAGAATTCGTAGTAGTAGTAGTAGTAGTGGTAGTAGTAGTAGTGGTAGTAGTAGTAGTAGTAGTAGTAGTAGTAGTAGTAGTAGTAGTAGTAGTAGTAGTAGTACTAGTAGTAGTAGTGGTAGTACTAGTAGTAGTAGTAGTAGTACTAGTAGTAGTAGTAGTAGTACTAGTAGTAGTAGTAGTAGTAGTAGTACTAGTAGTAGTACTAGTAGTAGTAGTAGTAGTACTAGTAGTAGTAGTACTAGTACTAGTAGTAGTAGTACTAGTACTAGTAGTAGTAGTACTAGTACTAGTAGTAGTAGTACTAGTACTAGTAGTAGTAGTACTAGTACTAGTAGTAGTAGTAACTTTGAGCGCCATTGAACGCGACACCTTTAACGATCAATTGTGACTAAATGAAGGACCCGAAGAACACATAAACAATTAAGAGCGTTGGCGAACGATCGTGGTTTATTGGATCGCTAAGAGTACGAAGTGAGGGCCTAGTGCTAATACAGCTTCCTCGAGCACAACTGCAATCACCAGTACGAACACATTCAAGAGCGTCAGCGAAAGTGGCTACAAGCACCATGAAACAATTGCGAGTGTAAACGATCAGAAGGGCTACATGGAACAATTGAGGCCTTCGGCGATCAATGAATAAAGAGAGCACTACAAGTACTATTGAACAACTGATCGAGACTGCTCTCAATTGTGAATATGTAAAGACCTTAGCGTTACTGAACAATTTAGAGCGCAGTGGCTACAAGCGCTAGCGCTAGCACTCGTAACTATGTTAAAAGTAGGGCTCTTGCCTAGAATCAAGTGCTCGTAGCCATTTTCTGTCAGCTACAGTCTTGCAAGATCCTAAGGTGACAGCGATGTTTGTCGGCGTATGAGTACAGGAGAGCGTTAGCGATCAATTGTGACTTCTTAGAGGACTCGAAGCACTTTAAATTGAGAGCTTCAGCAGTCGGTTGTGAACAAGTAGAGGACCCGAAGCACTGCACAGTTGAGAGCTTCAGCAATAACTTTTGAATAAGCAAGTCAGCTACAAGCACAACTGACAATTGAGAGCGTCAGTAGTAATACGTATGAAGGCTGCAAGCACAATTGCACCATTAGGACTGTCAGAGATCAGCTGTAAAAATATGTTATTGGGCTCTTAGTGTTCCCAAACATTCGCTCGCTGACGCTCTCGATTGTGAGAAAGGAAATAGCTCGTAGCAGCTGTAGTGACTACAAGCACTATTGAACAGTCGACTGAAGTAGAGCATTCTTGGAACATTTGAACAATAGAGCGTCAGTCAGCGACAACGTTAGAATGAGATTACGTAGCATGGCTTTCCAATTTCCCTGAACAATTAAGAGTGATAGCGAAAATAATTCAAATGTCTACGAGCACGATTGATCACTTGGAGCTCCAGCGAAAATGCAGAAATATTGTAAAATAATGGAATTCTCGTAGCATCACTGAACGATTAATAGCGTCAATTTTCAATTGTGAAGAACTAAACCGCCTATGAGCACGATTGAGCCTTTGAGAGCGATAACGATTAGTTGTGAAAAGTAGGAGGGCCACAAACACTATTGAACAATCGAGCGTCAGCAATCAAATTTGAATCATTGGAGCATTAGCAGGACAACATTGTTAACGTGAGTTAGTACCGAGCGCGATGTACGACGTGTACAAATAACCATCCCACGTTTTGACACTTGAGAGAGTCGGCCAGTTGTTCAGTGATATCGATATCTCTCAATTGATCGTCGACGGTCTCAGTTGCTCAAGCTTGTGAGATAATTGGTCGCTAACGCTATAAATTACTAAGTGATGACGAGAGCTCTAGCATTGCTGCTGAAAGCTCTCTACTGATGTTGAGAGCTCTTCATTGATCCTAAAGATTTTACACTTACAGCAAATTCATGGCTAGTGCTCTCAATTGTAAGCCCCACTTGTAGCCCTCTTTTCATTCACAATTGATCGCTGACGCCCTCAATTGTTCAATTGTGCTCGGAATTCTCTATTTTTTCACAGTTGCTCGCTTTCGCTCCCAATTGCTCAATAGTGCTTCGAGTTCTCTGGCTCGTTCGCAATCGATCGCTAACGCTCTCAGTTGTTCAATAGAATTACGAAACTCTAGATTGTTCAACTGTGCTTTCACCAAATTAGCCGCCATTGTTTTATTTCCCGTTAATTTTTCAGATCCCGATCACTTTTCACGCAAGAGTCTTTTGACCAAAGATCATTGGAAATATCTCGAAATTTCTGGATTAAACTATCACTGCCTTGAACAGGTTAAACTCAAGAAACAAGTCGTCAGATCGCGCGAATTTGAATTGTCACATTTGAGGACTGTCTTTTATTTCTATTGTTCTGCAAGTGGGACTTTTCACGCTAAAACTACGACTTGTCCCCATTGAAATAGCTTGTTTTAATGTACCGCAACACTTTGCTCAAGGAGTTCACAAGAGTCAGAAGTGTGGGTGCTCACCCGCGTCTTTTGCGCGTTTCAAGGCCCACAAGAGCCTTCCACGCAAGTTCAGCGCTTTTAAACGAGCTCAAAGACCCTTACTCAACGCTGGGAGTGGGCAAAACGGCTAGCTCATCGGAAATCAAAAAGGCCTACTACAAGCTAGCAAAAAAATACCATCCCGACATCAACAAGGCCTCAGACGCCCAGAAAAAATTCCATGACTTGCAAAATGCTTACGAGATTCTGTCGGACGACTCCAAAAGGCAGCAATGGGACCAGTACGGCCCAGCAGCCTTCTCACAAGGTGGTCCCGGTGGAGCCGGCGGAGCAGAGGGTTTCGGTGGTTTCGGAGGCTTCGGCGGTGCAGGTGGGTTTGGCGGTGCTCAAGGTTTTGGTGGTGGGTTTGGAGGCATCAATTTCGAAGATTTGTTCGGAGCTGCGTTTGGGGGCGGTGCCGGTGGTTCTGCGCGCGGAGGCGGCAGCCGTGGCCGTTCTATGTACCGCGAGTATCAGGGAAGCCCTATAGAAGTCATACATCGGATGTCTTTCAAAGACTCCGTGTTTGGGGTGAAGAACGTAAAGTTGAACTACAGTGCGTACGATCCCTGTAATACTTGTGACGGGTCTGGCTTGAAGCCCGGCGCCTCAAGAACTACTTGTCATGTGTGTTCCGGTACCGGAACTCGTGTGCACGTTCGTGCTGGTTTCCAAATGGCCTCGACATGTGACCATTGCGGCGGAGAAGGGTCTGTAGTTAAGAGCTCGGACACTTGTCCCACCTGTCACGGAGAGGGTGCCACACTCAATAAGAATCACGAGCTGAATGTCGATATGCCCCACGGACTTCAAGATGGTGACGTTATTCGTATTACTGGTAAAGGGTCATACCCAGCTATGCAAGTGGATCCTGCTATGAAAGATTCGATTCGTTTATCCAGAGGTGACTTGTTGGTTCGTATTCGTGTGGATAAGGATTCTCGTTACCAGATCAAAAACAAATACGACATTTGGTTCACGCAGGATATTCCTATCACCACTGCTGCACTCGGTGGTGTCGTGACCATTCCTACCGTTGACGGCGAGCAGATAAGGCTCAAAGTTGGAGCAGGAACACAGCACAACGACGTCGTTTCGATTCCTCAAAAGGGTGTTCCTAGAGGAGCCTTCGGATCGCGTGGCGACATGAAAGTCCAATATAGAGTGGTAATCAAGAAACCGCAATCTCAGGCTGAGAGGTGCTTGTATGAAGCCCTTGCAGACGTTACCGGTGACATGCAGGCAAAGAGATCAGTTTTATCGTCACCTGTCGTGGAGAAGGCCAAGGATCAAACAAAAGGTCAAACGGAAAGCGATACCCCCAACCCTGACGCGCCAAGCGCTTTAAGCAAATTAGAGGATTTCATTTCCAATACTTTTAAAAAGATCAAAGGCGACAAGAAATGATGGATGCGCTGGATGGGTTATTAACTAGCCTCGAGTGAATTAAGGGGACCATTATTAATGAAATTGCCGCTTGACATTTTCCAATAATATCACAGCTTGTAAATAGAATACTTTGTCGTGCAGTGCTCGTGTATATAGAATCGAAGTACTAATCCTCTCCGCTAGCTGGCGAGTATTTGGAATCGTTGAAGGAACGACATAATAGTACAAAGTGATACATGACAACTCTTGGTAGAGCGACGTCAGCGAGTCTATATCGATAGCGTGCAATTGCCTAGTCTAGTCTTTCTTGATGAGATTTTAACGAGTGAAGATAGGGCTTGATCAATTCACTCTGGACAACTCATCAAGTAAGGCCTTTCGAGTTTGTTTATTGCAACAAAGTTTCTGGCGAGATTTGCATGGCCGTGACAAGGACGAAGGGAACATAACGAATGTCATCTACTACGCCATATTGACGCCTGGATAGACTGCCATGAAATGGAGCAAGCTCTCAGAAACTCGATTGGCGATGCTCGAAGCTCAAGTCACATGACAGATTTTAACCGTTTAGCATCGTAATTGCAATAAAACAATCATCAGCGACTGAAGGTTCTCATTCTAGAGAGTCAATTCACCCCAAAACGGCTCTTGATCGATGTTTTCACTTGCACAACAAAATTTCTACTACTACTATTTCGTGACGCATATCTTCACGACCATTTTGGTGGACTCGACTGTTGTTGTGCCGGAAAAATTCCAATTCACCAAATGGCTCGTAGACTACCATATTTCGCTGAACAACGATTTTCTGCTATATGAAAGGCCGGCCTGGCTGTGGTGGTTTGTACTCGTCGAGTGCGTAGGTCAATTGCCTGCTTTTTTTTGGTTTGCGTACAAATTAAGGCATATTTGGGCTCTGAGAAAAGCCTCCAGCGACGACAAGACCTCGAAAATGCAGTTAAATGCAAGCAACAAACAACTGCTTTTTTGGCTCAGAGTGTATGGATGGAATGCCGGGCTAACTACGTTATTCTGTCTATATACGGTGTGGACGCGGGGATATTACCCAGAAGGCGAATTTTTGCCAATGAGTGTGGAGGACAAATTGAAGCTCATGGCCGTTTACTGTCCATACCTGATTATCCCACTTCGTTTGTGCTTCTTGTAAAATCTGAATAAAGACTGCTGGGCAACAAAAACTACGTAGATATTTATTATCATGTCGAGTTTCTAGCATCGCGAACGTCACGTCAAGAACTAACTACGCCTGTTGCTCGTGGTGGTCATTATTAGACCCTGAACCTATAGAAAGCGCGTTAAATTCTGGTCTTCAAGCGATCAACGGCGTCTTTGTCGTGTCTGTAATGTGTGACGGTTTTTGAGCCGGTATTATTGAATATAGAACTACCTTCGAACGACTTCTAGCTTTAATGGCGGACTCTTTCAATCTGATCACAACGGTATATATAGAGAGAAAGAGAGCATTCTAAAATCGCAATGCCTGTCCTGCCACCTGGTTATTCAATTAGGAGACTACAAGCTCGAGACTTCGAAGACGTGGTCGAAACCTTGAAAGTTTTGACGGTTGTAGGTGATGTGACACGAACTCAGTTTGAGGAGACCCTTGCATATTGGAAGAGTGTAACATTGAAAGTTGGTGCTCACTCAGTGCCCACTTATAACCCGCATGTAGTTGTGAATGCAGGCGGCAGGGTTGTGGCCACAGGAACCGTTCTGATTGAGCGTAAGATCATCCGTAATTGCGGATTGGTGGGCCATGTGGAGGACATCGCAGTGGCAAAGGATCAACAGGGGAAGCAGCTGGGACTACTATTGATCCAGTATTTGACCGATTTAGCACACGAGACCGGGTGCTATAAGGTAATTCTCGACTGCGATGAGAAAAACGTGGGATTCTACGAGAAATGTGGGTACCGCAGATGCGGGGTCGAAATGGACCATCGACTGTGATCAAGAGCCGTTGCAAAGTCCAGAAAAAGTCCTTCGTGGAAATAAAATTGGGGCTCCTATCTACTATACATGTACCTGTCTACCTCACCGGTGGGGCAATTCGCTACGCCAAAGTTTCTAGCGCTTCTAACGATACTATAGAATTACCACGAATTACGGATTGCGACCCGATAGGCGTCTTGGTCCCGTCTTTCCGAACCTCGACTGCGTCGTCCAGTACCACGTTCAAAAAGATGTCGAATCCTCGTAGTACACCAATAAGCTTCCGTGAACCATTCAGTTGCAGATATACTGTCTTGTCCATGTACTGAGAAAGGTTAGTAAGTTGTACACAATAGGGAAAGTCACTAGATTAGAGAACGAAACATACTTTCTTCAATTCCGGTGTTGATACCATTGCGTTGATTGTGTGTGTGGAAGTGTGTGTACTGGTGGTGTCAGTTATGACATCCGTCGTGTTCAGCCTTATCGAAGAGCACACGATGAGCTCTAATTTTACCAAATCTACAACAATTCGGTCACGTGATATGTTAAAGTATCACAGAGTACCTACTTCGCGCTGACACTTTAGTTACTCTGGACAGTGGCGTGGGAATGTTCGAGTTGACATTGACTTTGCTTGATTCAATCCAAGAAGAATGATCTTCAGAGCTTTAACGACTTACTTTCAAACTCAAGGTAAACCTGCGCGCCAGTCAGGCGATTTTTGCACGAGAGACCGGCGTTCCTTGTATGACGGGTCCTCAAGTATGATTGCTCTATAACGCCGGCTATTACTGTTCAGACTTGAAACTATAATCTTTCTTTTCTTGGAGTTCTGAAAGTAGTGCCAGGGTTTTCGTGGTCATTTGAAGCATGGCTAAGGGATTCCTGGGGCTCGAAAAGAGGCTTTCGGGGCTCGAAAATCTATGGCTAAATTCCAAATATCGAGCAACTACAACTAGGTATTCCGTAAGATGACATGCAGTTTAATGAACAGTAGATATTGAGTTTATATCCAAATGGCTACCCCGTACAAACCAAATAACTAAGTCTTCCACTGACCAAGGTGCGAATGCAAAACTTCTTTTCAAATCCTCAGAATCGGCCGACATAGAAATGTTATAAATCCGAAATTCAAAGTAGATTTTGTATCGTGCCATAAACAATCTTGACGCCAAAATAAGCTGGTAAGATCTAGTCTTATCCAGCCGTACTCGACATTCCTCATGCCCTTCACAATCGAAGAGCAACCAAAATGACACATTGTCCGCCTAGTGATCATAGATCGCGAGGTTTTCGGAATTCCGTATATCCCACCGTATTCGCCCTCTTCTTCAACAAATGGTTTCGTGGTCTAGTCGGTTATGGCATCTGCTTAACACGCAGAACGTCCCCAGTTCGATCCTGGGCGAAATCAATTTTTTGGATTTTTTGAGCCAGTATCGCTGATCAAGATCATTATATACGAGATAAGTGGCAGATCTTCTCATTATTGTCCAACAACTAATCTCATATTACCATAAAAGGCCAACGAGCTTCGTGCTGCCTATTCCGCCGGTGCCCGTGATCTTTCTCTTCAATTTTAAAACCTAAAAATCTCAACCCAACTTCGGACCCGAAAAAATCGCATCTCCTCCAAAAATCATGTTTTCGAGCCGCTGAAAATTTCTATAGCCACTCCAGAATATCCAGTTCCAAAATAGATGGGCACCTAAACGTAAAAGTGCTGTACTTAACAGTACAAGTTGCCTTGCGCGTCTTCGAATTTCTCAATTTCATAGATCGCTTTGTACTAAACGTCACCAAACTTCATGTAAAAAAGTGAAGTATATAAAACGTCCAATAGATAATTACCAAATTGTGGAAAAAAGTGAAGGGGCCTTCGCACAGCTGAATCCGATACCGACTATAGATCTTCCAGAGATCATACTCATTGTTAGACTTTCAAGCACCGTTGAACAAAGTTTTTAGCTTTTTCCCAGGCTTTCTCTAAACGAATTACTATCAGTGTAATCAGTTGCGTTTGAAGATTTGACAAATATGTTGAGATTCAGACTTACAAGCGGGTCTTCCAGAAGATTCCTAAGCCAAACCTCGGGTTTGTTGGCTGCTAAGAAACAGCACGATCTAGTCATTGTGGGAGCTGGTCCAGGTGGTTACGTGGCGGCAATTAAGGCTGCTCAGCTTGGCTTTGACGTTGCGTGCGTGGAGAAACGTGGAAGAGCTGGTGGTACCTGTTTGAACGTGGGATGTATCCCTTCGAAGGCGTTGCTGAACAACTCGCATTTGTACCATCAGATGAAACACGACTCCAAACAGAGAGGTATTGACATCAACGGTGACGTTGCCATTAACATGGCTCAATTCCAAAAAGCCAAGGACACTTGCGTGAAACAATTGACCGGCGGTATCGAGATGCTGTTCAAGAAGAATGGCGTGACCTACTACAAGGGTCTCGGGTCTTTCGAGAGCGAAAACAGCATCAAGGTTTTGCCTGTCGAGGGCATTGAGGGCAGCATCAAAGAAGAAACTCTTCTAGAAGCCAAAAATATCATTATTGCCACCGGATCTGAGGTTACTCCTTTCCCAGGCATCAAGATTGACGAGGAAAGAATTGTCTCCTCCACTGGTGCTTTGGAGCTAAAAGAAGTACCCAACAGACTCGCTATTATCGGTGGTGGTATCATCGGTCTAGAGATGGGGTCTGTTTACTCACGCTTGGGTTCCAAAGTGACTGTTGTCGAATTCCAGCCCAAGATCGGTGCCACCATGGACAACGAAGTGGCCACCACTACTCAAAAGTTCTTGAAGAAACAAGGTTTCGACTTCAAACTCGGAACCAAGGTGGTCTCTGCCGAAAGAAACGGCGAAATCGTGAACATCGAAGTGGAAAATGTCAAGAGCGGCAAGAAGGAGTCTTTGGAAGCCGATGTCTTGTTGGTAGCTGTCGGCAGAAGACCATACGTGCAAGGTTTGAACTGTGAAGCTCTTGGTCTAGAGGTGGACAAGAGAGGCCGTTTGGTCATCGATGAACAATTCAACACCAAATACCCGCACATCAAAGTTATTGGTGATGTCACTTTCGGCCCCATGTTGGCCCATAAAGCCGAGGAAGAAGGTATCGCAGCTGTAGAGTATTTGAAGCACGGTCATGGCCATGTTAACTACGCCAACATTCCTTCCGTGATGTACTCCCACCCAGAAGTCGCCTGGGTCGGCAAAACAGAGGAGCAGCTAAAGGAAGATGGCATTTCTTACAAGATTGGAAAATTCCCCTTCATGGCGAACTCAAGAGCCAAGACCAACATGGACACAGAGGGGTTCGTGAAGATTTTGATCGATGCGGAGACGGAACGTCTATTAGGTGCTCATATTGTGGGCCCTAACGCCGGTGAAATGATAGCTGAAGCCGGACTCGCTTTGGAATATGGTGCCTCTGCTGAGGACATTGCCCGCGTGTGTCACGCCCACCCAACTTTGTCGGAAGCATTCAAAGAGGCCAATTTGGCTGCTTTCTCTAAGTCCATAAACTTTTAAGGTACAACTTCGAGATTGTTTCTCTTATTTACCAAGATTTAGCAAATAAATATGCACTACAACTCAAATATTCTCACTAATGTTGAATTGAAAGCCTGAATGATCCATCGTGAGTCGTTGTTCAATGAACAGTAGCCACACGCACCGTTCCGCCGTTTTAGGAGTAGCCAATAAACTGCTGTGTAAAAAAACACAAAAATAACTGGACGAGACCGGAGTCGAACCGATGACCTCTCCCATGCTAAGGGAGCGCGCTACCAACTACGCCACACGCCCATTTTGATGTAAGAAGAATAATTGCGTAGAAATATATACACACTAGCTGATCATCTATACATACAAATTCATCACCAGGCATTCACACCAGTCTCATCTATTTGAGCGGTCTTCCAGTATTGGTCTTGAGCTTTCACCACACGTCGCCTTCTAATGGTATATTCTATCAACTTCTCTTTAACATACTCATGTGCAAATCATGAATTAATGTTTTCGACAAATTACGAACTTTTAGGAAACGAATCTCACGGAACAACGGCGGTCACTCAATTTCTCTGCTTAAGAAAAACTGTACAATTTCAACAACACTAACATCAACTTTAATTATATATGGGAAACTACACGCAAATACAGACTAATTAATGGGCTAAGTCAACTAGTTCCAAGACTAATCAAAGACGAATTCTCTAGATCGAATATCAACAAAGGAGCCTGATATTTTTATAAGTATTAAGGGATATCAGAGGCTCAAAGTTAACCACTCCCAATTGGCGTTGTCGCCAGCATTCTTCTTTTTGTCCGGAGACGCCATATTATCGGCACCGCTCATAAGACCGGATTGTTCGCCTCCTATAGAGCCACAATTCATGGTAAACCCGTTGGTGCTGTCGTTTCTTACAGCCGATTGCGCCATAGCTTCATCAAAGCCCTCACCATCTGAGGTATGCTGATCGGTGGGTGGAGGATTGGACCACTGATTTAAGAAAACGTCAAGACCATTACCATTCGGATTGGGATTTGCTAGTCCCAAAACACTGGCGTCCTTGTTCGAAGGGTGGTCTATTTCCATGTCAGAAGGGTTGACTGACTGAGATCTTTGAGAAGATTGTTGCGCTTCCGTAGATAAAGCCGGTGCAGGGGTGGGGGTTCCTGACCCGCTCTCACTGCTCGCATTCATTTCAAATTCCCGTCCGGACATGCCTGACTTGAATTTTATTTTCGTGGAACCAGCTTGTGATGCATTCAAAACGCTTGTAGAAGATAACTTTTTCTTGGTGCTAGGCCTCCTAGCTCTCGGTACTACGTCTTTGGCTGATTGCTCTTCTTTAAAATTAGTGATCGCCTGTCCAGACGCCTTGTTAGAGGTTCTTTGACGCTTCTTGATCACGTCTGTTTTCAGTGACAGAGGTCTGACCACGCCGTGCAGCTTCAAAAAAAGTCCGCATGCATTGCACAGAGGATTGCCGTCCGGATCTCTTCTCCACAGCGGCGTCGTCTTGGTGTTGCAATTAGTACATTTCGTTTCTGTCTTGTTAGCCGCATTGCCTACAGTGGAACCTGCCCCTGCAGAGACTGGTCTTCGAGCAGTGTGCTCAGTCAAACCATTTTCCTGCGATATGCTGTTTACTAAAATTCCACTGCCGCTGTTGATGGCTGCGAAACTCGAGCTACTTCTTCTGGAATTAGGCGGTTTAATTTGCTTTTTCCTTACGGCATTAACGTTGGCCGAACGACGCGACGCTTGAGACGTAGGCAAGGAGCTTGCAGCTATAGCTGACGAGCCTGGCGAAGAAGAGGCCAACCCATTGGAAGGTCCCTGCCATGCTGAGCTGGGCCGCCCAATGGAAATTGGAGTGACATTGGAATTCCTATCGTAAAGGTCGGGCAGCGAAATTCGAGAATTAGTGGCGTGAAGCGATGGAAGCGTGGGATTGAGTTCATTATAACCCTCATTCACGGAATGTAAAAAATCCTGTTCATCAAAAAACGTTTGACCTCCCAGGACACTAGAATTGAGTCCTCCGATGGTCACAGAACTTGAAAAGGCAGTCGAAGACGGCACAGATGCACCCATGTGATTGAATACAGAAGAAGTGGCAGATGCAGGTGCAATAGAATGGTTTCCACCGGTAGAGGATACCCCGCTGTCACTGACGAGAGCTGGCGAAGAGTAAGGAGCGGCGCTACGTAGACCCACGTCATCGTCTTCATCGTCTTGACTCAGGGCCTGCTGCGAAACGGAGTCATGGCCGCCTAAGACATTGAAACTTTCAGCGTCAATGTCAGCCGTGAAGCCAACATGCTGTTCGAGGTTGGAAAAGGAGCCGTAATGAGTATTGCTGTCGAAGCCGAAGCCCTGTGTGTCTTCGGATCGGTGCGAGATGTGTTTGTGATGTCCCAGATCTGCACCGAACGAGCCCACCACTACGTTTAAGTTGGTCGAGTCGATGAATTTCGACGATGCATTGTGCGGTGAGTTGTAACCCAGTGACCTTTTTTGCGCGTAATGGCTCTGTCCGATGTTGATGTGCTTGCTAGATGTCGTGTCGTGCGCCCCGTGCTGTTCGCGATGCTCCTTCTCTCCTGTCTCCGATATTGCGGACGAGGGGAATGTTTGTTCCTTGAGCACACGTAGTTCTGCTATGTAGTCGAAATCGTCTGAGATTCGCCCTTTCGAATCTGGCCGATTATTTCGGGTCTTGTTGCCTGCGAAGACGGCAGAGAAGGTTGGGGAAACGGTTGCGCTCTGGCAATCTTTGGCCGCCAACATGCTTTTCACGCGCAAACCCAGCATTCGCCATGTCAGGTTCGACATGCGATCGCGGTAAGGGAGTGAGGCCTTGGCGCCCGAATACATTCGCCACAAAGCCTCGGTGGACGAATCGCCCACCGCGTCCAGAAGTTTTCGTCTTGCTTCATGACGGTTCTGCATTTCGTCCCCAAACGCTTTCATCCCTGTGCTACAAGACTGTGAGACTGTTGGACTGTAGGTTATTTTCGCTTAACGAAGTTGGCGTGCGAGGTCCCCTGTCAATTGGTTTCTGGCAAATGCAGTGATACTGAGAGTTACTAAACTTACTGACGCTCACACACACACACACACACACACACACACACACACACTATGGTCTATCTCAAGTGTAATCTTCAAAGCACTTGTAAATGCTGCGATGTGGTAGCTCAGAAGCGCGCAAACAACCACCTATTGTTAACAATGTCAAAATCAACCAACTACAATGAACGAGTGTGTTTGAATGAAAGAGATCGTGTTAATGTGGTTAAAAATTCAAATTCCACTCAGTTGTCAAATCTGGACCCGCATACAATCAACTACCGCTCTCCTTCTTCATCTTACGGTGTGTGCGTTTTCTTTGTCTTCCCTCCTTTTTCGGAGCCCACAAGACGTTGTCCATCGGTTCTCCCAAAACAGGAGCTTTACTGTCATGCAAACATAACATGCTGCGAGACGCGCATCTTCTGGGAGCGACCTTATCGTGATTGTAATCAGTTTATTCGGGTAATGGATGAATCATTGGATATTTTCTTTTCCAAAATGCCTGCGGAATTCGCTGGCGCATGGCACTAGCTGCGCCGCACTATGTTTTGTGAAGTGTGTCCAAGAGAGCTGGCCAAAGGGCTAAGCCAAGCACTGGGCAAATGAAGAAGTGGCATAGCCATAAACCGACGGTGTTTAGAAACCCACACTAGAAAATGCTGCGTTAGGAGAGAGTCTTTCACATCTTTTTTTTGATTTTTTTGGGTCTGATCGCACAAAGTATAGAGTTTCTTGCACCTTGAGATCCTTGGGGCTCTTTGAAGAGGGGTCAGTGATTTCGAAAAGCGCGGAGATTGCGACCTGGTTGGGGCGGGTTTGCGACTGGCAGAACACCGCTCACCTTCGAGTTTTCAGCAGTGTCGAGCGGTCGAATGGCCTTACTCTATTCTCGAGTCCACAAAGTTTCCTGCAGGTGTGGAAATTTCACTGGAATCAGTACCCCCTGTCGTAGATGCCGAGTACGGACAGGCCCTGCAGAGTTGGCAAGGGTATTGCTGTGGTCACGCAACGGTTTGAAAAGCTGTGTTAGCAGGTGAGCAGGTGAGCTGGCGGAATTGCGAGAGGTGGAGAGCATTTTTGGCTTACAAACGAAGTGATCGTTTTTTTCGCTTAAAAAGCTAGTCTGTTGGCCCGAGGTGAGAGTACGAGAGCAGGAGAGCCAGACAAAGCTGTTGCAGAGCTAGGCCGCGCGTCATGTGTGTGTGAACCACGATAGTCACGTGATAAAACAAAACCACTACCACACATATACCACTATACCAACGAATGTTACGTAATCATTAGAAGATCACGTGCCGACACCGCCGCCCACGTCGTCGCCGTCGCCCAAAATGCGTTCTTGTCCTGTCTTGTCTTGTTTCATTCCCTGTACCCATGACGAATCGCTTTCCCGACACTCTCTGTCTTGCGACCACCGATCCTGGTGTTGGAGGGCTTTTCCTGGCCATCCTGGCCGGAAACACTTGCCCACATCTGGTGCAATCACGACCCCTCCCCGTCCTCAAATCTGTACTCTAACGTCGACCTTTTCTACACCACATCCTCGATTTTCTTCGCTCTATAGAGTCTCTCTTTTATGCTCATCGCTTTAGATAGTTGTTCACAAGTGGTGTTCTAATGGTTAAGTTCTCGAGCCCATGTTTCAGTCCTATTTATATGGGGAAACCGCCCCTCGCAGAGAAAAAAAACAAGATCTCGGCGGCTATTTATGTGCCACGTGATAAATTGGCACTATGTAAATTCAAACACACAAACGTCAAGGGAAGCTTCAAGATCAAAAATCTCTATAGACATACATTGTCCCACTATTCTTGTTAAAGTACGGTTCTTTATGACAGCTACAAGAAGCTGTTTGAATATCTCTGAGCGTTACTCGCCCTCAGTATCGTCACGCACGAAGTTGCACGGCAGTGGCTTTCTGTTTATCAACCTGCCTACCTACTTACCTAGCTTGCACCGTCTCTAGCTGCACAACCGTGCACACTCACATCTTCTTGCGTCTTTCCCGTACCTTCTTGTAATGGCCCTTTGCGCCGCTGGTCTTCTTGCTCTGCACCTCGCCGTACTTGCGCTTGAAATAGCGGTTTGTGTCGTCGTTCGCCATCAGCGACTCCAGTGTGGTGTTTTTGCGCTCCTTCTTGGTTATACGGCTGCTGAAAAACTCGCTCTTGTCCTCGACGATCGTGCCCACGGAAAACCGCTCTGGTACCTGCCACTTGTCTTTCTTGTAGTGTCGTTTTGGATCCAGTGCTGCACGGTGTTTTAGAAGCAGCAAGTCGCGCTTGAGCTCTCTCGTCAGCTCTGGTTTGGGCAGAGTAAACCACTGTTCTGACGTAGAAGGCTTTTTCGTCTGTGCGTCCTTCTTGCGCATGTGTAGTATTGAAACTGGGTCTTCCACTTTGCGGACCGACTTTGCTTCGTCCTTGCCACCTGAAAGCGCATCAAAACCGGTTTGCATACGCGGCAGACTACGCAGCCGCTGCTCGATGTCGTGGAAAGTCTGTTGTTGTCTTGCGATTTTCGAGTCTTCGTCAAACTCCAGTTTGTCTTGATCGAAGTCGTTTTCCTGTAATCTCGCGCCATTTTGGCCGTTTTCTTCCGGGGAAATTTGGCTGCCGTTACCAGCTTGTTTCAAAGCGGCAAACAAGTCTTGAATGCCCTCAGATTCCATTCTTTTAGCTGTTAAATACTGGTATTTCAGTGATGGTTTGCTAGCTCATCGCCTATACATTTTTAAAATTTTTCAGAAATACAGTAAAATTCAAGAACCCAGCTAGCTATCTTCCCTATAAAAGCTGGAATTTTCTCACTGCCAGAAAGTGACCAAAACCAAGTCCTCAAGCCCTTGATCTTTGCTTTGAGCAGTTTCCGCGACTTGCAAAATGGGGGAAATTGATACTTTAATGACAGATTTCCAAAATTTGGTGGAAAAAGATGCTCAAATCAGGTATGCGTTCAATGCTATTAGACGTTACAAGTCTAATGAGCCCTCCGATGCAGACGATGAAAAGAAGAGTCGACACAAGAGAAACATTATAGCGGTCGACGATAACCTGAAAATTAACTATGAAATGGTCAAGACAGCGCCCGGCACTTTTATCGAGAGTAGTCTGTCAGCGTCGAAAAACAAGGTCAGCAAGGAAAAAGCGTGGAAAGTGGCCAAGACCAAGACTAATTACTACAAAAAACGACTTTCCAACATGAACGAGCAGTTTGTGGCGGAACTAGAGGCTAGTGGCACGAACAGTGCGAGCAACGCTCCCAACGAGAGTTTAGAGACCTCCAGCGCCTCGTCAGTGATTGATCTCGCCTCGCAAGAGCAGCAGACACAGTGGCTCTGCGAACTGCAAAAAACGCTGATTGAAGAGTACCGTGCGCTGCTGCAGGAGGAGAAAAAATGGTTTTTGAAAAAAGAGGTGCTGCTGGACGCAAACGTGAAGCTGGACCTCTACGCAACGCGCGACGGCGGACGGGATACAGAGCTGCAGTTGAGCACCGGTGAGGCCACCGAGATGTGCTCCTTCCCCGTGTGACGCGGGGCGTCACAATACCTTTTCGAAGGACGAATTTTAAATAGGAACCTCTAAAAAACGTGGATAGAGGGAGTACTGGTTCGATTAGAAGCATAGAGCTCTACCAAGACGTAGGAAACTCAGATAACAGCCAAAATCGCTTTCAAACTGACGTTGAACCTTCGTTTGTCGAAATTAAAGACATTTTGACGTAAAAACCTCAGAAAACCGTCCAAAAAAAGGCCGAATTCACCATTCATCTACCAGAGTGTCTCACAGCTGTCTGATGCACTCGAAGCGAAGCTAATGTCTAGGGAAGGTATAGCTCACGCTCCGCTGGATCCGGACTCGTCGAGTTCAGCGTTGTTAAGAGTGCCGGGTAACAAAATTTTCCGAACTGCAGGTTTTCAATAATGGTAAAATTTAAAAATTTTCTAGTTGGCCGCGATGAACACAGTGAAGTCTCGAACAAAAACGCTCGAAACTGGCACAAATTCGCTTGTTGGTAATACCCTAAGCTCATTGGCGAACTCTACAGTTTTCAAGGTTCAAGAAGCTTTTTTTACCGATCAAAAATGTCTGATTTTCAGCTAGAAATTCTGTTGAAATTAAACGAATTGGGAACAATCGGATCAACACTCGAAGTGTTCCCAAATATCGATCCTCAAATAGTTCTGTCTTCGCTCAACTCGCTGAAAGCTCATGGGAAACTAGATTACACGAAACAGGACAAAAATTACTTCACTTTGACGAAAGAAGGTGATGAAATCGTTGCGAAAGGGTCTCACGAGATGAGACTGCTACAGTTGGTGAACAAGTTCAGTAAACTACAAATCAAAGAGGTTGCCACGCATATGGGTGCGGACGGAAAGATTGGACAAGCAAAAGCTTTCAAAAACGGGTGGATCTCGAAAAACAAGGACAACGAACTGACCGTCAGCGACAAAATCTCTTCAGTCGACGCGGTCGTCGATGAGACAAGAGATCTGCTGGTGAAAATCCAGAAGGGAGAGTACAAGTCTGTCGACGATAAGACGCTCAATGACCTGAAAAAGCGTAAGTTGATCACTGCCAAGAAGGAAACTGGTTTCCAAGTCGTCAAGGGCGCCGATTTCTCGACCGAGCTCACCAAGCTCGAGACGGACCTGACTGCCGGCATGGTGGCCTCGGGAACCTACAAGGACCTCAAGTTCAAGCCTTACAACTTCAACTCGGAAGGTATTTTCCCCGAGTCCGGTGCTCTGCATCCTCTGTCCAAAGTACGGGAAGAGTTCAGACAAATTTTCTTCTCCATGGGATTCCAAGAAATGCCCTCCAACCAATACGTGGACACCGGGTTCTGGAATTTCGACGCTTTGTACGTTCCTCAACAACATCCTGCGCGTGATCTACAAGATACCTTCTATTTGAAGGATCCAATCAAGAGCGATCTGCCAGATGACAAAGAGTACATGGAAAACATTAAAGCTGTTCACGAGCAAGGTAAATACGATTCCATCGGGTACCGTTACAACTGGAAACCCGAGGAGTCGCAGAAGCTAGTCTTGAGAACGCACACCACTGCCATTTCGGCATACATGTTAAAGAAGCTGGCAGAAAACCCCAAGCCCACAAGACTCTTCTCAATCGACAGAGTTTTCCGTAACGAGGCTGTGGATGCGACTCACTTGGCCGAGTTTCACCAAGTCGAAGGTGTCCTGGCCGACTACAATCTAACGCTGGGTGACCTGATTAAATTCATGGAAGGATTCTTCGAAAAGATGGGCGTCACTGGCCTACGTTTCAAGCCCACTTACAATCCATACACCGAGCCATCTATGGAGATCTACTCGTGGCACGAGGGTCTAGAAAAATGGGTTGAAATCGGTAACTCCGGTATGTTCAGACCTGAAATGTTGGAATCCATGGGGCTTCCTCCAAACATGAGAGTGCTGGGTTGGGGTCTATCTTTAGAGAGACCCACCATGATCAAGTATGGCGTGCAAAACATCAGAGAACTTCTGGGTCACAAGGTCTCTCTCGATTTCATCGAGACCAACCCAGCTGCCAGACTGGACGAGGATCTATACGAATAAATAATAGCTACCAAACACAACTTGATAAACAGAGCCATCGACTCAGCTGCTCGGAATAAGGAAGACGATAGATCGTCAGATTACAATAATTTGCATACACAACTAACGAGGTATAGAGCCTATTTAAACAAGCCCTGCTCATTTCGATTTCTGTATACTCAGAAGACCCACGATATGCGTGTACGATCAACGTTCCGCAATTATGCTTATTACAAGAAGTCACTGTTTCTTAAAGTACGGTTTGCCGTCTCTCCAGGAGAGGCTTAGAGTTCTGCGAGCTGGAGCACGACTGGTCTTCTAGGGACCCCAGGGACTCCCAAGACGATTGGTTGGCGAGATTCTGGGTTTTGCGACAACTTTGCCGTTTGGTCTCTTTGGAGATCATGTTTTTGATGTGCTTGGACGGGAAGTAGAAAGGATTGCTCTTCTGACGCCGTGGCTGGGGTCTGACACTGCTGCTACTGCTACTGTTGTTGAAGCTGCTGGAAAACTGGGGCATGGGGCCGTGCGGTTCCGCCGTTTGAGCGCAATTGATGTTTGGTGAGCGATTCTCGTCGTCACCCACACCATTGTTTTCGAAGGCAGCAAGGTCTGTGATCAAATGGTCCACTTCTGGGTCGATTTCTTGCGGGAGTGCGAAATCGAACGAATCTTGTCGCAGGTCCTTCATGTCGTTGTTAGTGTACGATTGCTCCTCCACATCTGATAGCAGCAGACGAGGCTCGACCTCGACCAGCGGCGACGCATCGACAAAACTGGTACTGGCCGAGATCATTTCTAAGACGTCTGCAGAAGAAACGTACTCGGTGCTGTTACAATTGACACTGCTGTGGCTGTGGCCGTGGATCTCTGTTTGGTCTATATCCAAGTCGAAGTAAGCTTGTTCTGGGCTAGTTGCTGTAAAGTCTGCATGGTCAAAGATCATCATCGCTTTTGTTTTGGGATCTGGTAATGCATGCAAGGCAAATTCACAGCTTGACTGAGTTCTGCCTCTATTATTCGGTGCGGCTCTCAAATTCTCCTCAGGTTGGCAAACAATTCCTGCTTCTCTCCCTACCATCGAGCGTAATAATGTCTATACATATACACATACATATATATATATATATATACATATAATTATATACTACTCTCCAGCCTCCGATCGTCCCGACGCCCAATGGTTATTTATCTCTATGAAGTAACAAGTCGACGGCCGTGGCCGTGGTGGCATGCTCAATTTGCCTGCTGTCACTATTAAAATTGCCATATCGGTCCGATATAGAATGCAATAATACCAGAAGCACAGTGTTTGCCATATAAACTATACGGTCGTCACCATAGTATGGCTTTTCATCCTACCTGAAATGACTACGAAAACCACGAGGGTTAAGTTTCTCCACGACCGTGGAATTGAATACAATTTACCTCGTACGGCGAACTACACACTACTTTCCGTTGCCCATGGTGGCTGTACTAGGATTTACCGCAGATTGTCAGTAGATTTTCAGTAGATTTTCGTAGTTCGGTGCAGACGTCTTGGCTCAGTAAACTCTTATCGCGCATAATCACCAGAGTGATGGCAGATTCCACTACGCGCGGTCTTAATTAATGGCGAAAAGATTTGAAAGACAGCTTGGCTTCGCGAGTGAGTTTACTTGCTCGTAGATCCCAGTGAAAAATTGGCAGAATCGTAAAATTGAGTGCCGAAATCGCCTTACGGAGTTGTCGTTCGTCGAATCAATTGGCTCGTCAGGAGTGGGCTCTGATAAAATGGGAGCGACGGGGCAGAGCCAGTGTTGTTTTTCCCTTCTGTATCGTAAGTTTTACGACGCAGGTGGCAGTTGTCAGAGCTCAGTGACATGGTCATTAGCGAAAAATTGTAACGAGAATTTACGAAGTCGGGATTTCGAGCCAGGAAGATTCGCAATTATAGTTTATTCACCACAATAATTGTGGTTTTTAGAGGAACATCCAAGCAGTGCTCACTAGGGTGTGGGCTAAGTCCTCATGACTGCGACTTGAAGAACTGGACCATAAATAATGGCTAAATTGAGTGGACGAAGTTGTTCCTTTGTACTATTTTGTCAGCGTCTTTGTAGAGCAGATGTAGAGATAAAGCAGGAGGTTTTGTCGATAACCACTGTTGACAGTAGTTTGGCGACGGAATCGGGAGCGATCAAAAACCCTGTGCTTCGCACCCACACGAAAATCGCAAAAACTCATCTCGAAGTCGTATCACCGAAAGTGATGGGTAGAAATCGGCGACAGTGCACGCATAGACCAGAACGAGCCCCGTAGAGTCAATGTAAAGTGATCAGAACATCGAGGGGATGTCGGATCAGAGCCTCAGTCGTAAGTACTCGTATAATCATTTGACCCATGCGATCTGCAAAATGCTCAAAACAATAAGCTTCTAGACACTGAATCTCACGATAAGAGGAAGCATAGGCAGAATGTGTGTGCGCTTTTTCTAATTTGTCGATGAATTAAAGTTTTTATTGCGTGGTCAGTCGCGATTCTCATGGGTTTATGCGTCAACTGTATGATTTTCGTCTTCTAATGCAAGTAAATAATTATGTATGGAATAAGCTTGGCTTGGCCATGGCTACTACTTTAATAGCAGTGCCAACAGCTGTTTGGTCATTTAAAAATGATTCCACTTTCTAAAAAAGCGAATGAACTGTTCTGGTGCCTACAAAGATTCACACAAACCATGCTGTTAGTTGATTTAACCAAAACTTATGTCTTAACTAATCGTGAGGATAATGACGAGAGCTTAGTTCTCCAGCGAGTAGATTTGGCAGTCTTACGCTGCAGCAGATTGCAGAATTTAGATATAAAGCTATGTTAATGGAATTAGTCCACATCAGATACATGCAGGTTACCAGCAGAACGATTACCAAGTCTTGGAGGCTCTTGACTGCGGCGTTCTGACGGGTTTTGAGCCCTGGCTGTGGGAGGAGCCGTCAATGTAAGTCTTGCTATTGGGCCCACGCCTCGGCTCCAGTCGTCGAATAGTCGTTGCGAAGTGTCCACATGTCCATACCTGCTCGTGGTAACACTCAAAATGCCACCCATGTTAACTTGTCTCAAAAGATTAACATGGTCCCACAGAAACCGATCGGGAACCGTGGCAGAAACTGCGAGCGTCGAATTAGCCACTTGGCCCGTTTCAGCCAGATACTGACGCTGCAACTTCCAGAGTTTGGAACGATTCCAGTGCTGTGAACGTTTTTCGTCCAACGACCTGAAATTAGTCTGGTCTCCAAGGCGATATGCGTCAAAATAGTACCTTGACGACATGGTGAGTGGATTCGCACGGAGTTCCTGTTCAAATACAGCGTCGGCGTCTACTTCGTTGCGACCTCGAAATTTTGGAAGTTGTACCATATCGTCCACCACCGAAGTGCTGTCACAGATCTCTTCAGGTCCCGAGTCTTCCGCCATGTTACCACCACAAAAGATTTGGAAGCCTGGATTCTTAGGAGACGAAGCACTCGACCCCTCTACTCCATATAATTCATTAACGCAGCCGTCATCAGATTCGTTGTAAATCTGTTCAACTCCGACACGATTTACCGGGGACTCACTTTCATCGCAAGATGACGCGAGGCTGTGCTCTTGCTTCACTTTCCGTTTCAGTTTATCGCGCAACACATTTATGCGGCTTCGAGATGGTGAAGTATTGTCTTTGGGCACGAGTGTTTGTTCACTGGGGCTGACGAGCTGGGTTCCCGCTCCAAAGAGCAAGGAAGATCGGCCCAGCTTATTGGGTCCACCTTCGATCCTGTACCCGCAAATCAATAGTAGCTGAGAATAGAATCCAAACAGAAAGTTCAGACTCGAATAATTCATCCCAAATTCATTGGCCAACCGCATCGGTTGGTGGAGGAGAACATGCGCTGGGTACTCAAGACGATGATGGAAACAGTATGCTTCAAACGAGAGCGTCAAAAATTCAGGATACTCGTTAATGGTAAACATATCCATCTGTCGTTTGCGATCCTTGGTTTCCTGCACCACTTTTTCAAAATCGATACCAGTGACTATGTTCTCAGAGTCCTTCGAAGCATCAAAAGATGCCTTCATGTATTTCATGACCACACTCCCGCACTGTTTGTAACATATTTGCATGAGTTCTGTGACCAAGTCTTCGAAAATCAGCCGCGACGACGAATTTGCCAGTAGCTTGTCGTAATCGAACTGCTCGAAAACAATCGACAAAATGTTAAGCGATATACGGGGAATCAGATGTTCCCAGACTTTCACTGCCATCTCAAAAGAGCGATCTGGGCCAATTTTGATAATTTCTTCAACCTCAGTTTGTTGAACTTGTGCCAGCACCGCGTTTAAAATCGAGCCCTCATCTGCCATAATTTCTTTGACCCTGTCTATGTTAAGTCTACAGTTGTCGTGCTTATCGTGCTTACTGCTTCTGTTTGTGACATCTTTCCGAATGTTGGTGAGCCCCACGTAAAAACAGCAGCTGTCATTCACCAAAGCGTACGATCCAGACGAAAGTTGGCGTGCTTCCACATCGCACAAAATCGACAGAACACACGAGCTGCAATTAAAGAACATATCGAGCACCAAGCTCTCCAATTCAACTCCAAAATTAGCATTCATTAGCACCACCGTATTTTTGTCACTATATTTTGAGAGAAGCTTGCAGTATCGATCTAGCGAAGGAAATGACAAACACGACACGACCATCACATCGATCTTGTACTTTGCACTACCGTCCGTCTCAGCAAGCTTAGATTCTAAGTCCTCAAACTCTTTTGCAAACACATTGGGTCTATAGAAATTAGAGCCCAGCTTCGAGGATTTCCAGGACACAAGACCATCGCTTGATATATTGCTGGAGGCTAGAATTATAAAAGCGTTGGACAAGCTGAGCCTCCAGGCCAGGAACTGAGTGGCAGGTGTCTCACCAACTGTAGAACGAATGTTAGTTTTTTGAGCTCACGAGATTTTGTGTTGTTCTTCGTAAAACATACCTATCAAGCATGTAAGCGATCTTCCCATCCTGATCAGACCTTCACGTCTTTTCTATCAATGAGGCGAACTAAAAGCTACAACTTGACTTTCTTCAAAGGATTGTACAAAGTATCCAGTTCATCTTTTTTTCTTTCGGTTTGACTCAGTGCGACGACACAAAAGAGCGACGCTGACACTAGACCTTCGACACAAATAAAAAAAGACTTCTTAGTCTATGACAATGCAGATATCGAGGAATGGAAAGATGAATTCGATGTCTATTGTGATGATCTTAAATCTACAAGCTTGAAAGGAACGCCATTGTAATACCAGCTTAAACCCTTGCCCCTCTTTCTAACGTACGACTCCATTAGCCTGAAACATTCATGCAGTGGAATTCCGGCCTCTAGCCCTTCCTCGATTGCCAGCCATATTTTCTTGCGACGATTGACTTGCCTAGAGAAGTTTTTGTCGTTGTTTCGCCACGAAGAACCGTATCTTTTCTCGAGATCTCTTATTGACGTACGTCTTTTCATCAACTGAGCTGGACTTCGGACCTCGTTAGACTCGATGGAATGCTGCTGGGCCACGGCCTCGAACCAGTCGGGCAAAGCCCAGTCACTAGGGAGCTTGGTGTACTCGTTCCACAGCTGAGCAACAGTAGTTGGAGATTTAATTAGCACGACGCCAAAATTGGTCAGACCATGGCAAGGGTCCTGTTCAAAATCCTTGAAAGTAGGGCCGACAGAGGTTGCGACCCGTGAGGAGGGGATTGTCGCTCTTGGAATACTGTCTTCGGCTTCATAGTCCTTTCTTGGCCTTTTTCGACTTATTGTATCCGACTGGATGGATTGCAACGTGTCAAGAATACCATCCACCATTGAGTTGACAGCGCCTGATTGTTTGTTCGTGTCAAGGTCCACCAATTGGCTGGTACTGGAGGTGCGGGACACAAGTGACGCATCATCGAGCTTTCTAATCAAATCGCGAAATTCGTCCTTGAAGGTGTTGAGCCTGTCAATCACCAATTGAACTGCTTCTCTTTGCTCGCCGCCCTCGGCGTAGTTCGATTCTTCGCCCTCGCTGTCGAAACTTCCAGAGACTTGATGGGTTTCGTGTCGCTCCTGTTCTCTCGTGATGAGGCTGCCACTATCTGCGTCCGCGAATATCTTACCTCTAGGTATGTCAGATTTTTCAACCGAAGCATGGTCTTGATATTCCTCTTCGTGCTGTTGGTCGAACAAAGAGCCCCGTGCTGCTGTCACATCGTCACTGGCACCAGCACCAGCACCAACATCTATTTGTCCTCCGTCAAAATCGAAATAATCTGAATATGGACGATGAGGAACAAAAGAAGTGTAATATGAGTTGGACTCTGCAGCAGCAGCAGCAACAGCAGCAGCAGCAGCAGCAGCGTCCTCTGCTTTACCCTTTTCAGACGCTATTTCTGCAATCCTTTCCTTTTCGAGAGTTTTAATCAGAACCTCCAATAGAGTGCTAGACGGTTTACCAGACTCGTCATTTTTTCCGTCCATGAGAAGCTGCAAACGCTCACTCACGCTTGGCATTCTATCAGCCTCCATAACTGACGATGACAAGATTATTCCAGTAGGTTGTGAATAGTAAATCAAATGTAAACCGCAGAATGTTGAAAGAGCTTTTTGTCTCGAAAATAGAGACACCCACGACTCCGCCAAAAATTGAGCTCCGGGCCCCTGAGTCTTAATAGATGTGAAAATGAACTCTTAGTCTTTCAACGCTCTAGCCAAGAGCTGTTGTCCCACAGAGCCACACACACAGACACAGCGAATTTTCGACCAAGCTATATCGGTAAACTAATGGTATTGTTCGAATAGACTCATGATATTTTTATAGGCGACAAAGTAGCAGTGGTGGCAGTGGGAAACCTGCTTAAACAGGGCTCACTAGCCTTGGCGAAGTCTCACACACTCTCTCACACACCAGGCGAAAGCACCTCATCGCACATGTGATATTAGAGCTTAAAAAGTATCGGGAGTTTTTAAACAAGGGCACGTGACTTTGGCTCACTGTAACAAAAATCGGTTGAGAGTCACGTGCACCAACGACAGGTTTGGTTTGGTCACCTTTTCGTGGTCAAATAGAATATAGGATCTGAGTGAGCATGACAATGACAGTAGGGCTTGAGCAAACCGGCTTCGACTAACGTCTGCTTTCACTAACAACTGCCAGAATTTACTGGGTTTGAAATCTCAGCTTGGCAGCCTTGAATCTGCTAGTCTTGACTGGGTTCCCATGCTCGTCAATGGGTTCTCTTTGTAATTCTTCTGGCGCCCGTTCAACGTTTCCCTGCGACGCTATCATTTTCTGTCGTAAACGCTGGTATTCTACCGCGACCTCGTAGTGTAGGTTTTCGCCACTCAAGGCAATGTCGTCTGCATCATAATCGGGTGGCAGAGAAACCTCTTTTTCCACCACGTCAGTCGTTACAGGTCCATCTTGATCGTTACTGCTATCGTCGCCGCCCTCGGTTTCGCGCTCGCGCTCGTCTGTTGGAAAAGCAGGCGCCGGGTTCTGCGCCAAAAATGAAGCTATTTCACCTTTCAAGCTTTCAGCTTCCTTGTTGTAATTTTTGAAATCGTCCAGACGCTCGACCACAGTGCCCGCATCTTCCACGTCGTCGTTGTATAGACCAAGGAGGTATGCTCGAGCCATGCCGTCCAAGTTTTCGCCAAGTCCTTGGTAGTCAAAGCGCGGATTTTGCACCACCTGCTGGGTGTCTTGGTTCACAATGGCGGCAACTTCTTCTGGGAACGGTTTGGCGTCTGCATTGTCGAAAATCGGCATTTCATCCGCTTTCCGTAGCACAAGCGGGTTCTCGGGCTCCATTTCTTGTTTTTCAGTAATTTTTGCCAAAACCGAGGTGTTTTTGCGCGGTGCTTTCGAAGGTGGTTTACTCAACGAGCGCAAGTTCTTTTTAAACAGACTTTTGTGCTTGCTAGCTTCTTGGCTGTCTTGAATATGGGTTGCAGATAGTTTCTCAGAAACAGCAGAGATGTCTGACGAGTCGCCCAGATTTGCTTTCTGAGAGCCATCCACCTTTTTTGAACCATTCCCGTTTTTCTTTATTTCTGGTACTATGGCGTCGATCACAGCATTCTTCTCCTGGACGTCAGCCATAACACCAGTGTTCTTTTCTTTAATATCGCTATGCCAGGGTTTGTCATCCTGTAGTTTTTCAGTGACCGCCGAAGTGCTTCTTGTTGAAGACATGTCTTTTTTGAAGCGCGAGATCCTAGCCTTTCTCTTCGGCGGGTCGTCTTGCACCTCACTTTGAAACTTGTCATGGACTTCTTCGGAGTTTTTGGCACCTATGAGCTGGGCAAATAGGTCTGGATCGAAACCCTCTTCGTCGACGGAAGAAACGGCCGCAAAGCTAGCCATTGGAGCTCTACCGGTGAAAGTATTGGCTTTTGTCTCGTGTTTGACGTTCTCCACTTCGAAGACATCCAGCTCGGGAGCGAATCCGACCCTCTTTTTTGGTTCTCCAGCTTTTTTGTCCTTCTTCAAAATCGGCTTGGTAGTCGTAGCAGTCGCATTCTGAGCGGTTCCGTTTATTTTCGAGGATCGCAATGCATTTATTTGTTCCATAAAGCGACTTCTGGCAACGTCAGGTATAATTGAAGGAATGGAGGACTCTGGATAATCTTCGTAATCGTCGCTGTCATCATATTGTGATTCATTTTCGGCATCATCGTCATCATGGTACTCCGCATTATAAGAGTTAAAATCGTAGTGAACGTCCTCGTCGTCGATATCTCCGTCTTCTAGTAGATCCTGTTGCTCTAGTTGTTCCACGATGTCATCAAAAGTGTACATGTCATTGGGGTCGATTGCGTACTGGTTGGAGTTTACGCTGGGCGAGTAAGGTGTTTCTTCTTGCTTGACTGAAGAGGTGTCAGTAGCTTGTTGACCGGCGACAACTTGTGAACTCGATGAGTTTGCGAGTGTGGAAGTTGCGTTGCGACGAACGTTTGTTTCGAAATCGCGATCGAAGCCTTTATTGGAACTTTCTTCGCCATCATCTTTGATCTCTTCAATTTTCGACGCTGTTTGAGAGCTCTCTGATGCTGCACCGTTTTGGCCTGAGGTAGGTTTTACAGAGCCTGACAAGACATTGCCGTCGTCGTCGAGGTCTTCTCTAATTTCCATAAACGGCAAGCCCTCATCGTTTTCTGCGGGGTCGATGGAAGGATCCGCATCTTCGCGAGACTCACTGTTGCGTTCTAAATCCTGTGCTTGTCTCAAGTTTTTCAGGGTTTCGTTTGCTTCCTTGTTTTTTGCAGTAAACTGGAGAACGGCGTCATCTATGAGCCGCAGCTTGTCAGTGACATAACGCAACGCTTCTTGCTGACTTTTCTCGACGTAGTATTCATATCCGATATTCAAATAGATTTTCGACGAGATGATAAGCTCTCCCAGAACCAAACCCCTTTGTCTTGTCTCGTCGTCGCCAGCCTGCTCAGGACAGTAGTCTGCCAGATGCAGTTTTATATCGTTGTAGTGCTGCTTTTGGGTCTCCAGGAAGGAGACTTTGTCTTGCAAGTTGCTGATAGTCTTTGATACAATCTCTATAAGCGAGTCCATGGTGTGCCAGAGGTGCGAGTCGGGTGAATCGAGTGTCAGCGTGAATCGAGTGTCAGCGTCTGGCTGAAGCTCATCGCTCGGCTTAAATTTTTAATATAGGATTTGGTAGTCGCTATGCACGACATACAAACCACTAGGTGAGCCGACAGAAGCTCGGCGGCTAAGCTACCAAATAGACCTATTTCAAGGAGCTTCGCAAGTGCAAATACCTGTGTTCCCAAAAGCGTGTTTGTGCACAAGGTGTCTGTTCTACTACTGTTATCTCTTTAGACTTTCTTCCTTGATATGTTTATTGTTCTTTTTTGGAGGTCGAAATGGCGAAAATTGAATCAAGATTCAGAGTTTGACGGCATCGGAAGCCTTTCGAGGCAGAACATCAGCCGTAAGACCCAAGTAAGTATTGTATTCAGAGCAGGGGAGGGCAGGAAGGGGGGGGGGGAGATCCTCGTCTACAATCTGATACTTCACAAGAGCTGGTTTCATGACGGCTCGAAACCAGCGTCTTGTAGATCGGCGCCTCTCTACATATGTATTCTTCTACCCTTGATATATGTCTGTGCTCGTACTCGTGCTTGTACTCATACACGTGCTCGTACACGTGCTCGTACTAGTACTCATACACGTGCTCGTGCTCGTACTCGTGCTTGTACTCGTACTCATGACATCGCGAGTAGGAAATCACTAAGTGCAAGACACACACACACACACACAAAACCTACGAACTCAACAAGATTAAGCTCAAGATCAGTGAGGACAACACCCAGATCTACACCACCACCCCAGCACTGGCATAGAGTTCCTACTTCAACCACCAAGACTCGTGTCCATTGGCCGCCACCCGTCTCCGTTCAGAATGATACTACTTTGCTTACCTAAGACACAAATACGCACTTTCGTCCAAGATGACTTATCTCTCATCTCTCCCCTCTTCCTACTCACTTTCCACGAAACTTATTCTCTCTCTCCCAATTGTTTTTTTTTTTTTTTTTTTTTACCCTCGTCTCTCTGGCCTGGTATATTTTTGCTAACACGGCGGACGACACGGTGGCGAAAAACGAGCAGTTGTAGCACACCGGTGCTAAACAAGCCAAAAACCACTCCTCGACAGAACTCCTTTATTGGGCCTCTAAACCAAACGGGTCTAGTCGAACAGCTGAAGCCTGGAGAGAGAGCCTTCTGCCCGTCTTCCACACACACGTTTTAGCCAAGGGCTTTTTTCAAACGCGCGTCGCACACGGCTCTCAGCTCTTTTCTCCTATTTCTCTTTTCCCTGCCCTCTGTCCAAAAAAAGGGGTTACCCTCTTTGAAAAAGAGAAAGCGGGTCACCTGACTAGAGAGAGATCGTTTTTGTTGTTCATCGTTTTAGACGGAAAGGGGAGATTTGGTAATCACGTGAACAGTTGGTCGATTGATCGATTGATTACCTCCCTTTATACGAGACGAGCACAAGACAGAGAGAGAGAGAGAGAGAGAACGGCAGAAAGCACGGCGGTTGTGACTGGACCGAGCTGTATCTATCGCAGTCAAACTCACAAGACTGAAATACACTCTTTTTTGAGAGACCGCTTCGCACCTGGGACGCGCAGCAAGTTTTTTCTTTGAACTCACGTGACTCTCACCACCACCACCCACACACCCATCACACCAAAGCGTGCTCCGCGTTCCATTCCATGGCTTCCACAGCTAACACCAAGACCAATGGCTCCTCCACAGCACCGCTCTCCGCCAGCGCGGCCGCCGAGGCCGCCAACACCCGGTTCCGGCACCGCAAGATCTCCGTCAAGCAGCGACTCCAGGTCTACAACGCTTCGGATCTGCGAAAGCTCGACAAAAACGAGCTGCAACAGCGGGAACTGGTGGAGATCGAGACCGGTGTCGACAAAAACGAGGAGAAAGAGGAGCATTTGCACCAGATCCTGCAGAAAAATCAGCTTGCACGCCGCGAGCTCTACATCCCCACGCCCGACGCTTCGCGTACGTGGCCGGAGTATTCCAATTTTTACCAGGGAAAGTTCGAAGAGCCGCAAAGCTATATCAGGTTCTCTGCGACCGTGGAGGACTGTTGCGGCTACAGCTACAACATGGACGAGCGGGACGAGCAGTTTTTAAAATCCACTTTCCCTGTTGCCAAAAACTCTGGAAGTGACGCAACAAAATCAGCCCCTTCGGAAAACGAATTCGAGTTGTTGTGCAGCAGCTTTGAAACTGTCATTCGAAAGCGCCAACCGTTTCTCAGCATCGATCCAGAGAACATTTTATCATTACAGGAAATTAAACCTACCATTCTGCAACGTGACCTGGGCGATGCCGGAATCAAGAATCATCTGGCACAGGAAATAGGACTTCAACCGCCCCAGACTTCCATCACCCAGTTTGACACTGTCAGTAGTCAGGAAACTCGTCCCTTTTCTATCCTAATTGAGAAATTCGGCATTCAAGTTTACGAACACTGGAAAACCCGGAAAATTGAAGCCCATGGGGATGAAATTAGCCCTCAGCTTAAGTTCGAGAAACATGGCGGTGAACGAGACGAAAACGACCCCTACGTCTGCTTTCGCAGACGAGAAGTTCGACAAACACGCAAAACTCGCAGGATCGATTACCAGAATAGCCACAAATTAAGGCTTTTGCATCGACAATTGCAATATACTAAAGAACTCGCACTGCTGGTTGCCAAACGAGAAAAGACAACTCTGGATATTTTGGACCAAGATCTAAGAGTATTCGAGCTGAGACGAGACATAAAACCAATCAAACGTGCACTGAGCATCAAGGGTGACGATGAAAACCTACTGTTGGACAGCAAGAAACGCAAACTCGTCAGCAACGTGGTTTTGAATACACCGGTGGAAAGTACATCGAAAAAAGCTAGAGCTAAGCTCAAGAGAGTCCAAGTCGATGCCACAAGTTCAAAGCAAACCGCCACGAAAAGCAGCAAACAGAGTCAATCCCAGGCACAACTTACGCAGCAACAGTTGGCACAGCAGCAATTGCAACAGAAGCAGCTACTACAAGTTCAACAACAACAACAGCAACAGCAACAGCAGCAGCAACAAGCACAACTCGCCCAGCAACAAAAACAACAGGCCAACTCTGTTGCCGCACATGTCTATGTTAAATTGCCCAGCTCCAAAATTCCGGATATTTTGCTAGAAGACGTGGACAAGCTTCTGGTATCTAAGGAAAAAAGTGCACGGAACTATGTGGAAGAGAGAATGCGCAATCGCAGGCTCGAAGACGGCGACTTGTTTTTTAACCTGACTGACGACCCTTATAATCCAGTATTTGACATTTCGGTCCCAGCTAACGTTTCTGCTAGCAACGCCCCATTCTCTTCGATCGCGTCCTCCAAGTTTGAGGCACGGAGATCCTACTACGTACCGCGACTAGAGGATCACCTCAACGGCAGGTCCAAAGATGTATCCGTCATTGGAAAAGATGGCGATCTCATAAACAATACCAAGTATTCCAAAGTCGAACGCTACAACCCCTTCCAGGACAATAGCGAGGTCTGCACTCGGGAACTACCCTGCAAGTTCAGGAGACGTGTGGGTCGTTTTGGAGCTCAATACATCGATATGCTCAAGCCACGCGAGAGTTTCACGCCTATGAGTGAGTTTATGAATCTTTCTGAATGTGATCAGCAAGAGCGCGATAACGACGTGGTCGACGTTTACGACTCCAAACTTGACGAGCTAACGCGACTGCATGACCGCTGGAAACATGACTCGGACTACGACGACTATGGTGCTTATTTTTCGCACGAACCGGCACGGCTCAACCAGATTTCCAACGACACGCAAACGATTCGTTTCGGGACCATGCTAGGGAGCAAGTCCTACGAGCAGCTGCGTGATGCCACTTTCAAGTACCGCCAGGAAATTTTCAGTCAACGTAAGGTTCACAAAAGCTCTGCATCCCCACCTAAGCATCATCCCAAGATAAACGGCTCTACGCCGGGCTCATCTTCATCCAATGGCATACCTTCCACGCCTGCGAGGGTCCCCTCGTCGTCTTCGCTCAAGAAGAATGCAAATGCGAATGCAAAACAACATCAGCATATCACATCTGTGAATTAGACTTGTTCCTCACAGGAACACATTGTAACACTTTTATCAACGTCAGTAACGTCAGTTTTTCACTTCTTTTCTTGGGAAGTAACGGCAGAAAAAAAGAGCACACCGCGACAATCGCTTGCTCGACTGCTAACACTATACCAATGGACGCGTGCATTATTTTAACTTCTAAAAGTTTAGCATTTCATGTATCTATATATATATATATATATATATATATATATATACTAATGACTTTAACGACATCGAGTGACATCTATCACAACGGCTCGAAAACTGTCCTGAAATATACAAGATTAGCGGCATAAATAGAATATTCACTCGTTTGACACATCAAAAACTCAATACGAAAGATACTTATCCTAACTGTTTCTTATATACATCTCTTAACGCCCATTTTGACACTAGTAGTTGTTATACAATATTTGAAAAATTATGGATCTTCTAAAGTGTCAACACTTTTGATGTTCAACAAGCTGACAACACGACAGCTTTATCCAAGCCATTGAACGCGTTTATGGGCTTACGAAGGGGCATTGAAGCTCTTGTCCAAAAGGGATCAATGGTATTTGCAGGCAGATACCTTGGTGCTAAGAAATCATCAAATTACACTGAATCTGCAAGAGATGACACAACTGAGCACAAAATAGCTGCTTCTGAGCGTGAAACTTCTATTGATGATTCAATGGAAACTCATGAAATCGCTGAACAGCATTCTGGAAGAATTGCAAAGCGTATCATAGGTTTAGGATTTCTGTTTATTCTTTTGGCAGTAGTTATGAGCACATCAAAACGGTTTTCTGGGGCTGACTCACCTCAGTGTCGGTCTGTGTACATGTATCCATCATACGCTCGAATAGACGGGTTTGACGAGAGATACACTAAGCTAGCCAAAAAATACCATCTTTACCTGTATCGTGAGCAGGGCAAGGATCAAGGTCCTCGAGAAGACGGTACTATCCAACTGGACGGTATCCCTGTGTTATTTATTCCAGGAAACGCAGGCAGTTTCAAACAGGCGCGTTCCATCGCTGCTGCCTGTGCATACGTATATTTTGACGAACCGGGGTCAATCCAAAACCCTCACACAAAGAACCTTGACTTCTTCACAGCCGATTTCAATGAGGATCTCACAGCTTTCCACGGCAGAACAATGCTTGATCAAGCCGGCTACTTAAATGATGCAATTGAGTATATTCTTTCACTGTATCAATCGACCGGAAGCAATCATGACCCTACTCCCCAATCCGTCCTCATAGTTGGTCATTCTATGGGCGGTATTGTAGCAAGAGTGATGCCCACCCTCAAGAATTTTAGACCAGATTCGGTTAACTCTTACATCACACTCTCTGCCCCTCATGCCGTTGCTCCCGTCACCTTTGATGGCGACATGCTTAAGATTTACGAGCGGATAACTAAATTTTGGAGAGCCCAGTATGCAGATAGTTCCAGCTCCTATTCGCAAAACGTTTCAATAATTTCAATTACAGGTGGTGTTCTAGACAGCGTTCTTCCTGCTGATTTCACCATCATTGAGGGAATTGTTCCTTACAGTAATGGGTTTACGACGTATACTACCACAATTCCAGAACTATGGACCCCGATTGATCATTTAGCTATAGTATGGTGCGATCAACTTCGAAGCATTCTTGCACATATTTTATTGGAGTCGGTGGACACGCGGTCTCCATTCAAGACGAGATCACTGGATGACAGAATGCATTTGTATCGGAAAATGCTTCTCACAGGGCTTGAAGACTATACAAATCAAGACAAAGTTCTTAGTGCAACGCCGAGCGGACTTACCGATACTCTTGAGCTGTCCACAGATTTCCAGCAGGTGAACATCGACGAACAGCTCATCATTACCAGTGCAAATAGGCAGACAAAACCTTCTTACTACATTTTCACTATACCAAAGAACTCCGACAGACTTCAATTCTCCGTTCTGACAAGTAACCTGTCGCATCAGGTTCTCTTTTGTCAAGATGGACGTGCAGTTCAAGATGAAGCTTCGGCATACAGCTGGACAGCAAACTGCATTTCAGCTTCCGATGACTTCGTAAAAATACCTAGGTCTGCTCTCGACAGCTATAGCCCATCTGAGTCATCATGGGGAGCAGATACTGCCCCTTTCGAGTTTCTGTCGGTTAATCTAACAAGTTTGCTCGCCTATGATTTCATTGCGATAAATACTGAAAGCACGAACCTGGATGAGGACTTCTTCATGATAGGTGAACTCACAACCAAAGAAACGAAGGCGGTTATTAGCGACACTCCTTTTTCTGTCTTCTTCAACGGATTGTTCAAAATGCGGAAGATGCTAAGAACTTCGGGTCTAGTTACTACCTTGGATTTCACCAACTTATATTCTTCAATTGTATCTTACCGTGTCAGAACCAGAAGCAAAGGATGGAGAAGCAGAGGAGATACTCGTCTATTTATGCCGCTTTTTAGGCAATCGGTCGAAAAGCCCTTTGAGAGTAAGTGGCATGTCAACTTGTATCAGGGCCCTCAAGACGTCAACTTTCACAACGTTGCACCTTTTGTAGAGCTGAATTCCACGCACGACAAATCGTTGAGGCTGTCTTTCATCAATCCGCCCGGAACAGAAACCTATATGGACTTGAAAGTCAATTGGCCTTTAACGGTCAAGATGCTGCTCATAAGGTTTCGATTGTCTATTGCTGCCTTCACCATTGCTTTCGTATCGTTGGTAGTAGCATACCAATTTCGTCATTACGGCAAGACTGGACAATTCATTGCATTTGATTCCGCACTATTTCGTGTACTGCATAGGCATTGGGTTGGAGTTTTAAGTTCTCTGAGTCTCCTCATACCTCTGACGAGCCTACAAAATTCGAGTCAAAGTTTTAGCTCCATCAGCCACAAGCTTTTAGCATGTTTATCTGGGCTTATGTCGTCGAATTCGGCAGACAGTGCGTTTTTCCTCGGCGTACGTGAGTCATTCATGTGGTGGCTGGGACCTGTATTCTTTATGATGACGATCTCTTTGGTCTACTTAGTTTACTGCATTATGGCTTTCATCGAAACACTAGCAGCGTGGTTGGGCAGAAAGACAGGCATTAATCGTCCGGCAGCCAGAAACAGCAGTATGTCCTCAAGTTCTGTTAACTATCAATTCTACGACGCTAGACAGATTTTGGGAGCTCTGATTATCATTTTAAGCGTATTATTCTACGTTCCATACCAGTTCGCATTTGTCGTTCTTACCATAGTGCAGGCACTTTTTTGCGTGAAACTTGCTGTTAGTCAAAGGGGAAAAGATGCTCGCAATCTTGCAAACTTTAACAATTCGGTTTTGATGTTGATGCTGTTCCTTGTTCCGATAAATGCTCCCATAGTAGTGGTGTTTATGCGCAATTTCGCAATCAAATGGGAAACACCATTTCGGTCTCATCATAACTGCCTTGCCGTGCTGCCGATAGTCTTGCTAATAGAAAGCAATGCCCGGTCTCGAATGCCAAAGAGAGCTACGGCCGGCAAGGATTTAACAAATATCGTCGTTGGATGGCTATTGCACACCTCACTGTACAGTGTTCTTTTCGGGACTAGGAACTTGTACTGGCTACACCATTTGTTCAACTCACTGTGCGCTATGCTTTTCCTTCAAACGTTCGCATAAGTCACTGATTGCGTCTTCCTGAGATCTCATCATAACGAATTACCTTCTTCCATTTCACCACATTTATAGACATAACGCCACGAGCTGATTTTTTTCAGCACCGCTGCTGCCGCAGATATAACCTACACCGAATTTGAGTGTACAAGCTACTATATAATTGAGGACTGCTCACACTTGACTAAAGTGTTGACTTATTGTTGACACCACTAGTGAGTAGCTTTGTTATGCTCAGGCCTTTGTACCAGACCAAAAGTTGCGAGCATCCTCATCGTCTAATGTATTGGGGGTATAAGCTCCTGACTCTACGACGCGTTCAAGCTGTTCGAGTCTTCGTTGTTGGCCATTTTGATTTTGATCACTCGACAGTGAGCTCCCACCCGCCGTATGAAGGGAAACTGCAAGGCTATGACAGTTTGCCTTCTCCAAATCTCCCATGTTGTAATTGTATCCATGGTGTAAATCACCGGTCCTGGCCATAGGAAACAATTCATTGGCCTGGCAATTACTTTGTTGGAAACCAGAGGACCTCCCCGATTGAGAGTAGAGGCTGCGGTCATCAGCTTTTCCCGGGCTTCCGTCATAAATTGAAGGAGAGAAAGATGTGTTCAAGGATGAGGGCCTATAGCCATTATTGGCCGATGTGGCCCACATCGACGACAGTGGCAACGACAGAGTCACCAGCAAGACAGCAATGCTGTTCAAGGAACTGGTACCTTGACTTTCTGGTAGAGCGTATGCTAGAATGAAAAGAATGCTGGGAAAGATGAGTGTCTGAAAAGACATAATGGCCAAAATGTGGAAACTGTCGAATTGCTTTAGTCCCAAAAACCTTCTTGATCTCACTGCTAACACTAGTTTAACTGCGAGCAGCACGGTCATAAAGTTGATAGATGTGGATTGCAATATTACACCAATGTTGAAGAACACTGTATCAGGTAGTCCATCTATACTACCATAAATTGCAGAGATTGATTTGATGGCCGATACTAAAAAGATGATTACCGTCGCAAGCGCCAGTGCTGACGCAATTGCAACAAGAACTCTGCCGGCAGTTTTGAGTGTGTCACTTTTGAAAATAATACGGACCTGGAGAATTAGAGATGCCTCGATAGCTGCGGCCAACAAGACCTGAAATATGTTGGTGGCCGCAAATAAGTGCAAATTAGAGGTTGGAATCGCATCTGGCATCAAAGCCACGGTAAAGCCAATAGACGCGAAAGGACTGAACAGATAGCCCAAATATAGAGCCGATTGTAAAACAACCAACAATAAGGATATTTGATTGCTGATAAAAATGGGAGTTTTCCGGTTTTTGGAGACCATCAGAAGAATCACGATAGTGATTACTGCTGCTCCAATTCTCGTACCAAACAAAACGCCCTGGGTTATCCGTCGATTGACGACAGTTTGCATTTGTTGACAATCAAGTGAAATTTGCTCGCCAGATAAAGACTGGAAAGTAACTAGGACATCCTGTGGATTCCAATGAGACGATGTCATATTAGTGTGATTTTTACGCTGGGTTGAGAGACGGTTGAGCTCCTCACAAAAAATCTCATCAACACCGGCCTATCCGTACTTATACATTTCCAAGGTAACGAAGATGTTGGAAGAGAGTCATTCATGTGGTTTTGCCGCAGTTCCAATAAATTTTAGGACCCAGCTTATGCTGGCACTGCTTTCCTGCGGATTGCCTCTTTTGGCAGTGTCAATGGTGAAGTTGAGGAAAAGTGGTACTAGCGAACCGAAATTGAGGTCAGTGGGATGAATTGGCAGCTATTGGGCATACTCATAAGGGAAATATTCACTGGCGTCAAAAAATGGGAGAGCTCACTTGTTGCAACGATGGTCCGAAGCAGATCTGCAAGCCAAAATTGAGTCCTAACAAAAAGGGCAGCTCTACTTTCTGGGGGGTCCCCTAGCTAGAACACCTCTAACAGATGCCCATTTGAAGAATGTGCACCATACTTGCTTGTGAGGGTCCGATTTTAAAGCGATCTTGTTTGTTAAAACTTGTCACATTTGCAAGATCAGCGTAGAGTAATAATAATCGAGCGATTCGTAAAAAACTAAAGATTCAGAGCAGTGTAAAGTTGAAGGTGTGTATTGTTTAAAAATTCATCGAACAAACAAACTGAGTTCAAGAGGCTGTGTGGAAAGGCCTCTACAGTGGGTTTGGTCATACCTGAAGTATAAGTTTACACCTTTTATTTAATTGTTCTCAATGATTGTTAATTGACGAAAGATATAAAATTCCAGCTTGCAAGAGGGAAGGCATGTTTGTTCCAAAGGTAGCGGGCATAGTGAGACACAGACCTTATGTACAGACCATTATACAGTAATAATTGGTGTGCGTTGAAAGTCGAGATGTCGGTATTTGTTGCGCTTTTTCAAACTTGACGAAATTTGTTTTTTGACAACGACAGGTAATTCGAGTGAGGCCTGGCGCGGGAGGGCTGAAAGTTCTGAGAGAATCCTTTATTTTTGTATATTCGACGTCGATGAAAGTGAAGCCAGATAGTATAGGTGCGGAAATGGCAGGACGTAATGTTTTTTAATGCTGTAAGTAAACACTTCCCGCAACTTTTGTACACCATGGGCCGATGAGCAGAGTTTTATGTCGCAAACAAAACAGAAAGAAGCATCGGCAAAGTCTGGAACCAGAAAAATAGTGTGAATACTATGCTCATAAAAATCGCGAACAGTACGCTGAAATTCTCACTCAACGACAAATTGAATTGAGGCCTGGCGAACTCCAAGACCCCCTTGCAACACCAAATGTAAACGTGAGGACAAAAAATACCCGAGAAAATCGTCAAAACGGGTACGCTCCTGCAAATGCAAATTGCCGTACTAGCCAAAGCACCAGATCCAACTGCAGAACCATTCTCTTTGGCCCAAGAGTCGTGACATGCGGCTAGCTAGCCTGTCATTTCATCATGTGTTATCCGTTTCATAAAAATATATATATATATATATATTAAAACAACCGCAGAAACTCAAGTTATTCCCCTTCCACCAGATACAAGTGGCAAGAAGCGAGCATCGCCCGATGAGAATAGCCTACAGAGCTTGGAGCGATTGATCGCGACGTGACAGAGAAACCTGGCTTGGCGCGAATGCCGTTTCTCGATCACCAAGTTTTCAAGGATTTTGATTCTGATGGATAACCAAGAAGTAGCACTTATTTGACCGGTGAGAAAGATCCCGACATGAATGGTGGCTCTGGTACTAGATAGGCGCTTCTAATAAGTGCAATGTTACTTTTGGGTGGGTCTGCTTGGTCTGCTTGGTCAACAGGCCGGAAAACGCCTAGGTAGTATTTAGCCGCCGTCGAAAATTGACCTCTGCTAGGATTCATAAAGCGATGGAAAAAGAGGCAAGCTGATCAAGCACAAGAGGCGACCTCATCAAGCACAAGAGACGAGTATGGTGTTTTGTTGATGCCAACGACTCACGCAGCGCTGACATTCTTGTGGATGCAACGGTAAAGGCTTCAACGGAGACAAAGACTCGAAGACTGGTGGTGCTTTTGAACCTGGATCAAGACGTTGGATATAAGGAAGAGACTTTGAGACTGCACTGAGACATTGTTGGCGATGAAGTCTGCCAAGAGCGCAGTGCACCGGCGAGTACACTGACGAGTACACCGGCGAGTACACTGACGAGTACACCGGCGAGTACACTGACGAGTACACCGGCGAGTACACTGACGAGTACACTAGCGATTACTTGAGTACTCGCGTACGCCCTCGCCGCCCTCAACCCACACGGTTCTTTTATCTCTCTTCCTCTCTTATCCAGCCTAAAGGCACTTCAAAAACCACACACGTGACCAGGTGCCAGGCCACAAGGTTCACGGCGCTGACCGCATCCCACCTACGTGCCTCTGCGTCCTGCAAGGCTGCCAATACACTCGTTTTTGGTGCCGTTTTTACCTTCAGACTGTGTGCATCTTCAGATCTCCAGGAGAAACTCGATGCCAAAGCCTCCACAAACAGATTTGCATACGGCTTTAACTTGCTTTTTAAGGGCCTTTGCAAACCTAGAATAGGCGCTGGACACTGGTATTCGGCACCAATACCGTTGCCATAATTGAAAAGTCTTCGCATCAGTGGTAGTTTAGGTGCGTTGATGTTTCGATGCCACACTTGCCAAGACCAGGAATCCACTCAGGGTTATTTGTGGAAGACTGTGGTTATAGCTGGGACTTCAGGCATCGGAACAATCAAGAATCTATAAAAGTAGCTCCTCCAACTGGCATATTTCGAGATCTGAGATTCCGTCGTCGGAAGCGTATTATCATTGCATTTCTCAATAATCTTACTTGCTTCAAAATTCGCATCCGTTTGTTATGTCAACTTACATCTCACGGCTAAAAGCGATGGGCAGCGGGTCTACCTCTCAGCCCGAGCAGAAAAGCAGTGATGAATCGCTAGCGCACGGCGAAGTGAATTACGTGACAGAGCTAGATGTGGGTTCCAAACGACTGGGCATCTTCTCGTGCATTGGACTCATCTGCAACCGTATGCTGGGGACCGGGGTGTTCGCGGTGTCGTCCACAATCTACACGCTGTGTGGTTCTATCGGGTTGGCCCTGATCATGTGGGCCGCAGGCGCTATCATCGCCATGTCCGGTCTGTACGTGTACCTGGAGTTTGGCAGCGCCATCCCACGTAACGGTGGGGAGAAAAACTACCTCGAGCACATCTTCAAGAAACCCCGGTTTTTCATCACCTCCATGTACGCATCCTACGTGTTTTTCCTCGGCTGGGCCGCCAGTAACTCTGTGAACGCCGCTGTGATGTTTCTCACCGCTGCTGATGTGGACATCACAACCTGGAAGCAGCGAGGTGTTGCGCTCGGCGTTTTGACGTTCTGCTTCGCCGTCAACGCTGTCAACGTCAAGCTCGGTCTTTACATCCAAAACGTACTCGGCATCTTCAAAGTCGGTATCGTCATATTCATCAGCGTCACCGGTTGGGTCGTCTTGGGCAAAAAAGACCTCAGAACCGACAATTTCCACAACGCTTTCGAAGGTACCGGAAACGCTACCGCTTACGGTGTAGTTAATGCACTCTACAACGTCATCTGGTCCTTCATTGGCTACTCGAACGTCAACTATGCGTTGGGAGAAGTCAAGAACCCAGTTCGCACTTTGAAGATCGCCGGACCTGTATCGATGGTCTTTTTGGCCATTGTGTACATTTTTGTGAACATCGCTTACTTCGCCGCAGTGCCCAAGGATAAACTAAAGTCCTCAAAACTGATCTTGGCTGCTGACTTTTTCGACATTGTGTTTGGCGGACAAGCCAAGAAGGCGGCTTCAGTTATTGTAGGATTGAGTGCTGTGGGGAATGTCATGTCCGTGATTTTCTCTCAAGGCAGAATCATTCAACAATTGGGTCGTGAAGGCGTTCTCCCATTTTCCAGTTTCTTTGCCACGTCGAAACCATTTGATTCACCTTTGGTTGGTCTTTTGCAACACTTCATTGTCTGTGTGGTCACCATTATAGCACCACCTCCAGGGGATGCCTATAATTTCATTCTAAACCTCATCTCCTATCCTATGAATGTTATTAATTTCGCGGTTAGCGCCGGTCTACTTTGGATATATTGGCAACGTCGTCAAAACAAGATTGAGTGGAACCCCTCGATTCGGGCAGGCGTCATTATTACGACTTTCTTCATGCTTTCAAACATTTATTTGGTGGTGGCTCCTTACGTACCGCCTTCCGATGGAGGCGAACAAGTCTACAGCTCACTTCCTTATTGGACACATTGCGTTGTTACATGGGGAATCTTCGCCATTGGTGCCATCTACTGGCTAGTATGGTCCCGTATCCTACCTAAGATTGGAAAATACGAACTATTAGCCGTTGAGGTGGTGGGTGAGGATGGATTTTGGAGAAAAGAGATCATCAAGAGAAAACTTGGTGCCGATGATGATTACGCTACTGAGAACGTAGAGGTCAACTATACTGCGACCGAAGTAAAAACCGAATCGGACAAGAACTTGTAATTTTCATTCTCACCAATAGCATATTATACTAGATGGTTAATTAATTAGTTGGATAAACAGCATCTGATATTACTTAGTATTTTCGTCGTACTCTGCCGCCCCGCGGTTTGTATTGTTCGCCTATAAGGGGCCTTAGAGCTTTTGGCAGAATCTCAGCCGCGTCGCCTTGAAAACCCCACACGTTTTTATCCTTTCGTACCTGCTCAAGATCTTCGATTGTACTGTTGAATATGGCAACCTTGCTTCTGGACTTTTTGGCACGCTCGACGTATCCCATAGCGGGCCAAACCTTGCCCGATGAGCCGATCACAAGCACAAGATCCACTGGATCTCCTGAATTGAAAAATCGGTCCACTTCGTCCATTTGTTTTAGTGGCAAGGACTCACCATACCATACTACCGCTGGTCGCAGTAAACCTTCATGACATTTAGGGCATGTGGGCAATTCGCTGACATCGAGGGTCGGAAATGGGGTCTCAATATCCGAACTTTTAGGCTCAGAGTGCATCAAAGTTTCGGGATGAACGCCATTATGGTCTTTATTTTCCAAACGTGGTTTCTTGATTGCAGAAGCTTCTGCAACTGAATCTCGTCTTCTTTTCTTCGTGGTCGTTTGTGTATCAGAAGGTGTGTTCTGATAGAGCGCTGGTGTTAAGAACTTATCCTTATCGTTGCGAGAGCTATAGTTGCAGAAGAATTGCGTGCACTTGAGGCCAAATACACTGCCATGTAGCTCCACAAGCGATTCCGAAGGATGACCGGCCCTTTGGTGAAGCCCATCCACGTTTTGAGATACCACCAGCACTTTTCTATTAGTTAAACCGAGTTGAATGTCGCTGTTGTTCTTAGAATCGCTTTCACGTACAATGCCACTTGAGAAACGACGGCACAGTTCAGCTAGCGCGAAGTGTGCGTCGTTGGGTCTGGCGCGCAGCGCTTCGAGCCTTCTGGTGGAGTAAAAAAGCCACACAAGTCCCGGATTGTTTTGGAAAGCTTCCGGAGTCGCAAGATCCAGAGAAGTATACCCATGCCACGAGCCTCGCTGCCACTGGTAGGTAGGAATGCCTGAGCTAGCAGACATCCCAGCTCCTACTATACACAGCACTTTTTTGGAGTGCAAAAGGTAGCGTTGAAAACTCAACAGCTGCTGCTCGTCGACCTCCATGGCTCAAAATGCATGAAGAAGGAGCAGACGCGTGGCTTTCGTGCTCATCTTGTTCAGGTTCGCAGCTCATCGCCTGGTACAGTTTATATATGCTATCTTGAGAGTGATCGTGAAAGATGACCACATAGGCCAATATGTTCATTTATCGAGTTATTGTCATATTTCCACGGGCAATAGAATGCGAACGACAATTTACTGAATGCTATGAATTTTGAGCTTCCAACTCGTACTATTCTATCTCTGAAACTCCCGTGGTTGAAGTCGAAATTTTTTTGGTGTTCTTTCCAGCAGAATCAGACAAAATCTCGAGTTTCGGCAGCAAAAAAAAGGCATATCAAGATCTCAAATAGCGCACACTGCTTCCAAGATTTGGGACGACTTCAATCAATCAAAATTGCCCGTTACTCAGCTTACTTCTTTATAAGCTTGTCACTCTTTTCCCACCAGATCACCACATACGAACCTAAAGTCGTGTAAATTACTTATTGACGATTGTCAACTGTAATTTGAAAACTGGCAACTAACATCTTTGGACCAACACAGCACCATTATAAGGGCAACCACTAGGAGTTGGTGCCATTGTGTGGATTCGTTTACCTGACTTTACTTTAACTCAATGACTGACGAAAAAAAAACGGTTCGAAACCGGCTCAAACCGTTGTACGACGACATAATGACGTTGAAAGAGCCAAACGGACTGGAAATCTACCCGATATTCCAGGTTTTACCCACGAGAAAAGACTATCCAGATTACTACAGAATCATTCAACACCCAATGTCGTTGAGTACCGTCAAAAAAAGGCTCAATAACAACTATGTCCATCCTCAAGAGTTTGTTCAGGACTTGGCGCGCATCACATGGAACGCGCGTACTTACAACACCAAACAATCAGACATCTACACGTATGCCACCATTATGGACACGTACATCAAAGACAAGGTGGTACCCAACTTGCAAAAAGATTACCGAGACGTGCACTATCCAAACTTGGGTCCGCTACCGGACGAGCTTGAGGCCATGGCCCGCGCACACAAGGACCAAAAGATGGCAGACATTCCAACGGGCGCCGACCTCTTAAATAACGACCATAGCGGCAACACCACCAACAACAACAGTGATTACGAGAACCCCAATGGCACGAACGACGAAGAAGACGAGGAAGTTGACGATGATTACGACGAGCGCAAGAAATCCCTTCCCAAGATAAGAATCCCACTCACGGGCCAGTCGCCCGTCTCGGGCTCTTTCCCGCCGCCATCGCATTCCATGACCCCCACCCCGCTCTATGAGAGACACCAACAACAAAAAACGCACATGAGACGCGGTAGACCTCCCGTTATCGACCTGCCCTACGAACAACGTATCAAGAACGTGCTGAAAATTCTCAAGAAAGAGGTCAATCAGCGTGGAGAAAACATCACAGCTCCCCTGGATAGGCTTCCAGACGAGGAGCGTGAGCCTCAGTACTATACCTTAATCACTAACCCAATTTCTGTTGATGACATCCGGAAAAAAGTCAAGCAAAGGAAGTACAGAACTTTCCAAGCTTTTCAGCAAGACTTCAAGACTGCTATTGCTAACTACCAGCTGTATCACAGGTCACAGCCTGTTGAGCTGAAACGTGCTGCAGAACTTGAAAGTAAATTCACAGAGCTAGCTCAACACGAGCTTTCGAGGTCCGACGAGCAGTACATGACTGATGGCGAGCTCAAGTATCCTTTAAATGAGGTGGACCACAATGGAACCACCTACAAGATCGGTGATTGGATCTTGATACACAATTCTAACGACCCTAAGAAGCCTACTATAGCGCAGATCTTCAGACTGTGGCACACATCAGACGGAAGACGCTGGCTCAACGCTTGCTGGTATCTGAGACCTGAACAGACTGTGCATCGCGTAGATCGTATTTTTTACAAAAACGAGGTTGTGAAATCGGGCCAGTATAGAGACCATTTGGTGGATGAGATTGTGGGCAAATGCTACGTGTGTCATTTCACCAGGTTTCAGCGTGGTGATCCAGATTTGGAAATTGAGGGACCACTTTTCGTATGTGAGTTCAGATATAATGAAAGCGAAAAGGTCTTTAACAAAATTCGGACGTGGAAAGGATGCCTACCTGAAGAAATACGTGATATTGAAGAGTCCACTATACCCGTGTTGGGCAGAAAGTTCTTCAAATATGATTCTCCAATTAAGCACTTACTGCCTCCGAATGCTTCGGTCAACGACCCCATTCCAATGCCAACAGAAGGTGCAGTCAATGCTCCACCACTCATTGGAGCCGTGTATCTGAGACCGAAAGTTAAGAAGGACGACTTGGGTGAGTACTCCACTTCAGAAGATTGTCCTCGCTACATCATGAGACCCGGAGATCCTGTTGAGCATGGGAAAGTGGATATGGAGACAGGAACGGTGGTGACGAACATGCAGACAGCGACCAACCTTTCCAAGGTAATACCGCCAACAACGCGCTTAGCGTCTTTGAATAAAACTCGGAGTGGCACGGGGTTGTCTAGCATGCGCCAATCCAATACCGCCGTGTACAATCCACCAAATGCCAAGGGTATGCAGTACGCGTCTCCTGGCCGCGCTTCGATAAGCCCAGGTCCCACTACCATGCAACAGACGCCACTTCCGTTGGTTGTGAACCCTGTTGTTCCAACGCAAACGATCAAACTGGGGTCGCAGGCGACGAAGAAACCTGCGTATCAACCTCCAACCATTATCAATAGTCTGGCGGCCCAAGCTCGCACGAACAACGCCGTTTTAGGAACAATCTCGACCGAGACGCCTGGCGCGTATGTGATTCCCTTGCAGATTTCGAAGAATGTCGAACTTTTGCAACGTGCTGACTACGGGTCCCAATTGAGACGTTCGAGCAAAGATCAGATGGCTCCAAAACGCAAGCGTGGTAAAGGTGAAGTGTTATGGTTCAGAGGACCCAGTGTGGTCATTTCAGAGCGTTTGCTGAATTCCAAGAACGAGATTACAGATTTACCTCTTAACCGGTGGTTCAAAAAACGGAGAATGGAGTACGAAGAGGTCGACGCAGAGGACAACGACTACCTCAACGAAGACCAGGACGATACTTCCAACGGTCTGAGCAGTGCCAATGTTGGCGATGACGACTCAGAAGACGAGGACTCGACTTTGCCAGGTACCTTTCCTCTGGGACTCAGACCTTCGGCTGCATACATGGCCTACAAAATAGCACAGCAGCACGCCGGTCAATAAGACGGTGAGTGAGCCTCACACCCAACCTGACGAGATGAAAAGTCACGAAGCTTATGCTTAATCAAGAATTAAAGAAAGAGGATTCAGAGAAGTCCAAAGCATTTTGGTCAAGAAGTCCCATACAACCTTACCAAATAGAAAGTCACAGAGCCAGTGCCGAATGAAGAACACGAAGTTAAACGGACTCAGAAAATTACTAGAAGCTACAGAATTTGCTTAAATTTAATTGTTCCCGGTCAGTTCTTGATGAAATCGTGTCGTTCAATTCCAGCCACCAAACAATCCCGTCCTCCTCTAGCCGCCCAAGTGTCCCGACTAGCCGCTCAGCCCTCCCTTCTGACATGTCCTCGTCGTTCATCGTTTTGACTCAATTTGACTTCTTTGGCCAATTCTCACCGTAATATTTTTTTCCACTATACCAAAGACGAAGTCACCTGGTGAAAAAAATTGGATATTCGACGATTGATTAGGCCGTAAATTCAAGAACTTTTGGTATAAAATGAATGATATGCTAGGCCAAAGTGGGTTTATCAAAATAGGCGATAATTTCAGTGTATTTCTGATTTCTCACATTGAGCACTGATACTTAACAGGCGAATATCAACTTCAACCAACTCACAGTAAAAGTCCATTGAACTTTCTGAAAAATGTCTGAATTCGACAAGTACACCACGCCTTTGTCGTCCCGGTACGCCTCCGAGGAGATGTCCGAGATTTTCTCGCTAAGAAACAGATTCTCTACATGGAGAAAACTTTGGTTGAACTTGGCCATTGCCGAAAAAGAACTGGGATTGTCTGTCATCACAGATGAGGCCATCCAAGAGATGGAAAAACATATTAGAATCACGGACGAGGAAATCGGCGAGGCCTCCAAACAGGAAGCTATTGTCAGACACGATGTGATGGCCCATGTGCACGCTTTTGGCCAGACTTGCCCGTCGGCTGCCGGAATCATCCATCTCGGTGCGACTTCCTGTTTTGTCACCGACAACGCAGACTTGATCTTTCTCAGAGATGCGTACGATGTGTTGATTCCTAAGCTTGTCAACGTGATCGACAGACTCGCCAAATTCGCCGTTGAGTGGAAAGATCTGCCCGTGCTTGGATGGACCCATTTCCAACCAGCTCAATTAACTACTTTGGGTAAGAGAGTCACTCTGTGGATCCAAGAGCTATTGTGGGATTTGAGAAACTTTGTCAGAGCCAGAAATGACTTGGGTCTGCGCGGTGTGAAGGGCACAACAGGTACTCAGGGTTCGTTTTTGGCCTTGTTCCACGGGGATCACGACAAAGTCGAGGCTCTCGACAAAAGAGTCACCGAGTTGCTCGGCTTCGACACTGTATACCCAGTCACCGGTCAGACTTACTCAAGAAAGATTGACATCGACGTCTTGGCGCCTCTATCGTCTTTCGCCGCCACATCTCACAAGATGGCCACTGATATTAGATTGTTGGCCAACTTGAAGGAGATCGAGGAGCCTTTTGAGAAATCGCAAATCGGGTCCTCGGCCATGGCTTACAAGAGAAACCCAATGCGTTGCGAACGTGTTTGTTCTTTGGCAAGACACTTGGGCTCCTTGTTCAACGATGCAGTTCAAACTGCGTCTGTTCAATGGTTCGAGAGAACTTTGGACGATTCCGCCATCAGAAGAATTTCGCTTCCAAGTGCTTTTTTGACCGCCGATATCTTGTTGTCAACATTGTTGAACATCTCTTCTGGTCTTGTGGTCTACCCCAAGGTCATCGAAAGAAGAATCAAGAGCGAGCTACCATTCATGGCCACTGAAAACATCATCATGGCCATGGTCGGCAAGGGTGCTTCCAGACAAGAAGTTCACGAAGCGATTCGTGTTTTGTCACACCAAGCCGCCGCCGTCGTCAAGGAACAAGGTGGCGACAACGATCTAATAGAACGTGTTCAAAAGGACGAGTTCTTCCAGCCTATTTGGAATGAACTTGAGTCTTTGCTTGACCCTTCGACTTTTGTTGGCAGGGCTCCACAACAAGTTGCCAAGTTCGTTGACGTTGACGTCAAGAACGCGTTGGCTCCGTTCCAAGACAAAATCACCGACGAGCAGGTCAAGTTGAGTGTGTAGAGGATCACGCTATGTGTACATTATAACTATAATTATTATCCTATCCTGATGATATTCGTTTGTTTTAAAAGCTGGTGATCAAAACAAGGCTCACTATAGAATGGTAACCCATGATCATTGTCTATATTACTTGTCGTCTGAATTCAACACATCCAGGATGAAGGTGTTCCATTTGTGAAGCCTCACGAAAAGCAGATCGTCGTTCGTCAGTTGCGCCAAATTTCGCGGGGTTTTGAAGTTGTTGCCCTTTAAATACGTACCACCCATCGGGGTGAACTCGCGTGGTGTATTTTGGGCAAAGCTGCGTCGTAACTCGATATCTCGTCGCTGTTTGATATAGTCTATGATTTTTTTGAAGCTGTAGGTCGTGAATTCCCAGTGTCTAGACATAAGCTTCATGGCTGACGCATGGTCACTGCTGTTTATGGTGAGTAGAAGTGCGTACCGTCGTTCATCACCACGCGCATCTGTATCTGGGATTTTGAATCCCATAACTAAGTTCAGGCCTTTAGACTGGTCGAAAAACGACAGCGGTGCGCTGTCGTACGTCATGGTCTCCTCCGAAAACATGTGTCTTATCACAGATGAGATCAAATGGTACTGAACCACGGGATAGTTTGTAGAAACGTAGTCTCTGGACCTTAACCGGGTTCGTATTGAGCCCGACGAAGTGTCGTTATTAGGAAAATGTATCGAGCACGACTCGCACACGGTTTCGGTCGCATAGTCAGGCAGTAGCAGGGAATCGCCATCAGCTGCAAATTGAGTTCCCAAAAGAACTCGGGGACCGTGCTTGTCGCAGAAATGAGCCAGCGAGAGTATCATGTTGGGCATGTCGAGGGCATCGACCACGGAGTAGCGCACCGGGGAAGATATTCAAGGAAAGAAGAGCTGGAAAGCAGGGGAGAAAAAGAGGAGCCAGATGCTAGAGGATGATGCTTAAGGTGGCAGTTACATAGGGTGGGCCCCATGGAGTTCCAGTGACAGAGTTGGACAGAAACTGGAGTTGATGTTGTTGTGCAAATGAAGTTGAAATTGTGGACACTTTCCACGACGCGAGGTAATAATTGATCCTCCAAACACGTGATACATAGCTGACTCAGACGTAGATAGTTATAAGATCGTATAGCGGGATGAATAAACAATATACGTACATAATGATAATAACGATTTTTTAAGCAATGGTCACATGAATAAACAGCCGCTCAGATCACGTGCTTACTATTTTTCCAGTTTGTGCTTTTCTACAGCCTCAAGCAGACGATACGAATGCTCGATCTATACCATTTACCAAACCATATATCTCATAATAGCTGTGCAAGACGCGAGCCGCATTGTTTCTTATGCGCTCTTATTTGAATCTATGGATATTCTTAGCGAGTTAAAAATATGCGACTCCAATATTTCTGGACAATCCTAGGTAGCGAGACCTGTGAGCAAAACCTAGGACTTTCAGAATAAAAGTAGCAGCAGTATGTCGAAGATGTGTATACTGCGAAAAGTCCTGAGAATTATCGTGTTTTGGTCGCACTTCAACTACATTGGAATATTACTTTATCACCCTCAGAATTGTTTAACCGACACTGTATTGGTGACCTGTAATTTCGTAGTGTGACCATTATAATCTCCAGTACTTTTTAATCAACAAAAAGTCACTGCATTGCAGTGCGTTGGGCTACGATAAACCGTCTTGTTCTTCGAACACCATATATACAATTAATTCTAAGTTTTGTTCAATGTCTGAAACTAGTTTGAAATTTCCTGTCAATAACGAAGGTAAATCTACGCTCTTTTGTGGTTATCTACCAGCTCATATGGTCTGCTTAGGCCAATTCTCGTCGTCGCTTTGTGACTAATGTCTGCTACTTCGACCCTTCTGGCATCTGTCATTTACTCACGTGATCCCGTGCCATGCCATCCCGATGTTGATGTCACTGCCCTACAAATGGATCCATAAGACTTTGATGTCGCAGGTTGGACTCAGCTTTCGTTCAATTCTTAAGCTATTGTTATTTTCGTTCTACACCTCAGGAATTACTTGTAGCTGGCAACTGTTGACGATAATCAAATACTGGCGTCGCAGATATGGTAATGTAGAAATTATTCACAAAGTTCTCGTTGGGAAGAAAACTCACAATTACCATAAATTCAAGTCTTCAACAGATCCTACCATGCAATGCTGTAGGTTACTAAGTCCAAATTCGGGACGCCCACCGCGCAAAATTGGGAAATGCATAAGAACATAAAATGAAGACAAAACAAAGCCGTTCGAATCCCTCTGGCACACTTGCTGAACCCAGATATTCTGTGCCCTCCCGAAATCGACCACTCAAAACTCACACCACAGTGTCATTATGAGGTGCCCTTCGTTCAATATCCCCAAGGCAGCGTTGCTTGCATTTTGTCTTGCCTGCATATCACTTCAATCAGTAGCCATCACTTCGATCAATCAGCGGGTTGTATTCGAAATCGATAGTTCACGGCAATGTGTAGATCAATCTTGCTCACAAGGGACCTAAAATGCGATTTTCAGATGATTAGTGCTTGAGGTAAATATTTTCAGTACCTACCACTGACAGGTGTCACCAAAAAGTATGAAAATGTCATTCGCCGAAGGTCTTCGTCTATCCCTCATCATACCTTGCATCACAGACGTCAAAAGAGCATTTCTGACTCAGACTGTCCACGCGTAGACCATTTTTATCACCAACACCGTAGCGACGAGTGCATTTTATGAGGAATTCTAAGCTGGTGTATCAGACGTGATAATTACTCAAATGAATTCACGCACAAAAGATGTCACATTGTCCCAGTCTCTCGATGGCTGGCTTTAAAAGCACAAAACGAGAAAACCAAACCCTCAAATTAATCTTAACGTCATCTTCTGCGCTCCCTACGGACGGTATTATTCAAACATTTGTTACAGCTCTGTATTTATTCACGACAACGACCAGGCTTTGTACTGGAGGGGCTCGGAATGAGATACACTATGTACATCATCAACGCCCTTAACGAGTCTATTTTTGTTTTGAGTTTCTTCATCCTTTTCAACCAGTTTGACACCAGAATCTGCTTGCTCAGATAGCATAATGAGCTTCTTAGAAATGTTTAGCTTGCCGAGTTCTTCGTTCAGCTCGGTAACTTGTTTGCTCAAAGACTGACGCTCGCTCAGCAGCCTCTCGGATTCTTTAACGAAACGTTCCTTTTCTTTGTTAAGAGTTGCCTCAACCGAGTTCAATTCTTGAAACTTAAGCTCGACCTTTTCCAAGCTGACTTTGACAAGGTCCTGGATTATCAATTGTGCCTCGTTCAGATACTTTTCTGAGATTTGCTTCGCTGATTGTGGAACTGCTTCATTTAGTGCCTTGCCATTCAGACCTTTTAAAAGAGCCTGGACTGCGGCATCAACAGTCTCCGTCACTTCAGGCGACAGGTTTTCAGTCTTTGGCGACTTGGGTGCCGGTGTGATTTCATTGATATATTTGTCTTCGATCGGCAATGTCAGAAACTTCTCGACACAAGCCTCAGTAGTTTTCGAGCCACCAATGTGCTCGACTATCTTATCCCACTGATCTTCGTACATCTCAATACCTTCAAGTAGCAGTAACACTTCTTGATCGGACCACTGCTTTTTGGCCTGCGACTGATTTTCAAGACGAAGAAAGTCTGACGACGAGAAGTGAGCGCTAAAGTGGCCTTCTTGGAAGCAGCGAGAACATATGTTGGTGTCTCTAGACCTTAGGTTGTGGTACCGTATACCTACGCAGTCATTGCTGCAAGTATGACAGATGTATGTTCTGTTGATCTGTCTGGACTGCTGCGAGTCATTTTGCAACGAATTGAAGTTCTGCGCATTCGAATAGATGTTTTTGCGCAATGACAAGTTGATGGGGAACCTTTCGGGCTGCAAGAACTCGACTTCCTGTTTTGGTTCTGGCTTGACAACAGGATCGGCGGAACTGGTTGGCGTAGCGGCATTTTCTGCTGGAGCTGCGTCGGAATGCCTCTGAGTGACTTCAGCACTTTTTTCAATCGATTGCCCCTCGCGTTGATCCGAGTCTGTTTTCACCGGAGGCATTTCGCGGGTCTCAGCGTTGTCCTGGGGCGTCTTTTCCTGGGTTTGTTCGCCATTGTTAACGACCTGAGCTGGGATGAATGGTTTCAGACCCTGGGGGGTGTCGAGGACAATCTGGAAATGGCCTGTGAAACTTGGGCCCAACAGCGACGGTTTGGATCTGGGGTCGATCTGGTAGTTGATCAGACCCCACTGCTCGAGAAACGAATGAATTCTGACGATGGAAGCGACGTCCATTGCGACATTACGCCTCACTGCCGTCACTGTAAGGTATTCGTACGGCGACAAACGGTACGTATTTATCATAAAGTTGCGGACGTCGCAGTATGCCTTTTCCGTTTTGAACCGTGACGAATCGTCGAAAAAATCGGGCAACATCCGTCGCTCGATCTCGTGAACTTCGCTAAACAAGAACCAAGCTGAAAAAGAAGGCACGATCACTGGGTGGGCCTGTTTTGCCAAGAACCTCACCGCTTTATCTTCCAATTTCTTCGCTTCCTGTTCATAGTCCACCTTCGACGATTCCTGTTGTTGTTGTTGTTGTTGCAGATGTGGTAACAGTGGAGCACTATTACTGTGCTCCATAGCTTGAGGAGTCTCCTGCGACTCTGTCATGGCCGGTGTGTCGCTCAAGGTTTGGTATTCAAAGGATGATTGTTTTGTTGATGTATGGTATAGGACCTATTTATTAACTTCGATATTTTTCAAATTATTGTTATAATCATTATCACCAACTACTGACAGAAAAACCAAGTTTCAAAACTGAGTAAAAACAAGATATAGACAACATTCATTAAGGGAGAATAGTACTCGATCAAATAGCCCTTGACTTTCTCGATTTTTCAAAATTCCTACGGCAAATATACGTGGTCTGGTCACTGTGAAAACCGTTAAGAACATTGGATAGATCGGATAAAATTCATTTGCTAAAAAGTGCTGTGGTGTAGAGCATAAGTGGAGTAATAAAGCTGGTGAAACACTGAATTAACTAGAATTGAATTGGTTTGTTAACGCTGATCGTGTTTTAAGCGATTGTTCAAGCTACCGTAGAGCAAATTCCATTCTTCCCAGTTATCGACAACAATCTGCAAAGGGCCTCGTAAGATGGTTGCTACACGATCTACACGCTCTTCAAGACCCAATTACCGGGAAAAACAAGAATCCGATCTTAAAGCGGACGTGTGGGACTCTGATTCTTCTTCGGACTCTGATGACGAACCTGTGTGGCTGAAGGACGGGTCCCTAAGCGACGGTCAAGACGTGAATTTGAGTTCTGACGAGGAAGAAGAAGATGGGGAGCTCAACGACTTGATAGACGCAAATGTAGCCAGACTGAAAGACTCAAAGGACCGCGAAAAAAGCGGAGAACCCGAAAGTGTGGACGACGCTACCATTTCGCTAAAGCTAAACAAGTTACAGGAATTCGTACAGCAAAGTCAGGTCTACTCTGGAATTATCGCAGAGACGCTTCTAAATAACTCTCAAAAACGCCCCGAGGCGGACGGCGAGGCACCCACCAAGAAGCGCAAAACGATCACCGATTTTTTCGGCAAAAAGGACTCCAAGCAGCTGCTTTCGAACGTCGAACAGCAGTTCACACACCAGCAGCCCTCTTTGCTGCGCGGTTGTCAGCTCAAGTCGTACCAGTTGGAGGGTGTGAATTGGCTAATCACACTATATGAGAACGGGTTGAACGGTATACTTGCAGACGAGATGGGTCTGGGCAAAACTCTGCAAAGCATTGCACTTCTTGCATTTATTACGGAGATGGACACTAAGGGACCCTTTCTAATAGCTGCTCCGCTGAGCACAGTAGACACTTGGATAGGCGAATTTGCCAGGTTCGCACCGGACATCGACGTATTGAAACACTACGATACACAAGGCCAACAGAAGCGGGCCTCTAAAATCAAAAGCTTCTTCAAGCGCACCAAGGGCGAGGGCGTGGTGATCACATCATATGAGATGATTATTCGCGATATAGATCTGATCCTGTCGTACCATTGGAAATTTTTGATCGTTGACGAAGGCCATCGTATCAAGAACATCAATTGCAAGCTAATTCAAGAACTCAAAAGAATTAACACGTCAAACCGTTTACTACTTACCGGAACGCCTCTGCAAAACAACTTAGCGGAGCTATGGTCCCTGCTCAATTTCATTTTGCCAGACATATTTGCAGACTTCGAGATATTCCACAAATGGTTTGACTTTGGTGACATCGAACTCCAGAGCTCATCGCAAGGTCTCAATAAACTGATCAACGAAGAACTCGAGAAAAACCTCATATCGAATTTGCACACTATTTTGAAGCCGTTTTTACTGAGAAGGTTGAAAAGCGTTGTACTCGCTAACACATTACCTCCCAAGCGAGAGTATCTCATAAATTGTCAACTTACACCTCTTCAGCGAAAGTTTTATAAGGGCGCTCTGAATAACAAGTTGAAGCAGACTGTCTTCAAACGGGCAATCAAGGATTTTTTTACCTTGAACCAGGATCACATTGGGCAGGTCAGCAACAAGACCATTCGCAAGTTTATGGAGTGGAAAGCGAGTGACAGGGAAATAGATATTGAAGACAAACTATTGTTGCAAATGGAACAGCTTTATCGGGAGCATATACACCGAGCTCTTCTGAACAAGAGCCTTTTGAATTCCATGGTTCAACTGCGACAAGTAGTTGACTCCACGCTTTTGTTCTTCTTCCCGTTCATCGATCCGTCACAGCTGACGCTTGATCTGCTACTCGAAACGTCCGGCAAACTGCAGATGCTGCAACAACTAGTGCCTCCTCTAATTCAAAAAAAGCACAAGGTACTGATTTTCACACAGTTCGTTACAATGCTAGATCTACTCGAGGACTGGTGTGAACTCAATAGCATTTCAGCCTGCCGTATTGATGGCTCGATGGACAACGAGACTCGCCAGGGTCAAATTGACCAGTTCAATGCTTCCAAAGGAAGCTACGACGCTTTTTTAATTTCCACCCGGGCTGGCGGTCTGGGTATCAACCTTACGGCAGCTGATTCAGTCGTGCTGTTCGACAGTGATTGGAATCCACAGGTCGACCTGCAAGCAATGGACAGGACACATCGTATCGGACAAACTAAGCCTGTGGTGATATACCGGTTCTGCTGCGACAATACCGTGGAGCACGTTATTCTGACCCGAGCCGCCAGCAAGCGTCGTCTCGAGAAGATGGTGATCCAGATGGGCAAATTCAGCAATCTCAAACGTTTGGCTGGAAACGAGCAGTCTTTCATCAGTGGTATGAGCGGCACCGGGGGCCGTGGACAGCGGCATCAGGTCTCGTCTAATAAAGAGCTCATGAACGAGCTCTCGCAGCTTCTTTTGAGCGGAGAATCAAGTATTGGGTTTTCGAGAGGACTTGATGACGGCAAGCTCACCACTGCAGAACTAAATGAACTTCTCGACCGCTCTCCGAAATCTTTCAAGTCGGAGAGGGCTGAAGCCCAATGGCCACACATAAGACTCTTTGAAACGACTAATAGTGAGCAATAGTGGTGGCAGATTGACAGCTTACGCTTCAATCGCTATATTCCTTGAAGCCCGAAACATCGAGGCCCAAAAAAGAAGACAAACGAGACGTAGTACAAATGAGCCTTATCAACAAGAACGTTTGACCACAATAGCCTGTGCCGTGCTCTTCTCCAGTCACAATCGACATCGAATACGTCTTTACCCAAATGTGAAATCTATTTATCGCCATAACTTGACGAAAAATGACTCAAATCTGACTTGGAAACCCAGATAGTGCTCCTCTACTCCGCGACACTTCAACTATGGTCCCGAACCCACGCCAACGCTCTCCAGTCGCCCTAGAAGGGCGAAACCTGATTTCACTGGAAATCCTGTTATAAGCTCGCAGAAATTACGTTCTAGTGGTCGGATTTGAAAGGTAGAAAACTCTCAATGCTCCACAGAAACAGCAAATTCTTACAGCATTGAGCAACGTCGACCAACACTGGTGGTGTTAGCTGGAGTGCCCGGTTTCTTATGTCGAGTGGTGAGACTTTCGTACCACATGACACATCTGGAATATTTAAAAAGTTATTACATGGAGAGACCCCTTACCTACCTTAACCCCCACGACAACTACAACTTCTAGCACAGACTGGCCCTAAAGAGCACTATCAAGACCACAAATAGTTCCTAAATGCCATTGACAGGAGGCCAGCTGGAAGAGCTGAACTTGTTTCAGCGCAAGGTGTACGAGGATCAGCCTAAGGATCTTTTGCAATTTGCCGCAAACTACTTCAACAAGAGACTGGAACAACAGAGGTTTTTCGCACGGAACCAGGAATCGCTGGCATTATCCAAGGGAATTGTGCTGTTTCCGTCCGCAACAAGAAACGACTCGGTTGTTGCATCTGCGTCAGCGGGCGCGGGAGCTGGAGTAGCAGAATCACACTCCAGTGATCAGATCTTTAAAGCATCATTTGTGGAAGCAGACCCACACACGACAGCCACGGGAGTACCTAAAGAGAAGACAGAGGACCCTGCACACGCAAGCGGTGGCCCTGGCTTTGGTCACGGCAACAACGATCAAGACTCAGGTTTTGGGTCGGGTATCTTCAAGAACGATTTTCGCGTAAATCAAAGCTCTGAGAAGCACATAAAGAAACCGGTAGACCCAATGGCCCCGGCAGAGCAATCGTCGGGATCTTCGCCGCAGCCCACGAAAATTCCCAGAAAGTCTGTGGTAGTACCACGGCCGTTGCCCATGAACTTCAACGCTCAGAGACGCACGTCTGTCAGTGGAGAAACAATGCAACCAGACAATCTAGACGACTGGACGCCCGAAAACTACTCTGAGAAAACGGGGTTGCAGCTGGAACGTCTGGAGAAGGCCATTGGCCGTAACTTCCTTTTCAACAAGCTCGACACGGAGTCTAAGAGATTGGTGATCAACTCTTTGGAAGAAAAGAACGCCAAAGAGGGTGACGAGATCATCAAACAAGGCGATGAGGGTGACTACTTCTACATTGTGGAAAAGGGCAACGTGGATTTTTTCGTCGGATCGCAAAAAGTCAACACTTCGGGGCCCGGGTCCAGTTTCGGTGAACTGGCTCTCATGTACAACAGTCCCAGAGCTGCGACAGTGGTGGCTACTACAGACTGTGTGCTGTGGGCTCTTGATAGATTGACCTTTAGAAGAATCCTACTGGGCAGTTCTTTCAAAAAGAGAATACTATATGACGAATTCCTAAAATCCATGCCCGTGCTGCAATTTTTGACCACGTATGACCGAGCCAAGCTGGCAGACGCCCTGGATACAGAAATATACCAACCGGGACAGATTATGATCCGCGAAGGCGACAGCGGTGACAACTTCTATTTCATCGAGTTTGGCGAGGCTGAAGTTTCCAAAGAGGGTCAAGGTATTATTGCACATCTGAAGCAAGGGGACTATTTCGGAGAAGTAGCGTTGCTGAATGATCTTCCCCGTCAAGCCACGGTGAAAGCGATCAAGAAGACTAAAGTGGCCACGCTGGGAAAGAGCGGATTCCAAAGGCTTCTGGGACCTGCGGTCGAAGTTCTGAAACTGAACGATCCGACTCGAGTCGACCATTGAGAGCGGGATGCAAAAAGGAGGACAACGAGTATAAGAGAAATTTTCACACCACAACGGCCTCGACGGCCTACTTATTTGTAATGGGGTCTCAGACTCTCTCATAAATATGATTTCTTCACACGCAATGTCAGTTGATCAATGAATCTACATCGTTTTAGTCTCGGAAGTATGTCTTTGGAAGGAAAGAAGTAGTTACATATGAAAGAACGTTGTGAGCGCTGGACTCAGGGTACTTACCCAACAAAACGTTTTTTACTTACCACGCTTTGCCGGTGTAGAACTCTTTTTGAGTGTACATCCAGGCCAAAGAGGTCGTAGACACCACCAATGGGCCCATGAATCCTTTTCCGAGCTTGCAAGTACGGAAAAGTAGCAATTCACTGCCGAAGTGAACCAAAGCTACCAGATACGAGATGCACACCAATTGGTAAATGTGTTCTTCGTGCAAATACAACGCACCATACAAACGGATCACACTGCTGATGAAAGTCCAGGTTCCGAAAGTTCTGGCACTGAGTTTCGTAGTTTCTTGAGGCTTACGTTCGTACACTCTACGAGTGAGTTCCAAACCAGAGATATAAGTTTGCACTGAATTGAAGGCCGACACGACAGAGATGAACAACAACCATTTAGGTAAGTAGCCCGGTGGCATAGTACTGAGGGTATTTTGAGTGTAGTTGATGACCTGTTGGAAGGAAAGCATGGAGGGCGATTTAGCAGTCGATCAAAGGGAAACCGAACACGAAGAGATCAAACGAGAAACGATAAATCTTAAGTGAAAAGGATCAAGTTCAAAGGATCAAGTTTAAAAGGTAGAAGAAAGGGAAGCCAAGTATTTTTTTCGTCGTCTTCTTATACAGTTCAACAAGTGAAAATCAGTTGACAGTCGTATACATTGGCGCCATGCTAAGCTAGCGAGTTTATAAAGTTATTTGATGATGATGATGATGATGATGATGATGATGATGATGATGATGATGATGATGATGATGATGATGATGATGATGGGGAGCTCCTGCCAATTCTGGAGGGGCGATCGTGATACTCGTTAAGGACTCGTGGGTAAGAATACCGAATCGTTTTCCAAGTTTAAAACTGGAACCATTCTGGGTCGTTGATTCTGGTCTCGCCCTTTTCCTTGTGTATCTTGTTGATGGCGGCGACGTCGTCAGCGCTCAACTTCACGGTCTGGAAGTTGGACTTGATTCTGGATGGAGTGACAGACTTGGGTAAGATAACGTAGCCTCTTTCGACACCCCAGCTGATCAACACCTGTGCAGCGTCGACGTTGTACTTCTTGGCGATTTCCTTGATGGCGGGTTCGTCGGCCACAGGAGAGCCCTGGGAGCCCAGGGGAGAGTAGGCCTCCATGACGATGTTGTTCTCTTTACAGAAATCGTACATCTCGTTTTGGGGCAGCAATGGGTGCACCTCGACCTGGTTGCAGGCGGGCACGATCTTGTTGTCCTTGTGGTTGATCAGGGATTGCAGCTGGGCGACGGAGCAGTTGGAGACACCGACGGCCTTGGTTTTGCCCGAGGCAGGCAGCTCCTGCATGAGATGCCATGTCTTGATGTAGTCCCACTCGGAGTCGACGTCGGGCTTGCCGTCGTCCTTGGTGGGGATCGAGAACAGGTTGTCGTCCTTGATACGCTCGGTCTTGAGGGGCAAGGGCCAGTGGATCAGGTAGAGGTCGACGTAGTCGAGGCCCAATCTGGCCAGGGACTGGTCCAGGGCCTTGGCGGGCTCGCGATGCTGCGTGTTCCACAGCTTGGTGGTGACGAAAAGCTCTTCACGAGGCACTTTGGAGTCGCGAATGGCTCTGCCCACGGCCGCTTCGTTGCCGTAGACGGCTGCAGAGTCGATGTGGCGGTAGCCGTCTTTCAACGCGGCCAGCACGGCATTGTAGCCGTCTTCTTCGGTCGAGCGCCACGTTCCGAATCCCAGTTGCGGGATCGTGGCTCCGGTGTTGAGTTTGGTGGTGGCAGTGCAATTTTGAGCAGACATAGGTGGGGGGAGTGTAGGGGAATGTCGGGGGGAGTAAAGGAAGTTCTTGAAGATTCAAAAGCTTAGTGCTGGTTGAATGAATCTCAAGAGAAGCATGTTGTTCATCTCCTCCTCACCCAAATACTCGCTCCTTATATACATTTTTTCAGCACCAGGGTAAAAGCAAAGACCTCATGGCCCGGTTTGCTGTTAAGGGCTTTGGCAAATGGCACATATTGCGACTGGTGACGGCATCGAGCGTAGTGTGTTGAGAGCGGTGGGAACGCGTAGCAAAGTTGTGGATCTGTAGAGACTTTGGACTCTGTTGAGCGAGCAAGATGCGATTTACAGGCCTGGAGGAGCGTAAGAAGAGCGTGAAAAGAGCGTGAAAAGAGCGTGAAAAGAGCGTGAAAAGAGTGTTATAAGACGCGACGTGGCGTGGTGTATGAGAAGCGCGAGAAGTGGTGTGGTTTTTGTTGGGACGGGGAGTTGTGTGTGGGATTGTTTGTGGGATCGTTTGTGAGATCGTTTGCGAGACCTCTATGGTAGAAGAGATGTATGAATGGATGGTTAATTAATTGGATGGTGAGTTCGTGTGGGGTGATGTTGAAGGAGCGAGACGAGAAAGCGAGGGGAAAGTAGAGAGGAGTAGAGGAAAGTGGACACGATGTAGTGCTCTTTGTAGTTTAGGTTTCGGTCTCTGGGCTGTTGGAAAAGCTGGTGTGATTGGGGTTAAAAGATGGTCACGTGATAAGGTGTCTGCAGCGATACAGAGTTGAGAGAGAGAGAGAGAGAGAGAGCTCCGAGCGTGCGTAAACGCTTAGAATCACTCAGCGATTGAAAACGGCTACGAACACCGACGATTTAGAGGCCTGAAATACGTTCAATAGAGCTAGCAAGCTCAATATCATTTTGAACGAGAACGAGTACGAGTACCAGAAGTAGTATTGAACAATTGAGAGCGTCAGGGATCAATTGTGAATACGTAGAGATCTGGTAATACACTTGAACTATTGAGAGACTTATTAGAGAGTTCTGAACACCGCTGACGCTCCCAGTTGTTCAATTGTGCTTTGCTCGGTTGTGCTTGTAGCTCGGTTGTGCTTGTAGCTCGGTTGTGCTTGTAGCTCGGTTGTGCTTGTAGTACCAAATTTATTCACAATTGATCGCTGACGCTCACAATTGCAACTCATCAGAGAGCTCGTAGTACTAATGAACAATTGAAAGCATCGGTAGAGAGTTCGTAGTACAGCTAAACAATTGATTGCTTACGCTCTCAATTGTGAATATGCTGAGTATTCGTAGCACTGCTTCTATCGCTTTCAATTGTGAATAAATACAGAACTGGCAGCATTACTAGCGCTCAAACACGCAAGCGGCACTAGCGATTGCGAATGGTGTGAGAAGTCAAAGCACTACTTAACAAGAGAGCGATAGCCTCACAAAATTAGAGAAGACGTAATTACACTCAACAATTGAGGGTGTCAGCCTCAATTGCAAAAAAGTATAGAACTCTTGGTATGACTGAACCAATGAGAGTTTCAGCTAAGAGAAACTACGGACAATACTGAACAATTGAGAGCGTCTGCGATCAATTGTTTAAAAGCAGGATGGCTATCAGAACATTTGAACACTCAAGCGTCAGCGATCAGTTGTGGATAAAGAGAGGACTTACGGTATTATTCAACAATTGAGAGCGATAGCGTTCGACTGTGAAGACGTAGAGATTTGTACTGCTGAACAATTTAGAGCGCCAGCGATCAATGAATATAGAAAACTATTGGCTTTATTTTATGATTGATCGCTCTCAATTGTGATCGAGCGGAGGCCTAGTAGTTTTATTAAAAGAAAACAAGTAATCACGAGTGCTCACGAGTACTATTGAACAATTGAGAGCGTCAGCGATAATCGAGATGTCGACACACTGGAACTCGTAATACTCGCTACCGCTCTCAATTGTGAATAACTTAGAATGGCCACAAGCACTATACAATCGAGAGCCTCAACGATCAATTGTGAATGAACTAGAGAACCCGTAGTAGCTCGAACTCGTAGTACCACTCAGCAATCGAGAGCGAGAGCGATCAACTGGGAACAACAATGTTGGCTTCAAGCACCACTGAATAATTGAGAGCAACAGTGATTGACTGTGAATATTCACAGGCTTTAAAAAAGCTTCAAACACTACTGAAGAATTGAGAGTGTTGGGGATCGTTTTGTTGAGCACGAGTACGTGTATAAAAAGAAGCATCCGCGATCAATTGTGAATAAGTAGAAAACTCGAAGCATGGACAATTGCTCGCTTTCACTCTCAATTGTCTACAACGTGGAGATCTTGGTATCATTGAATAACTATAAGCGTTTGCCAGTAACTGGAAATAAAAATGATGAATTCTACAACTATTAAAGAACCAATCGCTAGCGCTCCCGATTGTCAATTCGTTAAGATTTAATGGTATCAATGAGCAATCAAGAGCAGTAGCGATCGATTGTGAATAAAGAGGGAACTTTCAGTATCATCGAACAGTTGGGAGCGAAAGCGGTTACTTGTTAATTAATAAAAAACTCATGGTGCAATTGAACAATCGGGAGCGTCAGCGATAGATTGTGAATTTGTCAAGATCTAATAATATCATTGCACAACTGGGAGGGTCAGCCATAGATTGTGAATCAAAAGCGAACTCATTGTGTCAGTAGCAATCGATTACCTACGCTCCCAATTGTGGAGACGTGCGATGGCTGCAAAAGCTACTGAGCATCTGTGAGTGTTAACGCTCCTTATATGAAGCTTGAGATACATATAAAGAAACAGTAGCACTAGTTTTTCTCGGCGAAGCGAGAACGATCAATTGGGAATTACTTAGAATAGCTATAAGCACTATTGATTGTTTGAGAGTGTCAGAGGTTAATTGGAATTACGTAGAATGGCTAGTAGAATTATTGAACCGGGCGCTAGCGATTAACTGCGAATAAGTGGGAAACCCAAGTAGCCAAACTTGAGCACTGTAGTGAAAAATAGGGCTACAAGATTGCCAGAGGGGATCACAAGCACCATTGAACAATGGAGAGCATCAGCAATCAATTTTAAATAAGCGAGGACAAGTTGCTCTATTGAACAATTGATGGCGGCAGCGATGAGTCCTCAACAGTCATAATGACTTTAAGCACGGATGGTCATAACCATTAGTCAACTGTGTTAAGGAGCAAGCGTTTATGAAGAGAGAGCTAGTAGTTTTAAGAGCGTCGGCGATCAAGTGTGAATATGCAGAGAACTCCGGGCACTACTGAGCAAATTAGAGCGAAAGCAAGCTGTGAGTAAGTAGAGGACTCTAAGTGCTATTATCGAGAGCGTCAGCGATTAATTGCGAGGTTTGAACAAGCACAGCAGAATCACAATAAGCATATTTGAGCAAGTGCGGGATTCAGAGATCAAACTCGAAGCACTTTTTAATGACAGCCTCAGCAATCAGCAATCCATTGTGAATAGAGAGAAAATCAAGCAGTAACGAACAATTGAGTGCATTAACTTTCAATTAAACAAGCGAAATCGTTGCAAGTACTATTAAGCAATTGGAAACGTCAGTGATCAATTCTGATTAAAGAGCGTACCGCAAACACTACGCGCTTGCGTTGAGGACTCGAAGTAGAGTTTAGAAGTCAGGAGGACCCGCGCTCTTACTAGTGACCTGCGATCGGATGTACTCGTACTCGTGCAAACAACAGCGCCCGTGATTTATCTCATAAGCAGAGCCACTGTGTAGAGCTCCGGCGACCACTTGGGCTAAATAGACCTCCCAAAACACTGGGAAATAACAAATTGCGCTTGTCGATGAGAAAATCCACAGGATTCCTTACCCATTGAACATCGGCCATCTATTGTTCATCAAAAAATTCGACGCAGGAACGTCAGCAGTAATTTGTAAATATGTCAATTACCCATAGACAATGTGCAGGTGCTCGTTATTACCAATCCAATAGCAGATAGTAATAGAGATCAACCGTAACTGATAGAATCATAGATCTGCCAGAGTGCAAAAAGCTACAATTTTCGCCAGTCAAAATGTTTTTCTGACACCATACTGTTAAATGTGAAGGAATGCATCTAAGAGCCATCCGAACAAATACTTGACCCCCGGTTTCTGATGAAAAGTTGCTTGAGAAGAGTGCGGCTTGGATCGTTAACTTTATATATAATTGTCATTCTTGAATAGGTTATATCTCTCGTTCCGTGCGTCATTCACAGATTCAGGGAAAACCAGCCATGGCAAAGAGAAACCATGGTCAATAGTAAGGTTTATACAAGGCTTTAACCACACACTGTAGCTATGTCATGCGTAGCATAATAGGACCATCCATAGCCATCTCATCTTTAATCAATCAGTCGTCAGTCGTTCTAGCACGTGATGCAGAACTCAAAAGCTCACGCAGAGTTTAGACCGGGGTACCCATTGATAGCTATTTGATAACATGGTTAGACTCTATCGAATGGCTATTTATGATCAAATAGACATATAAATACGTTATGCGGCTGTCTTCCCTGAAGTAGGCACGAATATCACGCGTTTGGTATCATCAAGTTTCAATGACACACGCTCAATTCAAGTGAAGAACGTTTGCCACATCTGGATATCATTTTCCAGCGCTCCGAGGAAGTTAAACAAGCCGGTAGGCATTGGATATAGATTATACTTCGTTCGGTTCAGATCCCACTTATTATCACCTTGTACAAGAATGTCATTTGTCGTAATGTAAATAGAGGACTCTGGGTATCGCTGACGAGAAAGAGAGGCCTTCAAGCACTGACCCTCTGATTGGGAATGACGAGGGTACTAAAAGCGCTATTGAACAATTGATGGCTAACGCTCTCAATTGTGAGTTACTAAAAATCTCTTAGTGTTATTGAACAATTGAGAGTAAATTAACTCTAAGCACTAGCGCTAGCGCTCTTAGCTGTGTTTAAGGCAGAGCTCTTTTAGAGAATTACAAGCGCTGACACCCTTTATAGTTTAATAGTTCTTGTGGCCACCCCACTAGAAGAAGTATAAAACCCAGGACACAATCGAACTTTTGAGAGCGTCAGCGATCGATTGAGAATAAGCAGAGGACTCGTCGTCGGATTAAACAACCATGAGCGTCCGTAGAGAGGTCGTAGTACTATTCAATTAAGACGGCTAACAATCGAACTCGTAGTACTATTGACCAACCACAAACGTCACCTATTGATTGTGATGTAGTAGGGAGCTCTTGGTGCTCCCGAACAATAAAGAACGTCAGCGATGGCTACAAGAACTACGCACTATATAGCAACTAAAAACGCTAGCACTATATCACAATGGCGCTAGCACGTAAAAGCTTAGCAAAGCGACATAGCTCCTTTCCAATGCGTTAAACCTAGCTTATTGGCTTACTCGTGACTTGGCTATAAGAATCAGCTGGAGGTGTCAGCGATACATTTTGAATAAGCAGAAACCAAGTTGTCCGGCTCGATAATCAATCGCTGACGCTTTCGAAAGAAAGGTACTATGAAGCCGTTGAGAAAATATAGATCTTTTGTCAAGACTGTCAAGTGCTCAGAAATGCTTGTAATCTTGTTCACCTTTGCACTCTTTGACAATAGACCACTGGCAATGAGGACTGCCCAATTTAGCTTGAAGCGATTTCTTCTTTTCCTAATAGATCTAGTGTTAGTATATTATTCTAGAAATCGCTTTCAATTGTTCATTACCAAGGGCTTCTTCATGCAACAAATTGCGGCTGCTTTCTAATGGGAGACTACTATGTATCTGGCTTTTGTAGTTACTACTTTCCACAGTCGATCTCTGACGCTCTCGATTGTTCAAAGGTACAAAAGATTTTCTATTTCCACACAGTTTATCGTTAGCGTGCTCAACTCTCAGCTTTGCCGGTGGCCATAAAGTCCTTCCACAATCGATCATTGTTACTCTCGATTGTTCAGTAGTGTTTCGAGCGATCGTACATATTCACTATCGAGAGTGCTAGCGAGTAAATGTTCGAGAGAATTAAAAATAGACTCTCAATTGTTCAGTAGTGCTAAGGGCCCTCAGCTAGCCCATCGCTGGTCGCTAGCGCTCCCAATCGTCCAGAAGTGCTGGTAGCCTTCGCTGACGCTCTCACTTGTACTCGTACTCGGGCATATCAAGAATACTCTGGGGCCCATCACTTATTGACAATTGATCACTAAAGCTCACCTCTTGAAAATGCTAAAGGTCATCCTACGTGTTCAAAATCGATCCTGACGGTCTCAACTGCTCAAGCACGCGTATGCCACGCTAACTATCAAGAATCGATTGCAGAAGATTTCAATTGCTCAATAGTACTACGAGTATGCTCATCGATAATTGATCGCTAAAGTTTTCATGTTTTAGCTGTACCCTTGGCCATGATTTGTGATCTCTGATATTCTCAACTGTTCAGCTGTGCTTATGGCCATGCCAACATGCTCTCTATTGTTCAACAGTACTGCGAGTTCTCCACTTACTGAAAACTGGTCGCTGATGCTCTAGATGTTCAGTTGTGCCCTTGGCCATACTAATTGTTCCACCATTGATCGCTGACGCTCTCAACTCTTCAGTTGTGCTTTGACCACCCTACGTAGCTCACAATCGAGCGCTGACGCTCTCAATTGTTCAGTAGTGCTTGTAGGTGCTTGTAGCCCTCTCTTTTTTCACAAGCGGTCGCTGATGCCCCCAATTGTTCCATAGTACTTGTAGCTACTTGAAGCCATTCTAACTATTTTCAATCGCTCGCTAGCGCTCTCGGTTGTTCAACCATGTTTCGAGTTCTCTCACACTCTTTACACACACGTCCTTATTATATCATTTTATCACCCACCCTAAATTGAAATCTTCCTTCCACACATACTTGTCGTTTCCAAAATAAAACAACTTAACCCAAAACCCAACCGTATTGACACCCATAGCACCCCATGTCATCCTTCGATGCTGCCCTAGACATTCTTAGAAGACTTGATCCGACCAAAATCGAAGAGAACCTGGGTCAATTGATCAAATTGGACCCAGATCTTGCTGAAGATCTACTGGCATCCGTGGACACACCGTTGCAGATAAAAAAAGACCCTCACGCTTCGCAAAAGGAGTTCCTGACATGCGACTACAACCGTGACATCGACTCACACAGGTCTCCGTGGTCCAATCGATATGTGGCCGAATTGTCACCCGAAGATCTCGCGGAATCGCCGTTCCCAACGGAATCGGTGCGACGCACTGAGGAGCTCGCCAATGAATCGTTCGACATCTACAGAGACCTGTACTATGAAGGAGGCGTCTCGTCGGTTTACTTGTGGGACTTGGGCGACGACACGGACGATTTCGCCGGCGTGGTGTTGCTGAAAAAGGGCTCCCAGAGTAAAAGCTCGTGGGATGCCATCCACGTATTCGAAGCGCTTCAAAACGAAGGCTTGTCCCATTGGAACTACAGGGTCACCACCACGATCATTCTGCACTTGGAAAACTCGAGTCGCGAAATGCGCCTCTCGGGCAACTTGACCCGTCAGACGGAAAAAGACGTTGCGCGGCCCGCATCTGTTGTAGAGGGCTCCGACGCCCTCCGGGTGTGGCACATTGCCAACCTAGGCGCCCTAGTCGAAGAAGTCGAGTCCCAAATGCGCATCCAGCTCGAGGTGGTGTACTTCGACAAGACACGTGACATCTTCCGTGAACTAAGAGATCAAACACAAGCGTCCGGCGCAAGCTCCCGGACTGCTCACCAAGAGGTAGTCAAGGGTCTCCAGGGAATGTAAGACGCTACAGAGGTAGAGTGAGCGCGAAATTGAGAGATTAAAACACTCGTATTATAAGAATCTGGTGTCACATGATAAATCTCACCAAGCAAGTCGCTATGAACGAATGTTTCTTTCAAAAATTCGCACTAACTAATGGAAGGGAATAACGACCCAAGTTTGTAGAAAACTAAAACTCCTACAAAGCGGGTCAGTCGAGCTTCAGGTCAGTGTCTAGAGGCTCACACACGGTTGCGCTGGTCTTCTGTTGATAGTTTCTCGAAAACTGTGCGAAAATAGGCCATTATTTCGAGCCGTAAAACCCGATAACAGATAAACTCAGTTTCTCGCTTTGTCTCGTAATTTAGGATGAAAAGCCGAGTGTATAGCGAGGCCAGAGTCTACACGACGGCCAATGTGAAACGTGGTCCCAATTACTGGGATTACGAAAATACGGTTATCGACTGGATCCCCAACAATGGGGCATACGAAATCGAGAACAAAGTGGGCCGTGGTAAGTACTCGGAAGTGTTCCAGGGCGTCCAGCTGGCCACCAAATCCAAGATTGTCATCAAAATGCTAAAGCCTGTGAAGAAGAAGAAAATTAAGCGTGAAATCAGCATCTTGACAAACCTCTCAAACGTCGCAGCACCACCAACTGCAGAGCCGTTCGATCGCGAGTCCTATTACGAAAACAAGAGCAATGACGTGCGTGAATTCATGCGTGCCGAGGTCTACAATCTACCGCACGATGGCCACAAAAATATCATCCAGCTTTTGGATGTAGTGCGGGATCAGGTCTCTAAAACGCCATCTTTAATCTTCGAGCACGTCGAGAACGTGGATTTCCGCACGCTGTACCCTACGTTCAACGACCTGGATATACGTTTCTACATGTTTGAGCTTCTAAAGGCCTTGGACTTTTGCCACTCCATGGGTATAATGCACAGAGACGTCAAACCACACAATGTTATGATTGACCACGCAAGACGTAAGCTAAGACTGATAGACTGGGGTCTTGCAGAGTTTTACCATCCCACCATGGAGTATAATGTGCGGGTGGCCTCCCGGTTCTTCAAAGGACCGGAGCTCTTGGTCGACTACAGAATGTACGATTACTCCTTAGACCTGTGGTCTTTCGGTACAATGCTGGCATCAATGGTGTTTCAAAAAGAGCCTTTCTTCCACGGCACCAGCAACACCGATCAGCTAGTAAAGATTGTGCGGATCTTAGGGAGCGACGATTTTGAAACCTACTTGCAAAAGTATCAAATCACTTTACCCCAAGAGTTTCACGACATCGATCAATACATTCGCAGACCTTGGTATAGGTTTGTCAACGATGCTAACAAGCACTTATCAGAGAATGACGAAATTATAGATTTGATCGACAACTTGTTACGCTACGATCATCAGGAAAGATTGACAGCTAGAGAGGCAATGCAGCATGATTGGTTTGCCCCCATTAGAAATGGCGAGTACAACACCAAGTAAATGAGGGTACTGGGATCGTTATCGGACTTTGTACATTAAATAGGCGGTGAAAAGTATCAACTAATCCGCAGGTTCAAAACGCCGACCAAGTTGTAGGAATCGAGTGATCAGATCGAGGTCATCCAGAACTAATATCTCACCAAGCAGGTACGGACGGTAATCTTGGAAGAGCCCGACAAGCTCAAGGCCTACTTTTGTATCAGCGACCCACCGCAAGGAAGAGATCAGCAGTAACAGAAATTCAGTGCAGATTTTGAGCCTTTTCAAACTTTCACTGGTCCCAAGCGGATGCGCAGCCTCCAAGAAATCTGGCACATATTTGTAAGTCATCTTAGCCGACCGTGCCCTATAAATGTCTTCAAAAGCTCTCCCAGTCTCGTTGTTGTGAAAATCCGAACGCTTAAGTTTGATTAAACACACTAATAGACTTTCCATCAGCTTTAAGATGAACCTTGCTATTTCAACGACAGCTTCAGTCTTTTCCTCTCGTATCATAAAGTTCAGTGTCAGGGCCAACATTTTAGAGTGTTCGTGGGATAGGTGCTGCAAAGAAACGTCGCAAAGCTCTATTGACCGCGACGCAGTATAATCACGCAACAGTTTGAAAATCCGTATCTTGGAAGCTCCAAAACCGAGCACTTCGTTTTTGATAAAGCCGAGTAGCAGTGACTGGCACAGGTCAAAAATGGCTTTCGTGGAATTGGCGAAAAAGGCGTAGTAAGATGCCAGAACAAGCTGAAACGATCGCACAACGTGTGTAGCGGTGTGCTGTCTGTTACGGTCATCAAGACAAACAGAAAAAAGCCATTTCAGCCACTTGTAATTCGGTAACAGTTGTTTGGCGATCTCGAATTCCTCGACGTCACAGCCCAATGATTTGACTATATCCAAATGTGTCACCAAATCTCCGATTGCCAAACGATGGCCGTTTAAAAAGTTGCAAGCGGGCTCCAAGTGCCTGCAAATGCTGCCACCCATGACATATCTATAAAGAAACCGGTCCACGAGTGCTAACTTTACTTCTCTCCGAGTTGACTGTTTAGCGGCTAAATACTTGATACTTTCCAATTTTGCAGTGTTCTGGGAGGGGAATATAATGCTCTGGTTTAGCAAATTTTGGAACGCTGCTTTTTCCCAAAGCCTCGGATTCCTGTGCTTGATTATGGCCAATGCCTGTGGGCAGAGCCCTCGAAGTTAGTTCGCTATACATCTGTAAGAAATATACCCAAAAGTCACGGGTTTCTGTCATTTGAAAAACGTACAATAGCCAGTTCTTCTGAACTATTATCAGGACCTTGAACTGAGAGCATAGCTGACTATTTAAAGTTAATTCTTTACTGCGTTCAAGGCATCAAGAACGTATGTGTTCCGCTGTAGTTTTACTGACGCTCCAGTTCGTGTTTTGACACTATTATATAGTTGATGATATGTTCGTACCAAGTGACCAAAATGCAACAAGAAAGAACCATTCAACGAGCTTGAACGACCAGACGGCTAGTTTACTTTATGCTAGTGCTCAGAGTTATTTCCTATTCGTTTTGCAAGGTTTGATACGGCTCCTTTGCGTTTTTCTTTAGTCTCTAAAAAATTCGGTGTGGAAGTCTCGAGACCGTTCAACTTCTAGCATTTATCAATAGGTCGTGTGGCCGCTAATATAATGTTTGGTATTTTTGACGTTGTCGGACGGGTATTCGATAGCTGCAATTGAATCTTTTCATTGTCTGTCAAAATCGTCCAAAATTTATAGATAACGCAATATAGCAAGCAAGTGGTGACAGCAGTCTGGTGCGACGGCACGTCTCCATGTTTATTTAAAAACTGTATTATCGAAAAACGGAAAGTATCAAATCTTGCTAGGTTTTGTTTTAAGCCTGGTCTGTCGTCGTTGTCGTGCACTTTAAATAATGCCAATTTCACAGCGACTCACATTGACGAAATGCAGTGAGTGACAGCGTGAAATACATAAACCCACTCAATGAGCAGGAGAAACACCTTCCTTGATCCAATTATTAAATTTCCCAATATATACCTCTTTTAGACTCCTAGCCTAGCATAGCGCTGGCATGGCCCTGCCAAACAGACTTATTTCTACAAATTCTATACATGCCGCTTCTTTTAAACGACGGTCCCGCGTGGCTTGCGCGAGAAACGGGCAAACTACAAATATGAGAAGGCTGTCCTCCATCGTGGTTCAACCACGGTCTATCTCTATACGAGCCTTTACTAGTGGCCCGACCCCATATGCTATGCTTTCGTTCTGAGAGCTCTGTGTCAATCAGTTGCTCACAGAATGTCGGCATCGTCGGCGTCGAGATCCACTTCGGGCGTTGGTCCTGTCATGTTGTGATCTATTTTCAGCAGTTCCTCAATCATGCTCAACTGCTCGGACCCGCCGCATGAAGCCATATGCATTTCCGTAAATTTCTTGAACTTGAATACCAGCTTTTCGAAGTACTGAAGGCGTTTCCGCATCTCGAGGTTTTCACGCGATAGCTGATCAACGTCTTCCTGGAGCTGTAGATGAGCAACCTTTTTGCGCTGCCTGCACTTGGAAGCGGCGATTCGGTTTCTTTCCAGCAGTCTTGCCCGTTTCCATGCGGGTGTTCCGGGCACTATTCCGTGTCGCATAGAGGGATACACACTGGGTAGAGGCTCGTTTCTGAATACGCTTGACTGCGAATTATTCTTTTGCTCCACCATTGTCTTGGTATAAGGGTCTGAGGGACCTGGGTCATTGGGATCGATCTCGTCTTCTAGTTTTGGCGTAAGAGCGTGAATGTTGTAGTCCTTAGGTGTAAATGTGTGAGACGCTTGGTTATGTTGCTGATGCTGGGCATGGGGGTGCGAAATCGAGACGTTTGGAGTAGGCATATATTGCTGCTGTTGTTGTTGTTGCTGTTGCTGCTGTTGATGATGTTGCGGCGCCGGGGGCGGGAACGAGATGTTTTTAGCTTCCGAGGCAGAACTCTTGTGGTCATGCCTTGTAGGCATTGGTGGAGGTTGACTGTAGTATAAATCGTCAAATGTATGCGTGGCATCTCCCAGTTGACTAATCTGACCGTTCGAGATGGAAATTCTGCGTCTTCTGGGGTGGTCCGAGAAATTGGTGAGAGAACTTTGGAATATGGGCGGGTTGGTGAGCGGGAAGTGCGAGACATCAACGCCATATGGCTGGAAAAACGGTGACAGATACTCTTGCAACGAAGGATCTGACATCCCATTGTTGACCTGAAAATTTGCCGAATGTGGTGGCAGCAGCGGTGCCGAATCTGGTCCCGAAGCGTGAGCGGGAGCTGCAGCTCCCATATGTGGTTGATGTGATGGGTAAGAATGCACATTGACGTTTGCGTCTGGCACACCTCTGGCAATGGCAGTTGGGGTTCTTAACATCCCGTATCCCGGCTGCGACGGAGGCCCATACGCCTGCGCGTTAGATGCGAGTACGTTGTTGGAGTCTTCTAATTTAACTTGGACCGAGTTCATGTTTTTACCTTTGCTTTATTTGCAAGCGTCGTCAACTGGAGTGGTTTATGCAGAGAGCTAGCAATCAATCACTTAAATCAATCTCCTATAATTTTCGATAATCTGCTCTCCGAAAAATGCTGTCCAGTTTTTAAGACCGAGTGTTCTTTTGAGCTTGAAAGTTGGTGCAAGTGGAAACCAGAGGCCGTTGTTCTTTGGTAGAAGTATATCCGTGACTTGTTGGCTTCTTCTAATTCCCATCGGGCGGATTTACCAAATTTTTCAGAGTCTGTATTTTAATATAATATCCGGAATAATCATCAACAGAAAACAGCTTATAGTACGAAGGGCACACAGCCAAGGGAAAAATCAAGACACTTGAGAAGGGTCCTGGAGACTCGAAGACAATGCTTCGCGCAGACGAAAAACACAGAATAAAGGTCAAAAATTGGTTTTTTTCGAGATCTTGTAAACATCAGCAGTAATGCGACGGAAATAACATTAAGAGCGTGAGAATCGTGTATTTTCCTGCAATCTCCAGAGGTTCGATTGAAGGGGATCTGAGAAGACTTGATCGCCAAGCGGTCACTGTTGTGGTCTTGCTGTTGACCTGGCCTCTCTTGAATACCCAACGATCCGCTGATTATGCTGTAAAACCCATACACCACAAAGATATCATTTCGAACGTAAAACTCTCTTGGTTGAATAGTACCAGCATTGACCCAAAACCAGGTGTTTCAACAGTTGTTCTTGTTGTTTAACTTGACCTGGGACTCCATACGCATTTGAAGCAAAACGAAACTTCTCAGCAATTCAATTTCTTGTTTTTGCGCACGCTTTCGCAAAGCCTCGTGTTTCGCGGAAATGGTGTCATTTGGGTACGCAGGACCCCATTCCCATGTCCTTAAGCGTGAAGAGACACCTTAAAATTACCAGTGAGACCCTTTAAAACGTCTTTTCAGACCTTTACCAGACCGAGATACCTGCAAATATCCATCGCAAGCCGAAAATGACATTTTTAGCTTGAATTAAAGGCAGCAGCGGGCACAATAAGACCACTGAGCTCACCACTGGGTGCTAGCGACCACATTATCTTAAAAATCGCTTCAAAAGTCAAGTTATTCGCTGATGTTTCTCCCTTGAAAGTGGTCAGTAAAACGTTAAGTTAGAGAAATAACCGCCCAAATCTATATATGGGAAGGATGTCACTTCCAACGGCAATATAAGCTGCTCTTTTAGAAATTCAATCACGTGCCCAAAACACCATCACTACCGACGTTAATATCACGTGCCGATCTCGAAAGTTCAAACGTTTCTCAATTTATCGCAGATGGACCCTTCCTTGACACTTCAAGAAAAGTCCGAAATTTAGCCATCAAATCTCGGAATTTAAGCCCCACCACGGCACTCGATCGATTGTTTCAACAGTATCCACCACTTATCACTGTCGCACGCTTCTCAGCGCTTGTTTTTCCTCCCCGAAACTCTTGTTTTTGGCACGGTAGTGCATCTCATCTCATCGCAGTGGAAAATTGGATTCAAAAGCTCTCTCGACCAAAATGGTCGCACAACAGAGCTCTAACCCGCTTTTCGGTACCCGCGACATTATTGTAGAGTACCAGCGGGGTGTAACTGTTCTTGGATACCCCGTCTTCTCTCCAAATCTGCTTTTGCGAGGCATCGACCCTCCGCAGTTCCAATTGGCAGGTCCAGACGGCCAAACTGCACAAAAGGGCGAAATCAAGCCTGGTGGGGGTCTCTGGCCGTTGGATTTGGACTCTCAGTCGCGAGATTACAAGTGGTTTGTGTCAATGGACCATGCTAATCGGTTCCAAACAGATGATCAGGGCTGGAGCTACAGCTGGAGGTTTCGCAGCAATCACTGGAGGGCTTCTAAGGGTTTTGTGCGAAAAAGGTTCTGGGTGCGTCTTCGAGAAAGAAGCCCTGAACTAACCGCTGCAGAACCAGACTCGTCTAGCGAAGGCGGCGTCGAAGTGATGGACCACAGCAACAACAACGCTGATAAAGAGCCACAGGCTACGAATGACGAGCAGTCATCATCCAGCGCTCAAGATCCTTTTGCAAACTTGCTAATACAGCTTTCAAAACCAAGCCTGGACCGTCAAAAAGCGGATGCGGTGCTCACCTACATATCAGAACTATCGGCTGGCGAGAAAAGACAACTTATGGAGCCGGACTCTCCCGATTTGAAACAGATCCTCGAGCAGTTTCAGTTCGAAAAAAGCCGACAGATGCTTATGGATAAGCTTCTGCCCGCGACTTCTACATAAGCATATCAGTTTCAGGCTGAAACTGATTTCTCGTGTGGCCATTTTGCATAAAAATAAAGAGATCCGACCAAGCACCACCATATCCCACCAGCGTGTTCTAGCATGGCTCGGCAATATTGTCTTTGCCAATGCGTGACTCTGTACAGCTGTTTCCCGCCCTGAGGTACAGACTTTTCAATTGCATATTCAACCCGTGTATTCTACTACCCCATGCCATATTCCTCATCACCATATGGTTGATGGTCTCCCAAGCAGTGCCCCCTCAGGATACTCCCACGTCTAGCACGAATACCGCTATTATTACGACGATCTCGACCGTTACGGCTACACCGATGACCACCCTAATCTCTACCACTATTGAGGCTGCTGTTACAACAGACAGCTATTCGCCAATAACGACCCAGCATGTTGAAAACCTGATCAACAGTTTTCTCGATGCAAAAGCCAACGACACTGCCCAGGTCCTCAGCGGTGTGCTCCAGGGTTACGTCACAAACATCGACTCTCTTGTAGCTGGTTGGAACGATTCAATTCATACGCAGGCTTACATTTGGGAACAGCATTATAGCTCATTGCAGCAGTATAATAAAAGCATATTTTCCAACTTACAGACTCAGTCACAAGTGATCGACTCTTCTGTCCAATATCTCACCTCGAATGGGCTGTTGGTTACCACTGGCTCTACGCCGGGCACTCTTGATGGGCTGAAGCTCAATACGTCTTTCCTGGAGAACATTTTTGACAACGTTTCCGCCAGCCTACACGAATTAAGAAACGGATATCTTTACTATCCAACAAACGTAAGCTTGAACTCCATCTCAAGGAGTCAGGTCAAGATCTGGCTCGGAAATGACCTGTCAGTACAGGCTTCGCAGCGGGAGCTGATCAAAAGCCTGCAAAAGGCTGTCAACAGCACGGGCGCGAACACGATAGTAAAGCGACAAGAACAAATTACGGGAAAAAAGATGAATGCAAAGCAGAAAGCTTTCAAACTGAGTGTAATTTTGGCGGCTACATACATCGTTGGTGTCATTCTACTCATGTGTTTGGAATATTTGTCCTATCGAATCGAAATGGCCCATTTCCATCAAGCCACGGAGCAATTAATCATCGAAGCTGGAGAGAGTTTACGAGATCTAGATGACGAAAGATACCGTTTGATGGCTCACAGACATATCCAGGAAATTTTGCTTCCTTACAGCCATTTTACCAAACATCCAAAATCTTGCACAGTGGACGAAGTGGTGGTGAGCACCGTCGAGCGAATGACGAAGTCCGAGAAAACCTTCAAATTCAGAAAATTAAGCGTATTTATACATTGGTGGCTCGCATCCCATGGTGTGACCATGTGGATTTTCTTGCTGACGTTTGCAATCGAGGGCCATGTTCTTTGGACTTTCTTAGAACCCGGAGAAAATACGTCTCATGCACTGAGAAAGAGGGATACTTTGGCGTCCACGATTGATACACAATATGATACAGTTCTTCCACTTTGCACGACGTTTGAGAGCGTGGTGAACGCCGAGCTCTATGCGACTGTGCAGAACCATTTTTGGAATGCTCAAAATGGTACAGTTGCCAGTGTTTTTGACAAAGTTTACGAAGAACTGAACAGAACTCAAGAAAACCTGCTATTTTCTGTAATGCCCAAACCGACCGCACTCGAGCACATCGACTTCGAATTTGCCAACTTTTCGTCCTTTCTCGCATCCAGGCTGTCAACCTATTTCCCGCAGACCGCTGACACCGGGTATAAAAACCTCCACAAGCGAAACTCAGCCGAGTCAAGGGCCTCTAAAATTACAGCTTGTCGCGCTGTATACTACAAAATTGTCTACACACTGCTAGGTACTATCGTCTATCACCATTTGTGCGGATTCGCACTGGCTTTCAGACAGACCAAAAATCCTGTCATCACCCGCACGCAAACGGGAGTTCAACACAGAAACCAGCGAAAGTACTAAAACCAAACGTAGAGAATCCGTTTAAAGGCTCAAATCGCCTGAATACCAGCTCCTTGGGGTTCATTTTGCCTCTTTTATATGTCTTTTCCACGTGATGGTGATATTTCTTTACAAGCCAAAGTATCGAATTTCAATAATGGGAAACTTAAACCTAACCAGTTTTTAAAAAATTTTCCAATAGCCAGAGAGCCAAGCTCACCAGCGAATTGGCTCAAAGTTTAGAAAGTTGGAATTGTCCAAGCCCTATTTGGCATTAGGCTGGAGTTACTGAGCGAGTAGTTCATCAAAAACCAATCGTTGAGACGGTCCCGAAATTCTGGATATTTTGGCAATGTCACATCGAAAATTACAGCAGGAAGTGGACCGAGTGTTCAAGAAGATTAGTGAGGGTTTGGAGATATTTGACACGTACTATGAGCGTCATGAGAATTGCACGAACAATCCGCCGCAAAAGGACAAATTAGAGAGCGATTTGAAGCGGGAAGTCAAAAAACTTCAACGGCTGCGAGAACAGATCAAAGCGTGGCAGAGCTCGCCAGAAATTAAAGACAAAGACTCTCTGCTGGAGAATAGACGATCAGTAGAGGTGGCAATGGAGAAATACAAGGCGGTGGAAAAAGCGTCGAAGGAAAAGGCGTACTCCAACAATAGTCTGAAAAAGTCCGAAAACTTGGATCCTCAGGAAAAAGAACGCAGGGACGTGTGTGAATATTTATCGCAAAGCATTGAAGAACTGGAAAGACAGTACGATTCCGTGCAGGTGGAAGTTGACAAGCTGATATTGCTGAACAAAAAGAAGAAAACCTTCACCACCGCCAACGAGGAGCGCAAAAACCAGCTCAAACAACTGCAGGGTAGGTTCAGATGGCATCTGCAGCAACTGGAACTCGCGCTGCGACTTGTGGAAAATCAAGAGCTAGACCCAGAAAAAGTGAAAGGCGTGCGAGACGACATCAACTACTACATCGAATCGAATATGGAGGCTGACTTCGTCGAGGACGAAACCATATACGACAGTCTGAATCTCACATCTAATGAGGCCATAGCACACGAAGTTGCCGCCGCGTTCGCTGCTCAGCACAACGAGGAGATGGAGGAAGACGCTGCAAAGGAGAATTCCAAGGTCTCCAAAAAGGAACAGCGAAGGCTGGAAAGAGAAGCCAAGAAGGCTGCAAAGGCCTCGGCTAAAGCTGGTGGGTCCTCCAGTGACCATATCCCAGAGCCCACGGGCATAGTTATACCGGCACGAAGCGATACCAGGCACAACGAGCTTCAAAGCGAACCGACATCGGTCAATACCTCACGATCACCATCCCCCGCTGTGTCATCGGCAGGCACGAGCTTACCAGCGACATCTCATGTCAAGACAAAAGCAACAGCAGTTCTGCCGTCTTCAGCCCACGCCACAATCCAGCCTTCCACTATTCCTATAAAACAACGTAGTGTATCGCGGGATTCTGCACCAGAATCTCACGGCCACACCCACATTCACCAGACATTCAATGGAATCACTACAAGTACATTGAAGCCCGCGACGATACCCATCAGGCCAGCTGGAGACTTGAGGTGGGCCGCTGCCGCTTCTCAGGCTGCAGAGAAGGACAAGAAGGCCGAACAAGCAGCTGTGCTCCAAGCTCTTGGTCTATCAAATGTCTCCTCCGGCACAAACAGCACAGTGCCAAGCTCCTCCAATACCCCGGACATTTCGAAGCTACCGTTGGGACTTGAAATTCAAAAACGAGCTCCTTCGACACCTAGCATTCTAACCAGTGCGGTGCCACCACCCGGACTAGCAGCTCCGGCTACTGCGAATGTTGTTCTTGGCAATGGAGGATCATCCAACACCAAAGTGGACGAAACACTCGTCTCAAAGCTTCAGCCGGAATCACCACAAGCACCAGAACCCGAATTGTTCTTAGATGACTATGAGTCTGAGATATCCGTCGAAGACCTCGAAGACATTCCTGAGCAGAGACTATTCACAGCTGAAGAGCTTGATAGCAAAACACAACGAGTCAAAGTGCTGAAAGAGAGTCTCAGCAACGACTTGGATTTACTAGTTTTGCCTAGTGGTATTCAAGACTTCATCATGAGCACTACGATGACTCAAAACGATCTATATCCACAAAATCTAAATGGGGCCAAGCAACGCACGATATGCGACACCTGTCGCGTCTCGAGGCTGGACGACATACCCAAAACTTCCAATCCGCCCTCTCCTCTGGATGCTTTCCGTTCAACAAGTTTCTGGGATGTTACTCGTTGTGCGCTACGTTCTAAACTTCCAAGTCAGACCGGCCACGACCTTTTAGATCTTAACGAAATTTTGGAGAACTTCCGTGGACTGGAAACGTTTTCGTTATTTTACTGCTACTACTATTCGATTACACCACTGGAGCACAATGTTGCATATGCATTGCTAATGGAGCGGAACTGGAAAATGTCACGTACGGGAGACAGCTGGTATTGCCGACACGGCTTGCCCAAATTCACTAACGAGATATTTGAGATTGCCGATTACAAGATATTTAACTTGGACGACTGGGCTGTCATTGATAAACTGAATTATAAGCTAGACTACAGCATGCTTAAGGAACAATTCGTACTACCGACAGACACCCATCTAGTACAACAAGAGTCTGCCTCGACTGATGGTCCGACAGCGAACTCAGCAAGCCTGTGACGATATCTATAAGGTCAGCCCAATCTGTGGTTAGTAACTCATATCAAAACCTAAGCATTGATGATGTACTATTCAGTATTTATGAAGCAAAATAAATAAGTCACTAGTAAGGACACTCTGGTGGATAGTATTTGCTAGAGCTACTAGGATACTCTAGATTGAGTTTCTTGGACTCATACAAAACGTTAAAGGATATATTTGTATAAAAACTTACGAACTTCAATTAGATCGGGCGCCATTTTTGGCAAGTGTGTGCTATGCAGAAAACTGCTATGCCCCCGCACTGATGATGGTTTTTGGATCCTCCCCAGATGCGATGTTGCATTGGTGCATCAGTCTTCTCTCACCCGGAGAGAACTGGCCTGTCACCGAATGCCACACTCCTCTGTTAAAGAAGATAGCCAAGTCTCCCTTGTTCCAGTCATGGGCGTAGACATATTTTGGTGAAATAGCGGGTCTCATCATTCTGTGAACCTCTTTACGAGCATCTTCCAGTTCTAAGACCTTTCCGTCTGGCAAGATCAGCTTGTTTATACAGCATCCGTGAACTTGCAAATGATGTTTCTTGGTGACGGGATTGGTCCATACTAGAGGCAATCTCTTGATTTTGGAATCTTCCCATGGAGGTAGTTCATCAAGAGGTGTTTCTTTGCCCTCTGATACCATAGTCAAGCCATCCGAGGTAGCTCTAGCAGGCGAAATGAAAATGTAAGGATGAGGAGCGTACTCCACCGTAGTTTTCAACGCCCGTTGCTGCTCTTCTGGCGTTAAAAGCTCAAAGGCGTTTGCTCCCGAAACGAATGCGGTGGCGCCTTGTGTGAGCTCCAGGACTTCTTGGTTGTTCTCGTAGACAATTTTCTGCTTTCTCGAGTGGGGCGGGACGTGAATTCCTAGCAAAGTGGTGGCCACCGGGGGCGAAAGGTCGTACAAAGCCGAGTCGATATGCCACCTGTAAAAACGGGTCATATCTTGTTGGAAAGCCTGTTCTTCCGAAAGTGGCGACTTGTGAAAGTCGAAATGGGTTGGGTGTCTCAAATCGATATCTCCCATTCCATGGTGGCCAGCGGGCCAGTGGCCCTGGCCCAAAACTTGCACCTGTGGTTGATCTGGGATCGAAGTACCGTCTTTTCTCAAAACCGACTTATCGTGACGAAACTCTTTGCCATGGCCGTATGATTTCCCCGTTTGATCGCATGTTGCGTCAAATCTGGTTGTTAACTTCCATTGCGACTCCGGTGACAGATCTTCCATTCCAGGAATAACAATTACCAAGTTTTCCAATAACGCCTTGTAAAGGGTGTCAAAGTCTTCCTTCGACAACTTACTGGGATCATCGCAACCTTCTGGCAGTGTAATAGTAGCGCCCAAGGGCTGGTCTTCCAATGGAGTGACGGTTACGGGCATCTTGTGGATTGAATTTTTGTTGGTTAAATATGTGTTCACTGGTCGAAGAGAAGAAAAACTTGACCTAAATCACTCTGGAGTTCAAGATGCTGGTCTCTTTATACTTTCACAGTTGATGGATCTGTGGAGTTCTTATCGTCGGGAGTTCCGGTCGGGGGTATCAACTCGGAGAAATGCGTTATCAAAGTTGCCAGATTAATGATCTTGAAGGTCAAAAAGTGTCTGTCGTTTCGTCAAAATTAGCGTGAACACTAACAATTAATTTGAATGGGTGAATGGCGGACTGAGACTGTGATTCGGAGGTGTTCTGACCGATACTTGCTGAAATGGTTTGCGCAATGGAGTTTCCCTGGCACAATTATATCATATATCTATCTATAGTCGTTATCTTATCTCTAGATCATTTTTTCCCAAACAGTCGTTTTTTGGTGATGGTAATTTCTGTCTATTGTTCAAAAAAACGGTTAGGCTTGGTATTTTATGGAGTTTAAAAATGCAGTATGGAATAATTTATCGCAAAGCTTCCGTTCACACTCCCGAGGACCCGAACTTTTGAGCCCAATTTTCGTACTGCTCTAGTCCGTCTGCCGAAACCGAGGGCTTGATGTAGCTCAGACTGTTCTTGAGGTCCTGCAAGGCGATGGCGCGGATCTGGTCCCGAGGCGTGGAAAGGAGCTTATCACCAAGCTCACGAAGCGGCCCCATTGCCGCGTCCTTGGCCAGCGACGTGATGTCGCTACCAGAATAGCCGTCGGTCAGTTTCAAGACTTCCTCGAAGTCATCGTCCGTCAACGTGTGCTTTTGATGCATCAGTAGCTTCGAAAGCTGTTTCTTGCGAGTTTCCAATTCCGGCAACGGTATGTACTGTCTTCGCACAAACCTTCTACGGGCAGCCTCATCGATGCTCCACGGCAGATTCGTGGCGGCCAGCACCAGGACACGCTCGTCTTCCTCGTCGTTGCCGTCGTCATCGCCGTTTTCCGTTTGCGAGCCTTTCTTTCCAGCTGCAGCGCTGGAAAGAGACGACCACTGCACCAGAAACTCATTCTTGATCCTACGGCTGGACTCGTTCTCGCCATCGTTATTCCTGCTCCCCATGATCGAATCAATCTCATCCACAAACACAATAGACGGCGACAGTTTTTTAGCAATCGCGAATAGAGCACGGACCAGCTTTTCACTCTCACCCAGGTATTTGGATGTCAAACTCGAAGCACTAATGGAGAAAAACGTGGAGTTCGATTCCGTGGCCACTGCTCTTGCCAACATGGTCTTTCCCGTGCCAGGAGGACCAAACAGCAGCATTCCTCGTACAGGCTCACGCAAACCTCTAAATAGATCTGGCCTCAAGAATGGATACACCACTGCTTCCTTGAGCGAGTATTTGGCAGCTTCTAGGCCTGCAATATCATCCCAGTGTACTTCGTCTCCTCGCACCACAATTTCTGAGAAAATTTGCTTTGCTGCGGCCTCATCGACACCTCTAAGTTGCGCTATAATGTCGTCCTCTAGCGCCTCCTTCAGCATTTTTTTGTCGACGACATCCACTTCTTTTTCTTTAGGTGAAGAAACTCTGTCTTCGACACTCTTTGGCGGCGTTGAAGCTTGTATGGACGGATTTTTCCGTTGATCAACGCCGACAGCTTTCTGCTGCGCAGGCTTGACTGCTCGAAGTGCTTGGGGTCTTTTGATGTTTTCCATGCTTCTCGCTGCAGCTGGCTTGCTCGCTACCACCGGCTTAGTCGCTGCTGTCGGCTTACCATTACGTACAACCCTCCTGTTGACGAGCGGCGGTTCTTTGGTTGTCAATGGCGCGCTTCGGGTCCTCACCGCGGGTGTGGACTGTGCCGTTGATGCCACAGGACGACCCTTAGTCAGTAGATCAGAAACCTGCTTCTTTTGCGGTCTTCGTAGACCAGGTGCTGGGAGACCGTATTTAAGGGACCCACTTTTCAGTGGTGTCATGCTAGTGGGGAGCTTCGGTATGGGAAATTTGGTGGTCTTGGCTACAGGTTTTTTTTGAACCAAAGCGGGCGTCGATTGAGTGTGCTCCAAGGCAACGTTATTCTGTCTCCTTTCCGGACTTAAAGGTCTGGTCTCCATCGACAGGGCTTTTGTATCTTTCTGTAGGCCTTCTAGGGAATTGAGGGCTTCCAGCCGCTTGAGCTCTTCCTGGTCTACATCCAAGTAATCTTCGAAATAGTCCTGGACATCGAACTCGAACGTCTGGTCACTTTTGGCGTCGTCTTCAAGCCGCGAGCCGCTCTTGGTGCTGGACGAGTCGTCCTCGGAAAATTCTACCAGCTGGTGGTGCTCGTCAAACTCTTTGAACGCGCCATCATTTTTCAGCGGCTTTGACGTCGAAAAGTTGATCTTGTTGCCGTTGTTGCCATTTGTAAAACTGTTACTATTGCCGCTGCTGCTGGTTCCTGTATTATTTGCGATGCTGGGGGCTGAAACGGTGTAGTTCTTGTGGTACTGGCCAAACCGTGGGGTTCTCAAGGTCTTTAGCATGGGCCTGGAGCCAGTAGAGGGCGGTACGGGCCGTTTGGAAAATGACCGTTCTGTTCTCGCTGCAGCGTCTGCAAGAGGCATCTCGTTTTGCTTTTCCAGCTGCGCCACCCGTTCCAAATGTTGCAGACTGCGGTGGAACAGCTCGCGAACTCCATTTTGAATGCTAATTTCGTCCTTTGTATAGTTTTGTGTGTTGGGATGTTGATGTTCTATTTGGGTTAGTTCATACAGAACATGCGTGTTTAGGGCTTTCCAGCCTGAAACCGCCTTTCTATACTCGCATTTTTCCTCTAGTTTCAAGAAATAGATCGACTCGTTGGCTATTCGACTGTAGAGATCTGTCAGGTCCTTTAGAGGCTGCTGTGGTTTCTTGCGAATCCTCGTAAACCTCGTCAGAAGCCCGCTATCTTTGCTTGTATCCATAACCATAAAGGCCTTTAAAAAACGCCAGCAAGTTTCTTGACTTGATGCTAGAGGCTAGGCTCGCTGCGAGGTGGATTCAGATCTCTCTTGTCAGATTTATACCGGACAACTCTTATGGTAGGAGATCAACATTTTTCAAGTCGCCTGTCTGTTATAATAATAACACTGTGGAAACAATTTCACAAACCTAATATCTGATTACGTCATCAAAGCATGATATCCGCGTGATCTGGTCTGGCCGGGTCTGACCTGGCCTGGCTGGATGGGTAGGTGGTGATGTAACGACGACGGTTGGACTAGCTCGAGTGTAGCTTGATGACGTTCAGTAAGAGCATTAGCGTACTGTGGTTTCACCCCAGTGCACTTTTCACCTTTCTCTCACAAAAATACCATCACGGACAGTAGCAAGCCACTCAGGATCGTAACAACTTTGGTGAACCACCACACGTGCTGGACCGAAAACGGACACAACGAGAACGACCACTCCCACTGCTTCGTTCGTGGATTGTAATGGCCCGTTACCAGGCCGGCGTTACCGTCGAACTCGCCCATCATGGACCGAACGGTAATCTCGCGGACGTGGAAATCCGTCGAGCTGACAGCCTTCGACGCGGTCCACTTGGCCTTGGCGTCCTTGTTGTACACAGTCTCGCACCCTTCGTGGTCGTGGCCCGTTAGAATGATCCCCGGCTTGTTGTTGTCGAAAATCAGGTTTAGTACGCGTCTTGTAGCGTCCTCGCTTAAATGGTTTTGGGACCGCAGCAAATTCTGCTTGTATGGCTCCCGCTCGTAATCGCTTGGGTAGTAACGGAACAGTTCGCTATCCGCACACAACCCCGGTTTCTTGTAAAATGGCACATGTGTCAATAGCACTGTGCTGCCGTCAAACCGTTGCTCGAAAAGCCGGTACAGAAATTCCCACGTTTTGTCGACAAGCTGTTGCTGCAAGGCTGGACCTTCCAGTAGCATCGAGTTAAGCACCACAATGCGCCATGGGTGCTCGGTGTCGCGACCATACTCTATCCAGTAGTTATCCTTGCCAAAAAGCTCGTGGAAACGTGCCATGTGCTGGTACGTGACGTCTCCGGAGTATCCGATGTCATGGTTCCCAGTTAAGTTGATGAACAGGTAGTCTTCTTTAGCTGGATCCCAGGTCTGCACGTCGTTGTAACCAAACTCAAAGTCTTTGGGCTGCTTTTGCAAGCGCTCGCCCAGATCGTCCGCAAACGTGGTCCAGTCCACGGCATATAGTCCGTCTGCATCGTGACTCTCTTGTCTAGTTTTTTCGAGCCACGAGGTGTCACGCTGGAAGATGCGGCTAGTGTAGCGCATGGTTCTGTTGTAGAACTCAGAGTCGCTGATCCACTGCGATGAAAACAAATCGCCCATCACCGCCACATGACTTGGTCTCAGTCTTCTTTTCATCATTGCGAAGATATGGCCCAGGTAGTAGTCGTTGCCATATGTATCCAGTCTGCTCAAGTAGGGCGTATTTTTCCAGACGCCCTTGATCTGAGGATCACCCAAAGCCAGAAGGTGCACGTCTGCAGGCATATCTTTCCTCGAGCTTCTATCGACAACCTTTGCTGTGCCGAATTGTTGCCTAACATCTTCCCAGTAGCGACGAGCGTAGTACGCTGTCTTCTCCACCAAAGACAAAGAATCCAAGGCATCTATTGCCACTTTTTGATTTGCACATCGCCAAGAACACCGTTGAGGGTACAGCGACGGGTACGTAAAGATGTAGATATTCCCAATTACTGCCAAAACAGTCACCAAGACTGTGAATCGACTCAACCAGGGCTTCAGCATGTTTATCCGTTCTAATTGTTGATTTGAAATGTTCGACTTCAAACTTGTAAACTTAAAGTTCGTTAACATAGACCACTGTTCTCATTATAAATAATTTTCAAGCAGAGACAAAGAAATACAACTACAGCGACGATTCAGCTAACGTATCGGTATTAAGTATTTATAAAACACATTTTACAGGGAAGAATTGATTTAGGCTTTCACGGCTGGGTCTTTTTTCTTGAAATGAGCCTTCTTCTTGTTTCCCTGTGCCTCGAATATAATCTCTTCAAAGACTCTTGCATCTTCGGCCTCGTCGGGCGATCTAACGGCTGAGCCAAACTTATTGGCTATGTACACCAACGCTTTGGCCTTGGCCACCCGCTTCTTGGTAGGAAGGTTTTTGTCGGTCAAGATTCTGTCACAAACGTCCCGCAGTTTGCTCTGGGCTTCGAATTTGGACATCACCCACGCAGTGCCCAAAACTTTGCCAGTGATGACCTTTTCGACCTCAGCGCGCTCGTAGTCGTCCATGGAGTCCAGATCCAGCTTTTCCAGCTCTGTCATCGCGCTGTGGGCGTCCATGGCGGAAGATAATATGCCCCACGCGGATTTAGCGGATTTGGTTTTGTCGCGAACACCTGTGAACAGCTTGCTGAAGCCGTGGGTTTTCTGCGACATCATGAAGTTACTGGCTTTGGTCTTGTACACCTTCGCTATCAGATGCAGTAGTTCCAGCCCGAAACTTTCCAGCTTAAGGTCCTCAACTTCCTGGTCCAGCTTGCGGTCAAAAGCGTCCAGATTGTGACTCTCGACCCCGACCAAGTACTCCTGGATCTTATTTTCCAGCTTCCGTGCCAGCTCCTCCACCTGCTTTTTTTTCTCGGCCCTGCGTTCGTTTTCCATCTCGACTAATTTTGCGCGCTGCTCTTTGGACAGCTTGTCGGAGTTCTTTGAGCTCTGAGCTTTCCCGTCATGCTGAACCACATCTGTAGTTCCATCCACCTTCGCAGTTTCCGCATTTCCAGTCCCCGGTGTATCTGTGCTAATTTCTCCGTTCTCACCCATGATTTCGGCTCCCTTGGTTAGGTTCTTGAGAAACGAAAAATCGCCGATCCATTCCTGGAATGCGTCTCCGCCAAATATTGTTGTGAAAAACTCCGCAGCGTCTTCGAAGCCCTGTTGTGGCACTGCCTCTTCTTTGCCGAACTGGTCATATCTTGAACGCAGCTCGGGATCGCTAAGAACCTGGTAAGCCTGTCCCACTGCCTGGAATTTGGTTTGAGCATCAGGGTCATCAGGATGCTTGTCAGGATGCGTCAGCATTGCCTTTTTGCGGTAAGCCTTTTTGATCTCGGTAGCTGACGCATCTGGCTGGATGTTCAGCAGATCGTAGTACTCAGTATCCTTTACCATTAGGCTGTGTTCTTGTTCGACGAGTTGATTTTTTGGAAACAATAAGAGTTAAGGCTAAGCTGAAGTTTGTCAATTTTTAGGTGAAATTTGAGCTTACATTTGGGTTTCGCCATACAAAATGACAACAGCGATAAAATGAGCGGTGACTTACGATCTTTCAAAAGCCGGACATCTTAGCCGTTGCTAGTTTGGAAACGACTATTAAAATGAGACCACTTGGTGGGGTTTTGAAGAAGTTATCGCCATTTTATAAGTTTCTGTTTCTTACATCGTGTAATACCTCAGAAACACCATTTGCACCACGTTTTTTATAGTCTGCAAAGTGCTTAGTGGTGCTTTTTACTGGCCAGTGAGCGTAGACCCCTGGCCAACACTCGTTTTTCTCTTAAACTCCGTCTTTTCATAGTTCTTTAGTTTGACATACTGGCCAGTACCTGCAAAGACCGGTCTCTGAGCGTTTCCAGATGGTACCGGAGGGCCGTCGAGTAGTAATGCTTGAAATGAGCTGGGTGAACATAATAGATGAACCGATTCCACAAATCTGGTAAACTCGCCTTAGGTTCCAAGTATTGCATCAGCACTGGCACGTCGTGCGACACCACCTGGTGGAGGCCTCGCGACCAGAGCAAAACGGCAAAAATAATCACAAATACTAGCATAATTCGCTTGATCACCGTCCACAGGTGACACAGCAGTTTCCACGATATGTAAGCCGCCAGAACATAACCTAAGACGTTGGTGATGGTAGGGTGCGTTTGTGTGAATCGGAACAGGAGTGGGATAACAAAGCTCAAAAAGCGAGCAGTGAACGTCAGCAGCTGCGTCAAGCCGTACTGCGCATAGTCCAAAAAAGAGTCCATGGTGTTTGTCAGTGGTGGAATGCTCGCTGGTCAGCGAGATATGCCATCTTACATGGACACGATGAGTTAGACAAAAGAGTAAAGAGAGATGCCTCTGGGTAATGACGGGTAGTGGACTGTATGTTGGCATTTTCACGGCCTCGATGGCAGGTCATAGCTGGTCCTATAGTGTAGCGGTTATCACTTTCGGTTCTGATCCGAACAACCCCGGTTCGAATCCGGGTAGGACCTTTTTTTGGCGAGTGATAGGTATTTATGAAATGAAAGTCAGAGCGATAGATATTCAAGAAATTAAAACTCAATTGCGAGAGGTTTCCATCACACTCAAGTGCGTATGTGTTGTTCTAAAATCGTGTTGGTTCCTGACATCACTGGTGTGTTTTTAGCCGAACTTGGAAGCCGAGATTTCGTTTTCATCGCAGATTCTCGTTCTTCCTTAACCACTTCAAAAGCACACGAAAGCAGATAGTAACCACCGCCGATTGACCAAAAACCAGGTGCTTCTTACGTGCCAGCGACGTAGGTCTCAAGAAACCCTCAACATCACTATACACGTAGCTCAAGATTGACTCTACATCATCCACTAATTATCATTACAATAAGAAGAACTACAGAAGGTTTCCTGTCCCGATCTCCGCATTAGTTCCCACCCCTCCCACACACACATAATGACCGGTCCCTCCCGCACCCAGGTGCTTGCACTCTACAAACAGACCCTGCGGAACGCTAACGGGTTCAACAACTATAACTTCAAGCACTATTTCCTGAGGAAAGCACGGACTCAGTTTCGCGACCTCAAGGACCTGAAGGACCCTGCAGCGATCGAAAAGGCCTTTTCTGCGGCCCAGCGCGAGCTCGGCGTGCTCAAACGCCAGTCGGTGATCTCCCAAATGTACACTTTCGACAAGCAGGTCGTGGAGCCTTTAGACGGCAAAAAAACACAGCGTTAGACACTGTCAGAGAAGAATACACTTCGAAAAGACCTACAGAACCCCCCCCCCTCCTCCCAGTACAGTCTCCGCTGCTTATTTTTTCCATATTCGTACCAGAAACAGTTTTGCACGCGGCGATAAACAGCGCGAGCAAGACGAGGACCCATGAAATCGTCTTCTACGGCAAATGCTCAAAAGTTCCCCAAACTTAACACCTTCGACACCCTTCGTACATAGTGATATCACCAACGTAAACAAAAACTTTTCGAAAAAAAAATTAACCACTTTTTTTCGTAGCCATGTCAGACCATCGGGTCATCGCGAGCTTTAACGACGCGCTAGGACTCGTTCATCGTAGCAGGACCTCAGTAGCATATAAACCGTCAATTTTGGACCTTAAGAGTTTAATTCAGACATTTAAGTAACTTTATTTTCCCCCACTATCGTTCTCCCACCAAGACGTCATGAAAAGGTCATCTCCAGCTAATCTTGGAGCTGAAAAAGGCCAAAAACAGCCTACAATGGAAGAAGACAAAGTTCGGTCGCTTTTTAACAGCAAAATCTGGGATCCTGAGTTCCAGGACACTTTAAAGAACGAAATCGCAATGTCAAAACCTTACAATTGGGGGACTATCCGAGACTTGATCGACGACGACTTGTTGCGCAAGGTGAGAAAGGAAATCGAGACTGAAATCCATTTCACCAACAAAGAAACCGATATCTATAAAGTTAATCAAAGTGGAGACCTAGCGAACCTTTCGGGACTGGACTGGAACGATCTGTCGCGTCTGCCCAGCCTGTGCCGGCTACGAGAAATCCTGTACTCTGAAGTATACCGCGACGTCATCTCCCACGTCTCTGGCGCTGGAACGCTGTCGGGCTCCAAGATGGACATGTCGATCAATACATACACCAAAGGTTGCCATTTGCTGACCCACGACGACGTAATCGGGTCCAGACGGGTCAGTTTTATTTTGTATCTGCCCGAACCCGGAAAACGGTGGAAAGACCACTACGGCGGCGGGTTGCGACTATTTCCAAGCATTGTGGCCAACGTCCCACACAGCGATCACAGTGCCAAGCTGGTTCCCCAGTTTAACCAAATTGCGTTTTTCAAGGTGCAACCCGGGTTTTCCTTTCACGACGTCGAGGAAGTCCACGTCAACAAACATCGTCTATCCATCCAGGGCTGGTACCATATCCCACAAGAAGGTGAAAAGGGCTACATTCCTGGGGAAGAGGCAGAATGGGTGAAAACCAACACCAGCACACTTGCTCAATTGGAGTCCAACGTTTTGCAGGATTACGAATTTCCCAAAAATGAAAGAAACATTCTGCCCTACCACCAGATCAGACACTTTGATGAGCTGCTAGCGGCACAGACCAGTGAACACGAAGCCACAGAGTCCTCTGTAGATTTGAGCCTGCTTTCGGAGGGAGAACTAAAATATTTGGCCGAGTTCATCTCCCCTCATCATTTAACGTCAGCCGGTATCCACAAGCTTCAATCCCAGTTTGTTACTAAGTCGCAGTTGCAAATCGATGATTTCCTCAATGACACCAAGTCCGAGGTTTTGAAAAAACTAATCAAGACAGACGAGCTCCAAAAAGAGTGTCCTTACGAAAGCGTCAACGTGGAGGCCCCATGGAAGACAGCGTTGCCACCTCACAAATGGAGATATCTGTACATTGACGGAAAATCGCATGAAAACTTTCAAACCGAGCAGGACATTTTGAACTCGCTAAACAACGAAGAAATGCCTAATTACAATCTTCTTTCCAAAACGTTGGATCCAGTCAAGAACAACACAGAAACTGAACTCATTAGTGTAGCTACATTCCTCGAGAGCACAGCTTTCAAAAAGTTTTTGGCTTTGGTAACTCTGCTATCTCCTCTTAGCGAACAGGTTCTGATCAGAAGATTCAGACCAGGTAAAGATTTCACGCTTGCAACGCAAATCAACAAGAACGACCTGCTCGAGCGTGTGAAGGGCTTTGTGGAGGCTGTTCTGGAGGGAACTTTGTGTCTGACCCCTACTGATGGATGGGAATCTGGTGAAGTTGGAGGCTACGAGCTTTACATGGACAATCAAGATGACGACGATGAAGCGAACACGGATATCAAAGACGCTGCTGTTTACCGAAGCGACGACACAGGCGATTCCGTTCTCATTAACAAACCTCCAAGCTGGAACTCTTTCAATTTGGTGCTAAGGGACGAAAGTGTATTGCAGTTCGTGAAATACGTCAGTTGGGCAGCGAAATCGAGCAGATGGGACATCACAGCGCAGTGGGATGTCAAAACTGTGGACGACGACTCTGAAAACGACGCGGAATAGAATGTTAAGGGCTTGAGTTAGTTGGACAAAGTATAAGATAGACATAATTAAACAATTAAGCGGCTTCTAGCTGAGGCAAGAACTCAGACAAAAGTTCAGAAGAGTGTTTGTAGTATTCGGCTTGGGCAGAAACCAGCTCGCGAAGGTCCTTCAAAAATTCGGACGACTCGGCCACTTTTTGCATCTTGACGACAGCGTCGTCGGTGGCCTGGGCAAATTCATCTTCTAGGGTCTCCATCTCGACCCTGAGAGATGCCTCCTTTTCGGGCTTGGCGGCGGCCAAGTTGGTGCGTGCAATGTCGTACATTAGACGCTTGTGCTCGACGTTTTTACGAGCCTGGTGGGCCTCGTGCAAAGCGTTTGCGAGCGTGTCTCTCAACTTCTTGTTGAATTTGGTCTGGATCAAGGTGTCCTGTTGCAATCTGGCCTGGGCAATCTTGGCTTGCACATCACTGTACTTGAGCAAAGTGGACGACAAGTCTGGCTCGTCCGAGCCGACGGACTTGTTGAGGTACTCGCTGGATGTCAAAGCCACTTTACTGAGGGCGTAGTTGAGCGTTTTGGGGTCGCGGTGAGGACCAGGTGCGATCAACACCGACTGCGCTTCTCCTGTGGACGTGGCACGCGAGAGGTCGTGAAGTTTCGACCCCACCACTGCTGAAAAGTCGTTGACCGAGTCCCGCACGTTATTTGGGTAGTCGTAGCTCTCGTTTTCGTACACTTGCGTCACCTTCAAGAAATTCTCGTAAACCAGTTTGACACGATCAATGCGGTGTTCCAGTTCCACGTACTCCTGGGGCAGTTGCGAGATGTCGGTCACTTGGCCCAGCTTCTCCTGCACCATACGCTGCGTTGACTGCGCCAATGATGGCAGCTGGGTGGTCAGGTCTTGCGTTCTCTGCGACACTGCTGTCGACAGGTCCTTGAGTTTTTTGTCAAGCTGTGCGTCCTGAGCCCTCTGCGACACCTGTGTCGACAGTTCTTGAAATCGCTTGTTCAAAGAATCGGCAAAAGCGTTGAAAGACATTTCGGATGTAATTATGGTGGTCAATGGATAGTTAGAGGCTCTTAAAGTTCTAGTTTGTTCGAATATCGGTGTATATAAAAGTATATGGCATAAATGATGAACCTTTAGATATCTTGAATATTGAAGTTATCGGTTCGTGCTGAATGAATAAAACCGAAAACAGCTTCAAAAAGTACAGAATTGAGCTTTAAGCAGTGGTTAACTACTACATTGTGTTGTCCAGTTTTGGTTTAACCGGTTTGCACGAAAGAACGGAGTCTTCAGCCTCACTGTAGGGAATTTTACAGGCAAAACAAGTGAAAAGAGAATGCTTGCTTTAGTGAGACATTGCAAGCTCCCGAGCCGAGCTGCGAGACTCACAATGACGTCAGGACAGTTTCCAAGACGCGATTTTGGTACTTCGAGCGTTCTGGCCCGTCATCCGTCCCACACGGTACGATCTTTGCAGTCCCTACTGCAAGGCGTTGGGTTCGAAGAGCTGTACCGAATACGGTCCAACATCGAGCTGCTGATCCAGGACTTTGCCAAACGCCCGATTCCGCCGGTTTCGTACGAGTTTTTGACCCAGTATAGGGTACCGCTGACTCCGAACGAGAAATACACGCTGGCCATCAAAACTGTAAACTTGCTTCTCACCTACACCTGCCGGCGATTAGCAGCGATCCAACGGCTTCCATACATCGCGGTGCTTAATCCGAACATCGAGGATACTAACCGGCTATATCTGCGGACGCTGGAAAGTTTGCTCTCGATCAACTACCCTTACGGACTGCACGACCAGCAGGTTTTGACGCAGAAACTTACGGAGTTTTTGGACGATCACCAAGATACACTAGTGACACTTTCTCGCGGGTTTCAGGAAATCATGGAGTTCTATCCGAAAGAATCAGTTTTTGAGTTTTTGAACCTGCATCTGCGGGACCGCATCGCGATGAAGCTCTTGGCAACACATTACTTGACGTTGGTGTCACAAGTATCGAATAAGACGCCTGTGATCGGCGTTTTGCACAAGGAAATGCGCATTTCGGAGCTTGTGCGGCGCGTGGAAGAGTTTGTGGGAGATCTCTGTCATGTTAAATATGACCATCAATTGCCCATCAAGATTCTGGAGGGCGAGGACGTGAGGTTCCCCTGTGTACCGACTGACCTAGAGTATGTACTCACAGAGTTGCTGAAAAACTCTAGTCGGGCGCACATCGAGAATTCAACTCCCGAGAATAAGTGCGCAGAGAAAGCTGTGGAGGTCACCATTGTTCGTAACGACAATAATCTAGAGATACGGATTCGTGATTTTGGTGGAGGCATTCCGCCAGACGTCGAAGACCGAATGTTCGATTATTCCTACAGCACGGTCAGTACAGATGCCAAGGATACGGGCATGAGCGCGTACATTTTGCCAGGCGCAGAAGTTTGCAATGTATCTGGTATGGGGTTCGGTTTGCCCATGTGCAAGGCCTACATGGAGATGTTTAATGGATCACTTGACATCCAAAGTCTGTGGGGGTGGGGAACTGACGTTTATGTGAGGCTGAAAGGACCGGATTCACGGTCTTTAAAGTAAGGCGTAACTTAGACGCTGTTGTTTATGCATGTTATTTAGTTATTTATTGTTGTGAATTGGGAATGGATTATGTACAGAAGTTTGAAATATGCTGGAGGCTCATTATATTTTACCCATGATTCTGGATGGCAAGTACGAAACGTCTCTGTGCGTTTTAGACATGAGCCCAATGGCTTGGCACCTTCTAATGGCTTTACTCAAACGACGTTGATTTTTCGCAGAGAGCCCAGTGACGTCTCTGTGCAGGATTTTACCAGACGAGGTGACGAACTGTGACAAAAACTCGGGATTTGTGTATAGGTCCAGTGGATCGACGCCGTTCTTGTCAAAGAGGTCGTTTGACGAGTTTTTCGAAGCAAACTTCTTGTCTAGGTGCAGTCTGGCGAGCGAAAAATCGAATGGATCGTAGGTTGTTCCGCTTTGAAACTTTTTGACCAACCTGGAGTCAACTTTCTTGATTTGCGATGAGCCACTCGCGCTTGGACTGCTGGCTTTTAGATTAATTTGAGATTTCTCATTAGGAGTTAGTTTGATCTTGAACGAAAGGTTCAGTTGTGGTCCGATTTTGCTGAAAGTTCTTTTGGACACAGTTTGGAATAGCGGGCTTTTGACAGGCAGCATTGACCGTTCTAAGAGCAGTTTATGTGGGGGTTTAGACGACTTTATGCTTACAATTTGATATTTGGAGATTGTTAAATATTAGTTGTACTAAAATTTTCAAACTGTCAGAAAATGAAATAACGAGATGAGTGGACCAAGAGTTAGTAAGAAATATAGACAAAAGACATTCATTTAGACCATTTAGGTCAGCATTGGCAGTGAAAATGATACTTTAGTGCCACTTTGGGTGCTATAAGTTAGGTTTACCGTGTTGTGGGCCGCTTCTGGTCTTTAAAGTAATAAAAACAATTAGTGTAATTTTTTTGTGAGATTTGGCACACGAGTTTTTTCTGGAGTGTTTACGTTTGTGAAAGAGTTCTACAACGGGGAGCTCAAATCACAACGAGCTATCATGCCAGAGCTTCTTGCGAGAAATTGTTGGTAGACTTATTTTGTAATTAGACCCATATCATTTTGGACTAATCTGTCGTTTTCTGTATATATAACTGCGTACGAATTTTAGCAGCATGCGTTATTAAGGGCCCATGCAACATCAATCTCTGTTGGAGCTGGTGCAAGAGTGGGAGGGAGTAGCGTAGACAGCAACAAGCTGCACTTCACGTCGGCTGAAAGATGAAGTCAGAAACCAAGATTATTTGGTCACGTGACCTAAACTTGACACCATTGGTGGAAGATTTATAGCGTAATTCCCGCGTTTAAAGTGTCAGTAGTTGTCCTAGTTCACTTCCAGCAGCATGCGGTTCCAAGGACTACAATGAGAAGCCATTTAAAAAGCGATCACTGGTCCTCCTGTAAATACCAAAAATTAGAACCGTACCGACTACAAGGCCAAAAGATAAAGTAAAAGCTGTATCCGTAGCGTTTATGCTCTCAAGCTCACCGCACTTCAATCTTGCACGATAAACCCGCTTCGTTCGCCACGGTCAACCTTGTTTTCGATTAACGACACTTTAGTCAAAAATGACAATATTAAATTAACCTTTGAGTGTCACCTGCCTCTTCTCGTAATCAAATTGTAGTGTTAAAGTCATCCCAGCGGCAGTTATATTCAACTTTAAACGCTTCAAACTCTAAGCATCGCACCACGTATCTTAAACTTTAGGTGTTCGATTTCATATCAATGGCCTCTGAAATCTGCTCTTTATGTATGAAAGATGATCCCAACAAGTCACTTTGGGTTCAGTGCGAATTGTGCGATCAATGGGTCCATGTAACTTGCATTCCCATGAAATATATATATGATGCAGCTGGTGAACCGTGCACGGTGTATCCAAAATCCTCGAAACAAATCAAGCGCTACAATTGCTCTGAACATGGAGAACCGCTCTTAGAAACCAACCAGATCAACCGAAAACGGAAAAATGAAGACCAACTCGAGGTCTCCGAAACAGTAGAACCCAGGCGGCATGGACTGCGCAAAAAAAAGCAGCTAGACTACATTTCACTAAATGAGGGCGAATTGAAACGGTCGAAAAATGAACATCCACATGTCAAACCATTTTTGGCATGTTTCGCACGCTGGGAAAATACTACTAATGTGATCAAAAGCTCTGAGCTGGAAACTCAGTTCGATTCCATTCGCAAACCGCTCAAAGTAGTGGATCCCGAAAACTCGGGGATGCAAATTCCTAGTGGACCTGACGGTAAAACTTTGACCGTTGATGCGGTTACCCATTTCTTGGGCGACCATTACAAAGTGGACGTCATGGACGTGCAATCTCAACAAAACTCTAACTGGACCATGTCACAATGGAACCACTATTTCACAGAATGCTCCGTGGACACGCGAGATCGCATCAGAAACGTGATCTCTTTAGAAGTGTCTCACGTTGACAAGTTCCAAGCGGAATTGCAACGGCCTCGCGTGGTGGAGGCCCAAGATCTGGTGAATAAGGTGTGGAACATTATATTGGACGAATCCGAGAGGCCAAAAGTTACCAAATATGTGCTGATGTCGGTGGAAAACGCGTTTACCGATTTCCATTTGGATTTCGCAGGAACGTCAGTTTACTACAAAGTTGTATCAGGGGCCAAGAAATTTTTACTGTTCCCGCCTACTCCACATAACTTGGATAGTTACACTAAGTGGTGCGACAGTGTTCATCAAAATCTCATTTTTCTTGGAGACGAGCTGGAAGACGGTGTGGCGATGGACCTGGGCCCGGGCGATTTGTTCATGATTCCATGCGGCTACATACACGCCGTGTACACACCTCGAGACTCTCTCGTAATTGGAGGCAATTTCCTGACCCTGCGGGACCTTGAAACGCAACTACAGATTGTCGAAATCGAGCGTCGCACCAAAGTTCCCAAAAAATTCACATTTCCGCAATTTGACATTGTTATGGGCAAGACCTCGGAATGGTTTTTAGCTCAAAATAATCCCCACTCCAACGAGCTTCAACCACGCCAAGTGCATGCCCTGGTAGCCTTTCTCCAGGACTCCAGATCCAAATACAAGCCAGTCAATTTTTCGACCAAAAAAGAGTTGTCAAAACAACTTCTAAAAACGCTACAAGAACGCGAAAAGTCCCTGGACTGACTTCTCGATTTCCGCCGTGTGCATAAGCACCAAATGCCAGCCAATTCAGTGTTCACTGACGTGCGAGAGCGATTCTACACCTAGAATCATCTGTCATCTTGACTTTTTCCGTCGTCAAAACCAGATGTTGAAAAATTGGCTATACGATAAAAGTTTTAATGGCTTTGTTAGAACATCTCCCAACCGTTGTGCTCTGCCCAACATAGCCATTGAACCCATTGGTTAGCGATCTGCTGGTTCAAAACAATGAGCTTGAACACGATTATTTTGGGTACTTTGATTGCTCTTGTAGCGGTCGCGATGCTGTCGCGAGTTTTCTCAACAATCAGCAATGTGCCAGTACTGGCCAAGGACGAGTTCCGGGAATTCCCATTAATTGCCAAAACAGTGCTCACCCACAACACAGCGGTGTACAGATTTGCACTTCCAAAACACACAGATGTTTTAGGGTTGCCCATTGGGCAGCACATTTCAATTCAGGGATTTTTGAAAGATGGTAAGGAGATCATGAGATCCTACACTCCAACCTCGCTGGATTCCGACTCTGTGGGGTTTTTCGAGCTTTTGATTAAGTCTTACGAGCAAGGTAACGTTTCGAAAATGATTGGAGAGCTCGAAATCGGCGACAAGATCAAAGTTCGTGGACCAAAAGGTTTCTACACTTACACCCCTAACATGAATTCCGAGATCGGTATGATTGCAGGTGGTACGGGAATTGCCCCAATGTACCAGGTTGTCAAATCTATCCATGCCGATCCAAAGGATCACACTAAGGTCTTTATCGTGTATGGCAGTCAGACAGAAGATGACATTTTGCTGAAAAAAGAGCTTGATGCCATCGTAGAGTCGAAACCAGACCAGTTCAAAATCTATTACCTCCTGGACAAGCCAACCAGGGACACCTGGACCGGCGGTGTCGGCTACGTTACTGCTGACGTCATGAAACAGTACCTGCCTGCGCCTGGAGACGGCGTTCAAATCTTGGTTTGTGGTCCACCAGGGATGGTTTCGGCCGTTAAGAGGACCGCTGTCGGCTTGGGCTTCGAAAAGGCCAAGCCTGTTTCAAAGATGGGTGACCAGGTTTTTGTCTTTTAGAAACCCTGGAGAGCCCTTGAATATGTTCCAATCTTATGTACGTATGGCCCGAACTTCTTAACTAACGATAAACCAGCATTCTCATCTCTTGAAGTCTTTGCATTCATCTTATTGAAACATTGGTAAAATAAAACAGAGTACTTAGTCTTAATCTATCTACAAATTATATGCTCCGATAAGGCACCGGTCAGTGCATTGTTTAATTTATTAGTTCGGGCCACCCTTCATAACATCATAGTCACACATGTATTTACAATTCAAGTCTCTTTATCTGTTCCAATTTCTCGTTGACCGCTTTCCCCAAGCTGGTTTCAGTAGCCTCCGGATCTAACAATTTACCGTGAATCGATTGCAATGCTTTGATTGCGTCTTCTTCGTCAATGACACACGAGATATTGATTTCATTGGCACCTTGCGATATCATCTCGATATTGATATTTTGTTCCGCAAGAGTGGTGAACATGGTTCCAGCAATACCAATGAACTGCTTCATTTGCTTACCCACCAGGGAAATGATAACCAGCTTCTTGGTCAAGTCCACGGTACCAACCTTCTTCAACTCTTCCACGGCTTTCTTCAAAGATTTGGATGAATCCAGGTCCGGTACAGGTAGGGCCATGGAAACGTGCACCTCAGACGTCGAGATCAAATCGACTACCAGTTTGTACTTGTCCAGAGTGCTAAAGATTTGCGCAAGGAAACCGTGCGACAATGTCTTTTTGTTGGAATGAACATTAACAACAACAATATCGTTTTTGCTGGTGATGGCAGTGGCACCTCTTCTTTTGTGCTCGAAGAAGGAACTGCTCAGAGCGACAGGTGGGTGTGGTGGGGTCGCTTCGCCTTTCTTGGCGACATTGTCTGGGTAGATGACTGTGCCGTCACCTCTGGGATTCTGAACGTTTTTGATTCTGATGGGGATTTTAGCCCTGATAACCTGTTCCATTGTGAATGGGTGAATGACTTCGGAACCGTAATAGGTCAATTCTGATGCTTCCTCGGGGGTCACACTGCTTAGAAGCCTGGCTTGTGGGACCTTGCGGGGGTCGGCCGTGAAAATACCGTCCACTTCTTTCCACACTTGAAGCTCATCGGCGTTCAATCCAACGGAGATCAACGCGGCACACAAGTCGGTATACCCACGACCAACACCGTTTAAAAGCCCCATGGGTACCAGACCGAAGAACCCTGTAATGACCGGAACGACAGGCTTTCCACGAGCATGCGAGTCCAAGACAGGCTGTAAACGGCTTTTGAAAGCCTTGACCAAAAAGCTGTAGAATCCTGCGTCTAGGGTGCCTTCGGGGCATTCGTAGCCCTGTGGAATGACGTTAGACAAGTCCACGTACTCCGAGGGCACACCGTGGTCGTTGCAGAGAGCGGACATGAACAGACAACTGAGTTTCTCACCGCACGACATGACTAGGTCCATGGTTCTCGAAGAAACTTCGTTCAGAACCAACGAGGCGTTCAAATACTTCTCCACGGTCTCCAACTCGCTCACGGTGTCGCTGATGAGTTTTTCCTGCAATTTTACATCAGAAATGCGTTTTTTGGCGTTGTCGATGTGGTCGTCTCTCACTATTCGCACCACTTCGGAGAAGCTCGAGTCGTTATTGCACACCATGTCGCAGGCCCTCAGCAGCCTGGAAGTGGTACCTTCGGCCTTGGTATCACTGGAGCGTGCAGAGCACACAACTGCCACGTTGTTTTTGAGCTGGGTGGTGTAGACTTTGACGATTTCATCGACAATTTGTTCTGGGAACTTACCCACACTGGTTCCTCCGAATTTTTGCACTATCCAGTTCGTTTGCGACGTCATCGAAATTGGTATCTTTAAAAAGCTCTTGATCGCTAGATTTTATTCGACACTCTTGATGAAATACGTTGTGTTTTTCAAGATCACAATGCTGTGTTCGACTTTACCTTTATAAGTGTTGATGAGTTCGAGTAAATGCCACATCGGAATTTTCCATAAAATTTTTCAAAATTGAGTCATTATGAGTACTCGAGATCAACGGTAAAACGGGCGCCAGTAAAACTTTAAACTCGGGTTTATAATAGTTAATTTGATCTTCTGGTGGAAGAAGAATTGTCAAATCTATGCGTCGATGCCCATAGTGGCCTGTGTAATTTTCTGTATCTGTAGCATTTTTCAGAATTCCGAAATCTTGATTTTTGAAAAAAAGCATGATAACTGTTGGATAATCGACCAATGTTGTGTTTGGATCGCTGGACTGGCACCGCACTGGCACTCGGCTAGTATGAGTCTGGCAACACATTTTGATGTCTGAAGCACTTTTCAGAGTCTTTAAAACTTGATTTTCGAAGAATATTCTCAAAATTGGTGGTAGACCGGCTAATCTTGTGTTTGGATCATTGGAGCTGTACTTGATTGGCACTCAGCAGTACGTCTAGCTTGGTAATATTTCATCAACAGCAATGTTCCAGAGCGTGTCCATGTTTCATACGCGACTTGTGAAAACTCCGAAGGTCCAAAGAAAAACTAAACTTGCCCGCTGTCTGACGAAAGAACAATCCCACTAACCGTTCCTCTGGTCGTAATATGCCCCCACAGTGGTTCTCGCTATAGATACCATTTCGGTATCTCGTAGTCTTCGCTAGCTTGCTCATCGGGAAGCGCAAACGCAACCACGTGTTCGATCATGTCGGGACATCGCAGCTTGACATACAGGAGGATGGTGATGCAAATGGTCATCACAGCGGCTGTGATGATTGTGTTAGCCGTTTTGCGAGCTTCACCGTTCTCCTTGAAGCTCGACAGGCCCATGTTCGGCAGTGATGATGCGGCCGTGGCAGACGGATATGTAAGGCTGGAAAACCCGGGTTTTATTTTCTGCCACTTCCACAGCTGCTGTCGCTGCAATTTGGCAGTGCCACGGTCTTGATATGTAGAAGCGTTTCGCAGTATTGGGCTCGGCTCTGATGCACGAAGTTTTTCGCTTTTTTCGGGCGCAGCGCGGGGAGCAGCATTCAGTAGCCCCACACAGGCTTCGGACCCCAGATCAAACATCAACGACTCCAACGAGTGGCCCACTTCATCGAACTGCGCTGTGCCGTCTTTTCCAGCCAGTCTCAACATCACTTGTGCTCCTCCTGGATGTTTATTGAGATACCCACTGATGTTGTATATTTTGCCATGTATTGCGATCCAGCAATCGTCGCAAGCTGTATGTTTCGAGAGTTCTTCGTGGTCCACAAGTCGGAGCACGCTATGCTCGGCGTTTCCAGGGTCCTCAGTCTCTTTTTCCAAGCAGAACCGGACTTTCTTCATTTTGTTGAAATTCATCCAAATCTAGCTCTAAAAAGCTCGAAATAACCTCAAAGTACCCTCTTTCTAAAGCTCTAATCTGCTAGTTTTTTACTTATGTAGTTCACACTTCGCTCAGCACCTTTACTTATCTTGTCTTGCCACTATTTGGTTTATCAAGTTTTTTGATGATCGTAAGAATGCAGATTTGATCAAAGAGATTATATTGTAAAGCTCACGTATATCCAAAAAACACCATATCTCAGGTACTTATAGACCAGCTATCATTATTTCGGAGCGGTCGAGGACAATTGCTTGTACACGTTAGCACTACAATATGAGTTCACCTCCGGTGCGTAAAGCCCTGGCCACTCTTCTGCGCGATCCAGCTAATGGAAACTGTGCGGATTGCAAGACGGCCACACATCCTAGATGGGCTTCGTGGTCTTTGGGAGTGTTTATTTGCATACGATGTGCCGGGTTTCATCGCTCGCTGGGTACCCACATCTCTAAAGTGAAGTCGGTGGACTTGGATACATGGCAAGAACAACATTTGCGCAAAGTGGTGGAATTTGGCAACAACGCACAGGCCAACGCTTGTTACGAGGCCAAGCTCGAGAACACCACACCAGACCCTTCTAAATTGGGTGATTTTATCAGGAACAAGTACGAGCTGAGACGTTGGGAGGGAAGTCCACAGTCTGCTACTGCCAAAACACCATCGGGCTTAAGCGTGTCAACGACAAACAGTACCACGACTACCACTGATGCCAGTGCATCGCAAGAGCTTCTTGATATAGTGACATCTCCTTTAGGTGCACAATCCAGTGGCGGTTCAAAAGCGTTCCGAAGTCGCTCTGGAACGCCGTCGCAGGTCGACCTCAATTTGACCGCACCACCACGTACAGCGTCGCGTTCTGCTCCGCGCGAACTCAATGGACGTCCAGACTTGAAGAAATCGATTCTTTCGCTGTACTCGAAGCCTCGAAATTCGTCTGCAAGTGTCACCAGCGGGCAAAGCGGGCCAAGCTTGTATAGCTCCGCAAACAACTCGAGCGTCTCTACCACTGATTCAACACCAGCGGCACCGCTCGAAGACAACGAACTCTTTCAGAACGTCTGGTCGTGAAAAGCTGTAAGCCATCTCGGTTCTTCTGGTCATGACAACTTGGGTGTATATCTTACGCGAGACGTGGGAATGCTGATGGTGGGTTGGAAAACCATGATCCGCAAGCGCACCCTCACCGTTTTCTCGATACCTAAGTTAAAGAATATTGATTATATCTATTGCTGTATCTAACCAGTGGTGGGCAGCCCGACAGCAGCCTTGAAAGAATCGTAGATCAACCATTGGAAACTTGTCAAAGTGCCGATCATCAAGATTCTTACTGCCAATCCGTTCCACAAACCGGGGAAACCGATCTTGCCGTAGATACGCGACATAGCCTGGCCCATCGACTCGCCTTTTTGACGCTCGTTGTTGATTTTCGACACCATGACATCAGCCGGATGCGAAACTACGGCACATAAGATACCGGCCAGGTATCCACCTGTAAAGGAGACTCCGATCTGGCCCAAGCTTGACATCTCGCTCTTAGGTCTGGGCAGTTTGGCGTAGATAATTTCGACAATGCGTTCAAAAGAAGTGAATTTACACATGGTGTATGGGATTTGGCGACACCATAGAGGAGTGATACCTTTGTAGAGACTGGCAAAGCCCTCCTTGCTGACCATCTTAGAGTATGCATCGAAAACGTTACGAGCAAACGGAGGAGGCAGAGCCGTTTGTTGGCGAACTTTGACAGCTTCCCAGGGACACAAGAAAATGTCAGCTACAAATTCAGCAGACGCAGATGCTGCCAGAAAGATTCCAGTTCGATATTGGTGGGCTGTTTCTGGAGAGGCCAGCTGCGAGTACTGATGTTTGAAAAACTCGTATCCACCGTATTTGAAAGCGCCTTGCAACGAGTAGCCAATTGCAGTTGCACCAACACCCGTGAAAACCTTCGACAATCCTCCTTCGTTCTTCACAATCTGACGCCAGCCGTCCATGTTCGACTTGTACAGCGATGCATCCACCTGTCTTCGACATTTAACCAGATCCAACGGTGTCACCGAGGCGTGTGTGGGACCACACGCCACCAAACCGCCCACCGTGCAAGCGGCAAAATAGTCGAAAGAATAAAGTTTAGGTGAGTTGAAGATTGACGATTTTTCTGACATTTCGAGGTCAAGATGATTGTTAGTTGCAAGCAGTTCAATCAGTATTGGAAGAGCTTACAGAGAGAGAGATTTCGAGACAAGCTCCTTAAATTGAAACAATTTGATGAGTAAATTGATAAACACGATCGGTGTGTGTAAATGGGTGGGAACTATCGAATCTTGCGGGCCTTTTATAATCGTTCCCTAAGGGTTGCTTGCTACAGTCTTATAATCCCGCAGCCATCGCAGAATACGACACGATGGGAACAATGAGGCTATATAGTAATAATGGCCTGGGACACGCCACGAAACGTACGCACGGAGATCGCACTGATTGGGAGCTCGGTGTTGTTGTAGTAGGAGTTTGCAGTATTCTGAGAGTTTTAGCAGTAAAACGACATAATCGTACTGAGTGATCTGAATATATTTTGGGACAGCTCGATTTTGGTATTCGCAGAGGGCGCTTGATGGATTTTGAGGCTGTTTAGGAGGTGATGGCGTTAGCTCTGATACTGGAAGTGTGTTGTGGTGTGTTGTGGTGTGTAGTGGTGTGTAGTGGTGTGTAGTGTTGTTCTGTTATGACTGGAATGACAGTTTTCATTTTTGATGGTCGGACACATTAGTACAAAGTGACAGGCAGTGTCGACGACGACACTGGGAAGATTGAATTTGACGATGAGGTAAGAAATGCTTAACGGCAAGAAAAGAGTGTACTATGTAGTAGTGCTTAGCTGTTTTGTTCTGTGTGTGTTTTTCCAGTCAGCATGCTGCAATCTCGAAATTCGCAACTCTTTCTCGCTCTGGGTGGTATTTTTCAAATGGTGGAAAGAACAAAGAACACAAAACGATCTGAGAAACACGGGTATCGTGATGCTCTTGGTACGAAGGTGAGGGCTTTTCGGGAAGCAGGTTCGTAGGCGAACAATTGAATCAGACTCGTCGTCGGTAGGTCACGTGATGCAAAGCCAGAGGACAAAGTGACACCTCCGCAGATTTACTGTCAACAGATCTGCAATACTCCTTAGGTGGAATATCAACGATCGACCAGGAGCTCATTTCACATTCTACACACCTTCTTCAATATTCACCAACGTTAAAAACTTTATTATGTATTATTAGGTAATGCGTAAAAAAATCGTAATTATTGTCGTCACCACCGTCGCAGAATTTCACTAACCAGAGCGAATCGCAGAAACAAACGACGAACGACGCATCGATAGAAATCAAAAGACCCTCGCCAAAACCGTGGTTTTTACCATATTCAAGCGCCAAATGGGCTCATGGGGGTATCCAAAAATACTCAAAAATGAAGGGAAAAAATACATTGCATCGCATTGAGCCTGCTCATAGCAGAGGGACCTGGGCTCTGTACCGTCTGATTGTGGCTTTGTGGGCACGCATGTAGACAACCATAATTACTGCGAGTAGCGAAACGTATATTTCGAGGTCTTGCATTCCCATAGTGATGAATATATTAAATATTTAATTAGTTGAGGGAGACAAATTCTTAAATGCAGCAGAGTGCTCTTGCTGTGAGAATCTGGAGTTTCTGACGTTTCTTACCGGACTAGGAATTTTAATGAAATGCCCTGTAGTCCCCGCTACGTTTTTCTTGTCTTATATACAACTACAAACACTCAGCGCCAGGCTTTTTCCGGCCCAAGAAATTTGCTGGAAGATGCGGCACAGACACCTTATTGCAAAAATCAAGGACCACTGCTTCTGTGCTGGCTTGAAATGTTCGAAATCAAAAGTCTGGCAAAAAACATCTCGGCAACTGATTCATGTTCCAATTTGATAATCGTACATTTACTACAAGAAAGTATATTTAAGAGGAAATCAGACGTGCAATGCGAACTTCGCAAAACGCGCAGCGCAATGCGCTCAGAACAAATCCAAGAGATGAGCGGACTTTTCGGCTTAGTAAAAATGTATCCAAGAAATGGGAAGTGACAGATTCAATCCAGATTGAGAAATTTACCACCGCAAGCAAAACGAAGAGATCTTCTGCCAATTTTGCAGTTTTCCGGCCGTTCCGATTTGCTGTCGAAAATAATTGTTTAAGATTTGTAAGTAGCTTCTGTCTATCTGTCAGATTTTTTCAGGTAACTAGCGGCCTTGCACTTTATGCCGCATCCTGAAGGTTTTTGGTGTAGCGTGATGACACGGCATACACCGGGCATCGTCTTATACAAGATGCCAGAAAGATGAGGAATAAAAAGTACTCGAGAGTCGAGAGAGAAATTGGCGAGTACATTTTACAAGGCAATGTGAATGGTGGTGAATGATGGTGAGAGTACGATTCGCATCGAGGTGGATATTTGAGCATGAGCTGTTTTCCAAGGTATATGGGTACTTGTGACAATATCATCTTCTTTCAGCGTGCCAGAATATGTTATCCACGACGCTTCTGGCAATTTCTGTCGCTCAGGCTGGAGCTGAAGAAATTGATCAGAAACTTGTGGTGTGTGAGTCTTGTGCAGATATTTTGAATAACTAGACACTCGTTTTCCTGTCCTATGGTTGCGTGTGTTTCGGTATGGCTGGCCCATTGCGCAACATGACACGGTGCGACTCAATAGTACAAAGTGATCTCTTATTCGAATAGCACCGTGACACCGGCTCAAGACAGAGGATTCGTCCTTTCGAGGCAACGAGGCTGGAAGCTATGGACTGAATAGTCATATAAATCACAGTGCTCCCTGTGAATGCTTGTCGGTACTTAAGTTGTGTCAATCATCACTTGGCGTACCAAAAAATGCTTCCAGCTCTGCACCAATTACATGAGACTAAAAGTGCCCTATGAATTCTGGACCACTCGAATAATGGTTTTCTCCGCTTTTACTCATATCTTGTCAACGGACTATCTACTGGCGTAATTTCTAAACACTTTCTTCGGTTTTGACGCATGGTTTATCTACGATTGATGCTGTCTCGAAGAAATGCCAATTCAACTCAAGAAATCGAATTCAAATAGTGAACATATTTGCATCAGAGCAGTTACACTACAGCACTGGCACAAATTGCTTCTCAATGATATGGAAACTTCATATTAGCTTCTTTTTCTTCACGCAGTCGCTACACTATATTCGCGAACTAACCATAGATAAATAGAAGTACCCCCCATAATTGGTGAAAAACTATAGAAGACCCCACCAGAGCATTAACAATCATTTGTTACTTACGTCTCACTTTTAAATTTGATAACCCAGTATTCTTAAGCTAAACTGTCTATGTAAAGTATACTAGTTTTTTCTTTATACCACTCAAAGAATATACATTCGCCAAACAACCATCAAATTGAAGTCAGCACAGACGTCCGCATCGACATACTTCACTCAATTGCGCTACACTCCGCTGATACAAATACACACTTCTCCCTCTTGTTAATTAAAAAATTTGTAAAATAAAATGTATCTAGCGACCTTAGAAGCTCGGACCATCGAACCTGCAATGTCCGAACTTTTAAGAAAAATGAGAAATGTATCACGGAGTTTTTACCGTGATAGTTCTGTGCGATGCAGCCATAAAATTTTATCATTAGTTCATGATGTGTTCATGTCGTGATGTTTTCCTGGCAACTGTGCATTGGCAATTGCACTAGTTCCCTACTACTCCCCTTGAGTTAGACGCCACGAAACGGGTCTGTAAAGCCCATGCGTGGTTTGGGTGCAACCACTTCAACGATGTAGTTGCGCCCGCCATTGTTATCCCAGCTCTCCAAACGTTGCTCTACATTGCGAGTCATGTACTGGATACAAAACTCGAGCCTTAGGGTTGCGAAATCATTAGCAACCGACTCTGCCAGTACGACTTTTGAAGGGGTGCTGGATGTTATAGAGTCGCGTTTGGCGCCGTTGTATACGGTCGCCAGATCAATCACCATTTTGAAGCGGTCCATGTTCTTCCCGGGCAAGACATCGTCGCCGCTGCTCACCCACACGCATTCCACTTCATTGGCAGTACGCCAGCGGTCACGCGTATACTTGACAACCACTTTTTTGTCGAAAAAGATGTTCTTGACCAATATATGACCCACTAGATAATGTTGTTCACTCACCAGTGATAACTCTTGTAAGAAACAGTTGCTGCTATGCGCAATGTTGAGAAAAATGTTCAATTTCAAACTTGTACGATCGCCCACGTTCAAGATTGCAAAATTTTCAAAGTAAAATCCCGGTTGACTTATTGTTGAGTTCCCATTAATGCCATTTGCAGCTCCATTGCTCTTGAGTTTTTGGTAACGTCTACTTCGTCTCAAACCGAACCCTGCCAAGGCCTTTTTTTCGAGTTGCAAATTTGACATTGTCATCGTCAAATCTAATGGCTCCCCTGAATCCGAATCATTTCGGTTTTCATCGCTGATATCAGACACCGAAAGCGGTTTGCAGTTTTTGTCGTCTAGAGGTCCTTCCAAAACGTCTTCAGCGGCCACGTCAAGTGGAGAGTCCTCTTGACGGAAGTATTTGAAAGACACCACGTCACGCTGGTCGAAGTGAACACTTTTGCTACGCTTGGGCCGCCATAGGGGGATGCCAAGTCGCTTATCCGGTTCGCGTCCGCTTGGAGTGGCGGGCAAAGACCGCGACCTCTGGTTTGTCTTCAAGTTCGACCTCACGATCTCGCCGGATTTTTTGCGCACCAGCGAAGGTGGTCCGTTTGTTGATTCGTCTGAGAGTGAAGTTTGGTCGGAGTCCAGATTAGCTGGGAAATAGGGATTGACTCTTAAAGGAGATGCCACTTCATACAGCGACGCCTCGTAATCGCCAGCTTGAGACATTGGTTGCGGTGGTGGGGTCGAAAAATAATCTGAAGAATCGTTGTCGATGCTTATTGACCCACGATTTAGGTCGGTGTTTCGCTTCACGGAGTCTTCGGGATAGATGGGTTTTGATTGGGAGACGCGCTGCGGTTTGTGCAGAAACGCCATGGATTTGGTCGTATACGAGGGGTTTGTGGATGGCGATCTTCTGTTATACATCATGGATGGTTTTTTGGTGGTGAACTTTAGTGCGAGGAAACAAGGACAAAAGATGTGAGTAATGCTGAATACACTTGAAGCTTGCAACTTTGACCACACACAGCTCGTTGCTCGAGGAATGCACAGGCCCTGGATAGACCAAAGCCCTTTTTAACTTTTTACAGAAAACCCGTTAGTAAACGCACAACAAGGTCTCGGTCTTAAAAGCGCAACGCACGACTCAAAAGTCCCCGAATCGTGACAACTTTGAGGTTCTAGCTAGACCTTCAGCGTCCAAACAGCCCCGTAAATCGGCTCTTTCTCCAAAAGCCCCACTATCAAAGAACCTGTCTCGAGCTGCCAATTGGTGTTTAACGGTTTCGTAAGCTTCGAAGCACCCCCAGACGTCCGTTTTAAACCAATAAAAAAACGGTTCAAGTCCTGCGAAGACGACGCTATTTCAATAGTAGAGGCTTGCAGGCCAAAAGCCAACGGTGTATATTCCGATGACAGGTGTGTTTGAGAGAGAAGATGGGTTTGTTCTCTGGGAAAAGAGGGAGCGTTTTGTTGAAATAATTTGTCACGTGAAATTTGCAATGAGCTTTGTGTCATGTTGGACGGATAGTAGGTGGCTTGTGGCGATGGAAAGGAAAACGAGCAAAGTCGAATACTAGAACGTTGAAGTGGCAAGTTGTTGGCAGCTCTAGCAGGTAAGAACTGTTTATTTTGAAGTTTCACTTTTGAAGTAAAACGAGTAAGAATATTAGTATCATGTTTCACGAATCGAGAGTTTCCTTCTCCTCTTCTTTCGGGATTTGCCGTTCGTTCTGGCAGTCCAAACACCACATCGAGATGCCGTGGTTTGAGGCCCAGTTGCGGTACGTCCTTGCTCTTCATTCTTTCACTCTTTCTTAATCAAAGCGGTGTAACTTCACACATCCAAGTTCATCACCACTCACGAACTCTGAATCGCCGATGCCCACACATGTTATAGGTGCCTTATGGCTATCGAAGGTATGGATGCACTTGCCGCTTTGCAAGTCCCACACCTTTACGGTCTTGTCGTGTGCCCCGCTGACAATGCGGAAATTGTCTGCGGCGATGTCCCAGATGCCCTCCAAATGGCCGAAATGCGTGCGCACACATTTGCCCGTGCGCACCTCCCATAATTTGATAGTATTGTCCAATGAGCACGACAGTAGATGCGTTGGATATGTCAGTGATTTGTCCATCACGCCAGTGACACCGGTTTCCGAAGTTTCTTCGTCCGCTGCAGGCGTACTTTTTGCATCGGACGATGGATCAACCACTAATTGGTCTGTATCGAGAATAGTCAACGGCAGAACTTTCTGCACTTGGCCGACGTGTCCGCGAAAGATTTTGATGCAAGTGTTTGACCGAATATCCCACATTCGAATCGTAGTGTCGTCACTACCACTGAAGCAAGTGAAACTGCTGGGATGCAGCTTGACACATCCAACCCATTCCGAATGGCCACGTAGGGTGTAGCACGTTCGCGACTCGACGTGCCATACTTTGACGGTCTTGTCAGCCGATCCCGATACGATAATCTTCTTGCACGAGTCCACACTCAACACGCTGTCGGAATGGCCACGGTACGTCGAGACGCAAGCTCCCGTGACATAGTTCCAGACCCGAATGGTTCGATCTAGCGACCCGGTGATAAGCTTCTGGTCGTCGAAATACAGGGTCTTGACCCCGTCTCGATGGCCTGTGAGTCTTCTGACAAGCTTGCCCGTGGCCAGATCCCAAATCGCCACTGTAGAATCGTACGAAGCTGTGAAAAGCAGTCTATAGTTGAATTGCAATACCAGAACGCCGTCCATGTGACCCTTGAACACTTGTATGTGGGCATTTCCTTTCCTCCAATTAGATTCCACTTTGTAGCGCTCTTGGTATATAGTTTTCCAGGGTCTGGTTTTTTTGGCACTTTTAGTGGGAACCGCGCTACTAGCGACGTCCTTCCCGCCTGTTGGAGCCTTTTTGGTCGCACTGTCGCGAGTATCGATAAATCTGGCTCTTTTCATATGCAGTAGTGGAAGCCCCCAACCGCAGTGCGGGCATTTGCGATCGATATGCTGCTGGCACATGTGATACCACACTCTGTCGTCGTCGGCCAGCTGTTTCCACCGCCGGCTCACTTGCGTAGCATTACACAGACTCTGGCAATCGAGATATCCAAGAATCTTGAGTGACACTTCCTCGGGAAGAATACTGATAAAGTCGATTTTGATCAAATTTCGGATTTCAGACGCCATGAATGACAGCTGTGGGAAACAGCAATTGGTCAGAACGCCCTCCAACACCAGTCGACGAATCTTGTCGTTGCAGCCCAAAAAACTGGACAGCACTGAGTCCGCCAACTGTTGGTCCTCGGGCTCCAATTTTTCTATCTTGCTGCGCAACGCAGCGCGCCGTTGTTGATCCTGTTGGAAACATGCAGTATGCGTGGGTGACTGCTGGATGTCGGGATTGTGACGGTAGCAGAATCTTAGGAAATTGTATTCAGGTAATCGACACACTCTCTTGACCGGTGACGTTTCCTCTGGTGTGGTATTCGGTACAGCAGCAGGCCCGCTGCTACTCGTTTCGACGCCATTTTGAGCGCTTGTTTCGACCTCTGTGATAGTTCTCTTGGGTCCCGAGCTTTCTATAGCTCCAGGTTTCTCGAAACTAGGTGCAATCATCTCAGGAGCGCACGAAATCTCTCGATCTTATCCACAATCTTGCAAGAGCTTAATTTCACTCAAAAACGTCGGTTTTTTTTCTCGCAACACTCGAAAAAGTTCGCTTCTTGATCTCGATTCGATATTTTATATTGATACCAGCTTGCACGGACTATAAAAGCTATTGAAAGTGGTAAAATATCCTGGATTTGATTAACTTTTTGGTTGTTTTCGATATTCTGGATACGCTGGCGAAGTGATGCAGTCGATATATTGCATTATTTGACTTTTCGGTCCTTCACGTGACCTATCATAGAGGAAACCTTTGAAGTGTGGCTGGGAGCGGACACATCGCAGATAGATTAGAAAAGCAGGGTCAGAGTAGGGGATTATGGTATGAACCTGTTGCGATTCATTTGTTTGGTGGCTTGCAGAATTTGCATACTAGGTGACGCGCTTGAAATAGTGAAATAAAACTCCACGGCCTTATAATATTATATTGACCAATCAAAACAGGTTTGGTCCACGTGATCCATGTCTTGAAGGCGACGCACTGGTACAAAGTGATAAAATTAATAGTTGTAGCATTATCCAGAGAGACACAGCTTTTAAGAACTTCTTAGAGATGGGCTGGGTATTGATCATTTGATTCCGTGCAGGGACTTGTGTTGATTGTTGATACTCTGTTTTTATTCATTAATAGTTAGGTCAACTTGATATCCATTACGAGCTCTGAAAAAATATATATATACCACTTGCTTGACAGCATTACGACAGCATAACCTTACTACGATTGTAGCATCAACACTGACATTCTTCTACCAGGTTCGCGAATTGTCGAGTCTCCCACCAATATCTTCTCGAGCTTTTTTTTGCATAGTTGGCGAAACTACCCCTAACTCAGCGCTACACAATACCAACGACGTTACATTACTTGGCTGCGATCTAGTTAAAATAGTCTGCGGTCAATCAGCAAAAAAATGCTGCAGCTTTTTGATTCTATCATTATCAACTCTATTGCAGGTAAACGGTAACAACAAGTCTGGTTTGCAGACTAATACAAATTAATTTATCAAAACAATTTTGCGGCGAAACACTGCGACAAGACCTTTCAACACGCGCTCGCGCTGGGCCTCCAACTTCTTAAACACGACAGTTGGAAATCTCAAACACCATAATGTCAGCGGCGCCCTTCTTTTTGAGCTCGTCCATGACAATTCCCTTTTGCTTTCTCTCGATCATAGCAGAAACGGCCACCCAGCCTTCGTCGTCAATCTTGGAGATCGTAGGAGCTCTTCTGCCCGGGGTGATCTTTAGCACTTCAGGGAGACTAGATGTGGGGGCGTTGTAGTGGCAAGAAACGTATTTTTGCGCGGTCATCACACCCTCAATTCTCGACTTGATGGTTTGCAAAAGGTCACGGTCGCCCTTGGGGTTTTTGGACTCGATCAAGTGCGCACTGGTCTCTAGCACTGTGGAAATGTCTGTTAGGCCCGCAGCACGCATGGTCTCACCCGATTCGACCAAGTCGACGATGGCATCGGCGATGCCCAACGCGCACGAAGCCTCCACAGACCCGCCGACGTATCTGATCTTGGTAGTGATCTGGTCCACGGGCACGCCCTCGAGCTCTGCAAAGTATTTCTTGGTCAAATTCGTGAAGCTGGACACAATGGTCTTTCCGATCAGTTGTTCTGGCTTTGTATATGGCCCGTTTTCTGGCACCTGGACTTGCAGTTTGCATGCACCGAATTGCAAGTCTAGTGGCAGCTCCACGTCGACCTCCGATTCCTTGACTTCGTCTACACCAGTGATACCCAAATCACACTTACCTTCACCCACGAACATTGGGATATCCGAAGCTGGCAAGAAAATTAGAGCAACTGGCATGTTGGTCGACAAAGCGATATCCAGACGCTGGGAGCGGTGGAATCTGATGTCGGAGCCCTTCAAAATGGAAACGGCTCTTTCATTAAGACGTCCCTCTGCAAAAAAAGCGTGTGGTTAGTAAGTATGCTCTGCTTATGGAGTTTGTCGCCAAGCTAAGAGAAAGAAGCTCTAAAATTGCGGGTTTTTTACGTACTCTTGGGGATGGCAAACAGCAATCTATCGGTCAAGTGGTTGACTAAATCCATGGGTAATTAAATGGTTGTGGTGGTGTGGGAACCGAGTTGTTCTGTTGATGAATGTCGAGAGTTCTGATAATGAGTCAAGAAAAGTTCATCTTTTCACGTTGTTCCATGACCGCTGAAAAAAAAATTGAGAGATGAGTTATAGCGACGGTAAATGAGAAATCTGCAGAGACGCAGTGGGGGGAGGTAGAGGATTTAAAAGGGAATTATGGAGTGGCTACAGTGGATTATTGGAATCAATAGTAGACTTGGACGGGAGGGCTTTTTGGGACGGTGAACTGTGCGGGTGTGGTGGTGAAAAGACGTTTCGTATTTAGTGATTTAGTGGGAGAGCGAGCAGAGACGAACGATATAAGCGAGATTCGGCAGCGGCGAGGCAATGTGATAAGCGTACGAGTCTCCAAGGTTTGTTGGGCGTTTACCTGTCTGGGAAGTTCCGAAAAGAAGTGTATCACTTTTGTCCATTCCGTCGTTGTCGTCGCGCCAGCGACACAGACGTGCAAAGTGATGTGTTTTGCGCTTTCTTACCCAGGGTCACAATTACAAGAGAAGAAAGTCCCGGGAGGACACGATACCCAAATTCACAATCACAAACCACGCCCATCTTTTGCCACATCTTAGTTCTTTAACGACAGCCGGAAAACACTCTCCTCACTTCTCACGAGGTGCGTATACTACCCACGATGGGCAAAATATATAATTTACCATACCCGTTAAATCAATATATAAAGAGCGAACCCAGCTCATCGCAAGAACAATATCATGAACTTTTGTGAATCTCACAGCCAAACAAGGTCTTTAGTCTGTATATTCTAGATTTTTATCGCTACTCTCTCTCTCAAGTGAGCTGTTCCATATATTTTACCGGTCTGGTCGGAATCGCTCAGGTTTCTGGCAAGATCTTCGGGTAATTGGCAAACAGGTCTTTTCAGATTCAAGATCGGTGGAAGCGCCGAACAACATCTGGTGGTGTGTTTTGAGTTGTGCGAGCTTTTTTTTTCGCCTTAGAGCCCGAGAGTCAAGCCAGTAAGTATACCATAGGTTTACTACAACATCAACAACCTCATCAGAGACACATTGGTTTTCCCATTAAGCAGTGTATAGTTCACCAAAATAAGGACCGTGTAACGCTTTATCTGACCGCCGGACATCTGGATTTCCGCACGCCTTCACACTCTACATGAAATTTGCAGAGCATTTGCGTGAGTCTGCAGTACCAGAATGGATTGATAAGTACATCGACTACAAGATCGGTAAGAAAAAACTCAAAGCTTGTCGTGGAACTATCGCAGCCAGCCAAGCACTCTCCAACAATATCCCGGGAAATACGTGTTCTGTTGAACTGCCTCCCCATGCAGACGAAAGTGCTCGATACCGAACCCAAAACTCCTACAACTCTGTGCAGAAACGCTTTGTGATCGAGTTCGTAGAGAAATGGGTCATTGACCAAGAACTTGAGAAATGCAACGACTTCTACTTGTGGGAACTAGACCGTTGTGGGAAACGATTCAGTGTTCTCCAGGAACAAATCAACCGCTACGAGCTGCACAAAGAGCAACTCGAGTTTGAACGTAGCGGCCGTAATTTGGCGGCTCTGAAGTCCTATGGTTCCGTTAACGAGGGGAGCCCCAGTCCATTGCCTCCAAAACTGCAGAAACACTCTTGGGGTTCCTCATTATTCGCCTTCTTGCGAGACAATGAGCTTGTGCCCTCGTTTCCAAACTTTATGCCCTTCAAGCGTCTTATGGGGAGAAGCTCCGAGCGTGATTATGGATCCTCTATTGGTCACGGTGAGACTTTCACTCCAATAACTTTGAGCGCAGGTCAGATTCAGCAACGGCTATCGGACGCTCTCATCGAGGAATATCTTTTGATTCAGCTCATCAAAAACTACAGAGAGGTTAACGTCACAGGATTTCGAAAGATTGTAAAGAAATTCGACAAAACCTGCGGCACCAAAGAGCTGCCTCATTTCATGGAATATGCTAAAAGCGCCTTCCCTTTATTTCAAGATGCTGACGCGAACGCCAAAGTTATCGCTCAGACCTTGCGAGATTCTGTCATGTTGCGTCAACCCGCCAAAATCACCACCGACATAGAACTCGCTGACCCACTCATGGCGTGGGAACAAAAAATCACCACTTGGTATACCGATACTCTGGCACTGTCGTCCAAAGATCGCAAGCAGAAATCAGCAAGACTGAAAAACATCTCCCTAGAATACTCTCTGAGTGAAAGAAAAGTTCATCGTTTCAACAGATCGATTCTTCAAATGTTCGTGGGAGGTTTACTCTGTGGAGCTTCTCTGGCACTAATAGGTTACACTCTATTTGTGGGATTCACTGCCTCTTCATTATCCAGCATTCACAAGCTGCTGCTGCCTTTGTGGGGAGGCTGGTACATGACCTTTTTAATGGCATTCTTGTTTCTGCTGGACTGCTATGTGTGGCATAAAAACAACATCAATTACAGATTTATCATGTTTGGCGAAATGCAGTCTCGCCATGGAGCTGTGCTCTACAATAACGATTTTTCGACAACCAAGATTCCCCTTCTGTTTTATTTCACTAGTATCCTAGTATTTCCCATGGCCGTCATGAGTACACTCAGTTTCCATGCCGAAGGTCTGAGTCCCTACTCTATCATATGGATTGTGATGGCGGCAATTCTGTTCCTGATGCCCTTACTGGGCAAACAGCCTTTAGGAAACATTCCGTATTGGAATAAACTGAAAACTTCGGTGAAATGGCTTTTGGTGACATTTGTCAGGTTAGTGTTCTCTGGGTTTTATCCGGTTCAGTTCGGAGATTTCTTTCTCGGAGATATTTTCGCTTCATTGACATATTCTATGGGGGATATTGCGTTGTTCTTTTGCGTTTACTCTAAAACGCCAAACGGCATGTGCGGTTCTTCTCATTCGAAATCAATGGGCGCCATGAGCTGTCTCCCTAACTTCTGGAGATTTTTACAATGTCTAAGGCGTTTTTCAGACTCAGGCGACTGGTTTCCACATCTGCTCAATGCGCTCAAGTATGTGATAGGTGTGTGCTATTATGCATCACTGTGCGCTTATCGACTATCCTACACAACTACGAGAAAGAATATCTTCATTATTTTCGCGACGCTGAACGCAACTCTAACCGCTGCGTGGGATCTCATTATGGATTGGTCACTTCTGCAAACGAAATCACGCAACTGGCTCCTAAGAGACGATCTCTACCTGGCTGGCCGGAAGAATTGGAAGACAGGTGCCTACTCGAAAAGACGGATGCTAGTTTATTATGCGGCTATGATATGGGACGTGTTGATGAGATTTCAATGGATAGTGTACGTTGTGGCTCCCAGTACAATACATCAAAGTGCAATTACTACTTTCATCCTTGCAGCTCTTGAGGTTTCTCGTCGTTTTGTGTGGGTAGTGTTCAGAGTGGAGAACGAACATGTTGCGAATGTACATCTATTCAAGGTCTCAGGTGAAGTTTCTCTTCCTTTCCCAAGCACAGTTTCGGAAGAATCGGAGACAGAAGAATCCGTCACTAGTGCCCGGTATGCCTTGCCCGAACTCGGTGGTCCTGAGGCACCGCATGCGGCCTACAGAGGGAATGTTTTACCAAGATCGAATTCGAGTGGGCTGTTCAAAACTTTTAGTAAATCAATTCCATGGGCTCACGCCAAGGACTTTCAAAGGCCGCAGGGTCACACGAGTGATGACAAGCCCCAGGAAAGTGATGCAAGTGAAAGTGAAGTTGATAGTACATTTTAAGTAGCAACTAGCAGAAAGTCGAAATATCATCAGTATATCGTTCATTACTTATAGGCCCTAATTGTATCCGGGATGTTTACAGATGTGTATATAAATCATGAGCTAAAAGAGAATTGCTGAACTTTAGCGTAACTTGGTGGATTCAACCTTCTGTGCAAAGCCTTAGCAGCCCAAACTGGCATGATAGAGAGTCCAAGTATCAATGCAAGCTTCCCGTAAAAAGTAGGCTGAATCACGAAAGACAAATCAAAATATTCTTGAAGAAACGGTATCGAGCCAACAAATATGATGAGAGTGAATAGTTCAGACAGTGCCATCGTCTTGTTCCATGTGTAGATTTCTATCGCGACCATTATCAGTTCGTTAAGTACTAGTCCCGTAAAGCTTAAAGCAACCAAGCGCATATAATCCGCTTCGCTTAAACTTGTAAGACCCTGGGAAAGACCTTGAATGATACAGCCTTGGAATAATGATAGTGCAACCCAGACGAAAAATGTTTTGTACGAAAGACTTTTTCCAGCCGTCAGTTCCTTGTATAGTTCCGGATAAGTTTTTGTGAGTGATTGGTCTATATCGTGATCCAATGTCAGCGAAAACACCGGAGCCATTGTATAAAGCGTGGCATAACCCACCATAAGCCATCCTTGGTAGAGAGCTATCGGCTCGAACTTAGAGCATATGGAGTAAACTGCTTGACAGATAGAGATGATAAGTCCCCTGTGAATGACAAATTGAGCTAACTTGGCAGATCGTTTGTATGAGTTTCGACCATGCCATAGCAGTAAAGTAGAAAGAAAACTAAACTGTGTCACGGAAAAGTCTGCTGCCAAAGATGCTTGCTTCCCTTCTTTACCCACAATTCCAACACCAACATCGGCAGATCTAATCATGCTGACGTCATTCCCACCATCACCGATACAGCAAACTCTCTTCCCAGTAACCTCGCGAATGAAAGTGGCGACGTCGGCTTTTTGTTGTGGAGTACAACGACATGCGATAACGGCAGGTAAATGTACCACAACGTCGAAAAACTCCTGTCTGTAATGATCGAGGTAAACCCCTAAAGATTCTCCGTCAATCAAGAGACAGGAGTTCTTGTTTATTTTTAAAAGTTCCAATTGACTGAAAGCGCCCTCTGGTCGATCCAGCTTTGTTATAGTGTGAACATACTGCCCTCGAGAAACCAACTTGGCACTTATCGAAACGCAGCGAGCGGTTTCTACTTTGTCACCAGTTAGCATCCAAATTTTAATTCCGGCATTCCGTAGAAGCTCAATAGAGGATTTCACATCGTCTTGTAGCTTGTCTTCAACACCGGTTAATCCTAGAATCTCGAGATCATGTTCCAGATGCTTGCTAACAGCTGCACTCATGGAAGCATCTCTGTTAAGCATCATGAGTGACGCTTCGTTATATTCTTTCTCAAACGTATCAAAGGCTTTTTTGGTCAATCTTTTGCGCCCTACCACCAAAGTTCTGAGGCCCTCACGAGCAAGATTTCCAGTTTCTTCCTCTAACCAATCGTTGCTCTGCACAATCTTGGCCATCACAACGTCAGCTCCTTTCTGCAAAAACCAATACTCCTGCCTCTGCTTGTCGAATACTATGATACCCATTCGTTTGTTATCAGAATTGAAGGGAAAGACCTTCTTGATATCAAATTCAAGATATGATCCCGACTGGTCATGCAGTAGCGTCATGGAATGACGATCTCTTTTAAAAAGTGTGAGTCCCACGGACTCGGAAAACTTAACGATGGCTATTTCATCCGGAGAAGCGGCTTGGTAAGTTAACTCGCCATCTTCGAACGTCGGAGTTACTTGGTGACATATGGCGAGGGCCGACACCAGGTCTCGGACACGTGTAGGCATGTCTCTCTTTGCGCCACCAGTTGCTATCGAAGGTTCCGATTGCGACGACATTGAACTCACATAGTCAGTCACAATATCCATGGTCTCCAAAGTATACGATACCGTTCCCAAATGCAGCTTTTTCAGTTCCATATCGTTCTGAGTCAGTGTTCCCGTCTTGTCACTTAGCAGGTACTCTACTCTTCCCAAATCTTCCGGTATAGTACTTGTTCTTACGACCGTTTCAGGAATGGTTTTATCGTGTTCGATTTGATGCGCGTAAACAGATTTCCCTAGATCCAAATTGACTCTCAAAGAGACTGGAATGATTGTAGAAAATAAGATCAAGTATCTCATTGTATCGAGATACCAATCTTTGTTATCAAATCCAGCAAAAACAACGAGCGTGACTGAAAGAACGAAAACACAAGCACACAGTATTTTTGACAAATTGTTAATTTCAAGCTCCAAGAGACCAGTCTTGACGCTTGATGTTGTGGTGTTCATAGCTTGCCGGGTATCAGTGCCGGTATAAACGACACATGCAATTGAAGTTCCCGTAGAGGCAAACACGGTGTTTGCCCACATGGTATTATCAACCGATAAAGGCTGAGATTGTGAGTTGCTATAACTGAGCTTGCCTAAAAAGCTGTTAATGGAAGTCTCAGGAGCAGATGCCGTAATGGATACCTTGTTTAAAAGATCGTCTTGGGATAAATGCTGGGTTAACGGACATGCTATTCTTAGCTTCCAATCGGTTTCACCGTCAAGCTGATCGGTTTTGATGAAAATTTCACCGGACGGCTCGCTGGACTGTAAGAGCACTAAATCTGCGGGTGCCCTGGCCCCTTTGCCTATTTTGATGAGGTCGCCAACTTTAAGGTCCTTACTAGGGACCAATTGGGCCGTGCTTAGAACTTCGTAGAGTTCGTTGTTCGATTCACTGTCCCTTCGCCTTCTCTGAATGTCGTCGAGAGCTTCTTTACTCATTGTGACCGTTAAGACAAATGCTAGAGGTACAACGTAGGAAGATAGGTATCCGATTCGTAGCGCTGGGATAGCCTGCGAAAGAGCGACTATCAAAAAATAGAGGTTGAAGAAGAATTTAAACTGTTCATACAGTATGATCGGTATGAACGTTAACGGACTGTATTTGGCGTTGCTGATAGCGTTTTGTGCATATTTGTTTTTATCGTAGACTGGTGTTGTCCCGGGATGAATTTCTCGATCGAGTTGCTGGTCCTTGAGCTCTATGATTCCATTAGTAGACTTGTAAGGAGACGTGCTACCACTTCTGGACGTGCTTATGAAACTGCAAAGTCTACGCCAAAATGGCAATCCAGAACCGGTCTTTGGTCTTGAAGGGCTATGCAAGTTTTCAGACCACCTATTTATGCCGCCCTGACCGCTGTGCATGAGTGGTTCGGTGTCTGCGTGACTGTTGTGTTCCTCGTTTGCGCGTATGCTTTTCATTTCAATATCTTCACCGTTAACGCTTCCGGTGGTATTCAACTGTAAGGACTCTAACGCAGCGTCAAGCGAATCCTCGAACTGAATATCAAGCAGATCGAAACTACTCTGGCGATGCAATGATGTCCGTTGCGGTTCTTTGTTTGAGCCAGGAGGAGGCGTAAACGGCATCAGGATTGTTTGCGCTAGCTACCTGAAAAATGTCACGCACACAGCACTCTTTTTTGACCTGAAAAAGGCTGTTTGTAGCTCTTGAACGAATTGCAAATGACCGGCTTAAGCTAAGAAGTAAGGCGAGCCGATGGCGACGGATATTTGGAGATATCTGCTGTTGTTCACAAGTGTAGTTGTAGCTGAGATTGAAATCAAGCATATTAACGAGAGTTATCGCTATGTACGAGCTGTCATTATGTCTATCACCTATACAAAACAGGACACTGATGGCCAGTTTTGAGTTGGTAATTTGACCATTTGCCGCTTTAAACGTGTCCGAAAATTGTTGAGCTGCTTTGTATTGTCCTAGTCTTTGTCCTATTTTCTGATCCTAAGTTAGGTTTTGTTTCGCAAATGACAGAAAATCATCGAAAGGCTTCAAAAACGAGTTGACAATGCAACTGATTTCAATTGCGCGTTCGGTGTGACCTGGTTTTAGTTTGGACCATTTGGTTTATCAATTTGACTTCTAGCCGTCCCTTTTTTTTGTCGGAAAGCTTTGGTGTCACTGTCTGTGAATTCAGCTTTATTTGACTGCAGGGCTGGTATTATTCTAACTGAAGCCCCGTATTATTTTGGAAAGCCTTGGGCGGTGTTATTTGATGCCAAATACTCGGTCCCGGTATGTCTCATAATGATAAGTTTGCAAGTGACAATCTCCGAGAGAGTATCAGAAGTGAATAGATCAGTACAATCTGCGTTCTCCTTTTGTATGTGACGCTAGGGCGATCAGAAGATGAACTTAGGGGGCCACTTGTAGGCAGTTGTCCAATGAACAGCATTGATCGCCACTATCATGGAGCTCGTTCCTAAGCCAATGCCAAAATAAGCGGAAATCAACACCAAAATAGTATCAAAGTGTTATTTCAGAACACCGAACACATCGAGATTCTCTGCGATGGGAAACACTTTTTGGACACGTCACTTTGAACACAATATTCCAACATCTGGTTCTCCAAAGATCAAGCTATTGCACTTCACCACAGAGCTCAATTGCTAATGCTAGGAGACCTCGAATGGCTGACCGTAATATAAATTACCAGACTCGCTGTCACCTATTAATAGTCCATGGTAAGCACAACAATCACCACGCCTCACATAGATATATGCACTGCCACACACAAATTCTAAATCAAAACTTTGATTCATGTCTTCAAATAGTCTTTTCAGATGACTACAATATACCTCTATTCATGATAATTACCATATTGACCACCAGCGAGTTAGTTTACCAAAACTCGAGCTCTAAACTTCAAATTTTGATCAATACGTGAGTTGGACACATAACAGTCAATATTTTCGGCCCTGTATTCCCGCTTTGACCGACTTTAGTAGCATTTTCCAGGAATTACGTTCCGATGACTATAAATTTATCAAAATAGTTTGTATATATTATATATATCCCATCATAATCATCTATCTCATCTCATCTCATCAAATTCGAAAATCAATGACTTTGGAAATGACAGAGGGTGTCCGGATACGGTATACCAGACTCAATCAGGTTTGTCGAAAGGCCTTACAACAATCGGTAACTAAAATCCAAAATTGGGAGAAGCTGGCTTCTTGTTTCCCAACCTACACCGCTACTGACGCTGGAACGAGAAATCTAAATACATGTCAGAAACAAGTGGTTGAGTTCTGGATGGAACTTTCAAAAAGAGAATTTGACGAGATTTTCAGGGAACGAGATATCGAACGCAAGTTGAATGAACTCGACGACTTGATTTCTCGCGCCAAAACTGTGCAAAAGGGCCTACACGAAGAACATACAGATTTGCCCTGTATTGACGAACTGACGCCAGAACAGCTTATAAGTGGCAACATACACGATGCACGAACGAAACTAATAGGGCAGCTGGGTGATAGAGTCACAAAAGTTTCGAATATCAATGGGGACTTGGAGCTCGAGCTACAAAAAATCAAAGTGCTTCTTGACAATGAGTCTCAGCAGCTAGAGGAGATCTTAGACAGGAACATGGGTCACGACTCAGATACTTCAGATGAAATGTTGCAGCGAGGCTTGCGCGACATGCTTTTAGAGCTACGGGAAGAACAGGAAGTGTGATAATAATCATTGGAAGTTCGGTATGAGCTCAAATACTTATCTATATACAGATATGGGTGTGAAAAAACAGGATGTTGATATCAGGAACTGTCCAGAAGATGGTTGGTAGCGGTGCCAAGATCCCAGTTACATTGTTCCAACGCTTTGGTGGCCTCTTCCGTCGAGAATCCCATGCTCGCAAGCTCCTCCACGGCCAAGGACTTGGGAGTCGTCGCAATCCCGCGGTTGATTGGCGCACTTACAGGATCTACGCTCGACTTCGTAGGAACAGGCTGTTTGATTGGGACAGGCTCCGGCTGAACCACCGGGACCGAACCTTGCTTAGAGTTCCCGAATCCAGCAAAGATCTCATCCCATTCATCTGCACCTACTGCCGAAGCTGCGTCTGGACTCGTTGCTTGAGTTTCTCGAGTTGATACCCCAGTGAAACCTCCTTGATGGAGTTCATCATCTAGATCCTTGTGCTCAATGCGTTCAAAGTCCTCCTGAAAGTCGTTGTCATTCGAATCCCCTGCACCGTCAGCGTCATCTTCTTCGGGAGCGGCCTGTTCCAAACCGTCAAATTCGTCATCGAAATCTCCTACCTCTTTTTCAGCGGGTACGCTCTTGGTACTTCCCTCGCCAACTGTCGGGATCGCATTGACGTTACCAACCGCAATCACTGATGCCTTAGCAGGCACCTCCCGTTCTGGACCCTTGTCAGGAATTCTCAAACTCTTGGGTTCAGTGAAATCTTTAGAATCTTGAAAACTATTCTCTTCCTCATCTGAGCTATCACTTTCTTCAATGTCCAACTCTTGTATAGGAGGAAACTCATCATCTATAGTCACCTCGGCAGCTTTTGCAGAGTCATCTTTGACTTCATCCGCGGTTTTGTTGATGGTCTCCACCTCTGAGTCCTGGTCAGGAGAAGTGGGGGCAGGTCCCTTCACAGTTTTGGGGTCCTCAATTCCTTCACTTTGAGCGTCGGCCCAACCACCTGGCATCGTATTCTCCACGTCATCGGTGGTCGTGTTATCCTCACCAACCGAAGCGGGTGGAATGTGGCTACCAGAGGCAGTGGCAGTGTTCAAATCGCCTTCAGGATAGTCACATACGGACTGTGGGGGGTTGTTCAAGACTGAAGATGTGACAGACTCCGTCCTGGGTATGCCATACTCGTTCAGATCGCCGTCAAACCTGTCGGCAAGAGCTTGAGCAGCGCTTATGTCGTCGTGAGTTCTCCCATCCTCTTCATCAACTTCAGTTTGAGACCCCGCAGTTGGAATGTCTTTGTCAAAAACGTCAGATTCTTGTTTGTTTTCATCGTCCTCCTGAGCTCCAAGTCGCGAGTTTGTTACACTTTCGTCAACGTATCTGGCAATGTGATCTTGTTTGGGCGAGAAATCACGCTTGTTTTTCACTATTTCATCGGCGTCCTCGGGTAATTCTCCCATAGCTAGTTTCATCTGCCTTTCTGAGAGCTCTTGTACTTTTTGAGCATATTGAAGTTGTTGACTTTGTAGATCATCGTCTGCCTTGGCAAGTGATTCTCTTTGTGCGTTCAAGTCTTCGAACATACTTTGGAGCTTAGCGATCTCTTGATGGTAGACTCGTTCCTGATTCTCAATTTCCTGATTTCTCTCTTGCAGCTCTTTGTCTCGACGGCTGAGGTCCGCGTGTCGACTTTCGAGCTGCTGATGTCTTGAGTTCAACTCGCCGTGTTGAGTTTCTAGTGTTGAACTGTAGTCATTCAACTCCTTGTGCTTCTGTCTAAAGATTGCAATGTGCTGTTCGAGTCCCTCAATTTCTGACTTCAAGTTTTGCACCGTAAGGTCGCTCAATTCCATTTGTTTGCTGTTGACATCTACCATTGATCTTTCTTGTTTGACATTTTGCTGCTTTCCGTTCAATTCAACTTGTAAAGAGGATGCAAGCGAATTTAAGCTTCCAATCTTCTCTTTCAATTGAGCGTTACTTTGTTGAGATTCTTGCAGCTGCTTCTGTAGATCAGATAGCGATCCTTGCACCGCGTGGTGATTGGCTTCGGCAACGGCGAGCTGTCTCTGTAGTTCTTCAGTGTCCAAACGGGACTGGCCCAGTTGTGACTCCGCTTGTTCCGTTTCCTTCAGCTCTTGTTCATAAGACGCACGTAAATTGACCATCTTTGATTGAATTGAAGCCTTTAGATCATTCATACGTCTGAGCTCTTGTTGAGCTTTTGCCTTTCTTTCATTGACTAAAGTAGCCTGATTGGTCAGTGAACCAACTTGATTGGAGAGATTTGCCAGCTCTGTGGTAGCTTGAGACAGCTGCATGGATGTTTCAGGTTCAACAGATGTGCTTAACTGACGAGATCCTTGCTGTAGGGGTGGTGACAAGAAATTTGGAACACTAGGCAAAGAGGATGATATTGAAGGTTGCTGTGTAGTAGGAGGAACTTGAGAAACAGGGGATTGTGCCATGTGTGTAGAAGTACCCGAGTATGGAGCAGGGGTGACACCACGAGCCTGAGGAGACTGGCTTTCCTGCGGAGAGACGTGGAATGCTTGCTGCTGGTACACATGTTGCTGATCCGTTTGCATCTGTGGCTGCTGCGAAACTAGACCCTGATTTTGATTGCTAACTGGTGGATTGAAGTACGATCCCTGTGCTTTGTAATCAGATTGCAAATCTGGCGTTCCTGTTGCTGGTTCTTCCTGTATAATACTTTGGCCAAACGTCGACGACGGCTGAAATCTTCTGGTACCCATCATTGTGTCGGAGCGAGTTGGGGATTGAACAGATGTGACCGATTGCGCAGTGGCGTCAGATGCCAAACGAGTGGGCATGGGCCTAGGAGACGAGAAAGATTCATTCAAAGTCAGTAGGTCCCCTAAGGCGCTTTGACTTCTCTCAGTAGATTGCGTTGCATCTGCAAAAGAAGGTTTTGTATCTCTGGATGGAACAGATGGTAATGGGCTCGATGCATTCTGGTAGGTCTGAGAAGCATCTAAACCTAGAGCAGGTGATTGCAATAGTTGATCGGGAACGACGTCAGGTAAATTAATACCACTTTTTTTCTTCTGGATCAGAAACATCGCGATTGCAAATTCCAACTTAGAAAACTCGGCATTGTTGTGAATGTCAGCGAGATCCCATACGGTTGCCAAAATATCTTGACTCAGTCTTGAAGATAGAAAGAATGGTACCAAAATCTGGGATCCCAAAGTGCCAGCTTTATTTTTGTCCAGGGAGTCGAAAATGACGTCGAACTGTTGTTTCTTTTCAAAAGACAGGTTCCAGTCCGACGCGGCATTCGAAAAGGTGCTGGAAGGAACTCGGTTTAGCGAAGGTTGGCGAGAAACTGGTGAGTTCAGCGAGGCACCAGTCGAATTGGTACTCACGACCGGTTTCGCCCCCATGGGCATATTGATTGAGTCCCACAGATACTTGGGGAGCCTATCTGAAAGCGTTCCGATGGCTGGGTTATTGACCATGGCAAGTTGGATGAGATGCATTGCCATGATGAACTCCGATTTATCTAGCGTGCCTGAGTTATTTCTGTCACAGAGATTCCAGATCAATCCCAAAGTAGGAGTTGGCAATTTGGCCTTCAAGAAGATTTCCCGGGCCTTGTCGCCAGCTAAGTTTGGTGCTCCCTCAGTCGAGCGATCGAAAAGCTGGGAAAATTTGGCGACGTCATACGGAGATATCGCCGGAACTGAGCTAGGATTCGAAGACCCGGTGCTAACAGCAGAAAGGTTGGCCGTGGGGGCCGATACAAGTGGTAGCTTAGGTGCTGGAGTTTGGTATAGCTCGGGAGAGACAGGTGCCGTGGGATTTGTTTGTAAATGGCCAATGAGTCTCATAGCAGCATTAAACTGTGCAAGGTTCAAAAACCCCTGGTTTTCACTATCACAAAGAGCCCAAATTTGCGACAGCACTTGTGCACTAAGTCCTGATTGGCTAAACAACGGTTTCACGGCCTCGCCCGTCACAATTCCAAGATCTTCAGGATCTAGTTTTTTGAATTCTTTTCCAAAAACCTCCTGTTCTTGAGGCGAGAGCGGAACTCGAAACACTACTTGTGTCATCTTAACTAATTCAAATCCGTATACTGAACTAGAATTGTGATAATTACGATAGCTAGTGGTAGTAATGTGCTTCTTGTTGCGTAGTTGCAGGCAGATCAGAGTTGAAGTATAGGTTAAATTATAGTCGCAAGCAAATAGGGATGCCGATATTAGTACAAAGTGATATGATAACATAGTAAATTGACGGGTCACGTGGTTGGAGACAGAGTCTCAATTGGCGTTTATTTAAGCAGGCTTTATGGCCTCTGCACAGGTTGTATAGCTCCAGATTGGTGTCTGTGAATTTCACTGTGTTTGGAGAAGTTTTCTATCATATAATTTATTAATGATCGTGTTAATTATAATGATTCGAACTGGTTGTGAGACATTCAGATTGTGACGTGTAGAATCCTAGTAACAAACAGGCCAATCGTCTTTTTGAATGATCTTGGTGAAAAGTGAAGCTGTAGGAAATTCCATAATATTCGGGTTACGGTTTTGGTAGAAAAACATGTCTGGTTTTGCCCTTAAGTGTGATCATCCTAGAAATCCAGCGGGTCACCTGAAATGTCAACGAAGTATGTCTACTTTCAAAACTATGTCTTTCAAAAAAGGGCAATTTGGCCGAGTGGTTAAGGCGTAAGATTAGAAATCTTTTGGGCTCTGCCCGCGCAGGTTCGAATCCTGCAGTTGTCGTTATTTTCAATTATTTTTTTTTTGGATATCTGTTCAATATCGACATTTGACCCATTTTTATATCCATACAGTATACAAGATTTCCCTCTACGTTAGAGTGTTAAATATGGCAAAGACCTGAAGCTTGTCTTGCACCGCACACCTTGCACCGTTGACTTCTGATGATAGCTATTAACAGAAGGTACTTCAGTATTCTGTTGGCCACGTCTTTGGCTGTAGGTTTGCTTAGGCCTCACCACTGACCCAAGATTTTCGTTTATAACGTCTCAGCACGACAAAATAGCACATTTCGCGGTCTTTGCACTGGAATCCTGGCTTTTTTGTAAATCCATAGGCATAAGATCAGTAGAAATCGACCTGCGATTTATAGGCTTGCAGAGGACTGCCATAGACAAATATGCGTTGGCGTTGATTGGCTGCACCGGATGTGCAGGCATAGGCAGTGAGTTCGCACAGTCCGTGCTGTCACAGGGTCGTCGCAGATTTGATCCATGGGACATCGCTTGCAATATATTCGGCTCACTGTTGGGAATCGCTTCTGCGTATGTAGCAGACAGGGGGATTTGACACAAATGTCGGTCCTTTGATTTTATAGATTTTGTATGTACAGGAATTGGGATGCTGTGATTGAGGGGGCAAGACTTTGAAGTGACACTAGCTTTACCTGAGTTTGATGTAGGCTCTGTGTGCAATGGCAGTCTTATGCATTTGGTCTCGCTTGTCGAAACCAGAACTGTTGCCCTTGTAGACGGATATCAGTTCTTCCCCAAGTCTCACGGACAAGTCACTGGAGGTTCTCTTGTTCGCACCTTCCGAGATCCACTTCCACGCAATTCTGTGTCTCTGTCTACTGTTCAGCGGCACGGGAATGACGGCGGCCTTGGCAACACCGGTTTTGAAAGTCTTTACCACCATCAAAGGCGCTAGATCGTCCAGCGCTTTTTTGAGCACATCTACTGGGTCCTGGCGTGTGGAACAGTAAACCAGATACAGCGCTCTGGACAGCGTCTTTTCTGCACGCTGCTTCTTGCCATGACGCATGATCATGTTGACGACGTGCTGCACGGTTTCGTCCTTACGCTTTGGAAGCGGCACCTTTTTCAATTCTTCCCACTCGGCTGCCTGTTCGGCTGAGGGCTCAAAGGTCTTTTTGGCGTTGAGTGCTTCTTCTAGCAGGTTGATTTTTGTCTGGCCGGGGCCTACCAGCGACGTTTCCGGCATATACTGTTGCTCGGTGAATTCCGATCTCAGCGATTCGATAGCCTCTAGCCACGAGTCCACTTCCTTGTCCGACAATTCTCCGTTTGCAGCGGTAATTTCTGTAGTTTCCTGAGACTGAGACTGAGACTGAGCGCTGGGCATAGTTTTTTGTAGTGCGACCCTTGGAGAGAAACCGAGTGATCTCACGGCCACACGGCTCGTTTGGCTCCCTATGGCCCTTGATACATTACACACTCGTAGTTGCCTTTGCAAAGCAAACATCAGGTTTCTAATGGAGTGTGTGAGTGTGCGTGGGAACGGTTACTTGAACGTTTTTTTAACCTTTCTCTCTCAACTGTCCATGTTTCCCACTGGGCTCTAGTATCAAAAATTTTCCAGTATATGTATGTGCTTGTCGTGCAAGGTGACATCAAAAACTCGGCGGCAAACATAAACATCCAAACAAGAAGACAGGGACAGGATGAGTGTTTCAGTGGCGTTGGTCATTCGAATTGAAACCTCGATTGCAGATAGCGACTCCGTTGATCTCCCTCTCGTGTACTGGTTTTGTAGAATCAGGAAATGCGTTGGATTGTTTATGGAAGATCACATAATGACTTTTTACCCATGGGAAAGACAGCACACTTCTAGTAATTCAATGGCCAGCAAAATTCCTAAATTTAGGCCTTGAATGAGTCCAAAATTACTCTGTAATTCGTATTTTGTTTCTGTTTTTTCAACTTCAAAAGTGGTTGATAGGGGAAAGAGTTTAGTGTCGCTCTAGAAGATTATTATATGTATATAACGGTAGGCCAAGAAATAATATACAAAATCTAACAAAACATGTAATTGGTAGTAGGGAAAGGGTGGGCATATTAGAATAGACGGTTCTCCGGTGAGCAGCTGAAAGCGTTATATTAAGCGTTGTGTTTTACTTAAATCTTTAAAAATTGACGAACCGTCGCCGCAGGCGAAAAGAATGTCAGTATATCAAGAAAAAGGATGAATTTGCAATTCTAAAGGGATTGATAATTATTCGCATGAAAATATTGTTTGAATTATGACAATGTAGCGTGGGTGGGGCTGGTCTAGGTGAAGTATATATGTGTATATATTTCGAGACGTCACAGCGGAGGAATATAAAACCGTAAAGCAGTTTAAGAAATAGGAAAAATTGAAGACAGAAAACCCGTCGTCTGCTGAAGAAATTAGAATGCTGGCACAAACGCTAGCAGAAGCGCTCACGCACCCGTGGCTCGTTTTATAGCCTAAGAATTTCAATAGCTGACACTTTCCCGCATCACGTGATCCTCATTTTATCATGAGAATCATCTAATATCACCAAACACGAAGAGTGTCTGTGCAGTTTTGGCATATAATGAAAATAACGTCCTGGTAGTAACAGTGTTCTTCACTCGAAGAACGACCGATGAGCTTCACCGCGCCAGTGTCACCAATGGACTCGAATATGATGGGAATCAAGGCCGATCATCTCTATCGGAATCTTACGGCTATTGTAGTGGAAAAAGACGCGTCGATTTTCCGAACACTGGCGGCAAAAGAGCTTATACCGGAACTGCTGGTACATATGACAGAAACAATTCCTAATGATATTTTCGAGACCGATAATGAGACCTTGCACCTTGTAAAGCGGCTCCAGAGACTAGCCCAGCATCTGAACTCTAGTTTCACGGAAAATGACACTTATCCCTTCACCATACAGCGTATATGCGAAGTGTGTTATCACCCTCTCAAATACTTCAAAACGCACGAACTGGCCAAGTTTGTCAATGCCCTGGAACGATGCTGCTTGGTTAGTAGCTGCTTGAAAACCGAGGCTCAGACATCTTGCGAAAACGTGGGGGATGCGGGCGACGTTTCCTTGAAAAGAATCCCGTGGGTCGAGGAGAATGACGAGAAAGGTTTGGCCGCGTTTTTGCGAGAAATAGAATCGACCGTAAGCGTAAATTTTGGCTACGAAAACGACGACGACGACGATGACGACGTTACAAACCACGCAGATGGTGCAGATGTAGATCGTGCATACGTCAATCGAGACGATGAAGGTGAAGAAGAGGAAGAAGAAGAAGAAGATGGTGACTATGTCGCGGAGGAGGACGACAAAGATGACGACGACGACGACGACGACGAAGAGTACGACCAGGACGAGGATATAGACGGGGAAGAAGTTCAAGAAGAAATCGAAGAGGCAGAGAAGATCAACGAGAGAGGACAAATAGACTCCGAAGTGAGTCGAACTAGAACGACTGGTCTGCGAGATGCTATGGCCATTGATGGGCGTAGAAACGCACACGAGGGTGCTGGCACCTTCGAGGAAGAAGAATCCACCAGCGAAGACGATGATCTAGATGTCAACGACGTAATACGCAAGCGAAAACCTACTGAAATGGACGTTTATGAAAATGAAGAAATCGAGGTGAGTAAAACTACCACTCCTAAAAAACAGAAGGCCGCGGTCACTGCTACGGCGACGCTGGCACGGTCTCCCTTGTTTTCACAGGGTTCTGCAGTTCAAAGCGCCAGTCTAGAGCAACAGATATCGATGTTGATCTCGCCCAATCCCATGACACCTTCAGATAGTGAAAAAATAATACCCATCGCCAATGAGCACTTGGAAGAGAGTAGCCCCCTAGCTAACAAGAGTGGGAAGCGGTGACAGACATATGTTACTTCCTAACGAATGCATTATCGCCTCTACCACAACGTAGTAGAACGAAAGGTAATTTAAGAGGGGCGGCAGAACAAAAGCTGCCTCTAGATTACCTGTAAGGATTTTGAAAGCCGTAATACACTTTCTCACCTGCAATTCTCAAGATTGCAAGCAAGCTCAGCAGACGCTCGTTTTTTTAAGTTTTTAAGTCTTGTATTTCAAGTATTGATAAATAATATCTAAGTCGTGGGTTTGAATATGAAAAGTCAGATCTCGAGGTTTTAACCCAACGAATCGAGGATTTTCCGTCTATTTTTCATGAACTTCATAATGAATTATGACCGGTTAATTCAGTTTTCAATGAATTGCAAGATAGTCATCATGCTGATTACCATCTCATCATGCTCATGTCGTTTCTGAGTCTCATGTAGTCTAGCAAAGATTCGATTTGACCGGTACCAGAGATAGCAATGTCCTGGTCCCACAATCTGCTGGAGGCCCAGGATCTAACGTCTTTGACGCTGATGGCATCGATTTTTCCGAACACCTCGGTCAAATCTGGAGAAGAGCCTAGAGCCAAGGTCTTGGTACCTAGACTGTTGGCAATGGAGACGTTGTCAACGGCGCTGCTGCCGAGCTTCAATTTCAATAGAGATTTGGCACGGGCAACTTCTTGTTCGGTGACGGAAATGCTCAATCTGTTCCACTGCTTCAAAGTGAAATGAGTTAGATCATCGATTTGGTGGGTGTTGGAGATTTCAGCAGCGAAACCCCACAGACCAGAGTCCTTGTAAGATAGAGAGAAATGGTCGTAAGAGTCACACAAATGGTAGTCCTGGATTTCGTCTAGCAACTTGACACCTTGTATTTGAGAAGCAGGCTCACTGGCGTTGAAAGAACCAAACACTTCAGCGGCGACCTGTGCGACGTAGTAGTTAGGAGAGGTGACGGATTCACCTTCGGCGGCAATACAGATCCAGGCCTTTGGTAGGGTGTCGTCTCTCAATCTGACTTCAGAACCCAAAAAGGAGGACTTCTTCTTTAGCTCTGGCTTTTCACCGGATTGCAAGGACAACTGCGATTCGACGGCCTTGACTAGTTCCTCGTGCGAAACGTTACCAGAGCCGACGATGGCGGCGTTGGAATTACGGAAGTGGCTTTGAGCGAAGGATTGAATGTCGACCTTTTCCAACTCTTGAAGAGCTTCAACGGTACCTCTCACTGGCAAAGCCAATGGGGTGTTTTGGAATGCAGTGGAGTGCAAATGCTCTAGGGCGCGACCGGCGTGGTTGTTGAGCTCGAATTGCTCAGCCTGTTTGATGCTCTTTTGTAGGGCACCGGTGAAGGCACTGTCAGAAGCGGAGCCCAAGGCACCGGCGATCTGCGATTGCAAGAGGTCCAAGGTCTTGTTCAAGCCGGCAGCGCCGGCGTAAGAGGCCAAAAACGACTGGGAGTCTCTGGAAACGTTGGTGGAGAGCTGCACACCGGCCTTGGCCGCTGGCTGGGCACCCTCGGCCTTGAAAAAGTTGGCCAAGACGCTGGAGACACCGTTGTTGTATGGGTTTTCCGCAGTGGAACCGGAGCCGAACACGACACCAACACAAGCAGAACCGGCTTGGTCGTTGGTGTTGGTAGCGACTTTGAGTCCGTTGGAGAGCTCTGTTAGCTGGGGTTTGGCGTGGGACGCCAAAGTTCTTTTGAACGCAGATCTGGAAGCGGTTCTTAGCATGCTAGTTGGAGGTCGTAAATGGGGTGGGATGAAATCAAGCCAAACAAGTAAAGTGCTGGTGCGAAAACAGATGCAAGTGGCTCTGAATGCTCTAAATATCTGTCAAAACTTGGGAAATTACAGGGCGTTGTTGAAGCGTCAATGCAAATTTCCAGTGTTGTCAATGTTTAAATGTCGATAAAACCAGCAAAAGGAGTCGTACGAACAAGCGGGAAAAAACACACGGAGTCGATTCGAACGGTTAAAAGAGGTTTGTGCTAAAGACTGCTCAAAAGATTGGACCTAGACGTCTCGTTATGCGATGACTTTGAAGTGGTGAAGCGTTGTAGCTGGTGTTATTATCCAAAAAGTTTTCCAGAGGTGGGTTTAGTTTATCGGGTGGTGGAATTTAAATTTGACGTCACGTGAGAACAGAGCTCTGGGTATATATGGCGGAGAATGATTGGTTCGTGAATGGGGATGGGGAGAGACGAGCTTACGGTGGGAGTAGGGAGGGCACGGATGTTTGAGTAGGTTACGGATAATTCAATAGGAGCTCTGGGGGCCGTTTTCAAGCCGGCGAAGTGGACTGAGTCGATGTGTGTAGATGTGAAGGCCGTCGCGTCTCACTCGTATGTAGTGATGTGAGGTGAGGTCAGGGTCGTGCACGTTTAGGAGTGCTGGGGGCACTAGAGCTGGGGCACTAGTGGTGGTGGGTGTAGGTGAGATTGATGTGATGCTCTGGTGCAACGTAGGTCTCATTGGAGTGGCTAGTTGTGACTACTATGGGCGAAGAAGAAACCCAGGTGTCAGATTAGTACAAAGTGATCGATGAATGTGTCGCACTAGTACAAAGTGACAAGAAAAGCCCATTGACAACAAAAAGCTACAAGGTGAACACACAACCCATGCCCTGGGCTCCACGAATGAAGACGAGTCTGATGTTGAGCGCAATATTTTACCGCTACTATAATTCCAGAATTTGCCTGTCTTTCTCTCTCTCTTTTCCCTAAAGTGACGATATTGACGTACCCACGATATTGACGAGGCTAGTTGTCCGCGATTCACAAGCCGCGATTAACATGCTGCGATTAACATGCTGCGATTCACACGCCCCCTTTGGCTGCCCCAACTCCGATCGCGGTAAACCTCCCAACTCGGCTAATGGTTTCGGACCGAGCCAATCGCTATTGCGCGCGCATTTAGGTCAATTTAAAAGTCACATTTTCCCAAAGCGACGCCAAACTCACTCCGCGATTCCTTTCGCTTGACAAATTCGTCCGATCTTCAGTGTGCGCTTTTTTCTCTCTCTGTTCCGCCTTGTTTTCGGCTGGCGCTGGCCTGAGTTTTTTACCTAGTAATTTTTTTCCTACTGGCCGTGTAATACGCGCGTTGTGTGAGTCTCGAGAGGCCTTGTAGAAGGCTCAAATCGCTCGGCTTCAAAAACCGCTCTGAGCCCGCAAACAGAAGACCGGTCGCCTGAGGAGACCTGAATTTGGGCATTGTATATAATGGTTGTAATATTACTGTAGTTTTAGAAACTCGGAGTGCGAAGTGTGCGAGACTGACTAACAACTAAAGAGCTCAGTTTCCTCTGTAATGCGAAAAGACTTTCACAAGTGAACCTAAAAACAGTAGCATTAGCACAATTAAAATGTACCAAAATCAACAACAGCCAGATTTGAAACTGGCATACGAAAGATATCTTTTGGCTGAAAAGGCACGCAACAAACTGATACGATGCGCACACAGCGGGAAAGGCGGGGATCTGAATCTAAGAATTCTGGTCGGCCACGCTAATTTGTTGGACCGACTGGCTCTGGAAGAACATCGCGACGAGTTGGGAAACGACGCTCAAAGCGACACTGGGGTCTACAATTCGGTGGTCTCCGAGGATTTTTTATCAGATTCTGAGTCGGACTCGGGGGAGTCAGACGTGGACTCGTACTCGTACTCGTACTCGGACTCGGACTCGGACGAGTACTCACAGCCGGACGAGTACTGCTACGATGCCAGCGAGACACCGGCGGTGACGCTCTACGAGGTGGGCAAACACGTCTACCGTCGTCACCACACCCAACAGGACCGTCACTTGGGCGTGCAAGGTGTGACAACCACGACCGTGACACTTGTCAACGACAAGGGCGACGAGAGTGAGGAAAACGAAGAGGGCGACGCAGACGACGAGACAGAGTTGTATCGCGACAGCTGTAGAAACCTGTCGACCTACGAGAAATGTGTTCCTGCCATACCCATGATCTGCTGAGCGGTCTTCTGACGAACTTTACCGAATTTAACGAAATCCACGACACCCACGATTGTACACTAGAATTAGTAGGCCGCACAGGGCCGCCCCTGTATAATAGCGAAACGAATTTCACGACACTAAGATATTAATATTTTAAATCACAGAGCGAGTCAGCTTGAAAGAGACTGCAACGTCACCAACTATGTCCTTCCTCCAGCACTGACGCTTTTATTCAATTTCCATATCATTTTTTCCCATTCTGACGATGACGTCGGATACCAAGAAAGCACCAGAAAATATGCCATTGTCTCATGTCTCGAGATACTAATGCCACACAACACGTACCCTGACATCTTACAAAACCTCGTCGTAAAAAAGCCGACAATTCGTCTATCTTTCAACCTTTTGGGTGAACTGTGACGCTACTACTGTTATCACCTTATCTTATGAAGGCTTTATTAGATATATATCTTCAGCGGAAAAAGTTACATCGCCAGAAGAACAACATATAAAGAGCAGTATTTGTCGAGACATTCACGACACTCCTGTTCGTTCTGTATATAATCGACTTGTAGCGCTGAACTTGCCGTGGTGTTTAATTGAGCCGTTTTAAGGACTTCAAAATGCCCAGCGATTATACACCAATTGATGGTTCTGCCAAGGTTTCCAGAGCCAGACGAAACTGGTTTTTGTCTGGCTTCGCAGCATTTCTGATGCTCTGTGTGCTGGGGGCAACAAATATTGCCCGTAAAGCTTCAGATGTCCCCACTGCGCCGTTGATTTGCGATTCTATCCGTAAAGTAGACGAATTGCCCGTTCAAAAAATCCAAAAACTGCTTGCCGATGAGACCCTGTACAACGAAACATTGGCCAAGCTGCAAAACGCTGTGCGTGTGCCAACAGAGGTGTACGATACCGCAGTGAATCCAGAAATCGACCCTCACGACGAAACCTGGACAACTTTTAAGGAATTCCACAAACAGCTAGCTAAAGACTTTCCTGCACTCTGGGAAAACCTCCAAGTCGAGCACGTCAATCATTATGGGCTGATTATCACCTGGAAGGGCTCCAACTCGACTCTGAAACCTGTCATGTTTGCGGCCCATCAGGACGTGGTGCCCGTGGAGCGCAAGACGTGGGATAAATGGGAGCACGCGCCATTCTCTGGTGACGTCACTGAGGACCCCGATTGGGGCACTATGGTGTGGGGACGTGGCTCGTTCGACGACAAAAACCAGCTCATCGGGGTTCTCCAGGCGTTGGAATATATGTTGGTTCATGAACCCGAGTTCCAGCCAAAACGCAGCATTATTATCACCTCTGGATTCGACGAGGAGAGTGGCGGGAGTTTTGGAGCTGCTTACATCGCCAAGGTCTTGGAAGAACGTTACGGCAACGACGGCATTTTGAGTATCATCGACGAGGGTGTGGTTGGTATAAGAGAGGTCGAAAATGTCTTGATTGCGGCTCCTGGCACTGGCGAAAAGGGCCGTTTTGACATGTGGATTCATCTCAGGACACCCGGGGGCCATTCTTCTGTGCCTCCAGATCACACCTCGATTGGCATTGCTGCTGACTTGATTACCGACATTGAGGGTGAGAAGTTCCCTGCCCTTTTCACTGAAAGAAACCCTGTGTCGCAGTACTACCGCTGCATTGCGAAGAACTCTGATACTATGTCTCCCAGCCTGAGAAAGGACTTTGCACGCGCCATGCAAAACCCCGAGGCTAACGGAAGAGTCCTGAAATACTTGATGGAGACCGGAGGTAAGAAAGTCGAGTATCTTTTCCGCAGCACGCATGCTTTCGATCTCATTCACGGTGGGATCAAAGCCAACGCTTTGCCCGAGACTGTGTCGCTGTTTGTGGACTCTAGAATCGCCGTCGAATCGACCGCTGCAGAGGTGAGAGATGCATTCACAGCCAAGGTCTTGAAAGTGGCCAAGAAGTACAACCTCGGAGTCTCCATCCCCGGTAAAGAGCTTATTGCGGCTACAGAAAATGGACAATTTGTCCTGGAGTATTTGACTCCACTTGAACCTGCTCCCGTGTCGCCAGAAAACGAGGTTTGGAGCATTTTTGCCGGCTCTATCAAGACTTTCTACGAAGACGCTGTTTTCCCAGAAACTTCTAACGAGTCTCGAGACCTGGTTGTCGCACCAAGCATCATGACCGCCAACACAGACACTGCCCATTACTGGAAGCTCTCCAAGAACATTTACCGCTACCAACCTGGCTTCGCCATGGAGGACACACTTTCGACGATCCATTCTGTTAACGAGCACATCAACTTCGAGACCGTGATGCATGTGGTAGCCTTCACATACGGTTACATTCAAGCCCTGGACGCGGTTGACTTGTGAGAGTGTTAGGACTAGTCGCTGTGGTCGATCAAGCCTGTATGTACTCGCAAGTACGAGTACGTATCATGAGTACATATCACGAGTACGAGTACAAGCACGTATCCGTATCATGCGATCTGTAATAGTGAATATAATCAATGAATTGTTACTCTAAGAAGTGGCAAACCCAACCCTCAACAACAAATTCCAAACCATCTGAAATAACGCACTATTCGAGTCATTGTCGAGTAAAGAGAGTTACTTGTTTGATCGGCACTCAATTTAAATCGAATACTCGCTTTTCCAGCGCTCAAAAACGACCAATATGTCAACTACAATAGCCTCAGAGTACGCCAACGAAGTTAAAAACGTACCCATCGAACATCAATTCAACCCATATTCTGATAACGGAGGCACAATTCTGGGGATTGCAGGTGAGGATTTCGCAGTTCTGGCAGGAGACACAAGACACACAACCGACTACTCGATTAACTCGAGGTACGAGCCCAAAGTTTTCGAATGTGGCGACAACATCCTGATCTCTGCAAACGGGTTTGCAGCGGACGGTACAGCACTGGTAAAAAGGTTCCAGAATAGTCTGAAATGGTACCATTTTGACCACAATGACAAGAAAATGTCCATGAAGTCTGCAGCCAGAAACATACAGCATCTGCTGTACGGGAAACGATTTTTCCCCTACTATGTGCACACCATCATTGCTGGGTTAGACGAAGAGGGCAAGGGTGCGGTGTACTCGTTCGATCCCGTGGGCTCGTACGAGCGGGAGCAGTGTCGTGCCGGTGGGGCTGCAGCCTCGCTGATAATGCCCTTTTTGGATAACCAAGTCAACTTTAAAAACCAATACGAGCCCGAAAGCAACGGTACCAAGCGTAGGCCCATCGAGTTTCTGTCTGTGGAGGAAGTGGTGCAGCTGGTAAGAGACGCGTTTTCGTCTGCGACGGAACGACACATCCACGTAGGTGACGGTGTTGAGATCCTCATAGTCACGAAGGAGGGCGTCCGCACCGAGTATTTTGAGCTAAAGAAAGATTAAATCGAGGGGCACGCGAAAGAAGAAGCAGAACGCAGATGCGCAGTATGCACGACCATTAACTACTACTACGTAAAAGGATATATTCGAGCGTTCGTGATTGTGATTGTGATTGTGATTGTGATTGTGATTGTGATTGTGATCGCAAGTGTATTTCAGCATGGACCACTACATAAAAAAATGACTTTGAGCATTTATGCGTGCGTGCTTTAAGTGTTTGTATACATACATATATATATATCGATACAGAGCTCTTCGCAGAAGCTTAATGGGGCAGCTCGAACCCTGCTCCTTTGACCACCTTCTTGTAATAAATGTAGAAAAAGTCGGAGTACAGCGCAGTTTGCAGCAGACCCGTGAACACCGAGAGTTTCTCCAGTCTGTCTTCCGAGTAGTATCGCCAGATCCAATTAGGGATGTACAAAGCGCGATACAGACCCAGTGCGAAAATATAGTGCGTGGTTAGCGTGCTGGCCTTGCCCGACCGTGACAGCATGAACAGCTGTGGTAAGATGGCAACACTCTCCAGCCACAGCGAAAAACTCCAGCACAGTTCTAGCAACGTGAATTTGTAGTTGAAAATTAGCGCCAGAACCGCACAGGGGCCCACCAGGTACTTGATTTGCAATGTGTCGCGGAAAATCATGTCTTTGTATGCCACTGGGTTCTGGATCTTACAACCCTGAATCAGCTGGATAACTCTTACGGACGCGCCAATAAACACCATTTTCATCAGCGTGTTGTACACAGACTTCCACCGGAAAGTCAGAAGGTCCAGATATCTTGTGCAGAACACCAACACGTACAGGATCTGCGTTTTGAGAGAGATTCCGTCCACTCGTTGGGTCTTCTGCACTGTTCTGAGCAGGATAACGATGCTCGCCAAATGCGACAGATCGCCGAGAATGCGGAATATGTTGAACATGATGTAGTCTTAGAGCTCAATTGGCCTTGAAACGTGTCTATGTCAGAGATGTTGAAGCAGTTGTAGTAAGTGTGTTCTTGAGATGTGTTCTATAGCGATGTTATTGATTTTTGGGAAAGTTGCATTCGTGTGTAGTGATCAATTCAGCCAATGGTGGCACGTGATTTTTGAGTGTCACAACTCTCGCAAGGCATCGAAAATCCATTCCTGAGCGTCGTCGTCGTCGTCGTCGTCGTTTTCATCGTCTTCGTCATAATTGTCTTCGTCATAATTGTCTTCACCGTTGGTTGTATACTCGCTGTAAAATTCACCGCTGAAATTTGGATCAAATTCCGTACAATTGGACGCTGACACTGGCCCCAGCTCACGAACGCTGACGCCGGGGAGATTGTGAAGGTACGTGTTGCAATTGGACGACGAGACGGCCTCTGTGGTACCACATTTAGCGACAATGGTATTCAGGATTTCCTGGGCCTGTTCATTCAACTTTGAGCAGCCTCTATGCCATTCGATTCGCAATTCTCTAGAGGATCCAGACCCTGTGGGTATCAGAAAAATGAGCGTGGGAGTCATTTGGATGCGGAACTCATGCGTCCACACACTGGTGGAGCTGCTGGACGCGTCAATCCGGAAAATTTGAAGGTCGCTACTCCGGGCCATGTTTTCCAAAGCGCACGTCGACTGCTCGCCTGCGAACAATCGAAACGCTTCTGGATCCATCCATGGCGATACGAACGCCAAAAGAGACGCACGAGACCAGTCAATCGACGTCAACTCGCTGTCAACGGTACGAACTCGCGATTCAGGCCACCGTGCCATAGCCCCAGTTTTGTGGGACACGAACAATGCGAGTGACGCCAAGTTTCGATTGCTGTGGAATTTTCCCAAATACGTATTATCTTGGAAGCCCGAAATGTCATTTGCAGCGCTAAATAAGAATAATTCTGGGAAACTGTGCACGCCCATATCTCGAGCAAATAAGGTGGCCTGTTTTCCATCGACCTTGACCACTGCCAGCTCCCCCGAGAAGAGTGTTTCCAAGTATGCAAAGTCCGGCTCTAACTCCTTGCAGTAGCGGCAACCGTGCATGTACATCATGATGAAAACCGGCACACTGCTCGAGTTTAGCAGAGTATACACATCAGCGCTATTTTTGACGTCTATAAGAGCGCTCAAGACGACTTGAAGCGACGAAAAAATCAATACTGCAATTGCAAGACCGCCAATACCATTCAAACGATGTGTGAAATCCATAAATGCCCAGCTTTGTATGCAAAACGTCGATTTTTCACATTTCAACGTTTACTTGGCAAAAATTCAAACTTTATCTCAACTCATCTCATCTCTCTCATCTCATCTCATCTCCTTTATAGTCAAAAACTAGAACTCGGGTTATAACGCAGCACAACGAGCACAGTAGCACGCCATCACGGGGCGATAAAAGGCGAATGGGGTTCTTCAACAACAACAGCGTGATTGTGCTGATCCAGAGATTGTTCAGACGGCCGGCAGACGCGGCGATGTGGCTGTTCACGGGCATGATCGTGGTGGGCACCCTGTACACGATGCTTGGAACGGGGCCGCAGCCGAAGCGCGGGAGAGGACGTTGAGACGCGAGTGTTACGTGGATACTTGTCGTTTACATAGCCTTTTTGGGTGCTGGATGCCCACCATCGGGGGGTGAGCGTGTTTTATGTACCGGTACAAAAATATCGTGTTTTAATATTCTGTGGAAACTGTTTACGAAGAGGGGAAGGGGTGCAGCAGATGTAGGTCATTCTAAAGCTTCTCTAACAAGTAGCTATATTTGAGCCGTGGTCGTGTACTCTCCCGGTCTTGCTGTCCTAGTGGTTTTAACACACAGGCCCTTCTGGTCGAGTCTCTAGTTGTTAGTGTAGTCATAAATCTACTCGAGTGCTTATATAATTATCCAGTCAATACTCTACTCATTTCTCTGGTCGATCCCATTTTTATCTTCTCACTCTGAACGAACACCGTCCCTATTTAATGATGTTGGGTATAAATACCCATCAACCTTTCCACCACTTTCTTTCCACACTCATCACCCACCAAGGTTCATCACCCACCACCGTACCCACACACATAACAGAAATGGTCAAAGCAGGTATGTGTTACTGTCACAGCACGCGAAACTCATTGGCCAATGGCCCAAAAATTCCGCTTAAAAGCTCGTCTCTAGCGTTAGTAATCGTGGTTTGAAGTTGGACAAAGAGTCCCGCGTTTTTACCCATTAGTGTTGTTTTGTTACACTCGGTACTAACCTGGCTTTTCTTCGCCGTACAGTTGCCGTCCTAAGAGGAGATGCCGGCGTCGCCGGTCTCGTGCACTTGGAGCAGACCTCCGAGAGTGCCCTAACCACCGTCACCTACGAGGTCACCGGTTTCGATTCAGACACCGAACACGGGTTCCACATCCACCAGTTCGGTGACAACACCAACGGGTGCACGTCTGCCGGTCCCCACTTCAACCCTTTCAACAAGACGCACGGTGCCCCTACCGATGAGAACAGACACGTTGGCGATCTAGGCAACATTTTGGCCAACGCCAAGGGTGTTGCCCAGGGCTCCATGACCGACCATTTGGTCAAATTGATCGGCCCCACCTCTGTGGTTGGCCGTACCGTGGTTGTCCACGCTGGCAGAGACGATCTTGGCAGAGGCGGTAACGAAGAATCCCTCAAAACCGGTAATGCCGGACCCAGACCTGCCTGTGGTGTCATTGGTATTTGCACCTAAATTGGCAGCAGCCAGCAGTCAGCAGCTAAAAAGCTGTTTTTAAAAACAATTCTATATTTAAATTCTGATATTCGTGCGCACTTGTTATAAATTTTAATAGCGCGTTGTGTGTCGTTTTTTTGATTTGAACAACGAGGGACTCGCTCGAGTAACTCGTGAAGCCCTTGTCTGATGCATTTGTCTGTATACAATCTGATACGCACGACGATTAATATTTATATATACACTGGTGTTTGACCGCGCGGCCCGTTAAAAGTCGGCATGTTCGCCAGAGTTGTTTTCCTCAGCCATTAGTTTGTCCAAAACACCGGCAGATGCGGCCACCAAACCCAAGAACGGCTGCGAAGGATCCAACACCTTCGACATGTATTCTGGATGGTATTGGGTAGCCACGAAGTATGGGTGGTTGCGCAGCTCCAAGATTTCGCATCTCTGTCCGGTCTCGTCTCTACCCACAAACATGAACCCGTGCTCCTCCAGCTGTGGGACCAACTTAGGGTTGACTTCGTAACGATGACGATGTCTTTCGTGAACCTCATCGGCATCGTTGTACAGTTTGCGAATCTTGGACCATTCGGTCTCCGATTGGAAAATGGTAGGTCTTAGACCCAAACGCATGGTTCCACCCATGTTTTCCTTGTCGATCTCAGGCATGTACACAACACCTTGGTTCTCCTCGAGACAATCGGGGTCAAATTCGGCAGACGTGATGTCCTTCAATCCCAATACGTTACGGGCAAACTCCAAAGTGGCCACTTGCAACCCGAGACAAACTCCCAGGTATGGAATGTTGTTTTCACGCGCCCATTTGGCAGCCAAAATCATACCTTCAACGCCTCTTAGACCAAACCCACCGGGAACTAGGACACCGTCTGCTGCGCTTAGCTTGTTCCAAGCGGTATGGAACTTGCTCTTGTCAGATTCATTGGTCTCTGGCTCCAAATCGGAGGCCTCAACCCAAACGATTTCCAACTTGCGACGACACTTCATGCTGGAGTGTTCCAAGGACTTGATAACGGACAAGTACGAGTCCTTCAAGTTGGTGTATTTGCCCACCAAGGCGATTTTGACGGTTTCGAAGGACTCGTCGATCGAAGTGGTCAACTCCTTCCATCTTTTTAGCAAATGGTTGCCGCGGCTCTTGTCCTCGGCGTTCAGAGCAATCTCGTCGAGCTTCAAACGTCTGCACAAGTACTCGATCATTTTCTGTTCCAGCAACAAGAGAGGAACGTGGTAAGTGGAGTTGACGTCGTGGACGTTGACGACCTGCTCGGGACCCACATGGCAGAACATTGCGATCTTGTTGATGGTTGGGTCGTCGAGTTTCTCGCTGCAACGACACGCGATCATGTCTGGGTTGAGCCCCAAAGAACGCAGGTCCTTGATGGCAGCCTGGGTAGGCTTGGTTTTCTGTTCGCCGTGGATGACGGGCACCAAAGAGACGTGGATCAGCGAGAAATTGTCCCTGCCGACTCTGAACTGGAACTGTCTGAGGGCCTCTACGAACGGAGCACTCTCGATATCGCCCACGGTGCCTCCAAGCTCGATGATGCACACTTCTGGCTCCAGTCCCGAGTTGTCCACGGGCACACGAGCCACACGTTCGATCCAGTCCTGGATCGCGTCCGTGAGATGTGGCACCACTTGCACGGTTTTGCCCAGGTAGTCGCCCTTACGTTCGCGAGAGATGACGTGCGAGTACATTTTGCCCGTGGTGATGTTGTGGTCGCGGGTCAAAGTCACACCGAGGTACCGCTCGTAGTTTCCGAGATCCAAGTCCGTTTCACCGCCATCGTTGAGCACAAAACACTCTCCGTGTTCCAACGGCGACATGGTCCCAGCATCGATGTTCATGTACGGGTCGATTTTGATCGATGTCACCCGGAAGCCCTGCGTTTTCAACAGCATACCGGTCGAGGACGCCAGCACACCTTTCCCGATCCCGGAAATCACACCTCCAGAAACAATAACGTACTTCATGTTCGAGCTTCGACGCTTTTTCTTTGAAAGTTGGTAGTCGACGATGTACTAACCACTACAGGAACCGAAATGAGCCAAACTGAGCCTATATATACGCTCAAAAGTTACTTAAAACTTGTGAATACAACTAGAAAAAACAAGATCAAGACAAATGCAAGGGGTGAGTGAAGAAAGGTAGTGAGAAATGCTACAAACGAAGTTGGATGAAGTTGAATCAAAGTTGAGCTTTTCTTCGATGCTTATATAGTTTCCTGGAAAAATTGAAAAATCATTGATTCATTGTGGTCGTTCGGTACGAGGTGGGTTTTTTCTCACAGGCGATGAGCTCGCGATGAGCGATGAGATGAGCTAAAGTCGTGTGTCGCCTTAGTCGAGGCCGCATGGAGGGAACAGAAAATGGGTAAAAGAGAGAGGGTTGGGACGAGAAAGTATACACCACCAAATGCTAGAGATCGCCCGGCGTGAATTTATGTAAATGGTAAAATGCGGATATCAAGCCTTGACTGGGGTATGTTTGGTTGAGCCGATTGGGTATTTGCAATGACTATTGAAGCTTTAGCCAGTTAATCTGTGACACTTGACATTCAGATGTGGTTTGACTCTCACTCAAGTGTGATATCCACCATTGGGAGATTCGATATCGAAGTAACCAGAGTGGATGTCAGTGATACCAAGTTCGAGCTGGTATTTTAGGTCTATTTAAAAATGGTTGATTCGAATTGGGCATTTTGTAGTAGTTAAGCCATATATCATAATCGATTTGGTCTGAGTGGTAGTCGAGGTTCAGGTTCGGTTCCTTTTTTCACTCTAATGTGACCTCGAGTGTTAAGAAACCAGAGATAAAGTAAGTCAAATAGCCGAAGAGCGTTCATATGCGAGCCTCAGTTTTGTTAATTCATTGGAATTGGTTGCCTCGAATTGGGCATTTTGTAGTACTTTAGCCATACATCATAATCAATTTGATCTGAGTGATGCTTGAGATTCTTACTGGCGTTCAGCTGTTCTATTAAATATGATCTGCATTGCTGGAAATTCGAGATCAAAATAGCGAGAGTGAATGCATATGAGCGTTAAGGTTTCGTAAGTAGCCCTGATTGAATTATAATTGATTGATCGAAGATGGATGATTCTAAGTGGACGTTCTTGTAATGGTAGTGAGAATTTTGGCCGGACATCATAGTCAATTTATCTCAGTGATTGTCAGATTTTTATTTGAGCTTGGGTTTTCACTCGAATACAATTCAATCAGCTTGGAAATCCAAAGTGCATACCGAAGAGTGCTGAAATGCGAATATCAATCACGTAAAATGGGTAATTCTAAGTTCACAAATTTGTGATTTTGCCCACATATTAGAATGACTGGTCTAGGTGACACTCGAGGTCCTCATCGGGTTTGGTTTCTCAATCTAATATGACCTCAACTGTCCGAAAAGGCGAGATCAAAAAAGCCAGAGTGGATTTACAACGACAAGGAAATTGGGAATTCAGCTCAAATTGAACGTCCCTTCAAACTAAAACGAATCAGAGCGGACAGCAGCAACAAAAAGCTTTTTCAATGGAGACGAAGTTGTTTGTGTGCGCCAGGGCCATGGTTGAGTTTTAAATCTGTATTTCACTTGAATACAACTCCAATTTTTTTAAGGCATTTGGGATAGAACTTAAGCGGAGTTGATGTTCATGAGCATCGAAATTAAACATCAAGTTTTGACCCGGTTTTGTTGCTTGATTGATAATGGAAAACAGGTTACGAATCATTGCGATGAGTAGTAGGGTTTTAACATGTTACCAAGCTCATCTCGTATCTGCACGATACTTGACATTCATATTCGCTTTTCTAATTGGAAGCGACCTCAGCGGCCGGAAATCCAAGCTTGAAACAGCCTGAGTACCTTAAAATGAGGAAGATAGTTGAAGATCTAAGTGCATTTCATACTAAGTATGGTAAATAATGGAGACTTCGATCGTTGATAGTTGATTTTCGTGATTTGTTCCCTTGCCCGATGTGACTTTGAATATCTGGAAACCTCCAGGTTGCATCAAGACCAAATTAAAAACTGATGTTTGAAGTCAATTCGATTATGGTAAGCATCGTTGAAGATTAATATTGAACCAAATACTGAACTTCGAATAGAGCATCGAACCTATCTTGAGTTGGGATGGTAGCTGAAAAAATATTCATTTCCTACTCGGCAGTGAATTCCCCCTGGGCGAGCTCTCAAATTCTAAGTTCAGCCCCTAAGTGAATACCGTCAAGGGCTGATATGAAGCTAGAATGGGAATTTCAAATTAGCACAAAGTGAATCATTTATCAAAGCTCGAGCCAAAATCCTGGTCCGATTCGGAATTGGTGACGCTGGAATTAAAAAAAACCACAAAGGTAAGTGAATCATGATGACTACAGCCAGCATAGTTTGATACCTTACTCAGATTTGAGTCTGACGTACAGCTGGCTGGATCTTCTTTTGATCCTAAATTCAAAGGTAGGTTCAACCGCCTTCGAGCAGCTTCAATCCTAAACATCTAACTTGATCCGTTACTCTCTTCACAAGACTTGAATATGCAGATCAAGGCTTTTTCTCATTAATGTAACGATTTCCAAATTGACCTTGACTTCGAAATGCTATGAAATAAACGAAAAGCCAGTCTTTTTTCGGTATTTTTCAGTACAACGGTAACGACCCATAGGTGGGTTTTCTAAAAAACCGTAATCATGAATTATTCAGGCCTGACCATTTCATGTCCTGATTACAGGCCTCCTTTTTGACTTCTCTTAAGTCCAGTAACTCGGAATTGCCGTGATATCACCGCTAGCTAAAAGACGTGGTTTTGGCCACAATTCAACTTGAAATGTTCTTATGGCATGTACCAGGGGAACACCTTTCAAATGTGATGGTCCCGCTGGTGCGTCAAAACCGTTATTCCCTGCCACTGCAACTATATTGAGCCTTTTCAGCATGCTTTCGTAGCACCTTCACTTAACTCTCTTTTTCCAAATACCTCAGCCAGTTCTCAATCGTCTCGTTCGTCCCCTGGTACCCACTTTGGTAGATAAGTCCAACGATCAACTCTTTCAAGACCTCATTTTCGTTTATCCCATTAGTTTCATTATTTTTGTCGGATTCCTTATTCTCGTCACCATCCACAACCTTTTCTTGGCTAACCACTTTTCTTTCCGTTTCTGCCCGGTTCCTCAATTCACTAGCAACGGGCCGAATCCTCCCAACAAGCTCTTTGTATTCTTTCTGTCCTGAATAGATTTCTTTCACTAACCTCAGTTTCTCATTCTGATGACGAGCCAGCTTGCCATCCATGTCATAGTTTTCGCGCATCAGTTTTTCCAGTCTCGAGTTTAGTTCGCCCTCGTTAGTCATTGACGTCGTTATCGGAGCAGTCATCATCATGGAAGCCTGCAATTGTCGTCTGATCATCAAAGCTGATTCGTCTTGAACGGACATTTCACTTTTTGCAAGATACAGTTTGTCTAGCACTTCAAGCAACTCCCGATACACTCGAGCATGGTGATCTTCGAGCTCTCTGATTCTTGACTCCATACGCACCAACTTTATACAAACATGTAGATTTTAAAATCGATGAGCAGACTTAATTCATGTCTTAATCTTTAAGGATTCGCTCGAAAACAAAATCACCCTGAAATGACCGATAACTTACCACCTATCTACAACTTTCCACCTTTATATACCTGCCAGCCCAACGTGCTAATCAGGGAACAACAGCTCACAACTTGGTGCAACTTACTGCTGGAGTTTTCGAAGAACAATAAAGCGTGGTGTATGAACCAAGATGGGGGTATAATACGGGATGCTGAGTCTTCCAACAGCAGTGTGTTTAAGAATGAGTCAATTCAAAGGACGGCACCCGCACCATTCATCGATCAAATTTGGAGCAGAATGGTGGAAAGTCAAAAAGCTGTTAAAGTTGACAATGGACAATATCTGATGCTATGGAGGAGTCTGGAGCATTGGAGCTCATTGTTTTTGCAGTGGTTTGAAACAGCCGGGAAACTCAACCAAGTGGTCACTCTTTATGAGCTGCTGGAGGGGGACGAATCGCTTGACTGGGAGTTCCATGGAATGCACCAAAAATTGTGCGAGCTGTGTCTGCAGAAGTTACGCGAAAGGGGAAGAGCGACGCTTTTGAAGGAACAGAACAGAATCATGGGTGTGAAAGTGCTGTAGACGTGCGAAACCTCGGAGAAGTGGCGGATCGTAAAATGTGAAAAGTCGTAATTTACATGTTGCTATGTACATGGTTTGTTCAGGTGTGGTGCGTAGATGGACTAGTGCTGATTTATGAGAGTCCAGAGTAAAGTCTGTTGTTCACGACCGACCAGTTCAGATTGTCCAGCACGTTTCTTACGTATTTGGATCTGCCCTTAACGCCATAATCGTGCAAGTAAGCGTGGTCCCACAGGCTCACTGCGATCAACGGCATTGTCCAGTCCTGAATTTTGCCGTCTTGTTTGACCAACGTGCGTATGGCCTCAAGCTGCGAGTATTCTTCCAGCTTCAAAGCGGAGTTGAGGTCAAAAGACTGGTTGCGAGGGAAGTAATATGGTGTTCCGTTATTCTGGACTGTGAGGATGTGAAGCTCTTTTTCACTGTTTTCAACCAGGAAAAGCCATCCCTGGCCCAAAACATCAGTTTCCGCACGCCGGACCATTTCGTCCTTGAACTCCTCCCAGGTGCACTTGTGCTGCTCCTCAAGACGATTCCTGAGAAGCCGAGATGGAGTTGTGCTGGTGGGTGCCGGTAATATGTTCTCAACAAATAAATGGTTATTGTGGGCCGCAGAAGCCAGATTAAAGATGTGGGTTTGGAAAGGTTTTTTGGCCGTATTTAGAATCAAATGGAATGGCAAATATGCCTCTAGCGATGTCCCGGCGGTAGCAAGTGTCAGTTTATCGCACAGACTTTTTTGGTGATCGCTCCATGCGATCTTGAACCCAGAGGCACTTAGCACGTTGTGAACGCCATGTTCCGCTAAAGTAGCGTCTTTGAGCTTGGGAACACTGTGAATGCTTCTACGAGTCACAAATCGAAACATTCAGATATTAAAACAGGTCGATCAGCCACGGTCAGGAGCCTTGGTAGCTTAACTGAACTCGATTCTCAAGTTTAACATTTTTCGACTATAACGCTTTATAAAAATTTTTGACATGTAGAAAAATGACTTATTTGTCAAGTGGTGAACTGGTAGAAAACAAGATTTCGAGATATTATGAATAGAAACTCGTTTCACACGCGTTTTTGGAACTTGTAGATTCAAAAACTGATAATAGCGAATTTTAAGCATTATTCTATTTCTTTTCCTGGCTCAAAACGTATACTAGAGCAACCAAAACAATTCTTGATATTTAACACTGACATTGTGAGTAGCGCGACCAAAACCTCAGCTTTGATAGTGAAAATGTGTCATTATCGACCGCGATCGTGGAAATCTGGTAGAGTTTGCCTGGCGAGAGTGAAATAGCCTCTTTCTCTTGCGCAGACACGCGGCTATGAAATCATCGATATAGTAACTAATCTTTGTCGATAAACTTGACCATTAACTTAGCATCCGGCAATTCTCTAGTCTGCAAATCTGACTTCCTGAAGCCAGTGATTATTTTATGAGAAGCAAGTCTGGTGGTATTTGTTCAACAGTGAGCCCTGATACTGTTTAAAACAAATAGCTTAATCGCATGTCGAGTAGTTTCTTGCAAGAACATTCATTGTGCACCATGCGCAGCAAGATGAGCTTATAATATTTGATTGTCCGACAACATCTTTACCAGCAGTGGTTCTTTCTACTATTAACGAAATATTGAAGATATATATATGTATATATATATAATGATTAAATTCAACTCCGAAACTATGCGATCACTAGTTTTGGAACAAAACAGTCCGAAAAACGCTCCTAAAGAGTCTAGGGAATCTTCGCAGTGCCAGCTTTAACGCTCAGATAGTAACTTTTCGATCTCGAGTCTTTCAAATTGGTGAAGCGTCAAAATAGGATCATAATCCACACCTAAAGAAGCACTTGTTAATCCTCTCTCATTATGCTGACACGTCTAATTGCTCGTAGATTGTACTCTCCGCTTCCTCGAGCTGCAAGACACCGAGTTCTGTCCCGGCACGGTGCCAAAAGCTTAGGGGACGAAAAGAATTCAGACATCTCAATAATCCGGCATGGGGAATCTACGGACACCATCATTCAATCTCACCATCCTATTGCCACCACAATCCTCAATGAGCCTACAATAGTCGTGGAAAGGCAAATGGAGATGATGAACGTTTTCCTTGGCTTCGAACAAGCTAATAAATATGTGATAATGGACGCGCTCGGGAATCGCATTGGCCACATGCAAGAACGAGATTTTGGAGTTACAAAAGCGATAATGAGACAGTTCTACAGGCTGCACCGTCCTTTTGTCGTCGACGTCTTTGACAACTGGGGCAACGTTCTGCTCACCATAAAAAGACCGTTTTCTTGGATCAACTCTCATATCAAAGCTATTTTACCTCAGGAGATTCCGCTCGAAACAAGCTCGAACCCTGAAAGCCTTTCTGCTTCCTTTGGATCTGTCCCCACCCCGCAGTCCACTTCAACAATGGGCGAGGTGGGAACGCTGGTCGGAGAAAGCGTCCAAAACTGGCACTTGTGGCGACGCCGTTACGAGCTGTTCCAGCGCGACAATGAGGCTGGAGATTCTTTCACTCAGTTTTCGCAGATAGATGCCCCTTTTCTCAGCTTTGAGTTTCCTTTAATGGATGAAGAGGGCAAGATTATGGCTGGCGTTGACAGAAATTGGGTTGGCCTGGGAAGAGAAATCTTCACGGACACTGGAGTCTACATCGTGCGGATGGACTCTACACGAAGCTTTCAAGGCGTCTATCCGCCAGAAAACCTAAGCGAACAGGTACTAAATCTCGATCAAAGGGCGGTGCTTCTTGCTAACGCTGTGTCTATCGATTTTGACTATTTCTCGAGACATTCTCGCCAGGGCGGAGGACTAATAGGATTTGGTGACTACGGAGAATAAATTCGAGATGGTTTTGAATATAAACTGGCGAACTACGAGGTGCAGGATCAACACAATCTGCAGTAAAGACTGTCGAATCTTCGTGAAATTCGAGTCACTTGACTAAGAGCTATTTAAAAGCTCTGAAGCTGCAATACATCCTAAGAAAGCGTAGCGGCAGACTAAGAACTCCTTTCAGAGTCATGAGGCGACTGCAATATGGCTAGTGAGTAGACACCAGAACGAAATCCAGTCGCTTTTCTATCCAATTCCCTACCTGATTTTTTAGTCGCCACGTCTATTTTGTAAATATTATATATATTAGTATAAGGTCAATGGGCTTTCACAGTCTCTCGAATCGAAAGCATCACTTTGTTAGCGGCAAGGGCCTATAATGTCTTGGAATACCATTGAATCTGATGCTGGAATATTCACACAGCTTGTGAAAGACCTCGGTGTCTCTGGCGTTCAATTTGCCGAGATTTCCATGCTAGACACATTACAGGAATTGTCTGAAGTGCTGTACGGTGCCATTTTCCTTTTCAAGTACAATGCTGCCGATTACTCTGGGGAAGCGCCCGCTCAAGGACAATACAATTATGATTATCCCAATTCTCTGTTTTTTGCAAATCAAACCATACAGAATGCTTGTGGTACGCTAGCAGTGCTAAATACTCTGCTGTCGCTTGTTAAAGAACACCCAAGCGAAATCACACTTGGATCTACACTCTCTGACTTTTTGGAGTTCACTTCTGCCTTCAGAGATTCTGAGCTTCGCGGCGAAAGCATTTCCAATTCTGATCAAATCAGGAACGTTCATAATTCGTTTTCAAGCCCAGACCCTTTTGTCCTGGATGAAAAGCAGCAGAGTCCAGATCGCCCTTCTGCTGATGTATTCCATTTCACGAGCTTTATCGAGCATGAAGGCGTTCTTTACGAGCTTGATGGACTTCGTCCTGCCCCCATCATTCATCGTGAACTCGTCAACGAATCTGGTAACAAGGCTCAGTTCGCTGAGAACGTCACAATCGCTCTTCAAAGGCGCATGCAGCTAGCGCTCGACTCAGATGGTAAGTTTTCTGTTATAGCCATTCACAGAGATACCATGGATTACTTGAAAAGCCTGAAAGACGAGGGCGCAATTACGGATTATGAATATGAGCTGAGACAAGCTCAAGAGCTGGACAAACGAGAATCTTGGAGCAAGGAAATTTCGCTTCGGAGACAAAACTTACACGGTCTAGTATTTGAGCTTGCGAAGCAGGTAGCAGGGTCGATGTCTGATGAGGAGTTTTCAGCTCAAATAACTCGAGCCCAGAAAGCAACTCAAGATCGCATACAAAGATATCACGGAGGACTTTAAATACAGAAAGAAGCTACGAACGCCTGCTAACACGGTGTGAGTCCATTATTTGTCGCACCAAGCTGCCACGATTCGCCTGTTGAAAAGACCTGGATAAGCTAAAACTTGTGAGTACATTTGTACTCGGGACGCAGCAGTGGTGAGATTCAAAATATCAACCTCGTTAACATTGTATCTCATTAGAACAGCTCATCGTCTTCATCAATCTACCAACAACCTCGACGTCCAGACTACTATGGGAGGCTCTGGTAGTCTTTCTGATGTCTTTGACATGCCAAATGGTAAGAAACGCAAGGTAGCTCAAAAACAGCAGAAGTTATACAATCAAGTTCAGCCAATATCCTTAGGTCAGAGTCGAAATGTTGAAAACAACGAAAGCTCGTCCAGGCGAAAAGAGATGACCGACCGGGAGAAAAACGAGCTGCTGCAACGTATTATAGAAGACGGGAACCAGCAGTACCCCTCCGGGTTGAGAGAATTCATATTAGGGTGCTTCCAGCTAGCCGAACATAATAAATTCGATCAGCGTTCAAATCTGGTCCTCGTGCAACAGTTGAAAGACCTGATAGGAAAAGCTTATGTTGAGAAGAAGGAATATCGTAATGACTGGTGGTCTCAAACGTTACCGTGCTTGACGAAGAACGCCTCAACTTTGCAATTGATGTGCGACAAGACTGACGGAGCTCAGAGAAGTCAAGAATCAGTTCGTCCGCACCCTCCACCTCCACCACCACCGCCTTCTAGCTCGTTGAGAAAGAGACCTCTACCACCCAATGCAAATCCTAAAATTTCATCAAAACCCCCTTCTGACTTTAATTCAACTTCAACACCCACTAACAAGAAATTATCTACAGAGGCAGAAAGGAGGAAAAAACGTATGGAGCGGTTTTCTGCAGTGCCTACTAACGCTAAAAATGAGAGAGCTCCCTCTGACGAGAACTTCGCCAACTTAAATGCTATCTCCACCAATTTTTTCAAGTTTGACAAAAATAAACCAGTAGTTGGTAGATGTCAGACCCTTGAGAAAAAGTACCTGAGATTAACATCTGAACCCAACCCTGACCTTGTGCGTCCATTGAACATTTTAAAGAAAGCGTACGATCTAGTTGTTCGGAAGTACATGCAGAAAGAAGCCTCTTACCCCTACCTCTGTGATCAGTTCAAGTCATTGCGGCAAGATTTAAGAGTGCAAATCATAGAGAACAGGTTCGCCTTACAAGTATATCAAACACACGCAAGAATTGCACTAGAAAATAACGACATTGGGGAATTCAACCAGTGCCAAAGTCGACTGGGGCAACTTTTTGAACTTCCGAACCTTGCGAAATCTAACTTGGAAGAATTTTTGAGCTATAGGATACTATACTATCTGATGACGAACAATCATAACTCGATCAATGATCTGAAACTTAAGTTTTCAACCAGTGAGAACCTTGCTGTTTACAGGCACCCAGTAGTGAAACATGCACTTAACATGGCAACGTCGCTCTTAGTAGGGGACTATCACACCTTTTTCAAACTTTATGCACAAACTTCTGGACCTTCGAGATGTCTGATAAACACATTCATAAATCGTGAAAGACTACGAGCCCTCGATGCAATTTCGAAAAGCTATAATCAAATTCCATTAGAGTTCTTGTTCGCAGAGCTTCATTTAGAGAACTACGAAACAGGTAAGGCGTTTTTGCACGAGCTTGGTCTTGACAAGCACATTGTAATGAAAAACGGGGAGCAGGACGGCAACAATGCACTTCTTAACACCAAGACTAGTAGATTTTCGATCATCCAACAGTATGAAAAGGCAAAAAAAGTTGACATTAAGGGCCAAATATAAAACCCTTTGGCTCAATGCACATTTTAGTAAGAAAGCGGCGCTTTAATCCCAAGTGGGCGCCAGGCCCAAGAGTGAAAACTGCATCTTCATCTTTTCGTCTGCATTATTCATGTACCATTGGGCGGTTTTCTTGACTAAAGGGTCCTCTAACAGGTCTCCCGACGACATTTTGCCGATCAACTTGGCCCCGTTCGGGCGTCTACCGTCCATTTCGTAAACGTTGCCTTGCGACTCAATGAACGTGATGAAATGCAGATCAACTTCATCTTCTGCGCTGGGTGCTTCGGTTTGGCCCAGAGATGAATTTTCGTTGTACATTTCGCTTATGGACACGATGAAGTTGTCGGTTTGGTCGTCAGCATATCTGTTATCGGCTCTCTTGTTGTGCGTTAGAAAGTGGCCCAGTTTCGAGTCATTCTCCAGAAGTTGTGGATTATTCGAAAGAGAATGTAGCAAAGCGTATAGTCCACAAGCGTTTCTGACCGTCTGCTTGAACCATATGGGGTTTTCTCCAGCAGAGACGCCTGTTTTGGCACCAGCATTTGAATCTTCACTAAGATCCTTGGCAGCATCGAAAAAGGCATTGAGTGGGAACAGCAGCACGATAGCTTTCATTGGTCGAGGCAAAAAAGCCATCAGGTCCGGCTCTGTTAGCGAGTAAATGTCATGAAATGCGTAGCCATTCGAGAGCCCTAAACTACGAGCAAACTTGGTAAAAATTTCGGGATTTGATTCCAATGGAATCACAGACCGACAAGGACTCATATCAATGGAATAGGACTACAAATAAGCTTGCAGTTTTGGTGAATGGGCCAGTCTATCCAGGGCCATCGAAAACAGTTGTACATGTTAACTAAATGAAGAGTGCAGATTAGCTTACCTTTCACGTGTAAAATGATTAAGAACATCGATGTGCTAACAAACAATACAGCCGCATTGTTCTTCGGGGTTTTGATATGAGTTGCGTTTCATAGAGAAGGGCTTTAGTGGGTGTGAGCGTTTGTATTATTGAATAGCCTTCTGTGCGTTCTTTTATGTTTCTAAAATGAAAGCCAGTATAAATCTATAACTACACACAGCGGTTTTTTCAATTCGAAATACCGATTTGGTACCATTTGGCATCCCTCTTGAGCGACCCATTACGTGTCTCACACTTCAGGCTTCGACTACCGGGAACTGCTGCGTATAATCCTTTGGATTTAATAGTATCACTTTGTACAATTATGTCATTAATTGGAATTAATTTATTTAGTGTCGCGCCCGATGCTAAAAGCCTTACTTAGACGTCAAATCACAGTTCATCAGAGGCCATGATTAAATCCTAATCCATCAAGCCGCTACTACAAGCTGTGGAAATTTTTGGCGTTCAAGTATCAAAATCTGGATAATTTAGAGGACAAGACTCTCAAATGAGAGCAATAAATTCTGTTGACAAGGAACCAAGCTAAGAAATGAAATGCTCCAATCCTCAGCTCATTTTCTATCTGGCTAAAGTCCCCCAATCAAAAGAGTAATTGCCCACCCATTGCCAGTCGACATGAAAAGATGACCTACATTTCTAATCTTGTCGCGTGACTTTTTAAGCTGAAATATTGACCTTCTGGGAAGAGTTCTGATCTCATCGAGCTCGAAACGACAACAACTCTTCTGCTCAAAAGATTGCCCAGTGGCCCGTCTTTGTTTTTTGGAATGTCTTTGAATCGTACTCAAAGAGAGAAATTTGTTTCAACACATATCTCTCACAAATACAACCTTCTGCATATTTTGCCTGGCATCGAACAAACGCAGTTGGCAGGACTTTACTTGAAAAGTTTCTACAACGGTGTCAAAAGGAATCGACTGCACTTACCGGAGCCTCTGATAAATGGAACGAAATTTTGCGAGAAATGCGGACTGGTTCACATTGCTGGTGTAAATCTTGAAATGGAAATTGTCGAGAAGAGCGCAGAGAACAATGAGAACAAATCACGAATCCTGCAGTACCGTTGCAAATCATGCGGTGAGGTAAAAGAATTCCAGTGTGAGAACTCGAAAAGTGCGGAACGAGAGGCTCAGAATGCTACGTCAGGGTTTGTCGCAAAATGGCCCTCTGCCACTGACGCTGCGTCACACACAACTACAAATTCCAAGGTGAAAAAGCTGCCGTCTGCGAAAGAAAGGGCCAAAAAGCGCAAGATGAGCTCGCTTCTAAGCATGCTCAACAAAAAGAAGGAAGCAAACTCTACTAAGAAGTCCCTGTCACTGAGTTTAGAGGACTTTCTACAAAAAAATTGAAAAACCGAAAATTCGATGCTGCTAAAATTTGCCCTAGTTCAGGCTAGATGGCATATTGACTATGTCATTTGAGTGCTCTATGCCATATTCAGAAAGTCTGAAAGACTTCTAGAGGCTCGGGACCCGCTGCTAGGACTGTTAGGGTTTGCTGGCTCTTGACTATGAACCGCACTGGAAAGAGACCCATTCGAAGTAGCAGTGCGTAACGGGTGTGGCATGTGAGACTGGTCGTAGGAGGATGTGCGGGCGGTAACTGATCTCGCGGCGTTACCCAGAGCCTCTACTTGTGCAATTGAAGTGTCAGCTGAGCCATCTTCGGTGTCTATTCCAACCTCAGCAATCCGCGTACACTCTCTAAGCCATCTTCTGCGCCTGTATTCGCCTCTGGAGCCATCCAAATTCATGTCATATACCCATTTGGTCTCAACATCAACATCGACATATTCCACGAACTCGAGCTCAACCCATGACACCGGGTCCATATCTTGCTCCCACTTCGAATCTCCAAGCCATTCCCACTCCAGAGGGGCCTTTACGTCGCTCAAGTGATGAACGGCATCTTCAACTTCCTTCTCTGATATTCGGTAGTCTGAAAATAAGGCATAATGATCCGTTGTATAGCCAACCAGTACCCAGCTTTTGTCATGTTCTTGGAATTTCTGTACTTCGAATATCGACGCTTGGCGGGTTTCGGCAGACTCATGATATTCAAAGTACTGGTGAACTCTTGACTCGATCTTGCTTGATAGCATGAGCATTCGCAGTCTGGTGTCCTCAGAATAAATTTTGTTCAATACCCACTCTCTATTTTGCGGACGCAGAGCAAGAGCAGACGCCCACCCGAGGCAAATTAGTATTGGTTTCACAGGCAGAATCCTGGATATTGAGTCCATGAACAATGCATTGAACCAGGCTATCACGAGTAAGCAAAGGAATGCCGCACTCGAAACACTTTCATCAGTGAAAAATGCAAAGCGCGCTAGAATCAAGTTGACGAAGTCGAACGCGGCCACATACAGGAGCATGTGGTTCTGTAAATCTGTCAGGTTCAGCAAAAACTCTTTGCTGAATTCTGGAACAGGTTTGGAAACCTCGGGCTTGATTAGGGGAGGGCCTCTTGCAGGCACTGGATTTGACTCAAACGCGTCGTTAGTGTCTGGCTTGTGTATCTTTAGATACTGTGGAACCATGATTCCAAACACCACGTAGAAAATTGGGATGCTTGTTAGCGTCGGCAGCGGTTTCATAACCGTATAGGTGAATAGTGACATAATCGACAATGTGTACGCTGTATTGGTCCAGTTCAGGACTTTGATAATCTCATCAATCACCAAAAATGGCGGGCCCAGCCTGGAGTTCATTTGAATGAAATTTCGGCTCATGATGGGAACCGAGAGCCCCGGCCGATTGCGCCCTGATTCGACTCTATGCTCGATAGTTTTTTTGGCTAGCTCTGACGACGGAGGAAGCGCCATATAGATCAGTTTTTCCACAAGTTTGTCTGTCAGATACTGCTGTGTCGTGCTCCCCACCGCACTGGCTTTGTTTAGCGAACCGGTGCTTCCTTTACGCTCGTCGACACCCGATGACTTGACACCTTGGTCTAAGTTGTCGTTTGCACCATTTTTGGACCGTCTAGTAGAGCTATCGTCCCAGAAAAAGCCAGCAACTGAGTCCATTTTTTACACTCAACTCAATGGACACGATAGCTTAGCTTCTAATTCCCTTCCGTTGGATATATCTTGAATTTCTGACCTTTATTCTCAAGGTTGTATACAATTTCAAGAATTAGACATCAATAAATCTTATATTCACATTAACTAAAATCATTAAATAGGCGATGTCCGCATCGAAGAACGGTCTATAAACGTTTATTCGACCACTCTCAGTTCAACAACAGTCATGAAGCTTGACTGTTTGAACGACAGTCCAAAGGACTACGTTTCCAGCCTTCTGGTAATACCAGAAAACCCACATGTTGTAGCTGCGGCGTGGGATGGGACAGTTTCACTGTATGATTATGAAAAGAATAGGCTCTTGGCTCGAATGCAGCACGATTGTGGAATTTTAAGCAGTACGCTGACGTTGGGAGGGAAAATCTGCGTCGGTTCGGTCCAGGGTGAGATTCTTGAGGTGGATGTGGAGTCTGGAAAGTTCGATTTTATCTCTGATGAAGCAGCTCTTGGGGTGAGCGCTATGAGCAGTAGCAACGGCAATATCGTTTCAGGGTCCTGGGATGGTAGTCTTCGAGTGATAGATCCGAGAACGGGGCATGTTTGGCAAAACAGTAAGCTCGAAAACCGGAAAGTGCTTGCTCTAGACTCCAACGATGACGTCGTGGTGGTTGCGTGCACGGGAGGGAAAGTAGCCTTGTATGACTTTAGAAACATGGAAAAACCTGTGATCCAAGATTCGGGCCTCAAATTCCAGACTCGCGACATCAAGCTGATGCCTCTGGGCAATGGCTATGCGCAAAGCTCGGTGGATGGCAGGGTCGCAGTGGAATATTTCGACAACGAATCTCAAAGACTCGCGTTTCGCTGTCACCGCATGAACTTGTCCGACACGCAGTTTGTTTTCCCAGTGAACTCGCTGGCTTTTAGCTCGAAGACTAGCCGTCTGTACACCGGAGGTTCGGACGGAAACGTGTTTGCATGGAATCTGGAAACCCGCAAAAAAACCGAGCAACTGATAAAAATACAAGAAAGTGTGGTGAAGTTGGCGACACACGACGACATGTTGTTTGTGGCTGCTACAGACGACTCTTTCAAGACAATGGCAGCTGTGCAAGACGTGGAGGTTCCAAGTAGTCAAATTTATTTTACGAAACTATGAAAACTGACTATTTCCTCATCTTTTTACTGGCTTTGGACTTGTTCTTCTGAGATCCGATTTTCCTTTTCGTGGCCTTGATCTTGTCCATCAGAATTTGATCGTCTATCAATTGGTATTCGGCCCTCAAAGCCTTAGAGCTGTTCTGGAGAGACCTGACCTCGCATCTCAAAACACATTCGGCCAGTTTTTTTCTTAGATCTGGAGTGCTCTGATAATCTCTGTTGAAAGGTGGTTCCCGGAAGCTATGACTTGGATACTCACGCAACCTCAAGTCTATCGCACACTCGCAGACATTGGCGCACGCTTTGGTGACCTCGTTCGCATTCACGCTTTGAATTGCCCTTTTCACCAGTTTTTGCAGGAACACTAGTAATGCTTTATCACTCATATCCTCCACCCGGGGTAGCTGGAGCGCGCATGACACAATTTGACATAGTGTAATGAACTCGGGCGAAACTTGGCCATCCATGTAACAGTCGTATGAGTCCAGAACCAATGGCTCGCCTTCCAGGACTTCGTCTCTAATTTCTGGTTGATTTTTGATGAGGTCGAAGATTCTATCAACGGTTTTGCCGGAACAGTTCATACACGCTTGAATCGCTTGACTGACAGTGTCAAGAGGTATTTCACCGCAGTCGTATTTGGAACCGGCCCATTCAACGTAGCCGTACCTACGCAAAAGCTCCGAGTTTGAAAACTCTCCGTAGATGTTGTACACCTGCTCTCCGCTCGCTATGTCTTCCACGGCTACCATGATGAGAGATTCGGGGGAGTATGTCAAATTCGCATTGCACCGATGGGTGTCAGCGTTCAGCATGTCTGCCATCGGCACCATGGACTTTAAGAACCCGTCGTTCCACACAGAGAGCTGTTGCGAGGCTGGGTCCGCCTCTTCGTCTTCCAGTTCGTCGTCGTAGTCTGCACGCTCCATGTCGAAAGAATATGCCATGACCACCGAGGCAACATGCACGAACTCCTCCCACGTCACTGCTTCGAGCTGGGTCAACTTCAGGTCCCGGATGCAGCCCAGCACGCTCTCGTACATGGCGTGGGCGCCATCTCGTCCGATTCTCTCGCACACGCCGGACGGTCTCAAATGCTCCACCTCCGACTCCGACCAGTACATCAAACTGTTCATGCTTGTCGACTGCGGCCATACCTGGAAGTACGGCCACCACGAGCTTTTTTCCTGCGCCGATTTGAGCTCATACAGGATCACCACGATGAGTCCTTCCCAATGGCCCACTTTGTGCAGGAACAGGTCTCGAACTTCCGGGTTTTCGACGCACAAGCGGGACGTGGTGACATTTAGAACACTTTCGCGTTGGATTTCAAACAGTTTCTCACCTTTTGCCACGTCTTGCAATGCCAGAATGCATCTTCCTTGCTGTTCGTCCGTTGGGTGTCGTAGCAGCTTGATTTTGTCAGATATCCACACTTTTTCACCCGTTTGAGTCCATTCCAAAAATTCCTGGGTTTTCAACTCTGTCTCAGAATTCGATTCCATCATTCCAACGTTCAAAACCTGCTCTTTAAGCCTTGCTTCACTCGCTTTTTATACCCGCGATGAGTTAGCATCAGTTGACATTTAGTTAACTTTTTCAAATCTTTAATTCCAAGTTTCGTGTCAAGTGCTATCAACAGATTTCAAAATGAGAAGAGATCAGAACTTTCCAGAACCTAACCTTTAATCAACCTTTTGACATCGACAACTCGAGGTATAAAACAGAGGATTATTTCGAATTAAGACGTTTTAATTTGGTTTTTTGAAAGTCTGAATTAAGACGTTTAAATCAATTGTCGTATCAAGTTGTGCTGGTAAAGTTTTATCCTAAATTCTCGAAATTATAAGATGTCTGCTGAAGAACTCAAGAAACAAGGTAACGCTGCATTTGTAGCTAAAGATTTCGCCAAAGCTGTTGATTTATTCTCGCAGGCGATTACCTCTTCGGAAACTCCAAACCACGTTCTTTATTCTAACAGATCGGCCTGCTACGCATCGTTGAAACGCTTTGGGGACGCTCTACAGGACGCCAAAAAATGCATTGAAATCAACCCAACGTGGTCCAAAGGTTACAACAGAGTCGGTGCAGCCCATTCAGGTCTAGGAAATCTGGATGACGCAGAAAAGAACTACAAAAAGGCATTGGAACTCGACAGTTCCAACAAAGCGGCCCAGGAAGGCCTGGAGCACGTGCAGAAGACTCAGCAGAGCAGACAACAACAGCCAGATTTGGGATTCGGCCAGCTTTTCAACGACCCCAACATGATCGAAAAGCTCAAGCAAAACCCAAAAACCGCAGAGCTCATGAAAGACCCTCAGTTGGTCGCCAAAGTGCTGCAATTCAAATCCAACCCTCAGGCCATGGGTACTGAGTTCCTGCAAGATCCCCGCATGATGACCATAATGGCCGCCCTTCTAGGCATCGACCTAAGCATGGGAGGTGAAAACCAACCAGAAGAACCTGCGAAGAAGCCAGAAGCCCCAAAACCTACTGAAAAATCTGCTGAAAAGCACGCCGAAAAAGCCTCCCCAGCAGAAGCTGTCAAACCTCAGGCTCCACAACCTGAGAGCACAACCTCAGCCCCCGCTGCCGCTCCCGAGAACGAACCAATGGAAGTTGACGAACCTGAGGTGGATTCGAAGGCTGCTGCCGACGCGGAAAAAGCCGAAGGTAACAAATTCTACAAAGCTCGTCAATTCGATGCGGCTATCGAAAAATATGACAAAGCTTGGGAACTTCACAAAGACATCACTTATTTGAACAACCGTAGTGCTGCTGAGTACGAAAAGGGTGACTATGAACAAGCGATCAAGACTTTGACGGAAGCGGTGGAACAAGGCAGAGAAATGAGAGCCGACTACAAAATCATCGCCAAATCTTTTGCCCGTATCGGTAACGCCTACCACAAAATGGGTGATCTACCAAAGGCTATCGATAACTATCAAAGATCGCTAACGGAGCACCGTACCCCAGACACATTGACCAAGTTGAGAAACTGTGAGAAGGAACTAAAGGTTCGTGAAACCGAGGCCTACATCGACCCTGAAAAGGCGGAAGAAGCTCGTCTACAAGGAAAAGATTTTTTCACCAAGGGTGACTGGCCTGGTGCTGTAAATGCATACACTGAGATGATCAAGAGAGCACCAGAGGACGCGCGTGGTTACTCCAATAGGGCGGCTGCTTTGGCCAAGCTCATGTCGTTCCCCGATGCCATCAAGGACTGTAACTCTGCAATTAGCAAAGATCCAAACTTCATCAGGGCGTACATCAGAAAGGCAACAGCTCAGATCGCTGTTAGAGAATTTTTGGGTGCTATGGAGACACTGGACGTTGCTCGTTCGAAAGATTCGGAGCTTAACAAGGGTGCTAATGTTAGAGAGATCGATCAACTTTACGTGAAGGCCTCTCAGCAAAGATTCCAGCCTTCCGATCCAAATGAAACCCCAGAACAGGCTTACGAAAGAGCTCTGAAAGACCCAGAGGTTGCAGCCATCATGCAAGATCCTGTCATGCAAAGCATCTTGTCTCAAGCCCAACAGAACCCTGCCGCTCTGCAAGAACACATGAAGAACCCAGACGTTTTCAGCAAAATTCAAACTTTGATCGCTGCTGGGATCATTCGCACGAGATAAGTCTATCACCAATTCAATATATTAATATACTCTACACCCTTACTTAGCTTTATCTGAAAATTCCTTTCGTACAATCAGTCCTCAATTGCTTGTATATATACATGTGTGTTTAACTCCCATTCTGGACTTATTTAGCTGTTGTATTCACAAAGTAGTTCCTCAAACCTCTTTCTCTGAGGTAATCGCTTCACCCTCAATGTGGTTAGCTTTCACAGAAATTTGACCGTCTACGACATCAACATGAACCGTCTCCTCAGGTCTGACTTGACCCTTTAACATGTACATTGCCATGGGGTTCAATATTTTCTTGTGAATTAATCTGTTGAGTGGTCTCGCTCCGTATAATTGGTCGTAACCATGTTCTGTCAACCACTCTTTGGCCGCATCGGTAAGCTCAAGTTTCATTCGCTTATCGGCAATTCTGTCTTGAATTTCCTTGAGCCTTATGTCAACAATCAAGCGAAGTACTTTCTTCGACAAACGGTTGAAGACCAGCATGTCATCAATTCTGTTGATGAATTCGGGTGGGTATGAACGCTTCATCGCGTCGATAACCTTGGCTTGAGTCCGTTGACTGACTTTTCCGTCATTCCCAAGATCAGTGTCTGACAGCAAGATGTCTTGGCCGATGTTAGATGTCATAACAATCATAGTGTTACGGAAATCAACCTGATGCCCTTGCGAATCAGTAAGTTTTCCTTCATCTAAAACTTGAAGCAAGACTTTGCAAACATCGGGGTGTGCTTTCTCAAATTCATCGAATAACACAACGGCGTAGGGCTTGCGTCTAACAGCCTCTGTGAGTTGTCCACCCGACTCACTCATAACATAACCTGGAGGAGCACCAATTAAACGTGAGACCGTGTGCTTCTCTTGGAATTCCGACATGTCGAACCTTATAACATTGGACTCATTATCGAACAAAAACTCGGCAAGAGCTTTGGTCAGTTCTGTCTTACCAGTACCAGTTGGACCCAAGAACATGAAGCTTGCAATGGGCCTTTTCTCACTCGTGAGACCCGCCCGCTGCAGTCTCACAGCGTCAGATATTGCGTCAATGGCTTCATCTTGCCCCACAACTCTCTCTTTTAGTGAGGTTTCCATGAAAAGCAAACGATCCTTGTCTCCCTTCAACACTGTTTGGACCGGGATCCCTGTCATTTTGGCAATAACTTTTGAAATGTCATCAGACGTGACCGAGTCATGAAGTAGATTTTTCTCGGCGTCCTTCTCTTGGGTGTGAGCCACTTTCTTCTCGAGCTCTGGAATTTTGGCATATCTCAGCTCTGACGCTTTGGCAAAGTTATTTTCTCTTTGGGCAATTTCTAGGTCGATTCTAGCCTGTTCCAGATCTGCCTTTGCATTTTTTATAGAGTCGATCTCGGCTTTCTCCTTCTCCCAGACTTCTGTTAACCTGGAATGTTCGGCCTTTTTGACTTCTAGATCTTCTTCTAACGCGGTCTTTCTTTCAAGAGACAATGGATCCGTCTCCTTTTTCAATGATTCGAGCTCGATCTGAATTCTAGTCATTGCACGATCCAGACTTTGAATAACGTCTGGTTTGGATTCATGCTGTAAACGTAGCACAGCGCAAGCCTCGTCGACCAAGTCGATGGCTTTGTCGGGCAAAAACCGATCGTTGATGTAACGATTCGACAAAGTAGCAGCCGATACCAGAGCCGCATCTGTGATTCTTACACCATGATGAACCTCGTACCTCTCTTTTAAGCCTCTCAAAATCGAAATCGTATCGGGAACATTAGGTTCATTTAGCATGATGGGTTGCAGTCTTCTGGTCAACGCGGGGTCCTTTTCAATGATCTTAAATTCGTCAATTGTAGTGGCAGACAGACACCTCAAGCCCTTGGCTAGCCTGGGCTTCAAAATATTGGATGCGTCCATGCTCCCGTCCGTTTTCCCCAGTCCCAAGAGCATATGCACTTCATCAATAAACACAATTACTTCGCCGTTTGACTTGTCGATTTCTTCCAAAACATTTTTCAGCCGTTCTTCGAATTCCCCACGGTACTTGGCACCTGCAACAAGAGCCCCAAGGTCTAATGCAACCAGTTTTTTATCTTTTAAGGAGTCGGGCACCTGTCCACTGATAATGCGCTGAGCCAGACCGTCGATCAACGACGTTTTACCAACACCGGCCCGACCAATGAGGATTGGATTATTTTTGGTGCGTCTTGATAGAATTTGGATGGATCGTGCAATTTCGTCGTCTCTACCGATCACTGGATCCAGTTTCCCCTCTTGAGCCAGCTGCGTTAAATTTGTCCCGAACTGTTCCAGAGCAGGTCGTTGGTCAGCGTTATTAGCATGCAAAGAGACGTAATTCCTGGTTTGTAGTGTGTGAATCCTGGAATTCGTGCAATTCCCAATGCAAAATCTAGCTGGAGTGTTTAAAATCGATGTTGGTTGCGATCTGACAATATCAGTGGAGCGCAGGGCCAAATTGCGACATACATTTTTGCGCAAGACCGGACTTTTTGTAAGTCGTAACATAATGTATTAAAATCTAAAGAGTGAGGGAGAATCAGCTCAAGAGATAGTTGAACAAGTTTTGGGAGTTCTTATATACAGTTGAGTCTTTATATTCTAGAATAACCGAGATAATCCGGGATGTTCTTGCCCTAGGATGTCACGTGAAAATTTAGTAATTTATATTGAATTAACAGTCGCTTATGTAAGCATAAGGTCAAAATGGCAGAGAATCGAAAATTCAATTTTTTGAGTGCGAACCCGCTTGTTGAGCGAGGACGTTAACGCGTTCTTTGTAACCTAAAGGACTTCTTCCTAGTGCTCTCTTTTTCGGCGTTCAGATTTTTTTTCGCAGTCACTTTAGAAGGAATATATATTGGAACCTGATATTTTCGACAATTGAGAGTGGCGGAGAAGTGGGAGAAATCATTGTTGGTTCTCTTTAGTTGCTCTTATTGGTTTAGATAAGCGTGAATTTGAGCTTTCTTGTCATAATAGTCAATTGCGGGTCAACACGTCGATACCGATGAGCCAAAAAAAAAAAATGAACATGTTCATATTCAGCGCGAGATGGAGGTAGAACGGCTCCCGTTAATAAATTTCTAGCAACACGTTGTTAAATACTCCAAAGGTCTGGTTAGGGGTTGTGGGTCATCGTACAATTGCCAACGTCCGCGATTTACGCTCGTATCATCTTGAACTAATGCGTCGTTCAGCTTTTGGTCATGTTATCTCGAATTGCGCGATCTGTATTCGATTGACCGTCGTATCTACAGAGCAGAACGTGTCACCTCTATTGAGACTTTTATGTGTGTTGTCTGTGTGCATTCCTCGGGTTGCAGGGACTATCATACCCCCATTTTTATCATTTTATTCACTCTGCATGGCATTTGGGGTCTTTTTTTCCAATGCCAAAATCATTTACATTTGAATTCTTTAGCGGGGTTTATTGTAGTTAAGGGCTGTGTTGACATCACAGTGACCTGACTCAATGCCGGTGTTTTTTGGGCTGCTAGCAGAAAAGAACGGTCAATATACACAGAGATTTGGGAGCTTTGTTTCCAAAAGTAGTCATACAATTTCTAGAGCTTGCTGGTCAACCAAGTGCACGTTCAGGTGTCAAGCTGCTGCCCTCCAGATGTCACATTTGTAACTTATCTGTCGTCTGTCATCTGGTCACGTGATCTGGATCCAAAACTACCGCTTCAAAAGCGGTGGTATCATCCAGACTTCCTGGGTTCAACCCTCTACTCCCCCACACCGCACTCTCTCAAACCCGATACCCAGAAGTGTTGACCTCAAATCCACACTTTCCGCCCGACTATATTTACTAACACACTCCACCATACCATTTAGAAACTTCCCATTTAAATATTTCAATCCATTATAATACATTCAGTAGACAAACTTATCGACTTTATGTACCGAACACCCACTTGTTATCCATGAGGCCCACAGTGAACTGCTTATGTAGCGTAGTATTGAGACCCCGTATTGTAAGGGCTTCCCCCGGCACTCTGCCACTCGTTCGTAAGTCGTAAATTTACATAAATTTCTCACGCTGGCATTTTTTTGTCAAGATTACGGCGCACGCGTTGCCATGAGACGTTGTTCCAGCTCCATAACGTACCGTTTTAGAGACTCGTTTTCCTGTGAGAGGGCAGCAACCTGAGCATCGAGCCGGTCAAACTCTTCCACTTTGGTCTCGAGATCTTTGATGTAGCGGTCGCGTCTTTGACGGAAAGCCTTTTGCGCGCTTCTGTTTTGGGCAGCGCGTTTGGTATTTCTCAACGGTTTACCAGACTTCCCAATCAATTGGCTGTCGTTTTCGTCGCGGTCTGCGTCGTTACTGTTAGAAGGCGGAGATTGAGCCGGTGGGATGGGCATGAGGTTGTGCATGGGAAATTGTGCGTTGAGTTGCGACGCAGTCTGCGCCATATAAGGTGGCATGGCCATAGAATTTTGGTGACGCAAAGGCAGCCCTGAATGGGCCGGAACAGCTCCATTTTTGTCGCTAGCGGCGGCAGCTGCACTGGCGCCCGTGGCATTTGGCCCACGCACCGCTTGGCCCATGGTTAGCGAAGCGTCAGCGTGGGTCACGTGACCCGTGTTGTTATGAAGCACACCTTTGCCAGCACCGGAGCCACCACCGGAGCCAGCGCCAGAACCAGCACCAGCACCGCTATTGGTCGACGACAGATGCATTGGCATGTTCACGGCTACGCCCGTGGTCGTTGGGTTTCGAGATGCCGGTACCATCGCCGTTGGGTCTGAGTTTGCGTTTGCGTGGTTTCGTTCTCTATGGTCTGGATTGCTGGAGTCTTCGTTGGATGTGTGTCCCATAGAATGCACGGGAAGCATTTGTTGCATGTCCTTGTAGTCGTTGGTGTGGTGTTTACCGCTGGAGTTGGATGCGATGAGGTCGATGTCTCCCCTCACGACTGCGAGTTCACTTGCTTACGCTACCAATGTCTTCGTTCGCCTTTTATAGTTTTCTAACGTAAGCAATAAGAATTAAAGCTGTAGATCCCGTAGCGAGTGATGCGAGGGCGAGCGACGAGGAGAAGAAGAGCGGGAAGAAGAAGAACAATGGTGATAATTGGTGCTAGTTGGTAAGACTGAATTGAGTATTTTGTGCAGTGTGAATGGCTTTTTTTGAGAATATATTTGAGAGCTTTTAGTAGACTAATTTTTTTTTATTTTTGTTTTTATGTGGTGTATTTCTATTGACCACTGGCTCCATTCATGTGTTGTTTGAATAACAGTGATTATAGTAGCACCTTCGGCGTGGTCGTATTTCTTACACTTAGTTAGGTATTCGTGTCTTTGATATTTAATATCACTGGCTCTTTGTAGCTGGAAAATCGAATATCAACGCCTTTTTGGTCCGGTTATATTCGAATTTGTTTTCAGAAAGCACATATATTGGGCGTGTGGCGCAGTTGGTAGCGCGCTCCCTTCGCATGGGAGAGGTCATCGGTTCGACTCCGGTCTCGTCCATATTTTTTGCTAATTTTGATGACACTTTTTTATCAATGAGACACACTATGAATGGCAAGGTAAGAATTACAGCGGTGACGAGTGGGAAAAGATGTTCTAAGGTGTTGGCTTCTAACACACAGGTAGAAGTCTTGGCGAAAAGGTCTCATTCATCTTTGCAAGAGTGTAAACTTGTTTCGCTTCTAGTTTGATGCAATTTGAAAAACTCGGGAACCTCTAAATTGTCTTTAGCGTTACGGCACGCAGGTGTTCTGGTGTGTGCAACACTGTTTGTGAAAAAGGCGAACAAAGCTGAAAAGCCGAATATCTTTAGTATAGTTTTTTCACAATTGTGCAGCAGCAACGCTTTGAACTCATAATAGACCCTCTCGTAGCGTTGTAGTCAAAAGAGCAAGTCTAAAGTTTGTGATTTACGGTTTTCGTAAACGGCAGGCTTTCGAGAAATCTTGCTTGTGACACTTGGAATCCGGTGCTCGGAGGTGTGTGCAACATAGTGCTGTGGACCAGCATATCGTCATAGAATGATTCGCTTCTCTACCTGTGACACTTACCGCATATATACGTCTTAGCATCCAAAAATTTGGACGAGACCGGAGTCGAACCGATGACCTCTCCCATGCGAAGGGAGCGCGCTACCAACTGCGCCACACGCCCAATATATGTGTAAATAGGAATAAAGAAATGAAAATACAGGGTAAATTATGTAACAACACAATGAAATACCAAAGTCCGAAGGAATGGTGGGTGTGTGCGAGCATAACCAACGTTGAGAGGTGAGTGCATTTAGACAACATGACTTCGTTTTCTTAGTTGACTGGAGTCCTGGTAGGTTTCAGACTGCTCATAAGACGCTATACTGTTTATTCTCACTTTTATCGCAAGTATTTCCGCTTCCACCACCACATTGCAAGCAGAGTACGAACATTTCACGGCAGAATACTCAAAGTTGAGTATTTTTTGGACAAGTACGGGCGAATAGGAAATCAGATACTCAGTCCTGACGCCATGGACGTGTTTGCTAATTGCGTTGACAAATTTGCAGTCGGATTATCTAACAAAGACCTGGGCAATAGCTATTCTGGAAGGGTGAGCAACCGCAGAACTGGGGATATACCTTGATTTTAATAGGCCCCACAAGCACTTCTCAAAACGGGCAGCAAGAGAATACGGTGCGTTCGGTGTCAATGGCTTTAGTGCCACCGGTTGTGAGGGTCAATATACATGACTGTACTAGTGCTCAACGCATGGGTATGTACTTATAGACACATTTCCAGCCCTGTAATGCAATATCAGGTCTATTGAACTAGTGACACGACGTACTAATAGGAAAAAGGCAGAACAAAGACTTGAAGGTATGGTCCTGGCTACTAGTGAATGCGGGGACTCTGGCTCTAATCACGCGACACATTGATTCAATGGAACCCTCTATACGCCTACATTCTCGATTGTGCTCAATTTCAGGGCGCCAGGGCTGAAGTGATCGAAACTTCTTGCAATTAATTTTGACGGTCTCAGTGCTGCAGTGGTATTTCCTGAGGGCTAACGGTCTCGATGCTAGGAGTCTATTATGATTAATTGTTTGAGGGAGGTACACATACGAGGTTAACTAGGCTGTTTCAAAATTCCATTAGCTCATCATGAATTTCGAACTATAGACCGTTTCGCTAGGCCCAGCGTTATGAGTGAAAAGTCAGCATATTTATGTAGAGTACGAGACAGTTTGGAAAGAGAGGTTCGATCTAACTATTTACGTAGTCCTTTTTGAATTTTATCGGTAGACTTTATGGGAATACCCTAGATGAGGACGTCAATAACATGGCTAGTTGACTACAGATATGGAGTGTCTTTCTAATTTCGAGACATAGGAGCCTCTCCGTCGTATTGCGTAACCTTTTTTTACTAACGCAGAAAACTGTTACGGCGCCCACGTGATCTAATGCGGTACAGCACGTATAATATTTCGTCGCTTTATACGTAAAGAGCTTGGGAAGAGCACGAGTACATGTACTCGTAACTGAAATTTCGCCTACCAGAGACAAGCCCAAGGCTACTCGTACCCAGTCCAGGATGATCGTATTTCCTCAAAATCGTCGAGCTTCCCAATCAGTCAACATTATCAAGTGTATTTTTTATCGATCGCTGACGCTTTTACTACGAGCTCTCAATTGTTTAATCGCGCCCGTAGCCATCCTAATTATTCACAATCGTTTGCGATCGCTCCCAATTGTTCAATTGTGCTACAAGCTGTCATGGCTACTCCCAATCGCTCGCTAACGCTCGCTAGCCATCGGATCAGAGCCGTATCACACGCCCTTCTTTCCTAATTAGGAGTCTCTATCCGAGCAGAAACTCTTGCCTCATAAACACGTGACCATAGACCCTTCCAATCCGCCACGCTTGATTACCGCATTAGGAAGTTCTAGCCGAAAGCCCTCTTCCCGCCCAATTTCGTTATCAGAGATCAACACCACTCGATAATGCTTAAACTGTTCTGTATTCAATCCGCGATGCACAGCGATAAGTCTACAATATCTGAATTCTAAAGCGGCGCTCAAATTCCACAGCGGCGACGGACGTCGTGCTCAGTACAACACTCCAAGGTCTCGAGGTTAAATTTCGTCTATATAAGGACACCAGAATCGTCAAGTATCCAGGAAAATGGAATCGATGATTTTGTTCAATTTCATTTATTCCCTCCCCATCACCAAGTTATTCATTACTTGCTAACTTACCACTACAGATTTAAAAGATCCAGCCCTCACAATGACCGTTGAAGCTGCCGCTGCCGTTGTCTCAACAGAATCATACGTCTTCCAAGGCACCATCAACAAGAAGCCTCCCCATGTGATCGGCGGAAAAGGTGTCTACATGACCATTGAGAAGGACGGTAAGGTCTACGAAGACGTTTTGGACGCTGTCACCGGTGCTGCTGTCGGTGCCCTCGGATGGGGCGACGAGGAAATCTTGCCCATCATCGAAAAGGCGGCCAAAAACCATACCTACAGTTTCCCATCGATCATTGGTAACCAGGCCTCTGAAGATTTGGCCAAGTTCTACATCGAAAACTCGCCCAAGGACGTTTTCGCCGCTGCTTTGTGGTGCTGCTCGGGTTCCGAAAGTAACGAAAATGCCATGAAAATTATCAGACAATACCAAATGGAACGTGGTTGCCCAGAAAAGACCAAAATCATCTCCAGAGACATCTCGTACCACGGCTTCACCTTGGGTGCCCTATCGATCTCCCACTGCGGCCGTGCCGATCTTTTCAAGGACATTTCGATCGACCAAACCAACACATGCTTGAAAATGCCAGTCTGCTACCCTTACCGCTACCAACAAAAGGGCGAGACCGAAGAACAGTACTCCCAGCGTCTATTGGACGCTTTGGAAAAAATCATTTTGGACAACGACCCTAAGACCGTGTCTTGCGTTCTTGTTGAAACTTTGCCAGGTTCTTCCCTAGGTACCGTTCCTTCGCCAAAGGGTTACTTGTCCGGAATCCGTGCCCTCTGCAACAAGTACGATGTCATCTTCATGTTGGACGAGGTTATGTGTGGTACCGGTAGATGCAACCCTAACGGAAAATTGAACTGCTGGGAAAGCTTCATTGGACCAGAAGACGCTCCTGACATTCAAACCGTTGGTAAGACTCTAGGTTCCGGTTACGTTACCATCGCCGGTGTCCTTGTGGGTCCAAAGATCAGAGATGCATTCATCAACGGTTCCAACGCGGTCTTCGGTTCTCACACCTACGCCTCGCACGGTTTCAACTGTGAAGTGGCTCTTGGTGTTCAAAAGAAGATCTCGCGTGAAGGTCTAACCGCCAACATCTTCAAGATGGGTAACCTAATGGGCTCCAAGTTGCAAGACGCTTTGCTAAAGGAGGACAACATTGTTGGTGACGTCAGAGGTATTGGTGGTTTCTGGTCGCTAGAATTCGTCAAGGACAAGGCCACCAAGGAAGTTTTCCCTGTCGAACTTGACATTGGTCACCGTTTCCAAAAGGTTTGCTTCGACAACAAGCTAAGTGTAATGGGTATGCAAGGTAACGCTGACGGTACCTCCGGTGACATTGCTCTACTTGCCCCAGCTTTCATCATCACTGAAGGTGACGTTGATGCCATTGTTCAGAAAGTCATTGAGTCGGTTAATCAATTGACCAAAGAAATGAAAGCCGAAGGCACCTGGTAATTAGCTTTATATTGATGGAGCGGGCTCTGGATATGCAGAATTGTTTAGATAGATTGAAGAAATTGACTTAAATTTACGGTTCTGGTTTTGAACTTTGGATGATCTTTCACAGTGTTGCGAGATGATCAACAAACTGGGGCAAAACGAAGATATTATTTATTACTGACCTACTGGCTGATGGATTGCTTCAGTGGAGAGGGAGCTGTGGAATAGAATGCACATTTGATGTCAATTTCTCACGAAACGAGTGTGAGAACATCATCACGAAATCCGTTGTGACACATGCATCTATGTACAAAGAATTCGGTGAATCACGAAATGTCCTACACTTACAAACGAGCGTGGATACTCTGAGTGTCTGTGGCACTAATTGTGCGGTAACATATTGCATTAATCAAATCGCGACGGTAAACACGCAGATTCTTTTCTATTTTTCCCAGAATTGAATTCAATCAGCCACAAACCACACCGGTGAGCCACTGAGCGTCCTGAACTGACACTTCCAGTGCAGTTGACATGCGCTGTGTTCCGCCACAGTGATATTTCGTTGCTGGGAGATTTCCAAGATCACTTTGCACTATTTTGACATACCAGAATGCCTTATATGCGAAAACCGTAAAAACTCAGTCATCGACAGAACAGACGTCCCGTACAGTGAGGGAAAACATCTGGTTCATCAAAGTTGAACTATCGGAAAGCGCTGCGAGTCTCCACACGATTGCTAGGGCTATTATTTGGGTGCCTGAACTGTGCGTAAAGCATCTCAAAGCCACGTGACCAAATGACAGCGTCACCAAAACTTCAAAAACCTAGCACCCTTCTCATCGTGCAAGCGACCTGAATAGTCCTGACTGCATGCTACTGACGTTCCAGCCTCTTCCTCACTAGTAACTTACCAAGCAGAGATTTAAAAACCCCCAAATGGAAAACCTGCTTCACAGCTTATTGCATCCAAAAAATGCCCCAGAGCCTTGCAACTTTACCCAAACTCCACGTCCAGATTTATTGTACCGTTCAAAAGTCAAAAATCTCTCTACAACGCAATCTCTATATACTATACTTTTTTAAATGTCTCTCACTGCCCGTTCGTGCTGGAAACGTCTCCATGGGCGGAATTTGAAGCTGAAAATTCACAGAATCATCTCATTATATCAGCGTTCTCACGACAAGCGTCTACATTCTCAAATGTTCATAGTTCTAGTGCCGTTTCGATTCTAAACAGCTAACACCACGTAATATACCTTTAAACGAGCGGGCTTTTACATAGGGGCCGTTTTATAGCACCAGAACAAAGGCTGAGAAATATATATATATAAAGAATAGACAATTAAAGGCTCATCAAGAACTATAGCTCATCCATATGTCAGGACATCTTTCAAGCAGTTGAACAATTCCCAGAAAGGATCCCGATCTTATAAATAAAGAGTTCTCAAATCACGGTCAATTCAGGATCAAAATTTGGTGCGAAATAAGATCTTTTTCGGAGTTTTATCATTGGTTTTAGCATAACGACCGGCATCCCATTGTTGCGACTATAAGTACCACTTTCTGTTGGTTACGCTCCATTATACAGTAGGAATAACAGCACATTCGAGATGGGAAATGTACCCGGTAAATTGGAGGACGAAAGCTCAGTGCGAGCCAAACGGTCCATGAGCACATCGGCTGCGCTCCCGAATCGTGCTGGAAACGGTAACGCCACGAACCGAAGTTTACGGACTTCGTCCATGGTGGGGACGATTTTAAACGCTAGACGGCATTCGGAGTCTTCAGAGGTGGCAGGAGAAGCCGGTAACCCCTACAAACGCAAGTCAACCAAGGAAAAAGAGCGCTTAAAGGAGCGTCACGTTAAACAGCTTATTGTGAAATTTAGCGAAACGGTCGATGGCGGGTTTTTGGCGCCGTTTGGATCGAGCAGCTTGGAAAAAGTAGATTATGACGCTGGCGTCGTCAAAACGCTCATTTTGGAGCGTCGTTTGGCACCCTTTTACACGCCATTACAAGACTTTGACGAGTCCTGGACGCGCCAAGAGCTCATCAAAATCGTGGACGGACTTCCACTGCATGCAGCATTTAACGAAAACGTGGAAGCGTTTGAGGGCGTACCCGTAGGAAATCTGTCGCAGAGCGATTTTGAGCATCTAATAGACAAGTCACTTTCACGTCGCGAACAGCGGCGCATGCGAAATAAAATCTTCAACGCCAGACTGTATCAGAAACGGTTGCGGTGGCAAGAGCGTGAAAACGAGAAATTTTTGGAACTAAAGCTGGACGCCAAAAAGCTACCGGAGGGCCAGCACAAGACTTTACTACCTAGTGACGATTTGAAAGCGGATTTGTACTCGCACGCGACCGAATGCCCTATATGTTTTCTGCACTACCCTCAGCCCATCAACCTGTCCCGCTGCTGTCTGCAGCCCATTTGCAGCGAGTGCTTTGTTCAGATTAAAAGACAGGAACCGCATTTCCCACACGACTCTGAAGACAGCGGTACACCTGCAGACGAGGAGGAAAAAGACCCCAATTTGTTGACCTCGGAGCCAACCAATTGTCCCTACTGTGCTACTCCAGACTATGGCGTCATATACGAGCCGGTTTCAACTCGTAGAGTTGGTATTCACGGAATAACACCTTCCTCATATGTGCATCAGGAGAAACCGTTTTTGCAAGAATCAGACGTGCCCATACGTCGCGGCTCTTTGGCTGCGTCTGATCGCAAAGTGGTTACTTCAGATTCGTTGCGACCCGACTGGCAGATAAAACTAAACAAAGAGCGGATGCGCCTGGCAAGACGGTCTGCCAATGCCACGGCTATCCATGTCAGCAACCAACTTGTCACCCCGGGCCATCAGATGTCGCCGACGATCAGTGCCCAAACTGCACCGCGATCGAACACCCACTCTGATTTTGCTACACCTCACGCTCAATTGCACGGATCTATGTGGCCACCTAATGCTACTGCTACGGAAATCGAAAACCAGATGATCGAGCAAGCTATCAAATTGAGTTTAGCGGAAAGTGGCAAGAACTAGTGGAAGTTCTCAAACAGAGCAAGCTCGAGGAGAGAGAGAGAGAGAGAGAGAGAGAGAGAGAGAGAGAGAGAGAGAGAGAGAGAGAGAGAGAGAGAG